GAAAAGTTACGAAAGTTTAAACTTCGAAAAAAATAATGCTGGTTGCTTAATTGGAACTAATGATTTAATTGATAATCAATTAAGTCATAATTTTCAATGGACACAATTTGCATGACTAACTAACTCAGCAGCTTGTATTTCATCGTTGGCTCCATTTCATCTTAATGCTTATTTCTTTCAAACTAATTGGCAAAAACGCCCACAGTTTTAAAAGATGATCTCTTTATTTCGAAGAATTTTCAACTCTCTTGCAAATACATCTAACAGTATTTTCTAGTCCACAGTTATTAACTTAATTGTCAGTGCGAATGTTGTTCAAGCAGGTGCATTTTCTCTATGGGTACAACTTGGCCTACATATGGACCCTATACTTTGCTTACGTCATTCAATTAATAAGCTTTTAATATGACTCAGCATTTCTGTTGTTCCACATTGTATATCCTTTGCTACAAAACTTTCTTTTATTGTGGGCTAATTAAAGTCATGACAACTTAAGGAAAGCTCTGAAGCAGCAACCACAACATAGCTCCCTTTTTTTAACCTCTTCAATTGCGTTTTTAGCTCTGCTGAAGATAATGACATCATCATATGGTTTTTAGCATAACTTTATATCAACGATGCCTTGGAGGGGTCTCGAGGGCTCAGTCTCCTTCGTTGGTATTAGGGGATATTTTGTGGGGGCTAAACTGCCCCTTAGTAAGCCAATATATGTTGGTTGGGCAAATTCCTTACATAGCGATTTAAATTAATCCTTTAATTGATACAAAGTCAATGGACAGGGCGTGACCATGGGTGTGGTATTGGGTAAGGCTTCTAGCAATCCCTACAACAGAGTTCACCTTCCTTAAGTTTTAGGACCGCACTCCTGCTCTAAATGCTGTTAGAATGCTTAGTGAGTAATCGTAGCAATTAGATCTTTGAGAGATTTAAGGATTTTAAAGATTTCTGTAAAGATTTCGAGATATTTCTAGATTAAATAAATTTATCATGAATCTCCGGATATTTCTCACAGACTTCGATTGCAGAAATGTTTCAAAAGCTTAAGTCGGACTCAAAACTTGAAATGTTACTTAGAAAATAGCGTTCCCTTGAGTACCCCGCTGCTTCGCTATCTTTATAGAAGATTACAGTAACTGGAGTTTACAATAAGGGCTTAAGTAGCAGAAATCCTTCTAACAACAATTTAAGCTATCCACTAGGGAACATATATTGACAATCAAGGGAATTGGCCTTTGTTTAGACAAAGATTTCACCGCACGTTTGATAAATATGCGCAAGACTTATTTTTCTGTTGTTAGGTGTGGGCCAGATTTAACCGCGTAAGAACGAGGAGAATCTTCTAATATCATTGTGACACAATGGTGGAAGGCCTAGACCGCAATTCAGCAAAAATTTCGAATCAACCTCAAGCAGAAACAAGTCAATGCCCGCCGTTCAGCAGCGAATATCCACAAAACTGCCAAGTGTTAAAGTTTACATCGCATGTTCTACATTCGAAGCAGTGTAGCAGTTTAGGAAAGCAATTGTGTCGATTTGCAACAAGTTTTGAAATCGCGTTTGAAGTAACCGGAAAAAGAAAAATTTCGAGTGAAATCACACCAAATCAAATGAGATCTTGCACACCAGAAACAGCGAAAGAGATAAAAAACCGAGGATTTTGATATGACATTAGCAATAATGTATCGATGAGAAGAAGAAGGTTTTACGTTGTTTATAGTTGTATTTTTCACGTGCTTTCACAATCAAAAAGTTAGTTTGAAAAAATCCAGATTTGTGACGTTCTTTCTTCGCATTAACTGAAATTTTAGTTAAAATAGATGTAATTTGCTTTTTGGCTTCATCAAGGATAGCACGATTAAAACCTCCCCTGAAAAAGTCTTCAACTTTTCACTGTTAAGTTTTTCATGAAAAAGTTTCCTATTGATAGACAGAAGGAAAACAGTAAAAAAGGTCCTTCTTAAAACGAGCAGTTGAATACCAAACTGGTACCTTGAAGAATCTTTGGCCAGTGACTCAGTTTTAAATAAGATGCAGAACTTGTTTTTACCACACCCTTGCCTCCACATAATTCCGTTTCATGCTGCATAAAAAATTTAGAATATTAATATAGGAGAAATATAAAAGCTAAGAGATGAAGGAAAATGCAATTTTTAAAGCTTGAGTAGTCTTTTATGTGAATTTCTGTGTCCCTAAAATAAAAAAAGCAATTCAATTTTTATACAAGCATTATATAGAGGCGTTTGAAAGTATTGAATTAGAATGTTCATTCTGAAGTATAATTAGAAATTTCATTCTGAATCGAATTTTCAGAGGTCCATCCTTCGATTTTTCTCAAAACTTTTAAAGTATTGCTGTAAAAAATAAATGGATCGAATGGAAGTAATATCAATTTCTCTATTAGATATTGCTCTAAGACATGTGAATTGTCTCTTTAGTCGAGTTATATGTTTGAGTCCTGCAAGCCTTCTTTGGTTCATCAGAACAAAAAACACAGAAAATTGAGAGAAATGGGAATCGACCTTTTGATATGATAGTTGTGATAGACTATCGTTTATGTCTATTCAAAAACCACAATACAAATTAAAATGGTTAAGCATCGAAGCAGAAACTGTTTTGAGAGCCCAGTTCATATCAGATCTCTTTTAGTAGCGTTTCTTTTTTGCAAAAGCTACGGCTTTAGGCCTTGCAATAAAAATTTTTCTTTTGTAAATGACTTTATCATACATATAAATTTTTGACTAGCTATATTTTATAGGTCTTTTTGCATAAACTACGTATTTTGGCGATTATTACAAAAAAAGCTGAACTTCCTATGCTGAAAATTTGCATTTTGGTTTTTCTGGTAACCGAAAGTTTCACAGCATGTCAACTCTCCGAATGTCAACTGTGCAAAAATCTAGAAAAAGTCGGGTTCGCAAGCTGCTCTCTTCGCATACACGTTATTTCTAACACCAATTTAATTTTGTGACTGTTTACCTCGAAATGATTTCGTTTTGTATTTTTCCCGTTGAGGAATATTTGCCAGAAAACACCCTTTTGAAACTCTTTAGAGAGATTGGAAAGCAGGCCTTTTGAAACAAACGATTGGCAACATTTGAATGAATAATTTAAAGAGATTCACGTGTTTATCCTTAAGAAGGTTAAGAATTGCTTTCATAAGGCTTTTAATGGTTGTAATAAAACAGACTTTGATTGAATGGGACTCCATCTGATCATTTTGGGCAAAAAGTGCCCAGATCTAGCATCAATCAAGGTCTCTGACTGTCAAGCTAGTCTCTGATTGTGAGCCAAAAAGTCTATACGCCGAAGGTGATCTTAAAAGGTAGTGTAATGATTTCCATAAAAATACTGTCAATATCTGGAGGATCCTTGCAGCTTAAAAATTCACTGAACGTATCTATCAAATTTGTTATGAAAATAAAAACGATCGTCGTCTTTTTGTAGAACCCAGTCTCTTTGTGATACTCGCGCCAAGAGAACCTTTTGCCGGTTCAGATGGCTTCCACAGCACAGGAATAAAGTCAATGGGTGAAGCTCATTTATTGTTCTCTTTCCCACTAACTCTAAAAGTTGTGTATCTTTGAATAAAAGGAAATATGAATCAAAGCAAGTCGTGAACTATACCAGTTATTTGCTACAAAAAATGTGAAGTGTAACGGGGTCACAGGGGTGAGGAGTGGAAAGCTTTTAACATGTCTACATAGAACTACGAGGCATATCCCACAAATACTTTATGATATGTTTTCCTGCCACAAAGTTCTGGCTAAAGGTCACAAACTGTTGAGGGTCATTTATTGTGATGTCCTGTTTAGAAATTCCAGACATCCTTCAATTGCATTATCTCAAAAAAGTAGATGGGATAGTTTCAATTCAATTACATCTCCCATGCAGACAGATATCGGTCGATTTACCCCTACAAATTGAATAACCCTATCTTGTCGTTGTCAATGTTAACAAAAGACTTTACCCTCCTTTAAACAGTGACGTAATAGAAAGGATATTGGAAACGAAAGTCTTGACAAGTTCCTTAAGTTTGAAGCTCCTCGAAACATTCCCAAGCACTGTATTATAGAAATTTACTTGGTCAGGAAAATTTACGAATTCTCTTTACACAAAGATATGAAAAATTTTAACATGACGGAATGTTATAAAATGGGATGGAAAGAGCAAAAGCGAACACGGTACAACAGTGGCCAATAAGCACAAGCTACCACTCTACCTTTGTAGAGGTTTGGAAACAAGAAAAACCAAGAGTCTATGTCATACATCTTTGCGACTTCTTTGTCATATCATAATGATTTGCTCTTTTCATTTATATATGCTACATAAACTACAATGCCTGCCAAAAGTACTTGGAACACCCAGCAATTTTCGTTGCATTTATATCTTTCATTTCTCTAACGAAAAAAATTACTACTTCCGCCCCTTCCCCCTAGAACAACGTTGTAATTTAGAGAAAAATCACATAAAAGCAAAAAAAGTGCTTTCTCAAATCCTGACCCATTTCATTGTAAACCAACATTGTTTTTGTAGGGACGAGGGGGACGATTGACAAACTGACGTCGTTGTTCCTAGCCTTTTGGTAAACATTCTAGTTGGTTAGGATAACCTAAAGGAAAAGTAGGTATTATACAAGCTTTAGACAACGCGTTAGGCTTAGAGTTAAGAGTCATCGGTGTCCCGACCCCGCCTGAAAACAAATCAGACCATTGAAAGAATTCAGTCCAATTCTAATTGCACGAAGCTGTTAATCTTATTCCAAAGGTTTGTATCCATTCGACTCCCTCTTCTTAAAATGTCCCTATAATTCAGAAGCAGGGTATTTCTGGATTTCATTAGCGAAAATTCTCATCACCTAAGCACAACTATCAGCCATGATGAACAATCTTCCCCTCTCTGTTCTCCATATATTTTAATTTGAAAAGGTTCCTTTGAGTCGGTAACCGAAGGCCACTAAAAAAGCACAGCTAGAAGCGGGTGGATAGAAAACAAACGCAATATTTAGCAAAATGAGTTTCATTATAAACAATAGAATGGCATTATCTACAACCCTTTTACACGATCTCTTAAATACGAAATACGCTAACTGATGTTTGTGAATTTTCTCTACTTTAGAATTGATAAAATACAACAGCAACAACTGCTAAGATAGAAATTGTTTGTTGCACTTGTGATCTCTCAACTTTTTTGTGCATTTTGGTATCAAAGCTGGGACTCTGCAATACACTTTTAATCGGCTATAAACTCACTGGAAAACCGCTTTGAAATGCTTTCCTGAGCTGAGAATGGATTAGATTTTAAAACTGATTAAACAATATATTTCAAAGACGCACCAATAAGCTGCGTTTACAATTTAAACCTTGGCGTGACCTATGACTAGGCCCATATGTCTCGCGAAACAAAACGAATTGAAAATAGTGTGGCAATTTCAGATCGAAAGTTGCTGCTGTTGGCATTAAGACATGACTACCTTATTGAATTAACGAAATCTCTGAGAAGTGTTTTTAATTGAGACGCTCATTTAATGAAGTTAAAACTCTTATATATGCAATACTCATAAACAACTAAAAAGACTCTGCAGTATATTACCATCTAGCATATATCGAGTTACTATGATCTTGAATCTATGAGAATGTCTATTTCAAACAAGCCTGCAACGCACAAGTCAACATAGGCCTAAACCTGGTTCTAGGAATAGAGGACTTCATGGGAAATGACAGACTTGGTTGGCCGTTTAGGGTCTGAGGTTACGTGTTTTAGGAAACATGGCCACCAAATTCGTAACCAGGCTAGCATCGATTCACCCGTCCTATTTGGCTCCAGATTCCAGATTGCTAATTATTGTGGAAATAGGAGATCCCTGAACGCAAGTTTCTAAGGCTGGATTTCTGCTCGATCTTAAAAAGGGACAAATAAAAGAAAATGGATTATGTGGAAGTAATCTCAGTTACAAGATTATCTACGCTTGGAAAGAAGTCTTAAAATTGAAAAGTGGTTATTAGCAAAGAATTTGCATGAGGAATTTGCTAGGGAGCCTAAGGTCAAAACTTTCGTTACAATTGACACATTTTCCTTATTTGGTCATCAAAACAACGTTTGGGATAAAGGCAAAAAGTTCATCAGGGACTAACTACGAATATTCGGTTTCACGTGTTCGTCAATGCATTATCAAGGGAAATCCAGCCTGCAACTGTCATTAAATCTGCGTACATGAATTTACACAGAGGGCCACTGCCTACAGACTCTCCAATTAGCACATGTTAAAGATATTTCTTTCTGGGTTGACCCATAATGTTCTTTGAAAAAATAAACGAGGGGTTAGTTAATAAACAATTCTATGGAAAAAATCACTTTATGTATCTATGCGAAATAAATCTACAATTTAACGTAATAATTTCAGTACCAGGATAGAATGTTGATAAACTGTATGTTTGGTCAAGCGAAGCTCGACTCTCTGATATAATTAATAAGCCGAGTTGCGTTAAACTAACATTAAACGCTCTGATACGCGGACAACAAAAATAAAAGATCTGCCATCATTAATATCTCAATTCATTATAAGTAATGTGTGTTTAAAATAAAAAATATTCTTTTAATGGTTTCTACAACAGTTCGCACGCTCGTCTATAGACGTACTGTACATCAATCTTATGTAAAATATTGCGGTGCTAGTGACGATCACTGACGCATATTAAAAATCTTTGTCTGGACGATAACACACGATTTTTTATACTTCTCATTACAAACCCTATGCCCTAAATATAATCTCAAAAACTTCTAAATTGAACAAAAATTGCAAGTATACACAAGCGTGTTAAAAACTGAATCAAAAGTTCACCATCTGAAAAAGTCCTACTTGCATCCAGAAATCTGTCTAAGATCTCCCAATGCACTCGTTTACGACAAAAAACAAGCAAAAACTGTCAGTAACTTTTATGCACCCGTTAAAAAACTCGCGTTAACCTGTTAATGTATCATAAAAGCACGGCTAAATGTGCTATAAACACGATAAATTTACTTGCTATCTAATTTAATCCTATACAAGATGATAAACAATTAAGTTCTGCAGATTCTTTAAAAAAATCTGTAACGTAATAAACCAGGTTGAGCAAAACTTTGTTTGAAAAGATCGAAGTAGAAAAATGTTAAGTTTAGAAGGAAAGTGCTCGAAGAACATAATGAATTTTGAGGATATGGGGGCAATGCACTTGGGGGCGTTGCACTTGGGGGCGTTGCACTTGGGGGCGTTCTACTTGGGGGCGTTCTACTTGGGGGCGTTGCATTTTTGTCAATCGGAACTTCGACATGCGAATCTATGCTAGATCATCTAAACTAAAACAAATTTTCGAAAAGGTAACCGTTTGCTTGACACGAACAATTTGCTGTAACAGTTTTGAAAAATTGATGGTTGCCAAAATGTAAATAATTACCTCAGTTAACAAAAGAGAAGCTTCTTCATAAGACGCTAGCAGGGCCTAGAAAGATCCCGAAAAGTAAACAAATAAAATTAAGAACCACTTCATCATTCGTTCACCGGGTGGATATAGCAAAGAATCTTCTCTTGGCGTTTGAAAACAAAGCAACAATCTTTCGGCTAACATCACGTTCAAAATTGGCCTGGTAAATTAATAGTCACTGTATTAGATACAGAAACTTATTCAACCATCAAAGCTGTATCGAGCGCACTAACAAATCATTTTATAAATGTACAATAATGATTAAAAGTTTAGAGCCAAACAGCACAAAAGAAATTTCGCTACTGCTTTGAAGAAATCTCCATTAGCATTTTACCATCTGCCATTCAGTGTAGACAATTAGAAACAAGTTATCTATAACAAAGGAAAGAATGGAGCGAGAATACAAGAAATTATTCAGTCAGAACCATTCATTCCCTTTCAGTTGCAAAGACCGGCCTAGGTAAAATCAATCAGCATTCGAGAAAAGCTGGACAGAGAAGGGTCAACCTACTGAATGCTATACAAGAGCGCAGGTGTACGAAAATCTCCTAAAACGTGTTTGACCCAGAGAAGCAAATGCAAATCTTAAGAACTCATTTCTCTCAAGTATACAACTGCGCGAGCATAAATAATGGATGTCCCTTTGCGATCTATTAATCTTTATGGCTTACGAGATAACTCTTCTTAACCATTGAAAGTTTCGGAACTATGAATCTTTCAGTATATCTCTCCCAAACTTTTTAAGATATATTAGAAACAGAACGAGCGTAGGAAATAGGACAGCATTTAAAGATTGACTCGTCCTGATTGAGAGCGTCCGAAAATCTTACTGATGATTGAAATTAGCAGGAGACACGAAAACGTGGCTTGTAGTATGATATATTTACTTATTTATAAGGATATAAATCCAAGCGGTAAAAATTGATGAAACAGCAACCAAAGATTAACAGAATAATATCTAAGGGAGGTTGCTGCAGCATGTTGGTGTTGCAGTCAACTTTTCTAAGTATGAAATTGTTTAACAGGGGGTACAGCGTTAATTATATCTTTATACCTAAAACTTTGCTTAGTTTGAGAATTAAAAGCGAAAGATAAAGGAATTAAAGACTAGAGACATTTTCGAGACTACCGTAGTTAGCACACTGAATGTAACACAAAGCAAAGAAACAAGCAAACATAAGGAGGCATGGAGATTCAGGTCAGCTTGGCAACGACTGAAAAACCAATGAATAACGATCGAGAGACGATAGACGACAGGATGAAATGATTAGCAAAGTAATTGTCAGCAGTGGAAATCAAGCAATATCTTAAAGAAACCGTAATATTGTTCAGGGTTTTGCATTGGTGAGTTGGAAGGCTTAAGGAGAAAACCACTAATGAACCACGATCGATAGAAAGCACATCGGCTTTGTTGTGTTTCGCTCTCAGATTTATGTCATTAATCTCAAGGCACAAACAAAACGAGGCAAACCAAAACAAACATGGATAAAGGAAGAAATTCCCACGCAGTTTGACAAGCCAGCACAACGAAATGACTCCATGAAGAAAGAGACTTTTCTATCTTAATTGTTAGTGGTATAAGCAAAATGTACGTAAGTCGAAAAACTATTTGACCGCCAGCATGAAAATGGTAAATATTTATATCGCTATGAAGATTTCGAAAAGAACTTATAAGTTTAATGTTTTGAATAATTTTCCGAAAGAAAAATAGCTTTGATATTGTTTTGCACTGACTACCTAATTGGTATCCGAAAGAGCGCAACTGAAAGGAAATGATAGTAAAAGGTTTTTAACAGGAACACAGCCTTTTAAGGAAAGGCATGAAGCAAACACGCAAACACGATTCAGAGGACAGAAAGGAAAGCCCAGTTAAGCGAGACAGTAGCAAGTAGTTACCTAGGCAAGAGAAGCATCAAGCAAAAAAGTAAACTTTCTTGTTATGATTATGAAAGTCAGAAAAGAAAAGCTCTCCTTGATCAAGGTTTAAAGTGAGTGAACATGATTTTTATTGAATCGGTTTCATTTCAATCCTAAGATGACACAGGCATCATGCAATGTTTTCGTTATACAAGTAGAAGATTCCTTGCTTCCTGCACACTATAACTCTGTTCTCTAGGCCACTGCATTTTGACAGTGCATTCTGTTCTACCAAATTCGATTATTTATAAAGAAATAAACAAAATATTTGTTTCATACTTGGCCATCTGAGAATCGAATACATTTCAAGCGATGCCTTGGAAATCTTCAGACGTTCAGACGGAATCACAAAGATTATTTTTGGAAAATGTTTGAAAATCACGCCTTGGTAAGAGCTCCAAGGCAAAGGGTTTAATCAGCATCAAAAACAATCCAAAACGATTTTTGCACCAAGGCACCTGCGATTTTCTGCTGATTGCAGGACGGACTCAAGGCATGAAAAATAACGACCTTGAGACGTTATATGCGAAACATAGACCATAGTCACGTGGTTTTGAGCTCGTATGTTAAAAACATCAATAAAGCTCAAATGATTAGGCCCAAATCACCAAGTATGATTTACAGTGTATATATAAAATATAATTATGACCCATATAATTTTATTTTTATAATCTGTTAACACCAGACGATAGTTCGAGAAAAAGGAGAGTGTGAACAATCTACGGACAGCCAGGAATTCTATAAGCATCAGGGTTATTAATATAAATATCTTCTGAGGATATAACGTGAGTAAAATTTGTTCAAGGAGGGATTCTTTCAACCATCTGCGTCAAGAAAACTAACAGGGAGTAACTACCGCGCGATAAATTAGTTATAGATCAACGAGTAATGAATACAAGCTCCGAAACACTGGGCGTCCGCTTCACGTATCAAAGAACCCCCAAAACAATGGGATTGATCTGCACAAAGTAGCAAACATAAAAGCTTTTTTGTAATATTGGCTACGTAAGCAAATTCACAGGAAGCCTTTTGTCTTAACTCAATTAGATATTTCTAAATAAAGATGATGCATTTCAAAACAGGTTCGTATAGTCAGAAAGAACAATCTGAACATTTCGTGTTCTAAATATGGGCATAATCGATTTGCTTTTGAGAATTCCTGGCTGTTATTGTATGACACCATGAAAAAACTGGAATATTTTTATACCACTTCAGTTCAGTTCTAAAATAACAGCGCAAAGCATGCTGGGAATGTTAATCTAATATTAAACAATTGTCTTTATTTTTATAATTAAAATTTTTTACTACTATTATTATAAAACTAATTTGCCAAAGACACTCTCCAGTCAAAATCTAAATATTTAAATATATATGAGGGATAGTCCTTTAATTGGTTATTTAGTCTTCTGCAATTAAAATAGAGCAGTATTAATTAGCTGAATGGATAGATTTTATAATAAATGTAGAAATTTCCTTACTCACAAATTACTGAGGACCATCCGCACTGCATCTGACGTCACACAGCATGCTCGCCTCAGTAAGGAATAATGCGTATCACTTGCTCTACTAGCTTGCCGCAGGCCGGGCAATCTTTGGCATCATTCCGCATCTTAGAGGCACACTCCATACAGAACAGGTTGTGTCCGCAAGGTACCAAGGCAGCAACAACATCTCCACTCTTGCAAACGTAGCAAAGCTTTCTTTTGAAACCATCCTCAATCATATTGTTTCGTCTCCAATTTGCCCCCGGGCTGGATGCTTGTGAGCCTGTGCTCCCATCACTCAGTGAGCCATTTGCTGAAACATCGATGGTGGGTGAAGACAAACCATTCAATGTTCCACTTGTGTATACGACATCATTGTTGCGACGATTAATCAAGTCGGTCGGACTGAATGAGGAAAAAATGCCACGACCGGGTGGGCCAGAAATCCCGTCCTGCTTTATTGGCTCAGACATCATGCGTCTCATGGGTGGCTGGCGAAGGGTGATAGGCTCCATATCATTGCCATTTTCCATGCTTGCGCTGTTCAATCTTGCTATCTGCAATGTATGGCCGCCAACAGCGCGATTCAAAGCACGCGAACCAGCCAAATCTGGCCATATGCTTGGAGCTGGCGATCCGGGAGCCGGGTCGAAAGCAGAATTGCGCGGCGAATCCAGATCCGCGGTCGGCGACGGCACAATATCGTCACCGAAAAAGCCGTTGTTTGTAAAAGGACTTTTAACGCCAAGGTCTGAAAACTTTGAAGAACCACTTGAGCTAGCGTAGTAGCCACTGAACGAATCTGATGAGCTGGATCTTTGATGATTGTGAGGTGTGTGATTGTGATCAAGGAAGGCTGAAAAACTCGCAGAATTTGTTGGAGAGAAAAGCGGCGAAGCGAAACCGTTGTACAAATGCCCATCACCGTTCTCCGGAGGGGTGTTCTCTAAAATTCCGCCGGTGCGGAGAGCAATATGTTGCTCGATCTCGCCTTTTGCTTTATCGACGTTTTCAGGAAGGCCAGTAACTTCAAAAACAGGTTCTTTATCTCTTGAAGGGGTGACAATGTATGTGTTCGTGCTCTGCTGAATTCGTTTGATAGTGGCACCTTTCGGGCCAACAACGAGGCCCACAACTCTGTAAGGTACTCTTACCGACTTTGTTATTTGTCCAGGGATGGTAGGGGAGTTCGGGCCAATAGTGCCATTGCTAAGGCTGCTGCTGTTTCTTCTACTGGCCCTGATTTGGCTAAAATGCTCTGCGGCTTGCATGATTTCCCTCTGAGCCATAGCAACGTCTTCTTTTCGACCTGTAACGACGAACACTGGATCTTCCCCGCGCACCGGTGTTTTGATGTATGTATTAGTCTTTGCTCGCAGGGCTTTTATCTTACAACCTGTTTAAAAAGAGCAAAACAAAGGCTGGATGAGTATGAGAATGTTGGGAATCGGGCCGCGTGTTTGCTTAATCAATCCAACATACACACAAAGCATATGGGCACTCTCTTAAGAAAAAATTAAAATCAAATAATCAGAGTCACGTTAAAAAATAACTTCACTCACCTTGTCTGCCGACTATTTCCGCGACGTGCTCCGAAGTAGGAACTTGTACGCATTCTGTCATGTTCATGCTCTTCTTGGCACGAGTTTCTGCAAAGTTTGGCTCTTCGTCCAGGCCTAGCATTGATAATTCTAACTCTAAAGCGAGTTGCATTGCTCTATGATCATCTAACGAAGGGCCAGCGTTCCCTCTTTCCATGTCTGTTAATAGTGAACTAGGCATCGTTGCTTCACTTGCTTGATCAAACTTTCAAACAGGCCTAGATTTTCTTGCGTTACTAAGGGCTATCCGCTGCATCCAGACTCGGAGCGACGCTCGAGTGTTTTGGGCAAGATACCTTCAATTCGCTCACATACACACTATAAAGCCCAGACGTCATACATTTGACCTGTTCTCATTAAAACCGAGCGTGGCACGTGAGCTTCAAATTTACTGCTGATTGGCTAATTTTCAAAGCCCCATTCAAGGTGTGCGATATTCATGATTCATTGGTTTAACACTTTAACAATGAAATTGTGGGAATGCGTTCTGTTGAATTCATTTGAAAACTCCAAACGCAGAACGAGTTTCTGTCCACTTGTTTTTGATAAAGAAACAAACAACATTAAGTAAGGAAAACTAAACATTATGTGAAAATTTTTGGCTGCTCGGATTCTCGTCAATAGCTGGTTTTAATGAGAGTTGAATTCCCGTAAACTACTAACAGATGGCTTAGAAGTAACTTGCCGTCCATCGTAATGTTTTGCCATGTACAAAGGAATCGCGGAATTTTTGTTCAATGTACCGTTACTTTCGCATTGTCAAATTTTCAATATAATTCAGTGGGTTTTAGAAGCCTTTTGTTTCTGCAGTTATAAAAAGGAAACTTCATTATCTGAAAAAGTTTAGTCATTGTTGGAGGCACATACCATGTGTTGGCAGGGGGTTTTGGGTGATTATGTACGCCTGGCTATGTTTTGAAGCTGAAAACAACGGAAATGAACAAGCAAATGGTCAACGACCAGGCCGCACCAAAATACCCGTCGAGCAAGTGTTAGCGGCGCTTTGGCGAAACCTGTACTCATTTTACGCATTGTTCTGCCGCGCGTGAAAAAAGTTTGTTGCAAATGCCTATCTCCGTTAAAGACCCTGGGCATCTCAAGAACGAAAGTTGCAGGCTATGATTGATATTCATATACAAACAAAAACAAGCCAAAGTATTCCCACAAAATTCATAAACAGTTTCAGTCTTTCATTTCAATGCAAACAGCTTTTGAATCAAATTGTACACTTTCATACCCGAAATACTTTCTTTAAGATCTAACTTTGAGCAAAAAGCCTCAGTTCAAAATATTATCAAGATTTTAAAAGATTCTTTCATTTTCCGGCATCATAACAGCAACGGAAAAATATAAATTCGAGAATAAATTAATACTCGATGATTCAAGTGAGACAAGTTTTGTCCAACGACAACATAACGTATTATTTTAAATGACATGTTTTGTTCATTTGAAGATTCTTCCCTTCGAGGCCTGGAGTCCTTATCTTTGTTTTCTTTGACATATCATGATCAACTTTTTGACACAGGACGCGAGCACTCAAACTCATTCATCGGTTAACATATTAATTATTTATCTGTTTTCTCAATTGATGATTTTACTTTGTCTAGAAAGAAATATTTTACTGTTGCCATCCTTTATCATTAATTATAAACATACACCTTTGTTTTATTTACATCCTTCCCTTCTTTCCTTATTTTTGAAAGAAAATCTCCGTTCTTCATTTTATCACAGCTTCCTATTCCTCAATAAGAGAAATTTAAACACAGTGAAAAAATTTGCCAAGCCGCAGAAGTCCAAACTTTCTTGAAAATTCCCTGCATTAAGGCAGGGCTTGATTTCGAAGCAGTCTGGTGATTATTCGGCGTATCATTTAAGCTTCAAATTAGTTTGATCGAAATGATTGCAAACAAGACAGAGTGACAAACATGGCTTCGTGAAGAAAGCTCAGTCTATGGTGTTCCTATTGAGATGAAGGCATACTAGTGTGATGCAAATACAACCTACTTTATCAATGAATGAAAATTTGAAAGCAAATGTCATTTGCAAATGATCTTGCTCATCTTGCAGGATTCCTGTAGATTAAAGAGATGGCTTTTGTTGAGAATATTTGCAAGTACCCGTTGCACACCTGGATGTATTAATTATTCATGTACGTTTGTGGTTGAAATTTGGCGGGAATTTTTCAGTAAACAATAACAAGCCATTCGTTTTACAGTAGTCTGTGCTTACGCTGAAGGTAACTTGTCGTATTCATTGACAACTAACAATATATTAACAAAACAAAAGTCACTGTCCTTGAATTGAAATTGAACAATTCAGCCTGGCTAAGGGGTGTTTACTTTCAAAGTTGGGAATTAATGTGAGCACAGAGCCTTGTTCTGGAAAAAGGGGCATTGCGCTGGGCCGTCGGTGTGGTCATTCGAAAAGAGGCGTGGCTCGTGGCAAAAAGGAATTCTGTTTCTAATAATCTTCGCCCATGATTGCTCTTTGCAAAATCAAGAAAGGTCTTTGTCCTTCCAATGGGCACAATTAAGAATAGTCTTCATCCTTCGATTACAATGTTTCCAATGGCCAATTAGCTCAAACTATCCAAACCTTCCTCAAGACAAAAATGGAAAGAAAGTGGGGTCTGGGTGTGATAGCTTCAGATTCCTTTGCTTCCCCTGTGGACACATCACATTGCTTGGCCGTTTGACTGCCAGTTTTTTCATTACTCTGGCTGCTCGATACTCTTAGTTATTGAATCTCAGGCTTACGCTTTTTGTGTATAGATATTAGGGTTCTAATTTGCTGCTTCGAGTTTAATGCTTAATACGATCATCAGCTAACTGTCGCAAATCTCAGGCTTAAATTCTCATAAACGCAGACTCGTACAATCTAAGCATTTTATCAAAATTATGCCTGCTCACTTTGAGAACATATTGGATGAAAATTGACGAGGAACACGTTGGATAGAAGACGTCAGAATCCTTGAAAATCAGCAAAAAACACTTTAAAGATACAAGGATAATTCTAAATGCAATGATCAGATAGCAACTACTAAATATGCCTAAATGTGGTGGCATTTTATGGCAGGCTTAAGGCTTCTACAATTAATGCATTTAAAGTTTTAAAACATCTGAGTATAAATTACGTTATAAAGTAGTAGTAGTAGTAGTAAAGTAGTAACGTTAGTAAAAATAAAGTAGTAACGTTAGTATAAATTTAAAAAATTTGCTTTAATCGATTAGCTTTAGTCAAAATTGATAGTGATGATCCTCATGTATCGTGACCGGGCCTTCTCTTGTTCATTTAGAAACCTAGTGACGTTGAGCAATATATTTCAAAGCTCATCTTAATAGGGCATGTGAAATGAATTAGTTAAATTTTGATACAAGAAAAAGATTTAGAAAAACTTTGTTCCACTGAAAAAGCTAGGTATGGACGCAAAGTTATCAAGATATTTTAAGTAAAAGAAGTGAGTCAAGGGGCATAACACCCAATGAAGATCTTGTGCACCTTTGGTGACAATACATAAGAATCTCGTACGCCTTTGATTTTGAAACCAAGACGGAATTACAATGATGCGATGGTGGCTGTGCACATGTTGTCATAACTCAGCCAGTTTGTAACATATTTAATTGATTTTGCCCAGGTAGACGTATCTCAATAATATAGCCATTTTTGTTTTATCTTAAGGTTAGGTGGTTTAATTTGAAAGCGTTTTAAAGTATTTTCTTTAGACATCATAACTTCGGGGGAATTTTGAGAGCACAATGACAAAAATCTGTTCTGCCTTTTTCCAATGTCGAAAAATGAACTTTGAGGGAGTTCAACGCTTTTATATATGTCGATATATTAGCGCCTTCGCGGTAGTTGAGAACTACAAGATGAGAACTAAAACTTTATTTATACGTAAACCTGTATTGAGATTATCATTTTAGCTTTCTTTATTAAGTGAGGCGATTGTGACAGAAAGTGACTCTATAGATTAACCACGAACGTCCAGCGACTCCGCGACTTGTTCCGACGACAGGCGGTTTAATTATGATAGCTTGCGTTAGGAATCACGGCGCAGTTACGGCCATTTATTACACTAGGAAGCAACCACACATTGATTAAGCATTTCCACAAAACTCGCTGAATAATAGAGAATTCTTTGAAGTTGTAATATGTATTACATAAATGTGACGCGAATGGCACGTTAATTATGCCGCTGTTCATTACGCATGTCATGACTAATTTCCGCATAATTTATTCTTCTATGACCTGAAAACATTGTTTTCGTATGAATTGTTTCTACACATTAGTACTAATGACATTCAAGTGAAATTAATTTCGAATACATTTTTAATTTGGCAATAAATCTCTCCTATTGTCCGCCGATTTTTGGACATGACACGAGGGTGATTTGTTAAAAAATGTCATATTGGAGTTGCATATAGGAAAGTCTGCAGTCCAAGGTATGGTTAAATGAGATTTTCATGTCAAACACATATGATATAGTTTTACCCCTAAAAGTTTGGCTTTCCTTGCTTGACTCGGGGATAAATCGCTTTCAAATAAATGATGTTGTGTGCTCTTCTTGCCCGTGTAAGGTCTGCAAGCTTGATTGAATCCATCGTAGTGGTTTTTACAAAGTGGAAGCATGGTAGTTATAACATTTATCAATTGCCTGTCGATGATAACTAGCATCAAGGCATTGGTGAACGAACCTGAGGCCGGGAAGGCTTCAGCCCCCTGAGATTTGAGCAGCCTTATTTGGGCAAGGCAAAACAATGGAGCAAAAGCTTTCTGTGTAGAGAAAGGAATAAAATGTGTTCTCTAGAAAGGCATAAAATGCCCAGATGAGTGAATAAAGACCCACTAAATCCTTAAAAATTCCTGAAAAAAGCTGCTCGTTTTTTTTCCCAATGATGATCAAACCTTTTACCCAAATCCTAAGCTAAGCCATTTCTATATTACTAACCAAAATTTTTACTCAAGGAAGATACATATAAACGTCGTAATGAAGATACTTTTTTCTGATGCAAGATCATGTATTGCAATAGCGGAGAACTAGCTAAAAATGAAAGAATTTCCTGAAACTTTTTGTGATAGGAGGTGTGGAAAAATTATTTTCGAAATATTTTTAATAATTTTTCACAAAAATCAGAGTCTGGAACAACTTCACTCAAAAAAATGCGAAAAAACATTCCGGGGGAAAAAATTCTCAGCCCCCCTCTTCCTCCATGCCTCAACCTACACATCAAGGTTTGAAAACTTGAAGTTCGTTCAAACTGAGTTATTTGTGCAAAGAATTTTTACACCATTTAATTGCATCATTCATTTTTCATTCAAGTTCCTGCCTAGCTTTGGTCATATCGGATGAATGAAAATTTTTTTGGCTAACTCTAAAAATCATGGAAATAAAGATTGCTGGCATGGTGAACTAGAAATATTGAATTTTACGGTCCCATAAAAGCTTGCTATTGAAAAAATAAAGAAAATTGTTATAAGGCGATAGCATTTTACACTGTTGAGGTGCTGGTTGCTTCGAATACAAAACAGACAATGCAATTTTTCATTACGGCTTCTATACTCATTACAGCTATTATCACAGGCACAATTTCAATGAGCTGAGTCTTTCAAGAAACTTTCGCTGATGGTGCGTTTCAAAACTTGAACTTCAAATGTTGTGCAAACACGAAATATTTCATTATGCAACTACAACAGCTTTGACATAGACAAATTGCCCTTGACAGATTGTTGTTTTTCCTTGGATCGGATGGGAGTCCTACGCTCATGCTGCAGGTTTAGCATTTGATATATGCTGATCTTTGAAACCGCCTCCTTCAATTATCGTTCTTTATTTACTTTCAGCTGCCTCAACATCGATTCGACAACATGTTTTTGAATTAATCCAAATGAATGGCATCTTGTAGCGATAAAAGGAGCCTAAAATGCGACTTGCTTCTAAATGATTTTAAAATATATATTGAAAACTTGTAAATTTTGTTCATGCATTTCTGTCTTAACATCTTTTTTTGGGACAAGCATACTTTATGGCAAACATAAATTCACTTAAACTACTTGATTCTTTATGAATTAGTTTTTTGAAAAATTGCTTTATTGTGCCATTATACTTCAAGAGCAGGAACATTAATAAGCGATAAGCCTGTCTTAAAATCTGATCTCTTACTTCTGAAGTTAAAACCTTTTTAAGGAAAGAGAAGTGGGAGATTTCAATTGCTCAGCCACGCTTAAAGCTAATAACTAATAAACAGCCATAAGAAAGGACTTTGAAGTTCCAGCATCATTGTCACATTATACATGCATTTTCACTGGCACACTTCTTTGAAGCGGTCTAACAAACTTTCATTGCTGTCATGGAAGCCCCTTCTAAGTACACAACACCTTGCAAAAATAACGGCTTTGGGCAACAGCGGACTCTCACAGTGACATGCGTAGAAAGCCTTCAGAGATTCCTTGGGAGAGCGAGGGTTTTGCAGTCTGTTTTAAGACAGCAACATCGGTTTTATGTTTTGCAAAGCTATCGCTTGCATGTCAAACTGTTTAATCGATGGTCTACTTTCTTTTCTAACAACGGGTAGCACTTTCATTGTCGATCTAAAGCTGAATGAAGGACGCTCGCACCACCAGCTAGAACAACTCTGTTTCGCCATACGCATGTTGTCAGTGAATGGCTGTACCAGGAGGTGTATTTAGATTCGTCTCTTAAAATATAGGGGGATATAAAACAAGTCACCAGCTGAAATTACAAGTCGAGCTGCTATGCGATCAATGCGGGGAAACGCCCCTTTAGCTTTGTTACAACATTGGTGAACGTCGATTGATTTTATATGAGCCGGATACTAGCCTGTCGAAACAAACTGCAACAACAACGCCAAATTTGAGCAACGATCACATTACATAGTCCCCACACCTGTATATACCGTAATGTGTTCTCGTTCATTTTGGAAACGAGTAGACACGCATCTGACACGAATCATCAGACATTATGATGTCATCAGACACGAATTTGTTTCTGATGAGATCTGAGGCAGTTAGATCAACTAACAAGAAGAAAGAATCTCAACTCAAGGCAAAGCCGATCACATGGAGCAGGACGTCATCATGCATGGGAGATATGGTCCAATTTTGCAATGCAGGGCACTGCACTGATGTTCTTATGAAATTCGTTACCAGCGTTAGCCAGCCTTAGCCAGCGTAACTTATAAGTGTGTTAAGATTTCCTTTTTTTGCCGGTTGACCAGATATAGCAAGGAGCAGTGGAGAGTGAACATTGACTCTTTTCCCAAAAAGTGTTAACGCTACAGAATCAAAACCTTTAATTCATATCTGTCCTGTAAAGCGTGCACAGCTCTGCTTCGATCACGGCACCAATCACTATACGACAGATAGGTAATACAGTCAGTTCCATTTAGTATCGCCAGCTATATGACTTTGGCTGAACAGTTTCCTTCCAAATGAATGTGGCTGCTGATTGCACTAGAGCAGGTTTTTGATAAATGCATGATGTCTAGGTCTAGATTGTGTCTTATGAAAATGTTTTCCGCTTTCATTTGCATCCATAATGCATTGAGATCAACAACAATCAACTTTTTGACACATTCTGTTAAGGCTGTCATGCAATTTTCGTCAGTTTATTCTACTGCAGGTTTTCCCATTTATGAGCAAAGCAGCTCGCTTGGAAAACTTCTGAGGTAAAAGTTTTGAGGTAAAAGGTACTGGTTTGATATGAAACAACATTTTTTCAAGAATTATGACAAAAACTTTTATAATGATAATTCAATAGCATTTTTCACTGTTTTTTCAAAATGTATGAGCTTGGACTGCCGTCCATTTAAGAAGGTATATCGATACAAAGTCACATTGGAAACATGTGCAAATTTTCAAAATATCGTGAATTCCAACCAAGGAAACAAAGAGGTTTAATCGGAGTCGCTCGTTTATAGATATATGCCCGGCCCAGAGTTACTCGTTAGCAACCGTGGATTGCCACATTCGTTACATTCCATCTTCTATGTCACCCCTTCGAAATTCTCGCAAATTTCTTAGTTCTTTAACATAACAGTTCCTGAAAATTTGATGTGAACCTGAAACTGTTAAAAAGAAAAGGCACCAAGAAACGAGTAAAAAGGAGAATTTCCCGCCTATTTCCTCGAATTAAGAAATAAATCATCTCAAAACGGCATTCTTCGTGCAAATTTTTCGGGTTTCTTCACGCAGAATCCCTTAGTGTTATACGCGAACTTTTTCTGACATGGCCAGGCAACTTAAAAGCGCAAGAAGCAAGGCCGTAAGCTGCTTCAAAAAAACAATCATATGGCTGATCTCTCACGATCATTAGACCGTGAATTACGCTCGCGCTTTAAGTGGGCAACAGATGTTTCAAGTAAGAAAGTTTAATTTCAATATTTCGAAAAGAACTCTGCAAAAAGCTTTTAGGCGAGGCAAAACACGTGAGAAATCTTTTCGATGTTTCATTTCACTCAAAAGATAGGCTGATTGATTTGACCCGCAAAATTCTCACATAGGGAAACGTTTAAGTGCACGGTGCTCACCAAAGCACGAAGTACACATTTTAACAGAGGCAATGAACAATAATGTGGCCTGATGATAAAAAATGAAACATAAAAAGCAATTTTTTCATTGCTTGCTATGTGATTACCGTCTAATAACAGCAAATTGTTATGCAGTAGCTGGGGTAATGATAAGACCCAACTTCTTTTCTTTGACTCTGCCTACTGGCAACCCTGGACTCTTTTTTGCTGTTTCTCCATTGCGTTTTATACACCAGTCTTGGTGCATTCGTATCGACTTTTCAATTGGGATAGACTGTTCAATATGATGCCTGTTTGTGGTTGCTACAAGAAAATTTCTGTTTCCTCTGGAAAAATAGGATAAGTTTTTCCGCGAGGACACAAAAAGTCCCTGCAGGGGGGATTGTCGATTTTTTTAAATGTATCAATTCAAAATGCGTTGAAAATACATGATTGCGTTACTACCCCGTACTCTTAAATCTGGCACACCTCTTTATCTCCACAAGCATTACTCTTTTACCTCGTCTTCTCACTAATCAATGGCCACCCCCAGCTGCCAAACAGAAAAATCAGGAAAAAAAATCTTATGTACACAATATGCCATTAGTTTATAGTTGAGCAAAAACAGAAATGAAGATAGCATGCGCATATGGCGAGAAAGAAGGCCACAGAAATAGGCTAAGAATTCTGCAAGCGATTGCTGACTTTACATGGCGAAAGAAGTGAGCAACAAAACATGACGAAAGAACATGTGCCATTTTGTGCCGTCAAATAATAACCCTACAACAGCCTCTTTTTAATGACGGGAAAGAATCTTTGAGTGTTTCCCACTAATGTTTGATTCTCCCGTATTTCATCGGTCTGGTCAGGCATTACATTGTAACTGTACAGAACGGCATCATCTTACGCCAGTACAGGAGATTTGCTTAACGAGGCTGACATCAAACCACGAAGATGGAAATGGATGACGCATGAGCTAAATTTGGATCAAGAAAGTAATTATAGCGTTTGTATGATACGCAATCTGGGGGAAGGAGCAAAAGAGGGAAAGAAGGAAAAGAGGGAAAGAAGGACAGAGGGAACGTCCTGGGAAAAGGTGTGAGGAGTCGCAGCAGATAGCGGATGCTTGGAAGGCGCTGTGCCAGCCTTGTATGTCACTAGGCGAAAGAGGTATTTAGCAAATGGTAACGAAGACGCAAAAAATCATTAAAGAAAACCAGCTGGTCTTAGAGATCTCAAAATCATAATGGGATTTTTACGATCTGGCTACAATGCTGGGAAACTGGAAAACTCTCCGTTGGAAATTTGCAATTTTAAGGAAAACCGAACCGCAGTTTGCAGCTGGGTTTTAGAAGAATGAATGGGTTTTACAAAAAAACACTCTTTTTAACGACGATCTTCAATCTTCGAATTTTAAAACATGTGTCTGCAGTGTATTACGACAATGCAAATACAAGCATATAATTTACGATGGCAATTGAATCTAGCTTAATCGCTGCGAGGCATATATACATTATATTTCAATCGAACCAAACTTCAAAATTAAGATAGGTAATTTTGCCGATACGATAGTTTATATTCAAACGTCCTAATTGTCAAAAAAGTTTTAGTCAAAGGAGCGTCTTCTAGATCGATTTCTGCTCTGTCCAGATTTCGCCGAACGGCGGTTTTTCATCAGCCACCACAAAGGCATAAACCAACCACCATTGACAAAGTTGCTTTATCACAAAGACCCAAACAGTCAATCTAAATTAAATCAAAATCTAACGTATATTGGCGCAGGTGCTCAAACAAAGGTGACTTGATTGACAGTTTTTCGTTTGCTTCGCTCGTGTGAGTCTTTTCGAGTTCAAAATCCTAAAAAACAAACAGGCAGGGAAATGAATGAGTTTTTAATATCCAAGTTAATTTTTCATAGCCCTACTTTCGCGACATTAATCAGTCGCTTAATGGTTGCGTCTTTGTTTAAATCCAAACATTTTAATGGTTAGAGAAACAACTTCATTTCAACTTGCGCGCTTCTTTCGACACGTGTCGAGTACTTGAGGGAAAAATCACATACCTAATTTCAAAATAGTACGAAAACGCGGACTAATGATATGCTAGGCCATTCGTTGTTTTAATTTAATATAGATTTACAGGAGACTTGACACGATATTCCATAGTCATTGACTCACAAACACAAAGAATAATATAAAACTGAGCTACATCTTTAACGACTGCTACAAATAACTTGTTATTCCCAAGCTTTTGGGGCAAGCAGTATATTTTGTCTATTGCATAATTGGAAAAACAGGTCGTTTTGAATATTCCATTATATTCGTTTTAAATATTCCTACATAGATAGATATATAATTCAAGCATTAAGTATTTAAATTTTTATAGACAACGCTAAGAAGTTCGACTTGTGTGCTGACATTTTCGATATGGAAGTTTATAGGAACTTCAATAACTTTCATTCAATATTGCTTAAATTCGATTTAAAACTTCGATTTACGGGTAGAGATGGTAACGTACCGTAAGGAATAACATAAACTATCAATAGAAAAATACGATCTAGAAAATGATGCGACAATATTGCGCCAGAAAGGACTGGGCACAGAATAAGATGTGACGCAGCAATTCAAAGGAACATAATTTCAATACATAATTTCATAATTTCATAATTGTATTCATAATTTCATAATTATATATATAATTTCAATAATGAAATTTAAAAATACAGTCAACGAATTTCTGCGGTATGAAACAGGACCTTCTAACTAGAGAGCGAGTGCGTTTCGATATGTTAAAAGAAAATGTTGACTGCTTGAAAGTATCGGCACAAACCAACACGAAACAAAGTGTGCTGCTTCGTATAAAAAGATGTAGAAGTAAATGGTTTACTTGCATTGTAAATTAAAAGCTTAAAAAAGCAAAGCAAAACAATGATTATACAATCATACACAGCTTATTCAATATAAAATTGAACTTAGAGAAAAAGGAAACAAGAAGTGGTGCTTGAGGGAGCCGAAAGTAAACAAAGGTGGATTGTGGATAGGATTTGTCAATAGGATTGTGAAAACGGTATTGGAAACAATGTCAAAGAAATGGTTCAAAGATTCCCGACCCACTGAAACACAAGCGTCGCTTTGAAGAAATATCATCAGTGGCTCCGTGGATGAAGACTAACTTTTGAAAGAATAGCTATGTTAAATTCAAATTGGTAAATGGAAGGCAATGTAAACATAACTTCTCCTTACTATAGAAAGGCTGCAGCTTCAACCAAAAAGCAATAAGCTTGGAGGCTCGTGAGAAGTATATTGGCAAAAGTATTTGTGACATAGAGATATCGTCAGATCGAGGCATGGTAATTTTAAAGGATAAATATCTAAGTTATTGAAAACCTATCTCAGAGAGAAAACACTATCTTTGTGTTGAGTTTATCAACAGAATAATTCACTGGATTTAAGGTTGGATTTGTCGATAAGGAGAGCGATACCACTGAAAATAGGCACAGGAGAACAAACAGTAATCAGCGACCGTGAATTCAAGGCTGTTACTCATCGCTGAGAACAAGATAGAGTGGAAATGATAAGGCGCCACAATGTGGATTGATATAAAAGGGACGGATGCAGAGAAATGGGACAAGAAAAACTAGCAATTAAAGCCCGAGTTACACGACGTTCGGATTGGATTGCTTTTCACGTCGGATAGGAGTCAGACGATGCTGAGGCAATCCAAAGTACTTCGGTGGGCGTAACTGGAGTGAAATTCAGTCCGCTCTGGAGGTGAAGTGAAAATCAATCCGAAGTACTTCGCTTCGCATTCCTTCTCGTGTAATCACTTGGGGTGGGCAATCTGAATCGAAAACCAATCCGACGTCGTGTAGCTCGGGCCTAAATGAAACTCCAGGCAATCAAAATATGCTCGCGCAATAAGCTTTGAAAGGATCTACTTTAGGTTCGATAACCTGCTCCTCCTCCAAGGATTTCGCGTTGAAATAACAATGTCAAAATATCGTGTTCCTGTACCTAAGAGAACCAAACAGCGATAAGCTAAATTCCTTCAAAACTTTAAGTAGGTAAACATTAAATACAATGCAAATAATAGTATTCTTTGCTTCTTTTGCTAAAAGACGTCACATTAATACGGCGACTTTCACATATTTATGTTATAACATCTTTAGGACATTCGACCTACAAGTTGCCCTCGAGTTCAACAGCGCATTTGCCTTATTCGTTTATATGATTAGCGTAAACTTGTGAAAAGAAGCTTTTCGTACTTTTAATTGATTAGATTATAATTGCTGTTATTATTAACAGTAGATGTCCAAGTGAATAAAAAAATATTCACGAGGAAGCTTGCTTCTAGTGATTTGTCAAATGACCGCCTGAAACAATGAAATAATAAAAGCAAGGGACTGACCTCAATTCTCAAGTGACTACTCTTCTCTTGGTGTGCGCTGATTGGTAGCAACATAAATCTCACTGGGTTTGGTGAGAATGGCACAACATTGTATTGCTCTTGTGACATACTTGAGGTTCTGCTAGATAAGGTTGGTAGTGTGTGCTTATCAATGTTGGATATAGTGCCAAGAAGAAGCTGAAAGTGAGAAGAGAGACCCTGGTAAATCACTTTAAGAATAAATAGTTACGGGAATTTTGGTCCAAATTTACATTAGTAATAAGCATTCCTGTTTACCATTTCGACAATGTTATCGTGTTAACAGGAACGTAAATTGACCGAAATTTTTGGGAAGGTAAAGGGTATAAGATTTTGACGTTAGAACTGCCTAACATTCTCTGTGATAGTGAGAAATCATGTAGTATTGAGAATTAATTGTCTGACGCAAATGAGAGTTAGAGCACCGACTTAGATTTTCCGATTACTCTCACAATGGTAAAGGGTATAAGATTTTGACGTTAGAACTGCCTAACATTCTCTGTGATAGTGAGAAATCATGTAGTATTGAGAATTAATTGTCTGACGCAAATGAGAGTTAGAGCACCGACTTAGATTTTCCGATTACTCTCACATTTTAAGACTAATTGAAAGAATTTCCAAGATTGGGGGTGTGACACCCCCACAGCCGCAAGCATTTACGTGTCTGGTGTTAATTCAGTCAAACTGTGGTGAGATATTAAATTTATTTAATCGAGGCGTTTATACTTTGGAGCCAATGTTAACCCATAAATACGTAACCGCATAGTTCTGAATACGTAAACATTTCTTTACAAGGAGGGCTTCCTTTTCAAGGTAGAAATGTTAATCACGAGAGAACGCTCTAATCCAGAAATTTTTTGCCCGATGACGTTATACTGGACCGCATGCTTGTTGGAGCATGCTCCGAAACATGATGCCGCTGAGCATTTTGTCCGCTGTGTTGTGGTTTGAGAGTCTAGCGACTTGTTCACTTCAGCTACGGTAGACCCGAGTGCATGGAGTTTATCAGCAATTTCCTTCATACGTTTCAAATTATCTTGAACCGATTGCCCTTCAAGTAAAATTTTTCCTCCAAACATTTTCCCGCCTAACCGATTCGAAGCTTAATTTTTGAATTCGCAATGAAAAGTTTGATTCTGCGCATGAATAGACGAGGCCTAAGTAATTTTTGGGGTTAAGAAGGCACGTATATGTAAAAATATATCTACTAGTAGAAAATTTGTTGAATTCAAGGGGAAGAGGTTAACAAGGGGGTAAAATTCAGGGGGAGGGGAACTGGCAAACAACTATTTAATGACTATTTTCAAGGGTGATTTATAGCTTTAATTTTTGTTGAAATGGCAGCAAGTGTATTGGCGTAACACTTTTTACAAAAGGTTTCTGGTTGACAAACAGACTTGCTTGCGTACTTCCACGCATACACACAACTGCATGAACTGATGGAGCGAGGCAGATGCCTCGTACTGATGACCAGACAGCTTCCTTTTGCTGCTCTGTTATGCCTTATCAGCCTTATCGGGCAAATTCCGAATCACCACGGGCGGTGGAAAGCTAAAAATTTGGGACAAAATTCTCAAGAGTTTGAAGGGAGGACCTTTCCCTGAAGTGAAATTGGCCATAAAATGCATAACATTGGCCATTTTAATAAAGGCTGATCACTTCGACTCATATCCGCGCTCAAGTCAACCAACAACAGGCAGGCCTACCAATGTATGTATATCAAACTCGGGTTTTAAAGCCAGCAGCGGCATTTGGATCAGTCAGCCGCAGTCCTTCTTGTCGAACGGTCGTCTCATTTATTCGCGTCGCCTGTCTGTGTCCGTGTGCTATCTCACGTGGCTATCTCTACCAAGCTATTCAAAAGTCGCTAAAAGGCATCAAGATAAGCTTTGACGTAATACTTATAGAATTCGAACTTCGAGATCTTGGTATGCACAAACAATAAGCTAATGCTAATTAATTAAATTTACGAGACTCCAATGTTGAAATCTTCTTTAGGAAGGAAACACTGAAAGAGCTCACAAGGCACGCCGTTTTATCAGGTACAATAACCGGAGTAATAAACAACTGGCAGTCAATGCAGCAACTGTAACGGTATCTTTGCCAATTGAATTAACTGTTTCCGGGATAAAGCCTTTTACACCTAGATCATGCAATCAATAAAGAAGTCTAAAGTTCTTCGCAAATGAGTAGCGAGACGTGCCAATAAGCGTGGAGAGACTAACCATTGAAATTAGGTTCATTGTTCGAGTTTTGTCCACTCTTTAAAACCAGAAATAACAAGACAAGTGATGGATTACAATCTTAGCCCGTGTTGAATTCAGCCCGCGCTGAACTTTATTCATTCAAAGTGCCTGTAACAAATTTAAGAATTTATGTTGACAGAGTCTATAGCCAATCCAACATCCACTAATTATAGTGTTTAAAAAGGTAAGTCATAAAAATAAGTAAGAGGCCAACTATCACTTAAGAACAAAAAGGTTTGAATTGCTTATTGTTTCTAGAAAAATAATTTTGAAAAAGCCAATGGTCTTGGCCCCACCCCGTTTTATGACATACACATCTACCGTGCCTTACGTATACCGAGACCCATTCAGTTTGGTCAAGTATATTTTAATTTACAAATGACTAGCTCGGATAATAAGCAATTTCGTTTACCAAAACGATCTTTAAACCACATGACAGAGCATCGTGTATTTAGCGGAAAGGTATGATCCAAAGCATAAAAATTCCCACAAGCATCTCATCGCAATGACTATTTAGGTTGAAAAAGATTCAGAAGCTGCAAATTACTCAACAATTTATCGACCAAAACATTATCGACAAAAACAGTAGTTCTTAGAAAACATTGAAAAAGGAACTTTTTGAAATTTATACGGACCGCAAAACCCAAGCTAAATAAAAAAATTGTCAACATATTTGTCAAGCGAAAAGGCCATCAAAATTTAGTTCAATGATTTTTTACTCTGGAGCTTAAAAATTAAAAGGACATTATAACATTATAAAATTAAAAGAAAAGAACGTTAGAGTCCAACATACTGGACGCCGCACCTGTGCAAAACTGGCTGAGAAATGGCCACCTAATGCAATCTTGTTTTGGATGTAAAATTTACGATGGAAAATGAACTAAGCCAAATAAGATATATTCTACTATACTTCAGATTTTTCATCGAAAATGAAAGTTGAAAACGAAAATGAAAGTTTTTCATTGAAAATGAATTTCTGGCAAATGTTCAAGGAGTGTTCTATACTTAGAGGCACGTTATGGTGTTTTACGTGGGCCATATTGCAACAGAAATATCCTCCTTTCCAGTATGAATCTCGTTATCATGTAACTTGACGCACTTTCTTTTACGATATGAATTTGAGCACGTAGATGGTTTAGGACTTTTCTTTTGATGATGAAGCAGACTTTTGTTAGGACTTTCTGACGAAGTTCGTTTCTCTTCGTCATACTTCTTCGGTAAAGACCCCGCTTCAAAAAATGGTGGAGGACCCGGCTCTCCATTGATGCATGATAACCATCAATTATGTCCACTATCAAAGATCTCGCTACGATATTAGGGGCAGAGGGTAATTCGGAGAAGGCATCCAACAACATAATTTTTGCATTTTTTAGAGTCTAACGTCAATAGATAAAACTGTTAGTTTGCTTAGAAAACAAAACATTTCAAAATAAAGGTTAGACCAATTGAGCAAGGGATTCTAGAGCTGTAAAGGAGAGATGTATTACCAAGAAAAAAAGGGTTTGCCAATAAAGAGGCGAGACTTACACATGATTTTTGAAGTTGCTTGTTGACAAAGTTGGTCATGTGTGGTGTGAATACGTCTAAATCAAATGGGTCAACAAAGCTTTCCATCGTATTTACAAGCATACTTCCTCTTTTTTTGAATCTTTTGCTAACCTGAAAGGCAGAAATGTTTCGCCTTAAAAAGTTTTCTTTCAAATGCAATTAATAGATGAAAGCACTCACTTATCAGTATAATTTATTCTCAGAATATCCCACGGCTTTAGCAACTCAGATAAGCTTATATGATTTAAAACCATAGGAAACGACCAGGAATTGACAGGGTATTGATATCTAGAAGGAAAATATGGTTTACATTCTACAAAATGACAAAAATGCAAAAACAAGAATTGCACAAAGACATTAGGTTTCTAGGGAACGTGATAAGGTTTCGAGCACTTTTGTCCTAGAGTTTTCGCAATAAACACAAACAAGGTACCTCATCTTTTGTATCTGTATTGCCAGCTATGAGAAGAATGAGGAACTTGACATCAAAAACCAATTGCAACGCTCGGTTCTGTGACAATGGGCGCTGATTTTTTGCGTAGTCTTCTAAAGAGAATAGTATGGCATCACCCACCGCGTACGTTAGTTCTCTGATCAGCGACCTAAGGGAAATTTAGGGATCATAATCACTCTGCGAGTTAATCTAGAGCTCATAGTCAGAATGATTTAGGTTAATTCATAGTCACTTAGGGCTCATAGTCACTACGCGTAAAGTCTCTGCAGATTTCATTCTCGCAAAATTTAGGCCCAAATATCCAAAACATTTCAAGTAGGCTCCGTTTAAATTCACACTACGCTTACAGTCACAAACTTTCAAGCAACATTTAGTGTGACTGTAACTAGAGTATACTATATGCGTATGTCATTACAGACAGCCTGAGTGAGAATTTGTGTTGAAAAACCTTCAGCACGAACTTTCAATGTTACTTGAATTTTCAATTCTTTATTAAGATAACATAATCAGCTTTTTGATAACTCAAAAGTGTCTGGTAGACTGTCAACAGAACATAATCCTTCACCGTGTTAGTTTTCAAGGCCTTGACTGGCAGGTTTTCCGGTTCAACTCTCGCCCTAAACCTATGGTTTACTTCATATGCAATTGGGAAAGTGTATTCAATTTACTAACTTTTCTAGCACATGGCCACCAATTCGATTGGTTTCTTCGCACAAGCGAAAAAGCAGGGAGATCAAGAACGACGAAACCTGTAAGAGAATGACGCCATTGAAGTGTTGAACAACTTAAACTTGAGTATAGTGAGGAATTGATAAGAATAATCAAGAGTTGATCAGGTTTTATGGCAGACTATCATCTAAGGAGCTGATAATGGAATTGTTTTTGCGAGTATAATGTTTTGTACCTGTTATCCGATTAAACGAATTGAAACGAATTGAGTAAGTTAATAAACAGCTGCAATGATGGCGGTTGCTTGTCTTTGCAGTTATAAAATGTTGAGTTGACCTTGTCAAGGAAACATATACATATTACCAAATTAACAACAGCTATTTGGAACAAATGGCAGATCTATGTAAACAGACGAAATCTACAAGAAAACACTGGTTGTACCAGAGGAGTAGATTAAAAGGGGGATTAAAAACTCTCGCTAAGAAATTGAAGTCGATTTGGAATATTATAGTAGGAATTGAGAGCTTTTTTATCTGCTTAGATTGACATTTTAGCCCCACTACACCTCCTCTCCCCCTCTCCCTGTCCTATAGAAAATTCAGTTTGCTTCATAGTTTTAAAGCCTTTGAAGTTTCGATTTGACAAGAACATTTTGATTTGACTAGGACGGTTCGTATTGACAAGGACGTTTCGATTTGACAAGGACGTTTCGATTTGACAAGGACGTTTCGATTTGACAAGACGTTTCGATTTGAAACGGGACGTTAAACAGAAAGTCGATCTTGTTCATATCCTGGTGGCCATTATCATACCCATCACACCAAGTCAATTAATCTAAGTACAAAAACAGATCTCAAATAAATAGCCCGACACTTGTGATGAGCCGAGTGCAACTTACCTGGGATGGAACTCTGATTTTTGATTGCACTTTACTCCCAGTGTCTGCCTCCTCCTCTATTGTGATATCTTCCCAGCACTGTGATAAAGACAGATAATTCCAACGCATTCAAAGTGGCAATAAAACAATACTTGAGCAGTTGAGAAGAGGTAATCTCTTGGCATTCTGACAAATTTCACACAGATCGTTTTAGTTCAAAAGTAATATTCTGCTTTGATAGTAACAATCGCCACTCCTTCATCAACAACCGACACTAAACGTTGAAGAGGTACTTTCATTAAAACTCTTGGCCAGACTTAAAGAAGGCAAATCTCAAAAACTGCATTGTATACACACACATAGGTTGAATAAGGTTCTTTGCAATAATGAACCTTGGCGATTAGCAAATGTAATAAAAGCTGATCGCAAAACTAGACATACCAAAAAACCTTACATACAGGAGTGTAGAGCTAAGGGGGCTAAGGGAGGCTGAATCCCCCTTGTTGATGCCGAAAATTAACAAATTTCTACTTTTGCTATTGTTTCCGCAACATTTTGTGCAAGAGTCCCCCTTGTAATTTTGATAGCGAAACACCACTGCCTACATAGTTATTAAGATTCGCACTAGACTGCAGATTGCACTAAGTTGTCTACAGAAAATCGGTCCAATGGTGAATCTTACGGAATTCGATACGCACAGATGAATTACAAAACAGGAAAAGTTGTACCTAGTAAAGATGCAACTAAGTTAGGTGCACTTCACATACCGTGGTACCGTAAACAGTAAGTTCTTCGGCAGAGAATAACGTCTTCTGGAAAATTGACGAACTCTTCTGAACGACCCATTCTTTCCAGATGCTGCAGAATGTAATTGATGGTATTCAATGGTGCAAAACTGACAATAATTTTACTGAAATTAAGATTGTTTGATTTGTGTTAAATGCACAGGACAAGTGAGGTTGACAGCCGTTTTCCTGTAACTATGGGGCATGAACTGTGGTGGTATGGACACTTGATAAAAACAGAAGATGAGGACAGACACATTGCAAAAGAAGTGATTAGAATAAGAGTGGGGGAGACAAGAAGAAGTGGAAGGTTGAAAAGAAGGTGAAAAGATGAGATAGGAAATGCAGTGGGCATAAAGAGGAGAGAGAGTGGAAGAGAAGACGAGGAGAGACACATTACAAGAGTAGTGACAATAACGGAAGTGGGGAAGACAAGAAGAAGTGGAAGGTTGAAAAGAAGACGAAGAAGAAAGCGTATCTAGAGAAGTGACGAGATTGGAGAGGAGAGAGTGGGAGAGAAGACGAGGAGAGCCAAATTGCAAGAGAAGCGATTAGAATAGGAGTGGGGGAGACAAGAAGAAGTGGAAGATTGAAAAGAAGATGAAGAGACGGGATTGGAAATGGAGAATGCAAGAAAAACGTTAACGAGAATACGAGCAAAGAGACACATCAAAACAAAGGATGTGAATGAAAGTGAGAGAGCTCAACAATCTATCCAAAAAGACACGAGAGAAAATTTGAGAAAATGTGTCAGGAAAAGTGATGTTCAGATGGGCCTAATATAAACAAGGACCCCTATTAGAAAATAAGCTGAGAAAGAACTGGCATCAAATATAAAAAAATTAGAAGCTGGAATTTCAGAGTTACTTGCTCAACTCACCTGAAAGATGTCTTCTGCTGCTCTGCAAATTCTGATTTAACTTTGTCCAAGCAAGAGGCAGCTTCGGTCTATAAAACAACGAAATAACTACAAATTCATGAATTATGAACGATGATCAAAACGAGTACAAAATTTGAATTCCAAATTCCTGTCTCACTGGACCACATTGCATAGGAAGCAAGCTACTAGCTGCCATGAAACAGTGAAACAGATCCAAATTACTGCTGAAAAACACTTCAACTAAAGTCCGACGATTTAAATTTGAGCTATCGGTTTAATGAAAGTATCAAAATTCTCTGTATTATACGAAGATTGTTGCTGCACTTTCAAAAAAGTATTGTAGTATAGTTCGGGTTAATTTTGATGATTTTTTGTCAAATGCACATTGTACGTCATCTCAAGCTTCTGCAAGTGTCGAGATTCTGCTCAAAGTTTGTTAATAAGCGACAAAATGCAGCTAGACACTACACAAGCAGCTTCTAGAACACTTTGCTTAAAAGAATATTTATAGGATATCAATTACACAAAATAGCAAGAAAGTCGTTTATGAGCTCAAAAAACGCTGCAAATATTAACAATTGAACAAAAGCGATCGTACGACATAATTATTCATTCATGTCAGGTTCTGTTCATATTTTAACGTTTCGAATATCGTATTTCCACATGTCTTTTAGGGCGTGCCTTTTTTGGATGTGTTTCAAAACCACGAGACGGGGAATCCAGGCGTGTTGTAAAGTTTGAAACGAATAATGTCGCCCGCAGAACACTCGCCTCTTTTAACATCTCAACAAACAAACATCAAATGCCAATAATTCAGACTCGACATTCTATCTAGGCCGACAATCGATTGTCGACATAACTTGCAAACCAAGTGCTTAGGCCACTGGCCAATGAGGATGCTGATAATAAGTCTCATATCCCGTGATGCTTAGTAATGACTAAAACCAGAGTCATTGGCCCTCCCAAACAGACTAAGCTAGCACGTGACTATGTACATTTCATACGAAGCACTAACAATTGCTGATATCTTGTATAGGAAACTCTTGTATAAACTCGGCCCAGTGGCGTTACGAAGCAGTGTGGGACTTTTATTGAAAGTAGTGTTTCTGGCCCCTATATTTACCTAAAGTCGAGTCAAGTTTAAAGCTTAAGTACTGACTCTATGGGGTTTTCTTGTAGGATGCAAAGAAATAAAATTAATAACATATCAAGAGAAATTCTGCTGCCTAAGATATTTTTTATGATCTTCATTTGAGCTTTTTCTGGATTTCCATGCAGCGTGTACAGGTGGATGTTGAGCATGCATTTGAAAACATGTTCAAAAGATTTCAAACTTATTCATGGAGTAAATCAATTAGATTTTTAATATCTGCTAGATCCTTATTGACATGCTATATCTTGCATCAGTATTATATGGTTGCTCGCAAGTCATACGCTCATTTTAACGATGCTGTGAATGCTATAAAGAAACTTTCATCAAAACATTGGTTTTTTCGAGAAAATTCTTGATGACCCCTTCGGGGCCCAAATGCTTGGGGTCTCTTAGTTTTGTGCTTAAAGGTGCACACTGTGCGTTACGCCACTGACTCGGCCCTGTCTCTCTTCTTATAGCCTCTACCTACGAAAGACACAATTTGGACACTGCCAAAGAAACTATTCAACAATCGCTACCATCAAAACACAACAAGATCACAAATCTATTAGCATTGAATATCCTTGAGGAGATGAAACTAGGAAGCCACTGTTTTGGGTTATCGTTCTATCCATTATTTCGACCAATGAGAGAGGTGCCTTTTAGGCACATGCGCCTTAGTGCTCTCACAGAAAAGAATTTCTTTCTCATAGCGCTTCACGGCTTTCAGTGAAAACAACTATACATCACAATTGCATCATAAAATCTAGACCTACATTGTCACCTTTCTTTTGATAATATTTTTTCCAAACTTTTATTGTCTTTTGATTCGATACTTGCTCATTTCGATAACAGCCATGAATTTTCCTACCACAGAATACATAAGGCGATCGATTTTAACTACGCATGTGCATATAATGCAAAATTATGAAAGCTACCAGAACTTCGGACAAATGCTGGTGCATCTCCGCAATAAAGATGCCAGCTAAAATTCGCTGGTTAGCCACGGGCTTTTGTACAAGCGTCTCTTAAAGAACAAACTTTTAAAAAATAAGTAGCTTGAGAACTACCTTTGGCTGCTTGCCCTTTCTTGGTCTCTGTTTAGCTGCTCTTTTAAGAGTTGTCTTATCCTCTTCCGCAAAACCACAAGTGAGATAAATTAAATTTTTACAATGTTCTGGGATGCTGGAGCAAAGGCGTCCAAAAAAGGTGATCCTGAAATGTGAACATTCTCAAACACTGAAGAATCTCAAACACACAAACATCTACCATGTGTAGGAAGCTCCATCTATGCATTGAAATAATATAATTTGTTTTGTGGAAGAGGGGCATGAATAATTCGGCTGTATTATAAAACCTTTTTCACGTGCCATATGGCACGTGCTCAAGAGGTAACGCAACATTATGCAGCAGCAAAATAAGTATTATAAAAGAGAAACTAATGAACATCACTGTTTACCGGTCTGCCATAAACGTGCTCAATGCCGTATAGACAGAGCTGTACACGCTTATGGTGAAAAGAACAGAACGGTTCTAAGTTGCTAACCCGAGTTTCACGCTTAATGCGATCATCAAGCAACTGTATTAAAGGGAAACGATATTAACGGACGAATGGAAAGCTTGATTTACCAATGGTACACTACGAAATCTGATACGCTCTCTGGCATGGATTTTGCAGAATCAACAGCCCATGTGTTTACATTGGACATTTTAAATGTACCAGAAACTCACCTGCAAATCAAAACCCGTCAGGATACAGCAACGAGTAAAATATCTTACATAATGAAAGTGAAATTTTGGAAACATAACTAAAAAATGGATAAGTGGTATAGTAAAGAAAGCTTGAGACAGATGATGATCAATAGGGTCTAATTTATCAAAAAATCTGGTTAGGTCCGAGAAACTCTGTGTGGAAAGTGTAAAAAAGACACCATTCCAAAAAGAAATGTTAAAAACAGTTTTTTTAAAGTATTTATAAACAAAGAGGCTAATGATAGATAATAATTGAGAGATTGTTACTTTTACTTGCTTTGAAAACTTAAAGAAAAATATCTGACTGTGTTATTGATCACTGACACAACGCAAGAAGTATACAAACCTATCTATGCAAAGCGATTGATTATAATCGTCTGCCTCGTTTGTGTTTACCAACTGTGACTTCAACTCATTAAGAGACTCCTGAATATGAGCACAGATCCTGCAACAAGATCAAAGGAAAAATATTAAAATGGCACCCGCCCAACATAAATAAGGTCCTTTAAAAATACGTTCTGGCAAAAATGAAAACTGATTCTTACCAATACGCGTTGCTATAGAGCAAAATTTCATTGACTCAAATTCTATCTTAATATCGTCCGTTTATCACTAGAGCCCATGTATAAATACGGAGAAATACCATGCTACCAACACCTGGAGACCAAGTGATTGCCATTGCAGATGATGCCATGCCTCTTTCAATTCACGTGATACAAATGGCAGCATGCTCTTCCTTAATTATGACAGCAAGGGTTGCTCGTAATGAGGAACATTTTAAACCCAAGGTGCATGTCTGTTTTGATCAATAACTTGTGCCATGTAGTACGTTTATCATTTAGATAATCTAGTTCAATTAGCAGAAACGCAATTTGTCAAAGCACTGGTTAACAAAACCACTAGAAGAGAAGATGCAGATCAGACAGATTTAGTCCGTTATAAGTTGAGAGATGATCGCGCATTTTAAACAGAAAACCTCAAGAAAGCACGTTTGTCCCGAAAACCCACGAGATCAGCTAACAGCTAAACAGTGACGTCAAAAAACGTACCTCTTAACAACCTGCGATGTTGATTCTTGAATATACCCTTGAGCCTCTGTTGCAGATGAAAACTTACGGAATGGCTCGATGCGTTTGTCCTCTTCGAATGAAAACCCACGTGCCTGTATCGAAAAGGAGGGTCCATTTTGAAAGCACTGTAGTTAAAATCAACACTACATCGATTGTTTAACTAACCAACACGGTTTTGATATGAATTAATAATTTATAAAAACAAAGCCACTTTTGTGCAGTGGTTCATTTATAAAAAAACGTGAAGCAAAAAAAACGAAGTCAACTGCAAAATCCTTAGTTTTAGAGATAGAATTAAATTGTATGGAAATCTAAAGCCAAGGATCGGGTTTATATTATATTTTGAGCAAATGCGAGGATAAGTAACTCTCACTGGCTGTTCTAGGCTTTTGTTCAACTGGATGTTTCTCTCGAAACAGATCGCTAGTTGGTTTAGGATTAAAGGCAAAGACTTGAGATTCAGATCTCTGGTTCTTGTTTGATTTCAGGCAAGACTGCGAGTCAAGTAGACCATACATGTCAACATTATTACCTCAATTTTCGATGCCATTGGAATATCTTTCTGCTCTCCAGATTCAAACAAATATTTCACCGCTTTAACGACGTCAGCAAGATTGGTATCAAAAGTTTTACATAGCCTACGAACAGCGAGAGCAAATTCAACAAATCATTTTTATATGCAAAGATTTACAAGCCTTAAGAAAAGTTTTTCTAAACTTATTTGAAATCAAATAATTTCTGCAAACAAGAATGCTGCACAACAAATAATCACGCTTATTCCGATGAAGGGTTTTTGGCACACAGGGCCGTTGCAATAAGGGGTGTAGGGGTCACACCCACACTTCAGATCCCCTGGAGCACGGGTCACTGCTGTCATCGATAAATCTAGAAAATGTCTGCTTCACTGAAAGGTGTAGAGCCACGTCAGCTACAAAAACAATGTCACGCCCATCTTTTTGGCAAAATTGCTTGCCTTGTAAACCCCACAACAGCCCAGCCCCGTGTGAAATTAATTTACTATAATCCTGTCATATCCATTCAGGATGGAAAAAGCCAAAGCTTCTTGAGTTGTCTGAATCTCATAATAAGTATGGTCTCTGCAATATTGTAAAATTAATAAGTAGAAAACAAAACGCACGTTTGTACGGACGGTGTACACCCCCTGGCCTTGTAGGACAAAGAACTTATTTCCTGTGACTCATTTTGGTTGGTCTCCATACACCAACCCGAGGTCGGCAAATCTCCCGGCATCTCACTCCATAAGTATGATGTCACGTTTCTGTCCCAATGTGAATTTGAATCTGCATTCGTGTTTTTTAGCGTGGCTATCTCAGTGATTGTCGTGTCAATGCAGTTGACAGCGTTTGAATACGAATTTGAAAGCATTTCTTCTAGAACAGCCTGAAATATGAAGACCAATTCATAGGTATATTCGATAAAAGAACAGCATTTTTAAAGGGAAAGCAGGAAAAGGACAATGAAATATTATTATCAGAAAATGTTAGCCGATAATGTATAAAATGAGTATAAAATGTTGGTTGATATCCTAAAAGTTTTAAAGACAGCAAGGGAAAGAACTCGCATGGTTTTAATAGAAGCTATAACTGTTTTCTAGAGGAGATGGAAGAAAAAAACAACTCATCATTTAAGGAGTTTATAAGTTGTTTACCATTTTTCGGACAATAGGTGAAAACTTCTTATGCATTTTTTAACCCAAAATATCTTAATAGCGTGCACGAGAAAGAGAAAAAGAGCACGTTTGGCTAATTTAAGCACTGTTCGTCCCACACCCCTCAGAGTACAAAGCTGACAAACTACTTGAACGTATTTTAACGCAGTCGCCTCTCTTCTAGCCATGCATATTATGATGTTTGCAGAGTGAAACGAGCCAATAAGTATGCTGAAATTAAGCAATACTGCAGGATTAGTCAAGATAAATGTGCGTTTCCGCAAGTAGCTAGAGATCATCCTAACTGAGCATGTGTAAGTACGCCCGTTTCTTCCTACCATTAAAACCTGTTGTAGATGACCCAGTAAAGTTGATGATCGCAAAACGATATCGACCTTACATCGCTGTCTGCGATATCGAAGATTTAAAGATATTAGGAACAAATTCGCAGTTAGCCAGCTGGTTTCGAAAACATCATCAACTAACTGCAATAAGTCTGACAAACCGTGATTCACAGACGAAAAATCTAGCAAACAAATCAAGCATAAGTACGTAATAGGTAGCAGAAACAAAAGAATATGCAGCTAGGCAAAATAACCAACACATAGGCTAAACCATTCTCGTTCCCTTCTCGTTCCCTCTTTCTTCATTTTTCATTTCAACCCTTCATTTCAACCCAATATATTTTTGTTTGACGTCTCAGCTTTTAGGAAATGCAAAATCAGCTTTATCAAATCATCTTGAAGCGACCAAAATTAACTTATGAAAATACTTGAGGTAAGTGTAAATCTTTAACTGATAAAACAAAAATCTATAAAACCACGCGCCATTGAGGAGATAAGATTAGCCAACAAAACCTGACCAAACGCATAAAATCATATTTGATAAAGAAACGTAAAATGTTGTCATCGCCAACATTGGTAGAAAAAAATCCTGAAATTCTGTGTTTTTCAACAGTAATATTTGGCTTCCTACCAGATAAGACTTTATTTGAGCAAACAGTTTGACTCAAGAGACTGAAGTTTAACTTAGCTTTCAAATACGTATAAAATAAAGGCACTCGTGAGGTCAAACGCACCATGCAAAAAAGCTTTGAAAATTTGAGTAACGCAATTTGCATGCAGGATCAAGAAGCCTAACTTAGACATCTACACAGATTGGCCGTACCCTCGACTTTTTGAATTTCCAGCAAAAGTTTTCCAAAACACTTTACTACTTAGAATAACGAAAACAAAGAATCTATTCAACTAAAGAGTCAATAAAACCTGAAAGAAACGCAGTTTGGTGTCCTACCAATTCGAGGTCTTGCTCTTCAAATTTTTTTAAAAAAATATTAGATGGCAACAGTGCCAAAAAAAATAAATCTTTCTTTCTGAAGATCCAGTCCAATTATCTGGTAGAGAAGAAACATATTCTGAAAAAATATAGCAGCAGACTGAAATACAAGATTCAGAAATTTCTTGGAGATATGTTCTGAAATGAGGTTATCAGAAGAAAAGCGATCTCAAAATGAGACAAAAAACGGATAATCTTAATATGGAAAGCCTCGATCACATGTTGCAAGTTTTGCAAGCTTTTAATTTAATGCAAAAAGAAAAAGCTTTGAAGAGGATGCATGAAGGAAGCAAAATAATCTTAACGAAACTCCGAACTCCAGCTGCAAAGACAGGAGAAAATGACGTACTCTCTTGTGTATTTACCATCATTTGCGCATTCACAAATTGAGATAAAAGTCATTTTGAACCACCCTAATGATGTGTACTCTGCTTGCCTACAGTTTCTGGCTCCTCTTTTTCCCTCTTTTTCCTCTTTTTCCCTCTTTTTCCCTTTTTTTCCTTTTTTTCCCCTTTGTTTCCCTTTTTTCCCTCTTTTTCCCTCTTTTTCCCTCTTTTTCCCCCTTTTTCCCTTTTTTTCCTTTTTTTCCCTTTTTTTCCCTTTTTTTCCCTTTTTTCCCTTTTTTTCCCTTTTTTTCCCTCTTTTTCCCTCTTTTTCCCTCTTTTTCCCTCTTTTTCCCCCTTTTTCCCTTTTTTCCCTCTTTTTCCCTCTTTTTCCCTCTTTTCCCCTCTTTTTCCCTCTTTTTCCCACTTTTCCCCTCTTTTTCCCCCTTTTTCCCTCTTTTTCCCTTTTTTTCCCTTTTTTTCCCTTTTTTCCCCTCTTTTTCCCTCTTTTTCCCTCTTTTTCCCTCTTTTTCCCTGTATTGTGAACGGGCAACAAATTCTTGAATTTCTTGTTTTCACGGTACACATGATCGTTCAACTACTGATGCAGTGCTAACATGAATTTAACTGTTCTGTGATTCGATTGGCTTAGACCAAGCTACTTACGTTGATTGTTTCAAGCCCCGTTTAAGAGATCCAACTTTCCACCCGACTTTCACTCGGCAGTCATGTTGGATGAAAAGTTGGGTCACTTGAAAAACTTACTAGGTCACCACACAGAGACGCTTCTGATGCTGGGTGAGTTGCTTTAGCTAAAAAGGTTGGCTGTTAAAAGAATTATTGCCTTGAAAGGTGGGTTATTTGACATCCTTTACATCTGAGAACCTTAAAAACTTTTGGGGGCCGGGATGTCGAAACCGGGGGTACACCGGGGTCACATGCCCCCAACTTTTGGAAAACATGCTCTTGTCTAAGAAGTAGCCTCTTTGAAGCAGTGTCCCTTTTGTGACCCTCTTAATTTGAAGCGCTTCCAACGTCCCTTGTTGAGGGCATGTTTGGGAAAATGTTGAACCGTGTTGACGGGCATTTGAACAAAGTTAGAAATCCATTGAAGCAAGCTACCTGTACAGCATTCAAGGATGAAAAGTAGCAAAGATTAAAGAATTAGCAATGCATGGAAGGGATACCTTTGCTCGATTGAAGAATGCTCTTTCGAATAGCTCATCCCAAAGTGTGAACTGCCGGTCAAGAACTGCTTCACAAAGATGATTCCAGTTATCTGGATCCCGAGATTTGTATTCCAAAGAGGCTGATAACTCACTCTTAAAAATAAAAAAAGTCACACTCGGTAAAATCTGTAAATGCATTCATAGATCTAGTAGCGACAAAACAGGTTGAATTTGCGACACGAGCAACCAGCAACGCGCATCAACCTCTGCAGACGCTTACAGAATTTTACTTCTTCTGAATTTCCCTTCTTTAAAGGCAATCGACAGATATAAAAGAGGCTTGAGCCATCTTACAATAAAAATTGACCAATCAGTGAGCGTGATTCCACTCACACGCTCATTGATTGGCTAATATCTGTTCATTGCCTAGAATTTGACTTGACACATCACTTTATCTGTAGATTTGTCCGGCAGCTCAAACTGACGATCACTTAACTCGTAGATGATTTAAATGCTTTACTTACACATTGCTTTCGACAAGATACATGATTGGTTGTCCAAATTTTTTAAATACGATGGTTAAATTCTCAAATTTCAAACTTTTGAAAGCAAATAAGATTTCTAAATTATGTGCTACAGCTCATTCCTTGTGTTATAGGTAATACTCTATGAACATGGCATTCAATGGGTACCTACCGATGCAAAAGGGAGAGAAAGAGCGTACTGTGAAGAGAGAGTCTCCTCCATAACGAAACATGAATTTCCACCGTGAATAAAATTGCTAATTTAAATTATCTTTATCCTAACAGCACATGTACGTCCCACTAGTTTAGAGATTGGTAGATTTGTTCTTTGGTAATATGTTCCAATGTTGGAAAATTTTCCTTTTTCAAGTATAAAATTGAAAACGTTCAAGACATTAAAATGTTTGATTATATTGTTGCAAGAAAGTGGTTCCCAATGTTACTTTCAATTGTGTAACAATTAAAAAAATATTTGTACTGTGTGTAATGTTTTCTAATTCTGTCAAACACTGCCAAAGATCATGGTAAGATATTTCCTGGTTCAGGTACATTTGATTTTCGTAAACTAACATATCATGAAGGTACCTTTGCACCGAACAGCCTCGAATCGGAAAGCAGTTCGTAAACAGTGTCTCGTATTGATGCAAGGCCTTTGACACTTTTAATGTATTCCAATAACCTAGCCACTCCGACGTGAACATCGTTGATGCACCTGAAAGACAAAATCATGAGCTGTTGAAAGACCTATGAGAAGAAGCACCCCAGTTAACATGGGTTAAGATGTTGCAAGCGATAACTATAAAGCTTTTTTGCTACAAATCTTACACAAGATCATTTACTACCAAACAATCAAGATCATTTTTTACCAAACAATTGAAGATAGAGAGAACAGATTCCGTAGCATCCTAAATCGAAAGAAATTGAAAGTAGCAGGTCTAATCTTCAAGTGCATACAAGGAACAAGTATTCCAATGTTCACATCATACGCGGCGGAAATAAGCCATAAATACAACACCAGAAATAACAACGCAGCCCTTCGATTACCACTAAGGGCATAATAACATATTTTCCAATGGCGTCCAATGTGAAATGGACTTGAGTATTTACCGTATATGTACATGTTGTATTTTACTATGTATGTATCATTATAATCTAGTATATGTATATGTAGTATTGTAGTTGTATTATTAGTTGTATTTAGATACATGTCATATCCCAGGGGGCAGTCATGTTATATTGCTCCTCCTGGGTTCCGTCCTTGTAATGTAGTTTAGTAGTTCGTACGTACTGTTTTAGGTAATTTGTTGTTGTAAGTTTTAATACTGAATATATAAATAAAAAAACCACTAAGGACTGAAGCTTCGAGAAAATCATTTCTGTTTCAAGGACCTAAGTGTTACAATGAGCTTCCCTTGGAGATTCGCTCTTTAAACTCTATTGTGCTTTTGACATCGAGACTTAAGAAATATCATGATTCAGATGATACTTATTTGTGTAAATAAAATATTTTAATTCTTTTTATATAAACTTGACATTTGTAATTTTGAACAGGGCTCTTGTTGATAACAGTAATTTCTTGTACTGATAAGGTTACCCTGTATAAACATGTATATTATTATATTAAAATTATTACAAAAACAAAATATAAAATATGAAAATAGAAAAGGCTTTACTTTTCATATGAACGAAAATCTACGCTATTTGATGTATAGAACAGGACGGTTCTACGTTGCTACTCCTTGCTTCACGCTTATGCGATCATCAGGTGACTGAACGAAAAACGTGAATAATGTGCAAGTCCAGCTGATTGGTAGACACACGTCTAGCGAGGGAAAGAGGCCCGTTTGCTAGTGTCAACCAATCAGCGACCATTGAATCCCCACGTTATAAAAGAAACCATGTGAATTTGTCTACACAAAAGTGGATTTTTTTGTTTGATGCAGACTGATTTCGGAACGCAAAAAGAAAAAATGGCTTTGTGATTCCAATGATTCGGCAAAAAATGTGGATGTTGCAGCATTTCATGGAGTCTTCTGGGGTGGACTCGATAAAATTTCATGTGTGAAAAACGTGCATCTACATATCAAAACATGCAATTTCGTTCACTACGCGAGTCAGTAAGCACAAAACCACAGAAAAAGAAAAAACTGTATTTTCTGACTAGCTCGTCGGCGAGAGCCTGCTACGCGGGCAAGTCAGTTCCCTTACGGATACAGAAAATGGCATAAGGAAAAGGCGTATGTCACCCTTAGCAAATGCAACTCACTTTGTGCAGATTTTCAAAAAAAAACTTATTATATAGTATACCTTTTTCTTAATTTTTTGCTCGGGGAGGAAACATCAATAAATGAAGCCCTCAAATTTAAATAAAACCGCTTTCTGAGAAGACATCAAATCAGATCTTGAGGCTACATTTCCTCATCATAGGAAGCTACGACTAGCCGTTGGTACATCGGCACAAGTCCCTCTATCTAATCCGAAAAAACTCTAAACCTTGTATATAACTTGACGGACTCAAGTTACAAAGCGACATAAAATTATAGGCAGGGAATGGGCAAGAAAAGTTCACTTTTCCCCACCAGGGAGTCGATACAACAGTGCTCTACTTTTGATACCTAAGGGATGAAAGGAGAAGAAAAACATAACTCACTTTTAAGAGCCCAGTCTATCTTAAGTAAAAACATAAAGAACTGTAAAAAGAATCCTGCGATAAATAGACATAAACCCCGAAGAGATCAAGAAAATATCAAGGATTTGATCAAACACACTTTGCTTTATACAAAAAAAGGAAGGGAAGGACGGGAGAAAAGAGAAATATTTCGTGCAAAAACCAAAACTTGAGAATTCCTACTTGTTCATTATTCCAAAAGTCATCAAAAGCCGTACATTAAGGCTTAAAACAAGAATGAATGCCCAAATATAATTTTATTGAAAATGAACCCCTAGCTTAACAAAAATTTCCAACATCCTTCGTGAAATTAACCTTGGTAAAATTTCATTTGATCATCAAATAAATTTTGAAAATGATTTTACAATAGCACGGCATCACTAATGTAGCTAAACGACAGCTACTTCAGTTTTGGTTTGATTTGCTCGAACAAAACAAATCGTGTGTGTATGTTACTGACGAATTTTAGGAGACCCTGAGACTCATACACAATCAAGTTGAATTCTAAAACTAGTCTCAAACTATTTTTCAACTGGTCTCCTATTACTTTCATCGGCCATTTCACAGGCACTGTTTAAAAATCAGCTAGCAGAGTGACAAAGTCTCGATGGATGGCTGGATTCAACAATTCGAGAATCTCAGCAACTGAGCATTTGGTCGATAAATGCGTCAAAAGGCAGGTGCATCTTGGTGGAAAACTTATGCATATCTAGAGGTGGGTTTCACAATTAGCATTAGAAAGAAATTCGCTATGGGTTCATCTGCTACTGATCGCATTTCATATTTCTTGTGACAAATGAGCATGGATATTAATATTTCAAGATTCAAAGAGTACAAGTAAAGATCAAACTGTCTGTGCATGTTCTGACGTCATAATGTGGGCTAAGACCAAATGGAGAGATAAAAGGTTAACTGCCCCAGCCTACAAACACTGTGATAAGGCACCGTAGGGTGGAGCTAGGCAAAATCAATCAAAACAAGAAACACTGACCTAGAATTAGAGATAAGGAAAAATATCATTGATGTAAGTGATATTTCCTTCCCATGACCGCTATGGAAAAACAATTAACAGACCTAAATGCCTTGAAGTTCGTAAGTGTTCTGTTGCTACGTGACTAAGTGAGAAGGAGAAACGCAAAGCAAGCTGCTCATTCTGAACGCTACGGCTTGATACAAAATCAATCTCAACCACTGCGAAGCACAACCTTTTATCGTTTTAGATTCTAAGACCAAGCCAACATAGTGGCGATGAAAAGCATAATTACTGTCATCCCCATTCATCTTACAGAAACAAGCCGGTCTAAAATAAATGGGATGCCATCTTCATTTAACTCGGTTTAACATTGATCTCAAGCAGTCTGAAATTGGTTGCTTGTTATTAAAGAATACTACAAATTCTAATAAGATGCAATTTCCTTTATAATTAGATAGCTTCGGCAATCTTCAGTGATATTACCCAAATGATCCTTATGATTGTGAAATAATTCAAAATTCTCTTCATAACGATTTCTTAAATCGTATTAACAATGAATCCGTTGTGATATATTTGCTATTATAGCACTGTTTGTCACAAATTGGCAGTTTTCATCCAGCAAGATCATCAGGGATGGCTTTTCTTGTAAAGAAAAGAAATTAACAATTTGCTATGTTTGAGAAAGTTTCGAAATTTCCATTAGCATTCATCTTTATTTATTTCCCATCAATCTAGATTAATTATTGATTGTCACATGTTCCTTGGTCGTACAAAGACCTTTTACTTCCAATTCGAATATATTCTCAAAGAAGAAAGAAAGGTTTATAAGTTGATTCCAAGCCTAAATCCACGACAAGAACTTTTGTCGATTATTTGTTTTCCTTAAGCAGGTATTGATAGTTCAGTTTCTGTAGCTCTCAGATCTCTGATATTTGAGTCGAATGATGGTTTAGTCAATGGGTTGCAGTGTTTATGTCGCAACAGGGTGGTCATATTGCTACTACCTGCACGAGGAGGGAAAAAACAGAAAAATCGCTCACCCAGTCAGCCATTCCTTTGCTCCATCGCGAATTTTCTGCTGAGGAACAATTCCCATGACGTTTCTTATTTTCGGACGAAATCCTGGGGACGAACAACCGTCATATTTTTTATGAAAATATATCTAGGCTTACAAAGCAGTGACATAATTGAAATTTCGAACTACAATGAAAGGTGTAAAGTTAAATACAAAAAGATGGCAATAACAGAATTGATAAACGACAATAGATCAATCTTACTAGATTAAAATAGATTAATACTAAACAACGATGAAGCTAGATCGCAATATGAAATTAAAGCTCGTTTATGGGTTTGCAAGAGGGGCAAACAAAAACTTTGCGATTCTGATTCCTGTGAGAAAATTTTGTCATGAATATTACACAGCAATCGTCATAGAAAGCTTTACTATATCAAAAACAAGAGGGGAAACATCAACAACGACAACAACAACATCAACAACAACAACAACGACAACAACAACGGAGAAATTTTAAAAGAAGATCTGATTTCTACCTAAAACAGTGGGCGGCAAATGGCGAGCCACAGTGAGCACATCAAAATCTTCTCCAAAAAGCCACTGGAGTGCTGGAAAAAGATCACAAACAAGTTGAATCACGAATTCATTTAACATTTTGAGACTTTGATGCTAGAATATTTGCTGACTAACCAAAAAGCTCTAGACTAACTAAAAAGGATGTTAATTTTGATAATTACGCCATTATAGATTTCTGAAATCGCCTCTTTAGTGGTTTAGTTATAGTGATGGGTATCAAACTGCCCCCTGTTGCAAAGTTTCGTGCTATTGTACCTACTTACAGCAGATATATCGTATTAGCGCCGTTAGGGGCTTGGGGTAAAGTACCCCAGTCTAAAAATAGCCAAAGCGGGCGATTTTCAGTTGGGGTCCATATCCTATCTTTTTCAGCGTATTAAACTGCCCCTTTATGCGAAATTTCATGCTGGTATCACAATTTGCACAATTTTTTGACTAACAGCCCTGACTATAAAACAAACATGAAAAACTTGATATAAAAGGAATTAGTGAAAAAGATTGTCTCACATTCTCCTTGACCAGGCTGTTTTTTCTTTGTTGCTTCGTTGATTGTTTTATAGAGGAGCGAGTCGACCTCTGAAATCAATAAAAATAAGATTTCAATTAAAAGGCTCTTAAACGTTGACTTTAAAAATCAGTGACGTATCATCACATTGAAAAAAGTTGGCAATCCAAACTTGTTGCAGAAAAGGTCCTTCCTTAATTCTAGTAATAGTCTTATCAGGCAATTCTGTAATAATTAGAGTAAAAACTTCAGCCGAAAAAGCACTTCATAAAATTGTCTGCTACCTTGATTATATAACAACTACTAAAATTTCAGAGCTCGACAACTTTCGCTGTATAGAAACAGTAACCAGAAGCAGCTTTAATTTCTAAAGAGCAATTTATTTTACACCGAAAAACTGACGCGGATGATCAAGTTTTGAAATCGCAATTATCTCTGTCGTCAAAAAAGCACGGTAAAGCAAAAACATAGCATACTAAAATACTTTATGTCCGACACTTGTCAGAGCAAAACGTCGGAAAATGTTTAATTGCAAAAACAAAACAAAGCATACGAATATTTCAATATACCGGGTTTATCGAGCGTTGATTGCGAATCAGGATGATAAAACAAGCTAAAGATCTGTTGCAGTGTCAGGACTATCAAGGACGTGACGTCACATATCTGCCTTTTGATACTTGTTTCTGCAAAGAAAAATGAAAGTAAAAATGAAAATAAAAAACAATAAACTATAAAGAAAGCATAGTTATTGATCTTTCCATCAAGGTCTGATGGAGGCTGAAGATAAGTCACAATAAAAATTGTACCGGATTTTTCATCGCATCTATTAAAAATGTAAAAACAATTCACGAACCAAATAACATTTTAACGAGTCATTCTTCCACATAAAAAGTCTACAATAAAAAAAGCACCGGACAATAGTTTTTCTTACACGAAATAGATGCAAGATTGTAAAAACAGCCACCAGCTAGATATAAAAGTTCGAATATGACCTTTTTAAAGAATCATATTGACAGAAAATTATAACTAACCAAAAATTAACCATTTTAGAATCATTTCAAAAATTACCCCGCTTTGTAATTGAACAGCTTTTTCATGAAAAGAGTTTTGTAATAGAGATAAATAATTTTTGACTTCCATCGAGTCCATACTTTTCAACTGGCAAGCAAACAACAAAGAAACATTTTTTAAGGAAGGTTTAAAGATTTGAAGATCAGTAAAACGAGCCTTACTGTGATGACTTGGGTGAAACAGATCTTGAATTGCTGCCTAAGAAAACGAGATTCAAAAATTAAGATTCAAAACCAGATTAAAAAACTAATCTATCATCTCACATGATATATCGAAACATTAAAAACAAATTTTCGGCAACATCAAATTAGTTGAGGTTCAAATTATTTCTAACAGCTAGAGTTTTAAGACCGCAAAAGAGTGATTCATAAACAAAAATTTCATTATGAGCCTGAGATATTAGCAATGTACCAATAATAAAATAATTTCACTTAAAATACGTTATTTTGCATAATGTCTCAAAGGTGAAAATTCAAATGAGAAACTTTGATTGAATCACGGTTTACCTTTCGTGCCAGCAAAAACTCCACGAAGACTTGCCGAGGTGAAGAGTCGCTCAGAAGAATGATACTGCACAGACTCTCGGCTAGTGCCTAAAAGGAGAGTATCGTCCCAGTCAGAAGCTTAGTGTTACAATTTAGCAGATTCTAGAGCTCTGCGACAAAAGCTTCTAGTGAAACTATGTTTAGCATGGACCAGAGTTTTTCAAGATCGAGTGAAAATATTCTTAAGGGGCGTTAGAACGCAAAAAGCACTGAAAGGTCATTTTATGTAACCCTATAAAAACCATAGTTTTAAATATCGGGAGTAGATATGAACTTAAAGTACTTTAACAGGATTCTAACCAAATAAAAGCTCGATTAAATGGCGGCTGTGGTGCATGTTATATAACGGCCGCATGAGAAAGAAGCTGTACCCACGAAAATGGCTGCATGGAATGTGTGATGACAAATATGTTAAAAGTGTGATTGGTTGCCACCAGGCGGACGCAGACATATTTTGCTTGCACTGACTTCGCACCAACAAACCACTGCCATAGCCCTTAGGCCATCAAATTTGCCTTGCCCCCCTCGACGTACGAAGCATACCATCAAAGCACAAAGCATGTCGATTGAACGATATGCCGAAGAAAGAGAAAAAATCCTTTTCTAGTCTTGGGTGTCTAGTAAACGGGGAGAGACTACACAAATCACCCTTAAAAGATTTTCCGACCATTGAGATTTATGGCTTGATTGGGGCAGAGAAATGTTTTACTGAATTATGAAACTTGAAGTATCGTTTGCTTTTCTGGCATCAGAACCAACGTAAATCAGCACTTAAAACTCAAGTATAAAAGATGCATTTGGGGATGGGAAAAACGATTCAATGACACAAACTTAATGAAATCATTTTGAAGATTACCTTGTCTGGCAAAGTAGGCTCCTTCAAAGCGGCCAAACTGCCCTTCAAAGATAGGATAAATTTGTTTAGTCAATGACAGTTGTGCGAAAATTAGCTTTTAATGAAAAGACAGCAAACATATGGCTTCAATCAACTTTTACCAATAGTACAATCAGAAAAAATCTAAATGCCTTTTACAGACTGAACTCTTATATAGCATTTTATACCATTGCCCTTCCATAAAATAAATGATTTTAGAGCACCGTACGCCATATGGCAATTGTGAGATCGCTTTTAAGAATATTATCTTTTGCCATAAATGTCAACAGAAACGACTGCTACATTGCGATTTCAGTGGAATTCTGTAAGATTAACATTTGTAACCTTGAGGATTGATTCCTTGAAGTGACTGATGGCTGCCCATTGGTGATGAAGAACTGGAAAATTTGCCTACAAAAACAACAAAAATAAAAGCTAGAGAAATACCTACAAAATACAGTGCTTGTTAGGATGCAATGACATGATGGCATTCAATTTTTTTCGAGATCATTTTTCCCATCCGTTATGATTTGCCTCATAACTTTGCATTGTAATTATATTTCTTTCCAATAATGTGACTATTTATACCGCGTTCTTTGCACTTACACAACTAGTCAATACACTTTATTTCACCACCATTAGCTGCTTGGTCAATCTATCTTTTTCTACTGCTAGACTAGATTTGTGAATTTTGTATAAACATCTTTACTAGGTTAAGAAAGTCTAAAGAGAGCATTTAGTTCCGTGTTGAATATTGTATTTTGCGATTAAAAACCTGTTTGTTTTACACAACATGGCAAATCAATACACTTAACCATAAGTATATAAAACTCAAAATCGTTCTACAGTCCTTGTGATCTGCTCCATCGCAGTACATCAAACACTTAAAATTAAACGACATGTACAGCCTGCTTTTTTCTGACCCTAATCCTCTGTGAACTGGACAAAAAATCAGGTGGAAATTCGCTTTGTAGAGGCGTGCAATGTTTTTGTAGACAATGTAGGGAAAAACACGCTGAAACGGCGAAAATGGGCCTAATTCTAGCTGCGAAGTGATCTTGTTGTGAGAATCCTGTGTGCTGATTGGCTTATTTGGTTGGGAGAAAATAATAGTAATTGGAGCTCTCAGCCAATCAAAGATATGACCGCTTTGCTTATCGTACCAAACTGCAACAGTAAATCGTCTTCTCTAAAATTACAAAATCACTCTTAAACATCAAAGGATCTTTGGTATTAACTTACAAAAACATCACTTTGGTTCCCATAGCCCGTATTCATGTGAAGGCTGTTATTCACAATATGGTGACCCAGCAAATATAACTGCGCAGCTACCATGAAGTCTTGCCTATCAAGTGCGTCCCATATCTTCTCTGGTGTATCAACTAGAAGCTCCATTTGCGTGGCCAGGGCATAAAAGTTTATTTCTTCATTTCCAAGTTTTATATCTTCACTTGTGGTGCGTCTACGTCGCGCAGTCCTGTTCTTAAAATCTTTGCAGCATGCTTGGATCGTATTCAAACCTTTATATACATCTTGTGATAAATCCTTCATCAGACTGATTGTATCCGCTGCGTTTATTAAATCCCTGTACCTTTCTCCAACCATGAGTCTTAGATCTTCCTTCTTCTTTTCAATGGCACCTCTTAGGTTTTTCTCTGCATCTTTGATTTCTTCGATACTGCAAGTTTTGAAAAGAATATCTACTTCTGATCCTTTCTCCATCTTTCAGAATTTCTCTATTTATCAGCCAGTGTTTGTCTAGAAGATAAATATAAGACATAAAGATAATTGATTAAAATTCAACGAATTGATTCCACGAGGTGCGTTTGTCCTTTAAATGTTCGCCCATAGCATTTTTTTACTACAAGTAATGGTCTCTTCTGACGTGCTTTCTCAAATTTTTCTTATATCTGATTATCCACAATGAGTCTTTCTTCTTCATAAAGATTACTAGAGTAAATTGTGTGATTTCATAGCAATGTTTTTCTCTTGGTGGAACTAGGGAAACTAAAAGATTCGGTATGGCGTGGGTCTCAATTTGCTTGATGATACGCTGTTCGTTTTTTCCAGCCCACTCACCCTAATTTCGATTCTTAAAATGATAATTTGCCTCTTTTAGTGTAAAACGGATAAGTTGAGTTTTTATACCGTAATCTTAACAGCTTTCCAAGTGGCAAGGCATCTTTCATGCTATCTGATGTTCTGATGCCTTTAGGTAGGACTGGTGGATTGGCTTATAGTAATGAAAAGGGGTTTCATTGTCCTCTCCCTTTCGAAACAGTTACAGATTTTGTGTAACTTCCCTTGGTACCATCTTCCTGTTAGATGTGCAAGGTAGGTTGAGCGATATGCAGCGGTGCATTGACGTCCTAATTCACTCCTAATAACGTGGAAACATCGCGACTGGCATGTTTTTCTTAAGGGGGGGTTTGGCCCTACAACTTGTCTTGCAACTTCTTTTCTGATTTCGAAAAATAAATTTGAGCTACCAGAAGAAAGCTTCCTTAGTTTTCGATGTGTGAAAACAGATGAAAAGGTTTCAAAACAACTTCACATAACAACTAGGGGTGCAATGCTGGAAAATTTCATCTTAATAGAAGCAAAGACTACTTATCAGTGCTCTTATGAGATGAAGATTCATATGAGCGATGATTTCAAATTGGATGGCATTGTTCTTATTCAATTTAGAGAACGTCACTGACTTTCCCATGCATTGTTTCAAGGTGCTCATGCCAATAAATTAAGAGCATAGCTGACTGAAAAGTAAGAATAAATATCATATTCCCAAAAATTTAGATAGGTTTGTCTTTAAACAAGTTAGTTCTGGTTGCTGAGAATTACAACATTGAAATGCAATGGGCTGGATGATATAACACAACAAAAAATCTGGTAAGTGCCCAGGCAAATTTATATGGGATCTTTCTATAGTTCACTGTTTTCAAATAATATTACATCTGAGTGGTTGTTTAACAATGCAGCTAAAGTACCTTTTATCCTATTTTGCACAAATAATATAAAAACAGCCAATAGCGGTGTCAGCATATTTCACCTTTGAATAAACTTTCCAATCTGGATGCAGGGGTGGCACAGAGTGATATCAAATTGCTATTACATCAAATATATGTACCCTGTGAATGTTTAAACGATTTTTTAGGACCTACATCTCTTTTCTCAAAGTCTGTATATGAGTATGTATGGGTGGACCCAATAATCCATGCCTTTGGAATGTTGGGTCTACACGGAGGCTGATAGTGTTTGTAAAGGTTGCTCTTTGCCATCTGGTGAAGCCCTTCGCTATTAAAGGTACACTTTGTAATAGCAAGATTGCCACAGGAGCGTTTGTTCCTTGCCTTAGTGAGATATTTTTTTCCTTATGAGAAGTTTGTCAGAAAGTTTGTAAAAGCAGCATAATTATTAGTGTGTAGAGGGTTATATATTAAAAATAGAAATAACAATGTAACAAATAAGTCACTGAAAAAGTTTAACCTAGTAATGTTATAAAAACACAGCAAAAAACTTTGATGGAAATTCAATAAGGATGGAAGGCCTCATCCTCCATAACCAAAATTGCCAGCAATTATATGTACTTTATATTTGAATTACCTTAAATTCAATTTTATCTGAATCTGCATTTAACTAACTTTAACATCGGGTTAGGGTGTCCATCATTTTGAGGCAAAGGCACTGCTCATGATTTAATTTGCCTACATTTGCAAATGTAAAGGAAGAAAACTATGAAACATCCTGTCTTATACATCTATACAAGCAGACGCGATACAATTGTCAATTTGTTTTACTTCGTACCAGCTTGTTCTCCTCAAGATGACCTATCTGATCTCTTGCTATTAAATCTGAGATTGTAATAGCAAAGCAGCAGGATTGGCATTCCAATCAATAGCCTATTGTGCTGCAAGTTATGATGTAATGTACTATTGTTTTCCTTCATTTGCTATGAAAAAGGCCAAAGTAATAGCATGGCTGTTCTGTGGCTGAAGAATGAGGCTCCTCTCATCCCATGGTATATTGGCTTTTGATGAAAGGTCTGCTGTGGCAACTTGAGTTTAATTGAATGAGGCAATTACAACTAGAACTGTGGTTGAAAATGTTTGTGTTCCGTTTTATCTTTCTTACATTACACAAGAAGTGGCCTTGAAAAAATTGCTATTAAAGTAATAGCAATAGTAGCACATGTCCGCCTCCCCTGTCTGCATGACTATAAACACATCTGTTGAGACCAGAATCAAAATTTTTCCAGTTTGAAGCTGAACCAAACCAAGAGCTGAACAATAGAGGATTAAAGGGGAACAGGAAGCATGATCTCCCCCTTTTTAGAACATGGGAAAAGTCTATTTGCAGCTAACAGAGGTGCCTCTGATTTGCCTAAATATGACTTCTCTCCATTTAGCAAATGCTTCATTTGTCTATGATAATAAGAATATATATCCAAAAAATAAAAAATGCACTGTTTAGCTGAATAGCGCAAATCAAATGTGAACTTGTCAATTTTTACACAGGTTTTGATGGTATGTTCCAATTTTACACACGTTTTGATGGTATGTACCAATATTTAGCTCTGATTAAATCCAATAAAAACTACTATGAAATGGATAAATAAAAACATTCAATTGACACAATCATGCATTGCCTTCAAAATTGTCTTAATTCTTATCAAGCAATAGCTACCATTTTATTTTCACATTAGTATTCAATTGAAAGTGTGAAGCTTTATTCATGACAATCAATGGTTGACCAACTGAAATTGATATTGATATAAGGTCAAACAGGCTTTTGTATCTGAAAGGCTCTGTTAGCTCAATAATAACAAATGAGGAGATAGCAAATTTTAATAATAAAAATCAACAATGTTAAAAGCATCCGTAATGTTTATTAAAACCATAAGATTAAACAACCAAACGAAATGTGCTTCATTTGAAAATTTTATTTTTAATATAATTGTCATATAGATGTTAATCCTGGATGATTGCAAAATTCATTACCAAAAATTTTAAATGACATTAACTGCCTATACAATGTTCCAAGGGCTAATAAAATTCAAATACCAAGTGGCTATAGAATTCCTAGAGCATCATTAAACACTTGTGGTACATTTCAAATTAAAATGAATATTTCTGTTGAGATGTGATCAATTCAGCTTGCTTATGTTTCCTGTGTTTTTATATACCAGCTTTGTATCGTCTATGTAACTTGCTTGTGTCACAAAAGATGAATGGAAATGTGTTGATTGATGAAAAATTTATTCCTCAAAATTTGCCCTTTTGCCCGAGTGATCAAATGCTCCAGTGGTTGGGTTTGCGCAAGTGCTGGCACTCGATGCTCAATCTTGGAAAATCACTAAGCTCTATCATGCTTATCAAAATGAACAATTTGGATAGCATTTTGGCTCTGATTTACTTTATTGTATTGCTCTTTTAAAATAAGAGAATTTATCACATTTTAATTTATGCTGCTTTTTTTAAATTGGATTCTAGGAATTTGATTATTTTCCCTCATTCCTGCCTACATAAAATTCCGACAAGGAGAGGCCTTGCTGGCATATGTTTTGCAATGGTATCCACATGGTCCTATGGTATCTGACGGCGAATCTGGTGCTAAATCTAAGTGGTACTCGGTTTGGCTCGATAACAACATAGGAAACAAAGTGATAGAAAAAGTGACATTCAGTGAGGTAAAATCAAAGAAATACTTGAGAAAACGTACTTTCTTACTATCTATTATTATCTTGAGACACATTTCAACTAGCAAAAACAGGTTTTTGAATATGGGGATGAACAGAAATTTCTGAATATTTTGAAGTTGTATAAATCCATATCTTATCATCTGACATTGTATATAAACACACAAGGTTATCCTTAAAACCTTAATACTAGCAAAACGGAACACTTAAGCTCTGCACATCGTTAATGAATTCAAATATAACATAACATCATTTACACAATATAATACTCACAATTTCTATTTGCAAAATAAGAATACTACTTCGGTCGCCATTTTTCCACGTCTTCTTGAGATCGCCTCGCTATGATTGATCTAAACGAGGCCGTGTCAACATTTGAAATTATGATGCAACCAAATTGATCAAACCTGGGACTGAAAACATAAGTTACGAAAAATGGTTCTTGGTGATCTTTTCAGTGGATTGTTTTCGAAAAAGAACAAACCAGAAGATGACAGGAATAATGACACTGGTGTCACTGGCTTGCCAAGGTGAATGTTGCCAAAATAATAAACAGTTTTTTTAGACAATATAGATTCGATGGCTTTTTATCTATCTCTCGACATGAAGCTAACCTAAAAGGTTATGTAAAAGGCAGTAAAGAAGAAGAGAGATGCTCAATAAGTTTGTGTTTTGGAAATAAATTTCTGAAGTTATTTTAGACTTTTTTTATAAATTGTGCCCAACCATTTGTCAAAACTGCCATAACAAAAAGTATGAAGTAATCAGAAACGGTAATATGAGACTGTTAATTTAGACAGCAATATTTTTTAATTCTTTTTAGTTATTTCCTACTTTTCAGAAATATTGAAAGTGATTTTCTGAGGCAAAGTGAAGAAAAGAGAACTGAAAGGCAAGATCACATGTACAGGGAGCATCCCTGGGGCCATTCAATGCCGTCATTTCAAATCTATATAGATGGAGAGGAGGATAGAGGAAATGAACAAGACTTTTTCAATTTCTCCCATGATTTATTTCACCAGTTTGATGTAATAATGAAAGATATGTTCCAGGGATTTGACAGATTTCATGATGATCATGGGTTCCATGAATTTAGAGGCCTTGAAGGTACCAAATAATACAATTCCTTTAGATATTTGATATTCTTTATTTCCAGATTTTCTTGAATTCTTATTGCTTCATCCAACTCTTTAGGGTAAAGAAAACTTCTACAATGTTCAAATATAGCAAATCTATGATAGGAAAATAATCTTATAAAGCCTGAATTAAAAATCAGTCATATTTTTTTCAAATTTTCTGTTTTGGGTTTTGATGACAATTCTTGGTGCAGCCAACTCACTTTCTGGCTTTGTAGCATAATTGTTTACACTGGAATCCCCAGGTGGCTAGTACATTTTTTAAATGGTTAAGTGGAAACAATGATTGGTAGAGTGAACGATAATGCTTTATCTAGAGAACAATGTTTTGCTCTCTGAATACAGACTGTAGTGATTTCTGTTTCCACATTCTTGAACATAGAGGAAATGGGCTAATTCTTTGACTTTTAATGGCATTCACACTCCAAGGGTAAGGTGAAGCAAATTCTATAAACTGCATATTTGTTTGTTTAATCCAATACTGATTGCAAGAGCATTGTTACAAGGTTTAATTGTTTTCTATTTTCCTATAGATGGCTCAGACAACAACACAGAAAATGAAAGCCAGGGTTCAAGTAAACTGAGAGATAAAATGTTAAAAGATCCTGACAGGGATGATTTTAGCTTCTTTAAAAGTTTTAAGGTAAATTTTAAATTATCTTACATACAAAGGTTTTCCAATTTGGGATCATTTAAGTGTGGAGAGAGAATATAAGAATACTGAGCCTCTTTGAAAGATCTTTTGGCTTTTGATAATGTGGAGCTAATTGTATTAATCATTCCAAAGCTTTGGTAGGATATTTTAATGAGCAACAAACAAAATTTAAAATTTGAAATTTCAGTCCTTTCACAAATTTCAACATTTAGCTACATAATTCAGTCCTCACCATGATAATGCAGCAAGACCATTGCCAGAAAATCAATTCTTGTGTTCTTAAGCTGAATAACCATAGCCATATGAAGCATTTCCAAAATGAGGTGAAACACATGTAAGTGAACCAAGGACATCTCTCTGAGCTACAAATTTGTACTATAACTCTGTTTCTGAAACCTGTGCCCCCAGTTCCTACATCCATCTGAACAATGTTTATAATTTTTTTAAGGGAAATAGCTGATCCATTTGATTTGCTTTTTATCAACCCAAAATTATGGTTAGCAAATTTTAAAAATTGTTTTATTGTATAAAAACAATATTGATGTGTCTATATCTGATTTATAGATACCTTCTTATGATGAAAATGAGTTGGAGCAAAGCAACCCTAGGACAATGGTTTGTTTCAGTCATTTCTAAAACCTAATAAAAATAATTTGATGTTGATGGAAATTATGAGTTTGGAAGATGGCACCCAGAAGTTTATTGCTTTGGGAATTTCAATAAAAATTCATGGATTGTCCTCTGCATGTTATAAAGTCTAGCAAATTTTGATATCCTACTTGAATCTATACTGTGCACAACAGATAGACAGATGACCCATTCATTCCAAGGATCTTAATCACCTTGTCTATATGGTAACTTCTGGTACATTGTACCTGGGCCTTTTTGCCAAGTGAATTTCAATTGATATTGAATAAGAAATCAGATAACAATAAGACTGTGAAGTACTATATACTATATATGTATGCCTTTTTAACCTGTCATGTTCATTGGGTATTGATGGTGTAGGGCTACCTTTGTTCCTCCTGCTAAAGCCATAATACCTTTTCTGGTAAGAATATTGTTCTTTGCAAAAGGCCATTGTTGAAGCCTTGTTACGCAAGGTTCTCAAAAACTCTTGAGTTGCGTCTTCCTGGACTAGAATAAATACTTTTTAATAGATCTGATGATTGAAGGATTTTCTGCTTGGCTTGATGACTCAAACTTAACAATTTCCTTTGTGTAGTTGTCCTATAGAATTGGAGAAACTGCAAGTGTTTTGCCACTTTAGCGTATATCACAGGGTAATTGCTTCTCCTTCAAAAGATTGGATATTTTTTAACTAGAAATGGAACTAAATTCACAAATAAAAAAGATGGTGCATTTGGCTTTGCTGTGACTGCTAAGCACAGATTTACTTTGATAGTCCAAACTACAAAATGCATTTCTTCTGAAGAAGAGAGCTCTTGTCTAAAATACCTAAATTAAAATGACTTCTAAAAGTATACCTGATATATGATATCTATTAAAAACTTTTTATTATGTTTACTGTAATGTTTTGTAAATTTTATTACCTTTTTATAGTAAATAATTTGTTTTACAATCTCTGAGAAATTGGTGAATAGACATCACATCTTATATGTTGATGCAATGCACAGTTTTTTATTTTTTTTCCTATGCATTATTTTCTTGTTATAAAATGAACTTGTTTTTTTTCTTAGATGGATTGGTCATGGACATTTCCATTTGAAAATAATAAAAAACTCCCCAAGATCAATGATTACAAAGACCATGGTACTGATAAGTACATATTCAGACTTTCTAAAGTATACATTTGGTTCCATAATGCATCATATGTTTTTTGTCATTTAGTACCATTTACCAGGCACAAATACAGGCAAGAATATTGAAAATGGAACAAAGATTGTTTAGGCCTGGAAATGTTCAGCCTTTGGGGAAACACATTACGTTATCATTACCATGATTGAAATGTGGCAGAAACATAGGAACGATGTTTTGTTGCGTCTCTTTGAGTTTTGGAAACGATGTGTGATTGACAGAAACAGTGAAAATTGATTGTACTTTGTTACATTATGTTTTGACTGCATATAGTGTTGGGAAATTTCAAAAAAAATTTGCATGGTTGATGGAAATCAAATACTAAGAAAAAAGATTCAAAAAGCATAAACACATTAGAAATAGCAGAAAATGTATTCATTTTCGATCATTTGGAGTTTGAGGAGAGTCACCGTTAATAAATTGAGCCCCTACAACAGGTTTCCAAGGCTGTTCATTGCCTTTAATTGTTTTTTATCGCATGTTTAGAGAGTAGATGTTTCAAACCTAATGAGAGTGTCAAAAATTTGATTTCAGGAACCTGCTGGGCTTCCTTGCATTACTTCATTACCATATTGCCTGTAAAAAGCGCCCACACCCCTAAAGGCCTCCTATCTGAAGAAAGCACCGTTCTCTCAAAAACTGGACTGATAACAAATATAATGGGAATAATGCGTGTAGTCTCTTACTAAATTTGTAAATAAAGTATGGCACTTCCGTTTGAACGGTTTTCAAACATGAGTTCAAAATGCCTGTACTTTGTTTTAGTTTTTGTAGTTCATCATTTTAAAACTTTTGCTTTTATAGCATCCATTATCATAGTATACAAATTTTCTGGAACAATAAGGCTGGCTCCACGCTAATTTTTCCAAATAGGACTTGCAGACAATTTATTTCCAATCACAAGCTAACTGAGTGAAATGACGAAAAATTTTGAAAGTGCCCACCCTCGAACAAAAAGACACCCCTACGAACAAGTACCCCCTCGAAAAAGCGGTTCCCTTTAAGTTCAAAAAGCACCCAGGGCACCTTTAAGTGGAAATCTGTAATTACGATCTCCTGATGTGTAATTTCCAAGTGATGTCTATTTTAGTAATGTTTTTAGTTCCCCTTAAAGAAATGCATTAAAAATGTTTTTCGTTAAATTACAGGTCTGCAAAGACTAATTTTTACTAACGATGAACTTCTCTTTCCGTATACTGCAATTGATGATTGTCATTAGTTCATTCACCTTTCAGTTTTTGCTAAAAAGGAATGTTGGATGTTTGAAATAAAATATTATAAGTAGACAGAGTACGCATAATTATTCTAGCTTTTCTCCTATAATTTGCCAATAACTCGATGATCGTTTTCTTTAAGATCTTGATCAAGAAATTCAGTCTGGAAAATCAACTATTGAAGATGTCTTAAATAAAGGAGCAGCTGAGCACGCGGTTCCTGATGACAGAAGTCTTATGACACAGAAGGGATCTTCCTTTGGGTCATTTTCCAGCACAGTAACAAGAAAAAGAGCTGATGGGGTATCATATTTTGAAAGCTTATGCATATTCTTTACACATTATTTGAAGCAAGTTTATTGTAAATGAAGAAATAGTTGACCTTCAAGGGAGTCGTTTTTTGGGTTAAATTCAGCTCCTCGGAAGGCTTTTAGATGTTTTTTATAATTGTTGCAGAGTAGGGAGTTCTTTGATGGTGGTACGAATGTCATTCCGAGCTTTTTGTCTCAAATAGTGAACGCTTTTCGAGTAATCAAGATTACACCTCAGAGTTTTAATATCCATGCAGTTTCTTTGTCTATAACTTGAGTAGGTATGCCTTACTTTATATCTTTTCCAAAGGCTTTCAGGGTAGATCTTATTTATCATCTTGTATATCATAAAGATATATTTCGATCCACAACTGGGTATATATATATTTCCTAGCGTAGAGTTTTCGGTCTATGTTCTGACGTTTTAAACTCTGAAGAGTGTCAGACGAAAAGCTTTAGTTTACTAAATGTTTGCTTTTTTCAAAGCCATTTTCAAGTTTTGTATCACCAAAAGATTGTAAACATATAGCAAAGCAAACTGAGATATATAAAAAGGTTTGATGTAGAAAAGCCCAAAAAAGTCAGCTCAGCATCTTTTTTATTTGCAGATAGTTGAATGTCAAAAGACAGTTAAAGACTCAGAAGGAAATGAACAGGTATTGGGTTTTCAAGGATGTTAGCCAATATGAAATTTCTAATAATCGTTTCGAGACGCTATTTTTGCAGAAAGGTGTGCAACCAAGACATCATTATTGCAACACTGTTTATTTCTTTTTGCCTGTTTTCCACCCACATATGTGCTACAATGAAGCCATTAAAGAAAGACAAAAATTCTTAAAAGCTATGGAGAAATTCGCAGACCGCATTGAGACGAGTTGTTTGCAGTTATTTGCAATTGTTTGCAAATCAACGTAATCAACTCGCGTTGTTTGCAGTCTGCAAATAAAGGTGCAAATTTTTAAGATTCAAGAAACAGCTAAGAAAATAATTTACCCGGAAATGAACTTTCCAGATTCAAAAGACACACTATGATGCAAAACGTATCCAAACAAAAAGACATTCCTGTTTCCAAAATACAGCCTCCTGCTTATTTCAACCCCCTCCCAGCTTGTCTTGACCCCCTATAAATTAGGAAAGTTTACAAAGAAGGGGCATAGGGGTAAGTGACTGAGAATGATGAGTTAAATTCGGCAAACAAAAATTCAGCAAACAAAAAACAAAAATTAGTTGCATTCAGCAATTCATCCTCAGTCAACGGGATGAATTATGTAGAAGTCTACAAACTTGTTTACAAATGTTTCCAAACTTTCAGATAGTTTGTAAAGGCAGCAAAGTTTTAATTCTTCAAAATCTATTTCCTAAGATTCTTTTTCGAAGCATGGCTGGAAATGCAATACATTGTTTTGAGGCCAAACATCACTGACCATTAGCCCTATAATTATGTATCATGTTAACAATATTTTATTTGATGCTTCATACAGTTTCTTCCTTGAAACACTATCAACCTTAATCATACAGAAGCTTCTTATCAATTGTATGCCTTCGTTGTGGCATAGTAGGCATTAGAGGAGGAGCCAGAAAAAAATCAAAATTAATAGTGAATTGTGCTAAAAATATACTCTCTGGTAGAGGTTTTGGAAACTCAATGGACCAGCATCCGATAAATCGTTTCTGAAATAGTCAATGAGTCTCTTTTGTTTAGGTAACTGTTATACGAAAAATCGGCGATCAAACACATAAGAAAATTACCTCGAAAGATAGCACAGGAAATGAAGAAGTATTAGAAGATCTCTTAAACATGGATGAAGGTTTGCTTTGAATAAAGATAAATCATTTTCAAACTTATTTTATCCTTTTAATCGCGTTTTAACGCATCTTACACCCTTCTCGACATACACCAGCTAAATCATAACCAAGCCAATTTTACGCATTTACAGCCCCTTAAGATTCTGCTAGTAATGTTATGAAGAATTAGTTATTATTCACGGAACAAATTTTGTAAAATTGCGTTGCTGCGTGATAAATTGTATTTTGTAAATTCGTTGCAACAATTTGCAACAGCCAAAAGTCCCTTATTTCCTACGATCTGCCAGGGACTTGAGGATCAGACAGAAAAATAATGTTGGTTTCCACTGCTTGGTGTCATCCTGTTTTCCAATTCTTAGCAAGAAACCAAAATGTGAGATGCATTAATTCACGGGAAAATGTTTCAAAAAGTTTTTCTTTTTTCTTACGAAGTCCATTAAAACCCCACGTAGAGTTAAATATCCGGAAAGGGGAAGGTCAGAATCTGATTTATTGTTGTCTTAGAAAGTTAAGTTGATTATCAAAGGACCCCAGCTAATACCATTCGGAATTTAATCCCCCAAAATCCTTTAAATGTTTTATTATTTTTCATTTTGGTTAACTTTCAACTGCCTTTCTTCAGGTGACTTGGAAAAATTTGAAGAAGCTTGGGCTAAGAGCGAAGTGAAAGGTCAGTGGCGAACAGCTTTTTTGAATTGTTTTGTTTATTTGTTTTTGTTTCTGTGTCTCTTTGCTTGATTTATTTACTTTTAATGTTATACTGTAACCTTAATTGCCGAGACAAATACAGTCATTTTTTATTTTGACGTTCCTGTTTACTTGTTGTTTTTGTCACGCGACCGTAACACCTAAAAGGACATCCTTGCTTGATCTGTTTGTGCAAGATGCTTCACGCCATTGCCAAGAGTGACTAAGTGTTTCTTCGGCAAAACAACAGCTGTGTCACGTGTTCACCATTTTACGTAATCTAATTTTTGTTTACATTTTTGTTTTTAAATCAAATCATTTTTCATTTATATAAAATCGTTTCACGCAACTGTGTTATTTCTGCTCACTGTTTATTGGTATTAAGTTCAATTCACGATCTAGAGAAACCAGGAGAAGGCCTACCTAGCGTCTCTCTTCTTGTACTATCAACAGTTATTGTTATATCTTTGCAATAGCCATGTTTCGCTGAAAACAGTTGCCACAACAAACATTCAACTTTCTAATGTATTTAGCTGTTTTTTCTCTGATAAACACGAAAAGCAAATACATTGCATTTTAATAACAGAGCAAGTTATTACCATATCGTAAAATTAGAAAATCTGAACTAAATTGCAGAAGATGCTTTTTCCAATTCACTGTTAAAACGACATTGTCAAAGTTTTCTAATGCGAGACCATTAGAAACAATAAAATTTTCTTGAAAAATAACGAGATCATTTGCACGTGTGAAGAACTAGTTTTCACTCAAAGCTCACCAATCAAATGTGTTTGTTTTGTTCGGGAAACGAAGCCTTCAGTCTTTTGTTTCGAGACAATACCGTCTTAAACCAATCAGTGCTACAGGGCCATAGCACATGCGCTGTTCTGTCTGGGACCTCAAAACTCTTGAACTTCCCGCCAGGGCTTCAAGTAATAATGCGCATGTGCGATGACCCTGAAACGGGGGCTAGTGCATGTCTGGAAGACGGGCATGGTTCATCTCCCGAACAAGTGTGATTTCTTGAGTTCTATCAAAGTTTATGGGTTCTTATTCGGGCAAAACAAAGAACCTTGTCAAGGATAATAAGGTAGTCGTTTTCTGAACTTTTCCTAAACAAAAGGTTTTAAACACCGAAAGATTTATATTTGAAAAAGACGTTCCAATTGAAGTATTCAGAGACGTTCCAATTGAATCTAGAGACGTTTCAATTGAAAATTGAAACTTTTCCTCGACTTTCATGCTTATTCTCATTTCTTTACTGTTGTTGTAGGAGTTTATTTGTTTCAGATTGTTGCATTCAATACATTCTCTGCTTGCATTTCCAAATTCATTTGTACTAAAATTATTTTCCACAGACGAGAGCATCCCACCAGCTTTATGGAAGAATTTTGACGGTCAAGGTGGATTTTTGGGTGGCAGTTTGTTCGAATCGGTCAAGGACTTGTTTTTTCCTCGGAACAATGATGACTGAGAACAGAGTTATAAGCTATAGAATAAAAGATATAGAATAATAAATTTTGTACATGAAAGAAAAATATTAATGTAAATGCTTCCATTATATCTGAATGCGTGATTTCTTTTGCGTATAACAAACTTTAGACGTAATAGTTCGTTGCTTGCTATGTAATGATCTATTTTATATTTAATAATTAATTCTTTATTACATAAATGTATTGAATAAGCTTGTTATTTATGAGTGATTTTTTAAGACGGGCAACCAGAATGAAAGAAATGCTGCTTATCATTATAAGAACTAATTCTGTTTCACAACTTAATTTTCACTATTGCATCGATGCAAGAAAATTATCAGCAAAAAATGACGCATAATTAAAAGGATAAGTATAACGGCTAGATTTCTGAAGACCAGAATGAAATGAATTACTTTGATAGTTAACTGGTACTCAGTTTATTTGCTAATTAGATTATCGTTATTTTTGATGAAGTACCACACGCAACGTACATATTTAATTAGATCTCTGAAGCTTCAAACCAAATGCCAACTGAACTTGGAATTGACAGGCTGACTGGGCTTATCAGAACTACCAAAAAACAACTTTGATGCTACCTTCACCAGATTTTTTGCCATGGTTCTACGTACATATAAACCTAGATCCACATATTTAGAGTAGATGGAGCTAAATTTCTAATATCACCAACTAGGACCTTGCGGATCTGCAAAGATAATGCGTCAAGTCAAATTGATCCAAAAAGACTCTACAAAACTGTGCCATCTTGTCTCTTATAATATCAAAAATACGTCTCCTACTATCTGGAGCTTTCAGAATCTCTAGAATTTTTCAGTTCACTATTTCTAGAAATATGGTGATAATCGTGGCTGCCTCGCTGTTCGTTTTTTCATTGCTGATTCTAGCAGATAAATTTAAGAGTTTGAAAATAGAACGGAAAAGCGGAAACATAGCGGAAAATAGAGCGAAAAACATATTACTTTTGAAACATGCATCACTTTCGATGAAAAAGTTGGAGCTGGGTGTTTTACCCTTTGAGAAGACCTTACTTCAAACAAGCAAAAGGATACATCACTTACAAGAACTTATTTGCAACAGATCTTAGAGAAAAAAGTGGAAAATAATGGAAGGAAAATAACGTTGCGAATCAATTTATAAAATATCACAAGATCGTCTGTATGTGACAAAATATATAAATATGGCAATTAAATATATTAATTGATTGATAGATGTAACAACAAACATGTAAGTAGAAGGAAGTATCTAGAACCAAGTAATTATATATGAAATTATATCAAATAAACATGAAGTTAATATTATCTTCTTTAAACCAACTTTAACGAAAATTGCAAATATATACAGATAACAACGCACTATTTCTTTGACCATTTAGACCAGCGTTCATTTACGGACTACAGATACTTTTTCGTCCTAATATATTGGGATTTGAAGTTCCACAGTCTGACAAAGAAAATGAAGCTAGGAACCATCATAAGCAGGAACCGCGCTATTCCGCGTCTACGCGCGTGTACTCTACCAAATGTCCAAATAGCACTATAAAGAACTTTTTGCGAAAAGGCACATTTCAAACTATTGAACTTTCAAATGCATGTTGACATAGGCTGTCCTAGGGGTGTTTTGTTCCTAGAGGAATATAAATTCTGGCTGTACACCTTGACAGGGAAATTTTTTTGAGAAGGCCTTATTATGTTATGCATGCTGGGATCAGAAATGTCTGTTTTATGATGCAGACACTCGAGTAAAAAACTATAAACAATTGTACAAAAACTTGCGATTAACTTTTACACACTGACCGATACAGTAAGATAAATTGATTCTGGCAACCCACTTTAAGAAAATTGAACATATCAGGTTATTTTTAATGACATCTCTTAAAAACTTTTTGCCTTCCTGAGACAAAAGCTGTAATTGTCTTAAGTTGTAATAGTTCTCTTCAAAACCTCAAACAAAGAATATTTTAAAAGTGATTTGGCTCTTATTATGAAAATCTGTTTGCTTTCTTTTACAATTGCAAGTAATCAATACATCTAGTGAATTTTGGACTATATGTGTATATACAAAATTCAATTGCTATTTGTGCATTTAAAATGCAGACAAGCCGATATTTTGAACAAGAATATGACTAAACTTCTATACACATATCCTAACAAATGTAGCAAATCGCCTTTCACTTGAACACTGGATAGACATACTCGAAACATATACTAGCATTGTTCATATATTCTTTAAAAATCTCTTGAACAAGATAACTACACCCTTACATTAAAAAGAATTACTTAAAAAACAGCAAATACTGCTTCAGAGGGTTGGGTGTGTCCGTGATTCATCTAGAGGGCCCTAGAGAATAGTCTGCTCAAATTTTATGTCTGCACTGCAGGGAATATTTCTACATCTGCAGGAAATAATTTTACATCTGCAGGGAATAATTATACATCTGCAGGGAATAATTTTACATCTGCAGGGAATAATTTTACATCTGCAGGGAATAATTTTACATCTGCAGGGAATAATTTTACATCTGCAGGGAATAATTTTACATCTGCCCATATGGGGCGGGTTGTAAGTCTTCCAAATCCCTAAATATGGCTCTCTACAATGCATCGGCTCCTTTAAAAATGGGTTAGCTCCACTGCCGAGAAACCTTGGCCAGTTCCTTTACAAAAACCATTGATATTGTCAACATTGATATCTCTGGTTAGCACAAGAACACCTGAGGTCTGCTCAGGCATGAATGAGGGTATCTGGCAACAGACATGTTTTTAAAACAAAGTTCTCAATAATACAAATATGGCTCAGTTTTATCATGGCTTCTGTGTCCGCACAGTGTTCGGACAAAAAGGTGTCTGGAAATTAAGACTAGCTTATTGACTGCCAATATTTATACCTAGATTTTCTTTGCTATTTGCTGTGAAGATTACCTTCAAGGCAACTTCTTATGTAAAGCTATCCTATAAAAACCAGTTTTGGAGTTAATTTCTGTTTGACCCAATAGTAAAGATACCTTGGTGGCATGAAGCTTTTACTCTTTAGTACAGAATCAAAATTTGTTTTAGACATGGCTCATGCTGCTTTAAAAGTTTGACATTATTTCACTTCAACTATATTAGCTTCTGAGCTCTTTCACCAAATAATTTCGTGAATTTGCTTTCACCAAAGAGATGCCTTTTTATGCCATTCTAACAAAATATCAAAGTGATACAAAATCAAAAATATTTACCATCATCATGACCAAATACAGTTACTCTTCACTGTTTAGATTCTTAAAATATATTATATCTTCTAACCCTACTTTGTACAAAATTCTCTTCCCTTCACTACTGATATTGAATACTTTCTTGTCCCCAAACATTTCTTGCCACGAACCTTCAATCAAATATACAGTCCTCTCTTGAGCTCCTTTCTCTAAAACTGGTGCAATCAAGTATTTGTCTCCAATTAAAAATTCACTATCCTCAGTCAAAGCAATGGTATCATTGGGTGCCAGCCACCAAAGCGGGCGCACAATGGGGTATCCAGTACTGGCTGCAATTTTTGCGAACTTAAGAATATCTGGGGCAATTATGTCTCGAACAGCCAGTGCAGCTTTTGTGAGATTAACCGTCTTTGGGTTATAATCCCAGGGTGCTATTGAAAACTGTATAGATGGTAAGAAGGCGTTGAGTTGAATCCACCTTATATACAACTCTTGGTCTGGTTTTCCAATGTACGCATTTCCACCAACCATATCAGGAAGTACAAAAGGGTATCCTAAAATACCAAAGGTCAGTGTTGATGTAACAACTGATTTCAAACCATTGTCAATGCCCCACGTTGATGACCTGTCAAGTATTCTAGTAAAAAGTGAGCAATTTTGGTTGCCATATCCAACTCTGACCTCCCCCAGTCCACCAAATGTTGATGCCATTTCTACATACTTGCTTGAAAAGAAGTTGACATTATCCAATGGTTGATAAAACTTATAAGAATCTGGTAAGTACCTCACTTCTCCTGCATCAAATTTCAAACCGTCCAGCCCAAATTGGTTGATGAATGTCTTTATCCTGTTCTTGAACCAACTGACTCCCTCTGTATTAGTTGTATCAAGAACAGCACCAAGCCCGTTCCACCATAGAACAATTCCAGGGCTCCTACCACTTTTCACCCAGAAATCAGCACCATCATTCAATGCTTTGGAATTCAGATTAGCAAATGGGTAGACCCAAACTGTGACCCTCATACCCATTGAATGTAAGTCTTTAATCATTTTAATTGGATCATCAAATTTTGCAGGGTCAAAATCAAAATCTCCATAGTGAGTGGAATATTTGTCATCAATCTCGAGCTGGCTGACTGGCATGCTGTGATTCACTATGTCTCTTGCAAATTCGAGAATTTTCTCCTGGGTGATATTTTTCTTGTACTTTGCCCATGTTGACCATATTGGTGATGTCAGCATTCGCGTATCCGGTGTTTGTAACGGCTTTGAAAAAAACTTCTCCAACATGTATTTGTGCACCTCCCGTACATTTTTAGACATGCAAACAGTGTAATTAAGTTCGACTGTGTTCCCAGTGCTTCTAATCGAGCGATCATCATCCGATGACAACAGTACACAAAGTTTTCCTTTGTCTGGATTGTTCACGCTCATTCTCAGGAGTTTAGTCCTATCTATTTTAATACCAAAACCAAGAGAGCTAAACATATATGGCTCAATAACGCCACCATAGCTTTTATTGACCTTTCCCTGGGCTATATCAAAAGTAGTAAACGGCACCATACTGATATTCGCATCATTTAGAAGCCACGTTTGGAAATATCTCTCCCCTATTCCGTACCACTTACCATTTCCAAATTCGACGCATTTCCCAATATTGCCTGGCTTGATTCTTGAAATCGAGATATTCCAGCACATCGACTGTTTGTCACTGCTTTGTAACGATACCCTAAAGACTGCACTGTCCGTTTTCAAAACGATGTTTGTATCCGAGTGACTAATGACTTTGAGAGCAGCACTTGCAGTGTTCGAAAGCTTTGTTTGGATTCGCAAGCTTGTGTTTGTAATTGAATTATGTAGAAGAATCCCAGCTGTTCTAACATTAAACACTAACGACCCGTGGCTTTCTTTACCCAAACTATAATTCACATCTTTTTCACCGATTTGCCGACCCTCTGGAAGGTAAAAGCTAAGCACAAAAATAACCATGACAATTCCGAGAATCCCCAACAGAGCCAATGCAATTCGTACCCGTTTCAACGTGTGTGCATGTACATGGCTTTTTCGTCTCGTATATGGACTCGACAGGCCGTTATTTTGAGCTACAGGGGCCTTGTCTACTGATGATTGAAGCTGGAACAAAATTGGATATGAAGAATCACTTGTGTTCGTGGTCTGCGTTGTTTGTGCCGATTTTGTGGAATATGTATCCATTTTCACTCTATCCGTAGGCCATTTACAGTGGCACACGAACTGCTTACTGCAAGTCTACTTCGGCGATTTTTTCTCATTCAACGTTGCACTTCTTAGTTTTGTATGGAGTTCCTTGTTTTTCTTTTCAACTGGTGTTCCTACGAGTAACAATTGTGCCATAAACGAAGCTTTTCTCTTCATGGAACGCACTCTTTCAAAACAATCTTAAGCCAAATGGATTAGTGATATCACAGGTGTCCAATACTTGTCAATCAATTTCTATTGTACCTTGAACCTCAAACGATCGAAAAACCACGTGGGAAACCGTTCTTTCTTCAATAATCAACCAGTTATTCTCGTTTTGATTGGCGTTTTGTTTAGTTGGTTTATACTAAACTCAAATATATTCAATAGAGATCGGCTGTTTATTTCCTTAGGTAAAAAAATAATTATGTTCTTTACCTTTCTGTTTTTTTAACTGCAATCACTAAGCGGTTGTCGTAGAGCAAATAAAAACATTCAAAACACGAAAAACCGGGTTTTGAATAAATGCAGCATGCAAAATTCATTCAATTACACATAAATCGGCGTTATTTCCAAAGCATTGACAGCCAAGGGGAGTCACTCAATTTCTATTCGGGGGGGGGTCCAACCGCAATTATCAAAATTCACCTAAAAGTATCGAAAAAAAATTTTCAGTCCCAAAAATGTCAGGTAAAGATTGCTGATAAGACCCAATAATATCAAAATACAAAATCTTGTTATTGAGCACATAAAATACCACTAGTCATAGCGCTTGTTTCCTGAATAATCAGTTTAAACACATCTGTTCTTTCATTCCTGTTTTTGATATTGTTATGTATTGAACGCGTAAGTATAAAAAAGGTATAGGCTATTTTTAGAAGCAGGTACCCAAAAGTATCAGATTACAAAGAAAATTCTAGCCTAAAATTATCAAGGATCGCATATGGTTAAATTGTTTGCTGCAAGCCAACATCTTACAGATTAGTAGTCGTTTTCACAAATTACGAGCAAGAAGCGGCACCCTCGTTGCCATCTGGAATGAGTAACATCTGTTGGACAATGAGCACCTGGCTTCTCGACACTCTTGGGTTGAAAGCAGCCACCGCTACATACAGAAGAGGGTAGAACCATTGACCATGGGAGACCTAAGATACACCTAACCCAATAGGGTTCTTAAGTGATGAAGTCACAAACATATTTCTTTTTTTATAACTTTTCAATTTAGGGTAGAACCATTGACCATGGGAGACCTAAGATACATCTAACCCAATAGGGTTCTGATGAAGTCACAAAAATCTTTCTTTTTTTAGAACTTTTGAATTTAGATAGATCACATAGCCTGAAAGGCATCATAAATTACAGTCTGCTCTCAATAAGTGGAACCCCGGATAAGTGGAACTTTCGTTTAGTGGAACCAATTTCTCCGGTTCCTTGGATTTGCATTAACAAATCTCTCTTATTTTATCGGATGAGTGGAACCCTCGATAAGTGGAACTTTCGACAAGTGGAACCATTTTCTTGGTCCCATGAGCATAGTTATCACCTGTTTAACTATACACTTTTTTATAAGAACCAGTAAATTTAATTTCAGGCTGACTGTTCTTAAGTTTTTTCAAAAATCTGAGGCTGGATTGTTCTTAATTTGTTCTTAAATTAAGAGGGTGTAAGCAGTGCTTTTTCGCTCTAAGGCCTTATTTGCCAACAAAGTGAGTGAGCAGTGCCGTCGGAACGAAATTCATATTGGGGGGCTGCCCATTGTTTTCCTTCTCATTTAGTACACTGTTATAAAGGAAACATGCTACAGTCTGACAATTATTGGGGGGCTCCAGCCAGCTAATCTCTAAAACAAGTTTGTGTGAAACTTTCACAAACTCTAAAACAAGCGTGTATTAAGGATTATTTTGCATAACTACATTGCTTCAAAAACAATCATCATATGGAACATAAACACTTATAAAGCCTTTTCTTTAGACAATGGGGAAGTTCGATAAGTGGGACTTTTTTTCGGTTTCATGAAGGTTCCACTTATCGAGCTATTCGGACAAGTGGAACATTCGATAAGTGGAACCATCTCTTTCGGTCCCGTGGAGGTTCCACTTATCGAGAGTAGACTGTACCTCTAAATATCGAAAGTCAGTAAAATATGTTACGAGTTGGATGAGATATGGCCAATGGAGCGTAGGGTCTTTCCCCATCAAAGAGCCAAAATAACAGCAAAATAACCGTTAGCTAAATAACAACTATGAATGTAAGTAAATTCAGCAGAGGCGGACTGGCAGCAAACCTCTCGGGTTGCTATATACAGAAAAGGGGCCCGTTCTACGTATAATGAAAGCAACAGGGGCGTTGTGGCTCCTAGAAAAGGGCCGGGAGAAAATTATCATAAGGGGGCCCACTCTTGTGTATGATATCTCCAATCATAAACCCAATTCACCAAAAATGATATGTACCTGGAAACCATGCACCTATGAAATCTTGAAAAGATGCCAGTTTTTATCATTTTTTAAGGTTCACCTGCTATATTTGCTGGGGTGTAGCCCCTTTTCTCTGACTGCAAAAAAGTGAAACAAATCCAATGCTGTAGTGCAAAGTTGATTCTAACAAAAATGGAAGAGAAAACCTATATGCGCTGCAAGCGAAGTTAAAATTCAGTTCTTAAACTGGAATTCCTTGGTTGAAGAGGACCCCTAGACCTCGAGGCCCTAGGACAGTTTATAGTGTACATCGGAACGGCGATCAATGTAAACACTAAATAAATCCATCCTTGACTAACGTGTCATTTCCAACCCAGCGTGTCTTATTTTACGTGCAGAGAACACGGAGCCAGTGAGAGAGACAGTGTGTTGCCTGTGTAACTCTGATGTGAACTGAACTGACATAAAAATTAACATGCTTATATACAGAAATGAATATCTAAAATTAACACGAATGATGTAAGGAAAACAAAGGATAGGAAGGGCGAGTGAAGGTGATGAGTAAATTGAATAGCGTGGCAAAGATTATGTAAACAATAGGGATTAGCGAATGCGTGAAATGAGAGTGACGCAGAGGATGCCTGTGCTGCGATGTGTGAATGTGGGAAAATGATGTAATGAATGAAAAGTAAAAATTAACGTAAACAGGCCTACGCAGAGTCACTACATAGCTCCCCTCCTAGAAGGCAAGCGATAGCGAAGGATTCGATAAATTGTAATATGCGGCTAGGTACAAAAAATTAAAGAGATAGAAAATTACGAATTAAAGATACTTAAATGTTCGAATATCAATTTGTTCGTTGACTTGCTTTCGTGTACCATGCGAGGGTCTGCAAGCAGCGATAAAAATTGCCTTTAATTTGTGACGTAGTCCGATGTTGAGCAAGGTTTTGTGAATAGGTTTACCAGGAACCTGCGATGAGCGATTTGCCGAGGTTTTGTGAGTCGGATGACCAAGAACCGGTAGAGCTGTTTTGCCAAGGTTTTGTGAGTCGGGTGACCAAGAACCGGTAGAGTTGTTTTGCCAAGGTTTCGTGAGTCGGATGACCAGGAACCGGGATGCGAGGGCACTGCAGTGAGTCGAGTGCGTTGATGCCAAGGTTTTATGAGTAGGGTAACCAAGAACCTGCGAAGAGCGTGAGACACTGCCGAGCACCGGAGAGTGCCGTGGAGCTGCCGAGGATGTGAGGCGAATAGAGACACTTGTGTCCGAGTGCTGTGTTGTCTAGCTGAGCTCGAGTGTGTGACAATCCAGTTGAGTGAGTGAATGTAGCTGACAAATTCGGTTGAGTTGAGTTGGGTTGAAAATAACGTCGAAGGATGTTGTTTTTGATCATGTCGGTCACGTCGTGGTCACCATTTTTAGTGTACATCGGAACGGCGATCAATGTAAACACTAAATAAATCCATCCTTGACTAACGTGTCATTTCCAACCCAGCGTGTCTTATTTTACGTGCAGAGAACACGGAGCCAGTGAGAGAGACAGTGTGTTGCCTGTGTAACTCTGATGTGAACTGAACTGACATAAAAATTAACATGCTTATATACAGAAATGAATATCTAAAATTAACACGAATGATGTAAGGAAAACAAAGGATAGGAAGGGCGAGTGAAGGTGATGAGTAAATTGAATAGCGTGGCAAAGATTATGTAAACAATAGGGATTAGCGAATGCGTGAAATGAGAGTGACGCAGAGGATGCCTGTGCTGCGATGTGTGAATGTGGGAAAATGATGTAATGAATGAAAAGTAAAAATTAACGTAAACAGGCCTACGCAGAGTCACTACAAGTTTGCCCCTTCTTGTCCCCCTCTCGGAAGCCCTGTTCATATTCCACGCATCACAGTTGCCTGTTTGTAAATGTCGACCTCCTATAATTCTGAACTGTGAACTTGAGTATAAATGTAAGTGAAGCGTTTTCTCACCAAAGATTTTGTTCATATTAGATATTTTCCTGGGTTTTACAAACTCACTTGAAAAGGGAATTTTTTACAAACCCACCAAGAAATTTTCCGGTGTCCTGCCTAGCCACAACGCCCCTGGTAAGCAATACTGAAAAGTTTTCTTTCTAAGGATTTTATCTTCATTTCTGTGACTTGTATTCTCTTGAACATAGATATCTTTGAAATTAATAGAGTTATTTTCTCGAATTTATCTCCGTAGGGCCCGGTTATTATGAAGTTGAGAGGGCCCGGGTTGCGATCGCAACATAGCATCCCTGCCAGTCCGCCACTGGTAAATTGTATCAGGAATAAATAAAAGATTAATGAATAACGATGTTTCGAGCACAGCCCGTTTGACTGGATAACTTGGAAGTCTTTCATTAGCCTATCTCACACGATGTTTGACACATTTAGCTGATTATGCGTATTTATTAGTAATTTGTGTTGTTCTTTTGATTATAGGGTCAAAATTCAAAAATTCTTAATAGATTTTTTATGACGTCACGCTTAACAACTCTATGTCCTATGAGAATAGGATAAAATAAACTCGGTATGTGGCCTTCATTAACGCTCATTACAATAACTTATCATTTAATAGACTTCTTTGGCAATCTTGAAAGTTTTTAAATATTATTTTGAAAATGGCTTTGAAAAAAGCAAGCATTTTGAAACATGTTACGAAAGCTTTTTGAATTGAGATGCTTATTTAAAGAAATTTAATGAAAGGATAGCCCCCCTGAAAGACTATTGGAAACTTTTGCAATAACTACGAGATATGCAAGTACTTGGTGCCAGTTCTTGGAAAAACAAGGCTTCTAGGAGGATTGGGAAAATATTTGGTCGCTCAGAGTGTCACGATTTTCACGATACCAGAACACATCATGTCATGGTTTTTAGGCACCTATAATATTGAGAAGTAATTGTAAAAACGTTTGTGCGTGGTTATTTGATTTTGAAGCAAGTCGTGCTTCAAAAAGTTGGGTTGGGCCGGCCCTTCGTGCGATTTCAACTGTTGCATTGTAGTTTCTCCATTTTAATGTGATCAATACCTATTACTTAGTTCTATCAACCTTCATTTATCTAATTCTTAATTGTCTAATTCTTTTATATAATTCTTTATGATTCTGATTCACCTTTTATGTTTCATATGTTTGTGATTGACAATTATGCGTAAACTTACGATTTTGTTTATCTTACCATCCTTTATAGGGCTCTTATCAGTGAAGAACGTTGATCACACCATTACACACAGCGAACTATCGTCCCCAAGCCCCTTCACCTAGTAATTTTGTTTCGAAAATTTATTGCCTTAGGCCCTTGGCCACTGTGAGCCGCCATTATTGACTATCGTTTCCATACTTTTGTCCTCTCAGTATAGACATTCTTTTTTAACACAAACATTTGGTAAGTGCTTCGTATCGACCCGATTACTTTTTCAGTAAAACTGGGGGGAAAACTCTAGGATTAAATGTACTGCACGTCTCATCAGTGGGGAATAGCCAGATTTCTTACAAATATAAACAAACGAAATCTTCTAAGTACCATGAAATTCTAATTCGTTAATTTACATACAGAACGGCACATTGAGGTTGTGTGTCGATCGGTCATACCAACAAACACAATCATTAAGATCTCAAAAGCACAATCTGTTAGAAATGATGCACCTAATTTACAATATCGAAATGTTTACTATCTACAGTTCCCAACGTAGCAATGTAATTGCTGTTATCTGTGACTAGAAGACCGCTGTCTCAACAGCGTCCAATTTCCAGTGTCCCAAATGGTTTTCTCTACTCTGCACTTGTCCCAGCCACCTCTCCCTTTTCATCATCCTTCCTTTGCACTTTGGCACCAGCAATTTTACCAGCACTGTCCCTGCTATCATCGCGCCTCCTCTTAGGACGCACCAAGCCTCGCCCTCGTGGTGATGGCTTCAGAGGTTCTATGTCAAGTACAGTGTGCAGCTGCCGAAAAGCGTGTAGCCTCAGTGCATGCTACAAAAACAAAAGACGAAAATGTCAGTAAAATACAAATACGGAAACAAATAATGTGGCAAGCAAGCAGTGCATTGCTATCAAGTCAAGATTGAATTTGAAAAAAAAACATGGAGCTGCGAATCTTGCAATGTTCTAACCTGCCTGAGAAATTAATAATTTACAGAAGAGGTCAATCTCTTGTTACAAAAAAAACAACCTGGGATCAGAGGCATTGATGTCTGCTGACCTGCAATCTAACTGCCAACCAAATAACACCTGAGATGTAGTACCTGGACAGTACAAACAGGCGTAAACTTATTTAAAAAAACAAGCAATTGATGAAACTCACCTGAGCTCCAGCAGTCAAGTCTTCCCTTTCCTGGTTTGAAAGATCACAGACTGCATCGGTTTTGTCTTTTTCGCATGGATCTAGTAAGCCACACGAGCCTACAAGATATATTAACAAATAACATTGAGATCACTTGTTATTCTCTCCATAAGGAGATTCAAAACAGAAAGACTTCAACTGGCTCTACCATGAAAGGTATAAGTGTTATGTCAACTGCATGGTTTGTCTCCTCAATCATGGTCACATAGTGACTAGGAGAAGGCAATGGAATATGCAGAGCACCGCTACAAACCAATCAATTTCAAAATGAAATTGACAGCGAGCTGTATCAATTTCCAATGCTGTAGACAGAATGCACTTCATTTGGTGTACAAGGTAGGCGTACTCAGCTCTGGTCTACTCGGGAGGAGCTTGCATGCATGACACGCAAGGTTCCCACATTGGTTATTAGGTAAGCAATTGCAGAAAGAGGCAAGAATGGCAAAAGCAAAGAGTGATAGCACATAGGTTGGTGTTTGGATAGCAGGAGAAATCCTTGGTAAAACATTTAAGGAAAAGTGCTAAATTGTGTCTGAATCACAAATTCAATGATAAAAGCTGCAGCACACATAAGATTTAAAAATCTAAAAAAATTCAGTCTTAAAAAAAAAGCTACAGTGAAGAAATGTTTACACTTCCTCCTGTATCTATCTCTAACATTAAAAGATATGGCACTTTGTATCATACCTTCCTTCAGATAAGCAAAAAAGCAACATGAAAAACCTGGCATTCTAAAAACTTTGCGGAAGATTTTAATAAAAAGCACAAAAGCACAAACCTGGGAGGAATATTCCGGATGAGATAACTTCAAGCACCCTCCTGAATGCCTCTCCTGCACCAGCAGGGCTTGGTCCACTGCTCAGGGCCTTTTCTACCAAAAGTTCAATTGCCTGAAGAAGATAATTAAGATCAAACTTGAACACAATGTTAAACTAAACTTACCTTAAAATAATCATAATTTAGTACTAGCAGTTCTTTTGTTTCATGTGCAGGTTGCTTCCAATATTTTAAGTTATGACAAATTTGACAACGTAGCAGAAAAAATCACCTAATCAAGAAATACATGTTTTTTTAAGTATTTGAAGCCCTGTGACTTACCCAAAGCATGAACCAAAACTTATATTTCTATGTAGAAGGTCATTATGCTTTAACAAAAGAATTCTTTTTTCATGTTCACTCAATTTATACCTTTTCTAATTCACTTCCCTTCATCTTTCAAAAGCCATTTTCAAAGGGTACAATTCATGAACAACTTGCTACATTATTTATAAAAGAATTGCAGACTTCACATATTTTAGAAATCATCGATGAGAATGACATGCATAGTAAAACTGATATCATTATTGACAATTGTTATCATTACATTACGTAGGGAATAAACAACATGTCAACTGCATGGTTTGTCTCCTCAATCATGGTCACATAGTGACTAGGAGAAGGCAATGGAATATGCAGAGCACTGCTACAAACCAATCAATTTCAAAATGAAATTGACAGCGAGCTGTGTCAATATCCAATGCTGTAGACCGAATGCACTTCATTTGGTGTACAAGGTAGGCGTACTCAGCTCTGGTCTACTCGGGAGGAGCTTGCATGCATGACACGCAAGGTTCCCACATTGGAAACACCAATATTATAATGTCTACCAAGAAACCCTAGCAAACAAAATATTTGCTCTGTGAACATAGTATTTGCTCAAACCACTAGAAAAATGTCAAACTTTGCTTACCCATCCATCAAGGACTTGAAATGCAGGAACTCTACTACACAGATCTCTCATAATACGAATGATTATAACACAGAACTGGACCCCATTTGCACGTGCCTGAAAACACACCAAATTCAATTAGTCCTTTAGCATTTAAAACTGGATTTCTCTATAGCCAAGCCTTGTTCAAATATGCACATGTAACATGCAAACTTTCATTTTGGCAGTGAAAAATTAAGCAAAAATGCAAGAAACGTGTTGCAAATGTCTACAGAGTTTTCATTTTCTGAACATGATGCATGCCATGTCCATATTTCCATAGTTTTCATACACCTCATAGGTTTGTCTAGTTGGCAAGTGCAAGCTGTCTAAGACAAGTAGCCATCTTCAAACTCGTTAAATAGCAAGACCAAAGTGAACTTGCATGACACAGTCAAACCAGAAGTTTACATTTGAACAGCTCACACTATCACGCTGAAGGAATGGAGAAGTGGCTAAATTGTACATTGGGCAGGCTAACATTACTGCTGCATTGCAATGACAATTTCCAAAGTGAAGACCACATACTTAGCTAATTTAAGACCTAAAGTAAGTAGACTAATTCCCTTCCTAACATGATTGATTTTGATACAAAATCCACACAGGATCAAAAAACCAATGGCTAGCCACCTCTCCAGCTTCAGATAAACGAAGGAGGTGTTAAGAAAAATAGAGAAATAGAAATCGAACCTGGAACCACTTAGCATGGCGTAGAGACGCTAGAGCTTCAAGGCATTTCTCTTTATTCAGCACTTGACCCTCTGCTGATGTTGCTACCAATAAACAGAAGTTTGGTGTGAGGCTTTGACCAAATAGGCACATACGCTCCATCAAAGACTAACATCTTAAACGTGTCTATATGACTAGAGTCTACAAATTATGTAGGAGAGGGAATTGAAACCTCAATTGCTTTGCTAAAATTTGCTACATATCTAGCATTCTTGCTCTTTTACATTTTCTAAATTGTTTTGCAACTATTACTTTGCAAATATCATCTTCAAAAGGAACGGGGGCCACATTACTTCAGTTGATGATATACTGGTGATTATGGGAGGACAGACATCATATTAACACCATGTGACAATCTAAAGAATACATAAAAAATGGAGCAAAGGTGCACTGATGGTCAAAGCTTATGACAATCTCCCATTCTTCTTCCTTTTCTGGTAACTGTTTTCTGGAGCAATTAAGGAAGCTGTTCTGGTGCACAAAACAACTTCCTTGCCTTGCAATTAAGTATTCTACGGCATCAAAATAACAGGTTATGTTTCTTTCAAAATGGCTATAGCAGTTTGAAAATAGTCACAAAACATGTTGGAGCTATTATATTACAAAACTGTCCACTCAACTTTCTGACTGATTTATATGGTCAATGCATAAAATCCTAAATCAATATTTAGGGATTTAAGGGACAGTATTAAACATGACCTCAAAAAATCAAAGTTTTGGGAGAAAGACCAAGCGCTGAATAAGACCCTAATATTCTTCAAGCAGCTCTCCATATTTATGTTCCTTATTTCATGTTTTTTCATTCCTGCATATTAAACCAATAAACGAGTTTCTGAAGTTTTTAATTGCCACATTTCTATAGATGAAAGGGTAGTAAGATTGAAAAAAGGGAATTCTTTGACTGTTTTCTCTGCAAAGATGGAGCAACTAATAAGAAAAGAGCTGAAATGACACAAACAAACCTGACGCATATTGATGCCAATTAGAGGCAGAAACATTTTGTTAAATTTTAGGGCAAGTTTGCATTGGGTAGAAAGATTTCTAGTTTCAACTGAATTCCCTTTACATGATTGCATTGAAACTTTGCAGAAAACCAAAATTGATGGCAAAAACTGCAAATATATTGAGAACCTCTATTAAGATTTACTTTTTGTCAAGCTAAAATTAAAGAAGAGTTGCGACTTTTGAGAAATTTCCATCTCTTCTATAACCAACAGCATAATATACTTGTATAGTAACACAAACTTTCCTCTTAACATTTGAAAAGAAAAAGACCCCTTTTTTAATACAAGCTTAAATGTATTTGACTTACAAGTTAGAACTACACTTGTGTATGCATTTAAAAAAACCCTCTTGTTTGAATAGACAAACATTTTCTAATATGGGTAGCACACATTTTCTATTGAATACAGTCAAGGTCCTATACTGTGTACACAACTTCCAAATATTGTCAAAGAAAGATTTCTATATGTAGTTTTGGATTAATCAATGTGGAATGATTTGCAAAATACCTGATACCTCAAAAAAATCCTCACTCCTTTGAGATGGAACAAATCACGTAAAAAACTTCTTTTATTGTTCAAAATAAAGAAGGAGCACTTTTGAAACCAGAATGGTGACAAATACAAACCATTCTTGTCCTGTTTTCCTTCTTCTCCTGGCTCTTCCCTCATGACTGGGGATGTTAGCTTGATCTCTACACTACACTTTGGATCAGACTGTGTTGAAACTGTTATACAACCACCTTTTTCATCTACTTCTATGTCATAGACTTCATCTGAAACTTGCTACAGGAAAAAAATGTTTTCTTATTTGTAATTTGCTAGAATATATATACAGAGACAATCATCTGATTTCAAGCTTTAAACTTTTTTGATAGACTTTCAAACATCTCAAAATATGGTTGCTCAGAGAGTGACTTTTCCATTCATGTTCTAAAAATCCTTGAAATGGCAAATTGCAAAAATGTGAGATAATAAAATAGGGTTTGACTGATAAAAGACATTAAATAAATTGTATTTCATGAAATTTCTAGACATAATTACTTGGAATTGTCATACACAAAAGGGGTGTTGTCAAGCAGTACCTTTTTTTGTTTCATCAGCAATATAAGGAGCAAGAGAAACAAATATATGCAAAAAGAATAAAATTACATATAAAATATAATATACTGATTTTAAACATACTTTTATTTTTTCTGGAAGGGCTGCAGCAACTCTCCTCAGCAGGGTAAGTGTGGGCTTATCTGTGAAAGACAACAGTCAACATATGAGCCTTTAAAAATCTTGCCTCAAAATCAAACTGGGAAATATAATAAAAATACTATACATTTCTAACCAATAAACCACTACACCTTATTACATAAAAATAGAATGTGTATTATTGAGCAAAAAAGGAGAAAAAATTGCCTAGGGAAATGCTGCTTAATTTTCACCATGCTTTTTACCCATTGATTTGTACCCTTTTAATGTGAGTAATAAATGGTCTATTTTTGTGATAAGGTATATATAATAATACAGAATTAGTGGTGCTTTCATCAGGCTCATTAAATCATTAATATCTCTCATGGTAATCAAGAGAAGAGTATCATCATTTGAAAGCACATAGCCTACATCTGACTTCATACAAGTACTGGTTGGTTTCTTCAGGAATTTAACAAAACAGGCTGAAGATAACAGAATTCATGCACTGTCTTCAGTCGAGGTGCTTGCCTAATCTTAAATGACTTTAGCTTGATATGAGTAAGCCAAAGTGCTTTACTTGCTTGAGTTACAACATAATCCAGCATTTAGAAGAAAAACTTGTCAAAATATTCATTTAACCTTCATTGAACAGCTGATTCTAAACCATTTTGCTAATTTTTCATTTCTGTTAGTTTTTACAATAAATTGTCAATTGCTTCTGACAATGTAAAATAAAATGTCTTATTGTTGGTCTTAAGAGGTTAGCATAACTAAAATAGCCTGAAGGTTCACACTTACCATTACACAAAACAACAAGCTCAACGTCTAGACTTTCATGCAACAGGAGACCTTTAGCAAGTACACCAACACGCATAACGCCTTTTAAAGTGCCTGAAAGAGAAACAAACAATCAAATTCTAACATTTCCTTTCAAAAAAGGAACAAATCCTAAGTGACTGAAGTTTTAAGTAGCATTTTTTGCAAAAAATTTGTCAACTGCATGGTTTGTCTCCTCAATCATGGTCACATAGTGACTAGGAGAAGGCAATGGAATATGCAGAGCACAGCTACAAACCAATCAATTTCAAAATGAAATTGACAGCGAGCTGTATCAATATCCAATGCTGTAGACAGAATGCACTTCATTTGGTGTACAAGGTAGGCGTACTCAGCTCTGGTCTACTCGGGAGGAGCTTGCATGCATGACACGCAAGATTCCCACATTGGTCACAAAGTAAATCAGCATTTACAGCAAAGGAGATAGAGGAAAATTGATTCTCATCATACAAAGACAGAAAGTATTGAAAATGGTTTAATAGAAACATTTCAAGGGTGTCATGCATCATTATCAAACTAACCCAAGTTCACCATTCATTCTGTCTACATAACAAAATTAGCAGCTTCAAGTGTAAAGGCATAGGGTTTGCCCTGGGTTATATTTAACTTTAGAAAATTCCAAGTTAATTTTTATAGTGTAACAGAGCCTATGTAGCAGGTTAAGTCATTAATACTTACGTGGAACGGACTTTGTTGTCATTGTTTTTGCTTCCTGCTTTAACAACTCAGATTTCTCATCCTGCTCTACTCCATCTTCCTTCTTAACCTTAACCTTTTCCTCTGCCTCTTTTTTCACGACTACCTCTGCTCCCTCTTGTCCTGCCTTCTGATCTTCATCAGCAATCTGGTCTGAAACCAGCTTCAGTGCTTTCTCTGTTGTTCCAACAACATTCTGTACTTGCTTTAGTTCAATTTCATTTGGATAAATCTTGTTGTGCTTTGCCATGATCAGCCTATCGTCAGGTGTTAAGGGATTTGGCTGCATTAAAAATAAAATGTTATAAGGCCATTTATACTTGAGAGCAAAAAATTTGAATTCTTACATAGCATTACATGAAATCAATTTCTTAAGGTGTTGATCAAAATGTATACAAAACCTATTTAAGAGGTATATGTGCGTTCTTGATTCAGCTTGATGCTGATATTGTGATACTAAATATAAATATATATTATTATGGAATATATACAATAAAGAATAAATTGAAAAAAACACTTACACCTTCGCCTCTTCCTCCCTGAGATTCAAAATATCTAGCTCTGCGTTCAAGCTCATAATGTTCCAACTCATGCATATTTCTGTGATCAGGTCTGGTCCAATACCTATCAACAAGGAAAGATTACAGCTTATCAAAAAGCCAAATTAATAAACCATTAACACAAAGTAACCATTGCCAGACAGCTTCAGATTGTCAGAGGTTGGAATCATCACTGATTATCTCAGTCCCGAAAGATGGTAGGAAAAGGTTTCATCATGTGCTGTAATATGGCAAAAATAACCAATGAAAACAAATTTCAAGTGACTCTATCACCTACCTATCCTCTTCAACTTTCCTGAGGTACTCTTCTTCTTCCCATCTACGCAATTCTTCTTCCCTCATCCTTAGTTCTTGTTCCCACCTCAGCTGCTCCTGCTGACGTGCTCGCCACATAACTTCCTGTTCCCTTGCTCGACGGGTATCACCTCCACCACCACTGCGCTGCAATCTGTTTTGAAACTTGCTGCCTTTCATATCAACTTTCAGTGATGGCTGAACTTTTTTCTGATAAAAATGAGAAATTTGGATTTTTAAGAAGTGCTAAAACCCAAGGTTAATAAACACCAAAATATCTACTTGATAAGGACACAATTGCAGCCTCAGGTTGTCAGAGGTTTATGCATCATTATATTTCAGCCCCGAAAGATGGTTAAGAAAATGTTTCATCATTAGCTGCATTTTGCCCATACATATATTTTCTCTGTTCTATTTTTTATTCACATTGTCAAAGGTTTTAATGCAAGAATCACAAACCTTGAAATTCAGCCTGTGTCTTCTTCCTTTTACATGAGCAGTTCTTGCCACCATATCATTAAACCTACAGTCACACAAGGTGCACTTGTACCCAATGACTTTGCCAACATCACTCTTTAAATCTTCAATGTATTCCTCACCTGAAAATGAATTCCTCACCAATTTAATGCCAGAAACCACTTGAAAACTTCAGGATCATTTAAAGAAAAAATTACCCTCACAATAAACACCATGGTTCATAATATCAAGGCTAGCCCTAATGGAATGGTAGGAATAAATAAATGGTTTCACAATTACACATAGAGCTTCAGGTTGTCAGAGGTGTGTAGTGTCATCACGTATATTTACAGAAAAGGTATATATGATATCATCATTAGCTGTGTGTAAAGAAACCAAAATTCTACCAATCTTGATGCCACATGAAATTGAGTAAACAACATGCCCTTACCCACAATCTCTTTTCCAGAATCAATGGCATCCATTGATGCATCCTCATCTTCAATTGGAGCATCTATTTTGGTGGCAGAACTTTCACCATCCTTGTTTCCAGACCCAGTGCTTGTGAGAGACGTCCCACCAACAAAATTAATTTTAGGAGCCACTGCTGATTTTGGGCGTTGTATAACTTTTTTAGGACCCTCATTTGCTGTCTTCTTTTCCTCTGCACTAATTTGCTCGGGTGTTTTAAAATCAGGAATTGGTTTCCCTAGTTTCTGATGAAGCTTTATGGTCTAAAGCAAATGGAGAGGTATAAAATTTAAATGATAAAATCAAAATTAACACCTTTTAAAAATCATGATATTTCTAAGAACAGAATCTATCCTTGGATTGAATGAAAAGACATACCAACCGATGAATGAAAACTTTTAAAGATATATATACAATAAAAATTGAAACAAAGCAAATGGCAAAGATATATATGTAATGAAAGTGTTACCTTGATATGCTTGGCACCTTTTAGATGGGCATCATATGCATCTAAGCCAGTACAAGTTATATCACACAGTTCACATTTGTATGACCCACTTGGCAAAGCCTCTTTGCTCGTTGTCACCTGAGATGCTGCTTTTTTCTTATGTCTTTGACCTTCGAGATGCTCTTTGTATGTCTAAAAACATCAAAACATATCAATGATTTTCAGAGTTTTCTATGCATCATCATCAAAAGCTGACATAAAAGCAAGTATATTTAAAGAAGTCAACAGAGCAATTAAGCTTATAGCTTGCTTGAGTAAACTGCTATATTGCTATGTTTTTAATGGAGGCTTTGTATATTAACACAAAGAATCCATGATTATATTTGTAATTAATGCTGCAGGATGGAATGAATGCAGCAAGTTAAATAGACCCAGCTTGAGTTCGGCCTGTGATCATGTTCATGGTCCCTACATGAACTTTCTGGGTTGTGCAGTCAACTGATGTTTCATAACAATGTTAAATGACTTCCAATGCACAATGAACTTACCATTGGTCCAGCACAACTTATTTTGCAGACTTCACAGTAATGCAACTGCTGCGGATTTCTAGGTCCCTGTCTTCTTTCATTCTGAAGACGAAACTGTGGTTTCTGCTGTCGTTGCCAAGGTGCTTTTTGCTGCTGACCTTGCTGACTCAGGAATGAAGTGGCTGCATTGAGAATGACTGTGTCATATGTATTAGCAGCAGATTGGTTTCCTGGTTGTTGCTGCTGTCCTTGTTGTTGCTGTGGCTTAAATCAAATGCGGGTGTAAAAATTTGATAACTAATTCAACATTGAACCATTTAATTTGATTTGTAGATTCGATTAGCTGTCAAGAAAAAAATAAGTTTGCTGGAAATACATCTTGGATATCAACTAAATTAGCATTCTCAAACTGAAGGAGACTAGCTGTAATATAACAGTTTATATATCAAGATACTTATCAAATATTTGAAGTCATCATTGACTTTGACATTTAATAATCATTATTGATCACTTATTAAAGAGATATCTAATTATTTGAATAACATATGCTGACTTTTGTTAAAAAGGAAATCCACCTTTGAAATGACTTGTCTTGGTTTTTGTTGTGCATTGTTTGCTGATGTAGCCTGGGATGAGACATTGCTATAACCACCAGCTGAGACAGACGCAGTGCTATACCCTCCCGAAGCACCAGCCTGGGAACGAACTGAGCCATACCCAACATAACCAGGATTAGTTGAACCAGCTTGGGACATGAAACTTTGACTGGATGATTGCTTAGACTGTCCAGATCCATATTGACCAGAGCCATACATTGAGCTTCCACCATATGATCCAGTTTGCTTCATTCCTTGGTTACCATACATGAATGAACCTGCAATAAGAATTTATGTTATAAATCAACATTACAGCAAACTAAAAAATGGATTTCAAGGAAAGCAATTTGATTTTTAGAGCAATTTAAGAGAGCAATTTGTAGCCCCTGTCTTGCATTTGAGGAGAACCTAGAGGGGAACAAATGCCATGACACTCCTATAATGGCCAGGCTTGCATCAAGCTATCCATCAACTAACGAAAAAAATCTATAGGTAGAGCATTTTAATAAATGAAAATGTCGATTACAACCAAAATACTTGCACAGAAAGTGTCCTTAATTTCAGTGCATTTTCACAAAAATTGAAAACAAGATATTCAGATTTATAAACAATTGTACATATTTTAAAAGATGTTTTGACATGTCGGCTTCTTGAAGCACTGCTCTCCTCGAGGTGGAGGGCTTCTCTCCCTGCACATTTTAAAGAATAAAATGGAAGTGCAGTAAAAGGCTTTGAATTTTTAATCTATAATTTTAAAATTGATTGCGCATTTAACAAAGAAGGTCTGCCATGAGACTTACAGCCTTTAGTGTTCTTCGTTCTGCAAATCGAGGAACGCCATGTGGGCCAGACAATAGGCTGAATTCACTGCTACCTTCTGGCCATAAAAATGCACACATCAAAGGTTAATTAAAGCTAAGATTCATCAAACAACAATTTCCTATTTTCTTTGTGCTTAATTTGATCAGCAGAATAGATGGAAAGCAAATATAAGACATGTAGAAGTTAGGGTCCTAATGAAAGCACTAAATATTCCTACGGCCTAATGGCCTAATTCCCAGCAAGCTCCAAATACCATTTAGGTTAAATTGAATTTCACCAACCTTGTGAGCTCGGAGCGTAGCCAAAGCTGGACTTCGATGCATCATAAGGTCCGGCATCTCTTGACATATATGATGATGTACCAAATGTAGTTGGATGTGATGAAGGTATCGCAGAACTCTGGTTGTCTTGCTGTCGACCATAGCCATACCCATAACCAGGACCTGTATCATAGCCTTGCTGAACTAGGGGACGAGGTGCTCCTGTTCCGCCAAAATTACTACCATAGGCACTTGATGCTTGTGCAGTAAACGAGCTTTGAGGATGCACGGATGAATAGCCCTGAGACTGAGAGCTTCCAAACCCGTAGCCATAGTTTGCCATCTCTCACCGTGCCGTGAAAAGGGAAGAGCGAAAGAGCATGCGGTATATTTCTACCTACCAAAGGCATGATGGGAGTGTAATCCAAATATGGTCATTCTGGCCAAATTTGGAATGCACCTGCCGAAAAGATGACCTTGCCGCACCACAGATAACAGATATGGAGATTGAAGGTGAACTGTTGCGCACCAATGAATATAAGATAATGGATGGGTGATCTGGAAACGTTATTCTTCCCCTATTGTGTCAAAATGTTATTCTTTAATCACAAAAAAATGCTGTTTGATATCAGGGGATCCTTGGGCCGGCTTATAAGGCCCAAAACTTGACAAATACATGTACATGCCTGGTGTAGTCGGAGCAACACAACGCGTGAGATATCAGATCTCCGTGCAGTTGACAAGAAGTTGATAACCTAAAGTTACCAGTTTTGATTAGGTCATTCAACACGCTTGAGATAGAGATTAGATTAAGAAAAGTCATAGTGAAGAGAAAACGCCATATTCTGCCCTCTCAGTCAGTAACAAACCAATCTACCCAGGCAGTGCCTATTCATTTCTTCAAAGCAATTCTTATTCTTCCATTGGTTTACTAAGAGAATACAAATACAAATTCAGCATAGAGTTATTTAGAATCTCAAACTTCCCTAATACATCCGTTAGCCCCACCTTGCATGTTTGGTGATGGTCTTTTTCTACCCAGAAATTATAGGTATTAGTGAAAGTTACGGTGGATTATGTTGGTGGATGAATTGGTTAATCACGAAAATGGATTCATTTATAAATTGTTGATAATACCAAAAATATATGAGTTTCCCTTAAAAATTATGTAAGGCTGCAACCAACTCTGTTCTATCCTGCTGTCTTGCAATCTTGTGGAAAAATTCATGGGCCTATAAACCTTTCAGGGAGGGATTTAAAACAAATCAGATAGAACCCACCTGTTTTCTGATGTTATTGGCTAAAGAATTTCAGTTACAACCAAGTGAGTTGCATCGCTGATTACGATACCATGCCAAATCAACATAAAGTAAAAATAATTGCTAAAAAAATTCCCAATATTGTACGTTAGGCTTCTTCTACAATAGAAGTTCGAAAATTCAACTTTAAATGCATTTTATGAGTTGAGGTGCAGCAGCTTAAAAAATGCTTTCCGATATTGTTCCTTAAATGCTGAGAACGTATTGTCAGGGTTTAAAGAAGTCAAGCACTAATATAGGCATTTCTCACTCGCGTTTCTTACAAAAACTTTATCATAGCTAGCAATGACAGCTTTTAACTAATAAAAATCGCAAAAAAATTGAATTCTTTACAATCGTTGCTTTCATGGCTGAGTCAAACAGTATAAGACTGTTATGCATTGCGTTTCTAATTTTTCAAATTGACAGTCTACAATTTTAAGCTTTTATTTGTTCAATTTTCTAAAGAACCTTTTGCATCAACTTTGACCAGGAGCTTGGTAACTGCTACACAGGGAACAAGCTAAAGAAAATTGTTGGAGGGGGGCTGATCCCAAGATTTGCTGAATATGGTGTTTCAAAGATATGATTGTTGGCAATAATGCATTGTGGCCTAATGTTTCCAGTGAAAGCTTGAGCCATTTGAGAATAAATAAACAATTTTAAGGCAAGAATAGAGTACGTAATATTCATGAATATGTTTATCACTATTCATATATCTTCAAGTTTAAAACATTGGAGCAATAGATTATAAACTTAGAATCTAGCATTTCTATTTGCTTTTGCCGGTAAATTCAAAATTAAGGGGAAGGGGTGTGGCACTGCTATTACCTGACTAGGAATGTTACCCTGTTTCCCGTTTGTGCGGGAAGAATTACGTTGTATGAGTCTGCGAAAAACATTCAGCGATGATACATTTGGTGGATTCTACGTTTAACTGATAGAAAAAATAGTTTTGCAATGCTATGAAGAAAGCTCTCGCAAAAATATTACAAAACCTATGAGTGAGTCTGGTACCCAGGGTACATACAGCTAAGCTAGAGGATGCTGAAGGGAGCAGTTTTAGCATGGATAAACCTTGCAAGATGCTTCAAGCAGAACTGCATTCCTTCAGAGTTATTGATTAAGAAGGGTGCATGCATTGAAAACAATATGTACAAAACTGGCCTTCCTAGGGATTAAAGAGTTTTAGATAGCATCAATTTGTTTGTTTTGCAAGTAGCACATTTCAAGGAGTTGCCTAGACGCTAAAACTTATTCACCAAACTGTCCTTCCTTCTTACTGCCATTTGCCAAGAAAATGATACATAAAGCCGGGCATTTATGCCTTTAGCTGACACAGAGACAAATTTTCTGAAGGTACTTCATGTTAGGATTGCGATGGTTAAAAGTTTATCTCATTACCTACATTGATATATATATAAAATCCCGGCCAAAATCGTTGGTTCATTGCTCCAAATTTTTGAATATTTTCTATTGCACCCCCTCACTCCCTCCAAACAGTTTAATGCGATGATAAGAGGCTAGATGTGATTTAATTGATTCGTTAAAGCTATTTTGGGGCAGAGGTCGGTCTTATTCTACTGAAAACAGTAAATTTTTCATAAATAACACTTAAACAAGCAAGGCGTTCCAAGGAGTTTGGCCAGGGACTGTAAGTCTCAAATCACAGTCGTAAAGCTGTAGGAGCGTCTCCTTGCATACTGTTTTACATTTGCAGTCACAGACAGGGACGACATCGAATTCTTTGCAAATCCATTACCATTTTGGACTATCTCAGCTGGTACATCTATAGGCTTGCTATAAGACCTTTTCCTCATGAACTGAGAACTCAGTTTATTAAAGATAGACTTCTTTCTGTTCATTGGTCTCTCCGGAACGTTTTTTGGAAGTCCTGATTCTCCCTTTCCTGCTCGTATAATACTATGAAAGATACCCTGCACATTGATATCGTTGGCAGCTGACGACTCCGAGTACAGCCAGCCATATATTGTCGCAAACGACTGAGCCTCATTCCGAGGCACCTGTCGTAGATGAGTCAGATCTGACTTTGTTCCTATCAGCCCGATATGTATATCGTCGTGCCGTGAATATTGTTCGATAATTCTTTTGTAACGCAAAACCGACTGGAACGATATAGAGTCAATGGTTGAAAACGCTATAATGAATGCATTTGCTGTTAGCATGAATTCTTTTCGTCTCGTCGTGCCTTCACCCTAAAACAAAAATTACAAAATCAGTAGTGAAACATTGCGTCGTGACGCTGATTGAAATGACCTTGCAACAATAAATCTTCTTCATGGATTTTGCAAAACTAAATTGCGCTGGTGCTACGGCCCGGAACTGAACTGCACTGTAGATGCCACAAGGATCATATTTTGTGCCCTTGCTACTTTCAACAAACAACCGTCGTAAACCTTTTAGAACTTTGACGTAAATACACAGTGTTTGCAAAAAATACACGGTATTGTTTTGGTACTATTTTGGTAACTCTACACTCCAGTTTTTTTGTAGCTATAAGTTAAATTGATGAAAGATGAATGAGTACACTCCAGTATGGCTTTACGCGTAGTTTTTGGAAAACCTGTTCCTCTCAACTTTTGGAAGACTTATGGGTGTTATCAACAAACAAAATGAAAAGCCCAAAAGGCAGGATTTTCTTATGATCCAAGAACGCCATAGTTTTTGCTCAATCTGTCCCTATCAATCTGTTGATGCCAGTATAACATGTTAATGTCGAATATCAATCATGTTCTGTCTTCATTATTTGTGACCAACTGTGACACATTGTGTTTCTGTACATCTGTAAGCATCTTACGTAGAGGATCAAAACTATAATCATCATCATATCTTGATTCGAGGCGAGGACGAGTCTGCAATAATACCAACATTGTTTGGCTTTGGTCTTCTCCCACCCCACGAACAATATTGAGGTTAAACGTATAGCATGGGTCTTGCCCGAAGGCTGTTGCTTATAGAGATAGGAAAGGGCCTAAGGGCGTCTGCAGAGTCACTTACAAATGATTACACAAGACCATTCATTACCTTGTTGGCTGTGTCTAAGACTTCGATGATGTGTGTTTTGCCATCTAATGTAATCTTTTTAGAATAAGCATCCTCTACGAAAGACGAAAGAAATTTTTTCAACAGAAATAGCAAAGATCTGACTGGCAATAGTATACACTAAAAAAGTCTAGGTCTCCCATTGATGCTTCCATCTAAAGTCTGTTGTGAAATCTATTTGCAATGCAACGTATATTATAGCATGCAGTAAACTGATACAAAATATGATTGTATAAATTGCAAAATAAAAGTCTTCTTACCAATTGTTGGATCATATTCCCCCAAATATCTTCTGCATAAAAATCTCACCAACAGCGCTAAAAAGGGATATTTAACTTCTATTAGTAATTGCTAAATCAAAATTGAACAATTTGCAATTAATCAATGCAAAGAAATGAAGATAAAATTAGTGAATAGCTAACAAAATTAGGAAATATTAGTGTGTCAAAGATTGCAAAATTAATTGACAGAGGGAAGGAATTATGTTGAAGAATCAATCGCGTGAACAAAGCCTTTATCAACTCGTTCTTTTTCGCTTTTGTTGCCAATCACTGTTGTTCAAATCTCGAAGATTATGTCAATGCATTTCCCCAAACTGAAGTGGCTTAATCCCAGTGCATTCCAAAATGAAAGAAAGACCCTGTGCAAATGACTATAACAGTTAAAGACGCTCTTTTTAACGTTGTCTTTTCATGTCAATATGTTGATTTACAGCAATGGAAATAGTATTAGGGGTGGACGTCTAAAGAAAACCAAAGATCGTTTACAAGCCATTTTAAGGCCCATGGCTATCAATGGATTTTGATAATCAATAATAATAATAATCATAATCAAACTCATGCTCATAAAACTTTTTCACAGTTGGTTTATTTGTAGTTAAGGAACTGATTTAGACCAACTATTCACAAAAACACATATAAAGACTAAGTGGAGTTTTGAAGCAAAAATCTATTGCCATCCCAACTGCGTATTTCAGTTCTAAAGCTTTTCAGGGAGGTTCCAAGTTTTATACCATCGTCTAAATTATTCCACATTAAACTCCCTCTAAATGATAGGGATTTTATACCATAACGCTGGGTTTTTGTTAATGGGAGTTTGCACAGTTCCTTACTTCGGAGATTGTACGGAACATCATTTTTAACGAAATATTCCTACATGTATTCAAGATTAATATGGTTGATCGGCTTATATTGTTTCAGTAGCGGCGCCAGAGGGGGGGACTGGGGGACACGTCCCCTCTCCCAGTTCTCAGCAGAACCGATTTTGTATTTCGCTTAAATTCGATGAGAAAATATTGGGGGAGGGGTAATATTTTGACACCATACTTTTTGTGATGTAATCCTATGATTTTCAAACTGCCAATATTCAAACAGAAGTTAGTCATTGGCGCTCCCTTCCGATAAAATTGGCGTTCCCTGTTGGTAAAAGAGCGTTTTTTGGTGGTTAAAAGGGCGTGGCTTGAACTTTTTGGTTTGTCCCCCCAGAGCTTAGTGGCTGGCGCTGCCATTGATTGTTTTCATTGTTTTCGTTCCATCCTTATCAAGCAGTTGTGGAAATGTGGAATCGTCGTCTCCGCACAACATTCTCAGTGCTTGTTTGTGGGTCTTGCCAATTGCATTATTTTGCAACTTTGATGCAGAACAACCAGATCAAAGGGCAATATGAAAAGTTTGGCAACACAGTAGAAATTGGCAATATCTTTGACTTTTGTGGCCCTAAAAATGGTTTTAACCTGCCAAACGCACTCGCTTTCTGATAAGGAATTTGTGCATTTCTCACATTGGAACTCTTAAAGATACACAATATTGCTGAATTATTATTAGATATAGTTATCTCTGAAGACATGACAGGGCAGGGTCTCAAATGACGGGGATCAAGGGGGGGGGGGGAGTATAGCTATCTCCACTTTTTGTAAAACGAAATAGCTTACGTACAAGAGCGTTTCCTGTGTGTTTGTAAATTGTACAAACTTTTGAACTTGGATCAGAATCCTTGCCGAGGCATCAAATTTCATGAATGAGAATCGTAAATTTTCTAAAAAGATTTATCAAATCATATCTTGTTGTAGTTTTCTAAATCAAGAGAGGAATGGAATTTCGAGGGGATATGTTGGTATGCATTTGGCGACAGCGTTTAGTTGGTTGGAGTAAAGTATCATGCGCTCGTTATCTTTCATAAACTCTAAATGCAACTCGCTTTAATAAGGCTCTCAACTTTGATAGAGAATGCTAACAATTCAATCGTTTCATGTCGCTATCTATAACTCTGGCCGATGTCTCGTTGTGGAATAAAACAGGGCAACCATGTTTGCTTTCAACTTAGCGCTACGTGTCATAGTAATCCATATAAAGTGGCCTCTAGTTTTCTGACAGTTAAACCGAACTATTTCAAGCACCTTCTGCAAGTTGCCTGCCTAATTAATCATTAAAACGGAATCGTTTTAGGTGATTTAGAAACTGTTCCGAAATCCGCATTCATTTCTTATTGATGCAGTTCAACAGGGTACGGAATATTGAGAGATTAGTAGCCTGTGGCGCCTTCGGTGAGTCTCTTTGTTGTGACTGCGGGGCAGCAAAAAGAACCCTAGAAAAAATTCGGGGACAAAAAGTTACAGCCAGGCAAAGGTAGAGATTCCCTTCCATTTATATTTAAGTGTTCCCTAAAACTAAGCATGGTTGTGATGGATTGGTTCATCAAGGTAAGTCCATTATCAAAAACAATTTGATGTGAAATAGGCTAATATGGACATGGACATGGACAAACATTATTCTAAATATGGACATTATTCTAAATGCGGCATGGCGAACCAAGGGGAAATTACTACATGAAAATCTCATACACCTTTCAGATCAAATTGTTTTAACTGAAAATCCGTGGAAGATCTTCTTATCTTCGTGAAAATCTCGTGCGCTGTTTGCAAGAGTAGCTGCCCCTCGTGCAAAACCGGGCCTCGTGACGCTTTAAAAGGAAACTTTGCTAAGTCTTAGTACTGAAAATCAGAAAAAAACTATCCATCTCTGCTCAATATTATTGTTTAATGCACAGATTTTATTAAACTGTTTTTCAAGTCAAGTTAAGTTTACCACAGGAACGCAAAATTACTCTCTTTAAGGCAACATCAACAGCAGAAAAAAGTCTACAATGATGGCGATGACAATAATTATCATTTTCATTATTGTTTTTCGTCGCACATTTTTTTGGCAAATGGGTGCATCCCATGATCTTAAATTTCAAGAGATCTTTGTGTTATGTTTGCGATTCCAATAACATCGGTCTTTCCAAGTAAAGATGTCATTTATATCACCTTGAAATTCATCAAGAGTTCCGATTATGATTATGATGATGAAATTACTATGACCATGATGGCGAATGGAATGGTGACCTCAGTCTATGGTATGCCTGCATCGTGTTTCTTATACCCAGATGTCATTGGAATTTCGGTAATGTGATGACCTTATTTATGTTTTTTCTTAATTCCCATTTACACATTACAAAAAACCGCGCCTTCTACAGAATTAGACTCGCTATTTCTGGATGATGGTATCTAAATTTAACTCGATTTTATTTTCATCCTGAAAGAAATAGAAGTTCATAAATTTCCAATCAACGACTGTTAATGACGTTGATAACTAAAGTGGCCGCATTAATCTGCTAAGTACGCGGAATTGACAATGAATTCCTGCGAATTGCCGAATGGGAAGTCCAGCACTTCGAGCGCTCGTTCTCATATCACTTTGACGACCAAACAGACACAGTTTTTCCAAGACGTCTGGGTGGGAGGAATACTAAAAGGAACTTGACAACAGAAGCAAATGTAATAATTCTGTACATGAAGGCAATTAAGCGATAATAGGCTATTAGCAACAAATTGCCAAGCAATGTCATTTCCGAGTATTGAAGAACCTGTGCTAGGCATTTCCTTGCAATCACGATGAACAACTAATGATAGATATCCGAAGATTTGTAAAAAACTCACCAGTTTTTCCAACACCTTCGTCTCCAAGTAGAACAATTTTGAATGGTTCATTAGCAGATGAAGTCATGTTTTCCAGTTTGGTCATGAACTGTTTTTTGCAGAATTAAAACAGCAAATTGACAACAACTATCGCCTTTCTTTACACGCTGCCCCTTCACTGTTTGCAGTAAACAACCGTTCTTTATTTGAGACCTACTCGGAGAGAGTTCTTGAGCTGAGCCAGATTAAAATTGCACTTATCTGTGTTGGATCAAATTTCCAGGAAATTCTTTGCGAATCCTTGTGATGGGTTACAGATTTGTTGTGGAAATCTCTCGTGGCATGAAAGCTAGTTATTGAATTTTCGTCTTGTGAACTGTAGCGATGAACTGAATTTCTAACGTTGCACCTCACAGATAATTTCTCTGTTAACCTGCAAGCGAGTCACTACAAAACCACCTAGTCATTACGAGGTCACCACACATTGAGTGATCATAATGAACTGTCGACCCGACTATTTCGCATGCTTTTATAGCCAGGAAGACAAAAGGACAACGAACAGGGTCTGTTATGTGCAATTGTTGTCTACTTGATCTACTCTCCACTCTTTGAATACACTAGTTGATACAAAGCAAGGCAATTTCCAGATCGGGTCTGTGGGCTATAGATAATCTTGCCCACGAGGAAAGGCGAAAACTTTGAGTTAAATAAGATATTAATTTGACAATCTTGATTCCCTTATCGACGCTCTTTCAAAGTTACTTCGCTGTGGTTTCCGTCACCGCCCCTTTGTCAAATCTCTTTTGCAGATGAAATCTGAAAGGAAAACTCAAGACTTAACTCTAAATTGACAATATTCAACATGAAGAAGGCAACTTGTATTAAAAATAGCTCACTGAATATGTACATGTGCTATAGAATAATAAAACCTTTTGACATGGCGCAAAGTGAATACACTTTGACCTTGATGAAGGTCAACTTGGAAATCGCTTCACAAAGAGCTATGTAAAATTTGCTCAAAAGCCTCCACCTACCATTTGCAACAGGTAGCGAGAAATAGTATTTTTTGCAGACATTTTTGATAGGGAATGTAAAGAAGATAACTAAATTAAAGCCTTTCCTTTTCACATTCTAAAATTCTTGTTTTGTCGAATACTACAGACACAACGAAAAGGTATGCAAATCAAAATTTATATACAGTTACCATTAATTTAATATTATATTCATGTAAATAAGTTACTGTCTACAGTCTATTTTTTTCTACCCTCTGCGATGGAGCTACAACTGTTATGAAGTCCACAATTTTTCTTTTAAGATATTTCATTGGAAATTGGCTTCTGTGCTTAAAATCACTTCATGCATCCGCATAAACCCACTCGCGTCCTGCTCAAGTCATACATTTCCAAGGAGACTCTACACAAGACCTTTTCAAATGTTACAAAATAATTCAGATTTTTGTGTAAAAACATTTGAACTATCAATTCCTGAAAATTGTCTTTCTACGCTTGATAATGAGCCAATATTCGATCACCTTGAAACCAACCAATGGCCGAAATGATTTTTACTTCATGATGTAATTGTGTTGCTGATAGTATGAGCTGGACCAGCAAAACTATGGGGCACGATTCACGTTTTTCGTGCTCCTTTTTGAGATATTCTGTTTCCGTTGTCAAATGTCAAAAAGCGTTAAAAAAATCCAGGCTGTGGAATAAACGAACAAAATGGAAAATTTCGTTTGAAACGAAACATTTGCATAACAACAGTTAAATCATTTCTTTTTAATCTTTGCTTTGGGCATATTTTGAGGACCAACAAGTAAAATTTGTGAAGTGCTTAAACACCGCCTTGGAATTTGTCGATAACGACCATATGCCTTTATCTTTCAAGAAAAAACATTACTTTTAGTTGAGCGTTATTCATGTAGTTGTCACTGCGAGAAATCCTTTGGAGCTGATCACAAGTTGGGCTCCATCTATCTCATTACCGATTTCGTCAAAACAAGCCTCCACTCTAAATCTTTTCACCAATTGCATTAGCTGCTTCAGTATCTTACTTCTATGTTACCAAACCTATGAATTTTATCTTATGTGATGACAAAGTTTTCCTTATGATATATCAAATATAACCTGCAGAAAGAAAATTTTTTGCAATAAGTGTGACGAATTTTTAAAAAAAAATGAAATGTCTATTTACGCAACGAAGAAACTTTCTTGAGGATTTAAAAGGCACTCTGATTATTGGAGGTCGTGTTCAAGTTCTAAAGAGGGAAGAAAAAAGGTTTTTTCTATTTTGGTGGTATGGTTACCAATAGGTCATTGGCAAAGCATAAATTGGCATTCATAAAGCTTTTTGATAACCATAACAAGCCATGCCCTTTAGAAGAATAAACAAGAGTTAGGATACGCCTTTTGTAGGTATCATAGCTAGATCTGCCCAGAAGCGAAGTTCGCAGGGAGTATAGGGGGTGTGACACCCCAATGATTTGGTGGGTAGATATTCAGTTGTCCACAAAATCCTTGATTTGTCGGTAAAATCCTCTGTTGGTAGGTGAAACAGCACCTAAATTTTTCTTCATCTGTTTTTGTCGGTAAATTTAACCCTCCAACCTCTAGTCTACGCCACTGGATTTGCCCCTATTTGGACGTCCCTGTTTTAACACTTAATCAATTGAATGAAAGTAAGGAGTCAGATAGTAAAAGAAATGAAGCAGCCAATTTTTAAAGAACAAGATACGGTTGAAAAGATGTTGATTATGGCGCTCCAGGTAAAAAGCATGGCCTAGGCCAAAGATCTCAAATTGAAATTGGATACAGGGTCCGATCATACCTTGCCACACACCACAATGTTTGAGAAACCCATTGCTTTATCGACGTTAAATGTTTCACTCTAACCTTAATCGTCATTAATAGCACAGTAATATCCAGATGACACATTCTTAAATCTCGCAAAAGATTAAAAAGATATCTTTCTAAGGTAATCAAAGTGTTCTAAGAAATTTTTAATCAGATATTCAGATTTTAAGGCACGATTTGATTATCATTAACTGTCCTCTGTAGGTAGAAGTACTCGGTATTCACCACATTGCTATTCGTTAAATATTTGAGAAGACACTCAGCCCTTTGCTGGAAACTCAAGCCTGGGCTCAAATATCCCTTTAAGGATTAATTAAAAATCACAACTTTATTTTGCAGTTGCTCTGACTACAGAAAGAGTACGAATGTACTAAGCATGGAAGAACATTTGCCGCCAAGCAACACTCATTTAGACTGATATTATCCATACTCGTGGTTCTGCTTTTTCAACAGGCACCCCACTCTCCTCCCCCCAATGAGATTGAACAAAAGTAACAATTTGTCGTTGCCTAGAATCCATTAAAAGCTTTTCCATTAGACAAATTTACTAGCCGCTGCAAAGGAGTTTGAGCCCTAAAGGAAGTTTCGAAAGTGCTCATTAAGAATTTCCCTCTTGTCTTTACTTGTAACCAGACATAACGTTGGCTCGTTGACCCATTTTGATGGGCTGTTCTACTTTTGCGAAAAGCTCGATACCACAGTCAGAATAAGAGGTTCCCACCCAAGTCAGATTTCAAGATTTATGAAAAAGCGAAATCCTTTGAAAAAATGCATTTCTTTTTTTCGTTTTGTAGGTGCCTTTGAGAACATAGCGATTATATTGATTGCAGTTGGGTTTGATACTCTTTTTCGGCATTAGCTCATAAAAAACGAACGCAGTATTGTATACTGACATTGTGGTGTAATGCAGTCTCGGAGAGCTGCTGCACAGCGTCGTTGGCTATTTTTCTTTGGCCAGATAAGACTATGATTCGAGGTCAGCTGAGATAGGTTGTTTACAGCATGGTCTGAGCAAGGCGACTTTTGTATGGTTTAAGTACACTTTGGAAATAATTGGGGGATGGCTAAAGCCTCCTCAGCTGAAGCCCCCTCAGCTGAAGCCCCCTCAGCCCCCTCAGCCCCCTCAGCCCCCCTTCGGCGGTCCCTGTCTTGCAACAAACTTCAAGGCTGGGTTTTATTTAAAAATAGTTGATGCTTCATTGACGGTATTCGATGTGTGTCAGACGCTGGGATCTATATAAAAGCAGAAATCATTGCAGCTTCGAGGTTTCTCTGGTTGTTTTTGTTTATCAAATGAATAAACATAAACCCTTTTCAAATAGAAAAATTTTCTGGCACATATTGAACACAGTGGCACGTTTAGTTATCCGAATTTTTCCATTTAAAATTGACATAGAATCCCGAAAAAGCCCAAATCTTGTCTCTACCTCTTGCACATACAGCACCTTGCATTGTGCCATTTTATGCTAGAACCAAGGAACACTGCTAAATAAAAGCACCTTACCTCAAGCCGAGGGTGTATGTGCTCCTTTCTACCACAAAAAGTTGCAAAATTCTACTACTTCTTATCGTTTTTAGTGATATTTTCCCTATCTTTTCAGACTTCTCTATTTATGCAGCGCAAACTTTGACATGAATTAATCTTTTATATCCTAGCAAGAGAAACATTTGGTCAACTCATAACATCTGAGAATAACAGTCTTGCCTTGATAGCAAGGACTAAACCAAGTGGTAACCTCTGACTAATCTAACATGTGCTTCAATGTAAAACTTCAACAATCAGGGAATCAGGGAGACCCTAAAGTTTGATAAAATCCGTTCAACGAAGCAAATTATCAAAGAAAACGATAAGGATGGTCTACATAACAACTTCTGTGTGAATCGCCTTCAGTCCTGAATGCTGTGAACTAAGCCAAGTCCAAACTAATTCCTATTAGATTGATTGATATTGATTGATAAGAATTTGAAATGAAAAATACGAACCTCAAAGGCACTTTATACTTGAACCACCATCCACCCTAGTTCGGTCTATCCCAGCCACACAGTTCTTCCCAAGTTTTGTTTTGCAGATTCACAAGACGCCAAGGCTCTGTAATTTTTCAACAAAGTGTAAGGATGCCAAGGAAAATTCGTTAATCGACAAGTAAATAGTGGAAAAATCACGCTAAATCAAAATGAATCTCAGGGCTTTTGCAAAAGCCGGTAGCTTTTGTGGATTTGATTCGAAAAACAAAACGATGCAAACACTGATGTACAAACACAAAAATGTACAAAGCCCAAAGCAAGCTGTGATTCAAAAGTCTCAGTCCAGAATAATTCCACGTGAAAGGTAACAACATAAAGGACTGTATTTGACATTAGCCAAGGACTTTAATTTTGCAATTTACTTCAAGGCTTAGAGGTCTCCTGTCACGGGCAATCCACGCTTATGGGCTGTACAAAGTACTATCTTGGAGGCGAGAGACCATCTTTGGTTAGAAAAGCTATACTATGTTCATCGTTTGATCTTTATTGGCAAATTCTATGCAGGCCAAGATTAGCAGCTAAGTGCTGCTGCAAAACAGGGTGCCAATGTTTCCAATAAGCCAGGTACGACGCTTTAAAGAGAGAAGAGCTTGAGACTCTTTACAAAAATATAATAACAATCAAGAAAATTTAAAAATTTATTCTTACTGCTTTCAAAACTGTGCCATTAATTATTAAATTAGCACCTTAGCTCAGGATTCAGCTCTTTAAGTTGCTGAATTTAAGTGTTTCTTGAAGTTTAATGTAGCCCCGTCATTGCATAGGGAAGGAGTCCAAACCTATACGTTTGCTCCAAATGTAGCCTTTGGAGCTATACTTGAAAAATTTGAGATCATCTCGAAATACTTGTTTATTCCGTGTCAATTTGCTGCTTATTCAATTTAGGGATGCACTGTTTTACTAACAACTACAGGCATCTTTTGATTATGAGTATGCTTGAAATCTGAAGAAGGCTCGGCACAAATATCTTGCTAAATAGTATATCGTTAAGGTATTAAAAGTCAAAAAAAGAGAAAGGCCTCTTGACCGAGCCACAACTATCTTCAAGAAATATCTTATTTCTTGGGTTTTGTTTAGGTTGTTGTTCATTTGATGCAAAAAGAAACAGTGCAAACATTCCTTACGAAAAATAAAACAGCTAATTTTTCAGCTGCTGTAATACAGTCAGAAACAGCTAAATTTTTTTAATTATCTAACCTTCTCAGCTCCACTTTTCTCTTCAGCTGTCTACCTTTCAAAAAACCATTCTCTTGAATCTTGAGAAGCTCCCTGGATCCTTTTGTCCTTAATTTGTTTTATATTAACAGTAAAACTATTAATCTTTCTTGAGCATTATATCTGTCCATATCGATTTATGCACTAATGTAAAAAAGAAAGGCATAGTAAGAAACCCATGAACTGCAGACTTAATCGCATGTGTTCTAATCGGCCTAAAAATGATCCTACGGCCAGGCAAGACCATTTGGTTGAAAATCAGATAGGGGATTCGCCAACTATTCGAGATAGAAGGGGGCTGAGTCCACATGAACAACTGAGCAGTGTTTGGATCTACTTGACCTGATCACAGGTCAATTTTGCAGTTCACAAGGATACGTGCTGAAGCATCACATATCTGCCCAACTGCATGATAAAAAAATAGAAACTGTAAAGGAAACAGACAATTTAACCCCTTACACCATCTTCAAATTCATGATAAGCTGCGCCATTGTCCAGCCCATTGATGATCTAGTGCCCTTAGGGGCAGTATGTAAAAATGTCTCAAAGGGTTGTTAAAGACAGCTGATTGTTCGAAGCCAAGTTGCAGTTTGCAGTTAGACTTGGAGACAGGCCCTCTTACTAGGAATTAAAAGGTTTGGTAATTTAGAAACGTTTTGAGGAAATGACTGGCGTCAACCGATAAAGTAGAATGGGAGGCGAGCGAATTCTGCACTATCAGGGTTATTCATCGACGATAAGAGATGAAAGTCACTAGTTCAAGATTACAGTTGGTGATTATTAACAGTCAAGTCAGTTCTCGGTCGCCATTCTTAACCACAGGGTCATGTCTTTAAGCCTGGGCGTGAGACACAAGAGAGCGCCATTATTCAACCCATCTATGCGCTGTCACGCATATGTCTCGATCAGTCCTTTTTTCCAATTTATTCTACTTTAAAAATAAAACACGGATGGCTTTGCCTTTGAACATTTTTTAGAGAATAGAAGTACGAAGTAAAACGCAAGACTACGAAGCAGCCAAGCAAGATCATTTGAACGAATTCTGTCAAAACTGGCTAACTTTTTTAGGTTTAGTTAAACAATAAATGTAGCTGAGTGAGTATTGTTTACAAAAAATTATCAAATGAATGATTGAAACATCAATTATGTTTGCATTTTAGAGTTTTCCGTTAGATGGATTTTCTGTGGCTGAAAATCCAAACTGAGAAAGGTAGAGGGTTGCTGGTGTAGTATGCGTTTCTGCATTGGCTTTTTCGACTCTAGAGTTTCCTAAAAAAAGAATAACAAACTATTTCTTTATCGTAAATCAGAAATATTATAGGTTTCCATTTTTAACTACTAACTTGATTGCTTAACTCTGAGAAATAATTCAAATCTCGTACTTGTAGAAGTGTTTTTAAAAATTCGCTATTTTTCAATACCTATTGATGATAACGCTTTTAGTTTATAGAAGAAGACGGTCATACGTTGCTACTTTGAGTTTATCAGTGGTACTAAATAGTTCATCAATTCGTCAACCATGAAGATGAAAAAATTGCACCGTTTGATCTCAACATTACCCTGCCAGATATCTTTTGATTTTTAACTTATAGCAGAGTGATTAAACTTGCCTGGGTATTAATTTCAGCGCTCCAAGACATTCCCTTTTGCAAAACTTTTGCTAACCGTAAATGACAGAACAAATACAAACGTCACCAGAGTTGTAGCTTCTCCTTCCTGGCTAGGGGGTGGACGGTCATTAATAGTAAAATTCTTCAACGAAAATATAGATGAAGAAAAATTTATGTGCGATTTCAATTATTGATTTTGTGTACCGAATGAAGATTTACAGACCAACAAGTGGAGAATTGGGGGTGTCAGCGCCCCCTACACCCCTCTACTAGCTACGACCATGAATGCCACAGCGGAACTGCCAGCAACTACTTGATTTAAACGAAAACAAGAAGTCCCCGAAGAGTTAGTCCAGAATGGTATTGAAAGCAGAATCGATTAGATCCTTCACGTCTTAAAAACTCAAAAAAGGCAAGCTCTTTGATCCTGATAATCCTGAATTTGTAGCTGAGTTGTCAGCTAGGATTTAGTCATCAATGTTGAGACTCTGAATTGCCGAAGCTTTATCAATGAGCTATTCAATGTTTAATGCATGCCAACAAAGATTTTCACGAGAAGAATACCACTTTATATTTTGATATATCCTAAAGAAATGGGTTGCTTCCTCATTAGCTGATGATCGATCATTCAATACACCAGGTCTTTTAACGAACTTATTTATATATCTACACAGTTCTGGGCAACATCTAATCTACAACACACTGGACAGTGTGCCTAGAACCCCTAGCGTTAGTGGGGCCCAAGATTCTCTGGCATGGTCAGGTTTTATCTGTAGAGTTTCTTTAAAATATGATCAGAAATTAATTAAATTTTAAATCAGACCACTTGGCAGTCATGATCTCATTATCATGTATGTGTATCTACAAAGGGGCCTCGTCAATATTCTTTAGACATGTTTTGTTTTTTCTCATTTTTCTGACATTCTTTTTCATCGTTAGCACCTTAGATATGCGGCCATATTAGAGTGTTTCATATCGGTGTTGCTGTACTGCATTATAACTTGCTCTACTCACCTCCACAGAGGCTACTGGGAAGCGAGATGAAGAGGGTGAAAAGGATAAAGGGAACTGCGGAAGAAAAGGAAAAGTGTTGCGAGGAAGAAGGAGGAAGAAAAACAGCAAACGATTGTAGGTATTTCTCCTTTTCTTTTCTCCTCCTCCCTCTCTCCCCTCTTCTCCACAGCACCTCCACCTCTCTTCACTCCCCATCTCAATTCGTAATAGCCTCTGTGGAGGAGGGTATTGTTGGGATGTCAAAATGTCTAGCAATCGTTGGATAAATGGATAAAGTGTAGGCTTCGTATACTTTAATTGAGATGATGAGCCAGTCAACGCCTGCTCATAACATTTGTCGACTGAGGCTTCTATTTCTACTAGAAAACAATAAGCTGGCTGCGAAATAAGCTAATTTTTGCCGATAGCAATTGGCGACTGAATGCTAATGTGATTCACAGAAATAGTTAAGAGGGAAAACCAACCTAAAGATCACATATGACATATTGCAATGACAAACCAAAAGGAGATTTCCTAATGGTTTCTTCCTCGGATAAAGCCACTTCTTTGTGTCTGTATTGAAACAGAACAATTCCTTAAAACCGAGTTCGAAGGACGCCATACCATGGAAACCAACCTAAAAATGAGGGTGGGCTGCGCTGTAGGCAACTTCTAGAAGCCACACCCCTGACCACACCCATAAACATACCCATTATACTTCTCAGACACTCCATTGGCCTTACTCGGGTAGTGCTGAAATCATCAGCTGGGAATTCGCGAAAACACGTGCTCTCAAAGGATACTAAGAGTGACTAAAGCCGGCTAGGCCAAAGACAAAATTCAAAGGTCAGGGATCTGAAACTGTAATCAGTACTTTGCTTTGTGACAGTTACAAAGATAACATTGAAACTTGACAAGTGGTCACAACGAATAAGGGTCAGGGTCAGCAACGTCGGTTTCCGTTGCGGCCATCGAGCAATCATAATGGCGGCACAAATAACAAATGCACGTCTGTAACGCTCTGTTGAAGGAACAAGACACAAGTTCAGTTACTTTAACTAGCTTAATAGCTACGGAACTACAATAGCCAATATGAGTCAACACAAGCTCCACCCTTTATAATCAGATGGTGATTTCAGAATCCTACCAAACAATGTATCTTTCATCAGGGCATATGTAAAGTAACTTCTAACGAAATTTATTGAAAAGATTTTTCCAAAAATTTAATCATACCTATTTCTAACATGTGTTCGTTCTACGATTTCTTGAGGTGTATGTTTAAAAAAAGAACAGAGCTCGCAAACATCTGTTACCAATTAAGCAGTGGCACACTGATTTTTTTTTCATCTTTAGGTCGTAAATTAGGTACAGCAAGCACCACACTGTTTTTAAAATGTATGACACGCGTTGAAACGGATTTTTTCATATTTTGCACCCCCTTACTGCCATTTGTGCCCAGAAGCATCACTTTATGGTATTTCAGTTTTAACTATTTGGTTACTACTCAAGAATATTATCACCTGACAAGTATGACATATAACAATCAGAAAAGACACAGCCTTTGAGAAAATAGCACAAATCCGATTTTCTAAAACCATTTGTTTTAAACACGAAACTAGAACTAAATGTAAACTAATGAATGCATGAAAACTCTGAATTTATGATTTTACAAACTATTTTTGTTTTTATTGCTAAAATTCCTGCATTTACAATATAAACACCATTCTATTGTAACTGAAGTGTTGTTAGCTTTTTCAGTTAATGTCATGTTCATGGGGCAGATGGTGCCTCCGCGGGTAAAACGTGTACCCTAGGGGGTATTCTAACAGATTTGACATTTTTGCTGTATATATATCTGCATATCGCGTCAACCTCCTTGAGAAGTATGTCGGGTTGTGATACGTTCTGAAGACGCTTCCAAAGAAAGGATTGAAAATACTTTTCAGCTTTTGCCTACAAATAGAAAAATATTGTTACTAGAAAAAAACGTAATTTTGGTTTGGAAATCGGAAATGAAAATAAATTAGACATCTAATGAAATTCAAAACGAATGAGTGCGATAAATCAAGTCAGAACTAATTGGGTTTTCAAGTTAACAATGTTTCACAACGTCGAGAATTATTTTACCTGAGCTCTCGTCTTTCGTGTTTCCATTCAAAAAATAAATTTTTCGCTTCTATTTCATTGTGGACCTAGAAAATAGAGCGCTCCCACTAAAATATAACATAGAAAAATTGGTTGTGACAAATCGGTGAACGTTGGCCTCTCAACTAATCGAAGGTCCGAGAGAGAAAATGAACATTTCCTGTCTACAAAAGTCAGGATCTAGACATATTCCAAAACAAGTAAATGAAAAGAAGATGACTAATGATTTTGAAATTTCCAAAAAGAGCAATCATTTAGAGATGAAGATTAATCTAAGGAAACCTCAATTGTAGCTACTTATATTAATATATAAAACATCAAGCTGAAAATTACTGTTTCCTGGTCTGTCATAAAATGCTTGTTACCCTATAAGCAGAGCTGTACACACTTTAGGTGGAAAGAACAGGGCAGTATTAAGTTGCTAAGTAGGGTTTTTATGAGGTATAATGAACGCTTTTCCAGTTGAACAAAAACTTCTCAACTTATGTTAACGATAAAGAAGTTGCATATACCCACAGGATAGGCAGCATATTGGAATAGAATGCTACAACGGTGCAACTTAAGGGGTGCTAATATAAAACACTACTGTGAAAGGTGGTTAGATGCAGCTTTTTTGTCGACCTTATTCTAAGGAAGGGAAAGGATTGTTTACGGGAAGGAAAGGATCGTTTTTGAGAGGGATTGCCCCAAAAATATAGGTAGAATTTGAGATCTATATATTACGCAGATCTGCGCAAGAAAATTTCAACACTTGTAGTTGCGAATGAAAAAATTTCTTTAACCAACCTGAGCTATTGCCATGAGATTTTCAAGGGCAAGCAACCACTGAACATTTCTTCTGTACTCTTTTGAGTTAGATATCATGATTTCTCGCTGTGGATACAAAAGAGGAGTGGTCAGTAGACTTTTTCAACAGTGCTTCGTGCAAAAGATTTTGATAATTATTAAAGAGTTGAAGTTTAGTAGGTCGCTGTCAACTTCTATATAGATTGTTGCACTTGGAGTTTAAAATCAAACGAGAAATTTCATTTACTGCAACTGATTTCCTTGAACTTGGAAGCAACGATGCTAAAATTGGCTGATCTCGTTCTCTGCCTACATGGCGTGGGTTTCTGAGCTAGGCACTCAAAAGAAAAAACATCAAACAGTTTCTAGTTGAGCAAAAACGAGGAAAAGCTCTCTCTAAACCTCTCTATGATACATTTTCATATTGGAATAGTCAAGACAAACTCCCCACATTCATTTTCTTTCTCACCTCAAGTTCCGGCAAAATAGCACCAGTTCTCCAGCCATGCCTCATAACTGGATCCTAGAAAATCAAGATTATCGATTTTTTGAGCCAGACTGATAACATCAACAAAGAAATTAAAACAAATTTTAGCAGAATACAAGAGACGTTGCATGGGGGCTTTTGATGCAAATTTGATTGTAAAATTTTTAAAAAATCCCACTGGTTTACATCTAAAAAAACCAATAGCAAACCAATAGAGTTTCTGATCTTTGTCTGTTATTTTGACCTTTGACTGAAATCAGATTTTACTTGACCTACACTGGGATTAGCCTTAGATAAGATGGAAAAATGGCTAACTCCTTCTCGTCATTTATCAAAACATGCATACATGCCTACTGTTTATATTTTTCAAGTTGTGTTTGCTTTGTTTGTAATTATCCATATAGTGTTCACAAATAGTTCAATTGAGTTTTTAACAGAGCATTACCTTGTATAAAGAATTAAATTAAGTAAAATGAGCTAAATAAAGTTCAAAACACACTGTGTAAATTGTACGGCAACAAATGTTGTATGTAACTGCATACAAACCATCAAATCGCTATACACGTGGTCTCCGAAATACAAAACATGTGGACCTTCCCATTCTGTAAAACGAGCAAACAGTTTGATGTTCCCCTGTGAAAATGAAAATCCAAGAATATAAAACACGATGGCAAGATATAACGCAAAACAACTTGCTTGTTAAAAGGAAACCAGGAATAGGATAAATCGCCTTATATACAGCATCTGCTCCCAAAACAAGGTTTTTTTTCGAAAAGAAACGTTTGGCATCCTATTTTTAATAACTTTAATTAACCTCACATAACGCTTTGAGCAATATTGATTTCAAATTCTCTGCTTTGTTACCATTTCGTTATAGACGCATATTGATAAGAAAATTTAAATAATAAAGGCTGTTTACAGTTTACATCAAGTATGAATTTTAAATTGGTTAAATGGAGGCTGGAGGCAAGATTGAGAAACTGACGAAAAGCAGAATGAAAATGGGGGAAATCGAAAGGAGAACCGTTACCTCTGAGTAGACTTTTCCTGGTTCAAACTGGTTCACTTGGTTCCAAGTTGGAAATCCAGTTGCCGTATCGACACATCGAAAAGGCCTAAAGGTAAATTTCGCATTGAGTTTACAGTTAATTTAAACATTTTAAGATAAAAACTAAACATTTTTAAGATAAAAACTAAACATTTTAAGATAAAAACTATACTATTCAAGATGAAACCTGGCTTTAAGCTATCAATGGCTGAGCTTTTGACTCAAATGCAACGCCAACTATAAAAAGAGACTGAAAAGAGCTTCGTGTTTCATTTGGTTCCAAAACCTACAGAAAACTCCAAAATACTCCAGACTAGCAAGGCATTCGACATAGGGGCGTTCAATTTAAGCAAGGTTCTCTTAGTTCGTAATGAACAAATCAGACTAACATGATCACCCTTGGCCAAAAACTATGGCGGTACGCTAGTTGTAACAGAGCTTACTCAGTGATATAAGATATAAAACACATTAAAGGTCACTGGGATGCAAAATATTACACGAAAATGAAACAGCCAAATCAACTTGATTCTTTGAAGGTAGTTTTTTAGGAAGGAGGCCAGTGTAAAGCAATGCAAGGATGGCAAAAATAGATAAAAGCTCTTCAAAAAGCCTCGAAAATCGTCACCTTTGAATGTCATTAAAGAACCTCGGCTTCCTTGCATCGGTGACTATGACGTCAAAGAGGTCTCTCCAGTCAGGGCCCATCAGGTGAACCATTCCTTTGTTTCTATGGAGACATGATACGTTAAAATGGTCACACTTTGCAAATATGAATCCATTTGTCGTTTTGACGGCCAAATGCCTCCATTTTGGCCGCATTCAAAACACTTTGCCGTCGAGAGTTGATATGGCCTATAAAACTAAAGTTGGCCTAGTTTTGGCAACACGTTGAGGACCATGAAAAAAAAAACAATTCCTGCAAAGATAATATTGAACAGTCTCTTGAATTAATCTTAAAATTGCAAATGACGAAACATGAAACAAAGTAAAAGATAACAGCAACGAAACATTCCAATTTGGATTACATTATTACTCGCCACAATTGATCGTGTTTAACACAGCATTCTACCTAAACGTATAATGATCGATCGAGGAAGGAAAACAGAAGTAACAGAGCAAAACGTGAGTGAAATGAAATGAGTGAAACGTGAGTAACTAACGAACCAAAACACAAGTGGTTGAATACAAGAAGCTGAGTGAAAATGATTCAATGAAGAAAAACATTAAAGATATGGAAGATATCTCGCATAGTTTAACACAACCTGCTATAAAAAGCACAGGAGCACATTGCCTTCCTTCCCTTTGTATTCACTTCATTCTGCTATTTTCTTGGGAAATGGGCTTATACGTCACCCCCTTTGCCTTCACTCTCTAGGGCTTTCTTGTAATCAAGGAAAGATATAGCTTACATGTATCATAATATTACAACATAATCATGGAACCCTTCCAATCGACCTAATGCCCCATTACCAACCAGTGATCGACCTAATGTCCCAGTCATCTTTAGCAGGATACCAATATCGATTTGAATCAGACCAGACAAGTTTCAGTTTTGAAAACGAGTGAGTTTTTTAAAAAGAAGGTTGGCATGGGCGGGTCTTAATCGATCTAGAACTAATCCTGACCGCCACACACGCAAAGCAGGGTCACAGGGCGTACCCCATGAAGATATTCCTTTGCCGCGCCCTCTAATTCTTCAGAAACACCTTTTTGAGCAGGGACCGCAGAAGCGGCGGGGGGATTGAGGGGGCTTTGATTTTCGTCATTTTATTCAGTTTTTATTGAGAGAGAATCTATAACAGTACAAAATGCGTCTGACTTGGCAGGTCTGTTTGAATAGGCGTTTCTAGATACTTACACAAAATTGTATTTGCTGTTGGTTATCATAAACAGCTTCTTGCCATGTTGCTTCAGTTTGTGCAAGAACTCCTTCATCTCTGGATTGGCGGGTAGGTATTTTTCTGCAAACAAAGCAGGTTGAACAAAGTTAAAGTATGCATTTTCTATCAAGCGCTTGGAGGGGAATTGTACAAAATACAGAATGGTACTGTATTTCTTCAGCAAAGGATGAACTGTTTTACTTCAGAGAATGAACGGGTTAAAGATTTTTCAAGGAAACATTACTATATATATTACAAATGCTTTATTAATTTTGTAACACAATATTAGACTTCCTTACACTTATTAACAATCATTATTAGCTTTATGATTTACGTTTATTCGCTTTTGTTCCTTCTTGTCGCATTGCGCTCTTTCTTATTTGCTACATTTTTATCGATTTCTTATCATTGATTTACATTAGAATTTGTGCTTTATTTTTCCACTTATATACCATCTGTTAACAATTGCTTGCATTACTAATTCCATCCCCTATGCTTAATAGACATTCCACCCTACTCCTGTCTATTCCCATTCTCGTATTGAAAATGCGACCCTTTAATGTCCTAGCTTGACTAACATCTGCTTGCTATGATGTTGACAAAACTAAAAACACTGCACAGCGTGTGTCTAGGCCCAGTGCTGTGATTTTTTCTTCATATTCAAATATTGAGCCAGCTGTATAGCAATACAAACAAACAATTTGACTGCAACCGGTTTTTCCCTCTCAGGTTAACTGTGTGTGACGTCACTGTTGAGTCTTTCAGTGCGCTAAACACAATCTGTTCAAACATGAATACTTGACAATAGCAGAAGCTTTGTCACAGCAAATGTCTTGCAAAGGACTATTTATCTCTTCAACAGTGACGGACACTTGGGGGGGCGAGGGGGGGCGACCGCCCCCCCAATACTTTAGAGAACAATGGTCTTTTGTTCTAAAACAATAGGAAATGTGACATCATCTTATTAAAAAAATAGGCCTGCCCCCCCAATATTTGACCAAGTGTCCGCCACTGCTCTTCAAGCAATTTTGCTTTTAAGGCATTTGCCAATTTTCTCAAGCAGCTTTTTACTGGTGCTACCTCTGTGATTGTTCACCTCAATTGAAGAGCTATACCACACACTGACATTTTTCTCAACTGGTCTAATTTCAAAGTAGACAATTTTTTTTCCTCTTTAAGCTAGCCAATGGTTAGTAAAAACAAAATTTTTTACATTGATGTCTTAAAGAGAAGAAACAAAAGACGGCTGAGGTTTTCGAAAGCCACTGTACTTGATGCAAATTGACCTTACCTAGATTGCCTGTGATTGCATCATACATGACACCTTTATAATGAACTGCCTGGGTAGCTCTCTGCAAAATGAGACAAAATTAGCACACATCTCAGATTGCAAACAATTGTGATCTTGAAACATAAAAATCAATGCCTTTCTGAAGATAAGACAAAGCAGGAAAAAACCAGATTACTGCAAATACTTTTAAGATGCTCTCCTTCTTAGCATAACTTTTTTGTTAATTTCCTCCCTGGTTTGCAAATTGTCGATACTAGCTAAAGTGACAGCAATTTTGCTTGCAAAACAGGGTCCCTGTGCCTTAAATCGGTATCATTATGTACACAATTTTGATTAGAAAGAAATTATACTTGTACCAGTACCAGTAATGGCAATCACTTTTATCAGCAAGGACAATGGTTGACACTGAAGAAAAGTCAAACCTGCTACTTCACAAAAACAAATGGAATTCAAATAAATTTGCAGATACCAATTGCTCTTACCTCACAGTCGTAATAAACATACTCTGGATCATAAGTTATGTTGTTCTGATAAAGATACTGGAAAAAGAAGGGAAATTGTGACATGTAAGCAAATAATGTTTTGATTTTTCTAATCATGTATACATGCTAAGAATATTTTATGACTTATAAAAGATATGCAAAATTATTTTCAATAGTCAAGAAAAGACAATTTCTTCTTGAATTTGAAACAGGAAAGAAGTAGACTTGGTACCCATATGCAATGCTTCAACTTGAACAAAGCACAGCAATTAGCCTCACTTTAGGAAGGCAAAATAGGCACTATTCAAAGAGTTAGCCGATTTGACCTTGGATTAGGATTCAGTAATTAAAATTTAGTCCAGCTAAAAGTTTTTACTTATATGTATTTTAAGACAATATAAAGTTAGAAAAATTATAAGGAATTAGACTGAAAAAACAATGCTGGGAGTATTCTCTCAATCAAACTCCCAAATTATTTTCTCAAATAATCAACAACACGAGTATGAAAATTTGCAACAAGAAAAATTTTTATTGCTGAATCTGAACCAATTAAAAATTGTATATTTGTAACAGTGGCAGACACCTGGGGGGGGGGGGCAAAGGAGGGCAAAGGGGGGCAACAGCCCCTCCAATACTTTGGGGGGCCAATGGTCTTTTGGTTCAAAACAATGGGAAATGTGAAGCCATCTTATTAAAACAATAGGCTTGCCCCAACCCCCATTATTTGACCAAATTTCCGCCCCTGATTTGTAACATGGAAAATTTTGACTAGTTGTCCAAATAAGGCTGGTTTTTGGAAAAACGCATAATGAGAAGAAAACAATGGAAACAGCAAGGTAAAATGCAAACAGTAGCAAGCAACATACCTCAATGACATTGGAGAGAAGACCCATAAAGGGCAGTGAAAATAAATCAATCAGCTGATGAATATATGTGTCAGTTCCCTTGTTGGCATGGCTGACCTGGTCAATACCAAGATGTGTCCCACCGTAATAATTGACAACATCCCAGCTGTTCACTTCTTGACGCCCCCTATAGACTGTCCCAATTTGGATGTGACTAAATGAGTCAAGTTTCATTAACAAGCCTTTCCGTGTATCAAAGTGCAATCCCCTTATAGCAAAGCCTGGGTCATATCGCATTGACTTGATTTGCTTTGGGTATCCAAACATCTCAATCAGGTTGTTCACAGCAATGTCATAGGTTTTCATGTGCAGTTGGTCGGAGTAGCTGGCCAAAGTGTAATCATAGTCAAAGCCATAAACATCAATGTACTTAAGGCTAATTTCGTTGTTTGCAAACACTGCATCAACACTTATGTCATTTTGATTGTTTAGTGTGTGAGCTAAAATAAGACATTATGACAAAATTAGCAAGATATCAAGAATTATTTTGATATTTCTATAGTTTCCCAAATCTAAAAAAACCATTTTCATGAAATCTTGTATTACCCTTTTCATCATCAGGTACCATCTTCTATCAGAAGGTTGGTACCATACCATGACCCTCCAACTATCCCAAAATCTGAGTTTTGGCTTGTTGTCATGGTCATAGATAAAACTAAGGGGCTAATAGTAGAGATGGGCCCCCAGAACCACCTCTACAGTGTTTTTAAAGGGACACTATTACCCTTTTAAGCAGACCATTATCACAAGTATCTTACCATAAAAGGAGAGGATTCAGGCTCTGGAAACTCAGCCCCTTAAGATTCTATCAACATTTTTGGAAGGGCAATGCACCATTGCGAAAGAAATGAAAGTTATATAGCAACTTATTACTCATCCATTAAAGTTTGTTCACAAATTGTGCATAGTGGAAAAATTCAACTGAAAATCTTTCAGAGCTGTCCACCAAGGACATCAAATCAATTAAGATAAGAACCTGAAGGTTTAGATAACATGTTTCCAATTTCATGCCAAGGGCAATGTCAGGTCATGGTATCCAGTCTAATTCTGCATGCATTTTCTATCCCCCATATTATTCCATGCCTTATCACAGGTGTATGTAAACATTGCAGGCGGAGGTCAACAAATGGTGACACATCATAAGTTAAAAATTAATAACAATTAAAGACGAAACAGGAAGACTTGGTCTTACTTACAAAGGGCCTTTGTCTTTGCTCTTTCATATTCATTTCGCAGTTCATAAACTGGCACAGAATTAACTACACTCAAGTTTATAATGTTTGAGGAAGCTTCCATAAATCTGCTGTGGCTGTGCAACGAGGCACTTCGGAGGATGCAAATTCTGTTGAATACCGCATTATCTTTCTCAGCAGTTCTCGGGCTTCTTGCAAACCTGACAGGCCTCAAGAAATGACTTGTAACACTTCGTGGTCCTCTCATCTTTCTCTAGGTTTAGTTGATCTGTCTCCTTGACTGACTTTTACATGCTATTACAAACAATTCAAAATGAACAACGGGTAGCCCACAGTCAAACAGGCCTAGAGGTCCTATCTTAGGATACCAGGTACATAGGAAGTCAAGCGTCCTTATTCAAGGTACGTTACAGCTATTCATCATGGTCGCATGCTACAAAACAGCCTCAGATAATGCTCTCATGTTTATGTATTTTGAATGTAGCCTTGAAATTTGGACACCTGTTCAAAACATCTTTGCCTGCGGTTCACCTGCCTTAACTTCCAATTTCACCTTGCCAAGCGGGTACTCGATAGATTATGCAATAAGACTACAAGACTACAAGACAAGAAGAATCGTCCAGGAACGAGGCTATCCTATCAGCAGCTTCAACTCCAACTTCAACACTTTATGATCACATGTGATAAAAATTGATAACATAGATAATTAAAAATAAAGAAAAACGTTTTACATAATAGCTGTTAGCAAGAGAAAATTGAATACTGAAGGCACGTAGAAATAACTCAGAAGAGCTTTCGAGCTACGTGCCCTTGTGTGATTCTGAAGGTTTAATTGTACTATCATTAAATCAAATTTAAAGAAAAAACATTTTGAAGTTGTATCAAAAATATCATGAAGTAATAAAAGGAACAGAGCATCTAATTTTCAATTCAAGATAAGAAGTTTTTTCTTGAGATTTATCTTTAAGTGTTTTTTTATGTGTTAAACGTTTTTTTTATTTTGAGGGTTACGCAATTCAGGAGGAAGGGAAATCAACAATTTAACACCTTGATAGGACGATAGTCTGTAGCTCCCAAAGAAAGGGAGAACAAACCCAAAGAGGATTGACGAATCTAGTGGTTGTGTGCATCCATGTATCTATATGTGCATCGCTAGTTTTTTGAAGAGACTACTGAACAGAGAAGAAATACTTTTCGTATTAACGCCGAACATGAATTTTCCTAGCTCGCTTTTATATGCCTTATCAAAATCATGTAAGTTAAGTTTTTTAAAGATCGTTTTATTTTGACAACTTGAAAGAGCTTCAAAGAACACCTCTGAATCTGGGAAATTAGTTGAATGTGTTACAGATTGGTCACATAAGATAAGCACAGGTTATTTTCCCATCAAATCATTGTAACTTGTATCTTTATGAACCAAGCCAAAACAACAGTTATCCTTTAGCAAAATTCTGATCTCACCATATCTCCCCCGGTATTCAACAACCTTTAGCTGGTTTTCCGTATTCGGAAGTCTTTCATGAAGTCCTGTTAAGTAATTTGGTCAAAAATGAAAAATCCTAAAAATATGTTTTCGTGGTGTCTCACTTTAGAACTACTTGGCAGTATTTTTCATCACCAGATTGCTTTTTGCATACACAGAGGCGGTTGTTGAATACGGTTAAGATTGCCATCTAAATCTTCTCCGAAAACACGATTTGCTGCATAGTAAGCAGGATGATCTTTAGAATTGAGCAATGAGACAAGAGGTATATGAATAGATAGCCGTTACAAGATCGTCACGATCTAGATTACACTGCGGCATGTTCACTCTCATTCACAGCTGTACCAAAGCTCACCCGGAAAACCTTTGAAGAAGGGATGGGTTTTTTCTGCAATCTAGTACCTTTGGGAATCTGGAAAAGACTTTGAAAAAGGGTATTTTCTACAACAAATCCAGGTCAAGATTCCTCTTTGCTGACTATAATAAAGCATCTGATACAGACCAGAAGAATGCAATTTGCCCATTAGTATAATTATGAAGCCCGAAGATTCTTTAGAAAGAGCAACGCCTTGATTTGATTCAATACAACATTTGGAAGAAATGACTTTTGTAATTTTAAAAGTCATTTGCAACTTACAATAGAAATGTTGACCGTTTTGATTTATAACGTTCTCTGTTCACCAAACTTATCAAACCCATAAACTTATAAAAATAAGAATCATAAAACTAGCTCGGTGAAAAGGTAAAAAGTTCACACTTAAGTCAGAGGATATGAAGTTTGAATGAGAACACAAATTCAAGTATTTTGTGATGATGAAAAACTGAGATGCTACCGATGCTACATAAATAATGCTCATAAATTATCATAATTTACATTATTATAAAATATACTCGTGTCTATGTACATTAAATTAAAAAAATTAGTTAATACTATTTCCCATCTTCACACAGATCAAAATAATCACTCGAAACTCGTACAGTTGTTTATGCAACCAATATTTACAGACGCAAGGCAATATATTACAAATACACATACAATGCAATTCAATTCCTGTAAAAGACACAAATCTGAGATAAAAATCGGGAATATTACAGAAAGGGTGAATGGAAGTCAAAGTCTCTGGACATGACTGCATAACGGAGGCCAACTACGATCTTGCATAGCCTAGACAAAAACTTGTTTCTATTTAATAAAAAAGCTGTTTTTCAGTGATGTCATCACTAACAGGTTGTGTTATAAAAAAGTAACTGGTTGAAGTAGTATTGGCTGAGCTATGGAAGTTTTTAAGGAACAATAGCGTTTCATAGCAGTGGTCTTCTAAAAGAGAAAAGCGTATTGACAAATGGTGTGTAGTCTTTAAGTTTTCAGGATTGGGTTACAACTTTTGGGGAATTTCGGAGTTGTGGGGTAAGACAACTGGTTTGATTCTAGCAGTGGCATTTTCAAAAGGTGTCTGTATTGGTTTCAAAGGTGATAACTAAGCGTGACATATTCTATCATCATTATACCTGATCTGATGAAGTTTAAATGAAAAATGTCTATGAATTGCATTGATGAGTACACAATCTTTGCCAAAATAGCCAGCTTTCTCTGCCAGCTCTGGTTTATTCATCTGCCACTTCCTCTTCGACATTCTCTCCCTTCTTCAATTTAGTGATAATCTACAAAAGACACATAGCATATAATAAGAACTCCAGATAGTAAAAATTCAAAACATTTTTGTTGCCAAGAAGGGCAACCTGTCTAAGGCTACAGGACAAAATGATTTGAACAAAATTTTCAGGGAGATCGCATGCATCAGAGCCAAAAAAACTTGGTTGAAATCCATCTTAACATAAACTGGATAAACAGATAGTTCAGTTTTTTTAGTTCAGTTTATCTACATAAGCATGAAAAAGGCTGTTGTGTAGACAGAAGGAGCTCGTTTTCACCTTAGGACTCCATTGGTAACATTCTCAATAGGCAAGCGGCACTGATTGGGCAACCTCAACAGTCATGTGCTCGTGTTTCTGATTGGCCTATTTCGATCCACAACTGGGTATATATATTTCCCAGCGTAGAGTTTTCGATCTATGTTCTGACCTTTCATACTCTGAAGAGTGCGAGACGAAAAACTTAAGCATACTCAAATGTTTGCTTTTTTCATAGCCCTTAACTTGAATTAAGATCAATCCCTTAAGCTATTAAAATTTTCTAAGAATTCAGCTCTCAAAGTTGATAGTAAATTGCACACAGGAGGCGGGAGAAGTCATGCCTCGGTCTATATGTTGATCTGAATAATATTTGGTCTTGATAACAATATGCAATGTCAAAAAAACCACCTGAGCCGTTGTTGCTAGACAATAAAGGCGGTAAATTTTGGAGATATAAAACCAAGTTGTTTAGTTGTTTACAGCTTCCTCGCTTAGCCCTAAGTTGGCTTAATGTCAAAATGACTCCAGCCCAAGTTGCCTATCAATCTGTTGCTGTCAGTTAATAATCTACATAAAATGGATCTACCATATGCATACGATACGATATGCAAATTGATACCCAATATGGAGCTAGCGCTTTAAAAGTCCGCATACAAATCAATGTTTTGCTAAGCAAAGAGCGACATTTAACAATCGATTGTCAAAAGGTACGTAAAAAAAAACAAATGGTTTCTGCTCTTAATTTTTTGCAAATCATCATTGAGGTTAAGCAGCACAGGCAAGACAAACTTCCCAACAGACAGCATATGATAAGATAAAAAGAAAACACAAAATGCAGGAATCACTTACTCCCTTTAATCTTGCGACCTCTTTGCTTTCAGCATTTTTACTTGCATCGTTTGTGATCAGCTTCACTCTGGAGGCGTATCTGAAATAAATAACGGCGTTGACTCAACTGACAGTGTCTATGCATAAAATTGGCCTAGGCACTACAAATTGAACTACACCAAGACTTTAGAAGCCTGCACAGCAACGGTATAGAAATGCAGATCTAACAGCGATAAAATCGAATCAAGTTTTATAATAACGATATCTATAATTATGAATAGGATGTACAGTTGAATCCTGTTAAGTCGTACCAGATCGGACAACACGGACTTCACTAGGTCGGACTGATTTTCGATTCTTATTGGATTTTCCAGACCTATTTATATTAAAAGTCGTTGCGGATAAGTCGAACATTCGCAAAGTCAGACCAATTCCTCACTCTTTTGAAGGTCCGACTTAATGGGATTCGAATGTATTACACATACTTGAGATACTGCAAGCATGTGCAAAGTAGAAAAAATATTTGATGATAAAATCATATGCCCGTGAAACCTGGAACATGTTGCAGAAATAATTAAACTCACGTCAAGGAGGTAATTGTTTCATCGGTGTTATAGTCAGCAGGAGAAATGTTGACAAACATAAGAGTCTTGGCATTTCCACCTGAAAGAGAGTAGCAAAACAAATGATTTTCGTGTCGTTCCTTACTTGTCTGCTGGTAAAGATATTTTGTGAAAAAATCTTCTTTGTTGAGTCAAAAGATTCCAAAAAACCTATTTCTGCTGGCATAAAAATGTGGGAGAAACAGGCCTTGTTGTAATGATCTTAACATGTCACGCTTTCTAAGAAAAAGCAAGCCGATCTTAAGCTCCCTCTTGAGCATTGATCTTTGGATCTGCAGGTTTTAATATTTCACTTGAGCTAAAATACGAGATGTGCAACTCCAGAGCAGGGCCCCAAGCCCACATTACTGCCACAGTACTCATACACTCAATACAAGATGAATACCAGATATAACTAATCTCTTAAGCTAATGGTTACTTGTTTAATGTTTCTATATTTTTGGGAAAAAGGATATTAAAATATTGAAAATATTGTTGTAAATTTTTGAATGAAGTTGAGCTGAAATCGGATGAAAATGGGAATCGAGATACAAGCTGGTTGATTTACCGGGTGGTCGAGATACCGGGTGGTCGAGATACCGGGTGGTCGAGATACCGGGTGGTCGGGTTAGCGAAAGGTTTTCTAAACTTAGCCAAATTGCAAAATGTAGGGGCAATGAAAAATCACTCAGGATAGTTGATTTAAACTGTGATGATGTCTACAGCTGCAATTTTAAGTGACCTGCAAGTACGTGAGCTCGTAAGGCCCTACTATGCAGCCTACTAAATGGCTACCTGAACAGTTAACCACAAAAAAGAACTTACCAAGTGAATCCTGCATAAGGAGTGTTAACTTATTATTACGGTACGGAATGAAGGACTGCTCGCTAGATAAAGCAGAAATGACGTCACCAAGTGCACTCAAACTCTTGTTGATTGACTGAGCTTCCTGAAAAACAGATCGATATGGGTTCTTAAGTAGAAGTTCCCGTAGTTATAAAGCTTCTTAAAAAGCTATTTATGTATGATATCTCCCAAAAGCCGTTTAAATACGTTTAAAGAGATTCAAGCACAGTTGCGGTTTGTTTTGAAACATCATCTCGAAGAAAAAAAATTTCACGGTTATCAATATAAATAGGACTTTTATTCAACAACAATACTAAAAAATGCTGAACTGCTAAGTCAGTATGCAAGCAAAAGTAACTTATTAAAGGAAACCAAACGATTTAAGGTTTTCTACAACGCGAAAGAATCATCCTTGATACTCATAAATTGTTTCTTCTTATGAACCCCCGTATTTATGAAACAGACATTGCAATTCCTTTGCGTTAGTTCTGGTCTAATCGGAGCTGATAATTGAATTTCGAGCTAAGCCTTTGCAACAGTTTCGCTAATTCGAATTTAAGGTGCTAACCATAGTAATCTCTTCAAAACAGGAAACGTAACCAATAAATATGAATAAGTAATATGAAACATAGTCTTGATATTTGAAATGCTTAGTCTGCTATTATTGCAAAATTGCCGTGAAGAATGCCTTTCAATGAAATTTTCCCCAAAAATGAGGCAGTAGTCTGCGTCTACAAAACATCCAGTGGCACTTAAAAAGCATACCTTAAGCTGCTCGGGAGATGCTTCAGTTTTTGCCGCTCTTTCAGACCCAGCCAAATCGACCAAGCTCAGCTAGAAGAAAATCATTCAATGAGATTTGATTTATATTTAGATAAAAAAGAGTTGATAGAATTCAAAGTAAAACGGAAAACCGGGAGAATGACATACAGCCATCTCGCAGTACCAAAGGCATCTTTCGTTAAATTTTTAAAGCTTTAGTTTCCTTAGCGTAAGTAACACAAACAACAAACAACAAAGGAATTCAAAGGATGGATTAAGGAGCCAAAGAACTTTTTCACGACAGATTTCAGTCCGAACAGAGCGAACTTGCCACAATTTTAGAGAGATTTTGAAATAAAAATTCTAGCAACAGATTACTTGCGTCTATGAAAATCTCACAGAAGGATTTCTAGGCCATATAGATTCTACGCAAAATAAGCAAAAATGTTTAGCAACAAACAAAATAAAATTTTTTGAAACTGGTAACTTTCCTTGATACCTCATTCATTTTTTATTCTTTTTAAGTAGGTCAAGTGTCCTTGTTTCTTTGCATTCTTGTTAAGTCAGTGTAAAGTCCACCCCCCTCCCCCCCTCCCTTAGAATGGAATTCGCCACTAGGCCTAACTACCGCTACCAAAAAAGAACAAGTGATTGGTGTTTGATCATGGCTACGTGATTGGATAGACATACCTTTCCTCTTGATACGGTCCCAGTTGTCCGGTTTGTAGCCTCGATGATGATACTTATGATCAAATGTGATCTTGAGGATTCAGCGTTCATTTCTGTATAGAAAAACAAAAGAAAGCTTAGTTATGGGAACAAGGCTGTGGAGTCAGCGAACCTGCCTTAGCCTTAACTGATGTGACATTATTGATAAAAGATAATTCTTAAGGTACAAAAGTGTCAGATACCCTTAGGGGCAAGGTTAGCGGTGGAGAGGGTGTAGCAGCTCCCAGTTCTTCATGAGTCGGTGGTTCTCCAGTTGGTTCACAAAATTGTTAGTTTGTCGGTAAAACTGCCAATCGGTAGGTGAAAATATACCTAAGTTTATCTTCCTCCATTTCTCCGCCCGTAAATTTTACTATTGGTGACCTTGCATCCCCCCTGGTCTGGAAGGCCAAGCTACGCCACTGGGTACCCTGCCGAACTATAAAACGAAAAAAAGAAAGACCCATACTTGTTGAAGAGACGTGTCGAGTGGAAGAGCCTTTTTCAAACAAACTCATAAGCTCCTCTGAATTTTTGGCTTCGTGGATCACTGCACCTTGCACAATAACCATACCCTGTTAAGAAAAAGTGACCGTAAGCAAACGATTAACTGGAAATACTGGAAAAAACTGGAAAAGATACAATATGGTGTGCTCAACGGAATGCTGAAGAGAACTAGTCCTACCTTTTTGTCCTTCTTGATATCCAGTTTTGCCTAAAGATCGAAGTTAAGGTCTACTAACAAAGCTCGCCCATTAGGAGTGTTTATTGCTTCTTGCTCTAAAGTGGACATAAAACGTATAAGATTAATTTGACAATTACTATTACTCTGTAGTCATTTTACTGAGATTATGATTAGTAGACAATGGGATGCTGACTATTTTGCAGAAGGTGTCTCCTGAATCCTACCAGATCTGCGATGGACACAAGAAAATCTTGACAAGTGGGAAAATCCACCGAAAAGAAGTTAGTAACCAATATTGTCGGACAAAAATGGTTGAAATGTTAAAAAAGATTCTTCAAAAAATTGTCCCAAAATTTCTCCCAAATTAAATATTCTACAACATCTAGGGATGGGGGTTTTTCGGCTATTTTTGCAAATTGAAAAATCTAATTTCGTATTTATCGACGCATCTAATCTGACACCAAATAGATATTATATATAACATCTAACATAGAATGTAATATAAGATTGTAGGTGCATGATATCTTAGCAATATCAAACAACACATCTCTCATTATCAGTAAGGATACATCTTTGTTTGTTGCAAACAGATCTATGAGTCTGTCCATATACAACTCCATCATGTACAGCTCAACCTTGAAGGCAAATTTCGCCCTGAAGAAAGATATAAAGGAACATCATAAGTTGAATGCATTTGATAGTGAACGAATTAATTGGCTCCATCAAGATAAGGTTAGAAATGGGAAATAATTGTTGATTGACTAAAAATGTGAAAGAAAACAAACCAATAAAATGAACAATTTTAGAATTTTACAAAAGTTAAGCGTGAGGATCCTTGTTTTTCTCTCTTTTAAAGTACAAACACATTAAACTAATTTCATAGTCAAAGATAATGAGTTTGGGCCAGTTTCAACGCTGATTGATTTCATTTATGGGGAAATGTTTATAAAAATCAGCCTTTAAAGACAAAACAGGTAGTCAAAAAAAATTTGAAAACAACCGAAATGCGACATATACCCTGAAATGCTCAGACTGCACCTAGAAAATGATTCAAAACTAACGGGTTAAACTTACTTGTTTTCTTCCAACAGTTGAAACAAGTTCTGGAATGCCCGTGGAGCAATTCCAGGAAACCTTTGTTCCTTGTCACCAATAACCGTAAATGTTTTTCCAGAGCCAGTCTGACCATAGGCAAAAATGCAGACATTGTACCCATCAACAGCAGACTGGATTAACATCTGCAATTAAATGTTGCAAATAAATAAGTCATTACCAATATACCAAAACGTATGCAACAGTAGACTGGGAGTTAAATTTTCAAAAAACCTGGGAGCTAAATTTTCATGCCACTGCGATAAAATGCAAAAATGTGTCATCTTTCAGCGGCATATTTCCCTTTGGCTGAATTACAAATGTTTTGATAGAAAGAGAGAGTTGTCCTGAGAGGCGGTCTTCTTGAGACTCATGACAAACATGCCCAACATAGCCAAAGTAACAAGAAAGGAATGAGATGATAATTGTAATCACTTACGCTCGTATCTTCAAAAACTTTCTCCTGCGTTGAATCAGGCATGAACACAGAGTCATACTGGAATTCCTTAGGCCCTCTATGAGTGTCCACGATAAGAGAGTATTCATCAGGCGACTTCACAGCGCTGTAGTTTCCCTAGGAATCGAAATATTTAGAATGAACCTTATAATCGCCTAACAGTTAGTTTAGGATTTGATTGTTTCTTTGATAAGCATCCCTTTTTCATAGACCATAAACTAAAATAAGATATCAAAGAGGGATCTTAGGAAGAATGAGACTTACTCTCTCTTTTTCAGAGGTACTTAGTGGCCTGCACCTAGCATATACTCTGATTTTGCCTTTCATGTCTTCAACCATATTGTAATATTTCTTCCTTAAAACCTGTAATTAGAAAGCGGTATGTTATTTTGCTGTTAGAAGATTGCTTGTAACTTCTGTGAGAATGAGATCAAACGTAACAAAAAGAGAATCATGACATTTGAAGATTTGAAGATTTGAACATTTGAAGTATATGCAAAAGTATATGTTGAATACTACGTGCATCTTCTCATTTTGACTAAAAAAAAATTTTCGATACTTCATAATCTATATCATAGTTCCTTATAAATCGTTAACTACTTGCCCTTTCACTGTTGTAATTCTCAGTCAGTGTTTTATTCTCATCCGTTAAGGTCTTGCATGTCACTTGCAACTCTTCAACCTTTGCCATCGCCTCTGCACCTTGCTGTTACAAAAAAGGATCGAAAAATAAAAAGTCAGCCCCCTTTAGCATCTAGAAAATAGTTTGATAAAAACAGCATAGTTAACGGTAAGAAGTACATTTTCACAAACATCAACAACAGAAACAGTGTTTAACTCTTTTTCATGATATCAAAACATTGACGAATTAAACTGGCAATCAAAATTACTCTTGTGGGTAAAAGAATGAGTCAAAAAAGGTTGAAAAAGTTTGCTTAACTTCGAATATGCCTTTATTATAGCGTCTTAGCTTTTTCTACTTTATGCAGAACGGTGAAATTTATAGTAAACCCTGGATTGAAATTACATGTCTACAAATTATTTATAAAACAGCCAACATAAATGGCACAAACACTCGTTAAATGAAAAAGTATAAAAAATCTTTGCATAAATGAATTACGCTAAGTGATACTGAAATATCAGTGACCAGAAAACTGATTGCAACGTTGAAACTTGAAATATGACAAACCTTTGCAGCAACGCCGAGTTTTGAAAGTTCATCTTCCTTCTTTTTATTCTCAGAATTGGCTTCTGAAAGTTCCTATAAAATAATTCAGGTATCATTTCTGCTAGAACTAACCGTGCTTTAAAAGGGTTTAGCACTGATAGAAATAATTTGAAATTCCAAGATTTCATGCCTTTGTACAATTACGTCAAACAATCATCAATCAACTAGCCGTGATTAGAAAAGCATCCTCGAAAATGGGTGCCCTGCCCCCTCAACCAGAAATGAAAACCTACGAGGAATGAAAACAACTTACCTTTTTAAGGTTCGCCAAATCTTCTTCCGTTTTGGTCAAATCCTCTTTTAATTTATCAGTTCTTTTCTTCTCTGTTTCTAGATTCTTTTGCAAATCTATTAAAAAAGCAATCAAAAGTCCAATCAAAAAGAATAAAGATTTTTCTTCACATTTAGTGCATGGCTGAAGCGATCTTATTTTTTCGTCTGTATCACTTAACAAGCATTTAACGAACATAATGCACTTTACCTTTCATTTGCTTTTCTTGCTTTTTAGCAGCCATTCTCTGCAAAGAATATTTGGAATTTATTCAATATTTGCAGATATAACGATGGCAGAAAATATAAACTAAGTTAAGGCCTTTACCAAATTGACTGTTACGCTCTAAGAGTCTCTAAGATGAAACTTACATCTTCAGCTGAAGGGCCGGCTTTGGCTGCTTTTTCTTTGACTTCTTTGATTTCCACTTGAAGAGTTTTGATTTTGTCACGGTCTTCCTGTAATTAGAATGAAATTATAATCAATGAGAGAAAAGGTTTAGCAGAGTTGATCTAAACTGTACTGTACTGTACTGTACTGTACTGTACTGTACTGTACTGTACTGTACTGTACTGTACTGTATTGTACTGTACTGTACTGTACTGTACTGTACTGTATTGTACTGTACTGTACTGTACTGTACTGTACTGTACTGTACTGTACTGTACTGTACTGTACTGTACTGTACTGTACTGTACTGTACTGTACTTTACTGCACTGTAACCGTACTATATCGTACCGTACTGTAACTGTACCATATCGTACCGTACTGTATTGTATCATACCGTACTGTATTGTATTGTAGTGTATTGTATTGTACTGTAATGAACTGAACTGAACGGAACTGTGCTTTACAGTATTGCAAGGAATCTTAAACAACTGCATAACAAAAACTTGTATTATTCCTTTAAATTCGATTATCCGATAGACCTACCTTGGACGCCTTTTTAAATGCTTCAATTTTCTCATTTAGTTTGTCGTTCTCCTTCTTTAGCTTTTCTTCCGCTAAACTTGGACCCTTTGGTTCCTAAACAAAGCCAGGAAAAAATGAATACATCTTGATAACATTTTCTTTCTATTTCAAGGTTAACTAAAATTTATCAGAAAGCAATTTCTTAATAAAAATTGTGAACAATATTTCAGAGGAAAAAGTAGTGAGCAATATTGGTCGATCTAACCCAAAGCGTGAGAAATACAAGTCAAATACTGAAAAATGAAACATAACGAAAATACTAACTCTTGTTTCTTTTACTGGCGTTTGTGCTGCCTGGGCGATTTTCTCCTTGGCTTGGGCCAATTGCTTTTCTAAATTGTCGACCTGAAAAGCGGATTCAATTTTGCTGAGCCAGTTATGAAATTACTTGACTGAAATTATCAAATGAAAAGAAATCAGAAGCAGAGAAAATTTGCTTTAAAAATAGCCAGTTACTCTCTTAGAAATTGTCGAAAACAAAAGTTTTAGATAAATTTGACGGAGATTGATACAAATTGTCAAATAGATTTGGTAGAAAAACACGAATTTACAGGTTTTTTTGAACAGAAGTTCTATTCAATAGGATTGCCATAACTAATGAGGACTGTAACATTGCCATAACTGAGGGGAATTTCTAAAATAATTTGAATGTCGGATGGTGTAACCTGCCTGTGTCCTTTTTATGCCGCAACCTCGTTTGGGGAAAAGGGGAGTTATCAACATTAAGCTTTTCCATACTTTTGGCCATTAAGCTTACGTAGTGTTCCTAAGTAGCTGCGCAGATTCACTGCCTGTCATTAGGAAGGCGCAATCAGTCCTTAGTTGTGTATGGCTCCGGACGCTAGTTGGAGCTTGTGTCACTTTCAGGAATTGAAAAAGAAAAAAACTTAATCTTTTAAGTGAATGATGTAAAACCGCTTTTTTGGCTGATTCGTATGCCAAAAATTTATACCCTTAAAAATCCTTTTCGGAATTTCTGATTTATTCTTCTTATCACTTTCTAACTATCTTCTATCTTTAACTATCTTTAATTACTTTTAACTATTTTAAACTAATTTAGAGAACATGATTTGTAGTTTAGGTCATACAGGACGTACAATTGATAAAAATTCTTGAGAAATTCGTTTGGCTGTTCTCAGATTCAACACGGGCGGCAGATGGCCGCACTACATACCTTCTTTTGCAAGGCTTTCGTATTAGCGGTGTCTTCCTTTGAACTTCTGCTTTGTTTTCGTGATGCTGCCGCTGCTGTTGTTGCTGCTGTGAGTTTCTGTTCAAGATCTTTTATCTTCTTATCAGATTCGTCCTTAGATTTCTGCTTTTCAGTCTACAAAAGAATGAATATAGAGTTCAAGAACTTCAGTACTAGCTGGAAAAAACAATTGCAACATTAAATTCATGTGATTGCCAAGGCTGAAGGAAATTTCACAAGACAAGGTTCAGAAATGTGTAGGCCTCTGGCTACGAAAAGTTGCAAGCAGTCTGGGTGTCTGAGGTGGGAACCGCGATAGGAATCAATACAGACTGCATGTTACGTTTTGTTCGTAAAAAGCAAACATTGTTAAATACAAGGGATGTTTATATTTGCATCTAATGGTAAAGAAAGCAAAAAAAGAGACTAGAACAGTATGGATTTGCCGGTCTTCCTAGGGATCGTGCTTCGGGAAGGATGCTAATTTTGTAGGAAATCCTTCAGTTTCCGTTTAAATGTAGTGATTGTGGGACTTGTTTGAATTTGCAACGGGATGTTATTCCAAATCTTTACTCCAGAAGAAAAAGGATTATTTCTAGAGAATTCTAGAGTCTGTCGAGCAGCCTGCTACATACATTTACATAAAAACAGGATACATGGGAAAAACTTATAATTCCCAAAAAAGCATGAGTGACAATAGTGACATTATTCCAAACAGGGTGAATTACCTAATACCTTGAAATTTAAAAATAATTTGCCTAGCTTACCATTAAATACAGATAAAAAATCGAACATCAATAACATCCAAACCTGTAGCTGTTCATTTCTCGCCTTCTCTTTCTCGATCATTTTATTCAGCTTGTCTATATTCAAATTCAGTGAAGCAGCTGTCGCTTTGCTGTCCAAACTGCCTTTCTCCATTGATTCCTTTTCATCTTCCAACGTTTTCTAAAACACCATATAAAAACATTTACTTTTTCACGAGACCTTATTAACTCTAAACATATGAAAACATTACATTAAAGTTAATTGCGTTAAAAATATTTAAATTATTTGATGTTAGGCAAAATCTAATGTCTTAGAAAGTCAGATACATATTTGAATGCAAAGATCCTAAAAGGAGCCTCCTGATTTTTAATTAGGCCACATGAGTATCACATATAATAAGCACACCCCCCCCCCCCCCAAAACAACATATAGAGCTACGTCTTTTCAGACACTCACCAGTTTAGTTTGAAGGGCCTTCACCTCCTCCGCAGCATCAACTGGTAGGTTTGACAATCTCTGCGCCTCAAGCTCTTCTATTTTCAACTTAAAGGCTTCAATTTCCTGCAGGAAAAAAGCAATTTTTGAATTCAATATTTTTGAACTGATTAACAGTAAGAAACTATGAAAAATTTGAAACTTTTTCAGTCCCATTAAAAGCTCATTAAAATCTCACTTGAATATAGCAATTCTGACGATCGTTTCTAACAGTTAATTTGAAAACAGGGCAAATAATCAAATGTAAAGAGTAAACAGGACCTTGAACCAGAAAAAAGACATGAGGCAAGGTTCGAAATAATTCCAAAATGACGCCTGGCATACAGAGACAGACCAGAGGAGAGGTAACAGAGAGGCATCGAAGAAACAAAAAGAGATACTTTATAGGGAAAACAGAGGCATTGAATAAAATGCAGAACGTATGCATCGTTGAGGCAATATAGGTAGGTATCTTACTTACCTTTAGTTTATGGGCAAGTTGCGCATCAAAATTGATTTGCTCATTTTCCATCTTTCCTTCTAGTTCTTGTATCGTCATCATAAAGTTATCTCTTTCTTGCATTGTAGTCTACAAGAAATGTACATATCATATACAAATATGTTTTCTATCAGTAGAGCCTGATAACTGTCCAATCTAAGTAGTTTTTCCTTGTCATGTGAAATTTTCATTTCCAGTATTAAGAAATCACAACCTCAAAACAAAGGTTTATGAATGCACGATCCGACCAAATCTCGATTTATTGTTTGCACTTCAACCAGGAGTACATAGATAGCACAAGAGTATAAACAACTTCGTGATAATCACAAAAACTAGCATTTTGTACAGTCAAAAGCTAATCGACTACAGCATCTGCAGCCAAGGTCTAACAAGGGTTTGTCAAAAAATTGAAGAAATTGAGCAAATAGAGATTTACCTCGATTGATTTTTGTGACTCTTCAATCTTCGAATTAAGTTCCACAACGATAGTCTCGTATTCGATTTGCTTCTGCTCCAGTGATTTGTTTAATTCCTCGATTTCAGCTCTGAGGCCCTAGCATATCACAGGAATTGGACTTAGCAACGGTGGTAATTGTGCAAAAAGACGATGTAAAGCTACTAATACTGATGTATATAAAGGCAAGTGAGAGAGAACACACTAATAGAATTAAGCAGTGAGGTGAAGTTGCCTGATGAGAAAGCAAACTTAAAATAATTGTTACGCAAAATAGGCTCGTCCATCAGAATTACACATAGGCAGCTCTGTAATGGTGATGATAGGCCTGTTTCTGCGTATAAAAGCAGCTGTCTACTCGAAACTTTTAAAACAGGGAGCAGCAAAGAGCCCTGATACAAAGATATTGTTGCTCGATTCAAGAAGGTTGCAGTAACATATACGGAGCAACGGCAGTAGAATTTAGCAGCCTTTATTGTAAGAAGAATCTCAAGCGATATTTTACGTTCTATCGCAGTAATTCAGAAAGAAATAGAAATTAAGTTTAAAGAGAGAACAGCATGACATCTTCAAATATTTTCAGATAAAAGAACTTTGTTTTTTATGGCCAGCGTACTAGAATCACTTGTCTGGTTTTTACAATTGGGAGGGGGGGGGGCAAAATCTTTCTTTTTTTAAGAAAGAAGAAAAGTTTGGAAGTAAAAGTGATGAATAAAGCTTCCTAATCTATAAATCAAAGGTTTTTTCATAACAAGAACTGCATTTAAATCGCAATTAAAGCCTTGTTCATGTATATATTTACAAAAAAAACAGAGTAGGCTTTGCTAAACAATCAGATATAACAAATTGTTCATTGCAAAACAATAGCTACCTCAGATTCCGCCGAATCATGCTCGCTCTCTGCTCCACTTGCAGCAACAGAGATATCTGATGACACCCCTGCCACGATGACTGGCTCCCCTGGCCTTGCTCTCGAAAGCTCTTCAATTTTAGCCTCTAGTTCTTCTTTCTCGCTCTCTAACTTTTGTATCTCTTCTTTCAAATTTGCATTTTCGTCATTTCGCTCATCGAGTTCTTCTTTGACCCCACGTGCTTCTCTCTTAACATCATCCAATTCATCAAGGAGGGAATTTTTCTCTTCGACTAATTTCTTTATTATCTCTTCATTGCCGTCAGAAGAATCTAAGATGATATTCAATTGATCATGTTTTGCATAAGAAAATTTCTGAAAAACTCTTTTTTTCATTGCTCATGAAAGTATTTGCAGGAGCATGAGGAATTTTTCGTCAAAGTAAAAATTGCACCTTTCACGACCGTTCTTATCATCATTAAACCTACAGTACAATCACAACCAAAGTTAAGAACCGATAATAAGCATGGTGCTGTATCCTAGTCTCAGCTAGGCAAAGTCGTACAATGAAGTTTGAAGTAATTTCAAAAACCGGACCGTAAGTTGAATCCGGTCCAAAAGGTCCAAAAACATTTTATTGGTGAAATTCCAATTAGCTTTCAAGTTATAAGGCTGGAAAGTTGCACCTTTCTGACAAAAAACTGACCAAAAATGGCACGATACTCTAAGAGGAGGGGGCTGATTACGAAACTTAATTGAATATGCAAATGAAGTGTTCCTTGAAAAAAGAAGAAAGAAAAGCTCTTAGGCAAATGCAAAATGATCTAAATTGCTCACCACTCTCCTTTCCGTCATCAGAATCTACGGGTTCTCCAAGCAGCAGTTTCATTACAGCAATATCTGCATTCATTGCACGAAGCTTCTCGTCATTTGACTTGATCTCTTGGACTAGGCCTTCGATTTCTTCCGTTCTACAAATAATTAAACATTAAACAAATCTTCAGAAAAATCATAGTGTTCGGCGAAAGTCGCTAGAAGAAAACCCTGCCTTCGCAGTGGTCATATACGGCTACGCACATCAAGTAATTCCCATGAAAGGTAAACATGATTAGCGACCGTCCTAGGATATTTCGTGAAACTGGGCTCTTAACCAACAAATGACTGTTTTCTCGACCAAATGTTCTGAATTATAAAATTAACTTCGATAGTAACTTAACTGTCTTTTCTGAAGTCGGGCAAGAAAATTGGGCAAGATAGGCAAGTAAATTGGTAACTAAAAAGACAATTCTTGTCCAAAAATTGAAAAGCGATGTAATATGGATCGCCCTTTTCAGTTTCAAAAAACAACTAATCTATAGCTATATATACTTAGTAGATACTTAGTATTATTAAATATTGTAAATTAGGTTTGGTTGGTAAATTTCTTTTGTTATTAGTATCATAACATATTTATTAGCGCTTAATTAATCTTTTAAACAGGTCAGGTTGAAAAACATATATGTATGAACCTTTAACCTGTATAAATATTATAAAATGAAAAAATGAAATGATATATTATATGAAGTTAGCAAATTAAAATTTGAAAATAACGATCAAATAGCAAAATAATCCTCCAACCTGTCATCCTCTGCCGGCTCCTTCCCATCATGCTCTTCTCGGAACTCTGCTTTCCACTTTTCAAGCTGCTCCTTAAATCCGTTATTCTCGTTTACAAGATCGGCCTTTTCAGCATTTGCAGCCTCCATTCGGCTTTTGACATCACCAATGTCTATTGAGTCAGCCATTTGTGAAACTGCCACCTTAAGGCGCTCTTTCAAGCTCTCATTTTCTCGTTTGAGCTCTATAACTGCCTGCAAGATAAAAGTTAAAAGCAATCAAATTTTCCAAAAATTAAAATGCTTAATGCTTTAACTTCTGTAATGCATTTGACGTTAGAAAGCACCAACGAGCGTAACCCTTAAGCTCTTAGAACACGAGTCTTCCAATACAGCAGTTACATAGCCCCTTAAGTAAATAACTTATGATTGCACTCTTTTTAGAAAACAGAAACTCTCGATTTTTGTAAAAACTATCCTGAAAAACTTCCTAAAAGTTCTTTTTTTCTTGGGAAATACCAACAACTAATATTTAACTTACGAAAAATCACAAATGTTAGGTTAAACACATTTTAGCACCAGCCTCTCCACATCCCCTCCCTCGTCACCACCACTGTCTTTACAACAGCCTCGTTTGAGGTACCACCTTCTTCCCAAGAATTAGCATACGTCAATCATCAAAATGTGTGCATACCATATCATTATTTCCAGACTGGCTTCGCAGCTTTAGAATAGCCTCGCTTTGCTCTGTATTCTCCTTCTCGAATTTCTTGATTGCTTTCTCTGTCTCATTCAACTCATTTTCCAGCTCTTTTATTCGTTTCTCCATCCGATTCGACTCCTCCGTTGTGATTCCAGCCACAACAAGTCCAGTCGTCGAGGTTGCCATGGTCGCTGCTTCATTTTGAGCCTCGGATTTCTGGACATCAGTCTCCTTCACGGTGTCCTTTTCGAGAAGAGAAGCTGACGTGACAACACCCACCGTAGCCAACGGCCTATTTTCACTGAAAAAAAAGGAAATAAAACAGGTCAAATACGAAACGGAAAGAGCTTCGATTATGATCAAAAGGTTGATTGTCCTAAAGGTGCATCTTGTTTTTAGGTTTGAGCATCCTGAAGATACATCTTGTATTTAGATTGGATGATTCTAAAGAAATATCTAGAGCAATTAATATGTTGGGAATTATTCATAAACTTACAACTCCTTCAGTTTTGCTTCTAATTCTAAGATGCTTTCTTTCAACTTGTTATTTTCATCCTCTTTATCTTTCAACGTGGTTTCAGCTTTGTCTTTTTCACTTTCTAAGGCAACCACGTTAGCTGATTTTTCCTCCAGCTCCTTCTCCAGTCGCTCTTTTTCATCTCCACTTTTCTTCTGTCCCTCTGAAATTTGCTTTTGAAGTTCTTCTTCCTTTTCTGATTCTTGCCTTAAGTTACTTTCTAGTTCTTCTCGTTTCGTTTCTTCTTCTTTTAGCTTATTCAGAACTAAACTCAAGAGATAAAATGAAATAAATATCTATTTGAATAAGCGCTTGATCCTATAAACTATGGCAGTCCTTAAAGAACAAACCGAAAGCAAAAAGATTTTCAACGTCGAGAATGACCCAGAATATACTTTCTTATGCATCATGAGACAGTCGACAAATAAAAGTCTTTTGAATGCCATCTTCCTAACAGAACAAATTAATTGATTTCTTAAGAATAAATGAATAAATTTCTTTATCCTAAAACTCTGGCGAGGAGACTTTCTTTATATCTAGACATCTAAGGTACTGAGCTTGCATTTAAAAACATACATCGAAAAACGTATTATTTTTAAACTTGGTACTCTTATCTCGTCCAAACGCCTTCTACTATCGTATTCCTACTATGTTCCATACAGTTTATCTTTCGATTCTACTCTTCAATTCTCTTGTTAACCGTTTCTCCTTCTATTCTTTTAACCTGACGAAGAGTTATGCTCGAAACATCGTAATCGATATTCAGTTCTTGTACAAAATCGTTATTCTTTGTATCAATTTTTGTTCATCCTGACCGTAAAGCCAATCACAGTTCGCTACAGTGTGTAGCCTTGCGAATTGATCAGATAAAATACAAGAAAGGGTGCCAATAGTATTAGAAGTGTTGGCTTGCAAAAATGGCAGTTTATTGGGGAAGCTAGCGTTTTTATTATAAAGCAAAGGATCTTTGCTCGTAACACACACATTGACAAACGTAAAACAATATTTGAGAAACCGACATTTTCTCATTGTACCTCTAGTCAGGCGGATATTTGATTGATCGATTTTAGCTTGACGGGCACATCTTAACCAATAAGATTGCTGAATTTACTCTTCTTACAACCACGTGTTACAGCACTAAACTTTTATAGTGCCCATCGATGGTGATTTTTGAAATCTCGCTCTCTATTTAAATAGGGACTAGAAGATCTTCTTGCTATGATTATAAGTTAAACAATTCACTTAAATCTTGAAAAATGCCACGAAACAATTTCTTAAAACAGGCAACGTTACATACGAACGGTGAATCTATTTGGCAAACAAAACAAGCCTTTATCAAAAGAAAATATATCGATTTGGCAAAAAAAGATTTATCAAAAGAAAATATATCTTTTTAATTTGTCATACCGTTCAGGTAGTCTGTATGCTTTTGATCCAGAAGTCTAGTCAAGTGTTTCACACTTGTGACCTAGAAGATACAGAAACATTTTAGCAAAATAATAATAATAATATTTTAGGGCAGCTCTTTCATTCCTTTTTTGGAATTTGACTTTTGTCAAACTCACCGTCTTTCAGACGTCGTGGAAGTTCAAGGAGTGTTTGTTTGAAGGAAGTTTATGGCAACACAAGATATTCAACGTAAATAAAGCGAAAGAATGCAATTGATGTCTACATGGTCGTGGTAATACACCGTGTAGTGGAAAGATGAAGGCAAGGCAAGTGTACACATTTGGTTGTGTAAAAGTTGCAAAAGCGATAACCAAACTCAAGTTCATTCAATGTACATTAACAGGCACAGCTTGCAATAAATACTGCGGATTGCTTGGTAGTTGATGTAATTTTTGGAATCATTGAAGGAAGGGATCAAATGTTCCCGTACTGTTTAAGGTCAGTTGTCATTAAGAAAATGGCACAAAGGAAATGTCTTACCTTTTCTTCTTCCAGATTATCGATTTCATCTTTATACTTTGTGAGATATTTTTTCCTGTCCTCCAGGAGCATCTTGTTTTTCTCTTTCAAGCTCTACAAGAAATACAAAAGCCCTAGTCAAAAGACATTTTTTTAATGACTAGCTATCAACGACTAAATTTGAATGAAAAAATATTCCACATTTTATAGACTTAATTATTGTAAATGGTAATAAATGACCTTTTATATTAGGATATTAAAGACAATATCAATGAAATAAAAAAAACATAAGAAAAGAATATTTGGCTTTCTACGTGGTATTAAAAAGTGAAGCATTAACCTTGACACTGTTTTGCCAAAAGTCCTGACTCTTCTTAAGTTCCGCTTGGTGAATCTCGATAATTCTTTTAAACGTGCCAACTTTCTCGTTGTACTCCATTCTCAGTTTTATCACATAATCATTGAACTGACCCTGATCATAATTAGAAAAGGATTTAAGAATTAAATACATAAATATATATAATGTGTTAATAAACGTTTGAAGGGAAGATTTCGATACATGTTTTTTCAAATATAAAAAACTTTTTTGCTAAGTTCACTTATGCTAAGTTACGTACAATATACTAAGTTTGGATGCAGCAGTTTGGTTAAAGAGATTGAGCAAACAATACAGTACCGTCAGTACCAGGGTATCGTCACTGTAATAAATGACCTTACTAAGTGAATTTGCTATTTATGAGTAGAGACAGTGATAAGGGTGTATTTAGATCAAAATAGGACAGTAAACGACCCCTACCTGAGTGTGTTCCTCAATGACTTTGTATTGGTCTTGGATCCTCTCAACCACTTTCAAGTGATTTCCCTTCATTCGTTTCATGTTGTCAACAACCTACGCGAACAAAGTGAAAAGTAAATCGGTTAAAACAAGGTGATACTTGGGTGTACCTACATAAACAATTCAACTCAATGATCAATTTACAAACGCCAATAACAAAACGGTTAGAGATATGAAAAAAATAGTAACAGATTCGTTTTCAGGAGGTCTGATTACATAGCGTTCTGAAATAAAAATTTTGGGCTGGAGTGGCCCTTTAACTTTTCATTAGTGTTGGAAACTGTGATTCCATGATATAGCAAAATGGTAATACAATTGGAAAGGTTTACGTGGAAAAGAAAAGTTCGGAAGACGGAAGGAGATTGGGACTTGTTCACAAGTCATAATGAGAAGAAAGGGTTACTATGAGCCCTTCTTCTGCGAAGCAACACACTGATACCCAAAAACAGCATAATGCACAATTTGAAGGAATTAACAAAGAGCAAAGGCAGGGCGAGATTCTTGAACTCATGTAACCAGATTTGCTTAAGCACCAGCGGACAAAATTCACTTTACCAAATAGTTTTTACACAGACACTATTTTTTATTTATAAATAGATGTATCTGAATCAAATTCAGTAGATTTGTGAATAGTTTAATGACAATAAAAATGATAGTTCGATGAAGAAGACTTTAAGCCAGTAAAGATATTCAAAACAAACCTTAGCGATGCAGTCTTTGGCATAGTCATAAGGAATGTATGCTTGAGGCTCACCAGATGCCACTGGAGGGGCAAGCATTGACTCTGAACTGGCTGTTTTTGCTGTAGAATGTGATTATGAAAAATTGAAAGTATTCATGTACTTAAAAATGTCACCTAAAAGAATCCTGTCGCCTTAAAAATGAGCAAAGACTAACACTTGGCAGAGATAGTTCATGCAAGGAGGATATGCCAAACAAGGGGTACGGGTTAAAGCTAGAGGAAGGATTTATGCCCAAACAATACATTATTTCAAATGTAGCAAGGATTCAATAAATGGAACATTCCTTCACAACCGGAAAGCCACTCAAGTGGGAGAGTTCTTCATAACAGGGGAAAGAGGAAAACAGGAAAAAGTTTACTTTCACCTTGGAACAAGAAAAAGTTTACTTTCGAACCCCGCCCCCCCCCCCTCATTTCTGAATATCAAGTTATCTGTCACAGTTTGCCTAAAAACTTTTTTCCATATATTTGATTCACCCTTTCTATTGCTGCTGTGTTGAGGAAGCATTAAATTTTAAAGAGAGGGTCGATTTTCACCTTTTTAAAGACTTACAAAACCATAAACAAACTAGTATATCAAAAAATGACTTACTTGATAACTGACCCTCCCGGCTGCCAGTTCTGCTCATAGCTCGACTTTCTGTATAACTGGCAACTGATTCATGCTGGAAAAATAATATAATCCTTAAGTAAGTGAGAATAATAAAATCCTTGAGTAAATAACAGGCCTTTTCGTTTGACGCAAGCGATCACTCGCAATCGCGCCAGCATTCGCGCAAAACCAACGGCGGGAGCGTTTGGCTGCTCGCGCAAAACGGTAAATTTTGAGGAAAAAATGTTTCATCAATTAACATATTTATAGTCATCTTTTGCGACCCAAGAAGTTACATAGACGATGCAAAGCTGTGTATAAAAACACAGGAAACATAAGCAAGCTGAATTGACTACATCTCAACGGAAATATGCAATTGAATTTCAAATCTACCATGAAAGTTTAATAATAGAACATTAGCCCTTAGAAGATCGTCTGGTCAGTTAAAGCGTTTTTAAAAAAGGTTTGGAACAACATTTTGCGATCATCCAGCAATGACGTCTATATGACCTTCGTGATGTACATAAAATTTACAAACGACGCACATTTATGTTGGGTATTTAGTCATGGAGTGGAGTGAATTTTCGTGGAGTGCATTTAAAACAAAGGTACCTTAGAACAAATTCATACGGTTTTTTAAACATTACAGACACTTTCGGCATTGTTGATTATTATATTATCATTTCTAGAGAGATCGCTCACGCAAGAGAATTCACGTGACCGCTCGGCAGCTCGCGCAGGCTACTTCTTACGAAAAGGCTTGAAAAACATTTTTTCTTAAACTGTCTGAAAAGCTGAGTCAAGGAGTTCTATCTGCTTAGGAAAGTGATATAATTACCTTTGAAAGAGAGCTTTCAACTCCAGCTCTTTTACCAACTGATTGAGATGTTGAGGGTCTATTCTTTGGTAGTGCTGACTCCTCCACTATGTCTGTATCTGTATGCTTGTATGGGCCATCCTTCCCTGTTTGCTTTACTAGCCTTCCCTGAGGAGCTGAAATTGGCCTAAACAGAACACAAGATTACCACTGACAAAAAACTAACAACCAAACATAAAATTGCAGACATATTCTTAAAAGTAGCAAAAAAATTTGATGATCAATAATCTATTTGGCTCCAAAAACACAAAATGCTGTTATTCTCGCAGATCTAGATGAAACATATATTAGCAGCCAACAGCAAGAAAAAAGAGTAAATTAAGCAAACAGAGTAATAATTAAAAAATAACATTCGCTCATTGAATACCAAAGAAGATGACATGGCAACATGATGGTGGGAACAAGATGAAATACTGCTAGTTTTTGGTGAATATAAACTTAAAAAACAACATACCTTGATGCTGCAGGTTTAGGCTGTCTGTAGAGAGGTGCAGAGCCTGGTCGGCTTGAAGCAATGGAATCCGAATCTGCCTCGTGTGCAGGATTATCCCAAGCTTCAGGTACTAAAAATGGGATGTTTCTAGATTTACTCAAATTTTCAAAAGAAAAACCATGAATAGAAAAGAACTGCCAAATGGATATCAAACAATAAGACACTCTACATTTCATTGTATCTAGATATCCTTAAGCTTGCATGATACCAGTATCATGAAAAGATGCTATTATAAAGTACCTAAGATTATTTGCATGCAAAAAGGTATACCATAGAAATAAACATACCATCTCTTTTTCCAATGACATTTATTCTAGTAATTGAGTCACTTCCAGTTGGTTCCTCATCAACTGGGGCAACAACATTTTTCCTCATTTTTTGCAGCATACCCCTGCTGCCATTTATTGATGACCTTTCTTGTTCATTTAAGATGTCCTCTCTTTTTGCTTTCTTCTCAATTTCTGAGCTTTCGCCATTAATGGAAACGTTTCCATTTTCATCTTCATCCTTTGCACTCCATGCTAAAGTTTAGCAAAAATTAATTCATAATAATGCTTCAACTTAAAAAAATAGGAAAACATGTTTTCTTTCACCATAAATCCTCGAATTAGCCCCCAGGGGGGCTTATTTATTATTGATATTCTTGGATGGGGGCTTATTCGAGGAGGGGCTTATAGGAGGGGGGAGGCCAATAAAATAATTATAGACATTAAGAAGACATTATTAAAATACCTCGTTAATTTTAGTAGAAATATCTTTATGAGCATTTAATTAAGTATTACCAAAAGTATGAATTTGTTGTCGTATTTCAATATAACGCCATAGGCAACCTCAGATGGCAAAAATCATCAAATGGAGGGGTCCAATTCAAGAATTTACAGTAGCAGTGGGGGCTTATTGGAGGGGGGGGGGCTTATTGACAATTTGTAGTTCTAGGGCAGGGGCTTATTCAAGGGGGGGTTCTTTTGAGAGGGGCCAATTCGAGGATTTATGGTATATGATTTTCCAAAGTATATTTTATTGAAAAGAAAGCATGAAAATCTATTGTGGTACAATAAACATAATGCTTTACTATGTTGGTGCCATTTGCATTTTAACATTTTAAAACTATGCCTGTAGGTCTATTACTTGCTGAAATGAACAATGCAATAAACAAATGACTCTTTAAAAAAACATCAAACATTGTCATGGGGTACTTAGCATAAGTTTCACAAAGCTAAGATGTGGATTTCTTGTCCAAACCAAGGAATATCTGAGTTTCAAAATTTTCTAAATATGGTTCCTAGAAATATCAGAATGATGTTCTGGATTTTTAGATCAAAGATAAAAATGTCATTTTGGACAAATTTTTCACACAAATCACTTTTGACAAAATTTTGATCGAAAAATATTCTGGTATTCTTGCTGTGGATATGTGGGCAAAAAAAGATGAGACGAATTTAATATGATGTTAAAAAAGATTGGGAAAACAACTGTAAGCATCTGATAGGTGATTGAACCTGTACATCATCAAGGATATTTATGGCTCAAAAGCTCTAATAAGTTATTTTTATTATGCTCTTCAGCAAGCTTTATGTTAAATATTCAATATGTATTTACATGAACTTTTTTTTAACTTTACTTTTTAATTTTAGGTTTTTTCATCTGTTGTTACTCTGTAAAGTCATTGCCATGCTGAGAATACACATGAAATGAAAATTATGGACCGAAAAAAATTTTCCTCATTGAAAGTAATGAACTTGGCCGTTAAAAAGTTACCACTTCCAGGTCTTGAATTTCTCTGAGAAATCGAGGGCAAACTGGCTTCTGATGCTGTATCATCGAAAGGCTCAACGCGGTCAGATTTTGGTTTCTTTCTAGGCTTTGCGATTGCCACTGCGGCCATGTTTTATCGATTGCCTTCTTGTCCTTAGGCCGGTAATTCTTTCCTTATTCACTTGTTGTCAGGACTTTTGTATGCATCAAGGATTACATCAATTTTTACACATGCACCAGTTAATTGTTCTGTATGATTTTTGCTGTTTTCATTCCATTTGATCGAATTTTTCAATCGAAATTCGAAATAGTCCATCAAAGGTTTCAGTGTTTTGGTAATGACGAAGGCGCCTTGTCTAGTTGCTATAGTAACTACCCAAAAAGAGAATAGCAACCAAAAATATATGTCAACAGAAAAACTCGCCCACAAAGGCAACATTACTAATTGCAAAAGGATCCTCGGAGGAGGGAGGGAGGACCTTAATAGGTTTGAGGTACGGAGTCGTGCCATTATTTACGGTACCTTTTTCTGAAAAAGTGCGAAACTATCGCTATCCGTTTTTAAAAATTTTTTCGAATAAAAATGTAATGCCACGGTCCCGTCCCTCAAAAGGCAATCGATAAAAATGTTGGTACCATTTGAAGAAACATGCGGAGTTATGGGCACCATATTGAAAAGATACTGCAAAATTATTAGGAGGGAAATTTAGCATGAACAAAAAATTGAATGTCGAATGAAAAATGAAATTATTAATTTATGTTCAATATTGAGATTATAGGGTAAAGGATTTACAAAATTTGTTGTTTCTTGAAAAATTTTATATGCTTTGTGGATGTATGGGAGAGTTTTCATCATTTTGCGGAATTATAGGTTCAATTTCGGAACCAAAATAGTAACACTCTACAGGGCAGTCGTGAGGCTTGCCTTGTTGGGGGGGGGGGGGGGGGGTTTACTACAAGTTTACCTGATTTAAAAAATTGTACCTGAAATTTTTCAATTTACTGTCACAAACCTCTGAAATACTTTTTGTCAACCTAACTCTGTATATAATTAGCAACTATTAATTTTTATATGATAATAACGGACTTTCCTAATAGTTTTGTCAAATCTCTATATCGGAACGGGTAAAAGATATAGCTACTACCCAAGGCGGCACCATGGTTGCCGCCGAAGGAGCAGGAAATTTTCGAATTTTGATGCTTCTAGTTTCCTGGAAAATGCTCTCTTTTAGGCACATTTAACTAAAGCAATCCTCCTAATTCTATTGAAAATTATTTTTTGCAAACAAATTGAACAGCAGATAAAAACAACTGGTACAATTTCGCCGCGGTCTTGAAAAATGCCATTTTGTCAGTTACTTCTAAAGCTTGGTAACAAGAAACACTGGTTGTCAATTTAGATCCCTCTTTCTATTCTATCTAAGCATGCCTTTTGAATATTAGAATAAATCTTGAGCTCATAGTGAATTGCAGTTGACGCTTCTACTGAGAAAATTTAGGAGAAATGGACACAAGGCACAATTTTACCTAAAGTGGGCCTGAATTTTTAGATTTATTGCCAACAAGCAATCTTCAAATCTTCAAATCATTAGTTTGTTTAACTTCATTCATAAAAAGGAATATCATATTTAACAAACGGAGCAACTACCTTTGCTTGATCCTTTCTTGACTTTATGACATGCAGGTCTCTAAAATACCTAAAGCGTTTCTTCCACCGAGCGGATTTTACCTGAAATTTCCTATTGAGATATCATTTGGGGTGAAATTTCCACGAAAACAAAAGGATTTCCAAAGATTTTCAGATAAACAATAGGATTTCCACGAAAATTGAATGAGATTTTCTTGGAGTGATATGCCTCGGCTAAAAGTAACATGATATTGTGCAAATAATTTGGGCATTAAATTTCTTAGGTTTAAAGAAGTCCCTAAAAATAGATGACGACCCAAGAAAACCTGATAAACTAACAGAAATTTCAAAATTGGCAAATTTTCTAAATTTCAGAGTCAAGGGATTTGCGCTTTATTTTCGTTAACTTGAAGTTGCACCTCAATGAAGGAGCGTGCTCCCTAGCAAGGTGTATGTCGTTGTACAGTAACACATTTTGTTTATAAAAACATGTGAGTCACATGTGATCACAATCTTTGATTAAATAATGCCATATATTTAAAAATGGAAGGCCTACATCTTCTTTTACATTTGCGAACATTTTCTAATTAACATTTAAGTAAATGCAAAGCTACAACTAACAATGCATCAAGTGAAATAAAATATTAGCTTCACTAATAATAAGTTAGTTTAAATAAACAAATACACTCTATATATTATAAAGGAAAAAGTTTATAAAAAACAATTTGACCACAATTATAGTTTTATTTACTGAACAGTCTGGTGTGCTCCAAATAATTAAGACAACAACCAATGTTTCTTAGAGCAGTTGAAAACGGCAGTGAAAGCTCCGTTAAAATTCAATCAAAGACTTGTAAACAGCGAAATGTGTTGCATTCTGTAAATTGCGCTAGAATCTACTTCTAAATAAACATCGATGATTTGAAATCACCCATAAAATCTCCAGGAATCAAAGTTACAGGGAACAGCTTGATAGCATGTGAGCAAACAGATCCTTTGGTGTAAGGGAGAAACTTGAGCTTCTTGGCAAACATGTCCATTCATTTCATCAAAAGGTCCCAAAGTCCGTATCCAAAAAGAAAGTATCAACATTTGCAGGCCAGTTTGCCATTCTCAGCTTCATTCAATATGGGATGTTACTCAATTTGACTCACTACATCCATTATCCTTCGATATTCTCCGAGCAAGGAAGCATATTTATCGATCAGCCTTAGCATGATTCCCCTATCATCCAGGACGACTTTAGTGTCACCAAAGTTAAGAACTCTGATGTCTTGATTCAGTTCTGACCATTTGTAATAATAGAGCAGGAAGAAGCAGTTGAAGAAGTTTGCCAAGTAGTAAAAGAGTTCTATTGAACCAATGAGGGACACTTGGTACACAAGGTCAGTTGAGTTCAAGTGGTTAATGATGCACAAGCTGAAGCAGAGGAAAACTGTCTCAAGGAAGTGAAACCAATCCAGCACCACAATTGCTTTTATAATTGACAGTAAGTGCCATCTTGTGATGCTTGGGTGTTGTCTCTAAAACAGAAGAAGCAAAAAATGAATTCTAAGAAGTATGAATGTAGCACAACATTTCCTGGTATCACGTCATAATACTTATGTACATAACTATACGTAATGTGTCCATAAACCGAATTGACAAGCAGACAAATGAATAAGATATGTTTTGATATTTCCAAGTTCTACTTTGACCTTATGTAAGGGTATGATAGAGACATGTCACAGTTCTTCATAGGTAGTAACAGAAAAATTAGACCACTAGGTCAAGTCATGACTTCAGCATCCCTTTGTTTAATCCTACAGCTCCTAATCTCCTTTCAAAATACTGCTTTTTCTCTTTCTACAATTTGCAGAAGTTTAGTTAATAAAATAAATCCAGGCGCGGATCTCGACCGGCTGCACAGGTTTAAAAAAACCAGTCAAATTTTAAGAGCTATGTTTCTCCATAAATCTTGAATTTTTGATCTAAAATTTCAATTGCAACAATTTCTGCATTTCTCCCTGACTGACTACAGTTCTTCTGTTTACATACTGAATTGAACTCCAACAAGATTCCGATAGAGTCCCCAGCTTCCTAATTCATCTTTTATCCCAAAATATCCGAGAAATTCAAAGTCGAGGAAATCAGTCGCCACTCGAAGTGACAGTTTGGAGTATGCTATCTATGCGCCAATATTGAAACCGGTGGCTATTGTTTTCTGAAAACCTGTGAAAACCGGTGCCCATATGTTCCCCTTATGCGAAAAAAACTGGTGACTAAAAAGCAAATCGATATCCATTGCTTGAAAGTGTGGACGATTTAAAGCAAAAAGATACAAAATGAAATACGGATGCAAGTAAGAATCTGAGGTTTCGTATTGCAGGTACCGCAGAGCAGGGTGGCTGGGGGGCCTTAGCCAAATATTAAGTAATAAACTAACAGTAAAGCCTCTTTTTATATTGTTTTAGCCTCCCACTTTTTCTAGACCCCCCACTTTTTTCAACGCTCGCATTGCCTGTATTGACGGACTAGACTTTCTTTCTCAGAAAAATTCATGAATATTAGAATCGAAGTTGCAAGAAGAGGTTCAAAGGCCCGGGGGGGGGGGGGTACTTGTATACCAAAACGACGGGGGGGTGCACTCCTAAGATTGTTTTGGTGAACCAGCTTTAGAAAAAAAAGCTAAAAATGACACCCGGCTTTAGAATTTTTGAAAAAAGAGCAAAGGAAAACAAAAGCTTAGGTGCCAGTTGCCATGGTTGCCAGAACACCATGAAAACAAGCCTCTTTGCTGTTATTTTTGAATAGGAAAAAACCCCGAAAATCAGGCAACCGTCTTTAGATTATATCCTTTGAACAGATACCCGGCCTTAGAATAAATTACTGAAATGATACCCGGAAAGACGTGCACATCCTGTCAGCAAAATATACTAAGTGCCCCCCCCCCCGGGATCAAAGGCCATGCTGAACGGAGTAAAATTGTAACATTTTAGATAAAGTGTGGGCAAATTAATCATATTTAAAAGTTGCGAACCCCATTAGCAACCTTTAGCAATACTTATGAAGCAATAGAGTTGTCAAGTGATGATGTCACAAAAATCTACTTGGCCATATCTCACCCGATTTTTGATAAATTTAACTGACATTGCATGTATGGGAGTATTTTATGGTGTTCTTTTATTCTATGTGGGAAAAAATTCTAAAAATAGTTTTTTGTGACGTTACACTTGAGAACTCTATAACACACAGCGCTGTAACTCGGTGAAGCACCCCGAAACCCGTCAAAATTTTGGCTAGATCTGCGCCTGAAATCTAATTACTTCCAGTTATTATTATCATCACACATACACAAACAGAATGGGCAAACTCCAACATCAACAAAACAAAACAAAGATATCAAATTTTTGAAACACAGAGTTGAAAAAGGATAATGGAAACCTGATGACATGGTGAGAAATTATATGCTCTTTGGGACATTTGGAAAGAGCCGTATGAGCCCTTGACAAACCTTTTAAAAAAATAAATGTTATGCCATGTTTCTGGAAGTCAAAGGAAGCATTTGATATATTTTTTGCAACACGAAGGGAATTTCTCCACAATACCCTACAATCTGAAAACAAAAGACATATCAGCATCATTTCAAATACTAACCTTTTCATATTGCCTGGTCTTCTTGATGATCTGGTAATTGTATTTACATAATTCACAAACTGGCTTCCGTGCTTTCAACCATTTCAACAAGCAGCTCTGATGGACATACTTAATAGAGCCAGCACAATTGCATGGTGATAAAAGGGATTCCTCTTCACTTTCATTGTAACAAATACGGCAAAAAGTTATGAATCCTTCTCTGAGTTCTGAATCTGATGATGTACATTTCATCACCATTTTATCATCTTTGCAGTTCATACAATCCTCCATGTTGTTCCTGAAAGCAAAAGGCAGAAAATTATTTTATCTATTGAACTTTGAAACTGCCAACATGATATGGTGACAAAAACTCAAGAAATTTTCAATTTTCAACATTACTTGAACTTTGTACCAGAATCAATTCCTCATATTCATCTATAAAGGTCAAGATTACAAGATTAAGTTCTTGTAGGAAAGAGGTTGAGTAAAGAATTATATTTTGCATCTTCTTAGAATTTAAGAAGCAACCAATGAGAATTTGTGAACTAAAGACATCATGTATACTCCCCTCACGAAAGTATCCAAACAGTTTGGAATCTCTGTTGTTGAAGAAATTTGTTCAAAGGCTGTTTTTGTGAAAACATTTTTGTAAAATTTTCTGAATTTTTTCTTGAAGCTTATTTGGCTGTTGATTTATTTATTTCCCAAAAAAAATATATTATTGATATGTAAGCAAACTTTGTGAGGGCTTTTCCTCAAGATGGTAGTGACTTATGAGCAGTGTCTAGAAATAATGTTTTATCACAATGATGGAAAAGAGCTATCATTAAATTGCCAGTATCATTGGAGGTGAAAAGACTCCTGTTTTGACATTGCAAAAAAAACTGAATGATATGTCCCCTTTGCAAGAGCCTTTATGATTTACTAAAATGTTACCAAATGTCATCCATGTCTTATAATCGATTGATGGCATTTCCATACAAATATTTTTCCAACTGAGAATAAACATGTTGTATATCTCTTTTTTCTGTCTCAAGAACTAGATTGTGAACCAAGTCCAAAAACCAAGAACCTAGAACTCAGTTCAAATCACCTAACTTTGCTGTTCTGTGCTTATGATATAAAAGAAATTTGACATCAGTTGATTATCATAATGCTTGTGGCGCAAAGGTTTCTCATTTTAACAAAAATTAAGAACAGATGAAAAGAGCAGAATTTTTGCAACACTTTGATGTCTTGGTTTATTTTTGAAGGGTTTCTCAAAAAATTATTATGACTAAGCTAAAAGTAGTCATTGCCATCCTAATTTTTGTTTTTGTCTGAAAACACAATTGATCTCCAAACTGTCCAGATACTTTGGTGAGGGGGAATGTATATGAAATATTTTAGAGTCAATGAGAGTCAATGATACATCTGAATGAAAGGCCCTCACAGTTGGCATTTTTGAGAGGAGCTTCAAGGGCAAGCAGAAAATCTGTTTTGAGAAAGAATTAAATATCAAAAGATCTTTGGTGCATGCTTTTGCCCAATACCATTTTCAATTTCCCTTTGATATCATCAAAGAAGAAAGCAGCACTGTTTATGACAATGCATACAACAACACTCAGCAAGTCTTGAGAATATGGCAGGTGCATGCACAACGCCAGAATGCCACTGCATGCAAAACATTCAATTGCAAACTGAATTCACAATTTCTCTATAATAAAAAAACTTCTGTTTGCATTTAAAATGATTGGTAAAAGGAGGTTGTGGAAAATATAGTTCAAATGACTGTGCAAGCTTTCTTGTTGAGCTCTGCCATATACTACGGACTGGCATACTTGAACAAAATCAACAACTAAAACATTGTTTATGACGATGTCAGAAGCTTAAGAATTACAACTAAATGTCAACATCCTGGTCAAATGAAGAGTTATTGATTTCTTAAACCTTTGTGTACTAGGAAGAAGTTCAGGGTCGTTCAAAGGGGTGAAACCATTGCTAAAAAAATTTCCTTTTTTCCGTAAGATTTTCCCCTCTTGTTTTAGAGGATGAATTTATAATATTGTATTTACTATGTAGCATTAAAGTTTGATCCGCGCATTAATTCATTCAGGCTGTAATCTTTTTATGAAGACATTTCTTTAAGACATACATGTTACGACATACTTGAATGATGAAATTCTTCCAAGTTTGCCGCAGTGGTTTGACATCGTACGTTCATGTCAAGACGAGGCCTAGCCAGGTAGAGCGTCCTTGAGGGCATCAAAATAAGTGGAGATATCGAGAAAAAATTATAAAATGTCAAGGTCTCTTACCTGCATGAAATTAAAACCGTTGCAAAATACTCAACAGGGTCTTAGAGTATATCTAGGATGCTTTTCCTCAGCAAAAGATCGTCATTTTCGATGCCTGCCTGAATTCGAGTTAATGAATTGAACAACTGCCAACAACAACATACTCAACTGGTTTGTTTCCGTTCTTTGTTCTACCCGGCACAGCTGATCATCTGCATGACGCACAACAAATTTGTTTATCATTTCGAATATTCAACTGCTATATCGGATGGAAGAAGAAAATTGCAGGGGTCATAAGGTTGATCCTTTGCCTGATAGAGTTCAAAAATACGTGAACTAACGTAAGATGTCAAAATTTGAATGTTTGCACAAAAACAGCCGAGAGCAGTTGGAATGAGTTATCAGAATAATCTATTTTTGGGGAAAAGGGACCAAGAGAAGAATCTAAATATGATCAGCAATTAATAAGCATAAAACAATATACAATTAATTATAGTTAAAAATTAGCGATTTACGACAAGCTGTTCAAATTATGTTTTTCAATAAATGCAAATGAAAAACACTTTTTTCTATAAGAACAATTTTATAAGAACACGAGCCTCAAAACTGGTCAAAAGTTAAGAACAAATTAAGAACAAGCTGAGGCTGAGCTTCTGCAAAATGCAATTTTGAACATCGTTTTTTCTCAAAACCGAGGATTTTTAGCGATGTGTGGGTGCTTTTTTGGTGAATATTCAAATTTGTCAGCAAATTAAGGCTGTCTCACTCACTTTGTTGGCAAATGAGGCCTGAACACCTCCTTAGGGCGAAAAAGCTAGTAATAGCACTGCGTACACTCTCTTAATTTAAGAACAAATTAAGAACAATGTAGCCTCAGATTTTCGAAAAAATGAAGAACAGTCAGCCTGAACTTAAATTTACTGGTTTTTATAAAAAAAGAGTGAACAAAGAATATTTTCAAAGTACACGTATTCTCAGATATTGACTTGATTTTTGTGGAGGTAATTCACAAACTACACGAGGTTCTGCATTGGAGTAGAAATAGAACTTTTGTACGGATATCTTGATAATGAAATAAACACTAATTGGATTCTTGGGTGAAATATGCATTCTTTGACACCCCAATTAATATGTAAAAAAGCTTTAGCTGAAATTGGGTCAGGGAACGCTCTCTTATCTGTCGGTAAAATACAAACTTGACCGCAAATGGCAAAGCAATAACAATGGCTTGAGAAAAAATAAATTCTTGATCTGTTTGACTACACCCATTCCATTGACTTAAGTTAAGAAAGTACAACAATTCTTGCATGCCAGTTTGCTGCCAATTTGTAGTGGAACGTTGCCTTGATCAAGCAGGAGTATCGAAAACATTCAGAAACATTGGTTGTTAGTGTGCAGCTTGAAAACTTTGCAGCAATTTGTATGTTCTTATCTGTGCAAAAACATAATTTACGTCGTTCAGAACACCTTGATGTAGCTCAATAAAGTTATCATTTTTCCATGTGCTCATTTCTACAGAGACTATTTTAGTGTGGTTTCCCCCACATTTTGTGGTCTTGGAAATCCAAAATGTGGTCTTGGAAATTCAAAACTGTGGAATGAGTTTTTTCATGTTAACTATATTTTTGTTTTAAATATGTTTTTCTGTTGATAGAGTTCTGAAACTGTATAACATAACAGAAAACAGAACAGTACAAAACATCCATGAATCATAGCGCAAGTTCCTTGGTCCAGATTAATCTGGTCCAACAAGAGCGAAAAATGTTACAGCCAATCAGTTTTTGGTCTCAAACGGTGTAAAAGCCAATCAGAGCTTTTAAAAGATCCCTGATCTAGCGACAATAACAACAATGGCGGCCAAATAGCCACCAAGCTGCGTGAAAGTGCACTACAACCTTCGAACTGCTGCAAGCGAAAAAATCTCAAGGCAATCCCCCCTTTATTAATTTTCAAAAATCTTATAGCCCCCCGCTCTTATTAGAACCCCCCGCTTTTGAAACTTTTGGCTTAGCGTGGCCTTCAATGTTAAAATAAATATAAACTATATAGCCTGCGTCACTCTCCTCCTTGGTGGTGATGGTCTGTGACGCAGGCTAGAACTATAGAGCTTCTAGCAATGTTAACCTTTAACTACTGTTACTGTCGGAGTCCATAAAGAATAGGCTATAATAGAAACATATTTCTAATCGTGTTATGTTGAATATTTTTGTTTTACACGAATAAAGAAAAATGCTTTCTACGGCAACGGTCGATATTTTGAAAAATCATGCTTCATATACAGCCTTCTTTTCTTAAAGTGTGGTCTTGGAAAATTTCCATAAAATAGGCCCTGCATTTCTCAAAGGCTTTGACTCATAATTCATTGTTAACACAACTTTTATAAGGGCACACTAGACTTGTATTCTTTATTTGAAATGAGATAAAGTCGATTAGAATAAAGAGCAGCAAAGGACCAAGACAGGAACCTTGAAGTCCCCCATTTAAAAAATAAGCAGATGATTATTTAGCTGTTTTCAAGCCATTTTTGATAGGCAAAAATCGACAAATTCGACAGATTTTGCATGAACGATAACATATAAACTTTTTTCTAGTATAATAATATGTTTATCTATATCGTTGAAAATTTCCAAATTACATTTACTTGACGTCATCAGTTAACCACTCTACCGTGGGCAATAGAGCAACCATGCTCTAACCACATCATCGCAGCTAGAATGCTGCATTCAGTACTTTGCCGATATACAAAAACATCTTAACATCAGAATTTGCACCGACAAATTAGTCCTTGAAAGAAACCAGCGCAAAATTCCTTGGAGATATCTTGGCATCAAAAACAGTGTAGAGATTTGCCCTGAAGCCTACGAGAAACAAAAGAAGAATCCGTGAGAAGCTGCCAAGCTTTGGTGGGTAGAGCTGGAAGCTTTTCACAAAATAATCGTTTGAACCATTATCAAAATAAATATTGCTAATAAAAACAAACCTTTGAACCTTACGATGTTGTTGGAAACAAAATTACATTTCCCATTATGTTAACGTTTTAGCTATCCTTAAGGGACTATCCGAGGAGCTACCCAAAAGACCATTGTTGTAAGGAAACAACATGTTCTATAAAGAACGGGCTAGTTTGTTTAAAGAGAGGCTGCTTCATAAGTGTGAACTCTACATAGTACGCGATAAAGAGGTTTCCTATACATAAGAAGTTTCCACGAAATGATTAAACGACACGCTTCAATTAGACGCAGGTTTACTGTCCACTTTTTCTTGCTGCAATCAGTCTCTAGCATTATAACGAACTCAAAAAATCTCATATAGCCATGCGATTACAAAACTCACAAAAAAGTACAGAATAAATTTAAACGTACATTACAAGGGTCATATAAAAGCATCCTGAAGTCGACAAATAGAAATCAGCCTCTTGCCAGAAATAAAACATAAAAAGATGATCAAATGATAAAAGAATTCACCATTCTCTTGCATATACAGAAGCCTGTCAGTCAACACCATGCTTTCTATCACGGGACCAATTAACAGCCGGAGACAATAAAACATTGTCACTTCTTTCCATCTGGATAAGAAACTGTTTATGTCCAGCTCTGAAATATTATCAAGCATGGTTTGATTTATGTAATGCAAAAGAGTTATAAATAGTGTGTGTTGCACTCTGGAAGGCATCAGAATCGGGGGCACTGAAAGCAGGTGTCCTCCAAACAGATGAACCTACTTCCAGCTTAGTCTTAACGAGGTGCCTTTTTACTGCCTTCATGGTCCCCAGTTTTGGAGTAAATAGAAGGAGCATCATGGGAAGGAGATTAAATAGTGGTTTGCAATTATCCTGTCACTGTCTAAAAGACTTATAAGGAAATAATTAACGGAATATGAAAGTGGGCATATTTATGTACGTAATCATCTGATCAATGGTATCTCGACATCACCTTCAATACACAAAACTTAGCATGTGTATGGCAAATGTTTCTTTTGTGGATAACCAAATAGAGTCTTATACCGTAAATTATCTTTTTAGACCGCCTCTCAATTGAGCCCCCTCTCGTATTAGCCCTCTATTTTCTGAAGATCTATTTTCTAAAAATTTAATTAGCCCCCCTATCAATTTAGCCCTCCCCCCTAAAAAAATCACTGAAGCTGAAATAAATAAACTTGACAAAAAACAGATTTTCATTTTATTCATTGGTCATTCAATACTTTGCATCAAATCAAAATTCACACCAGGTCTCTTCCAGTCACAACAGACCAGGTCTCAACCTTTTACCAAAATTACAGGCCATTGGTACTCCGAGGGATGAAGTCGACCTTTTCGAATACTCGATTTCAGAAGGCGACATTGCCCAAGAAGATATTTTAGAATTAATAATTGATGACGAGGTTTTTTTTGGCAAATAACAAAAAACTACTTTTACCACTAAACATAGTTTTTCATTACAAAATATTTATTAAGCCCCATCTCACAATTTAGCCACCTCTCTTATAAGCTCCCCTTTAAAGTGCTGAAAAACAATAAGCTCCCCGGGGGGGGGGGGCTAAACAGAGAATTTACGGTAGATTTGAAAAAATACAGAATATAGTTACAAGCACAGGTTAATTATTTATTCATACCTTCAAATATCTCTTGGGATGGCTTGCTAATGTTGATTCTTTGCAGTGCAGCGTGTGCATACCTGGAAACAAGAAACCGATCAGGGTTATGATCCAGTTTATCATAAGATTTCGTTAGCATGATCGGTTATCGAGTCATCGTTCTAAAGCTCCACATCAAACTAGCACTTACTCTTGAAAGGACAAACGCGAAGCTCCTTTTATCTTCTGACATCTTATTTGAGGATTCTTCATGTCTGGCCTAAGTTTTCTGATGACCACTTCCAACGCAGCTCGGTAACACTGGATTTTCAGCTTTTCTTTTTCATCTGCAATTACAAAATGGTATGATCTGGGCCTCGTGCTGAATGGTTTTATTTGAAAATAGGACAGAAAAATGGAAAAATACAATTCTACACGACGAGCAATGAACGAATTTACCAGCAAAAAAATTGTGAAAAAATTCAGGATTTTTAAAGGAGTCCCTTTCAGACTTATTGGTAAATAAGTGCAGTGGGATTTCATTTTTTTACTTTTTCAGAGGAGAGGGCGTTTGGCCAGACAGACTTATACTATTAAGTTCATGTTGATGAAACTCGTGTTTTTCGTCATGTTTCTTGTATATCAAAGCTGAACGTTCCACTGATGATTGAAGCCAGGTGCGTTGGGGGGAGGGAGGCTGCAATTTTAAAAATGTGTTAAGTAATGAACCAGACTGACTGACTGACTTATTAAATGAGTGAAATGATAAGTGCTCCATCCATGTTGTTGGGTAAAACAGCTCTATCCACGTCGTTGGGTAAAATTTCACAACGAAAGAATAGAAAACACACACAAATTGAATCATTTAATAAGTCTCCAGATACCTAGCAGCCTTTGGCAATAATTGTCTAGGTTGTGACAAGCAAGTTCGAGACCATCCCAGTCAACAGAAAGTTTTGATTGCCTTCGTAAATAATGGCTCATTGGGAAACCAGTGTGTTTTGGAGCAATTTGATCAGTCTTGTCCTTTATCACATTATTACGACCTTCGTGATTAGTACAACAACAACCACTAAGTCCAGTGTCTTCAGAAATAGCAGACTTTTTGCTTGCATCATCTGCGTTGTTGTGTTTACCATCAGGGGAATTGGTTTCAAAGTGTAAATCCTCGCTACATGAAGCACTGTTGCATGAACAATTAGTCTGCACGTGTTTTGCAGGCAGTCGATTGCCTTCCTCGGAAATACTCAGATTGTTGAAGTTCATTTCCACCTCATTGCATGTCAGTTTCATATAGCAACAGCTTATAAGAACGATAGCCTTTGCTCCTTCGCAGTTCACAAACGTGCGTATCATCGTAGGTGACAAATCTCCACACGTGTGTAGTCCAACTAGGACGTAATTTTCTTTATTTTCTTCACTGTCCGTTGATGTTTGCTTATTGTCATCAAAAGTCCTGTTTTCTGAAGGCATAGATTCGTTCTCGTCTTGAAAACGTTCAGCTGGTGAATTTCTTCTGGCTGACAATATTATATTTACAAATTCATCAGCTGAGATATCCAGAGGTACCTATAACACGTGAGAATAGGCCATGAATTCGAATAAAACAACCAGGAGCAAGATGTATTAAAGCAAGATGTCATGCATTGTTTGTATCTCGTATGTTGTCATATATGCCTGGCTTAAACACAACCATATCAATTTTCCAAAGCAGAAAAGTATCATGGTAAAAGTCAGAAGAGACGCTCGCTGAACTGATTTGTTATTTCTATGATTTGAAGGTGTAATACAGGAACTTATTGACAGGTCTTTATATAACTACGAACAAAAAAGAGGAATCCATTACCTATCAAACGAAAATATTAAAAAGCAATATCAACTCTTCAGCATAAAAGAGCCTTAGTCCCTCCTAACTTGCTGGCCTGCGGTATGCCTCTAGCGCATCTGACAATGAAATTTCATACAAATACTTTCTAACAAATACTACTGATGGGCATGCATAGTCAACACAAATCTAAGTATCAGACCTGTCTTAAAAGATAGGTTTTTGTAATTATGAATATGCAACATACCATCTTTGTCACGTGAATTGGAGGTGCCTCGTCACAGTCCTGGGGCTTCCCAGTATTCTGCTACCGACATAAGGCAGAAATAAAGACAAGTTAGCAGAAACTGTGAGATTGGTCGACTGGTGTTGCAAAGCATAAAAATATACATTAATGGAGAGACAAGGTCTTACAGCGTACAATACGAGTAATCATTCGAATATTTAGGATATAAGACACCAAAGCAGTATCCCCCCTCTCCCAGCGATTTTGAAAGCATGCCCTACCTCAATTATAACAAAGAACTGAACGGGGTACAAAGAACTGACAGGGAGGCTAATCGTTGCGTTGTATCAACTATGATTGTATAGTTCATCTAAGTTCAGTGGTGACCATAGATAGATTTTGTCGCCAAAGTTTCCGTTGTCTTCCTCTACTTCTCTCCCCTTCTACTATACCTCCTAGATATATTTGCGATAACCCGGAGCTAGATCTCTTGAAAGGTCCAAAAAGTTTGAATACTCTGTTCTTGACGATTGCTCTTTCAAACAAAGCTGGATGATTCTCCAAAAAATACGCTATTTGAATGAGGCGGGTACACTTGAAACTAGGATGGCCGGGGTGCAATTGAGACATCGCTTTAGGGAAAAGGGGGCAACTCCGGTTTTGCGATAGGCGTGAGTTGAAAACAGATCGAAACTAGACTGAAAATATATGAGTGTTTAAAGTACTTTTGGCAAGCATTGGGCGAAAAATACGGATTTTAAAGAGCTCTAACTTGAAGGTTTACAGTACAATCAGGAGGAGGGGGGGTCTTTCATTGTTTAGCAATGTACGTTTGTCAATGCAAACAAAGATATAAAATATAATCGATTATTTTCAATCCAGTTATCAAATTTTGGCAAAATAGTGCCCAATTATATACCTAAAAGCTACATGTAGATGTATAGAATCGGACGGTAAATTTGACGCTTTATTCGTAAAACAAAGACTCATAAATACACCCGTTGCTTGTCCGTGCGGATCTTATTCTTTGAGTACACATGAAGACGACGATTAACTAAAACGTATTTGAATATTAAGATAAGACGTTTCGTGTATTACTCTTCATAGGTAATAGGGAAGTAGCAAAAAGGTCGTTAAAAAGAAGAGAAGGAACGATATATAAACGTTCATAGATGCTTACCCGAAGCTTGGATCTTTGTATGTCTCGAAGGGTTTCCCTGACAAACAAAAATTTATGACGATAGAAGCAAGAAAGAATAGCATAAATGCCATGGTTGCAAAATAAGAATTGCGTCGTGTTTGGAAGGCATTTTACAGGCTTTTTAAACCGAATCATCATCATAATATATCTATCTTTACGGTTGTCATCAGTTCGATGTATGTGATATACAATTGCTTCCACGTATAAACTGAAGCCTACCTTTGATCAAACAGCAGTTTTAGCAAAGGGACCTTGTTGAAAAAATTTCAGATTGTAAACTATGAAATATATGTATTTTTTAAAGTAGAATTATGCACACCAGGGAACAAAATGGATGGCGGAAACATTTAGTAAAGCAGAGAACAATTATTTGCAACATTAAGACATCTGGGAGTGACAATTTAACTCGTACTTGTCAAATTTCTCTGCCGTCATTTTGTGATGCCCCTCAGATTCAATTGTTACAACTTGCAGGTGATGCACAAATGCCAGATATCTAGAGAGATGGCCTAGACCACCGCCAACATCCTGTAACAGGAAAAATATGTGACATCATTATCAGGTAGGTAAGCCAAGAAAGCGGAGAGGGGCTTCGAGAAAGAGGCTATTAAAAACCTAATAAATCAGACGTTTATCTAGCCTAGCATAGAAGTAAGTAAAAATAATGTCAGTTCATTCGTACTGTGGCAAAGGGGCAAATATCATGAATACGTCACTCCTTCTCTGAAACTGATAAAAGAAATCAGGAAAGTTGGTAGAGAATATAACAAAAATTATCTGACAACAACACTCTTCATTCTGTCAATCTTTGATACTAAAATTTATCAGAGAGTTGGGCTCCTTGCCCCCCTTCCACCCATCACTAGAATTTGATCATTTGGACGTCAGCATTATTGCAAGGATAAGGAAACCTAAAACGGATGGCAGATTTGCTATGTGCAATAAAGGAAGCAAAAAAATTAAAGGTATAAGTTATTGCTTACTGCTATTTGATTGCATCCAATGTGATCAGCAACTGTTTTTATTAACTAGAAGTGGAAAAGAAAAGTTAAAAATAAATTATAATTATATAAAAATATTTTGTTTTGGGTGCCATTTAACTACAATGAAAAGGATATGCATCATATTTTAATCATTCATAAATGTATTGAGAGTCAAAAAATACAAAACACAAATATCCAGGGCTTTATACACTGAAAGTAAAATAATTTACAACAGCCACAAGCTCCATGCTATCTGGGCGTTTATGATTGACTGACAACAACTGGAAAGCACATCTTATTGGCAAGTTGATGTCATTCTTACAAGTGCAAAATTGGTTTCATATGCTTCTATAGCATAGCATCAGTTGGGTCTCAGTGTCAAGGATCATATTCTGCAAATAGCTATGCGTTAAACATGATTAAAATTCAAAACCAAACATTGAGCTATAGAATTTTTCTTCGCACTTCACAAAAGATTACACCATACTACATTGCACTGTAGATGTTTTTCAAACTGCCAGAAAGTAACATAATGCTAATATAAGAGTGTATAAGAAAACTTCTTACATTACCTGTGATAAATGCTTTACTTCGTATTGTTTTTTTATTTTCACATGTCTTCTGAAGCTATGTGGCAGCTTTGTGTCGTTTGCAGAATCTTTTGTCTGAGTGCATTCATTGAACATTTGTTTTCTTGGCAGTGCCAGGTAATGACACAAGGCAATGAATGAAAGCAAAGAAAGAGGAAGTACACAGCTAGATAAACAAAAGTTGAGACATTAATAAAAAGAAGCATGAGAGAAAATGTAACAAGGGGGTATTTGACACTAAAAATGAGGAAAGAAGATGTCAATGAAGATGCCAACAATGAGAATAACAACAATGATGAAAATGACATAACAAGAATAACAATGACAACAATGACAATGGCAACAATGACAACGGCAACAATGATAATGACAATTCAAAGACAATGACAACAATGACAATGACAATTCAAAGACAATGACAACAATGAAAATGACAATTGAATGACAATGACAACAATGAAAATGACAATTCAATGACAATGACAACAATGACGATGACAAAAATGACAATTTCAACAATAACAATAACAGCAGTGACAATGACAAAAATGAGAATGGCAGCAATGACAGCAACAAAAATGACTATATCAAAAATGACAATGATAACAATGTAAATGACAAAACTGACAATAACAACAAAGACAATGAGAACAATGAAATTGAGAACAAGAACTTTTTTTGACAACAATGACAACAATCACAATAACTCAAATATACCAACAGTCTGGCTTGTTAGTAGGCACAAAATGAATTACCTAAAATTTTTGCCTTTCACATCAGGTGAGATTAGGTCATGAAATTCGTCGATAGAAATTTTTTCCAAGCATATTCGCCATGATAATGGGATCCTTTCCCACAAACCTTCAGCAAAAAACTCCTAAAGGAAAAGAAAATAAAAATTACTACATCATTTGGATAAAACTTTGTTTCCTTTCACTAAACAGAAAACATAATTTTCAAAAAACGTGCACATTTGTATGCTTAAAGTTTTTGGTGTGCACACTTGAGATCTCTTTGAAAAAGGCCATACACTGCAGGCCAGACCATAACTAGACATAGACAACTTTCTTCAGTTGATACATCAGGGCAAAAAGATTGAAAAGACTTGCTGATACAAATTAGAGTCTCTCCTTCAAATTATTATTAAAAAAAATCTAGAATTTCTTAAAAAAATTTTGTTTGGATTTCTATAACTTCTAAGGATATTTCTTTTATATTTAAATGTTAATAAATTGCATGTATAAAGTGAATTGGAATATATTAAAACCAAAACTAGTGAAACATAAACAAAATGTTAACGGAGCAGCGGCTAATGTATTTATATTTCATGACAAATTCTTTGCAGGTATACTTACAGCAAGAAATGAATTCACTAGCCATTTGTAATTTTCAATAAACTTCTGTTGTTTCTGCAAATATTCTTCAGCAGATAATGGCAAAGTACTAGAGTTCCACTCCATCTGTTGCTCCATCTCATGATTTTTGCCTTCGGACATTTTGAAAGAACCGCGTATCAATAAAAAAAACCTCGTTGTGGTGAGCGTTCTACCACATGATAAATAAAATGGCAACAACTTTTTAGGATCTTTCTGCTTAAAATCATGGCAAACAACTTCAAAAGCCTACCAATCAAGCGTTTTCCTAAATTATCTACAAAACAAAACCCTGAAGATAAATTTTGGCATAAGTTTCAGGTAAGTTTTTTAATTTTGATAGGCCTAGGTACGGTTTGATCTAAAATTTTCATGTAAAAAGTTATTTTGCATAATATATCAAGAGTTGCTTCCACTCAGAGATAACTAAATATGCAAAGCTTAGGGCACAAGTAGGGCCCGATATAGCCCCTTCCCATTACGGTTTTCTCAGTGTTGTAGACAACATACTGATCTGAACTGTGTCTAAATAGCGTGCACGTTGATTTATTGGAAAAGCCCTTTTAAGAAACATAAGGCAAAGATTTGCCCAAAAAATATGAACAACCTAAGAAACAAGACAGGCTAAAATTCAACAAAACTCAATAAATAAAATATCAGCAAAAATTCAACAATAAAGCCTTTCCAAAATAGTCTTTCCTTGTTTAAAATTGAGTGAATTTTGCACAGATACAATAATAAACTTAACAAGATTTACATCCCGGACAGAGGCTGTACCGTATTTCGCAGTGTATAAGACGCACTTTCTTTGAATTATTATTGGCTTTGTGTAAGGGTGTGTCTTAAACTTGGTAACATTGACTGACCTATCATTTCCTTTTGAAGGAAAAGTGTCATTTTATAGACAAAATGCTATGATATTTGGAGCACCTGCTCCCTTAATTCGAATAATTGCACTTTTACTGTAAATTTAGTAAAAATTTAAAATTCTCCAGCTGTGATAGAAAAATATCTGACAAAAGCTTTTCTACACCCAAATGGAAAGGTTGTACCCTGCATTTCTTTAATTAGAGAGCACATCCATGTAATCATAAATAATTTGTGAATGAAACGGATGCCAAACAGAAATTTTATGGATTTTAAGACCTGTTGATGTTAACCATAATTTAATAGTATACACATAACATAAAAGTGTAACATAACTTAATATTTGAAGCATTGTGGTTTGAACAAATTTTCCTTCACAGAATTTTTCCTTCACTGAAAATACATGCTTTACAAGAATTGAGAAAAGATGGTGGGTCTTATACACAGTAAGACAGGGTAAAAACTATTTTTTCAGAATTCAAACATGGAATTAAGGGTGCCTCTTATGCAAGAACGTGTCTTATACACGGCAAAATACGGTAATTATTCTATCAAGCACATGTTATGTCTGCACATACTATGCACAGGGAATTGTATTTCAAAAATAAGAAAAAATAAGAAAAAGTTGAGGCTCACATTATGTGAAATGACAAGAAAATAACCTACTGAAACTTGAGGCCAAAAATTTCTTTTAAAATAATGTATGTAACAACTTTATAACTTTATATTCTTTTCTTTTTTACTCTAGCTCTCTACCTGTAATCTTATTATCAAATGAGAATGAATTATAATTTGTAAACTTACAAAATAGCAATCTCTTTTTCTTTTCTCAGTTCCCTGTTATTGTGAAAGAATATTCTGCAATTAACCAGATTGATTTCTGTGAGGCCCCTCCAAAGGATTTTCTTGTTACTTGCTCTGGAAAGGTTTGTATTACTGTATTTATAGAAATACCATAGATAGTATTGTTTCTTTACCAAGGAAAGTAGTTATGTGAGATGTTTTCCATTTCTGATCAGACTATCCCAGCAAAATTTCTCTTTAAACCTTGCAGAGGCAAGGATGGAGAAATATTGAGTTGGAATTAACAATCGGCGATTAAGTATTTCATCAACATATTATTTTGTCATTTTCTGTTTCATTGCAGTTACTCACTCTCGAGTTTTTGATTTACACTGATCTTTCGTCTTTTTAGATCTTTATTTATTTTTATTTTTTCTTATTACTTAAGACTATCTGCATTTTTCATTAACTACAGAAGGTTGTTAGCGTTGAAAAAGAAGCATTCAAAAGAAGAGGCTTGCTTGTAACAACTTTGAAATATTTTGAGGGATGGGATATTTGATATTGCAAATGATTGGTAGCAAGATTGTATTTTTGATTAATGATTGCACAGGACTAAAGAATCTAAAACAAGATTGATTGGCAAATAGGACTGACATTATATGCAACTTCATAGTTTTATGCTGTAAAATTTCTTCATAGAATTTTAAGAATTGTGTTTGAAAAATTGAGAAAAAAGAAAATTGCCTGGACTTGGTCTAATAATTGCAAACAAATAAAAAACTCTATGCCAGACAAATTTAGAAGAGTAGGTTTTTTCATGTCATCTGCGTTGTTTAGCTTCTTATTTGTTTGCTCCTGTTTCATTCTATTCAGATGTAGATTCATTTTGTCCTCAAACTATTTCATAGAAAGTGATTTCTGATTTCAAATTGTTCAATTTCCAGATACAAATTTTCAGCTCAACGACTAGTCAGCTGAAGAGGACAATCACTCGATTCAAAAGCAGTGCTTGCTGTGGAAAATTTCGAAAGGATGGAAAACTGATAGTTTCCGGTTTTGAAGATGGTGGAGTCAAGGTGAGATATGTGTGTTCAGAGCTATTCATTATTTCAATGCATTTAGTCTTGTACTGGTCAGTCAAACCCAATTTGATTCAGTTAGAACAGTCTCAGTTTTAAACAATAAACCATTTTAAGAAATTTTAAGTAGGGGGGGGGGGCAATTTTTGAAAAGGGACAGGATAAACAAGCAAAAACGGGAGACAAGGGGTATTTTTTAGGAAGCTTTTATGATCCCATGCTTCAACGAAATTCATTTCGTATTTCAAATGAAATGAAACAGCTTTGTGTTGACACTTGAAGTTAAGATATTATTCAAAAGTGAAAATATGTCTGATCAAAGTCCCAATAAATCCATTAAAAAACTGAGAAACAAATTCTCTATTTTTGTAAGTTTCTATAGTTGGCTTTGGTTCATGATACTCTTTTTCTGAAAAATCTTGCTATGGCTGGCCATGTGTCAAACTCTGATGATGGGACGCCATTCCATGCAATGAACAGTTTATTTCTTAATGTTGATTCCCAACAAAACTGTTCGAAGATGAGTGGAATTGGGATGATTCATGCAATGCAAACCAAAAACACAATCAAATTTGTGGCACAAATTTATACCTGAATGTAGACAAACACATTCCACAGCTAATTTTGCTGTCTGACCCCTTACATTTTCTGTGCCGTTGCTTTTACTAATCTGAAATGAATGACCACAGCAATACAGGAATTAAACAGTAATTTTAAGGGCCTTATTTTTTAAAATTTGAGTCCTATACCAAAGAATGCCAATATACATCTTCATTTAGTTTTGATTCCCTAATTTACTTCAGTTTTTAGCTTTCGACTGCGTAAAAGTCTCCCATGTAAACTTATGAAATCACTGCCATGTAAACACTTATGATATCGTATTCCAATTGTTTTCTATTACTTATGGCTCCTGCAGATGTGCCTCACAATTCTACGTAGTGGTGGCGACAAACAAGGGACTATTTTCTGGGGTCAAAAATCTCTTGAGTGCAGGGGCAAAGTCGAGGGATGGTAGGGCAATTGCCCCTGCAGTTAGTATGCTAAAAAAGGCCCTGGGACAATATGTAAACAATATTAACAAACCAGTCTGCATGTTTTGCTTAAATCTCTTTTTCCTTCTCCTAGGTATTTGACTCAAGCAGCCGCACTGTTTTGAGGCAATTCAGGCCTCATTCAAAGTAAGTGATTTTTTATTGCAATTGCTTGGCACTTTGCTTAAATTGAGACAGAATCGTGTCCTCTTCCCTGTAGGCAAATCTTTATCAAAGTAAAGGTTTTTATTTGGGATCTAGAACATAGGTTAGCAGACTTTTAGCAGGAAGCGTATTGAAGACAATTAATGATTTGCATGCGACAGTGTGACTGAACAAAATGTGATCCAACTCAAAGCCAAAGTAAAGGGCTCATCCCGAAAAAACTTTGATAACTTATAACTTATATTTATTATAACTTATAGTAAACTCTTGCCATATTTTGTAATCAGTACTAGCTTGTACGATCTTCAGCTAGGGTTATGCAGTAAAAACTTCCCTAATGATTATATTTCATTAAATATTTGCATTTAGGGCCACACATGTTGCTGGGTTTCTCCCAAATACGAGTCAAGTCTATTCAGCATCTGATGATTGCACAGTGAAGTGCTTGGACATTCCAACTCAAAAGGAGGTTCTGTGCTTACGAGGCCACAATGTAATTACAACACATTATAGTATTATATTTATGTTCCTCATTTCTCTTAGCCTGGTCACAGGATTTCTATAACTTGGCTCAAATGTTTTTGAAAATGATATAATCATGTTAGATAATGTATATATTCTTCACTGAAATTCTTATAACACGCTATTGATCCAGAGGTGGAAATCTGTCTTTTTCTTGGGGAGCTAAAGTTGACAATTTTCAATCTGGGGGCTCTTCTTCACAATACCCACTCGATTTCTGCTCCTGTATTGATTAATAGCTATTTGTAACTTAACTGCAGTGTTTTGTTCTGGCTTAAGTCATCTTAATTTGAATAAGTTTTTTATAATGCAGCTTCTTTTATTTTCTGTTTTATTAAAGGACTATATCAGAAGTGGAGAAAGTTGTCTATCAAACAACAATGTTTTAATCACAGGTCAGTACATATCTTTAAATTGCTTCTACATTTTCAATTTTCATGTTTCAGTGGATAGTGATAGATCTGTTCCGAGTGTATGATAGAATTCATGAATCTAATCTGCCTAATTTCAATGTACCAAAAGGCTAAACTAATCGTATAATTCTAGTGAATCAGTTTCTACAAAGGGCAAGTCCCCAAAACGTGTAATAACCTTGCAGAAAGGGTACAGTTTAGTAAAGAGCACTTCCAAATTTTATGCTTGTTTTCTTTAAATGCTTTTTAGTTTGTTCCACATGGGAGAGGAAACAACGAACCCTCGTCAATTCAGGTGTTTGCATGTGCATGATATCCCATCATGCAATTTGGTCTCCCGTTTGTAACCAAGCCTTCTTGTAACCAAGCTGCGGTCTCCCGTTTGTTCTATAACCAGCACCCAAGGATTGATGTCAAAGAAGAATCTTTGATATAAATGTACCGCAAGTACCCCCGTTATAACGAAGCTATTGAATTAGAAAGCTACTGGGTGATATTGTGGAGCCCCATCTAATATGAACCAATTTAGCCTAAAATTGGAATATTTTTTGCAGATCAATTAAAGTTACAAATTATTCATTTCAAGAAGTAAGAAAGATTGTAAACTTGTCTCTATGCAATTTGCAATAGAGATTTTTTAAATTTTGTGTTTATGGATATCAAGGAGGGAATTATTTTTAGTAGATTCTTAGCGACTTTTATTTTCTGTTCAACTCCTCTTTCAAAAGAATCTTTTCAGACTGCTAGGCAAAAGGAAGATGGTGATGCTTATTTTATCTTTACAGATTCTTTGTTTTTCTTGTTCACTCAATGTGGCATCATATCATGTGGATTTAGGGCTTTTTTACAAAGGCAGGATTCTAGGCCCTTTCCATCTCAACAGCTGCGTGATGAGATCGGAACTTCCTTTTCCAATCCTTCTTTACATTAACTTTTGCCTACATGAGAAGTATTTTATCTAGAACATATGGATTCCTTATTGCAGTGAGCTGGGTCCCACGTTGGTAGGATGAAATTTTTCTCATAAAACACCACGTAAACAACTGAAAGTTATGACAAATTTTTTAAGTGAAGTTGGCATTTGTTGCTGTGCGCAGTCGCTTCTTTCACACGCTGGCACATTAGATGAAACCACGAGATTAGCTTATTCTCCAATCTCCACCTCCAGATTTAATCTAACCTCACCTCTCACCTTATGATCTGGCAAATGAGGTGATCTCACCCATCTAATCAAGCTCTTACGAAACTTAAGCGAGTCTCGTCACTCCCTAATGTCAATTTTGTTAGAGTAAGGACCTAATCAGAAGTTGCTATGCCTTGTTGCTCACCCAAGGACCTCGTTTCCCGTCACTCAACTCTCCTTTGACTCCTTTGTAAGACCGCGACTTCTTCGAGACCCTTCATATCTTATATAGCGTGCTTTGTGTAGTTGCATTGTACACAAGTCTATCCATATTAAATCCAATGTTCACAATATGGCATTTCAGGTGCTTACGACCACACTGTTAAATTATGGGATTTGCGAGCAGGAGAGAGCACATTCAGCGTGAACCATGGCGATCCTGTCGAATCAGTACTTCTTTATCCAAACTGTGGCATGTGTATATCTTCAGGTAATATTTTAGCTGTCTTTTAAGTGAATTTAGAAAATACATAGCAAAACATAAAACTGTTCTGCAAAATACCAAAGTTTCCCGTGTTTAAGTCATAGAGTAACAATTTTAGATTGTTTCTTTTACCTTTTCTTTGAAAAGTCAGTGTGGAACTTTTTGCTTTCCCACTATTGGTATCTTCAATGTTAAGACAAAAATAGCCCAAACTTCATTAATCATACCATTAGAATTTTATTCATATTGGATAAAAATTCCCTTTGCTTTTACCTTTTCTTTTAAATCATTTTCCACTTTATTCGGAAACTAAATGGTTGCTACTACTTACCTTTTATCGTCACATCCCTCGCCCATCCTATGGACGGCCTATCCAGCATCTTTTCCTTCTGCTAAATTTGAAGGCCAGAGGAGAGGACAAGAGGCTGTACAATAGAGGCATGAAACTCTCCATGTGTTTATATTTTCTTACTCTCTTCACCAGGTGGAAATTTCGTCAAAGTGTGGGACATCTTGGCTGGCGGCAAAATGCTGTTTAGTTTTTCAAATCACCAGAAAACAGTCACGTGCTTGTGTTTTGACGGCTCGCATACGAGATTGTTATCTGGCTCCATAGACAGGTATTACGTTGTGGCAAGCACTTTTCACTGCCATTGACGCACCCTCTTGTTGTTTATGTGACGTATTTTGAACTGAAGAAAAGCTATCCATCAGTTTATGAGTGATTAGGCATCAGTTTATGGATGAGGGCTTCAGCTTCTTTCCAGCGATATACCTAAGAGAAAAATGGAATTTCTGTTTTTTGAATAATTATCTCCCGTTGTTTTTGTTGATTCAGCCCCTTTTCGTACAAAACATCTTCAAATAAAACGCCCTTCTACCCCTCTCCACTAAACAACAACTCATTTTATCCATTGGTGGACTTGGGTTAAGACCATGAGCCTCCCTCACAACACGGTTAACCTACCCCTCCACCATTGATGCTAAGTCACACTTTTCTTTTAGGCACGTCAAAGTTTATAACACAGACGATTATTCTGTTGTGGCAAGCCTGGAGTATCCCTCTGCTGTTACCTCTATCGGCCTCTCGGTATGTTCTTGAACTTCGCATAATTCCTTCTGATAATACCATAAAAATACTCGTCAATTTCATTAATGTCATTAAACGAAAAAAATTCGAAACTTTTATACAGTAGATAATTTACTTTTTGTACTCCAAAGACCTTTTCACTGATGAGTTGCCTATCTACTACTTTATATTAGCTAGGCTTAAACTGGCCAGCACTCATTTTATGGTGACGACTTGTTACGGTCGTGACTACTCATTTTCTCGTTTTTTCTCATTTTTCTTATATGATTTCTTTCCAATACAACACTTTTTCTTTGTTTCGTTTTTACCCTCTATACCTTAATACGTCTTGATGATTTCATATTATTTCATAATGAAGTTTACCAATCTGTCTTATCTCATTTTAATTCCTGGCAACCCCTTTCCGCGTTTCTACTCTAAACTTTTTTGGCTATACATTAATGGCTGTGAAAGCTATGGCCTCGCTCTAATGCTTCATGTTTCCTTCACCTGCAGACCAGTGGAAGTCATTTGGTCGCTGGCATGGCTGATGGCTCAATCTCGATCAAAGAGCGAAAGAAACCAAAGCAACTCGACATTCCCTCTAAGGAACAAACTGCAATTAAGCGTGGCTCTCGCAGGTATTTTGAAAGAGGACAAAATGACAGGCCACAAGAAGTAAGAACATTGTTTGAAAACAGTTTTTCGTTGTACAAAAAGTAGAAATGGCTTTCAAAAAAGTAGATAGAAGGAGTTCGTTTTCACCTTGGGACTCCATTGGTAACATTTTCAATAGGCAAGCGGCACTGATTAGCCAACCTCAACAGTCATGTGCTCGTGTTTCTGATTGGCCTATTTCGATCCACAACTGGATATATAATATTCTAGCTTTGAGTTTCGATCTATGTTCTGACGTTCTATACTCTGAAAAGTGTCAGACGAAAAGCTTGAATATGTTTTAAACATCGTTTGCCTTTTCTTTGAAGTCAATGATGCTTTTTCTGCCTTGCTATGATTCAGATGTCACGTGACTGCTTACCTGTTTAACCCAACCTCCATACACCTTTTAAATGTTGTCCCTTCTTTGTTGATTGCTTCTTAGCGTACTAAAGTTTCTTATAAGATTTACTTGCTTACCTACATCTTGATTAACTTTCAAACACTGACTTCTGAGTTTTTATTTGATCAGGTTTGTTTATTTTAGAACCCGTCGTGCTAATTTTAAAGCTACATTTAGTATTTTTCATAGAAATTGAATTTTATGGTTTTTAAAGAAATTGATTTGAATCTTAATATGATATTCGCAATAAGCTGGTATTTATGATTGATTCAGTGAAAATCTAAAAGTTCAAAAGAAGGAAAATTTGCTCAAATTATGCCCAAAATCCCAACCTTCATCGGTTAGCCCCATCGATTTTATATCATATCATTTATATCAAAGAGATACCCAAAATCAATGGTAATTATGAATAACGCATGATCATAAAGGGAATAAATCTTTACTCAAATCAGGAAAATTTGATTTACCAGGCATACAATTACATTTGGTCATTGTTTCTCTTTAGGGAGATTTTGTTGTTGAAGAAAAAAGATACAGAAAAGAAAATAGAGTTGATAAGCTGTTACGAAGATTTGAATATCGAGCTGTGCTTGACACGGTTCTCGCCAGCAAAGGAAACCAAGAACAAGTTGTGAGTCTTTTGATTGAACTGGCACGACGAGATGGCCTCAAAATTGCACTTTCAAATAGAGACGCGGATGAGATTGTCCCAATCATGAAATTTATCATAAGGTTAGCTATCTCACGTTGTTATGAATATATAATAGAATGTTTGACTGATGACGTCACTGAAACCTTTTTAGAAATTAGACCTTACAATTTGAAAGAACATTGTGAAGACGATCTTGTGAAAACGAATCCGAACTTAGCCACAACAGCACAGACTCTCTACTTGTCAAATCAGTGTAATTTTGTGTGTTTTCACAAATATATGAACCAGCCAAAACAATTGTGATCCTTGATTAAACTGCAGCTTTTAAGTTGTGACTTTTTGGTTTTTTTTCTAATTCTCCGAAACCATCTAGGGAATCATAAGCTCTTACTCCGATGACAACAATTTATTTAAGGGGAATTGCTATTAAATAATTCAATAATTAAAATTTTTTCATATATTACAACCTAAAATTCAATTTAAGTTGCATTATATGTGACCCAGCATAGACGTAACATTGATAAAACCCAATTCTATCAAGAGGCCATTTTATTTTGAAAACAATCAATTTTTGAATTTCCATCCTTACTCATTTCTTAACTCAAGATGATAAGTGATCCTATCGAAACTTTTTGTTCTTTATTCGTCACTACTGGAATGTCGACTCCTAATTTTTAATGTCCTTTTTTAAAAAAACAGCCATTTACGTCGATACTGGGATGTCTATCTCTTAATATCAATGTTTGTGTTAAATTTAGATGAGGTAGAAATATCAAGAAATGACTTGCTCTGTCTTCTCTTATGATGATCATCGCTTTCACCTCACTATCAAGTGTCTTACTCCACTGCGCTTTTCGTCTGGTGTTTTAATATCCTTTTTTATTTATTTTGCAACTTTTCGTTTTTTGCAGAAATATTTGTAAACCACAATATTCAAGGATATTAATCAACATCGCAGGACTAATATTAGGTTTGTATGATCCTATCGTTTGCTCCAAACTCTCCGTTTGATATTTTCAACCTAATAATATTCTCTCTCTTGAGACATGAATCCTGCTTTAAATTGTAGCTAGAGGCAATTTTAAGTATGCAAACTGGTTGAAATGCTTTTGAATGTTTAATGATGGTGAACCATGCACAAAATTTCCCCATTTTACAGTACAGAAAGTTTTTAATACTGTTAAATATTTGGATTTATACCCTCTTCCCTCTAAAAAGTAGAATACTTAATGTACATCACTTGGTTTTTCAGTTTTGTTGATTTACGCCTAACGTTGAAGGCAAACCACCTGTCAGTCAACGATTGGCCAATCAATAAGCATGATACCACTCAAAAGCTCGTAGATTGGCCAATTTTTGATTGACACGTGGCTTCAGTCACTTTGGTATCTGTCTATTGTCTTTAACTTTAAATTTACTGCATGGAAGCTAATTGTAACGGCTTGAATCTTTCTGCTTTTCTTCAGACATTTACACGCCAGTTATGGGACAATCAGAGCAAGCAGACCAGCTTTTCGAAGAACTGAGGGAAAAACTTGCCATGGAACTCGAGTACCAAAAAGAGGCTTTCGCCATCTTGGGGGCTCTTGAGACAATTATCGCAGCGTCAAAGATTAATGTAAATGCCGGGGAAACACTAGAAGCGTGAATTATAACACTGTTGATAAATCTTATCGAAAATCTTGCTTGAAACTGTCTATTTTCTTGACTCTTAGCTTGTTGTACGCGTCGATATACTGCTGTACGCGGCTCACTTATTTACCGTTGCATCTAGTTTCCGATGGTCTGCTTCTCACGCATGCGCAATCATTGATTTTGATACTGTGAAGGGTTATTTATACAGGATTACAATATTAGATACTGTTTTATATTACATCACTTAGCAGCCTTTATCTGCTTCTAGTTTATCGGTAGGATGTGTATACATACTTCAGAATGATGCCAAGTATAGCAGCCTTCTCTTCCAGCAAACTTTGCCGCAGTGGCGATTTTAGCGACTGCGGGGCCCAGTGCCAAAAACATCTGCGGGGTCCTTGTTCTTTATAATTTATATCTTTTTTGTCAGGTGTGGGGCCCCTTTTGGCTTTTATAAGCGCGGGGCCTGGGGCCATGGCCCCCCTAGATCCCCCTTAACACGGCCACCCCCTTTGTACTGAAATGTTTTTGTGCTGAAATGTTTGTCATGGAAGACATTTTCTTGCAAAGGCCATTCGAGAATAAACATTTTGCGTAAGAACATGCGAAGGCTATTTTGAACCTTTCTGTCTCGTTATAGAGAGCATACTCGATTCGCTAATAAAGTAGAGGCCTATCAAGGTCAGAAAAAGAATTTGCAATAAGTTCTTTGGCAAACTGGTGCAAGTTTTTGGACAGAAAGAATTCAGTCTAGATAGCAGTCTAAATAAAAAGTTATCAAGGGGTGAGTTTGCAAACGAGACTGTCAGTCAAACGAGGTTGTCTTGTAGTGACTTTTTCACCCTCGAATTGCGTGTCCGCTATAGGAAATTTTTATCTTATTTTCCGTAATGGGTTTGAAAGGGAGGAGCTCAGTTTCAAACGATAATACCAGTCTGCGGGTGCTAAGAATTACACAGTTCTTTAGTCTTTTGTTGGCGGCGTTCGATTGCTTGTCATATGCGTAAATATTGGTCCTGTTCGGGTTTGTTTTTGTGTCACAAGTGACAAATGAAGTAAACTTCTTTGCAATATTATGGTCATCTTCTCTGCGTGCATGGACATTTCAAAACATGTAATGGAGCGAAGATCGTTTTTATATTGGGAACAAAAGTGGATCTAAAATTGATTCTTGTGGGAAGCGTATTTTGGAAGGTATACCAAACCCCAATAAATAGCTTTCTAGATCCATGATCAGTATTTACCAAACCCCAATAAGCAGATTCCTAGATTCCTTACGAAAAGAGAAGCAATTCCAGTTAGGTGTAGGAGTCTCTTGAATTTAGAGAGGAAAGTAAATGCATTTCTAAGATGTAGTCTAAAGTCTAAGGAGACTGCTCCTGCAAAAAGCTTAGTTTAAGCATAGCGACTTGGTTGGAACCATTATCTTTATGAATGCAGCCCGTATATCACTTCTAGATTTTGCAAAATATATTTTCTTACAATGACTTTGTCAAATTGGCAGGTCCAAGATATTTATATTATTTTTCATATTTGATTTGTTTAGGGAGGGTTGCCCTTCAACGGAAGTTGTTTTTCAAGAGGCCCTCCAATAAAAACTAATTACAATATGCAATTAAAATACTAGGAATAAAAAACTATAATATTAAAAACATATTCACAATTACATGGTATTTTACAGTATAAAAGGAACTAGTCAACCCTGTATTGGTTTTTTGAAACCATCCAGGGAGGATGCAGTCTTGCACTCAGCAGGAAAGCTATTCCATAGTTTAGTCCCCCGGAAAGAAAAGCATTTTTGTCCATTTGCTGACTTTTTCTTTTGCAGTCTCAGTGTTCCGGAGGCTGCGGGAGGAGCATACTGAGTTTTTGGTGAAGAGGTTACACAAGTATTGAGGAGCCAAATCATTGAGCGACTTGAAGACCATTGTTTTAGTCTCATTGCCAATGAGCTCTTCAATGGTTTTCCAGCCCAACTCTGCAATAAGTGGTCTGCTTGGGGTATCAAGGCTGCTATCTGTTATGATCCTAGCATGTCTCAAAAAGCCGATCGCCCTGGAGACCTTGGTGGAAACTGCCCTAATTTGCTCTTTCCAATCTAAAAAGCAGTCGATTTGCACTCCAAGGTACTTTGTCTTTTGAACTACTTCGAGTTCATTGTCGTGTATCTTCAGTTCCAAGGCTTCATTTCGACTTTTAAGAAAGCTGCCTTTCTGCTTGGTGGATATGACCATTGAATGAGTTTTTGCCACATTCAATAAAAGCTTATTGCCTCGCAACCACGATCCCTAGGTAGAACAGCAACACCTTTATTTATATATATTAAAGAAGTAATTGTGATAGAAGTAGTTTATTTTATTTGTATTATAGCTGATAGGGAATTCGTGTGTAAAGATTTTTGAAATGAAAAAATGAACCAAGTCTTAAATTTCTTGAGATCGCTATTTATAGCCTCATTCAGCTGAGTCAAATCGTGAGGTTGGTGCCAAAGACTGGTATCATCAGCATGCATAGTCACAGAGGAATCTTGCATAGCCCGTGGAAGATCATTCATATAGATAAGGAATAGAAGAGATCATTGATAAGATGGTTTGCCGATAACAGTCGATCAATAAGCATATTTTGCATTTTTATTCTAAACAATCTAAATTGTCAAAGTAAAAAAGGACTAAATTTTTATGATTTCTCTCTCCTAGTCTTATCGAGGGTTACTTTTACAATTCCCAAAAAAGGAATTTGAATAGTAACCGCGATTTCAAAATAGCTACGATGTTTAAGACACAACAACGAGACCGGTTCTGTTCCAAATGAGTTGATTATTTCTTGATAATCTGATAGGTCTTTTGTATAGTTCCATATTTTACCATGAAGAGCGAAGATGATGCTGAGTTTTTATTTCATCATGATTTTTACTATGGACTGAGAGGCAAAAATTTTTCAACTCATAAACTATCTTCATTTCCAAACTGCAAATGAAGAAGAGTTTCCTTGTGAAACTCAAGCTCAAACATTTAAGAAATGTTGCATCGACAAATTTATAGCTAAATACATGAAGTTAGTTAGATAATATATAATTATTTTAAAAAGACAATTAAAACATTTCGCTCGCTTCTTTAAGAACCACGTGTTCAGAACATGCATTGCATGTTGTTGCTGCTCCGCGTAGTGGTTGCTGTTGACCGACTTTTTGTGACGTAACAACTTTACAAAGGATGATGGGATTTTGATAATTGTTCGTCACTTTCGAACAGAGGTCCTTTCCCGTTCGAATAAGTGTTCCTAAAGGGGAACGACCAAAGAGTCGAAAAGAGGAGCGCGCTTACAACAGAAATGTCCACTGTGGACTCGTACGGACCTGCTTCCCAAACTTTAACTTTTTTAGAGACAGAAGATGTCGATTTTGGTGCCGATACCCAAGGCTCAGAATTCGAATTCAACGACTTCACGTTGCCGTCTCAAACGCAGACTCAGGATCTCTCTAGCCAACCTCTTGTTAATGGTATTGTAGAAAACTCAAGGAAAGCAACTGACGAGGAAAAAGTCATTGCAGCCAGCAATAGTGAGGAAAAAGATGCAAAAATTGAGCAGATGATCAAAGGTGTCGGTGACCTAAACTTTGAGGAAGATGACGATGAAGGCACATTCTCAGGAAAAGATCTTCCAGCACATGCATGCAGGTGAGCCGTGAGCAGAAATGCCTAGCGACAAATTTTGTTTTGTATCCACTAATATAACCTTTATTTTTCGCAATTTTTTTATTAATATGGTTTAATCGAGACAAGAATGTAGACGTTAGTCGACCGAAAAATTACATGTCATGGCAGGCAGTCAGCATGGTTCAATTTTGTTGAAATACACAAGCCGCACACATGATCGCGAGTTTGCTAAAAGTCTTTAGGCCAACCAGAAATCAGTTTATAAGTTACTAGCTTTAAATATGTCAGTGGTCTTGAAACTCTTTGCGCTGTTGGACGAATTTTTGTGCATGGGTTAGTAAAATTGCTAGTTGAAACTTAATTGTATCCAAATATTCGTTGATGTCACCTGTACTCCAGTTCCAACTGCTTTTAATTTTTCAGATGCTTTCAAATACCGCCTTCTTATAAATATGTTATTGATAAGCCATTTTTTTATGAACATGATATATAGCTTAACTGACGTCTCTTGAAGAAAGGTGATAAAATTATAATATAAATAGTTCTCCCAAGTAAACTTAAGCCTTAGTTCAAAATAAGTTAAACAAATTTCAAATCATGCTTACAAATTAGTTTTTGTTGAATTTTCAAGTGAATTAAGAATTTCTATAAATTTCGATTTGCTTTTTTGAATATGATTTTTGGTATTCTAAACCAGTACATTTTTCTTCACATATTATTTTTATTGCTTGACACATGCAGATATTTTGGTCTGTTGAAAATTATGTGAGATTGTGCTTAATCACAAAAGCAGAGCTTTACACAAATCATTTCTGTTGCCTGATTGATGATTGTGTTGTAAATTCACACTTTTTACAACAACCATGTTATTTTTTCTGCGACTCAGTTTTTGTATATATATATGTGTGTGTCTGGTTAACTTGAGGCTCAAGTGTTGTTGATATAGTTTAAGCTGAGTATCAAACAAACAAATTTTTGAAAACTCACTGTCACAAGTTGCAAGACTGATCTTCATTTTTTTGTGATTCCAAGAATTGTGCCAGTTGCAAGCCTGCTTTTCAATCCCAACTGCTGCAAGTTTTACTGGCTTTCATGGGAAAAACATGGCAGGCGTGCTTACCACCGCACGCCTGAAAACATCCAGGCCTGTGGTGGCATGTGACATTTTTCCGCAAAAACCTATGGTTATCATAATAGATCTACGCAGAAATTGCCAACAAGACAATGATGACACCAATAATTCTGATGAAATTTATTTTGCTGAATCCTTAGCATCACTACTAACATTTTAACAAGAAAATTTGTTATTTCTGAAGACTTGAGCAAGTTTCTACAAAGTGTTCATCAGCTTCGATAATATATCCTTAGCAGAGTCATTGGGACTTGGCGCTCATCTGGTTGTAATGACCATTTTTGCATGTAAATCTGTGCCCCGAGGGCCCTCCGTTATCAAGCATCACAGCTATTTTATGTATAAGACTGGCAAGATGTCCATAATCCATAAAGATAATGCATAAGAGATAGTAATGGGTCATTTTTCATTAATTTAAATGTCGCCAAAATCTAGATTTAAAGCAAAGCGACATATGAAGAGGGGGCTTTATATGGGTAGCAAAATCGGCAAATTTGCTACTTTCTCTCATAATTGGCAAGTCTGCTACTTTTGCTAAATTAGCAATCTAAAATGAAAATCTTGTTAACAACACTTAATGTTCCTTTTAAAATTCGGAGACAAAAATCCCTCTTATTGTATTCTGTGTTTGGATTTGTTCACTGAAATGGCATAAAGCCTTGGAAAGGTGTAAACTTTTGCACAAATTTCTTTCCCATTTTTTGCATCATAAAAAGTGCATGTTTGCCAATGTCTGTTTTGCCGATGAAATTAATTGAAAAAGTGATAAATATGCACCGGGGAAAAAGTAGGCCAAAGAACAGTGAAAATTTATAGAAACGCTCGCCATCTAGAGGAAAATCACGATGAAGGGACATACAATTCGGTTCGTAATAATGAGAGTTCGTTATACCGAATTCGTCATACCGAGGGAATTTGTAAGGGGTTCGGCAGAATCCAAGGGGCCAAGCATATTTTTGTTATACTGGTAAATTAGTTATAGCCATGTTTCATATTATCGGGAGTCTACTGTAGATTAGTTCTATGATTATTTTAAAATTTTGTACTTAATTCGCAATCCTGACAAGGTGTTAAGCCTTATTTGAAGTGGCATGAAGTAACAGTACAAAGGAAAGATTTACATTTAAACCCATCTTGAAAACCAACAGAACCAATTATTGATAGAGAATTTTGCTCTCGGAATAAAGGAAAGCATGTGACATTTTGCACTCCTTGAAAGCAGTAGGCGTGCACCAGGGTGTGCACATGCAATCGCATGCCTTTCTGACGAAAGCCTGTTCTATTGATAACCCTTCAGCTCTTTCCCACATAGCCTTCAATCTACCCTAGCATACATGCAGTATAACTATGAAGTGTCTGAATATCTAAAGCTTTTATTTATTTGGGTAGTAGAATGTTTTTGCTTTTTATGTGGCAACCATGAGAATTCACTAACTTTTTTGTTCTAAACATCAGTATCTGATTGTACTGATGTGTAAGACAGAGTTTATAGGCTTCTTGTTTTGTATGTAATTTATATGCATTTATGTTTTCAGTTTACTTTTTTTTTATTAATGACCTTATTATATGTTATGACCAAATTAGAAATATGTTTGAGAAGCCCTTTGGAAGTGAAACTTATGCTAGTCTGAAATAGGCAACCAGATTGAAATTTTTCAGTGTCTTTTGTTTTTTGCTTTGCATTAGCATGATAATATCAGGCCAGATTGCAGTTGCAGATCAGCCCTAAGGGGGAATAGAGCTAAATCAGATTGTCACCAGTTTTTCTTCACAATATATCAAGAAAATATTCCTAAGATAGTGAGCAGGCAATAAACATGTGCTGGTTTGAGATTCCCAACTGGTAACAGGTTCTTGTGTAAATTGTCTAAATTTCACTTCACATTTTTTGTTAATTTTGCAATATAATCTTTCTTATGCTATTTGTAAAATGTTTACAGCTTATCAGCAACAAATCAGAGAAATGATAAAGACACAAGTTGCTGTAACATTATATAAAACTTTATGGTATTTTAGAATCATTAAATGTTTCTGTGTACATCATTATTTCTTTAAATTCTCCATGAATTAGGGTATAAAAATATGAATGATATAAGGTCACTAAATTTTACAGCTAGCTGCCTAAAAATTGAGTAAGTTTATTATTTTTTCATCTCATTAAAAGGCTAGTCAAAACTGCCCTTCAGTAATTTCCCTTTCTTTGAGCTCAAGTGAAATTTGGTCTGCATAGTGCCCAGTGTATCCAAAACTTTCAAAACAGTTGGTGAAGTTTCCTTGCAATTTAAAAGTTGGATTGAACTGGCAATTACAAAATGTTTCTTCCTGTTAACCCTTGTATTGTTTACAGTACAAAAAGGCCCTTCTGTCCATTTCTAAGGATTGCACTCAGCACTGTCTAAAAAAATAATATTTACGAGTTTATGTACCAGTGTGATTCTGGCCATCTAGGATGCAAAGAATTAAGATTGGGGGATAGAATAAAACAGCTTTTCCCTTCCTACATTGCAAACAAAACTCGTCCCCAAAGAGAACAGCCTCGTCAGTCTTGCAGATCAAAAACTGTGATTCTGCTATTGGGCAGCATTTACTAGAAAACCAAGATTGTACAAAAAACTATAATGGCGACACAATTTGGATTATTGGTAAGACCCAATTGTCATTCCATCTAGCAGTTTTTGAATCTATCTAAATAAACATGAAAACCACACTATTGTGTAGACAGTAAGAGTTGGTTTTCACCTTATGACTCCATTGGTAATATTTTCAATAAACAAGTGGCATTGAATGGGCAACCTCAATAGTCATGAACTCCCATCTCTGAATGGCCTATTGTGTTCCGAAACTCAGTATATACATCTCCTAGCATAGATTTTTTATTTATTTTCTGCCGATGTTTATACTCTGAAGAGTGTCAGACAATAAGCTTTACAATGTTTCAAAATGTTTCCTTGAATTGGTTTTTAGTTGTTTGAAAAGCAAAATCAGCATTTGACATAAATTTCTATGAACAATTTAATTCTTCAAACACACTATCTTCAAACACAAAACACTTTTGTTTTCAGAAGCCATGAAATACAGTTATTATTTCAAATTGCAGACAAAATTAATTCATTTCCATTCTTATCAAAAAGTTTCTTTGATTTTAGTTAATGTGACATTATTATTTTGAATATTGAGTTAGATATTTTTTATGAAGTCATATAATTCTAATCTTTATAGTAACCACAGTTTTATTTTGCTTTCTTTATAATGCAATTTTTTATCTATGTGTGTAATTTCTAATAAATGATTTTGCCATCAATCTAATATGAATATTGAAAGATCTTTTTAGAAAAATATTAAAGACAAAAAGGCTTGCAACCATATCTCTTTGGCTTATTTGATTAGATTGGCTTTTGGAGTTTCATGGTTTCCACAAAACTCTGTTTGTCTCTTTAGCTTCTTCTTGCTATATTTGTTTTGTATTTATTAGACAATCATTTTGCCCTAGGTATTGTGGTGTTCATGATCCTGCTTCGGTTGTGCTCTGCTCCCAAGATAAGAAATGGTTCTGCAATGGGCGTGGCAACACATCTGGAAGGTAATTATTATAGTTTAGCTAATCTCTAGTCAAGGACCTGAAGTTTAGGCAAAAGCAACTCAAAATGTAAGCTAATCGTTTTTTAATATATAAAGCTATTGTTCATTGTTTGAAGAGCTTAGAATGCTGAGCTTAGAAAACTTTTGTTCCTTGTATTTTTTTAAAAATTGTTCTTTACATACAAAGTGTGCACCATTAAGAATATAATTTGTATAAATTGTAACTCCTGCCTTCAGTCTTTGCACAGAGTAACTTTTAGAAAACATATGTAAATTTTCTGATATGCAAACAAACCAATGTTGTGGTGGTAGTTTTAAACATCTTTCCTAAAATTGCTGATATTGTTTGCAATTCGCAAAATAGATGAAAAGAGAAATCATTTCATAAATGAAAAAAGGAGGGCAAAGAAAAGAGCTTGTTTTTCGGCAGTTGTTTAATGGGTTGTTGTTACTGCTACATTCATCTTTATAAGAAAATTACTTGTAATCAATTTCAGCCACATCATTAATCATTTGGTGCGGGCCAAGCACAAGGAAGTGACACTACACAAGGATGGGCCACTTGGTGACACAACACTGGAGTGCTATAACTGTGGTTGCAGAAATGTGTTCTTGCTTGGCTTCATTCCAGCAAAAGCAGATTCTGTTGTTATTCTGCTATGCAGGTAAATGTTGTTTTGATGAACCGTTGCATTATTGATCAAAGTAATTGTTATGGTATACATGAAACTGTTTCCCAATCAATACAAGCTGTCTCACCATTCCTCTGTGTTTTGAGGCATTAGCTACTCCTCAGGGGTGGCGATAATCCATTTGTATTTTGTAGGACCCATCATTCACCCAAAATTAGTTGGATGAATTACATTACCACAGGGTCATCAGTGCCTGGGGGGCGGGGGAGACAACGGGGGCCAGGGCCTTCAAATGATTTTGAAAGTTAAGGTATTGCTAAAAGCTATTCTGAAACATCTCATCGAAAAGGTCATTTTGCCTACCTCCTTAAATAAAAACATATAAGCTCCACCCTTGTTAAATAGTTTAAGGACCCTGAGTGGGGGCCTTCTTATGTCTTAATTTTTTAGAGGCTAATACCAATACTTTTCTACTCCCAGCCGCCCCTGCTACTCCTCTAAAGGAGGCTGGGATTCAGTTACTTTAACCATCTTTTTTGTAACTGATGCAAAATTATTTCTGTAGACAGAAAGTCCCTAAATTTTGTATCTTATTAGATATTTGCAAGTTATTCTTTTCTTATTTGCAGACAGCCTTGTGCCCAGCAGAGTAATTTGAAAGACATGAGCTGGTAAACAATCATTTTATTTCTTTCTACTTGCTTTGCTATGCAGTTGATAACTATACTATTGTGTCCCTTTTATATTCATGCACAAGCCATATATTCTAGCTCAGTTTGTACTTTTAAACTTATAAATACACACACATTGGCATTTATTACACCACCACCATGATCACTACATAAATACAGAAAAAACTTTTGAAGTTGGCTTAGGGAGAAACTTGAATTGATCTTTTTATAAATTAGTCATATCTTCCAGCTTGTATATTTATGTATTCTTTGCTGTAAGATTTCAAACCTTTTCAATGCCAGGGACCAAAGTCAGTGGCAGCCATTGATAAGTGACAGGTCATTTGTGTCTTGGCTTGTGAAAGTGCCATCAGAGCAAGAACAGTTGAGGGCCAGACAAATAACAGCAACCCAGATCAACAAACTTGAAGAGTTGTGGAAGGTGTGTTTCTGTATTGTTCCCCAATTTTTTGAAGCCTCCGGAATCCAATTGCTTTTTAACTATATTCCATACCTAGGCCTTTTACATTTTACTTTGGCAATCACCCAGACCTTTGGCAGTGCCCACAAAAAATTACTACATTAATTACTGCCTTTTTGGAAACATCTTTGTTGACCACCAGAGACACATTGGTCAAAGGCAGTCCAAGTACTTACTTTTTAAAGATACAGAGATTTTCCTGCCACATGCCTTTTTGCTTGATGCAAGCGGTCACTCACGCAAACCCAACAAAGAGAGCGATTGATCACTCTGGCAGCACTGTAAATTTTCAATGAAAATTTTTTTTATCAATTTACACATTTCCTGTCATTTTGTTTGACCCAAGCGAGTTACATAGACAATACAAAGCCAGTATATCAAAACACAGAAAAACATAAGCTTAATTAACCACATCTCAACAGAAAAATGCAAAAGAAAATCAATTGCACAGTTCATGTTTAGAAATACAGTACTGCAGTATAGGCACTTAGTATTTGAACTACATGGGTCACAAAGCCTTTTGAACATTATCTAGGCAGTTGAAGCATTTTTAAAAGAAGATTTAGAAAGCATTCTGCAGCCATCCAACAATAATGCCTGGATATGACCTTTGTGATGTACATGAAATTTATAAATATAGCAAAATTCAAAAAGTTTTTGGATCAATCTACTTTGTGAAGAAATTACAATGGAGACAAATGGAACACTGGGTGCAATGCGTTGTTGTTGTAAGCAAAGTTATTCTCATAGTGAACAAGGCTCCCTTTCCATCAGCAGAACATTTGCTCTAAAACTGCTTCTCTTATTGCTGCTATAATTTTGTATTAGGTCGATTAGTGTATTTATTTATTGTCGTTCTCATTAAGTAAGTCATTTCTTATGGGTAGGATCTGTAAAACCAAATTTCCTATGATTTCAGGACAACCAGGAAGCAACCTTGGAAGATTTGGAAAAGCCTGGAGTTGATGAAGAGCCACAGACAGTGTTATTGCGGTAATGTTGCTAAAAAGCTAATTATGCAAATAGGTTATATCAGATATAAGCCAAAACTGAATGAGAATTCCTCCACATTTTTCACCCTTTCTCCAATCAATTATTAAAAATTCAAAAGTATAAACAAAATTGTCCTTGGAATAAGAGCATTGAATTACCAATGTTCTAACGGTAAAACTTGTTTCTTTACCCTTTTTTGTTTTTGTCTCAAGGAGCATTGTAATGAATTTATTTCTTGTCTTTTTAGATATGAAGATGCTTATCAGTATCAGAATATCTTTGGGCCTCTGGTCCATTTGGAGGCAGAGTATGACAAGAAGCTGAAAGAATCCCAGGTATGGTGGACATTCTGTTGTGCTTCAAGAGCATTGTGACTCGTGTTCTCTATAAAGGGCTGGCCTTACTCGAATTCAACCAAATGGCGTACCCAATTTGTGCATTGCATGTTAAAGTCCTAAGAAAGGCAATCTTTGATTAGGTCTTGATAGGCTGAAGTTTTCTTATTTCCTATTTTATTGATTAACTCACATTAATCTCTGTTCTGTCTCTCAGACCCAGGACAATATTGTAGTCAGATGGGACATTGGTTTGAACAAGAAAAGGATTGCTTACTTCAACTTTCCACGTTCTGATGGTGAGATGCGCCTCATGCAGGGCGACGAGTTGAGGCTGCGTTACACTGGCGAGCTGCACAAACCCTGGGCTGGCGAAGGCCATGTCACCAAGATCCCAAACAGTATCCTTGACACCTTTTGTTTAGTTTTTATGTCCCGTTTGGCAGTAGAATGGGCAGAAAATGGCAGTTAAGGAAACATCTGCTATCTACTAAGAAGAACGGGTAATTTCTCTAGTTTGCAAAAAACTGATAGTGTGATTCATCTAATTTCATTCAAGCAAACAATTAGAGCGTTACAATCATGTTTGACTACCAAAACAAATGTAGAGATACATTGCAAAAAAATTTTCAAAGTTCAGAATACTAGCTTAATTGAATATTGTCAAAAGAATGCATTTTGGTTAATAAATTGAGCTTATTTTACATCGTATTAAAACATTAAAATTGCTACCAAAAGAAACAGCAATAAAGTTGGAAAAGATTAGGCAAAAATTTTTAAAGCTTTAATCTTAAGATGTAGGCAAAGTCCTTCAATGAATGTTTTACACTTCTGCCTACGTTTCAGCTTCTATAAGGTTTCATTGGTTTCAACACTGCCAAATGCTTCCTTTACAAACTGTCAGATTTCGGTGAAGAGGTTGGACTTGAGCTGCGTAGCAACGCTGGTGCACCTGTGGAATGCACTCAAAATTTTGCTGTTGATTTCATCTGGAAGTCTACTTCTTTTGATAGGTAAGAGTAGAAATTGGAATTTATAAACCAGCTCTTATCATTTGCACACTTCCAAAGTAAAAACTTTGATACCATAGAAAAGGTAATTACAAGTAAATGTTTGCCAGCTTTAAATTACACACTTTAAGGAAGTTAATTTATTGGACCCCTTTGGCACGCGAGTGTTTTTGTAATGCGTTGTAAGCTTTGGTTTGATGTTAAAGTTTGTTTATCACGTGTCTTGTCCGCCAGTAGTATCTTTTCAGCTGAGACAAATGATTTGATCTCTCTTCCCAGAATGCAAGCTGCGATGAAAACCTTTGCTGTTGATGAAACTTCTGTCAGTGGTTACATTTACCACAAGTTGTTGGGACATGATGTGGAGGAGCAGAATGTGAAATGCACACTTCCAAAAAGGTTTGTGAGCTTGTTTGCCTCATTCATGCTTCCAGTTTAAAGTAGCTGTTTCTTTTCGTTAAACTCCCTTGAACAGGATTCCAATCTGAAAAATCTTGCGCACCTCATTACAATTGGTGTATCGTGGTACTGGCAATGCAATTAAAAGCTATTTTTGACAATCATTTCATTTTCATTTTTTACTTTCTATTGTTATCATTTATTCAGTTTATCAATTGGTTCGTCGTTTTTTTATACTGTTTGGTAGGAGATTTTAAAAGACTGAAATGAACTGATCGCGTGTTTGATGTTGCTTTTAATGCTGAACAAGAGGAGACCATAATGAATATTATTTTAAAACCTTTTAGCGTTGCCAGTTTTTATTGAACTTAGAACAAGTCTTTTTTTAATGTTCCTTTCCACTAACAGATTTTCAGCCCCTGGTCTTCCTGAGTTGAATCACTCCCAAGTTTATGCTGTAAAGACTGTACTCCAGCGTCCTCTAAGTCTCATTCAGGTATTAATGACGTCATTAATTCCGCATCATTTATTTTTACAGATCTATGTGCTTTGGTGCGTTTGTTAATGCAAAATATTTTCTAACCCTGTTTCAAGCTTTATTTTTAAAAGAGGACGTTGAAAGATATTTGTTTACACAATTCTGATATTTCTTTTATTGTTTATCCGCTTTCGCTCCGTCCAATATTTTGTACCATTCTTTATTTTGTACATACTTTCTAATCCCCTACGTCGTTTTGTAGTAACTCAACATTGTTCAAAGGGGGAAAAGGGATAGGTGAATTTGCGCTTCAAAACTGGTATCAGTTTACCAAGACTCTTGGCAGACATTGTAGATATGCTTTGTTGGTCCTTGCCAGATATTGATGACCATCTGTCTTTTCACAGGGTCCACCAGGAACAGGCAAGACTGTTACATCGGCCACCACTGTCTACCATCTTGCAAAACAGGGCCTTGGGTGTGTAGCTTTCTCTACGTGCAATTTGTTTTAACTTTCGCATCTTCCAAGTAAACATTCAATATTCTTAGAAATGCGTTATATTTAGCGTTCTGATTTGCCATTGATCATAACACAGACGGCATGTTTGTTTGTTTTGGGCACAACTGGCAATTAACCAGTTGAACATTCTGGCTGTACCTTCTAATAGAAAAATACACATCATCTTATATCCTGCATCCACCCTGTTTTCAGACAAGTGATTGTGTGTGCACCCAGCAACATTGCTGTTGATCAACTGACTGAGAAGATCCACAAGACCGGGCTGAAGGTATGTTGAATATTTCGTCATAGAATGCTTTTTGATTGGCTGTCTCCCAATTCAGGGTTTGATTAGACCAGGTAGTTTTATAGCCAAATTTTTATAGAAGACACAAATGATAAGAACGCTTGCTCTTTAAAGTTCCCTTCATTTGAGTCCCTCTTAGATTTTGCTCGATTTAATCCACTTCATGAAACACCATAGTAGAAGTTGGTAATTGCTTCTCTCTCACTCCACGCAGTTCTATTAATTCATTCCGTTATTGTAATAATCTGTAAGAATATTTTGATAAATCTTTTAAGAACATTACAATCTTTCTGTTATGTAATTTCCTTGATGTATGTGGATTTTAAATTCCTTTTTAATTCATAATTGTTGAGTATATATCACTGACACATTCCCTGCGATGTAAGTGTATTTCTTATCATAGTTGACAGCTATTAAGCAACATAATAGGGAATGGAGATAGGCTTTTTCCGCAGAACACTTGATGTGCTGTTCTGATGACCGCTTCTCTTTAAGGTCGTCCGTGTTTGTGCCAAAAGCAGAGAGGCTATCGACTCCCCAGTGGCAAACCTCGCACTGCATAACCAGGTGCGCAACTTAGACTCGATGCCAGAACTGCAGAAGTTGCAGCAGCTGAAGGATGAACAAGGCGAGTTGTCCTCGGCTGATGAAAAGCGGTACAAAACATTGAAAAGGAATGCAGAAAGAGAGTTGCTACAGGTCAGTAGATCTTCATTCTGGCACATCTGAAGCATTAGCTGTTGAAAGTGATTTTATAGTTTGATATTGAACAAGGCAGCAGTAAAGCAACAATGATGCTTATCAAAAAAGTGGAGCAAATGGTTGAAGAGAGACGCAGAAAAGATAGTAGCGCACCCAAATGGGATACCACATCCACGTGGAGTCATGCACCCATATGCTGTGGTACCACACACAAGTTGTTGTTCTGTGTTCTGACTGTCCTTCAACTACTGTATTGATACTGCACCAGACTTTCAACAATTGCTCTTCTTCTCGAGGATGTAAGCTCATAGGCCAACCTCACAATTTCAAATTAATTATTTTAGATACTATTTTAAAGCTGTTAATCTTCTTTACCCAGCATGCTGATGTCATCTGCACGACCTGCATTGGCGCTGGCGATCCACGGTTGTCCAAATTCCGGTTTAGATGTGTTCTCATTGATGAGTCGACCCAAGCAACCGAACCCGAGTGCATGGTTCCAGTGGTACTCGGCACAAAACAGGTGGGTGATTTTTATGTGGCATGTGCAGGATTTAGATCTGATTGACCCAGTTTTTGGTAGAGGTGAAAGAGGTGCAAAGAGCACCAAGAAAATCGTCGGCAGGCAAAAGAAAATATGACAAGCTATTCTTCAAGACGGTTGGGAATTGAAAGCTGTCCCTATCATTATCATGCTTATTTACACTTATTGGTGATTTTCTAATCGACATTGTGCTACGGTGCTTTTGAAAATTCTATATTATCAGTTTGTATAGAGATTCTTGTTTTGTCAGGATAGATTAAGGACATCATAGCCTTTGTTCTTAATTATTTCTTATAAAAATATCTTTCAAATTTCTTAACTTGTTATTCAAATCCAGCAGCCATTTTTCAAACCAATATTTTGTAAAGTGAATTGTATGGTTTCTTTCTAACTGTGGCAATCTGACAGTTTTGATTTCATTTTTCCTTGGTCACCAAAAATCTGGCGAGCTTCGGGAACATAAAGACTTAACTCTAAACCTTGAATAAGACACAACTTATCAACACATCGCATTATGGTGTGAAATAAATAGAAACTCGCATTTTGGATGTTCTATGTACTTAGATTGAATTCATAGATGTAAAAAAAGGGAAAAGTATTTTGATGAAATCAGCACCTAAACCTTAGTGAAAAACTGCATTGTACATTTAGCGACTTGTCAGAGAATCTAATGAAAATGGAGCTGATTATTTTCAAAGTGTTAGTTTTGTTAATTCATTTGTTCCAAAATTATTTCTTATGGTCCTTGGGCGTTTCTTTTTCAAAATTCCAAATTAAATTCATTTTTAGTTGATTTTGGTTGGAGATCATTGCCAGCTTGGTCCAGTTGTGATGTGCAAGAAAGCTGCCAAGTAAGCACTTTTATTTGCATTGCGATGCCCTGTGACGTAATCTAAGTAACAAATTGCGCCCATTTAGTCTTAAAATTTGTGTTACATTTTGGCTTTAAAATCAGGCCTTGCAAGGTGAGGTGATCGAGCTCGATCAAGCGCCCCACCTAGAAAGTTTTAGGAGCTTGATTGACAAAGCACCTAGCGTGTTTATGCTGTATGAAAGCTAAATAAGAGAAAGCAAAATTTTGTTATTGATTACATTTGATGATGCTCGATCGAGCGCTTAGAAAGTTGATGGTGCTCAGTTTGTCAAGCACCTGCTTTTTGCCCCTCACAAGACCCGCTTTTGAATGTGGACGATAGAGAAGCTGCTGATTGCTGCTGTAACATACGCCAATTCCTTGATCTGACAACTGAACCTTTATACTGCGGTTTTGATCGATATTTCATGGCTGGCATGACCGCCGTATCTTTTAGGACTGTACTGTTAAAGATCTTAGAAAATCTCGTTTTCATTAATGCCCTAAACGGAGCTATAAAACATTGCTAGGTCTACTAAGCATCAGATAAAGAAACCATTTTGCTGCATGCCTACAAACATTTGTATTGAAAAACAATAACTTCTCTGTGGAAGTTACTACCTTTCATTTCAGTACAGTAGTATTTGTATCCCATTGTAAGATAATTTCATGATGATGTCGTTTAAACCCTAGTGCTGGTCTGTCCCAGTCGCTGTTTGAGAGGCTGGTCGTCCTTGGTATTAGGCCCATCCGTCTCCAAGTGCAATACCGTATGCACCCAGCTCTCAGTGAATTTCCCTCCAACTTGTTCTATGATGGGACCCTCCAAAATGGCGTCACTGTTGGTGAGTTAGTGTTTATACATTCTGTCTATGTATATAGTTGTAAACAGTTACCTGATGTAGGCATTAAGCGTCCAACTCTGAATTGCAACGCAGAATCGTCCTGTTCTATACACCAAAAGTATGTATAGCTCTGCCCATACGGTATCAAACACTTAATGACTGACCAGTAAACAGTAATTTTTACCTTTTTGTATATATCAAGAAGAATAAGTTTCTGTGTGGGGTTACTCAGGGATAAATTGTTTGAAATTAGGGGTTTCCAGCCAAACAGCTACGGGGCCTTTCTATTCAATATTTTGCACTAGTAATATCTTTCATGGTGAAAATTTCGAATCTCTTAAAGAATTTTCTTGGCCCTCATTATTTCTTGGCCCTTTCCAATTTTTGTTTTAAAAACTAAAGAATTTCTCTGTTCCAACTCGCAGCCGAGAGATCTCAGAAGGGTGTAGACTTCCCATGGCCTGTTGCTGATAAACCGCAGTTTTTCTACGCAACAACTGGTCAAGAAGAGATTTCCTCATCTGGTACTTCTTTCCTCAACAGGTAAGACGAATAATAACTCAATTTATTTTCCTACAAAAACTGATCGACGTCCGTAAACTCGAACTTCGAAAGGAAAGCAAAATTTGTTTGAAATAAAAAACCTTGTTTTGAAAAGAAATAATTAAAATCAGAAAAATAGATTTGATTTATCAGGCTGTTTAGTTATCGCACATGTGACTGTATTCTATCTCATCTAATATTTTCAGGCCGCTTTCAACTTGTCTTTATAAATGTCGCTGATATTTTCATTGTCAAAATCCTTAAAATTGTTTCTCCAAGATATATTGAAATTCTTGTCTTACTAGAAAAAACCTATCGCATTGTTCTGTTTCGAATTATATTTTGGTGTAGTGTTTTTACGTGCACAGCGTTCCGCGGTCTTCTATGATGTTAATTTACCTACATTGTTTGATTGCAAATGATGATATCTCAATATTCTGAGAAGACCACATAGAAATGTCTTGTTAAATGGCTTGATTAAGACATAGGCAACTATGGTTATGAAATGTCATCTAGGCTTTCTTTAAATACTATCCCTTTAGTTTATGTCATGTTTTTCATAGCATATATATAAATGTACCTTATTTTTGCCACTAGGACTGAGGCAGCTGCAGTAGAGAAGATCGCTACTCGATTCCTGCGGGCAGGCGTGAAGCCAGAACAAATTGGAATAATTACACCATATGAAGGCCAAAGAGCATACATCGTGTCTTATATGCAGTTCAGTGGATCTCTTCATGCAACTCTGTACCAGGTAACGGATAGGGAGAACCATTTTTTTGTCTTCTCATATCAGAAGCATTTTCGCATACCAGAAACTGTGTTTTTGATTTGCAGTTTGGAACCAGGAGAATTTCGAATTGATCACCTTGTACATAATAGGACATAGTAGAATTGTACTAAATGTAAGCGTTTAGGTGGACAAAAATAACTAAAGTGACTTGTGCATCAGCATTTTTCATCATATTTCTAACGTTGCCGTGGACTGGCATAGGACAACACGAAGAAACAGGTAGATGGTACTGCTATCTTGATGCGTTAAGAGGAACCCAAGACTGTTGAACATCACATATGGGTCTCAGCTACTATGAAACCTTTGAAGTTGTCTACATCCTAATTTATTGCTTAACATTTCAGCCTGCTATTCAATACCATTGCAACTGAAGATGTTGAAAGTAGCCATCTGCGAATTAAATACCTGAAATCTGAGACAAAATCGTTTATTTTTTGCAGGCTATTGAAGTAGCAAGTGTTGACGCATTTCAAGGAAGAGAAAAGGATTACATAATCATGTCTTGTGTGAGATCAAATGATCATCAAGTAAGCCGATTTTGTTGCCATTTATCATCCATCTTTACGACTTTAGAATTATCTTTATTTGAAGTGATGCTTCTGCCAATGTTGTGCAATAAACTTCAGATGTAATCTCACTATTTCCAGTTTATCTCTGATTCTTGTTACAATTTAATAACAATATTTTTCTCGCTTATCAAGGACAGTAGGCTACACTTTTTACAACAAATAGGGTTGCAGGAAGGAAAAGACGGTTTTCAATGATGCTTTTAACCTACATTGTTTGAAATATACGTGTGAACATACTAGCCAACTGAGAAAACCCTTGTGAAACTATCAATGAACTGCTCATAGACTGAAGCGATATTCAGCAAGCCAGGTGAATGCTGAGATGTTTTCTATCGTCTGAGATTATTGCTGGATTAACATTTAATCATGATTGTAGAATAGGATTTATCGAAGTATATTGCGAGAGAATGTGAGCCAGTGACAGTACCAGGGCGGGGCTCGAATGTACCGTGTGACGTGTGTCCCCTACCCTTTCCATTTGTAACCAACCTACCATCATCTGATACGCATTCTGAAACTGTATCTTAGTCAGTTTTGTTTTTTTCGTAGGGCATTGGCTTTCTGAACGATCCACGCCGTCTCAATGTTGCCTTAACTAGGGCCAAGTATGTCTGTTTCCCATTCTATACTTTCGCTTTAATATTGTCTATGACGTATAATGCTCTTTTTTGGCTCTTTTTTACGTGATTAAGTTCTTGTTTTTCTGATATTATCTGTTATTTAATCGAAACGCAAAGGTTTGTTATCGTTTTTCTGATCTTTCCACAGATATGGCCTCATTATTATTGGAAACCCAAAAGTTTTGTCCAGGGTAAGAAGCACATAAAACAACCTATGTGATGTGATGATTAGCAAATGCGATGGTCACTGTTATACATTGGTCAATGAATGAATGTTTCTGTCAAAAAAAGCCGTATTAACTTATGTTGACCACAACTCAGCCAACCTTTATCCCCACAAATTTGGCATAGTGGCATAATGGATTTCAGTCACGAAATCAGATTCGTTAAATTAAAGGATATGATCAAAAAATCCAATTTTAGTAACACTTTATTGTCAAGTTAGGCGCATCGAACCTGATTGGTGCCTCTCCGAAATAAGCATATGCGATTGGCTCAAGCCTTTCTTTATATCTGCATCATGATTGGCTTAAAATGTTGCCTAGGACTACTTGGTGTCTCTGTGAGGTGTCCGAAGGCCTCTTGTCTCTAATCTGAGCTAGCAGTTTTTCTTTCAATAAAATGTATAACATGTTCTTCCTTTTTTAGCAACCGCTGTGGAACCATTTGTTGAATGACTACAAGGACAAGCGATGTCTTGTTGAAGGTAATAAACACATTTGCTGTTAAAACACGCCATTAGTAACTTCATCAGAATTTGCCTGGTTGCCTTAGTATCAGTAAAACTGTCGTCTCATTGCTAATTGATAGTGAAAGTATCGCTCCAGCCAATCTTTGAGATCTTGCTTAAGTATTTGGGTGACTGCATTATTAACAAACATTGTTCTTTTTTAGGCCCTCTAAACAATCTGAAGGAGAGTATGATTCAGTTCAGCAAACCAAGGAAGCTGACAAACAAAACTAACCCTGTGAGTAATTTCGCTGATCATGTGAAAATGGAAGGTTTAAGCTAGTGGTCAATGCAATACAAACAAATAGGTTGGTAATGAAACACGAAGAGAGAGTGAAACACGAAGAGAGAGTGAAACACGGAGAGAGAGTGAAACACAAAGAGTGAGTGAAACACGAAGAGAGAGTGAACATACAGATCGAAGTCATGTCTGTGGATTTCCTTTTGGTGATGGAGTTGACAATAAGATCTGTTGATGCTCCATTTTAAGCAGTGGCGGATACTTCGCAAAATATTGGGGGGGGGGCAAGCCTATTGTTCTAATAAGATGACGTCACATTTATCCATTCTTTTAGAACAAATGACCATTGTCTTCTAAAATTTCGGCCCTCCTGGTGTCCGCCGCTGATTTTAAGTTACATGTTGCTGTTGATTATCTGCGTCACCCCAGTGTATATTCTGCTCTATAACAGTGTTTTGTCTCCCTAACAGGGCGGTCGTTTCATGACCAACACAATGTTTGATGCTAGAGAGGCCCTGATCGCCCCTGGTTTGTATGCCAACCGCCCAGTACGCCCAGTGGAACCAGTGATGGATTCATACTACCGCACGCATGACCGCATGGGCTTCTTCCCGACTGCTCCAGACCAGGCAAGGAACGTCTTTGCCACCAATATTCCGGTCCCGGTTGGAATGTTCTATCCTCCAGTGCCACCGCCCGCCTTCCAGTACAACCAGGTAAGATAATCTTACATTCTCTGCATACCGGGTTTTGTCTACAATGTGGATATGTAGTATGTACGTATCCGGCTCTGTACTGGTTCGTTTTTTAAAGATCTGCTCGCTTTAATAAGCCTACATGTCTTCGTTTGAATAGGCCGTAAGTGGAGGGCGTCAATCGCAGCATCACAGAGGCAAGCAGGCTGGGCAGCGTCCTAACCAGAAGCCACAACAACAGCAGAGCTACATTGGGAACAGTGCTGCTAGCCAGGTAACGTCACTGCACTTTTTAATGAATGATGTTCTCAGTATAGAAATAGACATTGTAGAGTGAAATGTCACGACTCCTTGCATTGAAGAAAGACTATAAAAGGAACCGCTTTTTCAAAATATTGCGTCAATTTTGCTTAAAGATGCGTGTTGTTACAAAGCATTTAGAGGACATTAATCAAAATTAACAGGCGTTTCATTTCTGTCCCTACAGGATTTGTCCCAGGGACCTTTGTCACAAGGACCGTTGTCCCAAGGTCCGTTGACTCAAGGTGGCATGAGCCAAGGAATCAATCCTTTGTCACAGCCGCTCTCGCAGCCAGAATTGTCTCAGGTATGTATCTCATTCTATCGCAAGCTTTCCATCTTGCACTGCAACTAGGGTGCTCAAAAGCCTAGGCTATTTCCTGTGAGCAAATGATCTAGTAACAGCTCAAAAACTAAACTAGGTCGCATTTTCAGCTTGAAACAAATCAGTGCAAAAATGGAGCTTCTTTAACGTCATTGGTCTGAAGTTTTTAGAAAACTTTTTCACGATGTCAGTTTTGATTATCAGAATGACAGCACACGAATATGTTTGTGTAGAACTGGCGGGAGGCACACGAATAGGTCTGTGTAGAACTGGCATAAAACCATTCCTTTTGATGTTTAGCTACCGAAAATGGGTCTCAGTTTCGCTAACGCTAGCCTCTTCTCCAAACAGGACAGCTACCTTGGGGACGATTTCCAGTTGAAGTCGCAGCCTGATCAAGTCTTGTCTCAGGACTCGACCTATCAAGGTGACCGCGGTGGCTACCAGCCCTACTCTCAACCAGAGTACTCTCAGCAGATGTACAACTCGCAATACTGAGCCAGTCCCTGCGCACTGGCTAGACAGCGGATACCGTGATGCTGCCCCGCAATCATGGCATGCACCGCAAGCGACAGACAGCGATAACGGATGCTGTTGTTTATCTGTCAACTCGGAGATGGGTCATTCGGAGCTTCTCAACGGAAATGACGTCAGAAGAATCGCTTTCATAGTTGTTTAGAGTTTCTGGTCGACAATATTCGCAAGATGATGGTTTGAAGTACGAAGTAAGAGGCAAAAGTTTTAGGGCCGGAAGAACTGCTTGTTCAAATCGGTGTCTCCCGGAACTCCAGTTGCCTTGCTGTTAAATCACAGGGATCTTTAATCGAATCTCTCTTTGTTTAGATTCTTCCACCGCCAATTCCTAAGTTTATTTCTCATGTTCCACTCATAATAACTGTTTTGATATATGTTTAATTATCTTTTAGCTGTGTGTATAATGATCTCAATCGGCCCAGACCCCCTCCCCTTCAAACCCCTCCTCTTCAAGCCCCCTCATCCCCTCTGCTAATGCCTTGGCTCATTTTAGCTCGTTTTTCACCCACAATAGTTGCTTAGAAGCTGATTTAGCTAGGGCCCGTGTCTAAATTCGCGACCTGATTATGGGATTGAAATTGGGTTCGATTTGCTTTGCTTTTCGCACTCGAGTGATCAATCGTAAATGGAAGTGCCTCTGCGATGTTTGAAGCAGACACGGTGTGATGCATTGCAGAGTTGAAAATCAATCCAGTACAATGATACTCAAAACCTTTAGTTTTAATTTACTCTAGCTGATCCCCATAAAGCCGACAGCGATCCTAACTATATCCATTTACTGTGACCCCTACGCCAAGCATACTATGATTTTCTGCATTTAGTGCTGGTTTCTTTGTAGAGTTTCTTCATTAACTACATCTTTTCTAAATGTGTCAGAATCTCATACATTCAGCTGATATCTTTATGCCTTTGCATCACCATCCCAATATGCCTACAGTTTCTTAGGTTTCCAAAAGCTGCATATGTTTACAAGACTGCTTCGCTTTCCATAGGTAATTTCAGTGGCGGACACCTGGGGAGCAAAGGGGGGGCGACCGCCCCCCCCCCCATACTTAAGAGGACAATGGTATTTTGTTCTAAAACAATGGGAAATGTGACGTCATCTTATTAAAACAATATGTTTGCCCCCCCCCCCCAATATTTGACCAAATCTCCGCCCCTTGGTAATTTTATGGTCGAAATATGCCGAATGAAAACGGATGCATATTTCAATGTTTCAGTTTCTCGGCTTCAATAAATTCATTATCAAAATGATACAGATACTTTTGAATCTTCAGAGGTTTCATGATTGGAAAGATATCAGTTTCTTTGTAAGATTTCTGACACATTTGGAGAAAGATATTGGAACTGATCGATTGACGTTAAAAGAGAGTATTGTTGTCTGATATTGACAAAACCTTGGCCTGTTGGCGATATAACTTGTCATAATTTCATCTTTTGAGTTCAAAATTTTCATCGTACCAGAAGCTTATGAAAGATTGATGTGGAGGAGTCAAACGAGTGTCATTTCTGTCTGTCTCAGCTGAATCGAGTTACTTTTTCACGTTTCGTAAACTTGAGATTTTGATGGAGGATGGTAACGGGGATTAAATTATCGATTTTATCTTTAAACTGCTAAATTTTTTATGTTTTAACTGCTAAAAAATTTATAAAACTGCACTTTTATGAAATGCGGTCAATATGGAATTCCAATTAAATCCTATTTTGAGCATGATGAATAAATTTAGTAAGTTCAGTTTAAGAATTTTGCTTGACCGGCCAAAACGTGCAGAAACAATTTATAGACGAGTACACAAATGAGATTATGCTTTCGTCGCAAATTTTATTTTTGCCACCAGCATTGATAGATTTATCAGTAAATATCATTTTACTTATGCTGGTTAAGGAAAGTTGTGGAAATATATCAAGTCAATTAGACCAACCCCTCAACAAGACTCTTGTGCAAACGGAATCGTCTTGTTAAAGTTACAGATTGGCAAGATTTAGGCCACAACTGAATCCTTGGCAAAACTGTTGAAATACCACAATATTCACGTTCAAAAATTGGCAACCCCAGGATTTAACTACCGTACCAGGGTAATCAGCCCAGCTGCTAAATTCTCCCTCTCCCCTTTCCCTCAATACCATGAAGATATTCCTTCTTTCAAAGTGTTTGTGTGCAATCTTGGTTAAATCATCACCGATAAAACAACATTGATATCGGCAAATTTATACCACTATTTAGTTGGGGAAAACTGTGAAGTTTTGGCAAGAATTGTAATGGCAGTCTCAAGCAAACGTCATAATACAACGGACCAATTTTTGCATGGATTTGTTCCAACATTAGCCACAGTAACAACTTAAAGAGATGAATGTCTCCGAGACCGTTTGCAGTTTTTTCTAACAAGGCTTCCTTGCACAGGGTGGGCAGGAAAATTAGGTTTTGTTATGATTTTTTACATCATTTGGTTACATTTCGCCTATCTGGAAACTTGATTGTTTAGTTTTTTAGGACTTCGAGAATCTATGCTTATCAAGCAGTGTCGTGGTCCTACCTCTCGTTGTGAGCAGGGTCGTCAAAAGGGTTTCAGAGGCCCTGGGGCAAAACCCAAAAACCGAAAGTTTTTGACGATACGCTTTGGGCTGGCAATAAATACATTTCAAAATATTTCCTGCAGTAATTTTCTTGCAATTGTTTTAAACGTTCTACTTTTTTAGGCATACTTTATTATGTTTGATAATTCCATTCTTAAAATGGAATTTGTTACTTTATGATGCCATTGGACCTTGATGCCCTGGGGCAATTCCCCATACTGCCACCCCTCTGGTTGGTACTGGATTGGAGCACACCTTGCTATTCTTATGCTGTGAATTACAGAGAGCTAGAGACTTCCCTCACCCTTGGTGTGTTTTGGTCATGCAAGTGACATGAGCCCCAGACCCTTGGATCTTTAGTGTGCAACCCTAACTACTGAGCCATTGTCACTAAACAATGTCCTAATCACAACAAACTATCCCACATGCATAGTTTCTATTGAGATCCATATACCATAAATCCTCGAATTGCCCCCCCCCCTCGAATAAGCCCTCACCCTAGAACTACAAATTGTCAATAAGCCCCACCCCCTTGAATAAGCCCCCACTGCCACTGTAAATTCTCGAATTGGACCCCTCCCTTTGATGATTTTTGCCATCTGAGGTTGCCCATGGCTATGTATTAAATCCTCATAAAGAAATTCCTACTGAAATAAACGAGGTCTTTTAATAATTTCTTCTTGATTTCTACAATAATTTTATAAGCCCCCCCCCCCTTGTATAAGCCCCCTCGAATAAGCCCCCATCCAAAAACATAAAAAATAAATAAAACCCCAGGGGGCTAATTTGAGAATTAACGGTACATTACAAAAAGTCTTTGGGGCCCCTGACTCCATAAGTCTATAAGTATAAGTCTTGCAATGATACAAGTCTTTTTTCACCTACAAAGCCCATTGCTACCATAAAAGGAACTATTTGTTAATTGGAAAGGGTGATGCAGTTTTTTTGAGAAAATTACTCACAAATTACATATACTATAACTATATCTACAAAAAGACTACAAGACTATTTATCTAAGCTTGAGATTCAACTCAGCTGCCACTGAAGTCCTGACTTCCTCTTGTATGGCATTGATTTCTTCATCAGTGAATGTCTTGTCCATTGATCGATATGTAATTCTGTAGCAATGACTAGTCTTCTCTGTTACAGGGTGGGTAAATTCATCCACAAGTTTCATCTAGTAAACAAAGAATGATATGGTACATAGATCTTGTTTGAGTTTAACTTAATTTTGGAAACATGAATTCACAATTATTCACACAAGAAAGAACGTGTCTAAAATCATGCTCTCAGAAGACGCTAGTTAAATCCAACATTTGTGTCTCAGCAATAATAAAATGGCCTTTTTCTCTTGTGTCTACTTTCCATCTGCATCTGGTTATAAATTTTCTGCTCACCTTTGGACATTATCCAACATTTATGCTCTGAGGATTGAAGTAATTTAGTATGAAGTGTCAGATTGAAGAAATTTAGTATGATGTGTTTCTGCTCTTCCATGTTATTTTCAAATATGAAGTACCAGAGGCTTAAAATGGTTATTTTTGCAGATCACTAACTAATAATAAAATTATCATCACATTATTTTATATTTATTCAATAATATTCATTCCACAACTGCATAAAAATTAGAAATCCTTTTTCAAACACATTCCAAATTAACTACAGCTTGCAGTGGCCAGATTCATGTGGGAGATTATAAGAAGACGTTTTCTCCAAAATTAATTATGAATAGGTACCTCTTCAACTATGTCACCAGCAGTTGATCTAATAACTTCAAATAAGTCATTTGGTGAAAAACTTTCATTTATCCAAAATGAGATGTCCTTGAAGGTTGGTGGGTATTTGCTAAATGGCTTAAATTTGACATCAATACCATCCTTGAATTGGTTTATGAACCTTTCATCTTCACTCCAAAATAGACGAATATCTGGAATGTCAAACATTTTCATTGCAATTCTTTCTAGACCCAATCCAAATGCCCATCCAATCTTGTCAGATGTTCCACCTTTGAACAAGAGAATATTTATTTGAATTCATCTTTAACAGAGCTAAAGAAGAAAGTTGACAAAAAGAGAACATAGTAAATGGATCTTTAAACTTTTAAACCAAAAGAAAACAGATGTCTCTTCAGGCAATGACAGCAAAAGCAAAACTCAAAATTTGCAATTAATAAATGAACTTTCTTTCAGTGAACTATGAAATGACCCTTTTTTAGCCATCACCCAGCTGTGATCAAAGATATGTTTACTGAAAAAGAATTCTTCAAAAACACAAAAATATGGTAGAAAACTAAGTGTGACAATGGGAACACAATCCAAGCTGACAGCACATAAATCAACCATGAGATGTTTTCCTTCTTCGCACATATCATACTTTGGTTCCATCAGTAGTAATAAAAGATTTCTGCTGTTCATATGAGCCTATTTAAAGATTGAGCCTTCCCTAAATTCATTACAATTTAAATATTGGATCGTGCTTTTTGTGAGTCCCAAATAACATTTCCTCATCCTTATAACTATTATTTTTCAAAGTGAAATCAATGCAAAATTTCAGTGAAAACAAAGTAACCTTTGACTAGAATGCCATGTTCCATGATGCCACAGCCAAGCATCTCCATCCATTCGCCTTCAAATTTTACTTCGAGCTCCCATGATGGGTGAGTAAAAGGGAAGTATGCATCTACCCATCTCATCTCTGTATCCTCACCAAATAAGTCTTCAAATAACTTTTGCAATGTATTTTTTAAGTCAAACTCAACTAATTTTGCAGCCTCTAATGTGTGGAATTCCTGTTTATCCTCTGTTCTAGTTCCGTTTGGTTCCATGATTTTCAATCCATCCTGAAAAAGTTTATATAAACAAAAACCTTGTTTCAGGCCTCAAAAAATTTCTACAAACACAATGTCAGGCCTTAATGCGAGAGATAAGGAAGGGGTGTATGGTGTACGATTCCAGATGGTTGAAGCAATAACTGAAACCCAGTATAGAGAGCTTCAATACACAAACTTGCCCTAGTTTAAGGATTGTCAATAAAGATAAAGTTTTGAAATAAAACCAAAGCCACTTCTGTACATTATGGTTGTAATGAAAATCATAAAGGTATCAAGTTGCAAAGACATCACAGTCAATCCATGTCCAGCCACAGAGTTTAAGTGAGTGACCATGTTCCAAGGTAATATACTTTATTTTGTTTTATGGTCATGGGGCTCCCTTACTGAGGATAATGTTACTATGATACTTAGAAACTGGACATAAGGTCACTACAAGGTTGTGGAATGTCTGACAAAAGTGTGCCAAGGAATAGATACATGATCATGGAAGATTACATACTTTCACATATTCTGAAAAAAGTTCATTTTGGCTAAAAAGCTTGACTCCCTCCATTTGATGAAAGACAGGGTAATGACTTTTATCAATTTCATCTCTTCTGTATACATCACCAGTGACTAAAAATGCATCCCACCCACTTTTTATCAGATCTCTCTGATGTGCAGATGTGTGTGCGCGCAACATCATTGACTTGTTAATGTAATAATTATCATTTTTCAGCCTACTGATGTGATCTTTTGGCACAAGAAGGCTGTCAAAGTTTTGCTCAGTTGTCACAACTGGACTAAGGTTGTCAACGGCTGCGAATATACAGCCCCCATGTCGAGACCTGTAATGTCCATGCATGTGATTTTCTATACTCGACTTTATCATTCCGAGAGGGTGGTGTTTCCTCAAATGAAGTTTACTTTCAACCTTCTTGAGCAAACCCCCCGTAACGTTTGACATCTCATCTTTTACGTAGTTTTCTCCAAGGACAGATATGTGATCCTTTTTTGTCTTGGCCGATGTGTCGAGGCGAGTAAGATGACTCGGTGATCCCTTTGAGAAGGGGCGCCTACCGATTATGAAGCGAAATCCATTAGCTAGCCAATACTCCGAGTCTTTCAGTGATCTTGAATAAACACAAAACAGAGAAGCTCTGCAATTCATGCACCGAAGAGTAGAAGGATTCATTGCTCAGGCTTATCATGTGCAAGTGGCCTACCGCTGCTTGCCGCCATCAGTTGTCTGTCTCTAGTTGATTACGAGACTGAAACAACAGAATGTTTTTGGTGAAATAAGGCAACGAGGGATGACATTTCTATGTCATCTCGACAAATTTTATTAATAACCAAGAAATAAGTTATCAAAAATGAGTACCCAAAAAGGTGGAGATCGAAGAAAACGTGAACAGAAATATAAGAATGAAACTGCGTTTAAGAATAATAAATATGACTCGAATTCGAAAGGAAAATTGTTGAATCAACTGAAAGTATCAAATGTTTGCCAACGATGCAAGGAAATTATCGAATGGAAAATCAAATATGACAAATACAAGGCACTGACCGCTCCAAAGAAATGGTAAGAGGTTTTCTGGAAGGGCTGATTTCAAATAGATTAGATTTGAAACACGAATCGACTAATGGTGGCAACGTGATTATGAATTCTTGATAGGCCTAAGCAGTAATAAGCGCCCTGTATCAAAACCATAGGCAAGATAGCAAATGATAATGCCAATTTTTGAGATGACCATGACCATGAGTACTTGACATGACCAAACTTTCACTCATAGGAAATGTCAGCTCTTGGCAATTCCAGGTATTTGGATCACAAGGCATGGTGCCATCAAGCCAGTATGGATTCCATGGTAGCTGCACTCCCGAAAAAAATTTGTAGAATAAGGGGTGCACTTTTACATAACCTAAAGATGGGCATGGTTTGGGCGTGGTTTGGATTTTGCTCAAATTAAATTTTTTTTTCAAATATGGTAAAATGACTTTCTTAATTTGTCCACAACTGAGATTGGAAAAAAGTGTGTCATTCTAAATTGAGTGATCCAGTTGAAATCAGGGCCATCAAAAAGTTTCAGTGGGCCTAGGGAAAATCTGAAAAAGAAAGGCACCCTTGCGAGCGAAGTGAGGAGAAAGTTTTTGTGCCCCCATCCTTTAGATTAGCCTAAAATACGCTTCAGAATATTGTTTGCAGTCATTTTCTTGCAATTGTTTCAATATTACTTTGTTTCAATTGTTTCATTGTCATGTTTTACCATTATTTCCATTCCAAGAATGGATTACTATAAATTAACTATAAACAGATAAATCCTATTCTTAAAATGGAATTCCTTTTTTATGCTTTAGGCAATTTACTCCCTTGTCCCCCTCTCGGTGACCCTGCTTTGAGATCATGTATTTGGTCTTTTTAAACATTATTTTTAAAATTATCTTTTTACTTGCCAAATCTTTAAAAATTTGAATAACAGCCACTGATGGTAGTGGTAGGTAAGCGTAGTTTAATTCTCAATCATGAATTTCCCTGAGATGTAAAATCGATGTAAACAGGAAAAGTCTGAAACAATATGCACACACCCAAGAATCACTGAGAAATTTGATGTGCACACTTGTCAGAAATACACTCTTGCACTCCCAGGTAATAGCTTGTGCACTCCCGAGATCTTGTTGAAAACTGCCATGAAATTCAGACCATCAAGCAGGAGGACCAAGACACTGGTCTTGAGCATAGCTTCTCAGTGCCCAAAAACCTAAGTTTGGATGCTAGGTAGTAAAATATACGAAGTAAATACAAATACATGTCTGCAAGCATTTTGGATGTTGACCATCTTTTAACAAGACTCCTTGTTTCCAATGAAAAATCCCTTATTCTCAAAAAATTGTTCTCTCACATATCGTAAATCCTTGAATTACCCCCCCCCCCCCCCTCTAAAAAGCCGCAGCTCGAATTAGCTCCCACCCTAGAGCTACAAATTGTTAATAAGCCCCCCTCTCAAATAAGCACCCACGTAAATTCTTGAATTGGACACCTCCATTTGATGATTTTCGCCATTTGAGGTTGCCTATTGCGTTTTATTGAATTACCACAATAAATTCATACTTTTGGTAGTAATTAATCAAATCCTCATAAAAAAATTCCTACTAAAATAAACAAGGTCTTTTAATAATGTCTTTTTAATGTCTACCTACAATAATTTTCTAAGCCCCCCCCCCTCGTATAAGCCAGGGCTTATTAAGCCCTCCCCCCTAGAATAAGCCCCATCTAAAAATATCAAAAATAAATAAGCCCCCAGGGGGCTAATTAGAGGATTTACAGTATCCTTTCTTTCCAGCAGCACTGTGTAACGTAAAATAACTTGTTATTGTTAAGAACTCATTTTTATCTATTACGATCACCGCTATATTCTTTTGTTCTGTTATATTATTCCTATTTTGTAGTTCCTGTCTTGTGACCCTCACATTTGCACTGTGATATATCTACTTTTAAAATTTGTATTGTTCTCAATTACCTCCTCATGTTATGTTCAGATGCAAGTAGTGTTTTCTTTACACTGTTGTCTTAATAGTTATGACTACCCAGCATTGTAATCCTTATTCCTTTTTCTATTCTCATTGATTTCATAATTAGGTTTTATTTAACTGCTCATTTTTCATGCAGTGTGCGATGTTCACAAAAGAAAGTCAAATACGCTTACCACATTGCTTGCACTGAATGTGCACTGAAAGAAAAGGCTTGTGCCAAGTGCATGACGAACCATGATGTTGTTGCCATGTAAGTAGACATCATATTTGTTTATAATAACATGTTTTAGAATCCTTACAGTTTTGATAAGAGTTGGAAAAGAAAAACACAGATAAAGAAGATAAGAAAAAGACAGCTTTGATTCTTTGGTCATGTCATGAGATAAGAAAAACCAGAAAATCCAACAATCACTGGGAAAATAAAAGGCAAGTGAAGCAGAAGGCGACAATTACTTGAAAAGTCTAAGTAGTTGGATGGTCAAGCAAATGCCTGCAAGGAAGAAGGCACAGGTGATGGAACAGACACTGATGGCAGCTATGAAAGAAATAACGCATTAGAAGACCATGATCGCCAATGTCATAAAGCGACATGGCACTTCCACAGACAGACACTTTTTTATGTAGGGAAACCTACTCTGCTGTTATCCAAAGTGATTAATAGTTTATTGTTCTTATTGAAAACCAATTTCGAAATGCAAATTTTTGAAAAAAAAAAAATTTTTGTTTGTAACTTGATGAAAATGGGTGCTTTCGTATGGCTCAGATGTCAAGCATAAACTGATCTTTAAGATTCCTTGGATATATTGTTATGAATCTTAGAATTCCTTCCTATTTTCAACTTTTCTGCATTTTGACAATATGCTGTGGAGTCAAAACCTTCCTTTTGTATTTTTATATCCAGTTTTTTTCAAAGCTAACTCTGACATCAATTGTGGCCAACAGCTGTTTCTGCTTCACTCGAAATGATATTTTGTCCACAGTTTTTTTTCCTTGTCCTAAAAAGACAACACATAAATTTTCCCTTGGGAACTGCCAGCTTCATGGAGACTGAAATCAGCCTTTTTCTTACTGCACCCCTGTAGCTTGCCTCTGTTTTGTTCATAAATATTAATGAGGATGTAGACAGTCATTGATTGACCTACAAAATACTTTTTTAATCATCATCTTAGGTTTCTTCGCAATTTTGTGATTCAGAGCTGTTTGCTTTGCTCTTTCTTTTCCAAGAAAAATCAGTTATAAATCGTTAACTATCCTTTTGAACTGCACATTATTCTACAAAAATTTGGGGAAATTTGTTTGGAGCACACCCTTTTCAGGAAAGCACCCATTTATTGTGGTCAAGGGATCAAGGCAATTGACACCTGATCTGTTGTGAGTAGTTTCTGTAACAAATGGGAGAATAGTGAATTTCTGCACTTTAATCAAAGCAAATCTAAATGACTGCACAAACAAGTAATACTTGCTTTGTGTGATTCTATTCCTATTTCTAACAAAATTGGAGGGGAGTAGTTGCCAATTAAGCAACAACAATGTACATTAGGTGAATTTAAATTGATATCCAGTTATTGATCATGCAAAATGTGAGAAGAAAAAAGGCACATTTGGTGCTTTCTCTTTTTACACCACCTTTGTGTAGTTTTCTACCATGTTGTTTTCAAAGCTGCATCTTTTGTGCTGCACTTGAGTTGTGTAACCTTGTGGCGCTCCTGATGCACCTATCAAAGGTTTTTTCAATGCCCATAACATTTACAAATTACATTTCTGTTGAAATGGTTCCAGTGGCAGCGAAACTTTCTGCCCCATATATATTTTTAAATGTTGAACTTTACTGGTGAAAGATGTGCTTGATTTTATTCAAGGTTTTTTCAACAGTGCCAAGTCCAAAATCAAGCCATTTTGGACACACTGGAACGCTGTATGTTTTGAGAATTGATGTCAAATTTTGAAAGATGTCTATTTTCATAGTTACCATTAAAATATAAAAATGCCAGCCAATTTTGAGATGGTGTGGTGAATGACAAACCGTCAGTGATTGGACATGGAATGACCCTTCTGAGAGCTTTTATAAGCCTTGATGTAAAATTCTGTATCTAATAAAAGGATTCTGTGCGTAGTAATAAAGTTCTCTGCAACGGAATGGTCTCTGAATATTTTTATGAAGGCGTTTCTATATGTTCTGAAAAAAAAGTTCTTGTATCTTTAAAGCAAGGAAGGGCTTAGGGGATTCCTAAGGATTTTTTGAATATGATTTTAGGCCTGAACCAGATAGTGTCCAGAGACAGAAGGATGAAACACGGTTACGGGAAGGTCTTAAGGCGATGCCGCTGAGAGAACAGAGTAAGTTCACTTATAATCCTTACAATCGTTGCTCAAATGTTCTTTATTAATTCCAGAAGATGTTTATGCAGTTAAAAATTCATTTCAAGCCACATCAATTTGCTTGAAAGTGATCAGAAAATTTGATTATCTCCTCTAATCGATAGAGAAAAGAAATAATGTATTTATCTTTGGTCGTGAAATTTTGAATCTTTTCTTTGGCAGAAACGTTCTGGCGGCAAGTTGAAAGAGAGCGTCGATCAGCTGAAGAAGGAAGCGCAACCAATAGGATCGCGTCGCTGAGTTCTGATGGCCAAGCTGGAGTTTCTGCATCTGTTGGCGATAATGAAGATAATGCTGATTCTGATGATGACGAAAGTAACTGTGACTCTCACGATGACACCGACAATTGAGCTTTTGATGTAAGGGTGGTGATCGTGGGAGTATGAACGATTTGTGAACAAAATGCTTTACTCATGTCCATAGGTAACTCGAAGTATTGTAAATGAGTGCTGGTGGATTTGAGAAAAGTATTTGGCAGTCGAATCAAAATGCAGATTTTACTGTATTTTCTAGCTAGTATTTGCACTCATTTCCGTCTTTTAAATATTGTTAGAGTCGATTTTAAAATATATTGGCGTTTCATGATGACATACAGTATAATTATCAGGATATGTACCCCTCTATTTATCTATAAATCTATTATTTCTTTTAATTATTCCGTTTCTAAGGACACGTGAAAAGATAGCGTAAGAGAGATCACAGGTTAGATGAAAGCAATCGGATTATAAGTAAGGCATTTCGTAGAAATTTGTTTTGCTACACTGGCAAAACAGGTGAACAGGTGAAGTCGCGAAATGGAAGGAATTGATGAAGAACAAATTGATTAAACTATCAATTAATCAATCAATTAAACAACAAATCAACGAACATTCAATTAATCAATTAATAAATCAAAGCGGGATTGAGTCAGTGAAAGTCAAAATTATACATTAGAAAAGTTTCTAGTGGTCCAATAACCACTGAAATTGAGAAAGACAGATGATTAAGGGCGTGGCTCGAGTTTCTCGCCAGAACAGTTTTGCACCAAACGCATGGCCATTATGACTCAAATTTGATAATGAAGTACTCGAATTCTATAAAAAGGAACAGAAAAGGGTTGGGTATTATTGAATAATTATTAAGAGTGAAGACGTAAAGGTTGGGTGCTAGGTAAAAACAATGGTGGGGATTCTTAAATCATCTTCGCGTTAACAATAAAACGATTCTGTCTTAATGCGTCACCTTTTAAGGAAAACTTTTTTATGGTAAACTAAAAGATACCCAAACTTCTTAAATACTTGCATGCCCAACCAATACTTTGTTTTTGATAAAAAGAATTATGTCAATCCTTTATCACTTTAGATACCCAAGAAATGAGGACGGGATTGATGTTTAAAGATAGACAGAACCGCATTATTTCATGACCCCCATACGTCTTGGATACCCCCAGACCAATTTCAATTACCCCTGCTTTTGTGCGCTCTTGTCCCGGCTTTGCAGGATTCGCAAGGTCACAGTGGCCTGTTACTGTTGAAAGCTTCTACTTTGAAGTAAATGTGCAAATTCTTTTAGTGACAAAAAATTTGAAATGGCTTTGAAAAATTAAACATTTTAAAACATACTGAAGCTTTTCATGTGACACTGTTCAGAACATTAAACGTCAAAATAATGATATATTGCAGACAAAACTATCAGACAAAAAACTTGAATAAGTTTTAAAATGTTTTCTTTTTCAAAGCCATTTTTGAAAACATCTACTCTACGCCTGTTGTATGTGCTTCAGGTCCTTTAGCAGGTCATACTCTTTTGTGCTGTGAAGGTGGAGTTTTCAAAAGCATTGCAACTTAAATCCAATTTAATAGGCTTGACACAATTTAGCTATTTTTCCTGTCTGCATGGAATTCTGTTTAGGAATTAAAATTTTAATGTACGGGTGCTTGTTTCGAAGGAGATGCATAATCCGAAATTCCTTGGTCCATAAATATTTAATAAGTTTGGTTTTTAGTACAGACCGCCACCTGCCTCTTTGTATTCGCTCTTCCTGCAGGCTGTATGCATTCTGAAATTTTCCAGTAAACAAATAGACATTGTCGAAAGACCAGATCCTTACATTTTCTCTGACATCCTCGCAAACAGCGGAATACTTGTCAAATCGTGGTGAGTTCTATCCCATCATGTTATTTGTACATAACAATCTTCAACCTTCCTTATCAAACTTTGTTACTTTTATTCTCGACATTGAAGATCTGGTTTTTTATTTTCTGAGGTATTAATCTGATACCTGGATGAAGCCACAGCTTTAAACCACTGTCCTTTGACTTGAAATGTTGCCGATTGGTTTGTAAAATGTAATTTCAAAGTTTTTCATCAAGTTTTAATACCAAAAACAGAAATAGGTTTTAAATTCCAGCTTTCAATTTCCACGAAACTTCAGAGCAAACCCAGAAACCTCGATTTAAACCTGTCGCGATTTACATTCTTTTTACAACTATTTAACATGGTTTATATGATAAGATCTCTTGTTTTTTAAAAGTTCCTCTCTTTCTTCAGCCTGCGTGATAAAAATTCTATTTTTCAAGACTTACTTTCTTGGCTTACTTTGTTGGGTAATTTAGAATGAATTATTAACATGAACCTTGCTCTGTTGTGCTTTGCGAGGCCGTTTCTTGTGACAACTGGGATGCGCTTTTTTCTAGCTTAAGAGTCAAAAGACAAACTTTTATATCAGATGAATTTTCTCGAAAATGATAGAAGGAAACAAATCGTGGTGACGTGCAAGGCGACCTGCTAGCTAAGGCCATTGTTTGTCTGCAGCCAACAGCTAACAAAGCTCTAGGTCTGCATTCTCTGTTCTGACTTAGTGTTATCAACTTTTTTATCTTCTTATTTGCCAAAAATGGATCAAAAATTTGAAATCTTCATGTTGAAACCAGTCTTTGTGTTAATAAGAAGATTTCAAATCTGAGGTCTGTAGGCAACGACAAAGGTTTGGCAAAGATCTTTAGACAGCGAGATGAAAAATCGATGACGTTGACTCGGAAATTAGAATTCTTCTTGCCTGATAATTTTAAGGTATTCTTTGCAACACAGAAAGTATCGTTTATCGCAACAGAATCTAAGAAAAGTAAAGACTTGTTTGTTGATTATCGTTAGCAATTTTTTATTTGTTGTGTATCGGATAGTGTATTGTCGATCTTGTTATGATTTCTAATGCTTGATTTTCCACGTCTTCTTGTTATGATAACAGAAGGCGTTCTGATATCTTTGGTTCCAACTGAACTTTTCTAGAAAAACAGGGTACAATTTTTCTTCAAACGCATAATCAGCAACGACTACTAGGCTGTTACACTTGAAGAATTTCCTGAAGGGTTTATGAAATGTATCTATATAAACAACAAATCCTCAGGTAGGGCCAGTGCTTTTTCAAACGAAAACCATCCCCTATTAACTTAATTTTCAAACTTAAATCCTACTGTTTAGAATAATAGTGTCGAGACAGGTAGTCTTTGCTAAAATGGTTCAAAAATATAATTTGGTTTTATTGCTGGATATTTTTTGTTTCATTATTGCAGAAGCCATTCTTTGTTAAGAAAGAGAATTAAGACGATTAAAGGAACTTGGTTTAAATGATGTGAAATTTCAAACATGAAAAAGCTTTACTTCAAACCATGATGTCTAGTGGTGTACACCAGAATGAGATTATGGCATCTTTAAAGACAAACAATCAAAATTCCAGACCTGTTTTTCGAATCAAAATGTTGCATGTTTGTTTTCTTTATAAATGTTTGAAATGATGTAGATAAGAAGCCGACTTAATTGTAATGATTTAACGAATATTAGAATTGTCACGGATATGTCGTTGTTTCTGGTAATTGGCTTGTCTCTAAAAATATACATTTAATCGATGGAAAGCTTATGAATGGCTAATATATCATCATCCCGAATATATCTGCTTTGCTTTTGCCTTTTATTAATAATCCTGGACAAAAGTTACAAAAGGTGACAAGGTTTCAACTAAGATTCAAAAAGTATTTTCTGTTCGCTTGCAAAGGCTCCTCGTATTTTGCTATTTTATATTGATGACTTTTTTGTATTATAAAAAGTTCGAGACAATGCTTAGAAAGTCGTCATAAAAGGCTTGAGATGGATGAGACATGGCTGGTAAAGGTCGTGCTCTTCGTGTTTTTCGAAGAATCATTTGACTTGCATTTTCTTTAGTTTTAATGTCACGGAAAAGTTTTGATATTGAGTAAATTATATTAATCTACGCAAAAACATGTCTCACTAATTTGTAACATTTTCAAAAGTTTCCTTTCACCTTTATAAAATCTTAAAGATTTTTAAATGTTGAAAAACTTTGGAAGTCACAAATAATCTTTGAAACTTTAGATTTTGGCTTAAAGAGGAAAGATTTTTTGCTCTCAGAGCGAAAGACTTCAAAAATTTGCTACTTCTTTTGGCCAGTATCATTGTGCCAAATGTTGACCTGCTACTTATCCTACTGACACTGACTTTGTTACTGAAAGAGAATTCCTAGCATAAGAAGACAAATGGTTTTTTTTCTTCGTGAGAAAATAGCACTGCTTCTGGTCTTTTTCTCACTACAAAGAGAAAAACTCAGGGAGCCCTGAGTATCTATGTAGTCCTTGCTTGACCAGAGGGAGGCTTGTGTTATCGAGAAGTGCGTCCTCTCGATGTACACACATCACGTTTAATTTGCTGGAGTCACATTGAACTTTTTACACTGGTTGAACTAGTTAACTTGACGAAGGAGCCACAAATGAGCTTGGTGCCCTGGTTTTAATTGTATGGGAACAAGGTGCATTGTATCAAATACCGGGGCTGGTTACTTTGTGTAGAAGGAGGGAGAAATGGACGATTGGTGTCCGAGGAATGTGCAAGTCTGCAATAAGATGTCGCAAAACCAACAAAATACCATATTTCAATCTTCTTTTCAAAAAAGAACGTTTTTCTGTACCCCAAAAGTTGAAATCACAAACATTTTCTGGGTAAGTCACTAGACCCCCCTTGGCTGCCCAAGACCTCTCTTCAAAAATCTTGCCGCCTTGCTTAAACTATTATATTCTTTTATACTAGCCATCAGGCTGTTCGTATTTCCACACAGGTCACCAATTTACAAAGTATTCGTAGAGAACGAAAGACATTCGTAGAGGATGGAAGACTTTCTGTAGTTCAGTTTATTTTCTTTAGTAATTTAAGTAAACCATATTTCATTAGCTTGGTTGTTTTTTCCATATTCACTGTAAAATCGAAGCACAAATTTCTATGACTGAGCACGAGCAGTTGCACCTCTAAAAGAAATACGGAATTGTGAGTGAATGTTTGCATAATTAGATTTCAAATAAAACAGACTTGATATGGTTTAGTGAATATCTGATTATTATACTTTTCATTAATTTCTGAGACTTGGAAGAAACGCATTTTTTAAAGAAGCAAATGCCTTTCCGAATCGGCTCAAAATCTGGAAGAGCTTATAAAACTCCTCCGTCACTCCAAATTTTTGCCCAGCTATCCCGGTGCTCTTTGGTGTATTTAATGGCAAATTTTTCTTTATAAACACTTGCGTTCTACCAACGCTAACTTTTATTGTATTCCGACAAATCGTCTTTGCTTTGAGTTTAAGAATATTCGATCTGGTTTTATTAACTTGCGGTCAGCAGTTCTAATTTTTCTGTGTTAATCAACTTCTTTTTTTCATTGACCGGGAGTTACTCCGAGAATAATCGGATCAAACTTAGTTTGTATTCTGAGAACAGTTTATCATACGAATGTTGTTGTATTAGAATAGCGGGCCGTTAATGTCTATGAATTTCAGGCATATTGCCCAGCCTTTTCCTGGTCTGTTTACGTTATGCCGCAGAGAAGTTCGGACATGGTAGGCTGATGATACAGAAAATCTATGTTCCTTTATCGAGGATTACATCCTTTCAGTGTTTGCCATATCCGTGACAATCACTCAGCGATTCATAGAATTGATTGCATCATATTTTTGCGTAAGTAGGCGATCATCCCTTATTGCAATACATGTTGGCCTAAAGTTTGATACTCCATTTCTTACTCAGTCCGGTTCGCAATTATATCAATTCATTTTTTGTTTGTTCCAACTCGCTATGTTGCTTTTGTGAATCACGATCAATTTTAAAATGTCATTTGCAATCACAACTCTGTTTAACTAGGTTTCAATATTCAGTTTCTTGGGTTCTTCGATCAATTCGCACAGAAAATGTATTAGATAAGGCTGAACGGTTTGAAGACAACTACCACCACATGTTATTACACCCGGCAGGGTATGAAATATCTAGAATGCAAAAATATTGGTTGAAACGATAGCGTGTAATTAACATGCTATATAATGACATTCACAAGTCTATAAAGCTAAAAATCTGTGTAATAAGTCATTAAGAATTTAAATTGACGTCAAAAATCAAATTAAGTAAATAATATTCATGGGCTTAGATCGGGATCAACAATTTAAATCAATGTCAGGAAGAATACATTTTCAGGGATGTAAATTAATCTAACTTCTGGGAGACAATCGATTTCAAAAATCGAGAAATCAAATCATAATCAAATTTGCAAAGCAATGTCTGGTACCAGTTAATTAGGGGTCATAGTAGGAAGGAGGGTTGAAAATATTTGCTAAATGTGTAATCCGGGGCCAGAATATAGGGGTAGCTCAGGACAGAATGTAGGCAGTTCTTTACAAATAACTCACTCCATGTCATCTAGCAAACATCATACTTGTGTCCAATTAAACAAAGACTAACGTAACAGGCTCGTGGGTTACAGAGAGAGGGTGGTGGTTGTGTTTGGAGCTGAGTGAATTGGGTGGAAACTAATCGCAATGTCATGACCCAACTAAGACAAAGAAATTAATTTGGCCCCTCCCCCCTAACGATTTAAACGCTGCAACAATGTTTCATTTTAACCTTTCTTTTCAGATTCATGCATTCTAATCCAGACGTATCCGTGCTTGTATCGGATTAATAAAGTCGTATTATTGAGTGCTGTACGAACTTAATCTGCAACTGAATCGTTTTGAAAGCCGGCTTGTTGTTAATTCTCGTTTTAGTATGATCTGATGCAGTGAATTTGTTGGGGACAATGTCTTTAGCAAGAGAAGCACCTTTAAACGGCACAGCATCGACTCGTGTTTTGACAACGATGCTAAAGACTGTCGTTCAACTAGCAAGCACAACACCATCACCATTTCAAATTGCTAAGAATGAATCTTCTGTGGCCAACAAGACGACGTCGGCTCCAAATGAGTTAATGACTCGCCGAGGTTTTTTCATGCACATGGTAAGGGAAGACTTTTATCTAAAAGTATCATTTTAAAAATTGTGCAGCAATTTTAAGTAGACAGTCTTGAGAGGTGTAGCAAATGATTAAATCGCTCTTTAATAGACAGAGGGTTTCGCAAAAACATCCACACAATTATTTTATGTTGACACCATTACCAATTAGTTTGTAGGCCATAAAGATCAAGGTTCCCTTGCATAGCGATGTTTTAACTGGAAAAGAGCTTTTTGAGCGATGGGACGAATGTTTATCATTTTACCGGTGTTCATTTTGCGAACAACGCAATATTTTCTCCATTTTAATACTTAATATTTTAATACGAAAAATGCACCTGCGATTGCATTTGAAAACAAGCTTTATTTTGTGAAAATTTTGTCACTGCACATCTGCTTTTCAATATTCAAAAAACTTAGTCATTGTGATAAAAGGCTTTTTGTAGGAGAGGAAGACGTATGGCCTAATGAAATGTTTCACCATGCTATGATGTTGTCAGATTAGGCCATATAGATGTATATAGCTGTATGTTATTGAAAAGAACCAAAGACAGTAAATTCATAATTTTATTATCAAGAAGGGATTAATTCTTAACTTTTTATTTGTACTCAACCTTTTAAAAATGTTTAGTTTCTCGCTAAATCGGCACAGTATTTTTGTTTTCTTTTCTCTTTGAGTAACGAGATTCAAAAAACCAAAAGGGTAACGAGATTCAGAAACCAAAAGAATTTCGCGTAATTGATGGCGTCCTCAAATATAAGAAAAGTTACAAGGAATCGTTTAGATTTTGATCGACCTTTTTTAAAACATGTGATTCGCAAAAAGGTGCTTCCTTGGTTTGGTGTCAAATTAAATCATGACAGCCATTGCCCTGCTTATAATCTTCAGCCCACCTAAAAGAAAATTACAAGTTAGTATATTTTTGTTTTTGCATCGATATTCTTGATCTTTTCAGATTGGAGGTTGGGTTCTTACTGCCATCTTCATTTTCGGCATTTTATTCATGGTAGTTACACACTTTCTCGGTCGACGCGAATGGCGAAAATACCAGGAAAGACTCGAGGAGGAGCGGGCTGCTGTTAATCACGTGATTGTCGACTCAAAGTACATGAAATACACAAAGAAAGGATGGCGGGAAATTGCGCTTTCATTATGAGGCCAGGGATGTCGGAGAAGGGTTGTGTGTAGCAAACACCCTTTTTGCTCGTTAATAGGGGGGGTAATGAAGGCAAAAGTGACCTTGACATGGTCTTTTGTTGTTTTGAACGAAACTTAATTGACTTTCTGACGGTAATTTTTTCCTCACATTTTTTAAATGGCGATATTACTCAAAACGCATAAATGATTTCTATGTACCAAAAGCCTTCTCCAAACCTGCCACCACCCCCGTCCTCTAGCCTCTTGGTCGCTCCAATGTCAATGCTTTGCGCAGCTAGAAGAAATCATCAAGGAGAGACATTGAATCAACTGGGTTAAACAAATGCAAAATGATGCATGGACAAAGTAGTTGCAAAGGAATTTCACCTTTATTATCGATATAAAAGCGTTTGAATTTTAGAGGGAGACGAGGAAAGAGAGAAGCTTTGAAGTTCTTTGGAAGTCTTTCACCAGGGGCTACTTTTACCGATGTTAATGAAAGTCAAGAATGCCCATTTCTTATAATAAAACGAAGATGATTCACGATAAGATTGTGACGTCATCGTTGTTTACCTCGCAGCTGTAGTTAAAGCTATAAGATCAAGTTAGCAAGTTTTTAATTATTGAAATGAAATATTTTTTGCAAAATCTCCTTAAAAGCCAGAAAAGACAGTGTATTGGTATTTTCATTGCATTTTCACGAGGCATATGTTGGAAACAGGCAGCTGATACCTCACTCCTATCCCTGTGTCTAATGGGCGATTCCTTTGTAGTGTCTTACTCCGTGTAATTATATTCTGTAACTATTGATAAAGAGTTTGTAAAGCGGCTGTAAATTTTAATGTATTAAACCACATCTATGTTAATGGTTTTTAATTTGACTATAATTTGATGCAGTGTACATGTAGGTGAATTATGGAATGGAATGTCAGTTTTTTTCTGTTAGTTTGTTCAATACTCGCTAAAATTTAAATTCATTGCAAATACAGGAAGAAATGACCTTTCTCCTGTAAAACAATTCTGAAGCCCCAAGAGGGCCGAAGTCTTCTATATAGATGCTTGTTCCTTTCCCCAATGAATGCCTGGCACATAAAAATGCCACGAATAAATCTCGCAGGACAATTTCTAGATACCTAATCTCAATGCCAATTATCATTTGCGATAGTTGAAAGTAAAGCATCTTGAAAGTCGATATCGCGCGAAAGGCGACATTTTCAATTTCAAATGTCCTTTCTCGCAAGAGGACCTTATTTACTTTAGTTCGTTAAGAATTTCGTTCGGGGAATTCAAATTAGGCGAAAGTTCGCTGTGGAAATGACGTTAAAAGGTTTGATTTTATTACTTCTAGAGACAATTTGTTCAGAAGTTAATCGATAACCGCTCCAAATATTTAATATTTATGATTTTATCAGCTTCCAAGATTTTGTTACCATTGCCGTTACGACGTTCCGACAATGCCATTATTAGTGTCCGTGACATATATACGCACAGTTCGGTTTTGGACACTTTCTTCGATGCATTAGGATAAAAAAGTTAGGCCTGCGAAATTACCTCTCGTGGACGATTCAAAGTAAAAAAAATCCCGTTCACTCATTTGGATAACCTGCTTGCAGACTCGACTGTGCGATGACCTGTGTTTCCCACAAGGAACTGAGCTGAATGTTCTCTTCATGAAACTTTAATTTATGCATGTGTGAAAGTTGATTTTCTGTGTAAAAAAGTAATTTTGAACGATGAAAATGGTCATGCTTTGCAAACGTAAGAGTGTTTTTAATACCTGTAATTTTAAGACGGTGTTGAATGCAGATAAGTTTTCAGCTTAGGAGCTGACAAAATAAGACTTCTCCCTTTGATGCAGCTCATTTTGACTCGACATTGAGATGTGCTTCTTATGATGTTAATCTTACTTAATTGCAGCTTGTTGCTTTCTAAATACGATCCGTAATAAACGTTCTTGAGACACCTTACAGTCGAGGGACGATTTTGGACAAATAAATGTTTCCGGCCCGGCCATGCGATACAGAAAATCCCCTCACCAGCTCAAAACGATGTTGGTGGAAAAGCCTTGTTATTCAACACAGGGTTGCCAGATTTCAGGTCAAATTTTCCAATTTTGGCCTTTTTCTGAGTCAAGTTGCCAGGAAAATTTGTTTCTGGCCTACTTCTTAAATTTGGTCTTTTTTGGCCTTTTTTAGCAGAAACTTTCAGGATTTTTTATTGCTTTACATAAACTTTTAACACCCTAAGGGACAACCAAATTTTAAACGGAAAGAGTAATACTACAATTTTTACCCTAATATCAAATATCTACAGCTACACTCTTCTTAATTTTTTCGAAAATCTGAGGCTGGATTGTTCTTAATTTGTTCTTAAATTAAGAGGGTGTAAGCAGTGCTTTTGCTAGCTTTTTCGCTCTAAGGAGGTGTTCAGGCCTCATTTGCCAACAAAATGAGTGAGACAGCCTTAATTTGCTGACAAATTTGAATATCCACCGAAAAAGCACCCACACACCGCTAAAAATCCTCGATTTTGAGAAAAAACGTTGTTCAAAATTGCATTTTGCAGAAGCTCGGCCTCAGCTTGTTCTTAATTTGTTCTTAACTCTTGACCAGTTTTAAGGCTCGTGTTCTAATAAAATTGTTCTTATTAAAAAAAGAGTGTAACCTAACTATTAGTGAAGACATTTTTTAAAGCAAAAGTTTCTCAGTTTCTTGTTGGAGTCTGTAGAATTATTGAAAAGGCTCCTGCATAGGAATATATACTACGGATGCACGCTGTACATTTGCAAAATATTTCGACATTGCCTTTTTATGGGCATTTTTGCCTGAGCTGGTCATCTGTCTGGCTTTCTTTTGTAAATTCCATCTGACAACCCTGAATCAACAATTTTTCAAGGGAGGAGTGGGGGGATGCCACTGAAAAAATACGAGTTTTAGCGTAAGCATTTTGTTGTCTATCTATGGCAGATGATTTCTAATGGACACATGATAGAAATAATACCGAAGCTATAAATAAAAAATAATACCCAAGCAATAACAGGTATCTCTAGCATGTTATGTTGTCAACAACAATATTGATAAGAAGGCATAAAAAGCAATCGCTAATGCACAACAACTGTTTTACTGTCGTACCTCCTCTTCGATGCTCTGTACTGTTAGCTTAGCATACATGATTCTAATAGTTTACATATGGCATTATGAAGGCCTCGGGGGAGGGAAGGGGGCACCTTAACATGTTTGAAGGTAAGGGGACGTGCCATTGTTTAGGGGTACCTTTTTTCTGAAAAGTGCGGAATTATCGGTATCAGTTTTTGAAATTTGTGCAGAACTATGGGTACCATTTGTAGAAACATGCAGAACTATGGGTACCATTTGTAGAAACATGCAGAATAATGGTTACCATTTTGGGGAAATATTGCAAAACTATTAGGAGGGAGATTTAGCATTAACAAAATGAATGTCCAGTTAGAAATTAAAATATGAAATATGTGTAATATTGAGATTTTACGGCATAGGACATGGTTGATGATTTTTTATGTGCTTTACAAATTTTATTTGCTCTGCAGAATTATGGGTATAGATGGGTATAGTTTTCGTCATGTTTGCGGAATTATGGGTCCCATTTTTTCAGACATTTTGGAAAGTATGGGTCCAAAATTTTAACCAAAATGGCACGTCCCCGTCCAAAATTAAGCATAGTTCCCCCCCCCTCCCGAGATGAAGGCATGGCAGTATAAGTTTTTAGAAACTGGTTTGTTACTTGGTGTCATATCTTTGCCGTTATGTCAAGATTTTTAGCTCTGTCTGTTGAATATGGGTCACCAACGAACTATTTTTTCACAGCAGGAACTCCGGTATACTTTGCATTTTCCGTTTCGTTGGTTTTTCAACAGAAATTGTAAATTTGCCGAAAACGAGAAAAATGGAAAGGGATCTTGTATTGTTGCTTGTATTCAAGGCGTGTGTTATTGCAATGAGCCAGGTGAAATTCTTACTTATTTCAGTATAAAAATTAAAAATTTTAACGAGGAAAGAATATCGTTTATTCAGTGCAGAAGAAGTAATGGACCTAGTACACAGCCTTGAGGTACATCATTAGTAAATTACTAGTTTGTTCAGGCAGCTCAGCCTCAATAGGAACACATTGAGATATGTTGCATAAACAAAATCGAAAAGACTTTATCCAGTGCATTTAATACCATGGAATTCTAATTTTCAATGCATTACCAAGCAATTTGAAGAAAGGAAACTGCTCAACTAGATTTTTAGGGACAAACAATGATGTGTGATTTGTTGAGCTGTTTTTTGGAGCTGGCCTCGAAAATTAGTTTGGCCTGTTAAAGAATCTTTGAGATGTAGACAAAAAGTGGTTAAAATACAGGAATGCAGCCTTGTTCTCATCAAGGGTTTTTAAAAATGTGCTCGGCGACCCCCTCTTTTAAATACGTCTTTTAAAAAACAATCCGAAAGAAGCCAGAAAGTATTGAATAGTGTTATGATAGTTATCAAATAAGTTCTTTAATCTGGCTGCATTTATTTACAGAACTGAATAAAGGTTTTACCAAAATCAACAAAATAACTTTGTTAGGAACTTGGCTTAATCACATACTAATTGAACTATGTTTAAACCTCCCAAAGATGCTGCAATCTTTAAGCAATAACTTAAAAAGTTCCTTTGGACAACATGTATCTTTTAGACAAACAGTCAGTCTTTATATTTACCAGTGGAAGGCCTACCATAAGTTGAGAAGAAAACTTTATTTTGATTAAATCTATTCCACTTGAAACAAGTACAGAGGCTTAAAATGATCTGAAAAAGAGAGCGAAAGGGACCAAGAGCAACTATTTTACAATGAGAAAACATTGCCTCAAGAAAAATATTAGGGAGACATGGTCTCCCAGCTCTTAATTGTATCGCATATTTAATATGCAACGTTTTATTCACTATAATACGAAAACTTTTGATGCCTCGGATCCATCGTTAAAAAAACCGGCCTAACGTGGCAAAGCATTAGTAAAAAGTCAAGGGCGATGTGAAATACTCGAAAGATTAGTAAGCTTGATTAACAAAGTTTCAATATTTTTGTATTTGAACAATTTTTTTGCGGTACAGAATTTGAAAATGGCTTTGAAAAAAGCAAACATTTTACAACATACTTAAAGCTTTTTCGTCTGACACTCCTCAGAGCATAAAACGTCAGAATAGGTTCCGAAAAAACACGTTTGAAAAATATATACCCAGTTGTGGATCGAAATAGGCCAATCAGAAAAACGCAAGCACAAGACCGGTATAGTTGACCAATCAGTGCCGCGAGCCTAAAGGAAAATTACCAATGGAGCCGCCATTGTGTAGACAAAAGGAGTTCGTGTTCTCTCTTGGACTCCATTGGTAATTTTTCTTTAGGCTCGCGGCACTGATTGGTCAACTATTTTGCAGTTGGCATAGCGCAATTGCCAGTCCAATGCCGTTTCTAGGCAACATTCGACTAAAAAATGACTTTAGAATAGATATACACATTTAACAAAATTGCGATTCAGTAAACAATGTGTAATTTTAAAACTCTCAGAATAATTTTAAATGAAATGATACTAGGCAAATCTAAAAAAAGTAATGAATGAAAATGCACCAGATTTCATTATAAACTCAAATTTTGAATGTAAAATGGAAATAAATTTAACAGACAAATAGGCAGATATTAAAATAGCAAAGATGAAACAACTGAAGTGAAACATTTAAATGAAAGCTTAGAATTTAGAATATAAAATACAATTTTAATTTGTTAGCAGCCGTAAAATACGTTCAATAACAAAGAGGCAATCTGTTTACAGTGGCAATCTGCAGAACCAGGCAAAATGAATCCATTCACTTGAGAATTGTGACAAAATCAAAACCGTGGGGAATACACATTTCACCGAACTGTCACATTTCCCAGTTAGCTTTGGTCTTTAAATAACTGTTTCCCATGCAATAAAGCTTCGAGTCAAGAAATTTATATTTCAAAACGTCAGTTTCTGGTTATGAATTATTCAAGCAGTCTGGAAACTGAACAGATTTTCATTCAGAAATCATCATTATTTACAAGCAAAATCAGACCGCAAAGCATTCAAGTTTGAATTTCCCACAGACCGAAGATTCTTGGTAAGATTTTTCCAGAGAATCCCCTTGACAATGGGCGTCACTAATTTCTATGTCCTCTGTTGGAAAGGTCAAGTCCCATGGGATCGGTATTTTGAGAGCAGGCTTTTCTGAATGCAAAAAACATTACCCTTGGGGCCTATTTCCATACACCTGTGGGTCACCCGCTCTCTCCCAAATGGTCCCTCCTCTTATATCGAGTAGTATGAACTAATTTGGCAATGAAAGCGTAAAATATTTGTCTAATACACATCTTTACAAAATCGATTGCCATTTCTTTCCTAAAAGTTCGATATTATTACAAGTGTTTTGCATCTTACAAACAGCAAGTAAAAACCCAAGGCCTATCTCAATATTTATAAGTTGTATCTATGACGTCATTGCATGACAACAAACGATTCAACGTTCGTTACACTTGGGTTATCGAGTTCTCGTCTGTACTCCGCTGCTAGGCCTTGGGCGGCCATTGTAATAACAGTTTCCAGTTTAATTCCTAGAAGGAAGTAAAGCAGAGCTGGTCATCAAGAAGGTTTAACTAGATTGATTACGAGCTCGAAAAACAGAACTACGTAGGGCTAAGCTGTATTTGGTTATCTTGGCAATTGGCTGAGCGTAAAGTCAAGATGGGTGCAACGTTTTAAAATCGATACTATCGATAATACGATAAAAGAAAATAGTAGAAGCGGTCCATTAAAAGTTGGTCAGAAAGTTATTCCCATCAAAGAATAATGACAAATCTTTAAATTTGCAAAAAATCATTATAACGAGATAGTTGTTTCGGCTATTGTGATGACTCGCTTAAACTTTGAGTTTTCAGATGACCTTGATCATGGAACAAAAATTTCTAAAATTACTTTTAAATAAATTTCTTAAATCTTTAAGGGTAACAAAAAAGATACTGAAGCAAATCATTATGGCTGTTAAAAAGTTTATTTGGGAATTTTGGGGAGAGTTTGGGGGGATTTTGGTAGGACTGAAGTTCTCATATGGTTCACTTGATTTTTTGCTAACGTGGTTCACTGTAGAAATGTATTTCTAGTTTCTGGGAAAGCCTCCAAGTTCAAGCCTAAAGTGGGCGAGGTAAAGACAAATGGAAAGAAAGGGCAGCGGGGCAGAGGCGGTAGCAATAGAAAGAGGAATAGGGGCAGAAAGCGGGGTAGAAGAGGAAAGAAGGAAAGGTTAAAAGGGAGGTAAAGACAGGGAGGGAGAGTGATAGGACATTGAGCACTGAGTGGGTTCATTAAAAAGCAAGGGCTGGGGTTTCAAACCTACCTGTTAAGGTCGAACACCAGTCTTGGTCGTTGGCATATGGCTGGTACAGCCTTACAGCTTCATCAATGTCAACATCTAGGCCATATTGGGCAACCTCTTGTGACGTTTTGTTGTATGCTATTGAAATACACTGGGACGGTATCTGAATGGGTTGTGAGAATGTTTGTAACTGGATTTGCTTCGAGCAGTCTCTTATGGCCAGGCAAAGCATGCAGGACCATCTGGTATGGGAAACAGAAAAATTCATCATCAAGGTTACTAATATCACAATACATCACTAGCGATGATCTCAGTTTTGAAAATCGTTTTTATATAAAAGCAAATAAGGCTCTATCGTGCTCTTTCCTTAAAACCCAGATGCTAGATAAAACAGCACTTCTTCAATGTATGGCAGGGTTGTTGCTTCAGCCACCCAAATCTCTATAACAAGAGGGAAACAACAACAAACCAAGGAAACTTATAAAAAACACGAAAAACAGACCTATAATTTGGCCAAAAAGGATTAAGAAACCGATACTCAGGTTAAAAAATCAACAAAGAGACACTTATTGAATTCAAGCAAAATTGATGATTTGCAAGGTACTAACTTCTAGTCATCTTATTTCAAGCAAAAAGGAACCCTTTTTAAAAGTAGCCCAGAAGTGTGACAAAAATTAAATAATTCAGAAATCTAGCCTCCAACTCCTGAATGTGAGAAGTTTCCTTAATTAGGATAAGAAAGATAGTGCATGGCAAATTAGTACAAAGCATTCCAATATCCTGTCACTGATGTGCTACTTCAAGGGCTAGCTTAGATATTTATATCTGACTGGATTACATCCACAAAACAAACCAACATTGCATTTCTGTATTAATGACACTAACCTGCCCTGCTGAAGCTCTGTCAAAAATGGTTGAATTGCCACATGGACATATGGCTGGTTGAATTTGAAATCTATAGCAGTAATTGCATCTAGCTTTTCAGTGACAGACTTTGTTGCTAAATCAAAGCCAATTGGAAGTCTTGCATAGGAATGCTGCACGCCATGACCTTTGGCAGCTGTGTGTCCAAACACATTTTTAAAGCCTTGGCGAATAGCCTGCATAATATTGCTGTCTTGTGATCCTATGGCCAGGTGAACGACTGGATCTGCAAAAAGAAAAGTGCATCATGTATTAAAATAATCTTTGAGGGTTCAGTCGTACACAGACATTAACAAGGATTTCCTCAGTGGGTTCTCTCCTAGCAAAAGGATAATTTGTTCATGTAAATAACCTTTTCAATGCCAAATTCGTGTGATACAATGTACTTGCTTGTGAGTCCAAAGGGGGTCATCACCTCCCCATATACCCCTGCGTAATGGCCTATCATTACCTACTTCAATTTAGATTTGCTACTCTATGCTGAATTTTACAGTCTGCAAGATACATCCCTTAATAAAACTTCCCAAGATGAAAATGATATAGAGAACCAATTTATATAAGACAAGCTATGGTAGCCATTTTAAATGAGTAAAACAAAACTTTTAAAAATTTAACAAAACTTGAAACCCCAAGGGCAGCCTGCAAAAGCTTTTTCTACTATTATACTACAGGTTCCTCTAATATACATTGTTGATAAAGAGTTTACAGAGGTTTGAAAAGCCCCCACAGCCCCAATTTTTCACTGTGACCCCCACCCTTGAATGAGCCTCTACGAGCTGAGGTATTGCCTCACAGCAACAGGTTTACCCTAATATATCTACATTTTTAAGCATACTGACCAGCCTTAAAAACGAAATAAAATTTACCCTGGTACAATTTTGCTTGCTGGCAAACAAGCTCCACCTTTGCATAAATCCTCTTTAATAATAAGCCCCCTCAAATAAGCCCCCATTTCAAAATATTTCTTGCAAAATAAACCCCTTGGCTTATTTCAGAACTTATGGTAAAAGGCAGTTGGGGAATGTCCAAAATATATCAATAGAACAATTTTTATTAAAGTTTTACCAGAAATTCACAACATGACTCTCAGATCTATTGCATTATACTTACTGAGGTACTCTTCCATGCCTGGGTCTAAAGTTGTTAAAACTGTATCAGTTGCATTCTAGAAAATAAATATAAACGCAATGTATTGGTGGATGATACTTAAAATAATAATTGAGCATCAAGGTTGCTTGACATAAATTGTGACTTACGTATTTTCAGGGAGATGTTGGTTTTAATGATTGTGTTATGTAGGAGCAAGAAAAATGTGATGTATTTGGTGAAATGTGTAAGGAAGTTAATGCGTGGGCTAAGCAAGTGATATGTGAAATAATTTTGAGAAGATGGAATTAATGTGATTGTGTGATGATTGTTGAATTACCTTTGATAAACGAACTTTTGTGGCTCCATCTATTACTGTGGTACCAACCCATTCTAAAGTGCACTGAGGAGAAAAGGTTCAGGGGTTCAAAACCAATGTTTCTACTTAAACAGCCCTAGGTAGCATGAAGTTATTGGGTTTTAAGGCTGTGAAGAATGAACAATGGTACCAAATAGATATGTGTAAAATTTATCATTCTAAGCAAGTTTTGAGACTATGAAATTGTCATAATTTGAATGGAGTCAATGGAAAAAATGAATGGCACTTGTGTGGTAAAAATGCAATGTGGGTTCTTGGGTGAATGCATTCATTCAAATGGCTACAATTAAAATACACTTTGACAACATCTGTTACCTCAATCTTTGATTTTCTTTTAGATTTTTTGGTGGCTTTTTTCTCTACACCTCTTGCTTTCAAAGCCTTCCTTTTTGCAACCTAAATAAAAAATCAGATTAAAAAATATATTCTTACTTTTGTCTTCTGCAAAATCTGTTTGCCAAGTCTTTGGGCCTCCTCTCCCCATGGTTGATTTTTGACCCATTCCCAAAAACCCGGGTCATGTGCATTGCTGTAGGTCATGGCTTGTTGGTTTGAATAGCTCAATGGCTGAATGCTCCCATAATCATAGGAATTGATATCACTTTGATTTGCTCCCTGGTATGCACCATATGAGTTTTGCATATTGTAAGTGTTTGGTGTAGCATCTTGTTGACTAAAATTTGTTTGTGGTGTGTTGGAAGCGCTTATGTTGTATGTGGGCACTGCATCAGGTGTGAATATATTGACTTGACTAGGCTGTGTTGAGCTTGGACTCCCATACAGATCAGGAACAAATAATTCCCCTGCAGGACGAGCAACTTGCTTTGGTACATGACTTTGATACAGCCTAGCAGGGGGTTGCTGTACAGACTGGCCATTTCTCTGAGGCTGTTCATATTGCGGAATCACACTGGCAATTGGCGCAGTATACATGTAGCTATTACCTACATTAGCAATGTTTTGGCATGTGGCAATAGTGGCTCGATTTTGAGACATGTCTACATTTTCTGGTCTGTTCATTATTGGATCATTCTGATTTGGTGATGGATAATTTTGATTCTGTGGTGCAAAGTTTTGAGGATTATATAGCATAGGAGTCTGTCCTTGGTTAAAAGTACCAGGTATTTTGTGATCTGGATTTTGAAAACCTGGCATATGTGTTTGCCCTGGTAAAGGTGTGCTGTTACTTGTTGTATTTCCAGGGGGGCTGTAGATAGCTGGAGCGGATTGAGTATTGGGAAAAGATCCTGTCAAGACAGCAGCTTGCCCATTTTTGCTAGCAGTGCCTTGATTTGTGAAATGACTCATTGCAGGAATACCAGGAACTGATCCTCCAGGGAAATCAGGTATACTGTTATTGTCTTTAACAGTCAAATCTTGCAATGATTCCCCCAGCAAACCCATGGCATTCGAACCATCGTCCTTACGCTGTTCTTCAAAGTTAGGTACTTTACTAGGAGCAACTGGGAATGGATCCGATTTTTTATCATTCGCAAACAAATCATGGGAGTCACCAGTACTGCTAAAAAGAGCAGATGCTGTTGGCAAGCTGTTTTGCTTTGAATTTGACGAAAGAAAACCATCGCTCTCTGCGGACTCACCAAACAGTTCTTTAATCGTATTGGGACCACTTGCTGATTCCTGATTTCCATCTAGACCTTTGCCATTCCCATCCAAGCAGTCCTTCTCTGCATTTACATTTTCTTTTGTCATTTTCTCGCTTTCTAATTCAATTTTATTTGAAATAACTTCTTTTTCTACTCCAACAATGTCAGCTGAGTCGTTCTTTTGCTCAGTAAAATCCGCAGGCTTCGTCGTTCCTGCAAGCAGTAAAGTAGGCCTAGACCCGTCGGTGCTAAGAGACACGTCCACGTCAGCCATGCCTTCTGGAGTAGGTGGCAAATCAAATCCATCCTCTTCTTCCATCATATTGATAAAATTGTTCGTTTCCAAGGAACGATATCCTTTCGCGAAAAAACGTATAACTGGTTTTATTGTGTTTGACGAATGGGAAATTCAAGATGCCTTGTGGCCTTGTAAACATATATTCCAAAACGTGGCACGAAAACGAGAAACAATGTCCTCACAATGGATTTTGCAGCCTCGATGAGATTTTGGCGCCAAATTTGAATATTTCCAAGGTAAAGCCTACTTTTCTAAGCTGATTCGATAAACAGCGGTCTTTAAACAGTAACAAGATCAAATATATTTTATAGATACGATAGGTTATATCAAAATGTTTTTTCTAAACATCTAGCAATAGACTCAAAAACAACATTACCTAAAAATCAATAAAGATAAACATATCAAAAAATCATATTGAGATTAAAAATTTGCTACAAAAATATCTTACCCCTAAATTCTTTCTCTAAAAAGACTGAAGGATGCTCAATAAGTTCTATAAAATATTTTCCCTCTGTAATGGCCCAAAAAATGGCCGCAGTTGGCACAAGTTTACATAATCTCAGTTCTCTGCAGGATCGACTGCATATTTCATCTAAACTCAATGATAAAATGTTGGCAGAGGGGTAACAATTTGGCAAAGTATTTTGTGAGTTGTGATTCCTTGATTTTGAAACTTTATTCAAATTGCCAAAAGTTAGTCATGGGTGGTCTCTGATGGTAAAATTTTTGGTAAGTTAGAGTTTTCTGTTGGTAAAAGGGTATTTTCTGACAGTAATGGTGCAACAGAATATGCCCCCCCCTACTCCCACAGCTTAGTATCCTGCACATACACTGTTGAAGCATGTCAGAGTATCACTTTGGTAATAACAAAAGCATTGAAAAATTCTTATATTATCGAAAATACAGACGAAAATATATTCCACATATGTCATATATTGGACAGCTGTTTGAAATCTGGTTCAGAAGAAAAGAAGTTCAAAGAATAATAGACAAATGATTAAAACTTGTAAATGTTAATCATGAAACTAACCTTTCGTTTTGATACAGGATGTGTCTTATGTTCAGATGCAGCTGGGATAGTAATGTAAATTTTTCGACAATATTTTACATCAACTGAGGCTGACAGCAATCTTCTTAATCGCTTAGAAGCATCACATCGCCTAAACATGGTGTCCATGGGAATCTGTTGAAAAATATTTCCATAAGTTGCAAGATAAATATTGTTCACAAACACGCTTCTTATAACAGCATTATTAAGGGTGGAAATAATCTGTTTTCAAAAACGCCAGCTAAAATATATGCAATTCTGCTATCAAGCCACGCTTGCTTGTAAGATGTAAGATGAAAATCATGGGTACATTTCAATTGTTTACTTCATTCAAGGCAATTTTCAATCTGTTTCGATGAAATTTCTCTTTAACACTCGTAAAAATCAAGTAAAAATTGGGGGAGGGAGGGGGCTAAATTTTGCATTATGCATTATGTATTGGACGAAACTGAAATTTTTGTGGCATAGAATATTTCCTTCATAATCAAGTTGAAATCATGAGGCAGTTCCTTGTGATCAAAATGTGGGCCTTGACTTTGTTATGCATAAGAGGAAAGTATTTTGTAAACTGAAAGTAGCAATGACACTACTTGCACCTTCACGTCTGGAAATTCAACAATTTCTCTCATTACAACTCTAGCTGGACATTGACTCTTTTTGGTAGATCTGCGGCCTTTGATTGGATCATCAAGGTACTTCAATCTCCTGTCCATACCAAATTCACATTCAAAAACCTTTTTACCAACAATATAAAAAGGAATTCCACTGAATGGTATGATGTTTGTATTCCATATCAATTTATGTTTTTTCTTTAGAAAATCTGAAAATACAATTTTTGATCCATAATAGTTCTCAACAAATTGCACATTCTTCGCTAAAGATGAAATAATTCACAAATAATTTAGTACAATTATAAACTATGTACAGATTTTGAATTTTACAAGGTAAAGCACTGCAAGGAGCCAATAATAAGCGATTGGATCATACTTTCTAATTTGGGTCAAGTCATCAACTAACTGTACATTGTTGGCAGTGACAGTAAGGACTAAAAACAAATTTTTGCCAACAAAAGGAACAGATTAACTTAATATGCACCCCTCGATGACACCACAATTGATAATAGAGGTAAATTAAATAGATCTGAAGTTTTGAATTTAGTTATACAGATTTGAGGGGATTTGAGGTGTTGAAAATCAGCAACTCCTCTTGTTCAAGAGCTTTAAGCAGCTAAAGTTAACTGAAAATATTGTCAAATTTCTTAAGCAGAAGTTCATTTTTTAATGTAATAATGTTTGCGGACAAAAAACAAGCAATATTTGAAGTTTAATCAATTCATTCTGTGTACACCATAAGGAAAGCATTCATTTAAATTGAATACTTGTTATCTATCACTTTTTACAGTGGATAATGTACAGTTGACCACACCCATTTAAGGGTGTCGCAAAATTGAACATAATGGAAATGCTATATCAAGAAATTTTCAGACTGGCAAACAAAGAAATATTGAAGCCACAAGAAAGCAAAAACACAAAATTATTTAGACAGTGTTGAAGGTAAAAAGTTGGTAGAAACAGATTATAACATTTCAGTCCAAGTTAATTTTCTAATGAATACAAAAATATATCAAATTGTAAGTTTTTCGAATTGTCCAAGTTCTTTGGCTTGGCTCATTTTCATCAGAAAAAAATAAGGTTTCATTGGCTCTTCATTATTTCATTGATTTTCATGAGTTCTTTGTCTGCAATTTTTATTGTAACCCAGTTGCTGTGAAGAGTGTTTCTATGATGGCAGCAATATTGGTTGAAGGGACAAAGCAGGTATAATCTTGCAGAGGCCAACTGTATGACATGGATGAGAAGTGTGGGTGAATGAATTTGACTTTAGAATCTTTGTTTCCTTCATCTACAAGGCCAATCTAAAGTTGAACATATAGGACATAACAACAAAAATGGCTAGCTTTGGCTGTATATTTGGTCTCGTTTTTGGTTTGTCTTTTCCTAAGATCAAATCAAGTTGAAATGCACAAGTCTTGTCTACAAATACACTCTTATCTGCTCATCTGACAATGGCTTAAAATGATGGAAGCTTCTAGTTTCTGGTATCGTGTTTTAACTTTTGAATCATGGTTTCAGGAAACTTCTTGTAGTTTCAATTTGGTCAACAGAATAAAAACGGCTTGTATGTTTGTTACTTGCTCCTTGCAATATTTGTACAATTGTTGTGTCATTAAAATTTGATTAGCCAGAGTCGCTGAAGACTTGTTCTTGCAGCTGATCGTTTTATTGTCCCTCCTATACCATTGTAAGGTGACTTGCAGTGGCTTCTTACAAAAAAGGACAAACTGCATTTTATGCCACAACCTTTCGAGTGATTGCAAACATCAAAAAAAATTTTAGTAGTTTTTATATTTGGCTGCACACCCATCGGAAAAATGAAATATTTTGTTAATACTGGCAGGTAAACTTTGTTTTACAACACTTATCGTTTCTTTCATAACATGGTACATGAAACTAGTGTCACGGTTTGAATCATCTGTTATAAAGCATAATGATTTTTCTGTAAGAATACTGTTGCTGCTAAAGTAATTAACCACCAGGAGTATGAAGCAAGACTGCTGGTTCCAGTGATAAGACTTGACTTTGTCCTGGATTGTGGATTTATAGTTCTCTGCAAAATCCAGAGGATCAACAGCTTCATCATCCTTTAAATTCTCTTTACAATGTTTCAAGTACTTGAGCTTTCACTATAAAAGAGTGAGATGTATGTTCATTTAATTCTTCAACAGAATGAACTCATTTGAAGAACTCATAGAATGAACTTATCAAAGTTTAGTAGTTGATAGAATTCATTTGTTTCTTCAACAAATTCTGGCAAAATTTGTTCATTGATGTAGTCCTCCAAATCAGAGGAATTTCCAAATTAGCAGCGCCAAGGAGCAGTGTAACGTTTTGATGGATTGGGCAAACACACCCTGTTTTTGTCCCTGGAGATCCAGCTAAACACACCATTTAGGTCGTAAGGAACAAAAATTAGAAAACCCTAATTTTATTCCAGGATTCTGTGTATGGAATGCTGAATAAAGCTCCTTCAAATCACAAAGAAGAAGTCATTTCTGCATTTAGACACTCCTTCTTATGCTCACAAAATCCTTTTTGCCTGGCATCTGTCTGCTGTATTCAAAATGCAAAAAAATTGGTTACCTTTTTTGCATATCATCTGATAGAGCCTTCCTTTTTCTCAGGTTGGTAACTCTGGAATACCTTCCTGGAGGGCAACGTCATATGCTTGTCTGTCCATATACTCTGTTACTGCAAACTTTTCCATAAACTCTTGGGCAGACTATGATGGTGGGGTAAGCGTAAGAATTTGAATTATCTTTTCTCCTCCATTAAACTGATTATTTCGGCCAAATCTTTTGCCTTTTTTCAGTCTCAAAATAATGGCTTTCAGCTTCTTCACTGTCCATCCATCTTCACTGTCCTTCCAACTGATCAGGCACGACATTGAAAGTTTCTGCAACGATGTTTAAGATTTTTCATTGCTTTAGTTAATTTGTTTTTTTACTTGGTTGAGTTTGCATTTGCCATAAGAAGCTCTTGAATGCTTCAGAAAAAAATGAATAGCTAAGTCAAGATCTTCTCTCTGTTGTTTCCAAGCTCTTTCTTGATAGCATACATCTGCATCATCATAATTCCCTTCTGAGGCTTTCAGTCCTTCGAACATCTCCCCATGACATGTTGGGCATAACTTTTGTCCAGGTATCACGTAAATATTGATTTTATGATTTCATTTACAACACTGCTGAATAGTTTGGTAATTATGTTCTAATATTTTAACATAATTGATCCATTAATAAGATACAGTTAATGATTATATATAATAAGCACTCTACTTTTGTAAATAAACTTCCGATAACAACGAATATTTTTGCAAGACAACAAAACTGTTAAGCAATAGAAAATTAGGCTAACATAACTGCTAAAATTTGGTTTATTTCGAACTGACATATTCTACCATTTCTAGTATAATAAAAACACCCATGGAAACATGTGTCGTTGTGCGTTAAATGTTTTGGCCGCCTAACTTTTGTTTGTTATAAACCATAGAAAGGCTAATCACCAATAACATAAAATCAATATCATTAACATGCACAGAAAATTTACCTATACTTTCTGTATCGTTTCCAGCTTCTTTCATGATTTCAGTCAATGTTTTTCGGCTACATTATTTCCTTTCCGAGCCACTGATCCAAACTCCGACGCCATGTTTTCATCCCGAAAGGAGGCTCCGGGAAGGCTCTATTCCAGACGAGGCTATGCCTATGCGTCACTTTTCCAATATCTCTTTTCCTTCTTGTCCAGTTTTTCTGCCTTGTCCTAGGCCAGGGGCGCCTGCACAAGATTAAGGCAGGAGAGGCAGTGCTGATACTAAGGGCAAACAGTAGAGCTTTTTCCACTACATAATCAATTATTTGCGAGGGGTAGGGGGGGGGGGGGGGGGGTGATGATGCAAAATGAAATATTTGCATGGATCTGTTCTAACAATATAGCTGGGAATTTGGCAATGGAAGGCTCTAAACATAAACATAGGTATATTATTGACATGCAAGTGTGTATTCAATCTTCTTCTCTTTATTCAGAGTCTTTGGTTTTAGGAAAATCATGGCAATTATAAATGAGCTGGGTGTAAGACTTTGATTGTCCGCTTAGCCTCAATATTCCATGGTTGCAGAATTGAATCATTGAGAGTGTAAAAAAGAATATGATAACCAGAAAATTCAAATGTGAATCAAATAATTGTTTAGATCAGTGTTTTTCTTGATATTAAGAAGTAAAATCAGCATAGAAGTTCCCGTTCTGGCAATGGACAAAAAAGTCAGTATCTTATCAGATGCAGTTGGTTTTTTTAAATCATTATCGTCTTCTGAAGAAGAATTCTCCATTATCAAAGACCGACAGTAAAAACATAACGAGAGTGGCTAGAAAGATTTTATAATCTTTTCTTAGGAGTTAATATTTTAAGGCACGGCTTGCCCCTCTGCCCCTCCTGGAAGAGGGCAGGAGGGGCAGCTGCCCCTGCAGCCCCTCCAGGGTAGGCACCCCTGTCCTAGCCATTGCAAAAGCCTAGTGCATTCACAGAGATACAGTGCTTGAGGGGGTATCTGAGGGTAGGGAAACTAAAGCCCCCCATCAGGAGAAAAAATTATCAAACTCATTGTTTTCAATCTGAGCAGAGGAAGATATTTAGCACCCTCCCCCCCCCCCCCTCTGTGTAAATGCCAACATTCTCCATTGGAGGATATCTCATGCCACCACTGGGGTAGAAAATGGAAATGAAAGACAAGATGTTCAAAATTCTATCTACAGGGAGGGTCTCCAATTATTTTTATTGAGCCTCTTGAAACCATTTGTGCTAAAGAATTCCCTCCCATGAAATAAATAAAGCTGATTTTGACGGAAATAGCCACGATCCAATTAGCTTCAATCATTAGCAACGTTCCAAATTATTAGTTTTGTAACTTCGATTGTAGTCAGATTTTTAGATTTAGCTCTCTGTTCTCTAGCAATATATAGATCCATTTTTAATTTATTCAACATGACAAATTTTCTTTAATAAATTGTTTTATGGAGGACCTTGAAAAACAGCCTGTGCTGGCACTACTGGTTTTGCAGGCGGATTCTGCGAAGGAGAATATTGAAGAGACAGGGTCGCAATGAGTTATGGTATAGGTCGAATGCCTGTTGGCGGGAAAGACAGCATTTTGATGTTGCTTCGATAGAAACTTTACAGCGCTGATCAATGCATTCACTTTGTTAAATGATCATTATTCAGAAGGGATGAAATATCATTTATGTGATGTAGATAATATTTTGATAGTATGAAACTGATATTTATTAGATAAAACAATTCAAATTATACTGCACAACTATCGCGCCTAAAGAGGAATCGCCACACACACATCAGTCTTCTCAGAAAATTTCATCCATTCGCACTTGGAAAGCAGGGCATGAAAGTATATTTGCTTCGACTAGTTATCTCCTTAGGGTGAACGTGACTGACTAACAAGGGGCGAATCGTGTTGGTGATGGATTCGTTTGTGGTAAAATGTGATGGTAAGTTGGAATTTTGTTGTTTTTGGCTCTGTCCCCAAGCGCGTTAGGCCCCGAAAACAAAGAGACGGGAAACAAAATAACCGAAAGTAAATGTGTATCAGAAATAAACATTGCAAAATTTATTCAGCTAATTCTTAGCAATGATAAATTAGAAGCTTGACTTGTAATTACTAATTGATTGATTATCAGGCCAGTTAATTGTGCTGGGGCTACTTAGCAATAATAAATATTGTCCTAGGGCAACCATTGAACTTAAAAAGGATGTTGAATTCAACATGGATGTTTTTATGTTGCAGTATCATAAAAGTACAAAAGAGTAAAATGTTTCGAAAGTTTTCTCTTTATGAATGGAAACCACCATGTTATAGTACAACAAAAATTGATGTACCATTTTGGCACAAAGCTTTCAGGTCCATTCAATCATGGTAAGGTGTGTAATCTGTAAAATATCTGTAAAAAAAGAAGAGTTGCACACCAATTTTGAAGGTGGATGAATTGCTGTACCATGCTTTGATAAAATCTTGTGTGACCACTTTCAATTGAGTTTTTCAGCCTTGTTAGCTTATTGGCATGAACATTCCATAAATCCTTGATCGAGGGGTCCTCCCTTTAAGCCCCCCTCAATTAAGCCCCAGCCTAAAATTCAGCCCCAACTTTTTTAAGACACCATTCTAACAACCAAATATTTGCATTTTAATAAGCCCCCTGGCGGCTTCATTGTGGTACAGCAAATTTTTGTTTATTATTCAATTATGCATTCAGCAAGAATGAAAAAGCTAAATAAAAAACAAGCCACCAATTGCCAAAGACAATAAATATATCAATAATTTTGGACTATTGTCTCTTTGTGTGCTTTGATGTAAATACTTTAGTTTGATTCTTTAAAAAGTCATTTATTAAAATTGGGAATAAAATTGTGAATTAAATGCACTTGAAAATTGCGAAAAAACAAAACAAGCTATGTAACAACTTAGAGACAGGTTCTATAAGCCCCCATTATCTAAGCCGCCTCCAAAAAAGTCCCTTTCAAAAAACTTCATAAATAAATAAGCCCCCAGGGGCTAATTCAAAGTCCTGTAAGCTGGGGCGAAATATTGGCCTTCACTGATTTACGTGTATTTGTTGTTGTTCATTTTTGTCGCATTGCAGTGTTTCTTATTTGCTACTAATTTAAAGATTTATAGTATGAATTTCCCTTCATTTACTGTGGACATACATATGTTTTTATTTTAATGCAGTCAAGATGTGAATGAATACTTTGTTTGATAAAATGATGTTATTTTCTAGATGCTGCGTCAGCCATTCACAGTCAAACTGAAATTCATTTGAAATGCAGCAATGAGCCCCCAGTGAAGAAAATCAAACAAGGTAAATGATACGTCATGTGACAACACCATCTCTAGCTGATTTGAGGGAAAGGGGTTAAGGGGCAAGCTCCTGACAATTTTTAGAAAAATATATATAGACTGTTAATAAATTTAGAGGGGCACAGATGAATTCTTTGTGACATTTAGGGATGCTTTGTGACCTATGGGGGTGAATCAGATGCGATATGATATGAATAGCAGCATTAAATTATATGCGACATATAGGGATGCTTTTTGACATAAAGGGCTGCTTCGAATGCTTTTTGACATAAAGGTTTCATAAGTCACATATTAGGCTGAATGAAGTTCTGACATCATCTCATTAAAACAATAGGGTTGCCCCCCCATATTTGACCAAGTGTCCGCCTCTGGTTAGAATGCTGGTTGATTATTAAAGTAGTTGAAATCCTTTCACACCTTTCTTCTTTGCTGACAAAAACTAGTTTTAAATGTATTTTCATGCTTTTCTGGCAAACAATGGGTCATAGCAGGAATAAATTTGCAAGCGTGCAGTGAATCGCACTCCTTATCATATTGAGGGGTGTAATGGGGTGATATTTGTATTTTAGCATGACAAAGTATGTATGAGCATTTATTTGAAGAAGAAAATTTGAAGTTTTTACCCATCTTTTTAACTACTTATTTTGCACAGGGTATGCATTTTCTTTTTTCAAAGCTATTTTGCAAATGAGATAAAAAAGTTTTACAAGAAAGCACAAAAATGACATAAAACAGAGTAGCAAATATGAAACACCGCAATACGCCAAGAATAAACAACAATAAATACACGTAAATCAGTAAAGGCTGATATTTCGTCCTGGCATACAGCCTTTTTTTCATTCACACATAAAAACAGAGGTTTTTGAAATGCTATCAAAAGTGGATATCCACAAGAATAGAGGTTTCTGAAAACGCACTGAATCACTGTGAACAAAAACGGAAGCAGTGTGTACTGTCAAAACCACAAAATGGTCACTTTTTACACCGATTTTGTGAGCAGTGTCTAGGCACAAAAACAGATAATTTCCAAAAACACTTAGTCAAAACCAAAAAATAGCTATCTTTACTCACTCCGTTTCGTAGAGCATTGTGAATGCACAAAGACGGGCATTTACTTCTCAGTATATACAGATTTAAGTGAAAACGAAGAACTGTAAACATACTAACTATCCGCTATCTGTGATCTCCTATGCTGCATACTGTTTTCACATTTTCAAACGAAAACATTCTAAATGTGAGTCACAACCAATCTGATACTTGTAAACGAGTGAATGATTTCAAAATGAATTGTTGCCTGCAAAGGATAATAAAACAAAGGCAAAATCCCATCAGTATAGCACTCTGGTGCACTAAAAGGTTCTTGTGCAAATAGAGCTCCAAATCCAAGATGAAATGAAAACGCAAACAGTAACATGCGAAAAGGCATAAATTTAGTGTCGGATTGGGGCATAAATTTAGTGTCGGATTGGGCATAAATTCAGGGTCAGATTGGGGCACAAAATACAATTTAAAAGAAAATGTTATTCTTTAAAAAGGGCCTCAGAATGTTTCCAGTATAGGTGGCAACTTGTAGCCTTAATAAGGTGTGTGATGAACCACATTTCTTGGGGAAACCAGGCGTGTGCCAAGGTGTGCACGTGCGATCACATGCCTTTCCGAGAATGGCCCTAATTTTGAAACAAGATACAATGCAAAGTTTACCTGTATAAATATGGTCTTATTATTATTTTTATTACTAAACACCCTCATTTGACACCTGTGATCAATGAGCACATTTAGCTTGAAACTCAGAGCCGGAACTTAGAACCATCCTGTTCTATACACCAAAAGCGTCATCAAAATATTTTCATGATTATTCAATGTTTCATAATGCTTTTGTTACAAAAACATATTGAAAATAGAAGCATAAAGATTATCTTTGCTATACCTTTGCTGGTGTTCCAATAAAGTATTTTGAATTAGCCTGTATATCAAGTTTTTCTGTCCAATGATTTTTTGCAAACTTCAAACTCAGTTCGCTCTCAAACACTCAACAGTAATAAATCTAATATTAAAAGATAGTTTTTGTATAATTGTAGATGACACTATTAATGAAGATGAAGGAGATAAATCCCAAGATGTTTTGAACACTTCAGAAGATACCCTCAATGACTCCAAAGATCAAAATTTGAGTGTTGACATGGATACAGATGGCTCTGACGTTCAGTCAGATGGTAGCCCAAAAGCTGTAAAGAACAATACTGAAAGACAATCTGAATCTCAAAGTGATGCAAAAGAGGTAAACAGCTACTATTTTGGTACTGGAAATACAGATGTTTGCTGAATTCTGATTTATATTTGCATTGTTGTGTTTTCCTTCAAACAGTTTATACTCCCTCTAATAAACATCCTCCTTGAACAAGCGTTATGAATGCAGTTTTTTCTTTATGCTTTTACTTGTTGAGAATGCAGCAATCTTGCTATCTTTGGCCACAAGCGCACAGTTTCACAGAACTGGATGAAAATTGCAGGTGACAGCAGAAACAGACTGATATTGGTTCACCCCAAAATGATTTGATGAGTATGGTGCAATTTCAGAGGAAGTTTGAAATCAGTGGGGACACCTGGAGGGGGGTGAGGAGGGGCAGGATAGGCTTGCCCCCAATACTTGACCAAGTGTCCATCCCTGTTTGAAATAATCTTTTCATTTTATTGCATCAAAAATATTCTGGCAATGGGGCTTATTAATCCAGCTAGTGGAATTGGGGGCCAAAACATCTCGCTGAATCCAATCTAATAAAAAGTACCAGTGTAAGATTATGGGGGAAAACTTTTAAAAAACTATATAATATTTGTAATGATGTGTTCTGCCACTGCTGGATGTTTATAAACAAGATAGAGGTAATATTGTTGGGTTGAGTTGCTAAATTAAAAGCTGGGTTGTTTTTTATAGTTGTAGTTACATTGGATTTGGGTACCATGGATGATGATATAGTGGTGAAAATCTGATGCAGTGAAAACATTAAAGTCATTCGTTTTAGCCTATGCAAAAAAACCCACTTATAAGTACTAAATTGGTGTTTCGAATTGATTTACTTGAAACTCTTACTTATGCAAGAATTTGAATCATGTAAAGCAAGAAGATATCCAGTCCATTTTGCAGATTATCCTATTTATCCTTTCTAATTATCCTATTCTATGATTTTCCTGAGATGAAATACATCTTATGTGACAAGACAAAATTGTTGGTGTGTCGTTTGGGTGAAGTTGAAACTGTTTCATATTATGGAGTTAAATCTTCTGATTTAGCATATCCAGCCGATTTTGCTCATAGGTAATTAATCTAGTTTTGATTATCTCATTCAATGATATTCACAAGACAAAAAACACTGTTTTACGTAACAGGATAAAATAAGCCCACCAAAGCAGAAGAGGCAAAAAATGTCAGCAGAGGAGAAAGAGCAGAGAATGAAGGCCAAGGAGGAAGCTAGGATATTAAGGGAAAAGAAATTAGAAGAGAAGAGGCAAAGAGAACAGGAGAGAGAGGAACTTAAGCAGAAACGGGAACAAGAAAGAATTGCGAAAGAAAAAGAAAAGAAAGCGAAGAAGGAACAGTTAGAAAAGGAAAGGTTGGAAAAGCAGAAGAAGAAAGAAGAGCTTAACCAGTGAGTTTGTGCCTCTTTTTGCTGGGATTTATGTTCTGGCTACACATTGTTGGTATGGATGATTTGACTCAAATTGCAATGAGTAAATATGTATGTATACTGTACCCCCCTAGCTTGGCATCTCTAGCGTCGACCGTGGCTCTGCCTATACGACATCAAACACTTAATGACACATTAGCAGTAAATCATTGCATATTGAGAAATTTATGACCTTGATTTCTATTTCAAAAGGGCCAAGGAAGAAGAACGGAAGAAAAGGGAAGAGGAAAAAAGACAAAAGGAAGAGGAAAGGAAACAAAGAGAAGAAGAGAAAAGGAAGAAAGATGAAGAGAAGAGGAAGAAAGATGAGGAGAAGAAGCTTAGAGAAGAGGAGGAGGTCGGGAGGCGCTCTTCATATTAATTATTCAAATTAGAAAAAATTCTTATTCTCTATTGGCAGTTAAGCAACATTTACTTTCGATTGGTAGACACGGTAAATGGAATTGGAAAGCTAAAATGATTTTATGCTTGACATTATTGTAAGATGGCTTCACGTAGGCAAGGTTGAGAGACTTGCTCCAATAAGAATGATATATGATATATTGCGCGTGGGTTGCTCAGTTTTTATGGTCGCAAACTACAGACCAACGGTCTGAGTAAAGCGAGTCGCAAGCTCTCGATTGTGTCAAATGTAGGAATAATGAGATGTGGTCACATTGAGTGGAAGGGCCACAGGCACCGCGGAGCGTTGAGAAAAGTGGGGGGTCTAAAAAAAGTTGGGGCTAAAACCGTATAAAAAGAGGCTTTTCTGGTAGTTTGATACTTAATATTTGGCTTTTTTGCAAAAATTGGGCAGCTAAAGCCCCCTCCAGCCTCCCCTGCTCCGCGGTGCCTGGACCAAGACTCCGCTCGATATGCTTAGCGTTTTAGTGTCCTAAAATCTATTCTTGGGTGCTAGGTTAAAACAAATATAAATATATTACTTAAATCGATACAAAATCGGCAGCAAACTTTGCTAAGCTATGCTCCTCCTTGGCTAAACGACTGTCGCTGTTTTTTGTAGATTCCTTTTCTTGTTTAATTTATAGCGTGATAAAAATTAAGTCAGAAGATGTGATTGTTGATAAAGATTTCAGTGCATGGGCTTGTTTCATTTGGTAGTCGATACTTGTAAATTAATGAAGGGATCCATTCGATCTCTGCACAGCTTTGTTTTGATTCTGAGAACGAAATCTTCCACTTGCTTGAAAAAGAAAGTAACTTGATAGGTGACAAACATTTTCTTTTTTGCAGCAACGAAAAAAAGACAAGGTGAAAGAGTCATTCAAAAGCTTTTTCATAAAGAAGTCACCGCCAAAGGTAAAAAGTTGTCTCCTTTAGTCGCGATGATGATAAATCTCTTTTGCAAAGTTTCAAAATATCTTGAAAACCCAGGAATGTATCATGTTGTACCAAGACACATCGCATCAAGTAGAGCCTTTATGTGGCACTGCACTAGGCATTTTAAGTGTATTTTGGCCAGATTGAACCAAACGATGCAAAACCAAAATTTCATACTTTTAAAAATGTTGCAGTAGGTTCTATCTTATGATGTCTCATAAAATGAAAAAATGCTTACGTTTTCCTCAGTAGTAAAATGGATCCTTGGTGTCATAACAGTTTAAAAGCGAGAGTGACGGGGTGTAAAAAAGCAGATGGAAATTGTGGTCTTTAACCAACTCTAAGGGACCTCTTTAAATGGAGAAAAATTGAATTGGCGGATTCATGAAATTTAAGTAGAAAAGCTCAAAAAATTCAAAATGCTCTATTTTAGGAACCAAATGAAATACTGAACTGAAACTTTTCTGTCTATTTCACGGTGTTGTTTGTTCTGTTGACAATAGGTGTTACTGGTGTCCCCCTTTGCTTAATGCTTGATGTTTTGTATTTGTAGCTTGAGACAGTTGGTGGAAAATGCCAGATTTTTGCTCCATTTGAAGTGAAACCCAACATGACTATGGCCCCCGTTTTGCGGCGAAAGCCAGTTGAAGACAACGAAGAATTCTCAAAGAGAATCGAGGACCAGGTATTTCTTCTGATTTCGTTAAAGTACCTTAGCTGTGTAAATAGGTTATAAGGAGATCACCTTTCAAGGAGATCACTGGGGCACTTAAGATGTTTTCAAATGCTAAATAGGCCTATTTATGTAAGGCTATTTAGGGAGAGGGGAGGTTTCATAAAAGTGTCCGATTAGCAATCTTGATAAAGTATCACAAGATAAAGTTTGTTGCATATTGTAAACAATTCGTATTTGGACGATGCATTGCGATAATCTTGCAAACAGTTCGTATTCTGAGAAAGCTTTTATGGAGTCAATGTAATGAGCACTCACTTCTTGGTTTTCGTTTAAGACCCTTCATTCCTCTCCATAAAGCATTAGACCCATAATTCTTTGGTTTTCTAGGCTTGTACAGAACTCTACTTAAAGGAACTCAAAGTGAGAAGCGCAGACTCGAAGAACAAGTACAAGAGTGGAAGAGCTTTAAGGCGACAAATGCGAGACCATCTATACGATTCTGTATTGAATGACGAAGATCTCGTTGTTATGGAAAATGAGGAAAAGAATATAATGGCCGTTAAATTATTGCAATTTAGTGAAAATTATAGGCCCCCTTATTACGGGACATGGAAGAAAAGGAGCAAGAAGATTACACCGAGGAATCCATTCAAGAAGGATGAGGTAGGATTTTCGTGCTTAATAGGGGAGAGTTACGCCAAAGACGTTTAGTTAGTATATTCTAGGCTGTAGCATTGTATCATCAGCTTTGTGTAAATTTGTTAGACTTGCATGGGTTGGAACATTTTGTAATTTTGGTTCGTTCTGCAAAAAACAGTTTAACTTCTAGATGTTATTTGTTTAATCCTTGATATTGCAATGTGTTTTTTGAAGACGGGGGAGAAAGAAGGGTTTGATATATATTAAAATTGTGCATCGTTGGTTTGGAAAGTCCTGTATCCATCTAATAAACATATTGTAAAGGGTATTACTGCTAAAAATTGACTTAATGTTTAATTAGGCTGATGAAACCAAGGGAAAGTCCCCCTGACAAAGTTTAAGATTGCGTTTCCCACAAAAAGTGTAATGCCTAATTTTGTTGACAGAATCTTCTGAACTACGAAATTGACAGCGACGAAGAATGGGAAGAAGAAGAGCCAGGAGAGAGTTTATCGGGACCAGAGGTGATGTCAATATTTTAATTTTTTGTTCCATTTATTGCAGGTTTCTTTGCCTTCAGGGTTCAATGTGATTGTGAAATATTGAAATTAGGGATAGCTTGTAGAAGAATTAAGGCTACATATTAGGGAAATTCTACTTTATGCTGCCCCGAGACCGTGGAGCATATAAAAGATTGAAGGGGCTAAACATTTTTGGGGGGCTAAACATGCTAAAAGCCAATAACAGGGTGATTTCTTATATGGTTTTAAGTATATTTCAGAAATTTTTTGAGGAGTTAAAGCCCCCGTAAACCCGCCCCCTTCCGCGTAAAGCAACGAACACTCTTTTACAGAACGATCAAAAACAATCTTTATTAGGCCTAGCATTAGATTTGATCATGAAATTTGTACAAATAGTGAGAGATTAATTACATCATCAGATCTATTTGAAAGATGTTGAATATCCAACACATAACTTGAAGGAATACCACGATTTATTTTTAGAAAAAACCTTTTGTCAATCTTAAGCACACAAGCTTACCTCAACAGTCATTCGCTTGCGTTTTCTGGTTGGCCTATTTCGATCCACAACTTGATATATATTTTTTTCCTAGCGTAGAATTTTCGGTCTATGTTCTGACCTTTTATTCTCTTAAGTTTAAATATGACTCAAAATGTTTACTTTTAAGGCACCTTTTTGCAAAATCAGTGAAATATATTGTTAATTGACTGGGATTTGACCGCTTGAGCAAGAGCTCCCTCCGTATCATTTTACTGTTTTATGAATTTTGCTTATCGCGTCAGAATTCAAAAGTTCTAAAAATATCCTAAATGACGTCACTCTGTTAGCTCTTTGCGAATTGTTAGAAATCCGAAGTGGATTTTCTTGATATTTAAATATCTTTAAAGGATATTTTCAGTAAACGGCAGTTTTGCATGTTTTTTTCTACGGAAGAATGTTCTTTCATAAGCCACCATGCGAACAAATTCTGCTGCGTTTAAGCTCTTTCCGAGTCGACTTTAATACCAGATGAGACAAATTTCTATAAATATCGTTGACTTTGTTGTTATTTGCTGTTTTCCTCTCTGTTAAATCAGAATTTTTCGATAACTATCCTCAGAATGAAGACGAGGACGACGAGGAGGAAGATAACGACGAAGAAAACGATGGGTTTTTCGTCCCTCATGGCTACTTATCGGATGACGAAGGATTATCCGATGAAGACGGCGAAAAAAAGGAAGAACATGTGGACATACGGGTTGGTTATTCCTTCATTGCAGTTTTACTTAACCACAGAACTTTGGTCCTGGTAACGCAACATTTGCAGGTGTTGAAACAATTTATGATAAGAAGTTTTGCAATGATTTTCTAATGCAGATATTTTGGAATATGTGATGTCTAGTATGCAATAATTTTGATCAATTTATTTATATTTGATCACAAGATTCTTTATATGAAGAGATTCGATTCCGTTGCAGCTCTTACCTATCAGTTTGGTTTCTTATTTTATAGTACAAGTCTTGATTTTTTACATAGTGTAAATTGTTTTAAGTCAACAGAACATTGAACATCCCCACGTGACCACTCGAAAACAAAAGAACCCACGTCAATCGTCACCACTGCTGTAGGACTAGTTACTACGTTTAGGTGGTACTGCGGAAGGATGGGGGCTGTCTAGCCTTAAGCGCCTAAGTCCATAACATGCTCTGTAGCCGTGCCACCCTGGCCATCATTTTATCAATGTATCTGAACTGTGTTTTGACATTGTTTGCTCATATGCTATCAGTTTGGGACTCATTGGCTGTTTGTGTTGGCTATTTGTGTTGGCTATTTGTCTTAGTTCTGTTACCCACAATAACTGGACCTTGCACAACGTTTGAGCCTAGAATGCTCGAAGAAGCATCCCTTGTTCAATTGTCTTTGTTGTTAGATAGGTTACCTGCTCTTGTTTCACAGGATAAAAAACTGGACAAAACGGAAGGGTTTCCATTCGAAAACAAGGGAAAATCCAAGCAGATGCGGGCTACATGCTTCGGAGTGGCTTGGTTCAAGTCCTGTGAAGAGGTGCCTGAATTCCTTGCTGCTTACAAGATAAATCCAATTGCAGAATTACCCATCGATATTTTCACAGTGAAGCAATGCAAAGAGCTAAGGGAGGATGCTGAACAACTCGATAGCTGTCCTCAATCAGCGATTTTACGATCAAATAACAACACACCGTTAAAGGTGCCCGAACAAGGTCAGATCCTTTGTGTTTTGGTATCCTCTTCGTCTTTGTAGATGCCTGATACAAAATAAAAACCATCTTTCTGTCACTCAACTATTGGCCAATCAATGACCAGTGAGTGGTATAACGATTACTGATTGGCCAATTTTTATTGACGTTGGTTCAGGCCATTTTAATATTTATCGATTGCTTTAAAGTTCTGTAGAGCGTAAACCAAATCGCGAAATTTCTTCAACAAAATTCAAAGATTTTAAGAAAAATCAAAGACTATATATATTTATATATATATTTATATTTCCTAGCGTATTATTTTGATCTATATTCTGACGTCTTATACTCTGAAGAGTGTCAGACGAATGGCTTTAATATGACTCAAAATGTTTGCTTTTTTGAAAACCGTTTTAACAATTAAAGAATTTGAGAAAGTCTAAGAAAATTTAAACTATGGGAAACCGAATCTCGAGTTTAAATCGTATCTTTGATGTATCACTTACAATCTTTAATGGGGCAAAGAGTCTTCTTTCTAAAGCAGTTTCTTATTTTTAAGGATATCATGTTGTAAGAGCCACATTTTTAGTACAAAAGGTTCTTAATAAGAAGTTTTGAAATGTGAAGTTTGTGCGTAAATTAAATTTATTCTTTGAGCGTTTCAAAAGCACTGTCATATTTCTTCAACCAAACCATACGGGGCCGCCAAACCATACGGAGCAGCCAAACCATACGGGGAGCCAAACCATACGGGGCGATGTGGCGATGTGGCGACGGGGCGACGGGACTCTATATACTCTTAATGCGAGCCCTTTTTCTTTTAGCGATGCCAAAATTGATTGATCTTGTGCACAAAAACAGTGCTGGATTAAACAGACTTGTTAATACCTTCCTGGAAATTTGGGATAAAGAGCGAAGCAAGAATAGCGACCAGAGAGCTTCCACGCTTCCAAGGATTTCGAAGCGCCAATTGGAGAAAAAGATTCTAGAGATCGCCGCGCGGGATAATTTCGGTGAGAACGGGAAATCGTGCTACATGGTTCACAAACACATTTTGGAAAACTATAAAACCGATCTTGATACTTTAAACCTCAGGACTAATTTGAATTTGAATTCAAGCATCGCGAGGGTGGAAAAGGATAACACATGTTGTAATGATGTTACCATGGAAACTTTAGATGACGATTGCATTATTGTGGAAAGCGCGAATTCGCTACAATCACGTGGGATTGAAGGATCGCCCTCGCAGGGTCAGCATCGCCAAGAGAACGAACTTGATAAACCTCCAATGCAAACAGAAATTATTGCTCTTTAGTAAGAATGGAAATTTTGATTGTCACCAGTATCTTGTTATCTTTTGTATATGACTTTTTCAATTAGGTATATAATATTGTAATAATTGCTCCCCAAATGTGCATGTTTTGTTCAGATTTTAACGATCTTTTTATTTGCCTCCTTCTTTTCGGTTATTCTTTTTGAGCTTGCTTTTATTCTAAGGCCAGTTCTTTTTCCTTGCCTCCTCTCTGTATCGAGGCTCATTGTAATTTGGTTTATGGCTTTTGAAAATTGCTCCAAGCTTCATTGCACTAATTTTTTGGGCCTAGAATAAGATTTTCCATCATGCTTTGGTCCCGATGCAATTTTGCATATTGTTCCCCAGTTTTGTAGATTAATGACGATATGTTGTTTAAACACTTGTAAAGGGATTCGACAGTAAAAGTTGTTTCGGAAGTAACGTTTCACCCACAGTCGCTAATCGCGGTCAAATCCTTAATCCGCATCCGAGTTGAATTGAAGGTCAAATGTTTATCACAAATAAATTTCATTTACTACTTAAAAGGAGGCTGTAAATTGACTTGGTGCATTGCGTTCTGGGTAAATATGAATCTCAATGTGCTTTTCAGAATCGCTTGATGGCTAGGAGGCTCGAAGAACTCAAATCGAAAGTATCCGAATTAGGACCTCATCCAAATTAGGATTTTGTAAAATAAAATGACGTATACCATCTAATTGCATCTTGTATCAAAGAAGCTACTCTCAGAAATTTTCAAATTTTTTTGAAAATTTTTGTGTGTTGATTCAGGGGTGTCCGACTGAGACTTAGATTGCCCCTTTCAAATTTGATTAAATACAAAATTTCAAATACAAAATAAATGGAAAATAGAATAGAAAATAACAATCGAAACTCAGTACAAATAAATGATTTATTTAAGTTTTTCTCGGAACCTTTTAGCAGCTCCTCTCAAAATTTTAGAGAAAGAGGTTACGAACAAGTTCATTTATTGAAAGAACAGAACTTTCCTAAACTCCAGTTTTCTTTGCAACGCTTAATTTTCCAACATCATTTTGTCAACCAGCTTGACCTTCCATTTATTGTCCACTGTTTTGAAAATTTCAAAAAACCATTCCAAATTTTCTATTTTTTTATCCCAATTGATGATTTGAAAATAAATTTTTTAGGTTTATAGGAAAAACTTTTCCTCTCGATTCTAATACTGCTAGAATGAAGGTCAACCGGCCTTTACCAATTATCCGCAATTTCACAGCATTATAGTTTTTGGCACAATCTGGGTTTTCAATTAGACACAAGCTCGGGAATTTTTGATAAAGATATGTAGCCAGGCTAAAGTTTAGATGCTAAATCCTAATCTGAGTTCAAAGATTTTCTATAAAGAAATTTCGTGAAATGTCCAGCCGTGCCAAAAACTGTAAGTATTTAAAAGGGCAAGTTCAAGTTTCTTCACAATGCTTCACTTTTTCCCATTTAATACTGCCAGTATTTCTATATACCGCTATTTTTGAGGAAAAGTGAGGGGCTAAAGAGGGTAATTTCTCCTCACTTCTTCTAAAACATGGTCCAGCTAGTTCATGTAAAAACTGAAAAAATGAAGCGGACAAAAAATATCTCAAAGCATTAAAATGTCACAGAAAAAAATTTTTACTAATAAATTTTTATGCAGGATCATAAAAAAAATACATGCATTCTTCTTCAAACGATTTACATTTTTTTGTAGACTTAAAAATCCAAAAATCTCATTAATATGATAACATTCCAACTATGCAGCACTGCAATCATATCTTGTGCAAAAAACACAAATCTACAAAAACAGAGGTTTTGATATTATCATCATGTTCAAATGCTTTTGGTGTGATGTTGCATAAAAATATATATTACTTTTCTTATACATTTTGTTATTTGTTTAAATTTATAGAAACTGTATGCCTTTTCATAAATCTCACTTGAATGCTGAAAGGACAAAATGTGCTAGTGTAAGAAAGTTCAAGTCAAAACAGTACTTAAAGTTATTGCCTCTGTCAGTTCCCATTTTCATAAAAACTTGATTGTTAGAAATCGGTTTAAAAAAACTTATCAAAATGATAATTTTTATAATCAAGGCATAGCACTATCTCACAACCTGCTTTCCAAAAAGGAAATATGCATATTCTAATGCTGACTATGAAAAGTTTTCGGACAAGTTACAGGATAATAAATTGATAGAGTTACGTTTGGTTGTGCGAATGACATGTCGATTATTGCTTTCACAGCTCTGTACGCAACTGAAAACTTCTATGTTCTGCAAAAAACAAATAAAATAATGTGTTTAGAGCTTGTGACATGAAATTAGCTGTCCCACACAAAGTTATCTTAGTAATGTATTCTTTGTCGATTTATCGATGTTAATATAAGTATCCTTCAGTTGCTTTACATTTGTGTTGTATTTTAAGTTTCACAATATTTTACCTTTCTTCTATATTTCAATATTTCACAAAATTCTTTTGTTTGCTTAACGAGGAAAGGCAATAGAGTTGTTAAGTGATGACGTCACAAAAATCTATTTTTAGAATTTTTGAAATTTTTCCCATAACCTGAAAGAGCATCATGAAATACCTCTAAATCTGCAAAATCAGTTAAAGGTATTACGAATTGGCTGAGATATGACCAAAGGAGCACAAGCTCTGGCCCCATCAAACCTCTGTAATTTGGTCTCAGTTCATAACTTTATGAACTGAGCCAAAATAACGGTAATCCGTTAGCAAACTTCAAAATCTTCAATTGGCCTGTTGAGTATTTGAGTATCTTGCAGATACCACTACAAGGCACGAACTGTAAAAGTTTATATCTGTAAGTAGTATACGGGGTTCGGTGTAATATGACCAAAGACGTCCAACATTAAAAACGAGGTTATAGTTAGTGTGATTATATATATCGTAAAATAAACCAATTGAGTGACTTACACAAGTCGATAGTATAATGTATAATTCGTAATCGCTATAAAAAAACCGTTCGTTTGAGTTCAAATGCGGCCACAACTCCCTGCGTGACCGCTCCGTGTATCTTCGACTCTCGACTCCTTCCCCTCCACTGACCACAGGGGTCTGAAGTTATAACAAAAAGATAACAAAATTCAACATGGCCATAGCTCACCCAATTTTTGATAAATTTAACTGATTTTGCATATATGGGAGTATTTCATGGTGTTCTTTCATGTTATGTGGTCAGCATTCAAAAATTCTAAAAATAGTTTTTTTGTGACGTCACACTTGAGAACTCTATTACTGTCATTTAATGGAAATAATGCTATCTTAAAGCAAATTGTCCTATATGTTGATGATTTTTTTCCACCTTTCAAAGAAGCTGAAACTAACGTTATCTTTTTTCCTGGTATCAAAATGTCAAATAGTCAATATTTGTGGGCATCCGTGCAAATTTACAGTAAATTGCCCCGAAATCCTTGATTCAGCCTTTGCTTTTTCCAATTTTTCGCCCTACCAGCAAGAGCACGTTTTAGACGCGTGCAACGTTGACTCTACGCCACTACGCCTTCAGGATGTCGTTGTGTTCGTGGTCACAGCTGATTGGACAAGAGAACAAAGAAGAGTCATGGCGGGCCACGTGGGCACCATTCGAATGCTTTGTGTCCTGTCTGTGTTTGAATCCTTCACTCTGAGTTGGAAGGCCAACGAGAAAGCAAATCGCTGCAATGAATTCCTTGGCGTTATCGTTTGTAGCATTAGCATGCCTCGGGGCAATTCACAGCTCAGATGCTGAAGTTAAAGCTGTCGTTACAAAGAAAGTGTTCTTCGACGTCAGCATTGGCGGCAAGAAGGCAGGGAGGATCGTAATAGGCCTATTTGGCGATGTCGTGCCAAAAACTACCAAGAATTTCTATGCACTCTGCACACATTCGGTAAGAGATTCACTATCGATCCCCTTTTTTTGCCCCCTACGGCAGGTTTTCAATACCGATTAAAGATGTGTGTCTTGAAAAATATACACTTTTATTGTTTCTTAAGACTGTAAGAGTCTTAGTTAATTTGAATGTAATTAATTCTACACAATTTGGGGTTTTATTCTTATTATTTTCTCAAATTAAAGATTTTGCAATGATAAATTCGCTCTAAATCACGGCGATTTGTACGCCATGTTTTTGTGCCGTTTGGAAATTGACAAGAAACTATTGGAAACTGTCCTTGAAATGCTCTTGCCAAGAGTCTTTGCGACTCACTGAACAGTAGCAATCAGCAAGGATTAGGAAATACCAAAGGATTTCTGGGCATTTTATTGCCCAAAAGTTGAACATGTCCAACTTTTAAAACGGAAGCTCCTGGATGTTAATAATTTGAAAATGTATGGCAATAACTAGACAATCTCGCGAATGCAATAGGCATTTTAACGCGAGTCAACTAGATGCAGCAATTCAATGCGTAGTGTATTCCAGCCTTAGGCGTCTTATAATTTCCAAGGCGAACTTGCCAGGGGAGGTTTCGCAGTGCAAGCAGTGGGACTCGCCATTGTTTCTATTGTCTTCAAATGCTCTTCACATGTCTGTCAATAGATTTCCTTCCGTTCGTATGTTGTACTTAGATGAGGAAAATTTATGCCAGTCAGCCAATGACATTTATTGATTTTATTCATTTGCTTGACTGGGAGATGGTAATACCTTGAAACAGCTATCTTGAAAACATGGAATGCTGGAATGTTGGAATGCTGGAATGTTGGAATGCAAAATTTATATAACTAGGTAACTACATGCTACAAGTATATTTGTGTTTAATTTTACATTCCAACATTTCACATTCCATGTTTTCAAGATAGCCCCTTGAAAATGAACTGAATTTAATTATGAAGTTGATTAAATGCCCAGAAACTATTTCCCAATTTCACTAGTCATTTTTAAAATAGGGGGCACTCTCTCCTTGATTAGCCTAGCTACTGAGAGAGCTCCTCCTTGAGAAATTCCCCTGCATACAGTTCCTTGAAATTGCTTAGCTGATTCATAAATGGGGGCAGGTTTTGTGGGACAGTTTTTGTCTTGCAAAATCTGTTCTTGTCTAATTTGCATGGTGGTTACAATCTAGTTTTATCAGATTTAGTTGTAATTTCTCTTTGTATTATTTTTTTTCTTTTCTCAAATTATGACATATTTATATTGTATTTTATTAATATTTGTTGTTGTTAACTTGCTATTAAATTGTATGCTGTGGAATTTTGAAATTAAATGAACTGAACTGAACTGAACTGAAAAACAAAATTCAAATGCTGCTGATTACTGAATTGTCTTAATTGTCTCTGATTTTCAATCATGTTGACAATGTTTGATAGCCTGTAAATAGCTTGACATCATGTAATTATTGATATCAAAACGATTTGGGAAAAACTCTTGTGCATGATAAAAAAAAGAAAAAAGTACCCTGGTTATGGTTTTGTACAGGAATATTTGTACCTACTGTTTAGTGTGAACTGGTAATCTTGTTACAGATAAAGTTTTAAATCAATTATTTTTTCCTGCATAGAATGGTTTTGGCTACAAAGGCAGCCACTTCCATAGAGTCATCAAGGATTTCATGATGCAAGGTTTGTAATGTACATAAGCATTTGACACTGGCATCCGTTGCCTTTTTGGTTTATTTTAGATTTCTCACTTGAAATTCAACCAAAATATTTTCAAATAAAGGCCTGTCAGTCAAAATGATAACTTACTTTGCAGTACAGCCTCCCCCCCCCTACCAGAGCCATAGTGGTTACAATCTAGCTTTTGTGTATAGAGCAGAATGGTTCTAGGTTGTAACACAGGGACCCTGGGGCCTGTTTTGGAAATTTGAAAGTGCTCTTGACAAGTTAGCATATTCCTATCGTCAGGCCTGTTGGAACCAGGGGGCTGGGGGGGCTGGAGCTACATTTTCATTGATTTTTCGCCACAAGAATTCCTTAGAGTCCATCAAGCAGACTGCTATCATGACCTTTTCGTTATTCACACAAATTAAACAATGACCACATTTTTTATAATTGATAGACATGCCCATTGTCTGTCACACCCATTGTCACACCCACTTGTTAGCTTACCATCTTGATTTATTCATTGTGTTCTGCTTCAAATTATGTGACTCTTGTTTTCCAGGTGGTGACTTTACCAACATGGATGGCACTGGAGGTAACTTGCATTGTTCCAATTGCAAATACACTCATTTTTTATAAGAAACTGGCTCTAGGAAAGTATTGGACAGTCAGAAAAAATTAAGAAACTTCAGAACTGGAAGCAAAAAAATTAAGAAACTATTAAATTGTGGTAAAACTGAGAACAACGAAATTTTGTAAAATCCAAGAACCTGATTGCCCTGATGGCCTAGAAATTTAGACATAAGGGATAAAAATATACTTCCCACATCTAAATACAGCATCAGAATGGAAGCGAATCTCTTGAGGCGATAAAAAAGGTCACAACATTTCATAACATCATTCATCACATCATAATTAAGAAACTCTTACGAAACAATGAGTATTTGAATTTCCAGAACATTGTATAATTTTGCAAAGTTTTTCTGCAAACGCTTAATTGTTTCCAAATAATTTGGAGCAGCACCCCAGATTGCATTTCATGTTTTGTACATGGAAGATCTGTCTTTTAAGCATGAAGTTATATATTAAGTACTTTCAGCAATGTATTTGAAAGAATTAAAGTTCTATCCACTTTTTTATTTTAATTTTGTTTCTACCTAGCATCTAGAGGTAGTTTTAGGACACTGAGAAGCTTATGCTTATCGAGCAGTGTCCTGGTCCTTCCTCTCTATGTGACTTTGCAGTAACTCTTGAAAGATTATGCTTGGCATAATAAGTCATTGATTAACAAGTGTTGGTATTCCCAATGCGCACATTACCTTCAACCATGCCATTTCTATTGAATAAGGTCAACTGGTAAATTTGTCTTTATGGTAGGTAAGAGTATTTATGGAGAGAGATTCCCAGATGAGAACTTCAAGTTGAACCACTATGGAGCTGGTTGGCTCAGTATGGCAAATGCAGGTGCGGATACAAATGGATCACAATTTTTCATCACTTTCACAAAGACACCTTGGCTTGATGGCAGGCATACTGTGTTTGGAAAAGTTCTTGAAGGAATGGTATGCTCAATTCCTAATTGTTCCTTATATGTTTATTATAAGAAGTTTAAGGTTGTTATGTTGAACATTTAATGTGTTAGCCACTCCAAGTTAAATGTATTTAAATGTATGTGTTTATACATTGTCAGCCCACCCAGGGATACTGAACCCTGGGGATATATTTTAAAATATTTGTGATAAAAAAGAAGTATATGTGTACAAAGAATGGTACCTTTAAGGTATGGATTGACTTCATCTTGTTGTGGTAATGCAGTTTTTATATCATAAAATATTAAAGAACGCATAAATACCAAGCCTTTTGAAAACTGGAAAACAATTATGGACTCACAATTTTAAGATTTTTCTATATTATTAGCCACTCACAGAAAAGAGTAACAAACATGATGGATAAAGTGCTAGGTGCCATAAATTGAATTAGAAATGTTAACAAAAGGAATAGAAAATCGGAATTTGAAAACACACTGAATTTAGTATTGGATATATGAGCACATTTAAAAAAACATTGTCTCAATGATAAACATCTTACATTTTGCTTTCCAGGATGTTGTAAGAAAAGTTGAAGCTGTCGAAACTGGAATGAGAGATGATCCCAAATCAGAAGTTAAAATTGAAGATTGTGGTTCTCTCCCTGTTGAAAAGCCATTTGAGGTCAAGAAGGAGCCTGTAGAGTAGATCTTATTTGTAAAGTATTTAAATTTTTCTAATTTTTCAATGCTACTAAAGGAAATACTGTTTAGTTTTCTTCTCTGTTTCCTCAACTCACATAAGTTCCATGGCTGAAGACTGCCTTTGGCTAATCAAGCATAAAGATGATGGCCTGCCAAAAAAGATGATGGCCTACCAATTGCAGCGATGTCAACATAACTCTTCATCAACGTATAAATAAATTTCAAAGAGTGTATGTACTTAAAACAATACAAAAGTAATGTTGCTTTTGGTTTTTGCATGTTTACCCCCGCAAATCCAGCCTCAGTTTTTCTAGAGAAAAAATTAAGAAAAATCAGCCTGAACTTAAATTTACTGGTTCTTATAAAAAAGGAGTGTAATTTAAATCGGACTAATAATTCGCACCGGCTTCATCACTGTCAAAACACAATACAATTGTGGTAAGAAACACGATCTTCTGCGTTTTTAGATAAACAATCGATCAAATTAAAATCATTTGTTCGCGGTTTTTCTTCCCGTCTACACGACAAAGACAAATCTTTGACTGAAAACGCAATTTTTTGAAAATGGCTTCCAGAGTCTTCTGGACAGGAAACGCAAACTTGATTACTTCTCATTTTGACCTAAATGATTTACATAAGATTGTTGAGACAAATCTTGTTACGTCATACCTGGGTATGCTGTTGCAGAAATGTGAGATATTTAGGTAAAAAACTGTGGCAAACACTACCTCACAGTATAAGAGAGTCCCAATCATTGGCAACATTTAAAAAAGAATTAAGAGCACACCCTATAGAATGCGACTGTAGATTGTGTAAAAAATTTATTGCTGGGTTAGGTTTTATTTAGAACATTATACCTTAAACCTTTTTAATATTGTATCATATATTTTTATTTCATACTAACTCTTTATAGATAGTTGGCCTTAATTAGCTTCTTTATAGCTATCAGCCGTTCATTTAGTACGCCAACTTTAAACAAATTATTTATTATTATTATTATTATAAATGCTCTGTCGCAGATAAAGGATTTGTCCAGAGGGCAGAAAACACGACGGTTCCACGGCTGTTAGCCGTAGGAAGGTTATCCAAGGGTGCAGCCATTTGAGGAAGGCCATGTATAACCTCACAGGAGTATACAAAGTGAGAAGAATTAACATGAACTTTTCTTTTTTCTGAAAATGCGTAAACATCAAACCATAAATGATTTCACTTAAATTCCATTTCCAAGAAACCTTTTCTCAAAACATGCGAAGAAAATTTTAAGGAAGGTAGATAGTGCACAAAATCATCCACAGGAAGGTTGGCGCGTTTTCTGAACTCTGGGTTGATCGGGAGTTTCTCAAGGTGCGTTCTTCGGGTCTTTCTTTTTTACAGTATATTCAAACAACGTTCAGTGGTGATGGGTTGCTTTGACACCGTTGCTTCAGTCTGACGGCATAACCATTTTTGTACGCTTTCTTTTATTTTGGATGTCGCTAAAAGATTGGGAGACAATGCCTCGATTTTAACAAAGTTGGATATATCCGAAAATAAAGCGAAATTTGATAATGTAACACCACGGACATGAAGCGTGATAATGAAGCAAAACTGTAACACCATTACTGAAATTCAACGACAAACGAGAGAGTGTCCGACGAGCCAAAGAGCAATACCTCATTGGCCTGGCAAACACTCTCACACCGAACGGCATGAACAGAACCACTGACCTTTAACCTTATAGCAACAATATCATTATTTCATATTACATTATTTCATCCCCATTACGTCTTCATTCCACCACCACCACCCACCCTCTCTCATTCGCCACCCTTTCCTCCTCCACAACTGCGCTGCATTCACACCATTCCACATCAGCCAATCCGACACCACCATCGCCTCTTTTAAATGTGTAAATTTTTAGTACTGATTTACGTGTATTTATTGTTGTTTATTATCGGCGTATTGCGGTGTTTCATATTTGCTACAAAAAATGATGCCATGCCACATGGGCGGCACCAGAGGAATGCTGGGGGCTTTAGTGGGGCCCCCACCTTTTTTGCTAAGCAGTATTTTTCGAAAGTAAAAAGAATAAAGGAAAATCGAAAAAAGCCCTTGGTACATAAATTTTTGAAGATAGCACTGAAAAAAGGGAAACATAGCTTATCAAAGTATCAAAGTAAAGTGACCTCCGTGTACGAACGTCAGACATGACTAAAAAGGGTAAACAGGAATAGACGAGCCAGACGAGCATAGTTCAAAAGTAACTTGAGATTGACGTGTTTGATTGGTTCTTTGTTTTTAACCAATCAGAATCTTTTTTCTTTAGTCTAGACGGGTTTCGAAACACCTGAATGAATGTACGATCTTGCTTGCTGAATTATTTTAAAATTGTCTATTTAATGGACACTTAGAACCAAACCTAATCTAGTTTGATGAAATTTTTATTAAATGTCGACCGTCGGTAACCGAGCCACAGAGAGAAATGGATGAGTTGCATGAAGTTAGAATCGAGAGATAAATTGCGAATGAAAACAGGATAGGAATAGTGTCGCTGAAAATTTTTTGAAAATTGATGACGAGAGTATGCTGTATATTCAGATCCATCTTCGGAATAAACAACATAACTTTGAGGTAATTCTTGAAGCAAATTAACCTATCGGTCTCAGAAACTTTTTCACCTGATTTTCATTCTTCAAAAGGGGCGCAAAATTTCCAAAAAGGGGCGTCAGACTTGCTTCAACTCGTCGAGCGAGGGGCAACTGCCCCCCCCCTTAAATCCGCCACTGTGGTAATCTTTTGCAGCTTACCATATTCCTCTAAAGAACAGTTACCCTGTTATGAGTTTTCTGAGGTCTTTCATGACCTCTAAGCACTCTTTTGTAAGAATACCTTAATTTTTGCTGCACATCGATATTCTTAAAACTTTTTAATTTCAGCTAATAGAGACTGTGCAGTGTTTACTTGAGAGGCGTTTCCCATTCTATTTCCCAGGCCAAAATATCTGATTCGGCCAAGCTCCACCCACAATATCCGCCACTGTGATATTTTCGTTGCAAGCACGCACAACAATTTCAATACGGCTTCTTTGATTCAAATTATATTGTTGGCGCATTCTAGCATCCATATCCGGACCACTTGCTTCTAAAAACTATATCTACTGCAATGTTTCCATTTGGTTTTCTTTATCGTTATACTGATGGGTTCCTCGTTGCATTCTTCGTACAATTTTTCGTTACATATCCACTGACCTCCGTTGTTTTTTAAATCAACTTCTAAATGACATAATCTGTATTCCTTGACTTTGTACTTTCTTCTTTCTCAATTTATGAATTAGATGTATGATTTATATGGTATCACCTATTGTATCACGCTCTTGTGTCCGGCCCTATAAGAAAAGGGTGACGGCATACTTCATTACATCCAACTCAATTTTAGTCCTTTCTTCGCACGCCATAACGTCATAATACATAGAAGTATACGGCGATGCTGTAATAATGAAACTGTTAAAACATGCATATGGACTTTCAGTTGTTTTATATTCAACGGTTCAATACACTGACACATATTGGCTGGCATCATTCCGTGGCGCAGGGGTATGGGGGTATCCAGGTGTAGAGGAGCATACGATAATGCTCTTCCTGGTGGATTGACTGATGAGCTAGCAAGGAATCAAAATTGCAAAAACAGGATATACACAAATTTGTGTTTTTTATACATATGTGCACGTATAAAACAATATTTTTATCTATAGGGACATGTGCTCCTTTTATTTAGCCACACTATTCAAACGGTATACTGGATCCTACCCTGGACATCATAGCTACATAAATTTGTGAATGGACATAGAAGATAGAAGCGGGAAGCGAAGGAGCGTCTATTTGAGACGAAGAACTAGCCCAGAGCCATTTTTCATTCTTTTCAGAAAGACACTCCTCCACTTCCCGCTCCTGTCTTCTATTTCTGTGCTCGAATTTACGTGGCCTTGGTACCAAGGGTACCTGGATCCCTGATCCCTGGTTTAAGATTGTGTGACAGTGTCCAGTGCGAAGTGGCTTAGGTTGGCATTACACTGTTTTCTTAATTTTTTCCCTAGATGTGCTTGTCTTTTTTCTATGGTTTCAAATAAACGCCTCATCGAAGCATTGACCCTCGTTATTTCTCGTTAGGCTCTTTTTGCAAATTTTCCTCAGTAGTGAAAATTTCTGAAAACATATTTTGAGACCAGCCCTCAATGCTGCAACTTGCTTGTGGGAAGTGTAGACTTTAAAGAAGTCTCTAAAGAGTAAACTTTGACCAAAGCTTTCAGAGAAGGACTCAATTTTTAAATAATTTTTATATAAGTGCTTGACAACGTAGTCAGTGGAATCTCTTTCAAACAGATTGGGAAAGGTTGAAGGGGAAAGCAAAAGCCTGTTTGGCCTATTTCTGATTGGTCTATTTCGACCCACAACTGGGCAGTAGCGTGCTGGCAGGGGGGCAAGGGGACATATGTGCCCCCCCTGCCGATCAAGTATCAGGGTCGCCAAAATGAATATTCAGGCCGAAGGCGTCCTAGCCAAGTAGCTACCAAATGAGGACATTCATTAAAGGTGTGAACCCAACAATACTAAAGGTGGGCACTGTATAACAATCCACGATAAATCGCTTCGAAGAGAATCACCTTGCAACATACTAGCTACTTCTTTTTTCTTGCTAACTTGATGCGCTTAACAACGGTCGTCAAACACCCATCTCAAGATCCAATGCTAAATCTAAATGATTTTTGCACCAAGTAGATATCATGGGTGTACCAGGTAGGGTGTCGGGGTGTTTTTGAGGAACCCGTCAACAATTTTTGGCTTGGCGGGAAAAGTTCAGATTAGGTTAGGCGCCATTTCATAAAATTATCGAAAGGGTTTTGATTTACTTATATGAAAAAATGCTAGGAAAAAAAGTTGAGGGAATATGTCCCAACATAAAGATATTGTGTTACATAAGCTAAAATATTTAACAACGACACCAGAAAATCGATTAAAACCATCAAGTAGCTTGCATGCTAATTGCAGAGAAAGCTTGCGTTGTTGAACGAGTGCTTCGAAAAGTGCATTTTTCAGCAAACTGGAAGGATCAAAATTCAAAAGTTTTCTCCCCTTCAGTGGCAACCATGGTGCCGCCTCGGACAGTGTATTTATAACCCGGGCTTGTTCCGATATAAGATCTTAAAGGTTGGAATGTCTGATGATAATATGTAGATAGATGTCGTGAATCGACACAAAGGCCTGCCTCGCAATATTTTGGCCATATTTGGGCCATATTTTGAAGGAAGCTTATAGGTTTGTCCCGGACTTTCCATGAGTCTATAGCGGTGTTGTAAATATTTGGATGCATTTTCCGACCATCCCTAGAAGGTCTTCTTTGCATTTTATTCCGCCAACAATGACGGCCGCCTGCCGCCTTCACTAAACTCCTGAACGATCCTACCGCGCCTTTCTACCCCCAACCTCCCTCAATAGCGACGTTCCTGATCATCATTGTTGTGCAGTTTGATGATACAGCTGCTACAGTGATTCTCAAAAATACTATTAGTTTTACAAGGTTTTACAAAAAATAACAACCTCTATTTGAAAATTCTCTATCACGTCCTGTCAGTAATTGACTACCCCCTCGCCTCTCATTTGAAGGTCTCATAGCACCCCACAGATAGACAGATAGATATAGATCGGCGTGCTTCCGAACTCTTCTACTTTTCTGCACATTTCTAATACTTTGAAAAAAATTGGAAGAAATGTGGGGCGCCATTTTGACCCTTTGCCCCCCCCCTGCGATCTCATCCCCAGCACGCCACTGCAACTGGGTATATATTTTTCATCGTTCATTCTGAAGTTTTATGCTCTGAGGAGTCTCTGACGTAAAAGCTTTATGCCAATAAAATGTTATAAAATGTTTACTTTTTTCAAAGCCATTTACATTTTTTCATGTTGTAACTTCCATTTCGCCTCGCATGATCTTTTTTAGCACATGGAAAGTAGTTCGTTCGTGTGGTACGAAATTTTAAATTGTCGGAGTTTGACCGTAATGAAAAGTTTCTAAGGGAATGCAAAGAAGTCGAGCTTTTGGGCGGTTTGAGTTGAGTTACCAGAATTAACTTTGTGGTTATCGTTTTTCAGTTCAATGTTTCTGGAGTGGATTCTTGTGTAGTTACTTCTTCGCGAGCAATCAAGTTGCTTATCAAATAAATTTGCATTTCCTTTCTCAAATAAAGACCACATCATTTTATCTTGGATTAAACCATTTTCAGGAAAAGGCTTCCAAGAAATCAGGAACTTTACGCTTGAAGTTGCAAATTTTGTAAACAAGGAGTGTCACCGCAAACGTTTCGAAATATGTTTCATTGTTACATAAGAAATTATGCGCAAAGGACACTTGGCTTCGAATCTCTTCTGCATTTGAACCGGCAGTCTCCAATAAGAATTTTGATGTCATAGAAGAAAAACATTCTTCAGTTTCGTGTAAAACTATTGTTTCCAGTAAAAAGTAGAATTCGAAAAATTAGTTGTAAATGGCCTTTAACAAGTTTTGACATGTAGGACAGACCAGAACAGGCACGCAAAACAGTTTAACAGGCATTCTAGATATAAGGTTGCAAGCACACAAAAAATCGTTATTTTCTACAACCGTTCACAAAAATTGCAAGACTTTTTCGCCCCTTCCCAAATGAAGCAACTGTGAATGTGAAACACAAGAAAACCATTGCTTTGAAACTTGAACGTGATAAATAAACATTTTTAGACTTATCGCTCTCCAGAACTTCCTAAAGTCCTACTCAGTTCTTGACTCACAAGTCACAACTAACTCAAAACTTTCAATACAGCTGCTATTTCGATTGTCTTCTTTATAATTTCGAAAACAACGTCTTCTTTATTACATCTCCCTTCGCACCATGACGTCATCTATTCCTCACATCACGTGACCACAAAACAGGAAAGAGTCGCCCAGGCATCCCCCGACAATAAGTTTAATTTTGATTCCTCATTGAAGCGTAGGTGTTCATTTAGATTTACCGAGAATTCGCAGTGCTTGAATTAAAACAGAAGCTACACCATCTGTTCATAAACTCTTTGCTCTATTTTATCACACATGTTTTGTTGCTCAAAGGACGAACAGGAAAAACGGAAGCAAATTGACCGCTGACAACGTGGAATCTTTGGCCTAAGTTTGGTTATGTTTTGGTGACAAGTTCTTTGATCGTTCAACGGTAAAGAAGAAAAATATGAAGAAAAGGTCAATTCCAGACGCAGCAAAGGCTGATTGGTCCAACACTGGTAGTTTCATGAACAAACCGAAACATGGATGGTGTCACACGGACGGTGAAATCGCCAGAGGTGTCACGTATCAAGCCTTGGTAATTTGCACCCAATTCTTTCAAAATTGCGAGGATACATTTTGCAAAAGAAAGTTTGTGAAATTATCAATGATTTGAAAAATATAGAAATTCCGTTTACCGTATAATTTTAATTATGCCGGTGGGTTTTATTTCAACAAAGTTTGACTAAGAAAATGAATTTTTAACTTATTTTGGATGTTTAATATTTCCACAAGGGGCTTTAAATTTATTGTTTCGATCTTAATTCACAATCGCCAGGAAAATAAACCAAAGGCTCCATTGTGACGGTTTTTCGAATAAATTTATGAAACAAATTTTTTATTAAAGGAAAAGTCATCGAAAATTGATACTGTAATACAAGTATTGAATATTGTATGCAACAAAATAGAAACAAAAATATTGTATAGGGTGTTTATTCTAAGGGGCATTTCTGTTAATACATCTTTGTCAATAGGTTAACTTATTAAGGACGGAGCCCCCCTCCCTACCATCTTACAATAGTTTTAATGAATTTGGCTGGATTTTTTTTGAATGACTTTATCTTGAATGATCTTATAATTCGTTTGATCAAATGATGATTGTCTTTAAATCATCAAAACTAATTCGAACACAGGGCCCACGTGCCAGGGCCCTCCACTTTTTTGTAAAGCAAATATATTTACAAAGAGGCTTTGTTTGGAGCAATAAATACAAGTTGGATTAGTAGCACTTGGCCCCTCCACTTTGAAATTTGTGGTGTGGGCACTGGAACTGCTTTATTAAACTTACAAAGCTTTATTAGATAAACGACCTATTTAGAATCTGCATGACTGAAACCATCCAATCAAAATTACAAGCTACATTTGATCTAATTTGTTACTTAAATTTTTACATCTTTACAAACATCTTTCGTAAATAACGTCTCTATTTTTATTTGTCTTAGTATAAAAACAATATATAACAAACATATTTTTAATTTTGATATTAATTAAATTGTTGATTTTAGTATGTTGGTTGTGTGAAGATTCTACAGTCAGTCAAATCTGTTTCATTGGAAGACAGAAGCAGCATCATCAAGTAATATTTTGATATTTGAAGATAAGTCTCACCTTAATTTGAATTAGGAGTTTGATCAGAATTTCATGTAAGAAAATTTCTCTGACAGTAATTGAGAATTTTAAACCTAGAATCAGGATTCTAAGAAAATCTATAATGATCCAGTTTACTGTTTATGCACTTCTTGGCTATCGAACAATCATTGTGCTTATAATTCTACCTATGACTGATTTATTTCAGTAAAAATATTAGTTGTAATTGTATCAGTTCTGAATTTTAAATTGTCTTTAAAGGATTGCTACAGCACGATGTTGTGATAAAGCTGGTTTTGTAAAGTACAAAAAGAAACACAAGGTAAGAATTATTTTAATTGCATGTTTATTTTGGTTGACTGCCATTAGAACTTAAAGTTGTTACTTTCTATGCATCCATTTATGATACAAGTGATGTGAATTATATTTTTACAAGAAAAATCCAGTTAATCAATTATAAAATTAGTTTTGTTCCAGAAATTTCAAAAGTAATTACGTCTTGAATTCGACTGATTCCACTGAAAATTAATTTGAAAGATGAAGTTTTTTTGCTTGAAAGTAGTAATTTTTTGGGATAACAAAGTTCTTTGGCATACTCATAAAGAATTAAAGGACATGATTCACAAAGAATGTCTTTGATTCTGGAATACTGGTCAATTACTTTTTTGTGAGTTTTTCTTGCCACATTCTTATTCAAATTCTACATTACCAACTCCCTGCTTGCGATCTTTCATGTTGCACACTTGTTCACATTTGGTATAATCAAATTTTTTTCTTTCTTAATCATGAGAACACTTAATCGCTTAAATTTTGATCTTTTCATTTCATCTAATCTTATTGCAGATACCACAAACCATATCAAAAGCATTTGGAGGTTAGTGAGCTTTAGTTTATATTTTTATGTGAAAGTTAGTAATTTAAAAATGAATTATCTAGTAGAATAGTAAAATCCCTCTCAAGCATATTCAAACACACCTTGACCTACAAAGTTTATGAAAAAATAAATTTACTGATATGAAGATAAGACAGGCCTGCAAACCTGTGGCATTAATGTCCCTGTCCTCAACTGCTGTAATATTTGAATTGAGAACACACATTTAACAGCCCTCTTCCACTTTCAACGCCCCTCGCCCAATGTGACTGTGTTGAAGTACCTGAGAATGGAGATGTTGAAAAATTCTGGTTCGATATGCTTTATTGCCTATTTCTCAAATATGAGAACCCCAAGTTTTAAAATCCACAACATGTTGAGAGATACATAAATTTGTGGTGCTTTTCAGTTGGTACTTAAGATCAGAGGCATACGCTTGGTCAAATATTGGGGGGGGGGGTGGTTGAGGGCAAGCCTATCATTTTGATAAGACGATGTCACATTCTCCCATTGTTTTAGAACAGAAGACTTTTTTCATCCAATATATTTTGGGGGGAGGGGGTGACTACCTCCCATTGCCCCCCAGGTGTCCACCTCTGCTTGAAATAGGTATTACAGTGCTGTACTGTGAACTTCATTTTGCTATTTCTTTCAATCTAGATGTGTTTACTGGTTATCGTGGTGAGAGTGTATTGATCACCATTTCAAAATCCAGCATAAAAATTGTTCTTGAACGAACTGGAGTGGTTATATGTGACCATTACATAGAGAACATTTCTTTTGCAAGTGGAGGAGAGAAGGTACTTGCTTTTAGTCTTTCTTGTTTTTCATTGGAGATTGATTTGACTTTGTTAAAATGGAAGTTTATCATGTGATCATTGCTGACATCTTTATAGGAATGCATTTCATTTTTTAAACAGACAGTGGCAGGTGGGAATGGGCTAGTATTGGGTCCAAGGCCCCTCTTAATAGTTATAACCTTAGAAATATTGAGATTTATGAAAAAACAGAGAGAAATTAAATTAAGCAAAAGGCAGAAAGCCCTTCAACCCCCCCCCCCCCCACCAAATTTACTGCTGCCCTAAATTGGAAGGGTTTCCAATAGGTTAATTGTCGGAATATACACCTCTTTAGGCCTTATTATTATTGGCCTGATCAATGTTTGTGTTCTTTTCACCAGTATGCCTTTTTGTCTTCAATTTTATTGGCCTTAAATGCATATATTCGCATATAATTTTATATTCACTTACAGCAGTGTAAGCATGCATGCATGCCATAGACAACCCGGTCTGGTCGACATCTGCATTGTTGTATTTAGACAATAGGTAAAGTCGGTTGAAATTCGTTGTGTTAAAGGAGCCAGGTTAAATTTCGTATTGTGAACGGGGCTTGTTGCTTTGGCTTCCATTGTGTTAGCTGCAGCCCATTCGGGATGTTTACGAGATGTTTGTTACATATTAAACAAATTTGTTGGATGTTTTTCAAGATGTGGTTTGGCAGAATTGCAACCACGGTCAGTAAATGCGGGTCTCATGTTTTCAGTGCGTATTTTGCATGTGTTTTTTGTTTTTGCAAATATTATTTCATACCTCGCTTTCTGCCTGCTTACTGGCTGTGTGTGCACATTGTATGGGGTCATTCCATGTCAAACGGGGACACCAATGACATCAATGGGCACAGATTTTTATCATTTTTTGTAGGAGCAAACAGCAAGGTTTATCGGTTTCTCGGTTTCTCCTGTAACCAAAAATAAAGTGAGGAGGGGGAAAGCAGGCCACCCGAAAATTGATGCTTGAGAAAAGCATTGATCTGCACTATGCCAGTGACACTTCTACCCTGTATTGTACAGAGCCAAGTTTTCGGAACGCATACATAGAAAAATGACGAAGCTTGTTTCGAAAGTGTTTTTCAAGCAAGTCGTTTTCTTTCATTTCGAAGGGCATGGTCGCAGAAAGTTTCCTTAGAGCCTCCAGCTTGGCTCGCTCTTTTGCCTTTGTCCTCAGTCATGTGACCTTGGCTAAGTTACTGCGTTTCCCAGTCGATCATAAAGTATTCGATGCCATATAGGAAAAGCTGTACACACTATTTGGTGTATGGAACAGGACGGTTCTAAGTTGCTACTCCGAGTTTCAACTTAGAACCTTCCTGTTCTATACACCATATAGCATCTACTACATTTCTATTTGGATTCAAAAATACTTCTTGTTCATCCTCTCTAAAGTTGTATACTTTTCCCCTTGTCCAAATGTCGTATGTTGGAATCCCAACAACGTTCATGTTCTTTTTAAGTTATTTAAGGTGAAAAGTTGAAAAGTGAAACGTCACAAAAAGACGGCGGATTATTTCATTACCCTTAACTGCAATAGATAATTAAAGTTTTCTATTTGATTTTTATTTTGTCAATTCTAAATCTAACTTCTTTTGGATGTCGTTTTTTGTTTTCATGTCTAAAAATGAACTGAAATAAAATGTTTTTGGTTTACTGAAAAATTGGATTTGGCTTATTTAAAAAACCCAAGTATCATTAATTCTTTTTCCATCAGGTCCTGTTTCGGAACGCATCCAGTGGTTTTAGGCAAAGAATTGTAGTCTTTCTAAATATAGTTCTTTAACGCCTTTGACTCTCTTAATCTCATATCTCCAATTACCGGAGAGGGGACGGTTTGTTTTCTTGTCAACTTTGACTTATCTCACTGGGTTTTTGTTCCACTAACATTGTCTTATATTTCTATTTTCAAAACAGTTTTATGCTCAAATTTATTCTTTACTATTTGTTTCAGGAGTATACATCATTTGTTTCATATATTTCAAAGGACAATATCTTCGAGAGAGGTATGTTCTGACCAATGCTAAGCTTTGATGTGGGAAGTATTATTGGGGTGGGGTGGGGTAGGGGGTAGGAGGGTGGGGTACTGCTGACATGACATGAAAATTTGCCACAACAGTGGGATATTTTTGTAGTGGAAATAGATGAGAAAAAGCCACTCAGTTATCTTCTTCTTCTTGGTTGTCTGCCGCGAGGCAGGCTCAGCGCCACATGCGCCAACCACCACGATCTTCAGCTCTACGCTTGATTTTTCCGTATGTTCCAGTTCTGCCATTTTCTTTCTTACGCCAATGATCGAACAGTGTCATCCTCTTCCTTCCTCTGCTTCGATAACATCCCTTAGTAGTCCCTGGTGTCTCATAAATTCCCTGGTGTCTCATAAATTCTCTGGTGTCTCATGAACGCAGTTATAAAACTCGGAAAATTCCTTGCTCTTCCCCTACCACTCAAGGCTCTCTATTTCCAGCTCTGAACATTTTGTTATAGATAGAATGATTCATATTTTATAAGCCTGTTTTAGGTATTCAAGAACAATATGTTTCCAACTTGGAAGGTCCTTTCTGGCTTTTTCCTTCTGGGTATATAGACCCAACAATGGAAGTAATCGTAGTCACCTGAATTTGCCATCAGTTGTTTCAAACTCGAAAAAGTGTTTTGACTTTTATTATGATTGTGTACATAGTTATATGGCAGTGCTCTTTTGAAAACAGATAGATCTTGGGGGGGGGGGCATTTTAAGTGAGCATAATGTTTGGCTAGATGAATTCTCTATTCACGATCCTTTATTATGCTATAGATTTCCCGTGGATGAGCAATTTCCCATCAAATTTTTAAGTTGATGAAGAGATCGAATGATTTCATACACCTAGCAGAGAATCTTTGATACAAATGCAAATATATTGGGTGTGGTTGTAGGCGTGGTGATTGGGTTTTTTTCTAGAAGTTTCTTTAGCACAGCCCTTTTTAGGGTTGCACCCCTGCCCACGCCCCTGTTTACCGACGTAGATATAGATCAGTTTTGTCAGACTCGAGACTCGCGGGACACAACCAGCCTTAAGATACAATTACTAGTGACCCGCGGGATGAATATACTAGCATTTTTACGCAGCTTACACACTTTACTGTACAAAAACATTTTTCACACAATTTCTTACAAGAATAAGTTTTGGTGAAATTTTGAAAATAGTGAAATGTAAGAATATATTATAAATGATATCCAGGCTCGAATTTTGTCGATTTTTTTACTTTTTAGCCATATGAGTTTTTTGACAAGCGTTTCCTTTACGAAGAAGTTTGCGGAACCCCAATTAACGTATTGTGCTAGTGTATTCATTTCCTAAAACGTTTTAGAGATGAAGATAGAGAGCAGCAAAGATTTGAGCTTTCTTCTTGAGATGATTTTAAATGTAGAATGTAATTTTTTTATAAAAAGATGATATAACTAATTACTTTTAGTCAAATATTTGCAATATTATGGTTCGAGTTCCGGTTCAGTTTGTTCATAAAATTTGAATTCTGCTTAGCCCGTGACAGCTACTTTATCCCCCATTTAAAAGATTTTCCAGCCAGCTTTAAGAAAACAGAAGTGTAGCACCCTACCCCGACGCCCACCCCACCACCCTCTGATGACCCTTGGTAGCTGTCTGTTCGATATCTGCTTCCCTATAACATCCAGCTTAAAGGCAATCTGTCTCGTTGTGGATTGGTTAACGAGAACAATAGCTGGAACAATAGCCTAAACATGATTCCAGCGCTCCGCCATATTTTTACAATGCGATAAATTAAAGGGGGACTGGAAACAATGAAAATCCATTTGTTCTCATAACCAATCAACGCTGTGACAGATTGCCTTTAATCTAGAGGAAATTATGTTTATCTGCTGCTTATTGTGTTTTTATCAAGTGACGTTCAATATAGACTTTTTTCTATATTTTTAGCATGCTTCGTCATCGAATGCTCGGCGGATATCAAACTCGAAGTCATCCAAACCATTGGACAGGCATTCGAAGCAAAATACAAAGAGGTAGTCAACAATCCACCAAAATTAACGGAGGTGCCAGAAAGGTGAACAAGAGTTTTGTCAATTAATGCTTAAGGATAAAGATTTTTATTTATTCAGATGATTAAAGTTCTCAATAGATTTTTTGGGCCTAAGTGTAGGAGGGGCCTTTTCAAAAATGCAGATTGCTTTTTTAAACTTAAATCCTGGAAAAATGTTTTGTATATGTTAAACCGACCAAAAGTTTATTTATCACCAGACCTCTGTTTATATTATTGACGCAAAAATTTCATAATCCTTGAACCAAGAGTTTATTTGCTTTAAAATGCCAGGCCAGATAGCAATTTGGGGCAACAATGCCGTGAACCTACTTTAGAATTGCTATTTATTCCTACGATAAATGCAACCGTTGAATCTCAATACGAATTGAGTTATACCCAGATGATCAATATTGCTAATTCAATGTTTATTTTCTACAACACAGTAACATAAGAGCTACCCTTACATGAATTCCCTTATCACACGAAAATAACGCGGTATATTTATTAACGCGATTTGAGAAATTTCGCGTTAATTAAAACCCGTATATTTAATGCCCGCGTAAATATCTCAGCTGTTATTGAACGTCTAGCGTCAAATAAACGTCCGTTTTTTATGTAACCTTTCAAAACTCCTGAAAATAGCCAGATTCTACGATTATATCTGAAGTATATATTTTATCTGGAAAAATGAGGGTAATAAAAAGCTTCCAAAACGGAAGGGCCGGAATGTGTTCTTTTTATATAAGTTCTATTAAATATAAAACATTTTTTCCTAGTTTTAATCAAGGTACAAGAGAAACTGAAAATCCTTTTTATAACATTAGAATTATTTATTTGTGATATTTTTGGATGGAGGCTTATTCGAGGAAGGCTTATGCGAGGGGGGGGGGCTTATAAAATAATTTTAGACATTAAGAAGACATTATTAAAATACCTCGTTTATTTTAGTAGAAATTTCTTTATAAGGATTTAATTAATTACTACCAAGAGTATAAATTTGCTGTGGTAATTCAATAAAACGCCATAGACAACCTTAGATGGCGAAAATCATCAAATTGAGGGGTCCAATTTGAGAATTTACGGTAGCGGTAGGGGCTTATTCGAGGAGGAGGGGGGGCTTATTGACAATTTATAGTTCTAGGATGGGGGCTTATTCGAGGGAGGAGGGCTTTTTCGAGAAGGGGCTTTTTCGAGAGGGGCCAATTCAAGGATTTACGGTACTCTTCGGTCAGGAGATACTCAACCAATTTTTCAAGCTCATCCCACGTGACTGATACCTTAATTCGAATCTCAAATTCACCTTGACTTGAATTTTTTAAGTAATTTTTTTCCCGTACTGCATTCAAAGTTCTTTTGATATAAAAAGTTTTGCTAACATTAAAGATTTGCGTTGATTAAATACCATTTGAATATTTGAATTTCGTTGATTCGCGTTGCATACCACACATTCTGAAATCCAATCCCACTTTCGCGTTAATTTGTGATCGCATTAATCTGTACCGCGTTATTTTCGTCTAATAAGGCATATTTGAATTTGAAAATTAGAAATGAAATGTCCGCTCACCCTTGGTTGCTAATCGTCAGGTTTCATCGTGTTGAGCTAAGGTATCTCTGACATTGATGGGCCAGACACATGAGTTCTTGTGGGAAGAAGAGAGGGCTGTAGCAAAATCGTACAAATGTATACTGACATTCTTGCCAGTCTTTGCAAACCCAATCATTACTAACATTGAAAAAGCCTGTTTTTCATTCTAACAACGGGTTTTGCGCTTTCTAGATCGACTACTTACAAATAATTTTAATTTTTGCACTATGGTAGCTCAAAGACCCCTCGACCCTTCTCCCCTCTTTAGACGCCCCTGTCCCCGCTATTATTACACGTTCGTTGACCAACGGTTTTTGTTATCCCCAGGTTCACGCAGCCGATATTTCCTGTGGAGGAGGACCCAGCTCCTTCGTGTGCCGCCCAGCCCTATGCTTCTCTGAAGCGTGAAAATGAGAAAGACGGGGCTGGATACTCGAAGTTGCATGGAAAGGAGGAGAAACCAGGATATGCCGAGCTCAACTGTTCAGAGGCAAGGAGCTCAAAAGCAGACTTGAACGATTACAGTGTTTTAGAAAGAGGGGCGTTTTCAAATCAGAATAATGCCGTGAGTAAAATGTTTTTGTTTATTTTCGACGTTTCATAGTCTTAGTGTCCCTCTCAGAGATTAAATGCCCTTTGCTTTCTGTATCCCTCCAATTTGTTATGCTCCTAGTGAAAAACGAGTAGCGTTTTAGTGGCAATTTGAGAGTTCAGTGTGCAGACAAGGGACGATGTTATAAGATGAGATTGATCGGACAATGAGATGTTTGTTATGCTTTAATGTTCCACTGATTGCAATCTCTTGTTTTTGTTAACTCTGGAAGATGTAACAATAGGAATATATTTTCCTTTCCTATAGGCACTTTCATTGCAATGCTTGAAACTTCATTAGCTGTTTCACGAATTCGAATTCAAGCTCATTTTTCTTTCAGCATTTATATGTTGCCTAGGACACTGACAAAAACTGCAAAAATTGTCGAGCCCAGTGCCCTATATTGTTGAATACCAAGTTACACACATTCGTTCTTTGAAAATGATAATTCTATAATAGCAAGAACACAGTTCGATAATACGATATGTCATTGCTAATGAAGTATCATGATGTTATTGTAAAGCTACCCCAGAGTTATGCTTTCAATGCCTGATTTTTTTGTAAATTTAAAGTTTACAAGAATCACTAAGTATTATATGTAGGAGTGACGCCATCCCATCCAAGAGAACACTCGTGTGTAAGAAGAAGTATTCATTTTAACGCCAATTTTCATTATTTCTAAAATGTATTACTCTCAAACGAAGTGACTTTGAAATTTTATTTATGTATAGAAGAACGGTAACAAAGGCATCATTTAAATAATCCTTTGTCATGACACTCAATCACAATTTTTATGTTCCTATAATGCTGCATCTTGCAATTAATTGGATCTTCTCTAGATTGACTACGACCAGCTCCATTTCGATAAAAAAGGCAAGGGTCGTCCTACTAGCATCCCCATCGTCGCCGGTGCGAACTACGACCAAATTCAAGGAAGCAACAACGATTTCGCCGCCGTCTACGACAACCCGATGGCATCACCGTCAACAAAGGATCAGATGCTTGTTGATTTCAACGATAATTCCCCTGAGTACCAAAGCATCCCTAATGCTGCCCCGTCGCCATACGACAACCCCAAGGAATTGATGGCCGCCAAACCTTATTCGTCGCCGTATGACAATCCAAAGGATCTGTTGCGGTCTAAAGAGCTACTACCCAGTGGCAATCCAGGAAGCTCGACCCATTCTGCGGAATACGACGTACCGAAAGTTCAAAGTAATCCACTGTGTTATTTTCATTTCTCTATTTCAGTCGGTCATTCAGTCATGATAGTAACTTTTTTTGTAAATATGAAATGCCATGACTACATGCCCTCGTTTTGATGCTTGAGTTTTTGGAAAGTTCCCTGTTTCACTAGTAATTAACTCAAAAATTTAACATTTGAATTAGACAAAATAACAAATTTCGAAGTGGCAAATTGTTTACCGCTAATAGCTGTAGTCAATTTCTCCTTCAGTTAAAGCTCAAATCCAAATGTAGATTTCGGATGAATGTGCTATTTTGAAAGTGTTTAAAATCTTCGCCAAATAGATTGATTTGTCACTTTTTGGTATGAGGAAGGCTTAGCCCCCGAAACCCCAAAAGCACTTTTATTTTGGGTTTGTTCCGTGTCTGATACCATTTAGTACAAGATGATGTTAGCTAGTTCAATTGTCTCAATTTGACATCCAGAAACGTGCTCATTTTTTGGAGCCAAGGTTTTATAACCTTCCTAAAAAGCAATTAAAATAACAGTGCTTTGAGAGCAAGTTATTTTGAAGTTTTTTATCATTAATAGCGTTTTACTTTCGGATCCTCAACCTTAGGAACGCCATCTTTCTTTGCACAGTTTCAGTCATTTATCAAATCGGGTGTATGTATGATTGGTGTGTATGATTGATGGATTCTCCCTTTAGGCCATCAATGGGAGCAGTTTGATGATAGCACTGATGGAGGAGTGGCGAACGGAAAACAGTTCGACGGAGCGGGGTATTTGGTACCAACTGGTGTCACACAGGGTTCAGCCAAATATGGTAAGGTTCTTCTGTCATTTTTGCCATTTTGATTGGTTATTAGATTGTTTAGTTCGCAATAGACCCACAGACCAACATGTATATATATATACGCCTGTTGTGGCGCAAAAATTAAAAATGGCTTTCAAAAATGCAACTATCCTTAAATATACTTAAGCTTTTCGTCTGACGCCCTTCACAGTTTAGAACGTAAGAACTTTAGATTGAAAACTCTACGCTAGGAAATATATATATCCAATTGTGGATCGAAATAGGCCAATCAGAAACGCGAGCACATGACTGTTGAGGTTGACCAATCAGTGCCACTTGCTTATTGAGAATGTTAGCAATGGAATCCTAAGGTGAAAGCGAACTCCTACTGTCTACACAATAGCGGTTTTTTCGTGCTTATGTAGATAGATTCCAAAACTGCTAGATGGAACGACGATTGAGCTCTACCGTCTTTTTTATTTCAATAGCCAACGTGATATTTATCAACAATGGAATTAACACAAACATTGTGATTGCTAAATTAAGACCCCGTTTACACTGTCCCGGGACAATTTTGTACCGTTACGGTTCGCAAGTGTTTACACTGTCGCGGTTCCAAATTGTTCCGTTTAGCCGTTCCGTTTACACTGTACCGGTACGACCTTAATTTAATGGTAGAACATTGTTTAGAAGAAGCTGTATTTAGTCAACCAATGCTTTTATTCTGCCGCTGAAGTCAACAATCGAATTTTTATTGTGAGTTAAAATGGAGCGGAAGGCCGATTAAAACTTTACTTGGACGAAAGACAAGGTGGCTTTAATTTTCAATGTTATTTTAGACTACAAAACTGCCAAGTCCAATCAAGGCTTGGACTGGGAAACACTACAAGCCTTTTCTGTGGTCGTCTTTTCTTCAGAATTTCCTTTTCTTCAGAATTTGAGAACGTAGTTACGCCACAATCAAAGCCTCGATTACCTGAAACAGCCATACAAAAGACCTCTTTGTGAATCCGTGACAAAATCGTCTCGGATAGGTGTTTACACTGTCCCGTTCAAAAACGGAACCGTGACGGTACAAAATTCGTTCGCTTTCAAAGCAGGGTCAAAACTGTTCCGGATAGCAGAGCAAAATCGTCACGGTTCCACAGTGCTAGTGTAAACGCAAGGGCGAACCGCGACAATTTTGTCACGGTTCCAAACTTGCACGGGACAGTGTAAACGGGGTCTAAGTGAGCAGCTAGAAACAAAGTTTTTCAGACTACTCTTATTCATGTAATACTTTGTTTTTGGTTTTTCATTGTTGAGCTTGAAAAGCAATTCCGTCTAAAGTTGCAGATTTTGCAGTAGAAGATACTTGGACACTCTTACCTGCTTGCAAAGAATTTAGCAGCATTTTTCTTATTTTATCTTAATAAGATTTAACGCAACTTTTTATCAGGATTGTTACTACAAGTGTATTTAATGAATCTTTGGTAAAATATTTCGAAAAAGAGAAATATATATGCATACTAAAGAAAAGAGGATTGGGTCGCAAATTTGGAATGCAAAGAGAGCCAGGAATGTAGCTTTTGGAATGCAAAGAGAGCCAGGAATGTAGCTTGTTGGAATGCAAAGAGAGCCAGGAATGTAGCTTGTTGGAATGCAAAGAGAGGCAGGAATGTAGCTTGTTGGAATGCAAAGAGAGGCAGGAATGTAGCTTGTTGGAATGCAAAGAGAGCCAGGAATGTAGCTTGTTGGAATGCAAAGAGAGCCAAAAATGTAACTTGTTGGAATGCAAAGATAGCCAAAAATGTAACTTGTTGGAATGCAAAGAGAGCCAAAAATGTAACTTGTTGGAATGCAAAGGGAGCCAGATATGTAGCTTGTTGGAATGCAAAGAGAGCCATGAATGTAGCTTGTTGGAATGCAAAGAGAGCCAGGAATGTAGCTTGTTGGAATACAAAGAAAACCAGGAATGTAGCTTGTTGGAATGCAAAGAGAGCCAGGAATGTAGCTTGTTGGCAATTTGCAAACGGTTTGGGATGGATTTGAGTTGCAAGCAGTGGCTGTGCCAAAGGGGTTAATGGGATTGAATTTCCCGTTTTTTGTTAGGTAGGGGTTGGTTATATCTCTACAACATTTTAATGATAACTTTAGATTGTCTTAAGGGGCATGAAATTATGATTTTGGGCGTTTTTACGATTTAGCCGCAACTGACCGGTAAAAACTCTGCCAAATTGAGTTAGTCAGTACCTTAAGTAATGTCTTTCTGGAGTTACTATTGAAAATTAGCTCTATTGAATTATTTGCAATATTTAAAGAATTGAATCAAAATTCGTCCGGTTTAAGAAATAATGACTTTCAAGATTCGCTTTTTAAAACTCTAATTGTAAGGCCTAATTGAAAATATTTACGTAAAAGATGCTGGGCTTAGTAAACCGTGTTTGACCTAATTGTTCTTCAAACTTCTGTTCATCTCTGGCCTCCATGCATTTAATGTAAAATATTTGTTTTCTTTAGCTAAACTTTGTTTGTCTGATTTTCTTTTGATGTGTGATAGAACGAAAGATATATCGGTATCTGTTTGCTTTTCTAATACATACTGTGCCTATAATTAGGGCCTATTTTGGACTGCTGTTTTTCGAAATTTTGGCAGGTAATTTTATGTCCCTGGGGATTGAAAAATGACCAGAGAACAATTATAAAAGTCTCGCGGGAAACCAAATGTGTTTACATGAAAGAGCTGTTTTCCTCAAGGGGAAATGTTAAAAATAGTTTTCCATAACAGACTATTTTCTATACTCATAAATTTTACCTTGAGATTAACTGAGTTTATTTTCAGATGAAATGTTTATTGGATTTTGCCTCAAGCTAGGCCAATTGGTTATCAATATATTTTTATCTGTTAATTTTAATCATTTATCAGACGGATTTACCACCACAAATTTTCAGGGCCTGTTGTTTTTTGCAGATTATTCTGAAATTTTAGAAAGGCACATTTCTCGGATTTGTAGGATGAAGTTCATATTTCACACATTAACTAATGTCTGCCTAAATTTTAAAGGGTTTTCAACGAGGTTTTTCGTGCTGTCTTCACTTCCCAGATTATAACATCTTCTTGGCTTGGCTAGAAACTGCATCGAAGGTATTTACAACATCAATTTAAGCCAAAAAGAAGTTCTTAGGCAATGTTAGAATTGGTCTTAATGCACTTATCAATGCTAAGTGCTTTGAAAACTGGTATGCATGAAGTTGTAGGATTCACAAGCAAAAGCTTGACAATTTTTATCGTGATCATTTAAAGATCGAGAGAATATCTTCTCAAAAATCATAACTTCTGTGAATTTCAATAAGACATGAAATTCATGGGTGCAATGGAAGTTCCACTGCCCTCAGCAACTGCACCTTTGGTCGAACCAGTGGAAGGGCCATAACAGATGTTTGGGAGAAATGGCGGGGCACAGTTTAGATTGTTTGATGTATGTGACGAAATGAGACAAGCAATGATAAGTCTAAAGAAAAATGTTAAAAGTAAAAATCAAAATCATTGCAGAAAGTCTTGATCTTTAAAATTGAGGTTATGTGTTCCTTTTGGATTTTTTATTCAATCCTTTGTTATGTCACGTGACCTTTGTTGTTGTGTTGTAATGCGGAAACAATAAGGGAGGGAACTGTTGTCAGTTTTGCTTTTTATAGATTTGTGTGTAATCGAAGTTTCGCTTTTGTGAAAGCAAGGGAAAAGATTAAAGAGATAAGCTTACACAGTCATATCTTGTTGACACGGAACTGACCCTCTTTAGCTAGGCTGGACGATCGCAAATTAAGTGATGCGCCTTTTCTCAAGGACATGAAGAACTAGAGTTGAGAAACATGGGAGGATTGTTCACGAAGAAAGGTTATATTTCTTGCAAAGCAACTTCTTTTTATCTTGATACAGACAACAGAGTCTAGTTATTTATAAGGGTTCCTTCGCTTTAAGGTTTTAGTTTACCAGTGTAAGGCCAATAGAGTATGAAATTGCTCTTTCTCTCTTTCTTGGAACAAAAGGTTTTCAAACGTTTTCTAATTTAGGCCATAAGTCTATCTTAATCGGCGCCAGACTACTTCCTCTTCATCATCTTCGGATCTGATTTTGTTTCTTGTAATTTTAGGTATCATAGTCTTGAAGAAATACACACTTAGGCTTTCTGGCGTATATAAGAAAATAAAACATCTGATTAAAGTAAAATTCATCTCGCCATATTTTATACTTAACATTTATCATACATCAATATCAAATATCAGCTATCATATAAGTCCAAGCTAACAGAATTTGAGCACAGACCAAGTTTTTTTATTTTCCATTGGTTTTCATTTCATTTGTTGAATTTTAATTTCAAAAATGGTCTTCTAGGGAAAGCTGTTTGCTAGATACACATACAACATTAAATGCAATTCTATTCAATCTATCTCATCCCAACCTGCTCCCATTTAATGCAACAAATGATAAATTTTTCCAACTTCATATTGTTTTTAGATATTTAGACAACCTGGCATCAGTAACGGTTTTAGGGACTGTGGGGCCTGAGGGCCAAAAATATCTGCAGGGCCCCTTGTTCTTTACAATTTCAATCTTTTTTCTTAGGTGTAGTGCTCCTTTTTGCTGTCATAAGCACAGGGCCTGGGGCCACGGCCCCCTTGGACCCCCCTTAAAACTGCCACTGCCTGGCATACAAAACTTTCACCCAGAGTGAGGAGAGTCGCCAGCTCTCTGTAATTCCAGGCATAGGAATCACAAGGTGTGGTCACATCGAAAGGAAGGACCAGGACACTGCTCGATAAGCATAAGCTTCTCAGTGTCCTAAAAACTACCTTCGGATGCTAGGTAGAAACAAATGCAAATACAAATACAAATTTTTGTCACAAAGTTTTTTAATTATGACATGCACCTCTGATTTCAACTTGATTGCATTGAGAGAAACATTTTCAAGGAAGAAATGTGAATGCAAATGCTTAGCAAGCACCAGGAAAATTGTTAAGCTGAGGAAGGGCAGATAATCAATGTTATCATTGCTCAAAGCTTAGTATAGCTAGTCAGTTTATAGCACAACAAATTATAGATTGCCCATACTTGATTTTATGCAAAGTGCTAGCTTTCAACCTAAGTTCACTAAGTAGCAATATTTTGTGTTGGAATTAAAAGAATAATTCATAGTACCTGTGTTAGGAACCCTTTGAGTTGTTTTTCAATGCAAACAAATATTTAACATATTCAAGCATATTTAGTTGCTTCTCTTGGGTTCTTGATTTTTTAAAACATTAAGACAAAGCTAGATCTATCTACTGCCGGTTTGTTTCAAGTGATACTTTTTAAAATTTGGCTCATCAGAAATCTGCTTATCAAGGAATTTTCTCATAAGATTAAGGAATGGATTAAGCCTTTTTGATAACCTCTGTTCAAAAGGTTAGGCCATGTTGTAACACTTTAGAATATTAGCTGAATGTTTCAGATAACATACTGATAAAGATCACATAACTTTAAGAAAAATCCTATAAAAAATTTATAGTGTAAGAGATTCTGCTCAAGTTCATTACTAGAGGGTTATTTTAAATTATCAAGAACAAAGTAAGTTTTTTACAGTCAAAGCCAAAGTGAATTTTTTTTATATTCGCATAAAATTTTTACAAAACATACACAAATTCACCAGACGATACCACAGGGAGCATGGGAATACATAGCAACCCTGCTGTAATTTACATTCAACATATAGAACTAAATTAACTACAATTTAAAGATACAAAAGGAACGAAAAGAAGAAATAGAAACTATTTCTAGAAAGAGAAGAGGAGTGAAGTGGCACCCTCTTTATACCCTTTTGACTTCAAAACTAGATTTAGTTTGTCTGGAGAGATAATAAAAACAGGTTGGCTCATAGCATATCATTCATCCCACCCATTTATGAGATATAGGTCTTCTAATATTGTCTCACCTTGTTTCCTTATTTGCTTCAAGCCATATCATTTAAGTGCCACTGAGATGGCCCTATTATCATTGTTTTGTTCTTGGTCACGATCACCTACATTATAAACAATTTTACTTTTCTTCTTAAGAGTGCCATTCCCTAGTTAGCTGGAATTTTACTTCCTTGAAACCTTTGAACCAGAATTTTTTTTTTAAGATTTTTGCGGTTTTTTTCTATTTAGTTGAGATAACATAACCAAAATCATTTGAGGTATTACATAATGGCATTTTCTTAAATGTGAGGTATAAAAATGTATGTCTTTGTAACACCTCCTCAAAAAACACCCTTGATATGTATTAAAAAGTAGAATAAACCTCTAACATCATTTAATACATACATAACCCATCGATCTAGTTTGTATGACAATTTCCATGAAATGGAAATTTACAAACTTCCCTCTTGCTTCAAAGTATTTATTGAAGGTATGTACTAAATTCATTAATTTTTCATGTTTATGTTTTAGCTTCACTTAAACATGATAAGGAAGATAGTGAAGATTCAGGGGACTATCACCCCCCTGAGGAGGTAGCAGAGTACCAACGCCCCAATGCCACAGAATACCAACCACCTAATACGCACTACCAGACCCCAACGAATGTCAATGGGAATCGTCCCAAGTCATTTGTTGGTCCGCTAGACAACAAGCCTTGGTTCCATGGAAATATCTCCAGACTAGACTCGGAAATGTTGATAGAGGAAGATGGACAGTTTCTTGTCAGGGAAAGTTCAAGTAATAAAGGCCAATATGTTCTTTCAGGAATGAAAGATGCCCAGCATAGACATCTTTTATTGGTTGATCCCCATGGGCAGGTAAATAAATACTTTATTTAGTTTTAATTTATTACAAATGCTGTTCTAATCAGTAGAAAATTTAACTAACCAATCAAAATATGCATTTGAGATTATTTTTGTTTTTTATAATTTAATGTTTGCAATTCTCCTTGAGCATAAAGGACATTTCATTCAGCCAATGGCCAAAAATTTGATTTCCAGTACAAGGTTCATGCTTGTGACTGACTCGGTCTATCATTATCATACTCATAATTTGTTATAGTCAGGATTTTCCTGATTTCCCTTCCATGGTTTGTTTCATCTTCTCCACTTCATTTTGTCATTCTCATTCTCAAAGTTCACACAAACTTCATGATTTCAGCAGAATCTCTTATCCAAACCCAGCTTCTAAATTTTTCATTACCATTCATACTCTGACAGCCTCTTTTACTATTTGAGACATCTTTGCAGTACCTGTTTATGAAAGGTATGCCTTATTCAAATGGATCATGGCTGTATAATGAGATAGGACTGATGGTTGTCTTTCCTTAATCCTATCTTTGCTGGTATGCCTCAGTACTCCATCCTCTCCCCTATTCTATTCATGCTATTTTACAGTAATCAGTTTTCTTCCACCAGAAAAAATCCACTAATCAGGGAAGATATATTGCGTTCTGGAAACAATTCAGGCAGTTCCAGCTCAATAAAAATTGATATTCAGGCAAAACCAATACTAACTTGCCTAAACATTTCACATCTGCTTCGCCTGTGATTTTGAGGTTATGCTGCCCCACCCCCCTTTAAAAATTAATTAGTCCTTTTTTCAAATCAATGCCCCTTCAAATCTGCTGGATGCTTAATGAATGTAAGAATGTTGAAAAAGGGATTTACCATAACCCGTTTATATTCTTCTGTTGTTATTTCTTCTCATTCATCAAGTGTGTGTGCTAGACATGGCTTGTCTGGCAGTGTCTTTTTTCTTCATCAGTTTGACAACTTTTTCTTACATTATTTCCGCATTAATCTAGAAAACAATCAAGTCAAAATCAATAGAGAACAATTCCAAATAGCCTTGAAACCTCTTTCATTTTTTTATGCTATTATACCTTAATAATATAGCTGGATAAAGATGCAAAATTGTAAGAACTAAAAATCATAAAGGTTATCGACTGGAAGGTTTTACGAAGAGAGGTAAGATTTCGTAAGGTTGACGAGTATTGGTAACCAAGTCTGACGCAGATGCATTTTACTATTATCTTATGGTTCCGAAATTCTTCACCTTGTTTCAACAAAAAATTTTTCTTTTAGGTTCGAACGAAAGACAGAAAATTTGCAACTGTCGAGGAATTGATTAATTTCCACAAAAGTAATAGCATACCAATTATTTCTGGGGGCAGTGAAGTGCAAATCTTGTTTCCAGTTGCAAGAAAGGGTCAGACAAACGTTGGTAATAATTCATTTAAAATATAGCAAAGTAGCCTAGTTTCATCTTATATCGAATTTATTTAGCTTCTATTCACGTGTATATTTTAGATTCAGACCAAAACTGAACAATGCAGCCTGCGCGTTGCTTTCATGACGTAATCACACAATCTCTCGATTGTAGGAGGTCGTTTCCACTGATTATCAATTCACTGTGATTTTTAAGGTTATGTTGAAAATAAATTCATTCTGAATTGGGGGTAGCATGCTTTTACAGCGTTTTACAGTCGTGTAGAAAATAATTTCATCTCAGCCTGTAAGCGTGGATTGTTTTTTAACTTTATTGGCAAATTATATTGTTAAGCACTACATGTAGGAACATGTAGGGGTTTTTGGACTACCCGCTCTGGACCCGTGTGAAGTTAGCTACACCCGGCGAGTTTCGGTTCATACTTTATTAGTATTCCAGCACTGTAGCCAACAACAAAAGACTATAATCTTATAAAATGCAGTCCTTTATGTTATAAAAGATATTGTCTTGTGCTCCTATCTTCACCGCAACCAATTTTTATGAAGCCTTCCACCTTTCAAATTCTATTTCGTCATCAAAGGATCGTAGATTTACCTGTAGTTTGGTTTGAGGCCAAAACATTTTCTTGTTTTAAAAACTACTTCTATTTGTTGTTATTCTCCATCAGCCTGAAACTGCCCATATTTATCGGCTGCACAATATAAAATTAACAGGCTTCAGTTCTTAATACCTGAAGGTTATAATGTATGCAGTTTTTTACGGTGTTGAAGACTTTAGCATGGTTACAAACCACTTGTCCAGCTATCTTTTTTATTTTATCAAATAATTTTGCTTTGCTAACCCTAGACGTTTCATGATGGTGGTCAAGATTACCTTAGTTTTATTGGGAAACCTGCCTTTGATGTATCAGGTGTATCAGGAAGAAATGCCTGTTAGATAGCGGGATCTTCGGCGCAGTTATGAGTGTTGAGATGATTCAGAGATATAAGACCACTGTGGCGGCAATGATCGAGCCTCAGAATGAAATTGAGACTGAGTACGTCACTGGTATTATGCTTGATAGTTAGAATCTTGAACATCTGACACCATCAAGCAGTGCGAACAACATAGAAATGGCGAACATTTACTGAGGGCATCCAACTCTCTCATTTTATTGTTTGATTGACACAAGCTTCAACTCTGGCTCCCTTCATTTTGCGATGTGTGTTAGTCAATTATGTATATGTCAGTACTGAGCTGGTCGTGAGAGTTTGTTAGTTAGTACTTTCTGAACATTTTACTTGAACCAAATTCAAGAATATGCCCCCCCCCCCTAAATGGAAAATGAACTGCCCGATCTAAAAAGGGATGAGCCACTAGCAACATTACTCAAAACTGTACTTAAAACAATACAAAAATAATTTTGGCCTTTTTGCCTACTGATTTTTACCCTCCCTGAAAAACTTTTCAAGCAACCACCCCCTCCCCCATCCGTTGATACCAAACTTTGTGCCACATTCATCTTTGGTTATGTGTGAGGAATGCTTTGATTGAAGCCCCCCCCCCCCCCCACCAACCAACCACCAAATTCAAGCCTTTTCAGTATTTCTTTAGTGTATCAGATAATCAGTTGTTTTAAAGTGGTTAAGGTATTCAGTTTGACGTTCCTTGTAATTTTTCTGATTTAATATTTTTGCTATAGATATGTTATCACTTGTAAAAACCAAATCCCGGTTAAATTATCATCACAAAAGTATGTATGTTTTTCATGAATTGAGTAGTATTTGTTGTCGTTTGCGTCCAGTAATGATAAATCTTTTTGCAATCACTGAAGATTGTCAGACGAAAAGCTTTAGTTTACTCAAATGTTAAAGCTTTTTATATTATCCCGAATACAAAATCTGCAGCACGTTGAATTTGTTCAAAGGCAAGACTTTTTTTGGCTAATATTGTCAACGCTCTCGTTCAGTGAAAACCGAACCTTTTCCTTGGCTACTTAGAGAAGTTCGTATTTGTAAACTTTTGATTCGTGAATATCCAGTTTTTCATTTTACCCCTAAGGCCAAGGTGGCTCTCGTAGGTCTTGTGTTTGTTTTGAGCTGAAATAAACTAAATTTGCTACCAATTCGTGATCAATTGTTGTACAACAGTTTCGCTGAAAATTAAAAAGCCTTGTTTTTGGGCAATTTGGGCTACTTATTTCTCAGGAGCGAATTTGATAGGCATGAATTCGAAGTTCTGGTTGCCAACAATGCCTGGGGCCAACATAGCGAGAAACCCTATATGATACTTAAGCTCTGCTTTTTTCGTCACTTTATTATCACTTAATTTACATCTGATCAAATCCATTAAGAACACAATCCGAATTATGAATCCTGCAACTTGGGGAAAGTTTTCCAGGCAGTTACATATATTCGATCACAAATGCACTGAAATATCCAATATTTTTTTGTTCCAGATGTTTTAGAAAATCACCTATTGGTTGCTCTTTTGCCTTTTTGCAAACGTAGGGTTTACTTGCTAATTGTTTTGTGAAGAAAACAATATTACAATACAATGATAGGAAGAACATAAGATTCTTGCATATCAATAATGTGCTAAAGCCAAAATGCCCAGAAAATTGTAATCTGGCAATTTGTAAACATCTTTTCATAAATCCAGAGTTTGCCAAAACCTCTAATGACAACAATTTCACAATTATTGGGCAACCAAGGTCGTGTTTCCATTTACAAGTTCTGGAATCTATTGACTTCACAACAAAGGATCCTGACTTATGTAGACAGAAAGTGTTCGTTTTCTGTCTACTTGGATTCTTCAACTAGGTGAAAGGTTGGCGGTCGCTGGTTGGTAAGAAACTAAAACCAAACAATCAGACACCTTTCTTCCTCTTACATCACATTCGACCCATTCCACTCCTGGATCAAACTCCTGGATATAAATTTTCTGCTTACTTTCTGCCATTAACCGACGTTTTTTCTCTAAAAAGTTTCGGATGCAAAGTGCTTCAATGTTTCTGCTATTTCGTACTGTCTCCAATTAATGGATTTATAACAATTAATTAGTTCAAAGAATTTTATCTTCTGAAATTTTCTAAACTGACGAATCTAGTATAAAAGAACATGAATTAGCTAGAAACAAAATTGAAGGATATTGTATGTGACACACAAGTAACCAAACTGGATGAAACACAATAAAAATGAAGAAAGAAGGTTAAGAACCTTGCAGAACATTTGAAAGACAAAAAGAGACTAAAGGAAGGGAAAAGAAAAGAAAAGGAAAAAGGAAGCTTTGAAGGTTTTGTAAAAAATAGATTCTAATTTATATGAGCATTGATATTCAACGAAATATCAAAATTTATTTTAAGCTAGTCATTGCCAAATTGATAAACAAAATAAAAATGAACAAACCTGGAGACTCGGTAGTATAAGAAAATCTTCACAAAAGAAAAATAGAATTACCACGGAGAAACAGATGAATAGAGAATAATGAAGGTGAATCGAAGAAGTGTGCAAAACAACAGTAACTAGTCTAATGGTGAAAAAATTCACAAAACTAATAAATTTGCTTACAAGAAATAAATGAAAATACAGCTAGTCAGAAGATCAGAAAGAGCATTTCATATAATAGCAAAATATAGTTTACTTGTATTCATGGGAAAAAGCAAGTTTGTCTAGCTATCGAGACAAATATGAATAATGAATCGCATAAAACCGTTGAACAGTCGCTTCTTTAGCAACCAAGCCTTTCTTGGATAATATTGATGAGAATTTTATTATTTTTTCATTCAAGTCTCAGGAGATCTTCAAAATCGTGAAATTGCTAGTTTGATGTAATTCGTTCGCCCTTTTCCTTCCTTCTTCTCTGTCGTGATTTTGAAACGATTTTCCAGACGCTGTGGATGACAACAGCAGTCAATCCTAGAACTCGGAAATTAATGTTTTGTGCCTCGGAAGAGAATTAATTGAAACAATGGGATTTTTGTTTGAAACACGGATGGAACTCGGTCAAAACAGCATCTGGAACTCGGAAATGATACCATATTTGCAAGAGATTTGCACAATAGCCAGTGGTTATTTGGCTACCTATTGTTTCTGTTCTATTGCTCTTATTGTTAAACATTATAATCGAAATGGCAACTGCAGATGCCTTATAGGCCCTTATTCTCACGACCCTAGCAGCATTCTAGCAGATTATTAAGCGTTTGAGATGAAACAAGGAAATATCGTTAATTTTCAGGAGCATTAACTACCTTGGTTTTAAATTGCAGTCTTAAATGGGACGGGAGACCTATGCTTAGACTGAACACCACATTTGGATGAATAAGCTGGTGTCTACGGAGACAAAACAACAAATTGCGAGCAAAACAAAAAGGAAAAACTTTTCTGTGGCATCCAAGACAAACAAAAGGGTATTGAGAAAAGGAGGGGGGTTGCAAAGATTTTCACAGAGGCACTGTCTTCTGTCAGAAAAAATCTAGAATCTAGATTTAGTGAGCGGTGAGTACCTACCCCTCCCTCCCCCCTTATGGCACCAAAATGCATGAATATGAGAAGTAATGTTGTTTTAGGCACAATTATCAATGCATTATCTGAAAGACCCTAGCCTTGGCCTGGAACTCAGTCAGGTTTTTTGCTGGATCCTGCTTATAACGTTCTTCTTCGTAGACCCTTCTAAACAATTTCCATCAGATACAACGTACTTGGGGTACATTCTTTACTAAAAACCCATTGTGTTGCGACACTTATTCAATATTCTATCAAGGTGCCATTTGTAATAGGAATAAGTGAAGCATCGACCACCGTTGCGTTGCGAAGTGCCCTCAGTTTCAAGTTTAAATTAGAATGTCTTAAAAGTGTGAGCTAATCAAAAGTTTGAACTCATTTTAAGAAACGTGGAATTTTATTCTCAAAATATTATATTTCCTTTACTCTAGCTTCAAGTGGGTGTCGATGGAATGACCAGATTAAGTAAGGTGCAAAGGGCTCGTTGAGTCATTAGAATAATCTCCATCGGGCGCCATTAACCTCATTTTGGTTCTCTAGCTAAAACGTGAAAACAAGATGGCTGCTCCAATTAGAAGTAATGTTATGTCACCTTTCAGACATAAGGCCATATTTTCAGCTCTATGTGGACGTCTGACACAGCTAAGGAACTATTCACAGGCCTTGATAGACCATGAAGCAAATGATATATCAACAGGATCAGAAATGCCATTTATGGTTCCCCCGCAAGTCGTGCGTAAAGGGTTCGAGGTCCATCCAACACCTCGGACATTCACATTGAGACCTGACGAAAAAATGAAATGGTTGACTAAAACCTATTTGACTGAAGGCCTCCCAGATGAATTATCGAGTACTGATTGTGATAAAGAAAGCATTAATTTTGTCAAAGATTGCCTCCACCAAATTTTTGGCTTTCAAGTACACCCTCACCGGCCTAGCAACACATTCTTCGAGGAGGAACTTTCCCTTGGACTATTGCAACAAATGATGCAAGTTGCCATGATGACTAGCCCAGAAAACAGCCAAGATTTGTTTATTCATAGAAGGCCGCTCATTGAAACCAACTGGTTCAGGAATTATGTGTTTTATCATGCAAAATACCACCCATCCTTCGCTCTTAGAGTTAGTGACAAACTGCCAGCAATGAAGTCGACATTCCCTTTGCCAATAGGTAATCGGCAATTCTTCAAATTCAAATATTTCACTTACAGCCTTATTGCAATACTACATTGCTATGAAAGTTAACTGTTACATAAAACTAGAATTGAAATTTACATAGTGATTTTGATTTTGCATTTAACAGACTATAAGCATTTGAAGAAGCTGTTGGATTTGTGGAGAAAACCCCCAGGGCTATGGAGCTTTGTGCCTAAAATGATGTGGTCGCCCACTTTTCTATTTGAATTTATGTACAATAATAACAATTCTCCTGTTAACAGGAGAAAGCACCCAAAACCATTTGAAATTTTGGATAGATTTATACCTGAATACACTGCTCAGCACTTGACCATAATGAATGCAAACATGCACATTTCCTTCTTTTAATTCCCTTTCCTAAGAAAACAGATTAGAATGAACCTTGCACTTTAAATGATCAATTAATGTACCTGGAGGCAGGGGCGGATCCAGAGCAAACTTGAAAAAGGGGCAGTTGGTAGTGGGGGCGCTGAAAACTTTTAAAAAATTGATGACAAGAGTACGCTGTATACAACAATTTCAGATCCATTTTCGGAATAAACAAAATGGATGATAAACAAAACTTTGAGGTAATCCTTGAAGCAAATTAATCTGTCGGTCTCGGAAACATTTTCACCTGATTCTCATTCTTGAAAAGGGGTGACTAATTTCTAAAAAAGGGGCACCAGACTTGCTTCAACTCATCAAGGGAGGGGCAACTGCTCCTAGTCGCGCCCCTTAAATCTGCCACTGCCTGAAGAAGAACAATGAATTAAAGTTTTGTGCACTGTAAAGTTTTGCTGTTCATCAGTACCTAGAAATTTGATCCCATCACAAAGCATGTATTTTATATATTTTAAAAATCAAGTTGTTATTTAGATCAATTATATTGAGCATATTCAATGAGCAAAAAGCCTAGTGATCGCTCTCATCACAATTAACAAAGTTCGCAGTTTTGGTCTTTTTTCAAAACTCGAACACTATGGAATTAGAGGAAATGCACTTGGGTGGTTCAAATCGTATCTTGCAGATAGAGCACAGTTTGTTTCAATTAATGGTAGAAATTCAGAGCCACTGAAGATTACCTGTGATGTGCCCCAGGGATCAGTGCCAGGACCCTTGCTCTTTCTTTTATATATACATCAACAATTTACCAAGAGTTTCAAAACATTTTTCCTATTTGCTGATGACGCAAATATCTACTTTGAATCAGAAACACGTGTCTGCTCATACATCATGCCTCAGCGGTGAGAGAAAAGGATGAATTATTTAGCTTGGTCTAAACCAATCAATGAGTAGCTTTTTCTAGCATTTCATAATGTTGCTGTGTTCATGTTGGCATTTTACAAGTTTGAACCATCATGCATACAACTTCAATCACTATGGGCACACTTAAAACTTGCAATGAAATAATTCTTGTCTTCAGTTAGTGTTAGGTTTTATTTGGCTGTTGTGTAAACCAATCCAATAGTGTTCTTAAGTTTCTATATTTTTATGTTAAATTTTTGATATAACATTTTTTGAAAATGAAAGCAGTTGTCAAGAGAAGCTTGATCAGTGAGCAAGAAACTTTCGGTTCAGTTTCACAGCCATGTTTAGATTTAAATACTTTAAGCTGTTTTGCAATTATTAAATTAACTTTGTACAGCCTGTTAATTGCTAGATAGTGTTAATTAATCTTCTGTTAATTCTGCTTTCTAGATGAGTTTCCTTTGTCAATGCCTGGTCCATTTGATACCTACTCCATCGGTGCCTACGAAAAGAGCATAATCCGACTGAGAAACAGCACAGGAGTAAGGCACACAGAGCACTTCACAAAAAGGCATTTGCATACAGTCATGCAGATTAACTCGCAGATCAAAGGGGAAGATTTCTTCCAAGCATGTGGCCTAGCCACTTCATTTACTAATCTTCTTGCAATTGCTCATGACCATGGGCATCATCAAGGATTACCTTTAAAAGAGCCTTTAAATTGCAACTGCATCATCTCAAATGGTGTTTCCATGTTGTTCATGGTATACCAGTTAAATACCACTGAAATGAACGATGACAAGGGTATATGGAACCGAGCTTGGTGTTCACCTTTGATGCCTCTATTTACTCCCAAAGATGGTCTCCCAACAAAAAGACAATTACATGAAATAGCAGATACAGACAAACTTCTTAATTTCAATGAAGATGCAGTTGCACTGTTCTTAAAACTTTTACACAGATAAGTATATCTTTAAATTGTAGCATCAGTTTATTGGCTTCAATAATTAGTTCATTTAAAGATGTTTACTATTCGTATGGTGTGGTTCCTTTATAAATTTGTTGTTACTATATCATTTTTTATGTGATTTTAAATTTGTCCAGTTAATGAGTGGATGGCAATCTCAGCTCTACGTAAAATTTAGATCTCAGAAATCATGAGAAAAATGCAGTTTTATTCACAAAGTAATCTAAACTTTTATATAAAGATATGTCTTGTTTTCATTGCTTTTTCCATAAAAGTTCGAACATTTTTCTCTTTATCCGAATGTAAGATGGGTACTTTTTACTCTCGTTAATACAAATTCCCTTTTCTTTAAACAAAGCCATAATATAAATCCTACTGCTAGAAGCTCAAATTTCTTAAAGGTTTGTCTTATATTACTTACACTTTTAAACTTGCAAGTTTTGAACAGGAACTTTCCAAATAGGCCTTTCGTACCTATTTGGTACGATTATACCATACTTTTTTGAAACAACAAGCTTGCGATCATGAATCAGTGTCTAAATTTTTTGTTGATTTTAGTGCTTAAAGTCAACCAAACGCTAAAAATCTAAATCTTAGAATCACAAAAACGCAATGTGAGATAACATGAAATAAAACACCCAACAAGTTGCCAGAGGCTGTTCTTTCTATCTTCTTTATGTCAATTAAGCCTCACTCATCGGACTTTGCTTATTAAAGATTATAACAAAGCTAATAATCTAATTAAAACCTAAAAAGTTTCATGCATATGACAAATTATTTTTGGCAAGAATCTGAATCTGTTCTCCAAACAAATGCAACTGTAAAATCACGATAAATAGCACAAAGGTAATTGATTGTTTATTCCGCCAAATGCCAAATTTTCTAACATTACTATGCTTGCGGCAGGAGTGGCGGCATGGGGGGGGGCAAGGGGGGGCTTTAGCCCCCCCTAGATTTTTGTTAGCCCCCCTGTCGGCAGCCAATCAATTTTTGCTTTCTCAATACCGTCGGCACTTGATGGATGTCACCCGGTTTACATCTTGTTTGAATGACAAAAATAATCGAGGAGAAAACTGCACTGGCTGGTTTATGGTTTTCTCAATGGCTTTTCTTCGGCAATTTTACTATCATAGTGGCATTATATCCTGTCGCTTCCGTGAAAGCTGTGACTTAATTTCATGGTGCTCCTTCGCATGACCCACAATACCATCGTGCTCCTCTCTGTTGAAATCCCTGTTGCTGCTCATGCGAATGCCAATTCATGCGAAACGTGCAGAGACGCTTGATTTGGATCATGTTTTGGACCGTTTCAAGGAAATTTACCCTAACAACAGCAAAATCACGTTGTCATAAATAAACTCTTTAATGAATTTTCTTCTTAAGGGATTCTCTTTTCGTTTCAAGACATTATTATTGCCAATGAAGACATTTCGATCATGAGCACATTTTGCGCAATAAATTTTTCAAAAAGCACTTTTTGTCCTTTTCATCAACTATTTTTCAATAGCATTGTTCACCGCATAGCTTCCGACAAACAAATGTTTTGGAGAAAACCATCGATTAACTTCTTCCAACATGGATAGGAAGAAATATTCAACAATAGGCAATATTTGCGCATTAAGTTTCTTACAAGGCACAATTTACCGAGAAAATCTCGTGGACTCCGACACAGGTTGGAAAATGGGGGCGGGGAGGGGGCAAGGGAGAATTTTGCACCCACAACAAACGATTTTGGAAAAATGCTCTATTGCTTGCTCTATATGCTTGCTTGCTCTTGGAAAAATGCTCTAGATCGGTGCCCTTTCATTGGAGGTGCTGCTCAGGGGGCGTCGAGACTGGGGGGTTGTCACACCCACCCCAATAGTATCTCAATAGGAAATTTCAGGTAAAATCCGCTCGGTGGAAGAAACGCTTTAGGTATTTCAGAGACCTTCCTGTCATAAAATCAATGAAGGATCAAGCAATCTTAGGTAAAATTGTGCCTCGTGTCCATTTCTCCTAAAGTTTCTCAGTAGAAGCGTCAACTGCAATTCACTATGAGCTCCAGATTTTTCTTAACATTCATAAGGCATGCTAAGATGGAGAGAGGGATCTAAATTTAAAAGTAACTGACAACCTGGTATTTTTCAAGACCACGGCGAAATTGTTGTTTTTATCTGCTGTAAAAATTTTTTGCAAAAAGATAATAATTTTCAATAGGATTAGGAGGATTGCTTTAGTGAAATCTGCTTAAAAGAGTGAATTTTCCAGGGAACTAGAAGCATCACAATTCGAAAATTTCCTACCCCTTCGGCGGCAACCATGGTGCCGCCTCAGGTAGTAACTATATATTTTGCCCGTCCCGATATAGAGATTTGACAAGACTATTAGAAAAGTCGGTTATTATCATACAAAGTTAGATTGATAAAATGTATTGCAGAGGTTTGTGACACCAGCTAAAAAGTTTCAGGCAATAATTTTTTAATCAGGTAAATTCGCATTCCACCCCCCTCCCCCCACGAGGCTTGCCTCGTGACGGCACTGCCTGCTATATGGGGCAAATCGAATTTTTTTTTCTGTCGGCAATTTGACACATCCAGCGTCGGCAGTTACGGAGAATATAAACTTCGGCACCTTGAAGGTTTGTCTCTAGCGCCACCCCTGGCTTGCGGGTGCTTCCGCTCTGCACCCTGTAACGACGCCTATGTGGTGGCCAGTTATCGATCGAATTAAACTCGTTTTGATTGCGCCTTGCAGTGACCGATTGGCCATCACGTGGTCCAAAAAATAAACCAAACTCACTATATCTGCATAAATCGGGGTCTACATACACCCTTTTTTAAACGAACCAGTAAATTTAAGTTCAGGCTAACTTTTCTTGATTTATTCGAAAATCTGAGGCTGGATTGTTCTCAATTTGTTTTTAAATTAATAGAGTGTAAGCAGTGTGATTGCTAGTTTTTTCGCTCTGGGAAGGTGTTCAGGCCTCATTTAGCAACATGACTGAGACGACTTTCATATGCCGACAAGTTTGAAAATTCACCGAAAAAGCACCAACACATAGCTTAAAATCTTCGTCATTAGGATGAAACGTTGCTTGAAATTACATTTTACAGTAGCCCAGCCCCAGCTCGTTCTTATTTGTTCTTAGCTCTTGATTAATTTTAAGGCTCATTTTTTATAAAATTCTTATAAAAAAGAGTGTAAATGACCCTGCTTTATTTTAGAAATTTTCGACACTATACGTTTCTGTGCATTCTTGTTTTCCAAGTAAGTTTTACCTTGGGTCGAATTGAATATATTTTGGACACTATGACTTTCACAAACATGAAGATCTTTCCAGTAAAGAATAGGATGTTTAGCATTAGAAGAAACATCTCCGGAGAGAATCTGCGAAAATTCTGCAAACAATTTTTTTGGGGTACAGAATTTGAAATGGCTTTGAAAAGCAAGCATTCTTAAATATATTTAAGCTATAAGTCTGATGCTCTTCAGAGTATAAAACATCAGAGTAAATCGAATCGAATATCGAATCGAACAACACTACGCTAGGAAATATGAATGCCCAGTTGTGGACCGAAATAGGCCAGCCAGAACGCGAGCACATGACTGCAAAGGTCGTCCAATAAGCGCCCCTTGAACAGGCGCCCCTTGAATAAATAGGTCGCAACTGTATCATTTGTCTGCGAAGGCTTCTCACTTAAGATACATTTTTGCTGAACAATCATTCATTCGGTGGTCATTGAAACTTTCCAATGTAATAACAGGATTAATCATCACGCAATTTTTGTTCATGAGAATACACTTGCAAAGAAAGGCTCTAAAAAGCGTGCTTTGAATGTTTGCGTAACTAGGACAATGTCAACACACGATCGTGCATAACAGCTTTGAAGAAATTCCTCCATGTGATCAGTTTGTTTATTTTTTATTTGTTGTCGTTTCATTATTTCTTTTTCCTTCCTTATCTTGTCAAGCTGATATTTGTAAACGGCTGCGCGAAATTCTCCTTTGTGGGCTTAACGTGAATTTGTCTGCAATAGGCCACATACTTGATGTTTTTCAACTTCTCGGCCAGCTCGCTAAAACCCAATAAATTCGACATCGTTTTATTCTTGTGGTTTCCTATTTGCGGATTATGCTTTGGTTTAAATAGCCAACAGAATTTATAAAACTGTTTGGTTGTCAAATCCGTTCTCCCAAAGCCTTGACATTATGGCCATCTTCAGCTGGACTTAAAAAGGATTCTTCCTAAAATAACTGTCCTTGTCACACTGATTTGTCTTCTCAGAGACCAGATAACTTTCGTTTTATCATTCCATCAGATTGGAGTATCTCTACTACATAAAGCCTAATTCTTTTCATTTTTCCAGCATTCATGAAAGATTTCTGATCATGAAAGGTCAAGTTTTACTGTACTGCAGAATTTTATTCTCTGTTTAAACCTGTCTCTATTTTGCTGAGTCGAACCTTATTCAAAATCAATGGCCCTCTTTTTAAGAATGATTTTTTTAGAAATAATCAAATATAACTCAAAATTAGACAATTTCAATAAATTATGTACCAATTACAGATGTTATCAATTATAGAAAAACTTTTTGGCTATGCTTTTTCAAAGTTGTGATGAAGTCATGAAGACTCGAAATTGATGGAATTGATTGAGAATGATAGCAAGGCCCGAATTTCATCAAGAATTTGACGTTTTATATACATAAGTATCTGTGTTTTTAAGCTTTTTAACAAACAAGATGAGCGTTGTTTTCATCCGAAACCTTTCGAAGGAATTGTCAAGCATGTATTGCGGTACACTCTTTTTTTTTAAGAACACGAGCCTTAAAAATGATCAAAAGTTAAGAACGAATTAAGAACAAGCTGAGGCTGAGCTTCTGCAAAATGCAACTTTAAACAACGTTGCAAAATTGAGGATTTTTTGCGATATGTGGGTGATTTTTCGGTGAATATTCAAATTTGTCAGCAAATTAAGGCTGTCTCACTCACTTTGTTGGCAAATGAGGCCTGAACACCTCCTTAGAGCGAAAAGCTAGCAATAGCACTGCTTACACCCTCTTAATTTAAGAACAAATTAAGAACAATCCAGCCTCAGATTTTCGAAAAAATTAAGAACAGTCAACCTGAACTTAAATTTACCGGTTCTTATAAAAAAAGAGTGTAGTTTGATTCATTTCCTACAATGTTTTTGTGATGAAAAACTACAGTAGAAAGATTTAAGAATAATTATAGGCCCAGAATCATAGTTTTTTAAGAACATCAAGTCTCAGGTCTAAAAAGAAGTAGGGGGGGGGGGCTAAAAAGTATAAAAAAAGACTTTACTGGTAGTTAATTACTTAATACTTGGCATTCTTTGCAAAAAGTGTGGGAGGGGGGGGGGCTAAAGCCCCTCACTCTTTGAAGTATGATATTAAGCTGAAGGGTAAAAAGGAGGTAGCTGAATTGCTTAATGAAGCTTTTCCCTTTTTCATACGAGATCGAGGTGCGATCTCTCTCCCTTTTGGTCTCTATCTTATACGGACATTGGCGATCATGGTTCCCCACAATAAGTTATTTTTGCATTTCTATTTTCTATCGAAGAGAAGACCGAATTTTATCAGATGGCCGCAGTTGCAAGTAAACCTCTAACTCAATTATCGCTGGGAATGTGTTAAGTTACAAAAATTACCAAAAATTATGGAAGGCATGTATAATATTTTTAATAAGGAATTTTTGATAGAAAAGCAAATTAAACAAATAGTGTTAAAATCATGAAACGGCAGCCGTTGTCCAGATGTTTGTTTTGGTTTCGTTGTCATGTCACCTTGACGAGGGGAAATGTCAAGATACTTAAGAGCGTCGAAATTTCACGTACTTGAATCTCTCAGACATCGGAACTTGTTTTCATCATTCTTATCACCGTGATAAATTCCTAAAAGTTGTTATTCTGTTTCAAAAGCCTTGGAAAAATTGTTAAATTAATGAGGGGGGAGGCTTGTGACCAGGGCCGTCGCTAGCCATTGTGGTCAAGGGGAAGGGGGGGGGCAGGAAAACGTTTCTCAGCCTTTTTGGAATGTCACCTCATTTCTTTGGTCTTTAGTCGGTGCTACAAGCTGCAAACGATAGCATAGGATTTTTCCGGACATCTACATTTATCTTGCTAGAAAGAAAGAGCCTTAATGACTTCAGCGTCAAACAGAGGTCCCTTCAGTTCTCGGCAACTATAAACGTTGGGTAGACGTAATATTTTGGAAATGTTTTCTTTTCGCAGTTTTTTTTACGGTTTGGAGGCTGCCTTTGCGTAACCAAAAGTTAGTTATGGGCTGGTTATATCAAACATGGTCATAAATCTTGGATTAATTTTTAGCCTGACCATGAAATTTCGGGGTATCATTTTTGAAAGAATGGTAATATTTTTTAATTTATTAATATCTGATTTAATCATCATTAAATGTTTGTCTCAAATTTGAATTAAATTTACGGGTATGCATGCGTTGCATTTGGTATGTAAATTTAGGGTGGGGTTTTTTGGCAAATTTATCAATTTTAGGATATAACTTCATATGTAAAAATTGCAGATCCCCGTATTTTGCCTATTGAATTTAACCCATCCCCCTTGGCCTTAGACGATGCTATCGGGGAGGAGATCAAGGGAATCAAGGGGGGGGGGTCAAGGGCCCATTGCTTCAAGAGATGACTAACAGAGCTAGCCCATTTGCAAGACGACAGACATAAGTTTTAACTTAGACCCCAATTAACCTATTTTCAGAAGACATATTTTAAGTGTTAAATTTTACACATTTTGTACGGTTTAGTCTTTCAACTGAAGCCTTTCAAAGAGCATAACTTGGATGCAGTTTAGCGCTCCTCTTTCATAGTGTGTGATCGCTCAAGTGAACTCGTTTTAAAAATAACCTGACCGCGATTCTACTTCCGGGCCATTATTCGTTCTCAGTTTATCAAAGGAAGCCTTCCCGCCAGTTCTAAACCGCAAGCGAAGAAGTGGTTGTTAGCAGTTAGTTCAGCGTTGCTCGGCCCTCGTTTTCAACGCTGTTTTTGGAAAAGCAGTCAACTTTTCAACACTCTTAAAAGCAGGTATCGAGTTTGCTGATGGTGAAATCGTTGGCGTACTGGAGCTGCTTGTTGATACAGGCGACTATGGTAGCAAGTTGCGAATGAACGTAAACTGGTTGGTTTTCTAAGAAGAAGCCCCACGATGCTGACAATGACTTTATACAGGTTTCATTTTGTTCTTCTTGCTTTGTGGCTGGCGCTCGCTGTTGTTACAGAGGTCGAAAGTGTGCCCTCTGGAAAAATCACAGCTTCTAAACCCCGCAGAGATGACAACAAAAACGCTGGAGCTTTTGTTTATAAAGACAGTGTGTCTAATCAACAAAGCAGCAATCTAATTGAATGCATCGCAATTTTGCCAACCAATGGATGTAGCGGGGTGTTGATCGATGAAAGATGGCTACTCACTTTGAGGGAATGTACTACAGGTATTTTAAAAGGGGAGGTAAAATTTTTTTGCAATCATATGCCAGCTTTCACCGTGCATATTTTAGAGACAATTTCGAGAGAGCAGTTTTCTCTAATTCTGTTAAAGAAATCACCAGTCCTGTCAAGGATCTTTCATTTTCGTCTGTCAGAAGCCGACGTTGTCAGCCGTCAAAGAAATGAAAGGTTTGTGTCTTTAGTCCCAAAACAAACCACAGGAACAATAACTGAGGTAGTGTTTGTTTCCAACGATGAACGGTGCATTCTAAAAAATGGGAAGGAAGCCAATGGGACCATTTGCTTATCGCTGGAAAAACAGAAGTTTGAAAAAGCATGTGGTTTAGCCACTGGGCTACCGGTATCGACAAAGGGAGAAGAAAACGAAAGAGTTATCGTTGGACTCCTGCAAAATGGAGTTAAGTGTGAGAAAAATCAGCGAACGCGGAGATCATTGGATGATGATTATGTTGTCGGGAGAGCCCTCTCTTCCCAAGATGTTAAATGGATCCGAAAAGTTCGTTCCATATCAGGTAAAATATTCGTTTATTATATCAGATCACATTCTGTAAATATGTTTTTCTAATGTTTAATTTTGAATTATTAAGAATGACCACCCACTCTCGATGCCCAGAGAGCAATATGTAATTGTGTTCCAGCTCGACTCCTGTTGCCCCCACCCAAATTTCAGCTGTCGTATCCGCCCCAGATGGCACATAAGAAATGCTGGCAGTTTCGTATTGTCTCATTCATATGGATATCCAAGCCTTTTGCTACTGAAATGAATGTTACATAACAATTTTACGATAAGAACATTCTTGAATTGTAACTATATTTGCCAGAAGAGAGTTGATCGATCGATTTTTCGGTCAAGTTAATTGACAGCATTGTTTGCTCTCTAAGCTTCCCCAGAAATCATGTCAAGACAGATTAGGGGGCTTCGTCGCGTTGGTCCCCATGGGAAAATTGGCAGGAGCTCGACCTACCCTAGGCACCAGATGAGAGTTCTGGCTCTGGCTCTAATTTTTCGGCTCTGGTACTCACGGTAGGGTGCAACCCCTTCTTGATTCTGCAGGTGACAATCGTTTCTTTTGTAAATCCATCATTAAGATTTGAAAAAAGCAAACATTTTGAAACATGTTAAAGTGTCAGAGGAAAAGCTTTATCAAAATGTCAAAATGTTTCCTTTTTTCGAATCCATTTTTAATGATGGATTTACAAAAAGATAGTTTGCTAATCCACCATTCATCAGTCAGTTCTTTCAGTTTTTTTGTACCCGATGTCATGTGAAAAATCACTAACACCCGCTTAGATCGTAATTGAATACCCGATTTCAAAGGATGGATTGCAACAAGAGATAGTGTCACTGACCATGTTGTGATTGCAGTAGGGGTGGGTGGGGTAAGAACATAAAAAACTCCATTACATGAAATATAAATGCTCCTTTGAAGCCCCACTCTAACGAATTCAAATATGCCTAATAAGTGCATGCAAATGCTTTAAAGAAGATTTCTGAATGAGAAAAAATGAGGGAGGTATAATGTGCAATAACACCGTTAAACAGGGTACACAGGGGTTAGGGGATCAGCCCCACAAACAACAACTCATTCATTGAACTCTGCCCAGTCTCGTCTTTCCCCTTAATCATATTCCCAGTATGCCCCGTGGCCACTGTAATCAAACCAGCGTTTCAAGTTAAAAGAAATTAAGTGGACAAGTTCAAATTAAACCAATGACACCCGAGTCTCTGATTCCTAATCTCGAACGAGTTTTTCTACTCAACTCTTGAGTACAGAGAAATTGGTTTCCCAGACACAAGCCTTCCCCCAGGACATGAAATTCTTCCAGCAAATCAAGCTAATTCTTTGTATTATCAGAACTGAAGTCCTTAAGCTGCGAGCAACCACAACAAATTATCACTTGTTGATGGATAACCTTTTTTAGTTTGAGTAGCCCGAGACATGAATCGGAGTATTACTTGAAGTTTAGATTCGTAAGAGAATCTTTGAAGAGAAGTGACATTTTGTTCAGGAACAATTTCAGTGAACGAAATCGACGAGCAGGAACCAAGGCTCGTGTTGAGGGGGCTGGGGGGACTCAGTCCCCTGTTATAATTCCGATAATTTTCGACGGGCTCAGCCCCCTGGAGAAGCGAGCACGGTTTCAGCTTGAAAACGAGGCTGCTTTTGCGCTGTTGGTATAAAGGCTACTTATCATGATTTGTTTATCAAGCCGTGCCTATCTTGTCAGTGCGACAGTTCCATTACTTTTGAATCCAGTGTAAATAAGTCTCAAAGGTCTGTCCTCTTTTACTGTGAATGGGAGGGAAAATTTATTGCCTCCTAAAATGTATCGTATGCATGCTATGAGCCTAAGCAAGATTATTCATACAATTGTATGGATTAAGAACAGTTTTGGGATCGTTTTGGGCAGGTCTAAGTTTTCTCTGCCCCCACCTTACTGGGATTAGGTTTTTCCAAAAATTTGGTGAACTGGTTCCTTGACCACTTTTGCGAGAGGTTCCCTCAAAGAGTTGAGACATAAAAAAGACGTTTTTGTCACGCTTTTGCCATCTCATCAACAACTGACTTTCTTAACAGTTTACTTAGTTCATTCACAAACGAAAGATTGTTTTGTATTGTATTGTAGATTATTTAATTTTAGTTTCTACAATAGTGAATAAACATGAAGCAATTTCAAGGATTGCATAAGACAGTTCATTTACTGCAAAATGAGCATGCGCACTTATTTTCAAGGAACCACGTTTTGATCAAATTCTTTAATTGTTTAGTATTGTGTGCTGTCTTTATTGATTCCGGGAGTGAATTCCAGATTTTAGGCCCTTGGTCACTTAATGATCTGATACCATTATTGGCAGTTCTGGCTTTTGGAATGTCAAGGGGGTTTTTGAGTCGATAATTAATAAATAATTAATAAAAGATAGCTGAGAAGTAAAGAGTTCATCAATTTGATATACACGATAACAGGATTACGGATGCTTAATTGTCCAATCATATCAAAGGGAACTATTTCTGTTACGCTTGTAGCGGGTTCTGTTGGGGTTTTTGCGGACGATGTGTTTCATCCTAGGCTACTTCCTTTCTTTAATCACTAGTAATTACTTTATGTGGAATGAAACACTGTTTGAAATATATATAATAATAAGTAATAATAATTTGTTTATAGCTGACGTACTAGATGAATGTCTAATAGCTATAAAGAAGCTAATTAAGGCCAACTATCTATGAAGAATTGGTATAAAATAAATATATGGTACAATGTTAAAAATGTTTAAGGTTTAATATTCCAAATAAAACCTAACCCTGCAATAAATATTTTACATAATCTACAGTCGCATTCTACAGGGTGTGCTCTTAATTCTTTTTTAAATGTTGCCAGTGATTGGGACTCTCTTATACTGTGAGGTAGTGTTTGCCACAATTTTTGACCTAAATATCTCACAGTTTCTTACCATAATAAGTTGTCCTGGCTTTTGGAATGCAAAGATTATTTCACAGATCGTAAATTTACGTTTTATATTTCTTGCTTCAAAAATCTCACTCATGAATCTACTGTTTGAAGAGTTCGAAGATAGCTCAGGAAAACGAAATCATGAACACGACAGTACTGTTTATCAACACTCTTCAGGTTTTAAAAATCGGATAATGACTTAATATAAATAGAAATTTATATCCAGGCGTGGATCGAAAGTAAGTGAGGAAAGAATGACGGGTTTGACTGCGTTTTTGAAAATGTTTGTTACGGTCTCACGTATGTTATGAGGGACCCTTAACCTTGTTTCCATTGGATATTATTCGCAAAAAGACACATCAACATAGAGGAATTCAGGATTATGGTTTTAATTGTATATTTGAAATTCATCACTTGCTTCCAAAAGATTTTGAGGAAAAGATGATTGCGGCGATATTTTATAATCTTTTTAATGGCTTTTTCTCCAACAATGAAAAGCTTAACATTTGAATTATCATTTCAAGGGTATAGAAATATTTAGTAGCAGATAAGTGCCGGATTGAAAAAATTATATTGTGCTAAAGAGCTGAAAAGCAGATTTTTACAACTACAGTCGAAAACAAGTAATCTCAATTCCAACTCCTGACGAGAGCGAGGCTAGTATCGATCAGACAATGTCTTCAACAAAATTTTTGTCCAAATTTTCACAGAGTTTTCATTTTGTGACCTTCTTTAACGATTTTGTTAGAAGTTATGTCACTGCCTTGACCAATTACCCCTTTCAAAGTCGAGATGTGGATGCAGAGCAGAACCTGTAGGGAGATCAGGGAGAAGCGAAGAAATGGAGAAGTGAAGAAATGGAGAAGCGAAGAAATGGAGTAGGGAAGAAATGGAGAAGTGAAGAAATGGAAAAGTGAAGAAATGGAGAAGTGGGGAAGTGGAGAATTGGGGAAATGGGGAAATGGGGAAGTGGGGAAATGGGGAAGTGGAGAAGTGAAGAAATGGAGAATTGGGGAAATGGGGAAATGGGGAAGTGGAGAATGAGGAATAAGTGAAATTTCAGAAGTTCCCTCGCCCCGTTAATAATCTCGTTCCGTTGATGATAATTTGAGTTTTCTCTGGTAAAACTACTTGGATTTTTAAGGTGTTGCCCTGTGTGGTTCTTCCTATTTATTTTCTCCAGTTAAGACCAAACCTGGTACCTTAATGTCTCAAACTGTCTAACTTAATTCCAGTTTCATCAAATACATGCATAGAATATAACGTAGCCACCCATCAATGAATTTACATGGCTGGTTTTCTCTGTTTTAACTTTTTCACTGACATCGCACCGTAACAGTGAATTCAAGTGACAACAATTAAAGTTATGAAGCCTTTAATTCTCTGTTTTCGGATTACGTGACACCGGCTGGTGAATTGATTTGATGAACACTTTGACTGGGATTGAATTTTAAGAACTGGATTTAAGTCTTGGATTTCGTAGCCAAATACCTGGATTATTTTCCAGCAATGTCCATAAAGAGCGACTGTGTTCGTCCTTCTTATGTCGTCTCGTTAATCCAGTGACCCATTTCCAAAGCAGGTGACCCGCATTTTGCATTTCTTTTCCTTGGCTGGTTTTTTTGCATTTCCTTGTTCATTTTGAAGAACATGTCATAATCAAAGTCATGAGAATGATAATAATCAACAACACGATAATCGCAAGTGTCATAATAATCATCATCACCATCATTATGTAGATTTTTAGTAGATTTTTAGATGTATCATATATCATCCCACATATTTCAGTTGATTTTTTAATTTGTAAAGTTTTTGGCACGACCCCCTGAAAATCAGTCATGACTGACGGGGCTACCGTGCATTAATAATTTTAAAATGAAAAAATGAAAAAAATTATAGCATCATTACCAGAGGCGCTTCTAACCTGGGAAATCGGGGGGGGGGGCATCACAGAAAATCCAAAGGCATTAGGGTACGGGACATATTTATCAAATAACCGCTTTGTTTAAGGTGATCAAAACCTGCTTGTTTCAAAAACTGTAGTAATGATTTAATCTGGAAATTTTAGAAAGAACTCCCGAGCAATTCATATCACTACAATCAAGCACAAGCCACTTGCGGCCCTAGGAGCTAACCAATGTCTATATAGGTATTGATAATGAATAAATAAATGTAATATCGAAAACTTATATAGAACATATAGGCGGAAACACTAACAAATAACCTTAAATCTTTTTAGAAAAATTGGAGAAGGGGGACAAATGAAGGGACCAAAAAATTTATCGATGGCTCGGGGCTTAGAATCGCCACTGACCATTATCGCATCGCCACTGACCATTATCGCATCGCCACTGACCATTATCGCATCGCCACTGATCATTATCGCATCGCCACTGATCATTATCGCGTCGCCACTGACCATGTTATGTTCATAGTTAAATCAGGCTTCCTTGTATAATTTCTTTTCCAATACCACCTAATAAATTATTATATTCTTATTATATATTAACCCCTATACAAGAGGTCACAAGACTAGCCAAGTCATGATCCTCTTCTTATCTCATATCGATTGCCTTCATGAAATTGTTCCTTGAAAGTAACAAAGAACAATCAGACACTCAATAATTTAACACTCAATCGCAGACCCGCGCTGGCGCTCATAGTAATCTCGAAGCCTTTTATTGACGCCAAAAAGAGGCATTTCTTCTCGGCGGTAAGAATCGCACCATGGCTTTTGGTATCACTAGCAAATCCAGCAAAAGATACAATTGCTTATTGTAGTTTGGCAGGCGTAGGCTCCCGTTGAAGTTTTATAGATTAACTTTCCAGACATCTATTGCTTTTTGTTTCAACCGTAGCATTTGTGACATTAGGCCAACTCAGCATTGTGACAATGGGTAAGTAACATAGTGCTAGGAGCATTCCTTTTAACTGAGGAAATTGTTCCAGAAAGCACGCAGTCGCTGGTTCAAAGAGGGAAAATCCAAACACATTAACTACTTAGGTGATACAGACACATTAACTAAGTTAAAGGCAATACAGCTCTTTCTTATTCATGATTGTCATATTCGAATGCATCGTGACAGTACAACAGCTCTATTATATATCAATTCGAATACTATGGTGTATTGGCAAGATAATTTATCTTGGTCTCACTCAATGCCATTCACCAGACCCGAAAGTACCAGGATGGATAGTTGTGAGGGTGTAACTATATTAAGTTTGAGTTTGGGTTGGATCCAGTACAAAATTACAATTGGGTGATTTTCAGTCGGAAATTTTTACCCTTCAACCTCTCAAAATAACAATCAATTTCCGTGATCCCTGCCTTGGTCCCTGCCTTTGTTCCTGCCTTGGTCCCTGCCTTGGTTGCTGCCTTGGTCCCTGCCTTGGGCCCTGCCTTTGTTCCTGCCTTCCTGCCTTGGTCCCTGCCTTTGTTCCTGCCTTGGTCTCTGCCTTGGTCCCTGCCTTGGTCCCTGCCTTGGTCCCTGCCTTGGTCCCTGCCTTGGTCCCTGCCTTTGTTCCTGCCTTGGTCCCTGCCTTGGTCCCTGCCTTGGTCCCTGCCTTGGTCCCTGCCTTGGGCCCTGCCTTTGTTCCTGCCTTCCTGCCTTGGTCCCTGCCTTTGTTCCTGCCTTGGTCTCTGCCTTGGTCCCTGCCTTGGTCCCTGCCTTGGTCCCTGCCTTCGTCCCTGCCTTGGTTGCTGCATTGGTTCCTGCCTTTGTCCCTATCTCGGTCCCTGTCTTTGTCCCTGTCTTGAGTTTAATTATCAAGGTGTCTCGTGGTAGCCATGTTTCGCCGTATTTTTAAACATTTCCGGTTCCTAAAGAGGAATTAATATGAAGGGTAAAAACTACTGAAAAATTCAAAATTACCTGCATCCCTTGGACAAGAAATTACCCCTTGGTTTTTTATTGCAAACACTGCCCCTATAATTCTAAGTTCACATTAGATTAGAAAATATCTAAGTTTACTGTTTTTGTTTCCCTAGATGATCCTGTGTGTGCCTCGGCTGGACACAAGGTTCTTGACGATGCACAAAGACAGGTCTCCTCCTCAATCCTCGGAGCGAGGCCTGGTGGCAATGACTTGTGTGATGGCTATCTCAAAGAAGACTGGTACCGATTCGAAGTCAATGGGCAACCTGTTGATGCTGCAAGCCAATGCCCGGACGTTTTTTCATGTGGAACAAAGGAGCCTGTTTGGATCGCAATGCCAAAGCGACCTCTGATTGGTGAGCCTCTTTCTCAGTTCTAAAGCTATTTTTCTAAGCGATCAGTTACAATGGGCAATAGCGTTAACCCAGGACTGGATCTAGCCATTTCAGTGACAGGCAAAAGAAAGGTTTTGTGGGGCGCGGCTAACGCCAAAGTCAAAGATGATTACAATATCGTCCCCATTTTGACTACCTGTAGGCACTTTACCTGTAACCAACTATTTTTCCACCTTATCTGAGAAGTAGATAATGTTATCCTCCTTAAAACAGCCCCTGGAAGATACCTTGATGCTGGTTCGGGGAATGCCTCATTTTGATGGTCAGCCCTGCTATGTATGAACTGAACTTACGTTGATTTAAAAGACTTCTGACTGTGAACGTAAGCAGAGAGAGTCTTTGAAACATATATCAACGATTTAATGTATTAATTATTAACAAAAGAAAGACAGTAAAACATTTATTTATTACTCGATACCGTATAAGCAGAGCAGTACAAGTTTTAATGTATAGAACACGACGGTCCTAAGATGCTACCCCGAGTTTCACGTTAAACACACTAAATACCTTGGGGTATATGTAGATCAACATTAGAGCTGGGGCGTGCCGATAGCTAATATAATCAAAAAGATCTCTAAGACGTTAGGAATGCTGCGCTTTTACAAACAATACCTCCCTATAAAGTCATGTGCAAACAATGTATAAAAGTCTGGTGAAGCCGTACTTTCGTTAATGTTGCCCAGTATGGGGGGTATGTGGAATCACGGCACTAGACAAGCTACAGAAGTTGCAAAATCGCGCGGCCAGAAAAGTAACCAAAAGCCCGAACAACGCTTCTGCTTTTCTAATTATAGAGAAACTGGGCTGGCAGACAGTTAATGACTTGATTGTAAAAGAAACTTTGAAAATGGTTTACAAGTTAACAAATAATGAGGCTCCCTCGTACCTTGCGTGCCTGTTCGACAGGCTATCAGAAACCAGTACCCGGAAACTTCGAAACACCGAAACCGATTTACGTCTCCCGTGTCTAAGAACAACATTTGACCAAAAATGCTTTTCTTTTAAAGAGGCAAAACTATAGAATGGCCTGGACGCATAATCAAAATTAACAAACAGTTTCAAACAATTTAAGTTCTGTCTCGAAGACTCCAGAACATAAAGTAACCCTTTTTATTCCTGGCGTTCGTTCCAGTACTTTTAACGGCTTTTACTTTGTTATACTATTTTGTATATTTGTATTGTTAGATTTTAGGGTCTATCCTTTTTCTTTGTACAGGGCAGCTTGGAAAGCAATTTCTGTATATGTAGTTGATAGCTTTACCATGTGTAAATAATTAGAAATGAAATGAAAATGAAAAGTGTTCATGCAGATATTGCTCAGTTTGTTCTTATTGAAAATATATAATATCTTTTAAAATATTCTAGGTGAGCAAATCGTGACAGACGGATGCAGGACGATCGAGTTCAGAGGCAGAAAGATTTGTTGTGCTTGGAAACTCGAAGTTGTCATTAAAAACTGTGGCGATTTCCTCGTTTACCGGTTAGGCCCTACTGGATTCTGTCCGTCAGCATATTGCGTTAAAGGTAAACGTCTCATTTAATGCCAACTGGTTTGTTCTATAAATGACTGTTCTAAGGTTACACTCTTTTAGGTGTTACGTCATTGCTCAACATGTTATTGAAAATCAGCCTGAAGGCCAATCGTGTTAATACCTTATGTATCTATGAACAGAGAGTCACCGTTCCAATGCGATTAAGCATCAACCCAATTAACTAAATCTGTAATGCAAATGTTTACAATTGGTTATCACGCAAATTGCTGCTCTTCGTGCAAAAATCTGACATATTCTACAATTCTCATCGCGCCTGCGCTACCACATTGTTCTCGTCAGCTGCGATGCAGATACTAGGCCGTCTTCATTTTTGTTCTGAACCCTGCTTTTCTGTCTTTACCAATAATGGATGCTCTGCGAGCCTTCTCCAAAAGATATCAAAGTAATTTCTCATGCCACGTGGTGCAAAATGCAAATATATTGATTAAAGATGAGACTAAAAACAGTACTATTCACCAATGAAAACGTTTAACATAAAAGCTACTCCGTATTCCAGCTGTAACCCTCTTTTTTATTAGCTGATACCCTGGGTACCAGGGCCACATAAATTTAAGTGCAGAAAAAGAAAATAGGAGTAGAGAAGCGGAGGGGCGTCTATCTTTCTTCTCAGCTAGACGCTTCTCCGCGTGGTTTTCTATTTACGCGCGCTCGAAATTTTGTGGCTCGGGTACACAGGATACCCACTGACTTGGTCGGATTCTGTCAACCCTTCTTTTCTCCCCATCTAATGCCTCCCCATTCATTTAAAAATTGATACTGCGAACATAACCCTAAACCACGAAGCACGTATTAAAAAGAATATAAACAACATTTCTTGGCAGCAAATATTGACATCCCAGAACTCCAAAAGTCAGTATTCATTTACCTGTTTTTCCGTATACAAAGGATATCAACTTTGGGTAAAAAGTCACGAAATCTGCCTCCTTTTAGTAGCACAAAGCAAGGGGGTTTAGATTGACTCCACACTCTTCGTAATACATTTTTGGATCTGACGAGCGGGAAGGGCGACCTTGGGTTACTGGAAATGTTTAAAAAATGTAAATTAGCTTTTTAAGTGATCTATTGCGTTGAGTTCTCGCAGAGGATATATGAAAACATTAACTTCGAAACTTGAAGATATCATTTCACTGGCACATGTTAATACCTTTGTCATAAATGCCAATGATTTTTTGGAACAACATCATAACAGATCATGTTTCTGTTGCAATCTCCCCTAAAACTACTTAGGAATATGTTTTTTCTTCGTATTCAGTTTAAAGACTTATTGCTCGCCATAATTTTTTCTGTGATGGTTTTGGCACTAGTGAATGGACCATTCTGTGGTCAAGTTTGAATATTTTTGGAATGTGGTATTCTGGAATAGTTTAGAGGCTTGCAATGGCACACTCTATTAAAAACCTGCGTCTGCAAATGCAATTGGATTACAGATAGATTTGATCTTGCATGTTTGGAAATGATGGTTTACTTACCGAGAAAAAATGTTATTAAAATCTATGCAGCCATTTACGCTTTTAGGGTTAGATTGTGAGCCATATGACGTCACTTAAAATGCTACGATACGCTTGCGAGGTGATTCATCAATTTCATCATTCGATTGAAATATTTCTCCTTCATAAATATTCCTGTTAAGGCCATTTTGGATACATTCAAAGTCCAATTATAACAGCTGTCAAGTACCGTAAATCCTCGAATTAGTCCCATTGGGGGCTTATTTATTTTTGATATTTTTGGATGGGGGCTTATTCGAGAGTTTATATAAGGGAGGGGGTTATAAACTATTGTAGACATTAAGAAAACATTATTAAAAGACCTCGTTTATTTTAGTAGGAATTTCTTAATGAGCATTCAATAAATTACTACCAAAAGTATGAATTTGTTGTGGTATTTCAATAAAACGCCATAGGCAACCTCAGATGGCAAAAATCATCAAATGGAGGGCTCCAATTCATAATTTACGGTAGCAGTGATGCTTATTCGAGGGGGGGGGACTTATTGACAATTTGTAGTTCTAGGGTGGGGGCTTATTCGAGGGGGAGGGGGCTTTCTCGAGGGGTGGGCAATTCGAGGATTTACTGTATTGGCAAATTTCGTTTCAATAATTGAAAGCTAGAATTCTAGCTTAGCTAAACTGATAGGAACCAAAAGCTTGAAGAACTTCCTTGTGGATGAATAGGAATATTTGATAAAGAAAATAAGGAAGGGGGCATTCGATTACCTTTGGTCTTTGGATAGAGGCTGACAAAAAGATTTATGACCGATGAAGGAATAACGATTTCATCAAGTCGTGTAACAGAAGTCTTTTTCGTGATTTTTCAACTCATTTGCCAAGCAACGTGTGTGTAAGGTCTACATTTCTTCTTTTTGCAATTTTATAGCATAGAAAAGTGCCAGAAATTCGCATTGAAAATCAATCCTTTACAGCGGGAATTCCCTAAAAGCAAATCGACGAAGACTCTTGTCCTTAGTTGCCATTATTGCTGTGTTAATTCTAGTGGGCGATAACACATCGCCGCTGATGGCTCTACCTTGCTTTACCTTGCAATGAATTCATTTCAATCTGTTTTTTCTTCATTCATTCATACAGGAACCCTTCATCTTTATCATCATTTTTGACAGCCGGCATTTTAAGTCTGTCACTCTAATTAGAAGCTTAATTTATCAAGACGTTGGTTGAAGGTGCCTTGCTGCCGAAGCGACCTCCCGATTTCCGTTGCCAATGTCGTGTAAAAGAGATCAGCTTCGACCCTAGTTCTTCAAAACGAGCTTTATCATGATCGGAACCCTGGTAAACCAAATTTCATCCAATTTTTTACTTTTGGTTTGCGGCCAAGCTCCTGGTTTCCTTAAGCTCCTTTCGACAGGCCGGGTTGGGTCAGTCAAGTTTGTTCTGCTCCAGTCATTTTCACTGAAATTTGCGGCTGGAATAAATAAATCAGAAAGAAGCTAATTAGATAAACATGGATCCTTCTAAGCCCATCAATGCCATCATTGATAAATAGAGCAATTAACAGTTCGTTGAAAGACAATTTTCAGCCCTGCATCTTTGACGATCTTGCTTTAAGCAATTATTCTTATTTCTAATCTCATTGCCTTCTATATGTAGAAATCCTTTGGCGTTCAAAGCAGTTTTGTAGTGATACAGGCCTTTTTTAGAGAATAGGATATAGCAGTAAAATTAGATAGGCAAACAAATAAAAGCAACCTTTGAAGTTTAGAATAGTGTCAGATCAGAAACACAGAACCACAATAGAGCCAAATGGCACTGATCTAAAGAAAAGACTGGATCGAACAACCTATTTTTCTCCTACATCAGCACAATGAAGCTGATCGAGCCTCTCCATCTTGAGACCTCTCGCGCCTAAAGCTTTGGGCTGCAATTTGTTAAAAGGTGCACACACAATGCTGCCCCTTAAATTGTGCATTAACCATTAAATTCTAAAATATTCTAAGATACAACGACCTATGAAAATAAATGGAAAGTGAATTCTTTGTTACATAAGCTTAGTACCATGGCGAAAATGTTTAACGTCACTTACGAATGATGCAAGTTTTTGTTTCAACGGTTATTTTGAATTTTGCTATGAAAAAGCAAGTTGAACTGAAACCAACATGATTGCTCTCTAATCTCATACAACACAGTGAGGTCTCAAGATGGACGCTGCAATGTGGAATCAACATTGGGCTGGAGAAGCTCGATCCAGTCTTTTTTTGAGATCAGTGACCAAATGGACACTGAAAATTATAGTTTTGCAGCGGTACCTTTGAAGCAAATATATAAGGTGTTAAAAAAGTATTGAAGTTATGGCTCAAATATGAAATACCGCATTGAGATGCAAAACGTCGGTTGAACAGTGGAAGAAACAAGAAGAACTCACCAATCTTATAGAATATTGCTATGTATAGATCGATTTGTTGACTGATTAATTGATTGGAGTGATTTACTGATTTGCTGATTTATTAATTAAAGTGATTAACTGATTGATGGCTATAATTGTTTGATTGATTGTATCCATCAAATTCTGCTGTAGTATTCCTAGCGAAAAAGTTTCTTCAAAAGATAGTCCATAAAAATTGCAGTTACTTTTATCAAAATATTTATAATCAGAAGAGAGTTGCGCAAAATGATTTTGGCTGTTTATCAGCTAGATTATGTAATTTAAACAAAGCTCCCCTGGCAGCGGAAAATTTTACCTTGAAAATACTATTTCATTTCAGACATTGTCTGGAAGTTGACCGGGGGTTAATGGGAATCTTCCTTAATTTTGAGCCAAAGATGGAACAGAAACCCATTAGTTCTTGGTCGTTTTTTATGCCTTGAAGTAGCTTGAATTTGTGCGAAAAAGAGAATTTAGGGCCAAAGTTGACATCCTGAGAAATGTTCTTTGCAATGTCATTTAAACAAAGGAAAGAATGTTTTTAGATATAAGGATGTGAATCTTTTTTTGGATTTTTTAGATCAGGTTTTGGTGTTTTGATTTGCGGCTAAGGGCCTGATTTAGGACTGATTCCTCGGGTCCTTGTTTTCTCAAAAAAATAACCTTTACGACATAAAGCAATGGTTGACTTTCCCGGCGCATATCTAACTGATTATGTTAATTTGCTATTTGTTAAAGATAAATTTGAATTATGATACGTCCAAGTAATTAAACAACTGTGATATGCTGATATTTTTTTATTGTTTACCAATTTGAAGTTGTAATAAGCTGAAACTATTGATAAACTTTTGATGCGGTTACCTCTTGACTTGCTTTAAGTTATTCGCGTTAAATTTACTCTAAATGCAAATGCTTGAAATATGAATGATACAAGTGATTAAAGCATGTAATATTTGTTTTCTTGTTGTCTTTTTATTTGTCAATTTTTATATTACTTGAGGTCATAGAGATTTTCGTGTGAGTTACATGACGAACATGATAAAGATTGCTGGTGTGTCAATATTCGTGTTAGAATTTTAAACGTACGGTAATGCTTGTAGCTTAGAAATAATTACCAACGCTATCTCCTTTTCTTTTCAGACACAGATGAGCTTCTTTTGAAATCCAAAACGCTGAAAACAGATGTCTCAGCGTTGTCAAGGAATTCGATTTTGGATAACAATTTTCAAGACGTTGTTTTAGGTAACGGGACTTTTACGTTGTAATCCAGATCTATTAAAAGTAATGAATAGTGATGCATGCTATGAAGTTAGTTAGCAAATTATGCAGTGTATCTCAAGCCCGTAGCCAGGCCTGTGATGTAGGGGTGGCAAATCCCCAGACCTGTTGCAGGCAGACGTTTCAGCAAGTCTTTTTTTAAGTTTTGCTTAGCAGCGAAAGTTTTTTTGAGTGCCAGGCACCATCTTAAGAGGCCCCAATAAACACGATACTTGGGTAATACATGGATAATAAGAGATCCAAATAAACAATTCTCTTGCTCCAGGGGTGCCACCCCATGCCACCCCTTGGCTACGGGCCTGGTGTATCTGTATTTTATTTCCTGGTTAATCTGTTTTAAAGGCCACGTCTTTTGAAGCCTTCATCCGAGATTAATCCTCCTCTATAACGGTTAAACATAAAAATACTACAGACAAAAGCTAGGCCTAAAATTAGAATTAATATCGTGAAGTTAGAAATAAAGATAGTGATAATTGGCGAATACTTAAGTGTCTAATGCCATCTATCAGACTACATCAGCCAATCATAAGCGTCTAAGTGGTATCACGCTCATTGGTTGGCCAATCGTTGATTGACAGATGACGCGACTATATGTCGATTGCCTATGACGTTATAACAATCATTATATTTTGCTCTTGATACAAATGTTTTTTTTTTCAGATTTAAATATCGAAGAATCCCCAAATGTGACAAGGCAGCCTCGAATTCAAGCCCGAGGTGGTGCCCAGAATAGTGTTGTGTTTGGGTGTGCTTTCCAGTCCTCTGCCAGTCGCCCGGAAAAGGCCCAGTTCCGGGTCAACTGGTTTAGGCCGGTTACCTTCTTTGGTGGAAAGTTCGGCAGAATTTCCATATTTTCAGAAACAGTATCAAGGAGCCCTTCACTTTTCCAAGTAAAACTGGGAGAGGATTTGCCGCTTGGAGTGACGGTAAGCATAGTCCTCAGAATTTAGTTAGAATTTATGGTGTAAAAGTTTGTAGTGTTGCGGAGGCGCACTTCAGTATAATATTTTACTAAAAAAATGATAGAATACGTTGTGTCTCTGTTTCGATAAGGGAACAGGAAAAGGAGGCTGTAGAAAAGCAACATAATTGTGAAATAATGGTGAAATTATAAATTGGCTTCTACTAGCCTCAGTATTTTTTTAGAATTTAGCCCCTTATGTGATGTCGTAGAAGATCTTTCCTCTTGCCAACCTGTGGTACAGACTTGAATGAATGTTAAATTGATTGAGACGAGCAAGAGAGGTTTTTTAATGAGTGCAGCAAACCTCTGTCCTGGAGTCAAAGAGCATATACATGGAACGAATTATTACGCATGCTCTATGACTCATGGACGGGGGTTTGCCTCGCTCACTTGAAGATTGCCTCGCTCGTCTCCCAACAAGAAATGCATTTTTGGGTCAGCGTTGAATGAGTAGAAGACATCTCAAGATTTGTTATAACAAATAGATTTATATTCTTTATCATCAGTGTGTTATTAAGTCAAACAATCGAATGATTTAGCACTGTTTGCAAATCATTTATTTCTAAACATTTATTTGAATATTTTCAGACTTTTGGAAATGCAGATTGATAATGAAACTTATAAACCATTACCACGACAAAAAAGACATAGCAGTTCTTTTAGCTCGAATCCATTCTATCATTCCTTGTTACATTATAGTAGATGAAATCAGTATATAGTGAAAATCCGATTTAATTAGACAGTCCAGTAAAAAAGTCCGTTAATTAGACACATCCATATAGACGTTTCGACTCTAGCTAGATTCATCTTCAGTATATAAAATTACAGGCGAAAAAAAAGAATATTGTTGTGTATTCGAATTTTGCTATGATAATATCAAATGTTTTAGCTATGATTTGAGAATAATAATTTGCATATTAAGACATTAAGACGAAGGCGTCACAGGGTGTAGAAAATGTTAGCAGTTATGAATTAACGGAACTTTTAACAGAACGCTTCCTATATGCAAATTCAATTTTTGCATTGTCTCGCCAGATCTACTGCGATGTCCAACCATATTATGAAGGGGCAGCAGAAAAGGGTAATGCCACTCTAAGCGAAGGCTTCTATGTCGGAATAAAAGTAAGTCAATTTTCTTGATATGAAAATAAAAAAGATTAAACCATGAGAAAGGCAAAAAAGTATCATTAAAATATATTTGAAAGAGTATGCACAGACCCACCAAGGGGGGATGAAGGGTGGGGAAACTACCACGGGACTCGACGCTATCAAGAGGCCCATAAAGATGTCAAAGGAATAATACTACGTTAGTTTCAACTGAGATTAAACATGTTATGGAGGACAGAGAAAAGATCTTTATACTAGTCTAGTAATAGTTTGTATTATCTCCAGTAAACTAGGTTCTTATTTTATTTGCCAGACAAATGAGAGGGGTCTTCTGTTATAATTTTGAATATCTTATGAAATAGGGTCCATCGTGTCCAAGATACTCAAGCGAGGCCACTAGAAGTTGACTCGTTCAGCTCGTTGTGGCTCTGGGCTGCAAATGAATCGTGTCGCACATTGCACTTCATCTGTTGAATTTGTCGTGTCTTCTAATATCACGCTGTTCATACCCATGCAAGAATAGGCCAAATACGGTATTATGATTACAACATTGTTTGAAATTTCAGGCAGTTCCAGATCGTTTAGTGATAGGTGAAGACGAGCAAATGCACAAAATTCAATTCACCAGCACAGTCCCAATCTTTTGCAAAGATGGCGGCAACGATTGCTATATCTCAATTCCCTTGTACCTGAGTGTTGACAGTAAGTTCTTTTTGAGTTTTCCTAATTCTTGATCTCAAGACGCCCATTCAGTTTTCAAAAAAGACAATGGTTTCCTTTTGATCTAGGTCCCGTTCACACTTTACCATTTTACAATGAACTCGCTACAATCTTATACGGTACAATTTGTTTTTTAAGAAGGATGAAACCCATGCAAGTCTTCCGAGAAGTGATCCCCTCCCCTGAATCATTACTTTAAATTCATTTTGTATTTTCTACGCAAAGCCTCATAGCTTAAACTTGAGGGTCATATTTTAACCATGGCTCTCACAAACGCTTTTTTTCACTTCACATAGTTCAATTTCATTTAAGACCTAATAAGTCCTTGGCATTCGGAAGGGTCTCCTCTTTCTTGAAACATTTGATATGGATCTACTTCTATGTTTTAGACCCAGATCCAAAAAAGCTAGCAACCTTGAGATCCGATATTGCCTTGTCTGCCTGTGAAGTCAGAGTCAAAAGAAAGGCTTGCGACGTGAATGGCTGCGGTGATGGAACTCTCGATCTTACCGCGGTGACAGATTTCATTGAAGACGGTGACCGAGCGACGCGAATTGTTACCGCGCGGGTGAGGGCGTTAAAGGCAGTGGGATGGAAAGCCTACGATCCACCCGATATTCAGGTATTTATCCATTTGATTTTATTTATAAAATTTACCTGAACAAACAAATACATGACAACCCTGCGGCCATTTAACTTAACACAGAACAAATATTACAAAAAACTATAGAAAAAGAAGGTTGTATCCATCAAGCACATTTGTTTGTGAGAATTCTTCGCCGCATCAATTCTTTCTTGCTACGTTGTAGGCCATTACATCGGAAGAATTATGAGGACCAAGCTAATTCCTCACTTAAATTCTTCCTTGCTAACTTAGTTAATTTCCCCCTTAAAATCTTCCTTGCTAACCTAGCTAATCCCTCATTTAAATTTTTCCTTGCTAACCTGCGTCACACACCACAACTCCTTCTCCGTATGGTCTGTTTTATTGTAATATAATGTCTAAATGATTGATCTTTCATTTTAGGTTCATGTGAAAGATATCGAAACCAACCGGTGCAGTGTTATTCTATCCGGCATCGTCCTTAGATTGAATGGCAAGTATGTCTCCTCAATTTCTATCCTTTTAGCTTTCCATTTCGCTGACCTACTTGTGTCTACAACTGCTCGTCTTCTTGCGATTGAGTCATCCCCCGTCTTTATTGCCACAGAGTATGCGTAATAACAATGACATTAAGTCACAGCTACGCATGCTCTTTGGCTGCATGGACGGGGGACGTGTCAAACAATAACAGACCAACAGTGGTAAATATTCCCGGAGAAACAAATGCGTTCGTGCATGTTCTAAATTTATTTTTGTTGCTCTCGTTAGGATCAGATTTATTGCTGTCCCCAACTAAAGCAATTATTACTTTATAATTTTTAATTTTCGACTATAAAGTTCCGGTTTATCACTGTACAAATTTCTTAATTTCTTGATTTTACATAATTTCTTCAATTAAAACGCAGATGGGGATTGTTCAATCAAATGAAAGAAGACTAATCTGTATTATAGAAAAGCTAGTTCTTTTCTGAGTCAAAGAGCTAACTATATGTTATTTTCATTTTACCTTCAATTTTCAGAAAGACGATCGTATCACAACGTGGGAGTTTCAAATTGTACAAAAGTTTGTCAAGGGTTTTCGAGGTAGGTTAATTTCTTCATTTCGCAGGCAGTGGAGCCCGATGATATCGATATTGTCTCAATCCAAATAAGAACAGCCATATCAGAAATTGGGCCTAAGTCATGTCATGCCAACCTGAAGTTCCTGGCAAGCCTAAACAAACGTTTTTGATCGGTTTATGCACTCTTCTGCATATTCGAAATCGATAAATTCCATATGGTGTACCATTCCGTATACTCAGGGGCTACCTCTTCAGCTGGGCAAAGTCTGACAGTGTGGACAATATGTGTTCTGAAAAGTACCCACGGGTTAAACGTTTCTCATTAAAAATTAGCATTTTTATTATATTAGACTGGTTTGCAGTCCTAAAAAAGAAAAACTATACTGAAGGCATTTTGTCTAAAGGGATTCAGGTCAATTTTTGGACACTGTAATAGGTTTCGTGGTAGAGCTCATTTCCGCATCATATAGGTGAGAGCAAAGTTAACAAGGAAAAAAGTTAAAAGAAGTGCATTAAAAGAAAAGACTGTTGGCAGCACTGTTTATTAATCAGCATATTTCACTCAACATTCTCAGCAAACCTAAGATTGCCAGAGAAGCCCCGAATAAAAGGAACAGCTTAAATGAGGACCAGGCCTTGTCATACACTAAGGCAAATTTTACAGAAAGGAAATATCAGTTACACACAACCAGCAATATATTTGCTTTGGAATTCCAATGTTTTCACAGTTAAAGGGATATGCACATTTTGGCCTTAAATATGTGTGGCTTTATTTGCAAAAGTTGAAAGAATGCTTGCAAAATGTCTTTATTGGCGTTGTAATTGTGAATACCAAACGAAATTATTGCTGAGAAAGAAAGAGATTCACATTTTACTGTTTCGGTAGAGTCCCTTTTATTGGCCTTTCAGTCGTTTAGTAATTTCACTAGCATTGCAAGACAGAGTAATTGTTAAGGTCAAATAACACGATATCACTTTCTATTCAGACGACATCCATCCAGTTTCGCAAGTTATAACACATAGTATTTGAAGCATAAAGAGAATACCAGAGGCTCATCACGTGATGTTTGTCTGAGATAGAGTCTTCCTGTCCTTTAAATGAATGAAGGAAAAATCAACTTTTTTACTGTTATAAAATGTCTGGGCTATTTATGAATATCAAACTGGATACAATGTTGGTTGAAAAGCCTAAAGCTTATAACATAGCACCCTTTGACGAACTTAAGCTATGACGAATCTTCTTATTGCTAGTCACCATTGTTTCAAGGGATGAGGGAGATATTATAAAATAGTGCATCGTTGATAATTCTCTATGAGAATTGCTATAATAAATTACCCTTATACTCATTGTCACACATTTACGTTAAGCTTCATATATTCCAGGTGCATACTCGATTTTGGCCTTGTCCGAATCTACCACAAGGAAGCTGTGCTTGTGGCTTTGTTGTGAAGGAGAACTTTGACGTCATTAGCGTGGACATGTGTGATGGCGAGCCAGGGAAGACTGCCGTTCAGATATCGATACTCAGTGGAGCTTTCCTGAGTCGAGGAGTGCAAATTGCCAAGGCCAATCAAGGGAAACGATTCTCGGTGAGTAGTCTTGTATTGCCTTCGATCCTATACATGGGTTACTCTGAACTTAAAATGGTAATTGCTTGGGATACCTGTCTACGGTAACTGGTATGGTAATTTCTTAACTAATTTTTATCCACGGTACACCTTTACATAACAAAATCACGAGGCACACTACCAACAGAAAATGTTAATAAAGAAAATTCTGTGGTCTATATTCACAATATAGAGTCGTTCTCGTCGAAGTGTCTTGAATAAGAATAAAATGAACATAAAGAGAAAGTATTATATGATAAGATAATATTTTTATTCATTCGATGTGAAACCAGGGCCTGCTTTTTAGACTAGTTAGGTGTAGTTGGAGAATTCCATAGCACACCAAGAAGTATCTCAATGCTTTAGACAAGGGTGATGCGGAAAGTAAGGAGGAAGAAGTTGTTCTGTCAACAAAAGACACCCTTTTGCTGGTTTTAACGTCAATGTTACATTGAAGGCAATTTACAAGTTTTTCCACCATGAACATGGTTTATGTAGGGGCAATTTTTTTGCATTTGTGCAAGAAACAACAGATGTATTTTACAAGCATCTTTTGACCACTACTTTTTTCGGGGTAAAGCATGTGAGATAGGGTGAGTTCATATAATCTTTCATGTGATAAGTTGTGCTTCCTAACAAGAGCATACAGTTCAGGTGATCAGTTATGGCAAGTGTAAGCCTGTCAGATATGTTAATCGAAAGTTTCAAAGTTTCAATATACTGTCTTTCTTGCTTTTCTTGGTAAGATCTGCCAGAGAGCTATTGCTGCCCGAATAGGTTCCCTGAGATAATTCGACTACCTACGTGTATCACAGGTCTAGTTCAGGGGGCCTCGAATAAGCGCCTATCATTCAACCTTCAGAAATGGGCGCTTATTCGAATTTTCAACGAAAACATAATTGGAAAGCAATTCAAAAAGAACGATTAATGAACAACACAATTTGCACCCAAATCTACTTTTTAAATAAGCGCCCATCTTGGAGCTTCAGAAATTAACTAAGCGCCCGGGCGCTTATTCGAGGCATTACGGTAGTCCTAGGTTTTTCGTATTCGGACTTCGAAATTTCTTTGAAGCGCACGGGCAGGGTAAATAATGAGATTGAATTGCATTATGGGTAACATTGATAACGTGTTTGATTTGCTGTATATATCTTAGTTGTTTAAAACTTCAAACTGTTCACCTTTTTGTGCTCATTTCTTTCAGGTGTACTTTCCCTCTGGTGCCTTTGTTCGTGCTGATGTCTTCGAATGGGGAATGAACATATTCCTTCAGTCACCGAGCGTTGATACTGGCAATGTGGAAGGCCTGTGTACAGGCAAAAATCCACAATTTTACAAAGGAACGGTGAAGAATGCAAGGTATGTGGATTGATTTTGAGGAAGGGGAGGGAGGGAGGCGAGGGGGCGAGGGGGTGAGGGGGTGAAGGAGGGGAGAAAAGGAACGGTGAAGAACGCAAGGTATGTGGACTGATTTTGAGGAAGGGGAGGGAGGGAGGCGAGGAAGGGAAGGGTAGGGATGGAAGGGAGGGAAAGTGTGTAAGGGAGAGGAGGGATGGAAGGGAGGGGAGGTAGGTAAGGGAGGGGAGGGAAGGTAAGTAAGGGAGGTAAAAAAGGGAGAGGTTATAAACGAAAGTCTTTTACTAGTTATTCCCCTCAAAAATTATGATCATAAAAGTTAAAAAGTTTTGATGTCTTAGAAATAAATTTTCAGATTATTTGGTTTTGGACCAGCAAGCCAGAAAAGCATCAACAAGTTTCTTTTGATTTGCAAAACCATTAAAGTTTGCTACAAATGGGTGAGGTATGGGACACAAGGAAATGGTCTTTCCGCACCAATTGGGATTGGTGGTAAAATCGATGAACTAGGCCAAAGCAACAAAAATCCAAAAATTGGCAAACCGAGCTCTTTCACTTACAAATTCTTAGTGACTTTAGATTTGCCTAATTGTGCACTTTGAGAGGTATTTCGTGGTGTCCTTTTTGACTATGTAGACAAAATTAAAAATCTTAGAAACAGATTTTTTTCTTCTCATTGAATGCCAATCACTTGACCAACTAAGTACCAAACAGTTTGCAACGCAGCATTTTTTGATTATCTCACATTTCCTGGGGCACATTCAACTAAGCAAATGCTTTACGATCATACCCTTGGTTTTTAGAGCCTGTGAAAGCCTATGAACCTATAATAAATGGGTGAATAAGATGGACGACAAGCTGAAGTCATAGATATATTTCCAATTCCTTATTTTTTACAGTTTCATTTGTATGTTCGGATAATTCTTTTAATATCATGGCACTCCTTTGGAAATGTTATCAAATATTTTGCTCATTTCTGTTCGGTATGGCCCTCATTTATGTCGCGGAAAAGAAATGTCTTTTTATGCCCTGTCCCCATGGACGCCTTTTCATAATCTTCGTTTTTCATCAAATTGAAGTAAGGCCCCGCCTAAGAAGTTCCTTATATTCATTCTTTTTTTTGCGTCTACAAGTTTCTTCAAAATGTTTTTCATTCGCGAGGCCTTACTATACTTGTGACTTCGCTGATACTGCTTTGAATACGTTATCAATGTCTCCATTTTCAAAATAATTTTCTAATGGTCCTGTTTTCAAAACTCTTCGCGTCATAGCAGCCCCGATTCTGCACTCTACTCAAATCGAATTTTGGCTATTCAACCGATTTCTAATATGAAATTTATCTAAACTCCACAGACTTGGAGACCTGAACAACTTGTTCACTATGCCTGCAGTACAAGGTATCCCAAGGAAGCAGAATTTCATGTGCGCATGCTCCATTAATGATGTCGTCAAGGCATTTAGAGTGTGCAACAACACCCAATCGGATGCTTGCAAAAATGCCTACTCCTGCCTGAGAAACGACCGAATCAGCGTACCTGTGCTCAGCTTTGAGATGGACATAACAGATATCGTTCTCTCCAATATGCTGCTTGGTTTTCAGAGTCGGTTGTACATTTTCCCTTGGGATGATATCAACCTACTTCGGACTGAAGGAGAGGAGACATTGCTGATTGCTCCACAGCCAAAAGCCAACGTTGGAACAAAAGAGGAGTGCTTCACAAAGCTAAGCACTATTCTGTTTGCAGTTCTTTGCCGGGAGTCACTCAAACTCGATTTAAACAAAATACAATCATTTTGCAATGATGCTCTCAAGGTATTTTTCCATTTCTTGTTGCCATTTTCCAAAAGATTTAAGGGGGGAGGGGCTATGTTCTGCAATAAACAAACTAAACAAATAAACAAACTAAAAAAACAAATTTTACTCTTTTCAAACGGAAACTCTGTTTTGTGATATGTTACAAAATTCTCTGAATTACTTGCGTCAATTAGATTTAATGGCTTTTTTTAACTATTTCTGCATGCTGGAATTTCTAAAACCCCAAAAACGGATAACAAAATTTTTGGGGGAAAATGTCACGTTTTGTTGTGACGTAGGAATTCAATATTTTTGTTTTTTCTCCTGACTTCAGCTCACTCCAGAAGAGCCTGCGGTGACTTTGTTTGGCCTGCTAGAGAGCAATTGCGAAGAGAGAGTTATTAAGAATGCATCCACTTGGGTCACAATTTCAGGGGGTCAGATTGTCCCATCTTTGACAATTCAGCGACACCTATGTCCTAACTTGTGTAGCGGACATGGGACATGTAGCAATGGTGTTTGTTATTGCAACAGAGGTAAGTCTTACGGCATTTTCATTCTAATGGATTTTGTCGCGTAATTCATCTTCATACTTTATTTAAGGAAAATTCAATGCCATTTTTATGATTGTAACCTGGTTAACAGGGTCGCATTGGAAAAGTGAGGTCATGTATGTTCGATAAAATCCAGGACGCAAGGTAGCGTAGTGCTGCTACAAGGCCACTTCGGATCAAGAAAATTCGCTCTTCTTGCTCGCAATAAAACTTACACAAATCCATTTCAGAAGACAATAGGATTCTGACTTTCAGTTTTCACTAATTGTGATCTTTCCGATACAAGTATTTGGTATTCAAGATATTGGCTCTTAGAGGGTTAACGGTACATTTTTCAGACAAATTCGTGTTTAGGCCCAAGTTTTGGCGTGAAAGTTACCTGATAATCGCATTGAGTGTAAAACTCGAAGTAGCAGCTTGAAACCACCCTGTTCTATACAGCAAATAGCGTGTAAAGAACTTCATTCATTTTATTTCATTTCAAACTGCCTATAGGGCATCGAGCACTATACAATAATCTGGTGAAAAAGAAACTTGGAATTTTGTCCATATATATTTGAGAAATTGCTAGATTAGATTAAAAAGTTTTTGGTCTTGCAATAACATTAATGTATTTTTAGATTTGAATTTAGTATCAATCCTCTCGTTCCTTTAGGGTACACGTCGTCAGATTGCTCAATCCCTGTTGCCCAGGCCCCGAAAGTTTACGCGGTGCTGCCCAGTAGTGACTGCGATTTAGTTTACAACGATTGTAGCAAGGCTGTCATCACTGGCAACGGCTTCATGGAGTCTCATCAGCTCACTTGTAGTGTTATCCCAATGTTTGTGAGTGTTACTCTTTAATGGTAGTATGACGTCATCTCAATTACTTGTCTGTTTTCAGGGGGGGGGGGAGGGTTGAAGTAGTGTGTACGGAGATTTGCTGTTGTGTAGGTGTGATCTTTGATTGAAGAGTTTTTTGTTACGCAGCCTCTTCAAAACTATACAGGGCTTCATAACTACATATCCCTGTACACCGATATTGTTGAGTCTCCCCCTCTAACAGTAGAAGTATCTTTATTGGGCTACTTTGTTGTTTAATCATGAAATTTTTGTAAGTTTTTAAATACGATAACATAAAATGCAAAAATCAATATTTAACCCATTAACAAGGCTTTTCTACAAAAAGGTTTATTGCTTTTTCTTTGACGGGGGTTATACCAAGCCAACCTTTGCCAACACTTATGATTATTTTTATTATACAATTCTCGTAATAATTATATCCTGTCTCGCCTCATAGTTGGTAAAACGTGTTTGGCAAGTCCAGCAAAAAAGAACATCAAATGCAGCCATGTTTGACTCGTATCGATCAGTCTCCTGCGCCATACCGAGGCCAGCCATGCCGAAAAACATAAACAAAGACGATGTAGTTGCGTATGGCTATCAAATCAGTGTGACAAACGACCAGCGCAAACTGAGTGATTTCTTATCAGTTATCGTTTACAATGGAACATGCCTGACTTGTGGGAGAGACCAGCAGAGGAAATGCGATGTCAAGGTAGTATTATTTGAAGACACTTATGACATTATTATTATTACCACAATTATTCATCAAAATCATTGTCATTAATCATAATCAGACATAAGTGAGTCTGCATTATCAATCATTGGATCAATTACCTCAATCAAGCAGTCATTCCTGTCAATCAGCCAACCAATCAATCAATCATCCTTATCAATCTATGATCAGTCTATCATCATCATGACCATCATCAACCGATCACTCCGCTCAATTAACTAATCAATCCGCTCATTTAACCAGTCACTCCAATCAATTTACCAATCATTTCAATCAATGAACCGATCAATCAATCACTCCAACAAGCAACCATCTTCAGCACGTAAATTGAACATTTCCTAGACTAACTCCACTCTGCTAATCTTTGCGTTTTCTTCAAACACCAATACAGGTTTTACTGTCACGATTTTGCATTTTAGGATGGATTTTGTCTTATCAAAGGTCTATGCAGAAATGACGGGGAGATGAACCCAGACGACCCGTGCAAGGTTTGCAGACCTCATGTCAACAAATACGGCTGGAGTGCCAATAGAGGTTTGTTATGAACTTGCAATGTTGTGTCAACTTCAGCATCTCAGCTTTCTTTACCATTGCTAAGACTTAGAACCCGTTTTCACTAGACCCGAAGAAATCTGGATATAGTTTGTCCTGATAGGCCTTGCGTTTACACTTGCTGTTTTCTGTCTACTCCAGGGTTGCCAGGCGCATGCGTAAGTTTTAAGCCAAACCGTTGTCAGAAAAAAGCCAAAATAAGCCAAATTTGTTCTGCTCCGAAAAAGCCAATAAAAAGCCAAAAAAGCCAATTAAATATCTAAGAAGCCAAATTCATTTAATTTGGTGGATTGCCTCGAGGGCCGTATCGTGTCAATTCAATCGAAACAAATTTAGCCAGGGCGCAGACTGATCTGGTTACAAGTTGCACAAAATCTGTTTGGTTGTAGTGGAATTTGTAATTTTGAACTTGAATAATCAAATGCAAGTAAACTCATTTCTACGTGACCAGTTCAGTTTGCGTACAGTTCTACAAGAAATGGCTAAGCCAGAGAAAAGATAGCGAAAACACAGTGAAAACATGAAAATTCTTCAATGACAAGATTTTATAGATATTCAACAAACAAAGATTTGAAAATGGCTTTGAAAAAAGCAAACATTTTACAACATACTTAAAGCTTTTTCGTCTGACACTCCTCAGAGCATAAAACGTCAGAATAGGTTCCGAAAAAACACGTTTGAAAAATAATAATTTATTTTTCAAACGTGTTTTTTCGGAACCTATTCTGACGTTTTATGCTCTGAGGAGTGTCAGACGAAAAAGCTTTAAGTATGTTGTAAAATGTTTGCTTTTTTCAAAGCCATTTTCAAATTCTGTACCGCAAAAAAATTGTAAACAAAGATTTGTGATTGCTGATGAGTGGATCTTTCAAGTGTTTTCAATAGGATTAAATAAGAGCCGTAGCAGTTTATCAAGTCAATAAAAGTAGAGTCCTTCATCTTCACAATCAGGATCCTTGTTAGCCTGAGATGCAGTGCTAGTGCCTGGCGTGCTCGTGTACATCTGCTCTGTGTTGAAGAAGTCAAGCATCTTTTTGGTGACTTTGAGGTCTTTTATCAGCATTTCCCATCAAAGTGTAATTTTGTACGAATGCGAACGAGGGAAGCCAGCATCTCTAGTCCCATCTGATTTCTCAGCTTCGTTTTTACTGCTGTAACCTGGGAAAACATTCTCTCCACGACTGCATTGCTAACAGGGTTGGTCAAGCAAGCCAATGCATAGTTTGCTAATTCTTGGAATGGATTTTGACCAAGACTATTTTGGAAATAATAGATTCCTGACCAGAATTTGACTGTATCATCTGGCAGTGCACCATTGAAAACTGGCTCCTCTTCCCAATTTCTATGAACAATCTTCCTATATTGCTCTTCAATCTGATCTGATTTAGCAGCTCTTAGATGTGCAAGAGGAAGCTGGCCAAATGGAACTCTGGCATTTGCTTTCAAAACTCTTTTTGGGTGCAGATCACTGAGACCTTTAAACAAGTCTTTCGAAGCAGGTAAACGCTTTTCAACTTGCTCCGTCGCTTCAACGAGAAAGCTGAGGCAGCGCGACTTCATTTCGATTATGTTAGCCTGTGCAAGAGTCTTATCCTGGTGAGCAGCAACATACTTCTTCACTCCTTCTTCGAACTTTCCTCCAAAATCAACTGCCTGAAGAGGAAGAGGATGGCCGAACTCATCAAAAGCTCTCCCTCGTAAGCTTTTGCTATGTGCTGTTAGCTCTTGGTGCATTTCTTCCGGATCAGCATCTGTAGCCTGAAAGAATGCATTTACTCTTTCAAACTCTGTCACTAATGGGGACACAAAATGAAAGTAGAGGTGTATGATCGGATTGTTCAGCATTTCAAGAATACTGCGTGCTTTGTACCGAGCACCTTGTGTGCATGTTGGCAGAGCAGACATATAGTAGGCTTTTAATTCTTCCCAATTCACGAGGCAATTGAATATCACCTTCCCCCTCACTAACCACCTCGTCTTGCTGTATCTTTCGAAAGAAGAAGCAATACCTTTTTGCTCACCACTTGGATTCCTTACAGAAAATAGCGTTTTGAAAGCCTCTCGGCGTAGTGTGCTCTTTGAAAACCATTTTGGAATCTCTGCAAGGAGAAATCCAAGGCTAGAAGGTAGCTTGTCAAAGGAATGTTGCACACAAAGAGCAAGTGAGTGGCAGATGCATTTAACTTGAAGACAGTTAGGAGCAACGGCAACAATCCTAGACCAAACTGAATTGTGCTCTCCAACCATGACAGATGCCCCATCACTTCCATAACCAACACAGTCCTCCAGTTTCAGACCAATTCCCTCAATGCAGTTCTTTATGGCAACAAATAGATCTTCTCCACGAGCTTCAACGACTTGGATCAGGTCGACAAATGCCGTTTCTATCTTCATCTCTTTCTCACTGTAGTGCCTAATGACAGCACACATCAACTTCTTCGTTGAAACATCTGTCGATTCATCCACGAGAATAGAAAATTTATTCCCCTTTACGTCCTCCTGTAGGTCATCTTTCATAGAAAGGGCAATCACTTTAGTTACCAATTTTGAACACTTACTTCTGTGCAGCTTGATCTTTTCTAGCTTGCTTCCCTTTCCATTCCTTGCAATAACCTCTCCAAGGTGGTCAATTGTCAAGATTGCAGAATGACAAGAAATGGTGGTAGCCAGCTCAATCTCAATACGCTTCATCGTCTTATTCTCTTGGTACATGCACAACTTGTAGTGTCCTTGTTGTAGATGCATCCTTTACTCTTTGCACGTGCTTCTCGCTTTTCTCGTGATTTGCAAGGTTCGATGCTCTTGGCTGTATTGAGGTTCGGCACAGCTTACAGAGTGCATTCTCGGTTCCATCGGACATCTTTGAAACCCAAGAAAACTTCGCCTCCCAACTCTTACTATATTTTCTTCCAGTGTCGTAGTGACCTTTCCACTTAGTTGCCATTTCTTTTTTTTCTCGGCTGCTCAAATTTCTGAGCGCTATAACGCTACAAGAACGCGTTTTCGTCGATACTTACTCAGAATGATATCTTCAGATTGAAAGAACTATTTTTAGTTTGACGAAGCCATTGTATTGTTTTAAAAATATTATTGTTACAAAGAAAGTTGATTGAACGATGCTTTTGAAATGATGTCTTGTTGCTATAAAAAATATTTCGGTGGAGGGGTGCAGGTTTCCTACCTCTTGAAAGCCGTTTCCCCAAGTTATGGAAATAGGAAAATTGAGAATATAAATAGTTTTCTTGGACATAAAAAAACGCCAAAATTAAGCCGAAAAGCCAAACTATTTTTCCAAATCCAAACAGCATTTAAAAAAGCCAAAATTGACATATTTGGCTTAAAAAAAGCCAAGTTGGCAACCCTGGTCTACTCGCAATGGTTTTATCCATTTATTACGTAGGATCTTGACAACAGTTTTTTTGGGTGCAGAAAGTGAACTTATAAAGCTCTAGTACGAATTCTTGTTGCGTAAACGGTTTATTCTGAACAACTTAATCCACTTTCAACTCAAGGTGGATTCTAATTGACTGAAAGAGATGAGGCATGGCCTGGTTGTTTTGGCTGTTGTTGCACAATCGTTTGCGCATACCCCAGGATTAAAGGCCTGGAAATCAAAGTTAAAAGTAGATAAAAATTTTTCGAACTAATGTAAAAGGATCGTATATAGGGCCAAATTCGATCAGGTAAATGTCACAAACAAGGTCTTGTTTTATTGCATCAATATTGCTCTCAATATTTGTATTATATAATATTTAAAAGTTGTAAAAGCGATGTTTTACATTTGTTTGTCACCTTCTTTGTCTTTCGCTATTTTGCAAGAAAGAAGATCAGTCTCAATTTGACAGTAATTTGACAGTAATGTTGTTTTCAAAAATATTTAGAAATGAAATTAAAAAACATTTAAAAAAGACAAACTTTGGGACAAGGGCAAGATCTTTCTACCAACAATGTAAACTTATGGAATTGTAATAATTGAGTTTTTAATATTTCTTTTCAGGCAGGGGTGCCATAAGACAGCGGGAAGAAATCAGCCTTTTGGTAGGAGACGTGCTTGTCAAGCAGCTTGATGGCGGCATCGGCAAAATGAATTTTACAAGTGTATCACCCATGCCAGACAATGCCTTGCTTGAAGATGGCATACTTACATATATACCTACAACTCCTGAAAACGCAGCTCTTGTGCTGCTAGGAGAAAACTCGTGCGGTTACAAAGTCTTCAAAGAATTGCATATTCGCGTTTCACCTTGCCTTTGTAAAAACGGAGGAATTTGTCAACGATACACGAACTTTACTCTTGGAACAGGCAAGTTATTTTGATATAGTTTCCTCGATACATTTTAAAGCATCTTTCGCTTGTCAAATAGCCAGGACTTTAAAAATCTTCCTTAAAAACGTTTTCAATTGCCTTAGAGTCATCAGCCTTGCGACCGCCATTTTCTTCTAACCTCGTTCCCCGTAACGTAATGGTTTTTAAAGGAGGTTCCTAGTGATTTTTTCTCTACAATGACTAGACGATTATTGATTCCAAATCTTATATTGACAAATATGTTAAGTTCTCCCATACCCTACTGACCAATCAGAAATCAATGATTTCAGAAATCAATGATTGGGCCTATTTTGCACTTTATCACTCTTATACGAAAAATTGTATAACATTTTGCACGATAGACTTTCTTGTTGTGGATATTCTGTAAGATTTGCTTCAAAAAACTACCGTTGTACTTAGGCCCATTTGCATTTGTTGTGGATTCAGTTTTAATGCTATTCGTTTTAATTAATCTTGCTCGCTTTCACTTGCAGAGCATTACTATTGCCTTTGTCCTGATGGCTATGATGGCTCACTTTGCGAGAAGACAGTCGCCAATTGCTCCAAAACCTGCAAGTTTGGCAACTGTGTTCCACAAAATGGCCGCCATGAATGCAAGTGCAACCCTGGGTACGGGGGTAAGAATTGTGGCGAGTTCGAAGCATGCAAAACATTCGGCTGTGTGCATGGCACCTGCATTGATACAAATGGAAAGCCTGGTTGTGTGTGCGAGGAGGGTTTTACTGGCAAGAAATGTGATGTTGGCATCAACCCTTGTGTTCCTTCTCCTTGTAAATCAGGCTTGTGTCTCGCCATATCCGATACAGATTTCAAATGCCAGTGCCCACCAGATAGGAAAGGGAAACTTTGCCAACAGGTGTTAAGTTGTATTTCCAATCCGTGTCATGGTAATGGGAGGTGCACAGAAACAGAGGCATCCTTTAACTGCATTTGCAATGAAGGTTTTGAAGGCCCTGACTGTAAACAAAGAAAGAATTATTGTCAAAATAATAAGTGCGTGAATGGAAGCTGTGAGAATCTGATACAGGGGTACAAGTGTGTATGCCAGCCTGGATTTACCGGGAAATTTTGTGAAATAGAAATAAATCATTGTGATTCAAATCCTTGTGTTAATGGAAAATGCCATAATGAAGTGACTGGGTACCTTTGCAAATGCGACGCTCGTTACACCGGGCAAAACTGCGAATCGTATGCTGATGCTTGCAAGTCGAACCCATGCAAAAATGGGCTGTGTAGAAGCGACGAGGGCATTTATCGTTGTGTCTGTGATCCGGGATTCACAGGCAGGACTTGTGAGAGCAGGGTGAATTATTGTGGATCAAACCCTTGCGCAAATGGAGTTTGTGAGAACCTCTTAAATGGCTTTGCCTGCAAATGCTACCCTGACTATCAAGGTGAGCAATGTCAAACAGTTAAAAACAACTGCGCCTCGAACCCATGCAGTAATGGAGCATGTGTTAATAAGAACGGGAGCCATGAGTGTGAATGTGATAGAGGCTGGAAAGGGAAACAATGCACTAAAGTGATCGATTACTGCAAATCTAACCCCTGTATCAATGGAATATGCGAGGGCCGTTTGAACGGATACACGTGTAAGTGTTTCCAAGGCTACGCTGGAATCCATTGTCAATCGACTGTAGACAATTGTGCCTCGAGTCCGTGTAAGAACGGGCATTGTCAAAATCAAAATGGAACATTCTTGTGCAAATGTAAAAGTGGTTGGACAGGGAAACAATGTGACCAAATTATTGACCATTGCAAGTCAAGCCCTTGTGCTAATGGCGTTTGTTCCAGCTTCTTGAATGGATATTCTTGTAAGTGTTTTCAAGATTTTGAAGGAAAAAATTGTCAAAACATCAAAGATAACTGCGCTTCGAGCCCATGTGCTAACGGAGCCTGCACTAACAAAAATGCTAGCTACGATTGTGCATGTGATAGAGGCTGGACAGGGAAACAATGCAACAAGATGATTGACTATTGTTTATCGAGCCCTTGTGCAAATGGAATATGCACCAGGTTCTTGAATGGGTATTCTTGTAAGTGTTTTAAAGATTACGAGGGAAAAAATTGTCAAAACGTCATAGATAACTGCGCTTCGAGCCCATGTGCTAACGGAGCCTGCACTAACAAAAATGCTAGCTACGATTGTGCATGTGATAAAGGCTGGACAGGGAAACAATGCAATAAGATGATTGACTATTGTTTATCGAGCCCTTGTGCAAATGGAATATGCACCAGGTTCTTGAATGGGTATTCTTGTAAGTGTTTTAAAGATTACGAGGGAAAAAATTGTCAAAACGTCATAGATAACTGCGCTTCGAGCCCATGTGCTAACGGAGCCTGCACTAACAAAAATGCTAGCTACGATTGTGCATGTGATAAAGGCTGGACAGGGAAACAATGCAATAAGATGATTGACTATTGTTTATCGAGCCCTTGTGCAAATGGAATATGCACCAGGTTCTTGAATGGGTATTCTTGTAAGTGTTTTAAAGATTACGAGGGAAAAAATTGTCAAAACGTCATAGATAACTGCGCTTCGAGCCCATGTGCTAACGGAGCCTGCACTAACAAAAATGCTAGCTACGATTGTGCATGTGATAAAGGCTGGACAGGGAAACAATGCAATAAGATGATTGACTATTGTTTATCGAGCCCTTGTGCAAATGGAATATGCACCAGGTTCTTGAATGGGTATTCTTGTAAGTGTTTTAAAGATTACGAGGGAAAAAATTGTCAAAACGTCATAGATAACTGTATATCAAATCCATGTGAAAATGGAATGTGCAAAAATAAAAATGGTAGCTATGATTGCACATGTGATAGAGGCTGGACAGGGAAACAGTGTAATAAGATAATTGACTATTGTGAATCAAGCCCTTGTGTCAACGGGATTTGCTCAAGTATTTTGAATGGCTATGTTTGTAAATGTTATCAAGGTTTTGAAGGAAAAAATTGTCAGAACGTTAAAGATAATTGTGTATCGAGCCCTTGCAACAATGGAGTTTGTGTTAGCAAAAATGGTAGCTATGTCTGCACATGTGATAAAGGCTGGACAGGGAAACAATGCAACAAATTAGTTGATTACTGCAAGTCCAGTCCTTGTGTAAATGGACTTTGTTCAAGTTCCTTGAAAGGGTATTCTTGCAACTGTTTTCAAGATTTTGAAGGAAAGGACTGCAAGGAAATTAAGGATCACTGTGTCTCAAATCCTTGCCTTAATGGATTGTGCCAATCTAAAAATGGTAGCCATGATTGCATCTGTGATAGAGGCTGGAAAGGGAAAGCGTGTGATGTGAAAATTCACCCATGTGATTCGAAGCCTTGCAGGCATGGTGTATGTGAGAGGAACGGAGATTCTTACTTTTGTCTGTGTGAAGGAGGATATATAGGAATTAATTGTACGATACGAGACTATTGTCATGGAAATCCTTGTGTCCATGGAAGTTGTGTAAACAGTAAAGATCAATACTCATGTCTATGTTTCGAAGGGTATGCTGGGAAAAACTGTGACGTCGAAAAGGATTATTGCGAAGCAAATCCGTGCAAACATGGTTCCTGCAAGAAACAATTTAGAGGATATAGATGCGACTGTTTCAGGGGGTACAAAGGACGAAATTGTGACGAGAAAAAAGACAACTGTGAGTCACACCACTGTCTCGGAGGCGAATGTCGTTCGCTGGTCGATGGGTATGTCTGCGATTGTTTTAAAGGCTATCGGGGAAGATTCTGCGAACAGGTTAGTGATTACTGCATTGAAAAGCCTTGCGTACACGGAGAATGCATACCAACGGCTAGCTGGTATCGATGCGATTGCGACCAAGGCTATGAGGGAATCCACTGTAACAAGACAAACACATATTGTGATGTCAGTCCGTGCTTGAACGGAAAATGCAAAACCGTCCCCGGTTCATTCGAATGTGAGTGTCCGAGTAACTACGAGGGTCTTTTGTGTCAGACGTTGAAAGATCTCTGTGTCAGCAATCCCTGTGTGCATGGTAGCTGCGTGATGGATAGAGAAGGGTACAATTGTGAATGTATTCAAGGGTTTAGGGGAACGAACTGCGAAGAGAAGATAGACTTTTGTGAAGGCGAGCCGTGTGGTAATGGGAGCTGTGAAAGTAAACAGTCTGATTTCGAGTGCACGTGCGAAGCTGGGTTTACAGGGAAACGATGCGATAGAAAGTTTGATTACTGTCACAATGTGCCTTGTGAAAATGGAGTTTGTGAAAACCTGATCGGGGATTACAAATGCAACTGCTATACAGGATACAAAGGCAAGAAATGTGATCAGCGAATTGACTATTGCAAAGGGATTCAATGTATGAACGGAGATTGCCGTAGTTTGAATTCATCGTATACATGTGAATGCCTGACAGGTTACACTGGGAGTTTATGCGAGTCTAAGATAGATTACTGCAGAAATCGGCCTTGTCTTCATGGAGAATGCATTCAGAGAAATGCAGGGTTCTATTGCACGTGTTTCTTCGGCTATAAAGGCGAACTGTGTGATGAGAAGATCAATTACTGTGAGAGCAGACCGTGCTTTAACGGTGAATGTGTAAGCAGGCAGAGGGGCTACGAATGTAAATGTGATGTTGGATTTAAAGGAAAGAACTGCGATCGAGCGGTTGATTATTGCGAGAAAAATCCTTGCCAGAATGGAACCTGCAAAAGCGTTAAAGGTGATTTCGTTTGCGAATGCCCTGATGGTTTTACTGGGAAAACGTGCGAGTTTCAAACTGATTATTGCAAAGACAGGCCATGTAAACATGGCAATTGCATTAATTTCTTTAATGGTTTTAAATGCCATTGCGACGAAGGCTACAGTGGTGACCTGTGTGAGTCCAAAATTAATTTCTGTAAGTCAAGCCCATGTGTAAATGGACGTTGTGTTGAAGAGCCTAAGGGCTTCAAGTGCATCTGCCCGGATGAATATGAAAGTGATCTCTGCGATGTCCCGAGAAATTTCTGCAGGTCAAATCCTTGTGTAAGAGGAGATTGTAGTTCGTATTTTGGAGGATATAACTGTTCTTGTTACGAGGGCTTTGAGGGGAAATCGTGTGACAGGAGAATTGACTATTGCCTTAACAACTCGTGCATCAATGGACGATGTATCTCACAACATACGAGATATTTCTGCCAGTGCTCAGCCGGATTCGAAGGGACCAATTGTGAAACGAAGGTGGATTACTGCGTGATTGACCCCTGCGAGAATGGCACATGTGTCAACCATTTAGGGTACTACACTTGCAAATGCAACCCAGGCTTTAAGGGTAAACATTGCGAGCGGAAGATAGACTATTGCGAGAGTAGCCCATGCAAGCAAGGAGACTGCGAAAGTCTACAGGTCAACTACAAATGCCACTGCTACGAGGGTTTCTCTGGAAGGCAGTGTGAAAAACTGACCAATCATTGTTTGACCGTCACATGTTTGAATGGGGGCACATGCGAGACAGTTGGGGAAGGGTTTAACTGTACATGCGCACAAGGTTTCCAAGGACTTCTTTGTGAGGAGAGGAAAAATTTTTGTGCTAGCAATCCATGTCAGAATGGCATCTGCATTAGCAAAAACACTGGGTTTGAATGCATGTGCAAAGAGTCTTACAGAGGTCGACTGTGTGATCATAAAATACAACCCTGTGAATCTAACCCATGCCAGACGGGCAGATGCGTAAACAATGGATCGGACTTCCACTGCGAGTGCCCAAACACGCATAGGGGTAAAGCATGTGAAACTAAAAGAGACCCATGTGAAACACTGCCTTGTGGTGGGCGTGGCATTTGTTTGAGATTCGGTGACTCTTACCGGTGTTTATGTTATCGTTCTTACTACGGCGAAAACTGTCTAAAGAGACGATTCCCATGTGACAAGATCACGTGTCGCAATGGAGGGAAATGCATGAATGTAGGAAGGACCTTTAAGTGCGATTGTAAGAGAGGCTATATCGGCAGTCTTTGCGAAATCAAAGTCGATGCTTGCAGAAAGAATCCATGCAGACATGGAGAATGCTTTAGCAATCAAGGCGAATTTTCATGCACATGTTCCGCGGGATACACGGGAAGACGATGTGAAACGCGCATCGACCATTGCAGTATCAACAATCCTTGTAAAAACGGGAAATGTGAGAACCAACTTACTGGAGCGACCTGCGTGTGCCAGCCGGGATATGGTGGAGTGACATGTGACAAAATCAGGGATGGTTGCCAGATAGAAAACCCTTGTGTCCAGGGAAGATGCGTGTATGAGGACAAAAAGGTAATGTGTAAGTGCTATAAAGGATTTATCGGCGAAAACTGCGATGTCAAGAACCCCTGTGATCCAAATCCTTGTATTGACTCAAACTGCACAGTAATAGAAGCGGCATCGACCTCTTTCTCGTGTTCATGTCCAAAGGGCGTCACAGGGCGACTTTGCGAAACGAGGATTGATCATTGCAAGAGTTCACCCTGTGTCAATGGAAGGTGCGTTCCTGGAAATGATAAAATTTCATGTCAATGCAATTTAGGATGGAGTGGAAGGCTTTGCACTGAAGACATCAACGAGTGTCTCTCGACTCCCTGTTTTGACAAGGTTGCATGTACCAACAGTATTGGCTCATTTAGGTGCGGGCCTTGTCCAGATGGATACATTGGCAATGGAATTCAGTGCAGAGGTTTGCTTCATTATTCAATACTGATTTGTTTTTTATTGAGTTTGTAAAATTTCGGGCATAGAAAATCAACATAGAAAGCATAGAAAGTCATTTTGCAAAAGTTGATTATCCTCTTGCTCAAAGCTCATAATTGTAAAAGCAACTCTTTTTATCCGTTAGTTTCTTTTCAAAATATCAAAATAATGTAGATAACACAGTCTGTGCCAAATGGCCTTTTGGGAAGGGCTCCATCCTACCCCCCAATTCTAAGCTAGGACAATATTTTAGTTGCCTTTTCTTCATTGGAACACATTTCTTCAGGCATAAACATTACATATTGGAGAATGTCCAAAAGGTAAGCAGGAATATATATCCAGATCTGGGTCGATAAAAACAGGGGGGCTGAAGGGCGCGTTTGATTGGCTAGTTGTTCAACCTCTGTGTCTGTATACCCCTCATTTACTTTGAGACTTAAAGTGAGAAAATTTTTTTACTACACTAGCTAGGATTTTCAATTGTGATGAATCATAACTGTTATAAGCAAAGACCTTGAAGTGTTGTTCATATTTACATTCTTGATTATATCCATCATTCGCATTCTAGTACTAACAACACCCCCACAGACTACTACAGCCTCAGCAGACCCAACAGAAAGCCCCACCACAGTGAAAAAGACGACCAAGGCAGTCGTTACAACGAAATTTTTGCCTCCAACAACAGAACGAGATCCGTGCTCTCCAAACCCCTGTGATCCTCTTGTTAAATGTGCAAAGGTTTCCAGAGAGATCACCTCCGCAGGTTTCATATGTGGTAAATGCCCCGCAGGGTATCTCGGTGATGGATTCAAATGTAAAAGTGAGTCTAGTAGATTTCCCTTTTGTCTAAATACGTATACCTCGCTGTATTATCCAATGTTCATAAACGTGATGAAAAATTAAAGGTTGTTTGAAGTGATAGGAGCAAATTTTCTGCACGGAATATATTTTTCGAGAAAGAGATAAGTCATTGCTCATTGAAACGAAAATTCATACACTGCAATGCATCCATAAGATAATTATTTCAAGTTTATTGAAGTTTAACTTGCCCTTTAAAGATTGACTCAAATTTTTCTTGTTTTTGATTTTAGAACTTGCACGAGCGTGCGCTTCGAAACCATGTTTCCGACGTGTCCGGTGTTTCGACATTGCTCCGGGAAGGTTCCGGTGTGCAAGGTGTCCGTTTGGATACAGAGGCAATGGGCAAATTTGCAACCGTAAGTCGATGCAAGAGTCCGGATTTGTATACTTAGAGTCCGGATTTGTATGCTTTAAACATTGATAAAATTTACCTTCTTGGGAAATCCTTGCCAACGCAAGGACGAAAACAAAGCATCAGTTATGAACAAGCCTGTTTTATTATATCTTAATTATAACGTTGCGAATATCATCTTTTAATAACTAATAATAAAGATTTTGCCACAGTCTAATAATCGTAAACTTTACCTGATATATACTTCAACCTGATATAGCGCGGGTTTTCAAACTTGCGTGCAGCCTCTACCCTTTCAATAAATGTGGCAGCTCAGGTATTTTGTCGAAGTCATACCTGATCTTTAGGTTTTCTGGAAAGAAACCATTTTGCATAGCGTAGTATCATAACTGTTCTGTGTGTGTTAATTTATATGGCACATGAGAAGAAAAGTGTTTGCCATTTCCCAAATACACACAGGCTTTTAGTTTTTCATTTAGAATGAATAATGTTGAATTTAAATCATGTAAACTTTGAAACGCTCTACTCCCTTCCTTTTTTCTCAGACTCTTACAACCTGTCTTTATTCAAAGCAAAAATAAATAAGCTTGATTGTCTCCCCCCTCTCCTCCTAATCCCTCATTGATCTTTTCCCCCCTCTCTTCCGATTTCTTTTTCCTTGTTAGGGCTTTAGGCCTAACAATTGTTCCAAGTAAAAACTTGTTCTAACGTCTGTAGGCACTAATATGACCTTTCTTTCATATTTACGTTATTCTGCAGTGTCAATGAGATCACTTTGCTATGCAATTGCTATTCTGTAGATGATCTTATTCTAATGTGCTGCATTTTATCTCCTAGCCATCTGCTACCGTCGCTGCACATCAGGTAGAAGTTGCATTGCCCCTAACAGGTGCGGTTGTCCAAAAGGCTACTATGGCGTCAGATGCGAAATACGTAAGCTTTTTTCGAATCCAACTATATCGAAGTAAACTTCAATGTGAATGGAAATCTTTACCCTATGGAGATCTAAGCAGGATCTCTTTCTTATGTTTGAATTTTGAACATCAAACCATTTGAAAGTTAGCGTATTTTTAGCCAATTACTTTTGAAGATGAAGAAGAAGAAGAGGACCATTGAAGACTTTAGGCCTTGTTCACAATGTCGCATTTTCGAATTCTAATGTTGTTAATGTTAAGTCTCCATTTCCAAACATATCTGTTTCCCATTGTTTGTTTTGAACGCAAGAAGAGGCGCATACTCTTGCAATGCATGCGTCAACTTGCGACGGGGCTAGAGAATTCCCGATCACGCTATCGGAATGTATTTTGAGTCCTTTGATCTACTTATTCATGAATACCTTCTCATACACTGGGACAGACCTTCACTTAATTCTCAACAGTCCTCTATTCCTACGATTTTGTTCTAACTTTCTTTCCAGCATTTTTTTATTTGTTTGGCCTTTATTCCTTGTTTATCTCTTTAAGTTGTTTATTATTCCTTGTGTCTTCGCTCGCGTCTTGGTTGCTCCTCCAGCGTACTTTTTTATCGCATGATTTACGATCCCCTTTGTTTAGCTCTTTCGTATTTATAGTTGTCTTTTCGCCCGTAATTATATACTGAAGATGACTATAGCTAGAGTGGACACGTGTAATTTGATATAATGTACTTGTCTATTTAATGGGAATTGTCTAATACCGGATTTTTCTATTTATCGGATTGTCATGATGTAACAAGAAGTTGTCGAATGTTTCAAGCATTCTGTCTTTTTTCTTTGTTCTGGCACTTATTATTAATTTCAAGCTCATTTCGTGATTCAGAATTTATGATTTATTTTTTAATTAAAATACTTTCTACAATGCCTGTGAAAATTCTTGGAACACAGATGTCAGTTTTGAAGGTGAAATTCAGCCACTCCCTTCCCCCCTAGGAAACAATCTTGGTTTACTAAAATACGGCGTTTAAACTATCAACATTATCCTAGAGAGAAAAGGGGCGAAAGTAGTAATTTTTTGGGATAAGATATGAAATATACATAATGAAATGCTAATTGCTGGATGCACCAAGTATTTTTGGCCGGCACTGTAGTTAAATCCGGCTGTGTACAATGTATTAAGAATGTTTTAACAGTTCTTTGCATTTAGCACATATTTTGTTGCATTTTAACATGAAATGGGATGAAACTGAAACGATTTTATCCTTCTACAGCATTGTGCCTACAAGGATGTTTCAATGGTGGGGTTTGTGAGAAACCTAACATGTGTCTTTGCAAAGATGGCTATGGAGGAAAAGACTGCAGACAAAGTGAGTCTTCCGTAGTTTATTTTATTCATAAATTAGTTAGGCCATTAGTTTGTTATTCTCTACGATTCGTTGGGCCTTTGCTCCATTTGATTCTCTTTTACTCGGGAAGTCTGTACTTTTAAAAGAGTTACTTTCCTATAAGAACCAATTTTCACTCGTCATTTTTACGCTATTTGGTGTGTAGAACAGGACGGTTCTAAGTTGTTACTCCGAGATTCACGCTTATTGCGATCATTAGTCAACTGAACAGCAACTTAGAACCGTCCTGTTCTATACATCAAACAACGTGTACAACTCTGCCTATACGGCAACGAACACATTATGATAGACTATAAAGCAATTTTCGCCATTTTTTATATACGCTCCGGTCTTTATGTAAAAATACAGAATTTAGGTTTCTTACTAACCTCTAGCATTAAATCAGTTCATATTATCGGAAATGTGAACTGAAAGACGAGTCCAAAACAGGCTCCATTGATTCATCAATCTGTTGTACCTTTTGTAAAAGACAGCACTGTAATAAAGTAATGCACCATAACCAATGGGATGTTTTTTCAGAAATTTATTTTTTAAATCGATTGCTATATACATATAAATTAATTGTTGCCTTTTCGCGATGGAATTTATTTTTGCATTACTCTTTCACAGAACTTTGCTCCCCTGCGTGCCGAAACGGCGGCAGATGCGTTGGTCAGAATACTTGTAGCTGTCGCCTTGGTTACGTTGGCTTGCGATGCGAAAGAAGTATGTCAACATACTGTTTTTTAATGGCTTTAGCAGTCTGTTTCATTTTTCGTTTTCATTTTAAACATATTTAACAGGGTGACAATTCAGAAATTAATATTTGCTTTACAATCCGCCCTGTAATAAAAACTGTTTCGAATGAATTTAGTTAAGCGAAATGAATAATTACAGTCTAATTCATAATGATATTGATAATAAGAAAAAAAGAAAGAAACGAAGATAAAAGCGGCTTCATGGTAGAGACACTCGTAAGTTTTCAATCTGGATTTAAGGTGCCAATAGAGGGTGCCAATTTTGTTTCTGAGTCTATAGACTAAGATCCCAATCAGATTTAGACTGTCCTCCTCTTCGGTACATAGATTGTCCCGCTCCCCGATACATAGTCAATTTATCTTGGGATCAGTCAACGATAGGCTGTTGTAGACAATTATTTCTCCACTCAAAAACTGTCTGGTATTTTTTATCATTTAAAATTGGCTCAAAATAGCGGAAACAGTGCCTACTGCAGCACTTTTAATTCTACACTCTTCAGAGAATGAACGCCGGATAATTACCGAAAGTAAGCAGAAAATTTATATCCAGATGTGGATCGAAAGTAACGTGAGAAGAAAAAAGGACGACGTTCATACTCTGAAGAGTGTTAGTCGCTATTTTGTGCCGCTATTTTTGCTATTTTTGCGGTACCAAAAACTTATTTGTTTATAAATGATAATGGGTGCTTACTTTCCGGTTATTCAGATTTTTATCTTCAGCCAACCTTGCGACTCTTTCAGTAATTCAAAGTTTGCGATTTGTTTAGGTTCACTAGTGATTACACGCGATTCTTTGATTACCTTACAATCAATCCTTCTGATTAAGGTCTGATTGTATTTTGCCAATTTGATAGCGTGCGTGATTTTAATCAGTTCTATCCCCAGTTAAGTCATCGTCAACAGCTCTTTCCCCTTTTCATAACCTGTGATCACGATCAATACTACCAAGCCTTACTCTCTGCCTTCCAATCTGCTCTCTTAGGCCCCAGTATTGCTTGAATAATCAGCGTACCTGGCTATCCTTCTGCTCGTCCATAATCAGTATATCTTTACCTTGAATACAACTTTTTAATGTGTATTGTCTGCCTCTTTTCAGTGATCTGCAGGATTAAATGTGCCAACGGTGGGGTGTGCAATGGACCTTACAGCTGCAAGTGCCCACCTGGGTATGGAGGCCGACTTTGCCAGCTCCGTAAGTAAATCTTGTGCGTTGTCAAATGAAAAAAGCGGTAGATTACTCTTTTATTGCAGTAAGGGATGAGCAAGAAACATTTTGTTGTTTGTACAGCTGTTTGGGAAAATGATACTGTCACGATGCAGTCATGCTAAACACATTTCGAGATGCAGTCACTTTAGTCAAGTGAATGATTTCCAAAAAATAATCTGATTCACCAGTTTGATTCACCAGTTTCAACTAGGCTTTAGCGACTCCATTGGCGAACAATTTATATCATGATACTATATTATATTATAATTTATATTATAATACTATAATACTATCTATATTATATTACATGATATTATCATTTATGTTATGATATTATTGTTATTACTATATATATTAGCTGCCCTAATAGTTTAAGAAGTTCATAAATTTCGAGCCCAACATCCAACTATTAAAACTTTTCAAGCAAGCCTGAACAAAAGTCTTTGTTTACATAGTCACTGTAGCTTAGTAAAAACACCCAAAGTCTTCCAATTTCTAAATGCCTCAACTTTAATTTGCTATTTTCTATCTATATGATATTATGTAAGCTATCTAGATAAGCTATTTTCTGTCTGTAATTTCATACATTTTTAAAAGAATTTAGACCTCTATTCCTTACACTTTTGCCTCTTCACCATCGCAACACAAAATCGCGTCCGTACATGGTATGTGAATTACTTGAGACCATACACATAACGGGGGAGAATAAAACTCTAAGCTAGTCTGCCTACATCTCTGATAAGTCAAAAGTATCTAGTTTACTAGTAAAATCTAAAATTAAATCTAAAATCCTAGAAACCATATTTTTTCAGATTTACTATCTTTACCCTTGAGAAAGAATGGTTGCTTTGTTAAGTCAAGTTATCCTTGATGACTTTATGCAGTATAAACAAAGTTTTAGCTGCTCGAACTCTTTTTTCATATGAGCCAAAATAGTAAAGCTGTTGACATGTCTCGCTTTGGCCATAATGAATGACAGAAAATTAAGCTTACAATGAATTTTTGGTAGTAAGACATTGGACATTTAATCTTGCTTTATGAAAAATTCTTTTCGCGCCATGCATACTAATTATAGCAAATCTGTAGTGTATGTTTCTTCAATAAACATATCCTTTTTGTTGCATATTTTCTAGAATTATTGATTTTTCAATAATTCATTTTCATTTTCTTACTTTTCAATTTTTAAAAGAATGTAGCCTGGTAAATTTTAGTCCTCCATAATGAAGTCGAGATCAGATGTTGACGTTTCTGTTTTTCTAGTACCTTTTTTCCTTCAGCATCCTGACTTGTTTCTAAATAACATAATACCCCCTTTAAAGAGCTCTTTTTTCTACAGATCAATGCAATCCTACTTGTCAAAACGGGGGTCGATGCGTCGGCCCAGGACAGTGTGAATGCCCAAGTGGATATGTTGGTCCACAGTGCCAAGAAGGTTTGTATTAATAAGTTTATACTTGAATTAACAAAGTCAGTGGTATGTTGATCAAAGGCAACTTATTCAATGGTTCATAGAGATTGCAGTTAGAAAAGTTAATCTTAAAAAAGTTGGTCACTACTACGCTAATTGGGTTTTAAACAACATAATTGTTTTGACCTAGTCAAGGATATAAATTTTTTGCGGGAGCTATATATTTTGATTTGTGTTCTTGTAACAAGCACAGAATTTAGGACCTCCAGGGTCTGCAGCCCCCCTAAATAATCAATAATAGAATTCACCCGCTGAAGAATTTACCTTAAGCGCTCACAAATTGAAATCGCTTTAGGTCTCTTCCTTGATCCTTAATTTCTCGGCGGCCCTTGTAGTCACTGTTTTTAACCATTTGAAAACATTTTAATAAGTTACAAAAGTTTTATGTTTGCTATTTATTTCTGTCAGGTGTCTGTCTCCCATCTTGCATGAACGGCGGTATTTGTGCCCGGCCTGGCGTTTGCACGTGTCTTCCGGGATTCGTTGGTACACGGTGTCAGAGAGGTTTGTTGTTTTCCTATGGTTTCATCCCCCATGTTAGTTTTAAGTCTCAGTGGCCAACGAAAGCATCTGACGATAGGTCATTTGTAACTTTCCTTCTAAAAAGCTTTTCTTTTTTGGATGCTACGTTTGTTTGTATTTAGTGCCTTGAAACATTCAGTTTATCATCTTGACTACTCTAGTGTCTCTAATAGAAGGGGGGAGGTAATAGAAGGGTGTGTTCATGTTGGCAATCCTTCTTTGAAATCGAAATACCTTTTAGAATATGCTGGATCATACAAAGATAAATCAAATTTACAGCTTCTAACTTCAAGTAAAAATCATCGGTTTCCTTTGTACGGTTGAGATTTTACAAAAAACTATGGAGAACAACGAATAATGAAAATCAAATGACTTGATTTGTAAAATTTAATAAGAGGGGTGTTGCTAATAAGCGACGGGGGAGGGCAAAGTCTTCTGAAATTAATACACGGGGGGGGGGGCGTCTATTAGAGACACTAGAGTAATCCCTTTTCTTATGAGCCCAAACCAAGAAGGTTTCTGTCAAGTAAGCACTTTCTCGAATTATCCTATTCCCTGCTATTCCTCACTCCAGAATTTATCCAGTATCCTGAACTGTTAATGAACATTTACTCTTTAATAATACTCAGTCTTATTGTTAAAAGCCTTGAATTGATAAAAGCTGGCGTATTTCTCATTAACTTTAAATGAATTATCACTTAAAGGTATAGCATTATCACTAATAGGGTAAGTTGGTAGGGTAGATTGGCTGTGGAAGTAATCCTCCAGTTGCTTTGCCTCTCCGCTTTTTAAATTCTTCGGGCCTTCCAGAGTGTATAGCGTTTCTTTTTGTATTTTTAGCAACATGCGATTTCCCTTGTCAAAATGGCGGACGCTGCATTGGTCCAAACAAATGCTCTTGCTCTTACGGTTATAGTGGAAAGATGTGTGAGACAGGTGATCTTTCAACTTTTCGTTTTCGTCTAATCTTCTTGATCATGCGATAAAGATCTTGTTAATTCTTGAACCGTTTCGTGGGTTTGAGGCTTACCAGCATTAACCAAGTAACTTATTGGTGTTTACCAATCAAGCTGCAGACCCTTGGCCACACAAGATGCTTTCAAATGTACCATAATATTGTCTTAGCAGGGGATAAGCTGCCAAATACTTTAAAATTAGTTGAAACATAATCGATCCGTCCTCCCTGCTATTATCACTTTTTTATCAATGCTTGACGATCAGTTTTAATGATGAGCTTTCGTTATACCTGGGGTTTTAAGGTAAAATTCAACAAGGAACCCAAATTAATTCATCATAGACCAAATTGGGTTAGTTTCTTTCATGTAAAAAGCCTCGTCTCGCCAGGACCACAAATTTGAAATGTCTTGTCTAAATGGATTGAATCAGCTTAAGACATGCAAACGTTTAAAAGACTCACAAAGCAATTGGATAGGCCTTATTGCAGCTTTAATGTCTCCATTTAGTAACCGAAACATGTCTTCTAAATAGCTTTTCATTTGGTATCTATGCAATTGAGAATTTGATTTAGATTGGTATTTTAGAGCTAGTATGCAATCAAATTAAGATAAAAGATGAAAAACAACCAAGCGAAAATTCATAGGCCTTAAAGTCAGAATCCAGTCCCTAGTTTCAGTGTCCTGTTGCTTCGGAGCTAAAGCTCGACTCGTAATCCCCTTATTTCTTAAAGCTAATTTTCTTACTGATAAATCTGTCGCTTTTCACAACCCTTTTTTAAAGAATAACCGTTTTTTGATTGGTTATAGCACAATGCAACTGGGGTTGCCACAACGGTGGAACGTGCATACGGCCTAACGTTTGCGCTTGCGTCAATGGGTTCTACGGTTTTACGTGCAGACGGAGAGGTAGGTTTTAGTTTATTTGGTTGCAAATGGCAGCGATTGTTTTTTACTTTTTGGTGAGGAAAGGCCAGGGATTTGTCACTGTTTCTTGCATAAAGTTATACGATAATCAAACCATTAAAAGACATAAGAAGCATTTGAAAAGTGGTGGGGCATATATGCAAAAAGGGGCAACTCCTTGAGCAACAATCAGGCACTTAATTTCTGTAGACGTTCCCCTGCTCCTCCTGTTCTTGCGAATATGAAACCGTCTTTGTCACAAATAACTACCACATTGTCTTTATCAGAAATGGATATATATATATATATATATATCATATCATAGATTGAAGAAAGTAAAACTACATGGTTTATCTCTACAAGCCTGTTTCGTGAGTAACTTACTCTTCAGGAGGAATATTTCAGTGTATCAACATCTCCTGAAGAGTGAGTTATTCACAAATCAGGCTTGTAGAGATAAACCATGTAGTTTTACTTTCTTCAATCTATGATATATCACGCTCTACGTGCTAACGTATTGAGCACTGTGCTACGGAAGTATCAAAAGACAAATTTCTATATATATCATATATATATTTCTTTGGCAAATTGCAACAATCTCAGTTACGATTAGAAACGATTACAGGTTCATTTTTATTCCATCTTATTTACGATCGGAAAACAACCTCGGTTTTAGTGAGGAATCGTCTCAGTTGCCATTTCAAACCCTCTTAACTACCACTGAAAACTCAATTACATTTTGAAACCACCGTAGTAACAACACACATTCTCTGCTTTAAATCGACACTCAATCGATAGCAAGAAACATCTGACTTATTTTCACTCCTTTCCAAACGCTGTTTTTCGTTTATTTTGCAGCCTATCGAGCGATCAGCTTTGATCGACGATTTTTGGGTAAATAAAACGAAACTTCGTTGCCGGGCACTGCCTGCTGCTAAGTGGAACTGACAAATGGATGCTAACGTTGGCCAGCACAAGCCGTGACCAAGAAACTATATAGCGAGTTGTTTATATCCTACGAACGGCAGATATAGACGCTTTTTTAGGTATAAAAGAAATGCTTGTTGATGTTGATGACTTGACGCCTTTGAAGCCTTTGTATTATGGCGAGAAAATGCTAGTAAGAGTCTATTTAGAAATCTAGGTTCGTATCAACCAATAGCATTCTTGCCATTGTTATTAGAAGTCACGTGTCCGAGCATGCGTAGTTGATTTGTTGCGCAGGGTAATGGTGACTATGGTGAAGCGGTAACTTCATGAAATTTTTTTCTAGAGTTTGGGACTTTTTACCAAAATGTCGTAAAAAAATTACATGTAATCCAGCAAAAAATATATCTAAATGAACATTGTCTTCTCCACTATTGAGTTTCAGTATTTACTATGATATATAGTTTGTGAACCGAAAACAATTATAAACTTCAGCTATTTCACTACCCATGTATCAGCCAAATTATAAGGACTTGAGATGATCTTGCACAATTACGTGTGGTCTATTGGGTTATATGAACCCAACCAGAAAGCCGTAAGAAAAATAGTTTTATCACCTAACTACTCCCCTATCGGTTTTGCATTTCAAGTCAAATTTAATTTTCCTATATCATATTGACGTAAAAAGTAATAACATAGCTTTATTGAATTTTTTTTGGTAAATATCTTGAACCTTTATTTGCTTAGGATTTGAACTCGTTTTTAATTGCATTTAATCTTAGACCATATTACGTTTCTAAACATTTGTAAGTAGGGCACGTTTGATTTTAATAAATAATTTCCGCCTTAAATGTTGACGCAGATGCTTTTGCTATGGACTAAACTATTTCCTGGTACTTTTTTCTGCCCATAAAGAAAACGAGAACCAATGGCGGACACTTGGTCAAATCTTGGGGGGCAAGCCTAGTATATTGATACGATGAGGTCACATGTCTACATTGTATTAGAACAAAAGGCCATTGTCTCCCAAAATATTGAGGGGGCGACCGCCACTGTTGAGAACCCAAGGTGTCCGCCAAGTGTCCGCTATTTCCCCTAATTGTTTCCGCCACTGTAGAGAACGATATGGAAGTGAAGGAACCAGACCAGATCATTCTTCGTGTTTTATTCAGTTATAGCACAAAGACTTCAAACATTTTGAAATCAGCTACTTGAAACATCTGTTTTTATGCCATCTTTAGTTTTTTAAGGAAGTAAACTTCAATTAGCATTAAAATCATAAAAAGGGTAAAATGGTTTTCACAGTTTGTTGTTGTCAAATTGATTAAGATAAAGGTGAGCGAAGCCTCTAAAAATCTTTTTAAAACTGCACCATTTTATGAACAGAAAATTCTTTTTTAGAACAATTCACTGCCACATTTCTCAAAGCACACAATGTGCCCATGACATAAAATTGAACAGACCCTATTCTGGCAAATGTTTGGGGGGGGGGGGGGGGGGGTTGGTTAGAATGTTGAAAGCTATATGTAGTATTATTTAAAGATACCTAGTGACTTTTTTTACAAAATCGAGCCCTAAACTACCTGGAGTCGTGTTTCGTAATTTTTAGGTTATCAATGATTTTACAGCTTCCTTTTAATAAAGAATCAATATAAGTGGATATACAGCAGTTTCATGGTGACTCTTCAATGTAGCTGTTTTACCCGATGCTCTATGTATTTCATTTTCTTTGGGTCCGTATCCTCTGTTTGAAAGTAAGACAAGATTTCTTTACAGTTTTTTCTATTATTTTTTTTAAACAGTGTATGAAACAGAAAGAGAACAAACTGTTTATATTACGGATTGATTTTATTTGATCTATTTAATTAAGCTATTTACGATTATTCCTACTATTTGTCCATGATTTACTTTTATTCAATTAATCACTTTCGTATCAATTAAATGTGTTCATTTTGGATGTGTAAACATGGCCTACTTAAAACACTTGAGACAAGGAAGATACACATTTCTGTTCAAAAAAAAAACTCTCCCAATCGATATAGCTTGTTTTTCACATCGATGGGTACTCTGTACCAAATATTTCCCTTCCTTTCTTTTCCCAATGTCATTAGAGATTTAGCATGATTCCTCCACTTCCTAATTTCTCAATAAACAATAATCAGTTTTCCTTAAAAACGGTCAATTCTCTAACTTGAGCAGGACAAGGAAGATGTTTTTAGCCATTCTAGAAAGTATAATTTCATACATTTTCGCAAGCGGATAAAAGAGTACATCTTGAAAAGGTTTCAAGACAGTAGATGCTTTACTGTTCACAGTCCCTTGAGTGTTCGAGACAGCAGATGCTTACTTTATGTCAAAAATTTGTTCAACTGGTGCACATGAGCAGCTATGGCGATTAACCAAGGGTCAACATGACCCAGAAGATCTCATGGTTGAGGCTCCTGATTTGTGATATCAGCTTCCATTCTACACTCTTTTTAATAAGAGCACACTTTGCAAAGACACCGAGGAGGCTCGATTTGCCACAAAAAAGAATATCCTAAAAATATCTAGCCTCAGATGAATAATTGAATTTCTATTTCAAAACAGATTTTTTCAGCAAATCCGCCGTGTGACTCAAAATGTTCTCCAAAAATTTTGTTTAGTGGTCTAAGTGGTAATTTATTTTTTGTAGATTTAGTAAAGTCAGTGATGAAATAAGAACAATAGCAAGAGTGTCCGAGCCTCCAAAAGCAAGAAAATCGAGCCTCGCGAAAGGTATCTGGTTCCTTTAAAATTACTGTGCACTTTATGGGAAGTAACTTTAGTGGGAAGAACTTTTGCAAACTGAAAAAACATGAAATTGTTGGATTCAATTTAGTTGTCTGGACTAGTTCCTCCCGCAAAGAAATAGAAATATACAGGCCAGGTTTTTCCAGCAAGTTACAGGCCAGGCTCTTTGATGTTAACTTTTGGCAAGAGTAAAAATCAGTTTTTTTCGTATTCAGACATTTCAGAGGAACAAAATTTCGTAAATTTGTTTAAGAAACTGCGCGAGAATAAACTTTTGCGATTATAACTATATCGTGAAACTGGCCTTTGAAATTAATCGAAGAGATTGAGTTGACTTGGACAAAGAACGTAATGTAATTGAGTTTAAAAAAAAATTAGTGCATTGAAGCATAGTTGTACTTCAGTCATCAGTTAAGATGAGTTGATGAGAGCCTAGTATAAGTAAACTGCGTATCATTTCTCCTTTCAACCTCGTGACAATGACACATTTTCGCGGGAGCAAATTTTCGCGAATTTTACTTTCTCGTCTCGTTTCAATGTTTTGCATGTTTGAAACGAGATCAAATCATTCTCCATGTGGGAAAAGTAGGCAATAATTGTGACAGCAAATTGTACAATTATGCTGACTAAAATGAATTTATACAGTCCTATTTCGCTTGTACTTTTTCGAGAATTCACTGTTAAGACTAGACCACTGGTTTGTAAGTATCAAGTAGTTGTGGTGCGGAAATTATGGACAAGCGCCTGTTGTATGTTTCCAAGGTCAGAGCATTTTAAATACGTTGGGACTGCTGGAGAAACACCAAAGCAAATGGCTGTACTGGCGAAAAAAGCACGCAAGAAAGAAAAAACTAAACGAACTAGAAATCAGCTAGGGTCAATACTGGATGAAAAAGTTAAGGCAGATGAAATGCAAGAAGACATCGAAGAAATTGTATCTGCTGCGAGAAAAAGACTTCATTTGGGTGACAGCCAGATTTCAAGTCTGCATTTAGGGATCGATTATTTACTATCTCAAAAAATACCATTCAATGTCGTAAAAAAACTCTGCAGTATTTCTCCAAAAACAATAGCACAGGACATGGCTATATTGAAGAAGAGAATTACTGCCTTCAAAGTTAACTCAATGTATGAAGACTCCATGACAAAGATTTTCAAAAAGAACCCCAAAATTTTATTGCTCAAACTTGAGGACACATTGACAGTAAAGGTATGAAAGGACAATAAATATTTTGTCTCTAAGCTTTGACTTGATGGAAAATTTGTTTAAACTCACTTTTATTATTTAAAAATGATAGCCTAGGCACAACAACCCATAATTGTGGGGCTTTTGCAGTTTTGCATCTCTGAAACTGGTTACATACATAAGAATAGGATTTGGGGATCTACCCCGTATGTGATTCAAGGCTTGAAATCACATGGTTATGGTTGCAAACATATAGTCTACTTTTCTGATGTGCACATCTATGTGCCCAATAGGCTAGGGGTGCTCTAGGGGGGGGGGAAGCAAAGGAGGTAGCTGTATATTGAGCTTCTAAGAGTATGATTTTCTTATTTCTTGTGCATGTTGTCTTCTTGTGCATATGCATGTCACAAAAGTCACTTTGGATTTAGACTAAGTTTGACTACACAGTTATTGGTGCATCGTTTATCCATTTGTTGCACCCAACTCTTTAATGAAACAAATTCCTTTTATGCTTCCGCCCCTATCTATGGATTAACCTTAAGATGCTTTATATATCATTTGATTGGCCTCTGTAAACATTAAAATGATTTGAAATATATGCAATATAAAAATGTTTCACAATAGACAGAAGAGTACTGAAGAACTCTTTATAAATTGTACTCTGAATGGATATTTGTCCTTGAGGAATGGTACTACAGAATATATAATATGTCTCCATTTTCCATGCTATTCCTCATTCTAAAAACTTTATATCCTTGGTATTAATCTTTATCCATTAGCTGCATAAGCAAGACACCATTATTTATTTTTGAACATTCAAAATAGTAGCTTTGATGGCTCTACACAACTGGGGCTAAGCTTGTAACCACTTATATTAACATTTGGGTTGGACTTTCAATTTTGTGAAATCTAACCTAAATATAGAACTCTTATGTGATAAATTTCATTGCCTTCTTTTGTATACTGCAGTACTATTTCTTTATATTTCTTTGTATTCTCCAGATTGGTTGTATAGCCTTTAGGAGTTAATGATTGAAGATTTATACAATGAAAGACCAACTAATGGGGTTGGTGTCTAATATCATATATTTTGCTGCCAAGATGACATCCTATTTGATTTGTTCACAGGTTGAAGCATTAAGGAGACTTCCCTTGGGACTGTCACTTGAAGATGTCATCGGCATGGTGGTTCGTTGTCCAGATATCATTGAGTATCTAAGTACTGACAAAATTCTGGAGAAGATCAGTTTTTTAGAGAAAGATATCGGTTTTAACAAGAAACAAGTGCGAAGAATAATGATAAAGAGCCCAGCTGTATTGACAATGAAAATGAGCAATGTTAAAGAAAAGACAGATTTTTGTGTTAAGAATTTCAATGTTGATCTTGACAAAGTTGCAAAGTACCCAAGGTTGTTCCAATGTCCTATGGAAAGATTTAGACAGAGGCATGCATTTCTGGAGCAAGAGGGATTAGCCGGTGATGATATCAAAGTGAAGGGATGGGCATTTAAAGCCATCGCTGCCAATTCTGATGTTTACTTTGCTGACAAAATTGCTCAGAGACCACTGAAGAAGTTCAGAGATTTCCAAGAAAAGTGGAGGGTACAAAATGAATTGAACTCAAAATTAGCAAAAAACCAATAAACTAAAGAGCAAAATACAGGATGTAGCTTGTCATATATTTTTCTAATACAGATGTTTCAAAGTATTTTCAATCTGGGTTTGCAGATTTAAAGCAAATGTCAGTTTTTTCAATGCTAGATTCTCAAGAAATAGCTCAAGAAAAAAGGGTTTCTTTGAAAAATTTTTAGTACCCTACTTCTGTTGGTATCTTCAAAAAAATGGCATCACTCACAGACATTGCTCATCTGCTTATAGTCCACTTTCTGACAACGTGTTTTGCCTAATTTTTAGATTCTTATAATGAATAAGTGTTTAATTTGGCTGACGCCCTATGTTATCTGTAAAGTCATCACTTCCTTGAGAAATAAAAAAATTTCACTTACTTTATTTTTTCAGTTGGTTTTGTCAGGAAAAGTCCAATTGTCCCTATAATCCTGTTTAAAAAAATTAATTTCAGAGGCAGCAGCTGTCACTCTTCCAATGGATTAAAAAGGGCTGTAAACCTGTCATGTGAATTGGGGGGAGGGTCAGCTGGGGGTTATCTGGGGGAGTCAGCTGAGGGGGTCAGCAGAACGAATGAATATAAAGTGTGCAGTGGGTCATAGAACCACAAGCAATTTTTTTACGGTAGGTGTTATGGAAAATTTGAGAGGCAAATGCCATAAAAAACAAATGTCAATATTTTTGGATTTCTTGAGACTTTCTGCTCTATAGAAGGTACAGATATTCCCTAGTACATTGACTAATTTTATAATTGGATAGATAACATTTTTCAGAGACAGAAACACAAAATTGTAACTTTGGAGCTAAGAATCAAGTTTAGTGACGTAGGAGGACCCACCATGGTTGGGTTTGACGCAAAAGAAAATTTTTGAAATTTTAACTTCTAGAAAGGCTAAACAAGCAGCCCCCAGACTAAATTTAAAAAAATACTATACCGCTCAGGATAGAAAATTCGACTATTCTCAGAAGAACACAGATTATTGTTTATTGGGTGAAATTGTGGAGGGGAAGAGTTATGCTTAAACACTAGTGACAGACGTTGGGGAAAGAAGGGATGCTATTGTATTGATTGATAGAATTTTTTTCCAGAACAGAAATATGCGTCTTCATTATTTTGAGTGTTTTAAGTAGGACATGTGATATACATAAATAAGTTATCAACTAACACTTGACACCACAACCTAGTGGCTGAGGTTCGTTAGAATAACACAGGAAAAAGATTTCTTTCTTTCGAGCTACCAGGGGATTCTTTCTTTCAAGGAAAATGATGATAATTTCTCAAAAAAATTTTGCTACAGATTTTTGGGGATTAAGTTATTGCAGGGGTGTAGATCTAGGGGGCTCATTGGCAAATTTTCACTTTTTTGCAACATTTTGTGCAAGAGCCCCCCCTTGTTACTTTGATAGCACTATACCATTGAAATATTGGGGCTTTAATGGTAGGAGGAGGGTGCTTAAGGTGGATTACTGCCAAATCTTTTACAAGTCTTGGAAAGGAATTTACATTTCTTGGAAAGGTATTAACATTTATGTAGTAACTAAACTTTTAAAGAAAGGCACTAAGTTTCAGTTTCAGTTTTTTTATCAAACAATTCTAAACACAATTCAACATTAATACTCTACAACTAAGGTACGAATTTTAAATGAAAACGCATAAAAGGTATATAAGATTATTTATCATATGACCGCAACATTTAAGAGTGAGACACGCCCTTTTTGTCAGCAAGAATTATTTCTGTACCACTCCCCCCAAAAAATCTTTTTAGCTTTGCCTCTGATCCAAATTCTGATACCACAGTCGAAGAAACCCAAATTCTAATTTTTGCTCTCTTCACAGTATGCCTTGTTCTTACCAAACAAAATTCCAGTTACAGAAATGTTCACATCGGAATGCAACCAACCCCCCAACTAATTTGCAATGAACCCCCCTACCTTGAAAGGTATTCAGTTGTTTTTGTTGCTGCGGAGGAGCATTCGCAAATCACACATTGATCGAATCACATGAAGAGGTGGAAAAGGTGGCATAATGGAGGTCACCCCAGGTTGCAAGGTGTTGCTTCCTCTTCTTGTCACAAGCCTAACGATACTGTTGGTCAAGGGGGAAACATGCGGTCCAATTGGTTATAAAGCAACTGATTTGTTAAAGTAAGTAGAATTTTGCGATGATTTCTGTTCTGTGTTGATGACACCGTTTCTTTGAATAGTGTCTTTAGGCCCATTTGTAATTTCGCCATGCCTCGTATATATCATCCGTCATTTATGCCAAGTGCACACGAAATGGAAAAATTATTTTGATTTGAATTAGCATCAGTTACACGAAACTCTCCTCTGAATCGGAGAAGATATTTTATTCCATCTTGAACATGCAATAATCTTTAAAGTGAATTTGAGAGATGTTTCAACACGATATCGTGTTGTGGCAAAGATCGATCTTTGCCACAGGACAAAGAAGATTTAAATTTGGATGTTTCCTTCTTAAAATACATTTTCTATATTAAAAAGCTTTTTTCATTTGGCATCCTATAAGGAAAGTTAAAACATTGGACCTAATACTGTAATAATTTGATGAAGCCTCTCGAATAAGCCCTTCTTCTAGCATGGACTTTGAATAAGCTCCTTCCTAATTAGACAGTGTTATTAGCCTTATTTCATTTGTTGCATTCAATTTGCTTAAGGTCTGTTAATACAACTTAAGAATATTGTTGCATGTTATTTCATCTCGGTGTCTTCAAAATTATATATAATAGAATAAAGACCTGAAAAGTATAAGCAAGGTACAAAAGTGCCTTCTGTTATGAAGGAATTTAAGGGGTCTGATCAAAATAGACCATCTTGAAGATTGTAATGCCATGACACAAGAGAGGACAAAATTGAAGTAGTTATGATGGCAGCCTATCCCATAGAGATTTGTAGATTCCTCTGTAGCTAAAAAAAGATCTGTTGTTAATAACAAAGTTCAGATTTTCATTCTAAAAGTATTTTCTATAGAAATTTCACTCTGAGCGGTCTCTATCCACAATGAATTTTTCGCTGGTTTTCCCACTGGAGGAATGGAACTTGCTATAGAATGATAAAATTCCGTCATGCCGTCGAAAAATCCAAGATGGTCTAAAGCCTTTATGCACCTATGGTTTACTTTCTGATAATCAGCAAAAATGTCCCTCACATAGTACTCTTTCTGCATGGGCCCCAACGCAGGTTGGAATGTGGAGGGGCCAAGCAAAAAAATAACAATCATAACAAAAGGTTTTTAAAAAAATGCTCTATTGTTTTGCAAAAAAAGTGATAATGTGCATAGTATGGGCTCAGACCCTCTTTTTCTTATGATGGTTATAAACCTGCTTACTGTGCAGTTCAGAGGTTACAGGGGGGATATTTGCTAAATTATTTTCATCATATAAAATCAGCGGGAGGTGAAAGGCTTGACAAATTGTTTGGTTTCTGTCAGCCCACCAACAGCCAATCATAACAAGTAGGCAGTATCTTTATGGAAATTTCTTTTCTCTTCAGGCCAGCATATTGGTATTTTGATTTAAACAGAACAGAGTGTGACAAATTGCCAAAGCCCAAATCATTTGATATAATTGTGCCAGGAAACAATTCACAACATGCTTGCCGGTTCTATATGCACATCTGCAAGGGTATGACATACCAGTGCTCAGGAACTGTGTGCCTACGATATCTTCACACTGAGGATTATGTTTCTCTTCTGGGTAGTGAAATATCTAATCCTTTCAATGAAGGTAAGGGTAACATATAGCTGTTTCAATTTTGTTTGTAATTCATTTTGTATAATTCTGTCATCCACTTTAAGTAGTGTTGACTCTTTAGACAGGCAGATAACCATAGCAAGCGCAAGTGTTGAGTGTGTCAACTTGAATCGAATGCCTTACTGAAAAAGTGTGGTAACTTTAATTGATATGCATATTTCTAAGGCTACAGGTTTCATATAAATAATGATAAAGCGAACAAGGGATAATACCAAAGCCGAAAACCCACTCCGGAAAATGATCCGCTGATCAGATCAGATTTTGTTTTGCACACACGCTTCGGATGCAAATATGATCACATGACTGATCCACCACGGATCGAAATGGATTGAACAAAAAGTTGAAATCATTTCAACTTTCTTCTGAACCGTTCCGGTACAGTAGTTTTCTTTTGATCAAAATCGAATTAGAACTTTTTAAACAATAGGGCACTTGCGTCATGAGGCACAAATCCCGTTGAGATAATGTCAACATGCATTCCAATCTGAAACGATCGGCAGATCGAAAGGACAACACGATCTGATCCGATCCGCTGATCATTTACTGGAGTGGGTTTTTGACTTAACACATGTTAATAATAAATTTATTGATTACTTACAGGATCTTCAGGTCCAATATGCTACAAATATTCAATCTATAAAATTATTGTTAATAATCACGAGTAGTTGTGTCTACTTGTTGAGAGGCGAAAGAAAAATGTCTCAATCACTTGCTCTCCAGTTTAGTTTGCAGGTAATCACAATATGGTTCAGAAAAGTAGAATACTTCTTATTTGTCAACTTTATTGTTTTTTCATCTTATTCTAATATTTCTACCACTTTCTTTGTCTACTGCAATTTGTGCTGCAATTTTTAATTTTTTGCCCAACTGGTAGCTTAATAATAAATAGTTGTATGATGCATTTAGGAGAAACTACCACACATTGATTTGAGCATTCCTCATCCTTCAAGAGTGTGTTACTTATTATTCCTGTTCATTTAATTGCATTAAAATATTTCAATTTTTTTAAGGACACAAGACATTTGAATCGACATTCATTGGAGAAAGTAGTTTATGTAAAGACTCAAATGCATATGTGCAAACAAACATCAAATTTGTCTGTGACTTAAAAGCCAACTGGAACACATCCATAGTGCACCACCATGGAGGGGCATTATCCCCAAATCCTGTTGTTTTCTCATTTGACAAGGCGGCTTGCAGGGTATGATATTCTTATTAAAATTTTAAAATTGTTCAGTAAAACTTAAATTCTATTGAGAGGCTCAAAGTTAACTGTCATTAAATTGTTTTTGCTAGGACGTGGTAAATGCCAAATTCAAATACAGACTTGGAACAAAATACTCAGTGTTTCTAGATGCCCCACTCTGCTTTTTTATTTTTCTATGATAATGCATTTTTGTGAAACTTTCTTGCATTCACAGATGTTAATAACCAGGACAATTCACTATTGTTTTTTAGTTTCCTTTCTTCCTTTTCAAAATTATTTTTTTTCTGTTTTTTTTCATTACCATGTAAGAGAGATACTAGATATATATATTTAGATTAGGTCGTGTTCATTTTTGTCACCTAAGTTTCTTCATGTTATTCATCTGTGTTAAATTGCAGTTGAGTAATTTGTTGTAGTTTGAAAGATACTTGCTTTCTGTTTAGGTTAGACACCATCTTCTTTTTAACAAACTCTAATCTACACCTGAACAAGCAATCTTGGTAGTTAGATCTATAAATTGAAATTAGGATAATGAACTTATCAACTTAATTAGTTTTTGCTGATTGCGTAGCATTTTAAAACAGTGAAAAGCTTGGCAATTCTTAGGCCTAGTCTATAAATCATGCTAGAGTTGCCCCATCTAGAAGCATTTGCATATTTTGCTGGCAACTGCCCTTTCATCCTAAATGTCCCAAACAAAATCTTTTGTACTGTTCTCAATTCTTGTGAAAATGTGGCACCCTAAAAAAGACAACACTAAGAGTAAATACATTAGCAAGGAAGTGGTTTCTGTGTCAAGTTGCAGATAAAATTAACAATATTTCTTCAGCTCTTTTCCTTCACCATAAATTGTATTTTTGTTAAATCATTTTGCTCACAAACTTTTCACAGTGATAGAAACCAAAAGATTGGGAAATTGTAGTCGAATCCATATCTAGTTTTTTCCTTAGGTCCTTGGTATCTTGGCCCTTTATTTCTTTAATATTATTGAAAGGGGGTCACCCGTATGATACTCCAGGATGAATTGGCTGGGCTGACGAGCCAAGCATCTGTTTTTCAAAAATACTGTTTTTCAAAGGAATGCTGTTTTTCAAAGAACTACTTAATTTAAGACCGATTGGAACAATCAAAGGTGTTTTCACAACCTCTTATTCACAGTGCCTTGCCCTTGTCATCTTGTAAAGCCATGTCTTCCATGACATATCAATTAGGCTTTCGCTAAATAGTTGTTTTCTTACTCATCATGTTGTCAACTTGTTAATAGAATTCTCATCTACTTTAACAGCTCAACGTTCAGTTTAATTACTCTGGTGCATGTGAAAAATTTGAAAATGGAAGCACTCCTGGCAAAAGCATTAGTATAGGATCAATTATTTTAATATTGTAAGTAAGATTATGTTTGTTATTTTATGTACAAAATTTGTCAGTGTTAGTGAAAAGTCAGTTCAAGCAATCCATTTCTTTTGAGGAGGGCTTTATAAGAAGGGCTTAAGCTTGTCATCAACAGCCAGTATTTGCCACATTATTTTATCTGAGATTTTCAATCTACATCCAAAGAGAAGATAACTCTGATATTATAACTCTAAAAAAGCGCAGATCTCCTGCACTTTTTGAAATTGTTTATAGCAAAACTCAAAAAGATGTATACATTTAAAAATAAAGATTTACATATATAGATAAACAAATAAGAAAAAGATTTGTACATACAATAAAGATATACAAATTACCCCAACTTTTAGATTAAAGGACCAGCCCCTGGTATAGTTTCAGCTGCTATGAAAGCAACACTGACTTTATTAGTGTCCCCTTTACAGCTTTTCCCCCTAGGCCCACTTTAACGTTTGTAAGCCACAGCATCATAGCTTCATATTTCCATAGCTCTTCTGTAATTGCTTCTTGCTTGTCTCATCACATATCTCTTATGCTCGAGTATAAGATCTCTGCTGTTCATCCTCCATAGGTTCTTTCCTGGCTTAGCATTGTATTTCATAATGGGTATGCTGATAAATCGCATGGCTGGACATCATGGCAAAGAGCTTATACCACATGCCTCATTTTGGTTGTCACTTCCAGATTTGATTATGGTAAGTTGAGCATACTCTTTTCTCTTATACCTGAGACAGTTTGTAGAGTATTGCCAATTTTGACAAGATCTTGAGTGTGCCAACAGCCCTGCACCTTATGTGCCAGCGCTATCAACTCTTCCAGAATATGATTTAATAGATTAGGTTTTTAGGCACGCCCTCAGTCTATCTTAGGACGACATCTTGGGTGCCCCATCTTCATGCACTGTATTCTGGTAATTGTCATTTGTTTTTGTGTGATTTTGCTGGTATGGCTCTCCATACTTGGCTGTATCTTACATTGGCAGAAAAATTATTTTTAAGATATACAATTGATTTGGTTAAGCTCAGGTTGTATTTTGGTCATATATTACGATCAGCAATTATGTTATTTCTTGTGACTTTGGAAACCACAGCTTGTTAATGACAATAAGAACCATGACAAATAAAAATGCATATTTCTGAAACATTCTACAACTTCTTGTTAAAAATAAGATAATACGCAAATCCGGTATTTATACTGACGAGATTGACAAATCCGGTATTAGACAATTCCATTAAAAGAAAAAACCATTATATAAGATTACATAAACGTTTTTTTTGTATTATCCCTGAAAGTTATTCAACATGCCATCTATTTCTTGTATTATTTTTCTTCTGCTGAAAAAAGTTTTTGCATTCCCAGGATGGTTTTGTGTTTACTATGCAAACAATAACTTGTCGAAAGGAGGACAGAACGAGCTATGAGACAATGTAAAATGTTGAACTGTGTACCAGCGACACGCCCCGAAGCTCGTACCACTTTTCTTGTGGAGACCAATCAAAACACAAATGCAGTTTCTGATGTGCTCAGCTTCGCAACCGCTTGTCTTTTGGAGGAAGATAATCGCAAGCAGAAATTTATTTGCAACATTTCGCTAATAATTATTTGTCAAGTAAAATTTGCATGTATCTTAAGTAGAAATAGTTAAGTTAATGAATGGTAAACATTGGATTACACTAAGTGATTGAGGATCAATTCAAGCAGCTATTTTAGCGGTAAATTCATCCAACTACGCCTTATTACTTGAACGATTATAAGATTGCTAGCTATTTAAATTCCGATATTCTAGCTTACGGTTTTGTAAAGTTTGTAAACTTAAAATTGAAGGCATCGATATTGCCCTAGAGTTAAATCTTCAGAGATCTGGTAAACAGTGCACTGAATTTGTACTACCCCAATGAGATGTATACTACCCTTACCCACCCTCCTCTCTTCAGAATTAACCCAAAGCCCTTTATTTGTCTGGACACATTGTACCATGCTGGTATATCGTACGCTATAATGAAATCGCTTAATCGTCTTGCTTCATGTCCTGTGTTTTATAAGGCTATAATTGAATTAAAATAAATATCTTAAATCGATATATCAGTCGACCATACGATCCATGATAGAGGGGGAAAGGGGGGGGGGGTAGGGAATCACTTTAGTTGAGGACAAATGCATCATAGAAAAACTGTTGTTGAAGGAACCTGATATGACCTTGATTTCCCGACTCAACGTTCTGTTTCCTATAAAAAGCAATGAAGTGCCCCCTTCCTGGAAAAGCGATTTCCTGCTCTCACTTGGCAGAAGGGACCTGTAGCGGCGCCACTGCCTTCGGATAAAACTGGCGTTCCCTGTTGGTAAAAGAGCGTTTTCTGGTGGTTAGAAGGGCGTGGCTTGAACTTTTTGGTTTGTCCCCCCCAGAGCTTAGTGGCTGGCTCCGCCATTGGGAGGGACCCTTCAATGTGTAGTATTACATATAAGTCAGCGTAGACTCAAAGTACATATTCTGGGATATCCCTGTACACGATAAAAAAAATGAAAAAAGATAAAAGCTGGACCCCCAACCTCTCTCTACAAGACAACATTCAATTAACAGTGTCTTTCAAAAACATGGCGTACCAGACTTGCTTTTACTTTGTTTTCTGTTATGAGATAGTTTTCTTGAATATGCATCATTTTAATGAAATTCAGTGTATGGGGAACGTTACATCTTCAGGTTTTGAAGTAAAAGGTGATTTTGGATCTATTTTCAATTGTTTGTTTCTTGTCTTTGAATCTCAGAACTTTCACCCCAGGAAGAAAATTGTCGTTTGTTTAAGTTTTCACTTTCCGCTTTCTGTGTTTTTTTTATTGTAAGTACTTTGGCTTACAAAGATTTTTTAGCAACGTATCGTATAGCTCTGCCATTAGTGCTTAGTCGATGGGGGCTTTTTGAGGGGGACTTCTATAAAAATCATTTCCAAGTTGCCATACAAGTAGCACACTATGTAGATTTTTCACAATTTTCAAATTTATTTCATTTGCAATTTTATTTGATCATATATCCTGAAATATCAAGCAAAAGTATAAATCAAAGCGCAAAATGATTTGTTCGTCAAAACTTTTGATATGTTCATTGTCTTATGCGGCCTCCGTCAGCCATCAAGGATATTGGGTCATTTCCCCATTGTTTCCGATTAAGCCCCCATGGAAGTATATTAAAACGCAAAAAATGCATTTTAGGTTGGGGGCCAATTCGAGGGTAGGGGTTTATTAACAAATTTTACTAAACTAACAAATCTAACAAATTATAGCGTACGAAGGTCCAATTCGAGCAAGGTCCAATTCGATGATTTACGGTGCTATAATCAACTTCGCTTTTGGTCTCAAAACACGTTGTCATTTTTACCTTTAGTTAAAGTATGTAGTTAAGTTAAAATGTGTAGTTAAAATGATGAATAGTGATCATCCAGCAAAGTTTCATTTTAGTCTTGTTTAAGGTAATTGTGGTGAGACAGATAACAAAGGTCGCAGGATACCAGTAAATTAGATCAGTGTTTTTCAATTCCGTGAAATATCGTCTGGTGTGCGGTGGAAAGTTATCCAATTTCATTGAATAAAAAATATTCTGTTGAACAAATGTAATTTTTTTAGTGAGTGAATAAAGAGTGAAAAAACAACTTTATTTATTACAAAATACTTGTTTATGTTTCTCTGTTTTTTATTCAAGACACGTCGATGAAAAAATATTTTGAACATAAACTACAGACCATCTTTTTTCAACGTTTGCCGTTGGTTGTTTGCCTCCTGATTTTCGCTATGATAAGAGGTTGAAAAAACACTGAATGAAAGGGGAAGGGGCTGCCCAATTCTGATATTATTAAATCTTCATCGCTCCACTTTTTCAAACAAACAGTGTTTTATGGTAAAGTTTTTAAATTCTTTGTAAACTTAATATCTTGACACGTCTGACCAAATCTTGCAGCCATATAACTTCCATGTTTTTCCATTTAAATGGTATCTAACTTGGTTTAAATGGTATCAAAGCTTGGTTCCCACAGTGGTGGATTTAAGGGGGGCAAATAGGGGCAGTTGCCCCTCTTTCAACGAGTTGAAGCAAGTCTGGCGCCCCTATTTGGAAATTGTGCGCCCCTTTTGAAGAATGAGAATCAGATGAAAAAGGTTCTTGGACTGATAGGTTAATTTGCTTCAAGGATAACCTCAAAGTTATGTTGTTTATTCTAAAAAGGTATCTAAAATTGTTGTATACAGCGTACGTTTGTATTTTCCAGAAAATTTTCCAGCGCTCCCACTACCAACTGCCCCTTCTTCAAATTTGCTCTGGATCCGCCCCTGGGTTCCCACTGTTCGAGTAAGTGCGTTCAAGTGCGTTTATTTCTGAGCATTCAAATGAGTTTATTTGGTCAAACATCACTTTGCTAAACTTGTTACTATCTACAATGACGACCTCAATTTTACTCACTTTAAAACCCAGAGAAACCTCCCCTGCATTACAGAATCTTACATGATTTTTATCGTGTAATTTTTAACTGACACTTCGAATGAAAAACAACCCGAAATATTAACAAGACTGCGCGTGTCCATTCTGCAGAAAAGAATTAGCAATAATTGATCTTATGCGACCTGCCCCCCAAATTTACAAGGAAACCTGCCCCCCCCCAAATGCCAGCCCTTAAACATGCTGAAAGGATTTGATAATTTTACTCTCTATTGATACTTAAATGTACAATTACAAATAACTGTTGTACACTTTTTATTATTTTTCACATTTTATGATTTGATGCTTTTCCACGATTATCTTTGATGCCACAACACTAATATCATACTTTCCAGAAAAGTGAGGGGCTACACCCCTCCCTCCCCCTAACCCCTGGCTTCGGCGTGCCTGTGGATTGAAGTGGCAACTTCTTTCAAACTCGAAATAGCAACGCGAAAACGAAATACCTTCACAAATCTTTAATTCATTAATTTTGAAATAGCTGCTAAAATTGCCAGTTATTGTGGGAATGGCAGCTATAAAACGTCCCCCAAAATTTGAACGGGTGGCGTTTTCTGCAAGTTCCTGTTAAATGTTGCCAAGGATACAGCCTAGTCTTGGAAAGTGTTGATGTTGTTGTTCTGATAATGAGTTAAATATTGGACGCACGGAAAGTTGTTTGCATCGAAGGTAAATAATAAAGGTTGTGTCAACATTATTAAAGTTAACAATAAACTAAAATATAGAGTATATAATTAAAGTAACTGATGCTGAAAGATGAGCTCAGGTACAAAACTGCACTGAAGTGTGAGGGATCTAGGCCAATCACTTCCCATTATGTCGTCGCAGAGAAAAGCAATCGTCTACGCCAATGTCCGACAGTTCACCGAGCAAGGTCATGATTTTCTGAAAAACGGAGACCCAGAAACTGCTGCTAAATGTTTTTCAAGTGCTCTTGAAAAAGCAGAACTTTATGGAGACGAGTATTTGGTGCGAGCTTGCTCCTTTAACGCGGGGTCTTGTCTGGTGGCCTGTGGCCAACCCAGTCGTGGTCTCGTTTACCTTACACGAGCTATTCCTCCCAACAATCAATCAGATGGACTACAAAATTTTGCAGATTTGGAATATAATATCGGCATAGCGCAGCATGCTATTGGAGATATTGTGAATGCCATAGTTTCGTACGAAAAAGCTGCTGATACATACAAAGATCTTGGAAATCTGCCATTGCAGGTATATTTAAACTTATCTTTTTTTAACCTGTTATATAATTTCCATCATAAATAGAAAGAGAAGGTCGAGACATAAAATCTTAAAACATATCTATGCTTCAAAATAAAAATATATTTTTTTAAATTCAATTATGCAAAATTGTGGGTTTTGTATTTTGGGTTCAGGTTGGGTGAGCTCTGGTTAATGCCGAAAAATATCATCTTTCTACTTTTTACAGGGAAGTTGGAGAAAATTTTTCATACACACCTGTTCACAACAGAGTGAATAAAGGCATATTGCTGAAATGCCATCCTGTGGTTTGTTTAAGATTAATTTTTATGGCCATTTCTCTATATGGTCAGTGGCATATTGAGGGGGAGGCAAGAGGGGTGGATGCCCCCTCCCCCAACAACGGCAAAAAATCTCATTGAAAAAAGGCGTCTTATGCATTCAAACCTGGTTCACTTCTGTTTCTGGTGTTTTATTTCTTGGTATCATAATGCTAGTCATTTCTGGCTTTGCAATTAAAACACATCTTTGCTTTTTAGGTTGAGACATTGAATAAATTGGTAATTTGCTACAAATCAACAAAAAAAACAAAAGAAGCTGCAGATACCCTTAAAATTGTTGCCGATTTACATGAAAAAATGGAAGATAAAGAAAACCAAGCCATTGCTTTAAGTCAGCTGACTGTTATTCTAGCAGAGTTGAGGAAGATGGAGGAATGCAGTAAAATTCTGAGCACATTGCTTGAAGTTTGTCATGAACTTGATAATCCAAAATTACAAGGTTTGTTTCAAAAACTATTATAGCCACGTCTAGTTCCAAAACCCAAAACATTGAATTGTGCATCTTGACATGCCCTCTAAAATAAGCTATTAATAGAAATCTGAGATACCCCTCATGCCAGCTGTGATATAAGCCAAAACATATCAAAGTGGCACTTCTTCAAACTTAATGATATCATGATGATGTCATCTTCATCTTCAAACATGCTTGGAACAACCATGCTTGAAACATAAAAAAATGTGCCACAAATGCACTCTTTCTATTTGTGAAGGTATGTTGACAAGGGGTACTGCATTTGTGAAACATAAAACATGCTGTTTGGTGTCCGTAGCGCAGAGAAGGGATCTCTGCTATCAAAGTGCATATGCACTAACTTTGCATTTGGAAAGAAGGGGTAGATGTTGGACTTTTCATGCATGCTCCCCAGCGTATTTTTTTAGGGGTTCGTTTCAATAACCATGTCCCAAATTTTATGTCAACAAAGACCTGCTAATACCCTGAAGGCAGTAATAATCAGAAACCCATGTGGACGGTAAAAAATAAATAAGAAACAGGCAGTCTTGAAATAAACCATTCAGAAACACATTTTATCATAAAAGCAATCTTCTATGGTACAAATACAAATATGTCATATTGTGTTACTTAGCTTTGCAAAGAGATAAGAAAACTTTTCTTGATTTTGTGCTTTGTGTAACTAATTTTGTGACCCAGTTAAAATGCTGAAAAATGTTGTTTTATTGTAAACTTGTTTCATCTTTTGTAGATATTATCATACTTGATAAAATCATTTTTTATTTGATAAAATCATTTTTTACTTGATAAAATAATTTTTTACTTGATGAAATTATTTTTTTACTTGATAAAATAATTTTTTACTTGATAAAATCATTTTTTACTTGATAAAAACATTTTTTACTTGAGAAAATCATTTTTTACTTGATAAAATCATTTTTTACTTGATAAAAACATTTTTTACTTGATAAAATAATTTTTTACTTGATAAAAACATTTTTTACTTGATAAAATAATTTTTTACTTGATAAAAACATTTTTTACTTGATAAAAACATTTTTTACTTGATAAAATCATTTTTCAGGAAAAATTTATCTTGATATTGGATTGTTATACAGTTCAGAACATTGTTACCAATCCGCTAGTGAGTGCTTTGAGCATTCTTATCACACTTTGGAAAATGTTAGTCGGGAGCAGAAGGATCGGATGCTTGAAGCTGTCGTTTTATTGAATATGGGAGCTTCCTTAAATCACCTAGAGCTTTATGAACGGGCAATTACTTTTCACAACATGGCAATAAAAAAGTTTGGTGAGTATGTTTGATTGACTTTCTGATTTATGAAATAATCTGTTCTTAAGTTAGGGAAGTGCTGAATAATGTATCTGGGGTTACACTAGTGCAGTATGTTTCTAAAAGGTCTGTTTCTCTCCTCCTTTTCCAAAATTGTAAAAACTTTTTGCTGTCACTTAATAGATGCTTTTGTGAAAAATTTATCAGAAGATCAACATATTGGCCATACCTAATATAAGGTCACAGCCCCTAACTAGCTTTTGTAAAAAGGCAAGAAAATTTAGTGGGACAGGCTAAGTATAGATCCCAAAATAAAGCTGGAATTTGTTACAAAGAAGTTCCAGTTTTATTGTAATTATTTTTGTCCCTGACCTGAAATTGAAACTTATTTCATACATTCCCACCCTAACAAACACTGCAATGAAGATAAAACAAGAAAATTATCAAACATCAAAGCAACATGTTTCAATGTTTGTTATTTTAGGAGAAGTTGAAGACAAAAAATCCCAGAGTCAAGTCTACTGTAATCTGGCGTATGCTTTTTCTAAAACAGAAGAGTATGATGATGCAAAGGGGGCATTTTTAAAAGCAATTGAATGCTGTAAAGAGTGTCAAGATACTACAGAGGAGTGCCTTGCCACTGAAGGCCTTGCAGCAATTTACTTCAGAGAAAATGACTACAATAATGCGATTAAGTATTACAAGGAAGCTTTAGCTATTCTTACAAAAGCAACAGAGGTCAATAGCACTCACAGTGAACGGATTGTAAACAAACTTGCAGAAGCAGTTCAATACCAACTAAGGCTAGACAACCAAGAGTTAGAGTATACTGACTCATCAGCCAAAAACGGCAAACATAGATATGGACAAAGAAGGGATAAACCTAAATATGGCAAAGTCAATTCATTAGTTGCTAAAGGTTTAGAAGAATCGCATGGTGAACATGAGCTACGCTCCTTGTCATTGGACGAGAGCTCGTACAGTGACTCATCCTCTTCTTACAGTGACTCAATCAAAACACAGGACCGTAAAAATTCAAGACGAAAAATATCTGAACCTGAAAAAATTGTCGCTGATGTTGCTGATAATTATGAGACAGCTAATGGCAGTCATAAAAAGCATAATTATTACAATAGACAGCATATTATGATGCATTCTAATGGCAACAGGGAGATGCAAGATGGTTACGTCAGGGAGGAGCATTCAGTTAAGCAAAGACCTCCCCCAGTGAAGAATTCTGTGACATGTGTTCTACAGTAGTTCATGTATTTTTTATTGGTTCACATATTAGTGCCATATTGGTGGTGCAAAATTTTGATATTTGGCCACATTTGTTTATAATTATCCTAGAATGCCTGCCAAAAATTTTGGAACACTGACATCACCTTTCAAGGTAAAATTCAGCCATCTCCCTCTCCCCAATGGCATAGGAGATAGAATGTACCTTGTGTTGCACTGCTTGTGTGATATTTGTTTAAACTAACAACATTATCCTAGAGTGAAAAGAGTTGCCGAAAAGGTAATTTTTTGATAGAAAAAAAGATACATGTTTCAGGAAGAAGGGACCAGAAGTAGTGATTGTTTGATGGGAAATAAGAAAGATATAAAATATAAGGCAAATCCTGGGTGTTCCTAGTATTTGGCAGGAATTGTAGGAAGAAGTTAGATGATCTTGCAGAATGTAGTGTCGCAACCCTGATATGTATATAGCTGTGTTTGGGATGTGTAATTTTGTTTAGAGACAGAAATACAAGGCCCAATAACCTCTTCCATTGTAAAGCACTGATTTATTATAACGTGGAGCCTCCTACTATCAAAATTAAGTTCTAGGAACGAAATGGCATCAGTCCACTTCCTTAGTGGATTGTAAGCCATGCTTCTAAATATTCACATTGATTGTATATTGTTGCTTGAAAATCCATTATACACAGGGTCGTAGCATGCAGGGGGTGTGGGGGGGGGTGTACACTCCCCCAACTTTCAGAGAACTCGTCTGTAGAATCAAATTTATAACAAAATATTAATATAACAAAATAATTTTTGTCGGTAAAATATGGTTTTGCATCTCTTACACCCCCAGTAAGAATGATCACGTGATGCCACTGATTACACACTGAATAATAACACAAACAATTATTAACAGTTTCCTAACATTATAACAATCCCTCAAAAATACGCACATTTATATATATCTTTTTTTATAAATATTTACAAGTATAAATAATCATTTATTTATATGTAATGTAGTTCTTTAGAAAAGTCCTAATAAAACTCAAAACTCATATGATGTTACAATTTTTACTGTCATACAATTATCAAATCGTCAATATAAAAGAACTCAGCTCGAAATGATATTTCGTGTATAAAACATGGTGACTGCTGCTGGATCCTGAAAATCTTCCAATGAAATGCAATTCCTCACGCCCAAACCTGCGAACATGTTAATAAATAAGGTTACGGCCAAATGCACAATGGATTAAGTTCACAGAATTAGGATCTTGGCTGCTTAGGGCTCAAACTTCTTCAGGTTTACTTTAATAACACCCTACAAAGGGGTTTATATATTTGAAATGCAGAAATTTGGAATTTGACTTTATTGAAGACTCCAGTAGCAATGGCTCTTGAAACTGAAGTTCACTCCCTAAGAGCAACTTGCAGACATTTGATTCTTTAAAGGCATTGAGTCATGGTAAATAGGCCTTCTCTATAGGGGGTCATTTGGTTTCGGCGTGATCGCTGCTGTTTCATGTGATATTTGCATCCGTTGTTGACAACTTGCTATTGATGGAAACTGTTTTGTCAATCAGTACGAGGTGAGTTCATGTGACCAGTTCAAGGTCAACCAATAGCATCGCAGTCATGGAAATCATGACTCAGCGGATTTTCGCACTTAGGGTATACCCAATCCATTTTATAATGACTCAATGCCTTTAAGTTGTTTCAATATTGCTACTTGTTTCAATATTCGCATATCATTGCTTGACAAGATGCTTTTCTACTATTACACTGAACCCACAGTAAGTACTGTCTAGCTTTATTGCATCCTAAATGTTGACTAGATTGAACAGTGAACGCTGTTGAGGCCCCTAAGCAGTTTAGAGTTAAGTGAATGCTTCATTTTGATGTCGTATTTGAGTTGATGAAGCTATCTTACAAGGAGTATAATTCATCGATTGTCGATTGAGAAGGACTGTCCCGTAATCTCTTGGTATGGGTCCTTGTTTAAAAGGTCGAGGGCCTGGTTTACTTCTTTTATGTTGATGATCCATTTGGTTTCCATTTACTATGGCTGTTTATAACTAGCAATGAACTAGTTCTAGTCAATGCCGTGGTAATTGTTCCGGATCTCATTACATTTGCCTATTCATCCGGCAGACAAGAGCATTCACGTTTTTAGTTGAACACGTGTAGGAGGCCCTGGAACGAGGGCAAATTGTCATTTTTTAAATACGTTCAGCTGGTTTTATTTGAATGCAGTACGAAATTCTTTCAGAGAAACAGTCAAACAGAAAACTGTTTGCATTGCGAGAATTTTCCAGATTCGCAAGAAGCGTAAACGGATCTTTGTCAGAAACTAAAGCGTCGACCTGACCCGAGGGCGGTGGTTCTGAAAAATCAATTTATTTCCAAATAAACTTTTTAGAAATGTCTAGTTTCACATGGAACCAACGTTTACTTTTGCCTGAAACTTGCATGAACTTGTAGCGCCGGCGTAATATCGTTCACATGATCCGTCAACGAATTTTACATTAAATTTGAGGACAGAATTATTAGAGGTGCGCATGCGTTAGAGTTTGTTCGTGCGCAAATAGTTAATGCGCATGCATCCCGGATAAATAGCCATAATGTAAAACAATCCGGTGCCGGAACAATAACTACGGCGCTTGATCAATGTGGTAAACAGTTTAGGCCAACGGTCAACAATGATAAGCAGACCCACCTTAATGTTATTGTCCCAACTTCCTGTTGCTATGGCTGTTCCATCTGGCGATACTTGAAGTGTGCTCACACGATTTTCATGACCGTACAGAATAGAAGCTTCGGAGATCTGAAAAATATTGGACCTTCAAATAGTTTGGAGAGATGGTGGTAGAAAGCTGATAAGGCCAGTTTTAAGGGTTTGCGTGGTAGTTCCATTGGAAACTCTCTATTGAGGCACTTTGTACAGAGCATTAAAGAATGAAGCTATGGGTATAATAGAGTTCTAAAGTGATGATGTCACAGAAATTCACATGTGCTACCTATTTAAGAGCTTTTGAATTTGGATCACATCATGGAACAGCTGTAGATGTGCAAAATCAGCTAAATGAGTTACAATGTTTGCTGAGATATGGCCACAATAGTATAGGGTCGTTTCCAATTAAATCATTCTAACACTGTTCATAACTTTATGAACCGAGCCCAAATAACAGTAACCCGTTAGCAAACGTCAGATCTTTCGTAAGCGATATCTCGCCCAGTTGTTAACGTGAAAGCCTGATTTTCCATATGCAAAGGTTGCTTCATTAGTCAAGGTAGCCTAAAGTCACAAACTCTAAGTATATACATTTTTATGACGTCACACTTTTGAACTCTATTACAGGAAATGTCTGGTAACAAAAAGCAGCTTCTTTATGATTGGTTATCTATTTATAGATGTGGGGATCGCCAATTTAATACCCGAGATTAATCGCCTACCTTGAGGGTGTCCCAAACGCGAACAAGATAATCATTGTAGCCAGCAAACATCAATCTTCCTGTAAAAACATTGAAAAAATGTAATGAAATGTTACTTTAAACAAAGGATTGTTATGGTTTCCAGCATTGTTTTAATTTGCACTAGCAATTACAAGCCTTTATAGCAGAAATAGCAGGAGTTAAAAGTAGTAGGACATTTCCTGTTAGACACAGAAAATTCTGCGAAAATTGGCTTAGAAGATGCAAATCAAGTTCATCTAAGTAAGAAAATTGCTTATGATGGTTGTGTAAATCACGAGAAAAGTATGTTTCATTCGTTCTGAGTACAGACTAACACAATACCTTTGAAAACAGTATAATTAGTGTTGAAGGCATCCACAACGATGTAGCTGTTCACATGTGGAGCACAATTCAGGATTAGGCCAATACAATCTTGCAAATTAAATCTCGAAAATTCGTTATTAAAATCTCGCAAACACGCGAATAAAATATCGCAAATACAGTGTCGCAATGCGAGGACACGATCTCGCCAACACAAGAACACAAATTCACAAATTCACGAACCCTATATCCAGCATTACATATCTAAGTCTGTTTAAGAAAGGCAACTTGTCCTAATGGGAGTGAAGAAAAAGCGCAGAAAATTATGCACATAGAAACAAAACGTTAGGACCATACCACTTGCAGAAAAGTCAATTGATGTGGCACCAAAAAGAATACTGTCCTTCGCATAAACAGCCATTTCTCTATCAGCTCTTAGGTCGTATAAACGGCACTGCAAAATATCGAATTTTAGGGATGAATCTTACGATGGATAAAGAATTTTATGCTATATCAAAAGGCGACAAATCATATTCCAGTGGCGTGTCAAGGAGGCATCATGCCCCCTATATTCATATGAATCTGCTTGTCGTATAGATTCGAATCGATTGCTTAGACTTTCGAAAGCTGACACAAGTCTTAATTATCACCAATTTTGACACATGTAGGTGATCTTAACTTGCTTTTGTTACTTTCCTATGTTACTTTCCTCCAACCAAGTGCAAGACCAACTCTTCAGAGCTGGCTTCACTACTGACATAAATTGAATCTGAGAATCTGCATCCAGCGCTATGAATCTTTATATTTTTATATAGATAATATCAAGTAAAACTTTTTCTATAAAATAACTTATAATTGATTGTGTTGCTTTTTGTATCCTGTGTAGCAAAACCTCGCTTCTTCCAGATGTTCAAAAGCCTGAAATCTTTACAAATCTATTATTAGGTATAGGAACTTGTCATGGTCAATGGTTGGTTTATTGACAGAACAAAGTGGGATTTTTCTAGAAATTCGAAACAGTTCAGTACAATTTAGAATCAACTTGTGGTCATTTCTAGGTGGCAAAGGATTTGCTGGGAAATATTAACTGGCATACGTTCCCCATTGTGCCCCACCCCCCCCCCCCCACGTAAGGCAGCAGTTAGCCATTCAGATTTAACCTCAATGGGGTAGTCAATATTTGTTGATTAGCAGGAAAGTTTAAATTTTTGAATTTCCAAAGAAAAAATTTGAGCGCAAGAAGAGCAGATAAAATGTATCTGTTTTTGACCTACTGATGAATCTATTTTTGTCGTTTATCAGCAGTCTCGAAACTTTTAGAATAAAATTCCCATTTGTTCATTTTTTTAAACTGTGAAAAACTCTCAATCTTTCGACCCAGAAAAGTCACTCGAGCCAAATTTTGTAGCACAAACACTGAGGATCCCTAACGTTATATTTTGAAGTACCCTCTGCCTGACATTCAACCCAGAATCAAATGAACATATTAATGGAAATACCGTTGAGTCGTCTGAAGCAGAAGCCACTCCCTCTCCGCTGGGAAAAAACCTGAAGAATAGATAAATAAAGATCAATAAGATTTCTCTCGATGTTACAATTACCGCTAGAATGCCTGATAAAAGTCTTGGTAAACTAAATGTAATTTTTGAATATTTTCTAATGGATTTCTTTCCCCATCCGAATAATGTTGCTTAATTCAACATTTAGAGGTTCGATGTGCTCAAATGCATTTATTTAAGATAGATTCAACGTATAACCCTATACCCATCGTTAGTTTGGGGGGAAAGGGTACGGTGTTATTTTTGTCTTTACAAAGCACTCAAGCAACTTGGCATTCAAAAGAATTTTTGCAGTCATTGTATGTCTTCCCTTCCATCCCTAGTTGAAATCAAATTATGTATTTTTTTGGTGCTTGTTTCTATCTAAAATCAAGCTGCTAACAAGTAAATCTTTATGATCATGGGTTTATTGCTATGAAAGAATATGCTGGGGGGGGGGGAGGTAGCAAAACCACACAACAAACAAAAGGAAATAACATAATTTGGCCGCTTTCTGATACAGGGCCGTCGCTGGGGAGGGGGGAGGGGGGAGAAAGCATACTGTAGTGATACCAATTTAGAGCAGGAATAAAATCATAAAAAGAGTGGGATTTGCTGCATACCTGACACAATTTATATCTGCTTGGTGTCCCTCGAAACTTTGAACGCATTGTCCGGTTCGAATGTCCCACACACGGACAGTTTCATCACAGCCCTGTTCAATAAAAAGTCGTAAATTCAAAAATAAGAAATTCAAAAGAACAAGAGGCTCCTTGCGAAATGGAGGGGGCCAATGGAATAACAGTTCCCACAGTTTTCAGTAAAGCATATTGTTAATGTTTTGCTTTATGGCCTTACTTTAATCCTGTACCCTTCCTGTAAATTTGCTTTAATCCAGAACAACAGGCCTAGCCAAGCACTGCTTCCAAGGGCCCTTCAAGCATTGCATCTTGAGAGGGATATGATACTCCCAAAAGTCTTCGAATATAAGCCCATTTTACCATGTAATATTGTACCCTCCCCGACCGTCTTGACATCACCCGAAAATCATATGTCCTGGTCGGGCCCAATAATTCAAATATTCGAATTTGTTTCCAAATACAATTGTTAGTACATAGCAAGTGAATTTTTGTGAATGGTTTTTATGTCAAATGATCCTCTAAAGTGTCGTTTGTTTATGAAAATAGCAAATTATCACTGATTGTAAGATATCATCTTTGAGACGATATAGACAGCGTTATTAAAAGAGATTGACCATCCTGATCAATCGTCAACTTTATTCTCTTCAAAGAATCATTCTGACGTTTTCAGATTCTGAAGTGAGTACGACAAAAACGTTTCAAGTAGCATGAAATTGTTGTCCGGTGAAGTCCTATCGCTTTCAACCATCGTAAAGACTTTATAACAAATTTTGATTTCATATGCTGGTTTTTGCGTCCAAATCATTATTCCGGTATCTTTGGGGTAGAGTGATAAGGGGGGAAGGGTCTGTAGGGGAAGGGTCTGTAGGGGTGTCTCACCGCCTCTACAGGATTGAAATAGGTGGACTGAAAACAATCTACAATGCAGACGAGTTGATCCTGATTGTTGAAAATATAACATTTTGTTTATTTTTCTTACAATGGTTTAGAAAAGTCAGTATATTCTCATCAAGAGTTGGTCCTACCTAAGGTCACACACACCCACAAAATTTTCTACTTTTAGACTAGTTTCACTCCTTAGTATCGACAAAAAGGAAATGATACTTACAGCGGAAACGAAGATGGCACCACCAATCTTTGATGAAAAGTGAAGGCTAAACAATAACAATGGATATTTTTAAGGATAAGGATTAAATATGAGATTAAGTGGAGCAAGATCGTAAATGAAGCTTCTAAAAAAGTTCTGAGATTTAGAAAGAGAGGGATTTTAAGCCTGAAGCGGACTACCATTAGACAAGTTGACTAGCAAATTTGTGACAAGTCGGAGAGAAATTTAAAAGAAGGTACAAGAGTTTAACTATTTTTGACGAATTTCAGTCAGATAGAGTACAGTAGCTTTTGCACCATCTCAAAGAAATAAGAAAAATTAATTTGGCAACAAACACTGCAAAGTAACACATTCTCTCGGAGATATGATAACAAATTTCCTAGCATAAACATTTGGTTGAAATCTACTTCAAGACAAATCATCACATATTTAGAAAATATAGTTAGTAAAGCAACTATGGTGCAAACAACGTTACAAACCTCAATACGTCCGCTGTGTGGCCTTTAAAAGCTCTTATCATCGTTGCTGATTCAACATCCCAAAGAGCACATGTCGTATCACCGCTTCCTGTCAAAATCTGCATTAAAAAAAGATAAATGAATTGCTTTTAATGAATGCGACTGCTTTTAATGTACAACCCCGGGAAACAATGAAAACGCGAAATCACGCGGGATTCTGCGTGTCTTCGACCAGTTCGAATTTAGCGATTTTTCATTCGCCAATAGAATCATAAAATTCGGAGGTTGAACAGAAAAAATTTCAACTTTTAACTTGATTACTGAAACAACTGTTAATTTTTCAACAACCACTTGAAAAATGAAAGTGGCATCACCGTTGCTGGACAAGCTGCATCTTCAAAAAACCTACTGCTTGCTGCCAGGTCGTAATGTGAAACTCGTTTACGAATTTTTCAAACTACTTGACATCCACAACCAAAGTTCGTTGAACGATGTACAGTTTTTGACGTTGATGAAACATTTTACGGACCTGGATGAGAGCCACATATACAAAGTATTTGATATGCTGGACACTGACTGTTCGGGGTCCATTGATTTCAATGAGTTCTATCTACTCGTATGCATTTTGATAGCGGTGAAGGACAATATGATTAAATCTTTTATTTACAGGCATTCTAGGACGGTTTTTGATCTGCTGGACGAAGATAACAGCGGCAGTATATCTGCACACGAGTTTGAATCTTTTGGGTTTTTGTTCAACATGCATAAGGACTGCATAAGGGACATATTCGCAGAATTTGATGTCTCCGGCGACCAAAACCTCGATTACTCCGAGTTCAAGATGTTCGCCATGGAGTGTATTGATCGGCAGCTCGACCGAGAAACGGAAAAGAAGGGAATGTTGGAGTCTGGAAATTGTCAGATACTTTGAGCCTCTACATTGATGACTAATCTAAAGTTCCTCCAAAGAGCTGCAATCGTTGTAAAAATGTCGGGAAAAGCTGCACACAGTTATGAACAGTTTAAAAAATTGTTTCCAATCCCCTGCAAAAATTTCAATTTTCGATACTTTATACCTGTGAAATCTGATTAAGAAAAATTGTCTAAACCCCTGTACTTAATTGAACGAAGTTTTGTACGGGTGGGGAAGAAGTATTTCGCAGCAACATTGATAACTTTAGAAAGTAGTTTTACTCTGGTGTCATCAACTTTTGAACCGGGCCGTCGCTAGATGCCGTGCTCAAGTGGAAAGAGGGGTGGCCTGGCCCAAAGTGAGCAAGTCATCTCCTGTTTGCCGACAATTTTCAAAATTTGCCACTAGATAGAAAAAACTCCACGATTTTGCAACGGAAAGCGGGTGTCACACCAAACGTACCTTCTATCTGGCCTCCCTTTAAACCTGATTTTTTTGCGGTGCTTCAACTTTTTTTGGCAACAGTTCTACTTACAGGTTATCACCTCAAGTTCAAAATCCCATTTAGTACAATCATTAGACGAGAAATACTCAAAACGACAACAAAAATCCCACATTCTCAAGGCAACCTTACTCTTGCATTTGATTTCTTCAAGAAACTTGATAAAATATAAAAATTTCCTATGAAATTTATTCAAAATATTGAAAACCAAACTTGATGTTTTTTACCTGATGATCTGACTTTGTGAAGGAGCAGCACGTAACATGACTTGCATGCGTGGCAACATGTTTTGGCTCACTATTTTCATTTTCAATGAGACTAACATTGTAAATGGTGCAGCGATTGTCGAGCCCCCTGTAGAAAAGAAAGGTACATTTTTTATATCGTTTAATTCTTTTAAAAAATATTTTTAGTATCCAGCTTTCCTTTCCAATTATAAATTCAGGTTTCTGACGGGGTTAATTTAAACTTCTGACTGGGTATCATTTCAAAATCTTGTCCCTAAGACCCCACATTACTACCCTTACATTGAAAAGCAACAATTGGTTCAATGAAAAGATAGAACTTTACTTTTTGCAAAACGATTCTCAAAATAATTAATGAATTATGTAGGCACAGGCTATTTGAATGCATTAGTTTCTATCTCACTTTGCCTGGCTATGTTCAACTTAATGAAAATCAACTCTACTTCTTCATATAGTCTATGCCTTTTATCTGATATTCAACTACAAACAATCTATAGTGTTCAAAAAAGCGAAATCCTCTTTTCACAACATTGCTTCCAATCGTGCTGACACGACGGAATGCGAACTCTCGTCCTCAGTCTCTTTTAATGATTCTAGCTCTGCATATTCCTTACCCGCATGCAGTGAACTTCTGCGATGGAGAATACGCCAAGGCCATCACCCAGCTACTATTTGTCACAATCATGTCTTCCTAGAACAGAAGAGAAAATAGATTCATTCGATTCTTGAAAGCAGTTTTGCATTGTACATTTACAAAGCGTTGGGAAAAGCGTTGCGTAAATCGTTGCGTAAAGCGTTGCATAAACTCTCTCTATTGACTCTCTTGCACCTAGATATATCAGTGGCCTATTCGTGAGATTATCCGGGGTACATCCAAGAGTGTTAAGAAACTCTAAAACAGACCTTGCAATACCCATGTTGAGAACTGGCAATGGCCAGAAATCTTTTGCGTATCGTGGGGCCAGTCTCTGGAACAGTCTCGATTTTGACACAAAAATGGCTCCCTCAATCAATGCCTTCAAGTCCAAACTCAAGGAAAAATAATCATTTTTTATATATAAATCTTTGATTTAGCCATATTCCGAACTTTTTATTGTAAATTTTATTGTATATAACTTTTTAATTTTGTAAGTAGTTTTTTGCAGGGTCAATTGTAAAACAGTATTTAGACTGAATTTGTACCCTGGGTAAATAATTTTGAAATGAAATTAAATGAAATAAAGCAATGCGTAAAACGTTGCGTAAAGTGTTGCGTAGAGCGTTCCTTAAGGGTACCGGGGTGGAGGATTTTGACAGCTTGCTGAGGATGTATTATCATGGGTGCAAGTACAAAGCAGTTGTCTTAAAGATAATATTGATAGTATTGATAATATAGTCATCAGTATATACCGTTTGCACTTATCAGACACCACATCAGAAATTCACGAACGAGGATAGGTGTTCGTTACTTTGTAGAATCTGATTTGCACTACGCGAATCTAACACACGCCGCGAAGTGATCTTTTTAGTCCTTGAGCATATCCATACAAATATGTACAAACCTTGTTTGTAGTGTATGCGTCCCAGATTATGATTTTGCCATCCTAGAGATGAAAATAATATTAACACAGCATTAAGGACTTATACTATAGCTCATCAAGTTGGTTCCTTCCTTTAGGGTTTATTGAGTAGGTATGTTTATGGACGGGAGCTACTTCGAGGGCCGAAAGTCGAGGGACTAACCTTTCACAATTTTTAAATCCACGTAATCTGACAGTTTACTTAGAAAATGTAGTAAATAAGGAACGCCGCGAGAACTCTATCGGAGTCCGTAGAGCAGCCTGCCATTGTGGTCTTTCTTTTATTGACACACTCAATGGTGGTGCCAGGGGAGGACTAGAGGGGGCAACAGCCCCTCCGTCGGAAGCAGCTAGCCCCCCCATCGGAGTAAATTTTAGGTTATTGTCGGAACAAATTTGAAAAAATAACGTACGAAAACTGCTTATTTTTATCATTTTGGCCCCCCCTGTCGGAAGTAAGATTCAGTATTCCATTTTCCGTTAAAAGTGTTACAAGAGGGTGAGTAGGACGAGTGGTGAGGAGGACGAGTGGTGAGGAGGACGATAAGGAGAGGGGGTGAGTTGGACCAATTTGATGTGGTTCCTCGTTATATGGTCTCGTGGCCTATAAGCTAGTAAAATGGGCTGTAAACAAGTTCCTCATATGGAACAGTAGCGCACGTATAAAGTCTGAGGTTGCTTAATGCCATGGCACATCTCAAGTTCTCATCAGTTTTTCAGTTTTCATCGTTCATCAATCAATCCTAAATACAATTCTACATAATACACTACACCTAAATACATAAGAAAATATCGCACTACACAAAAATAAATTAAAATTAAAGATTACAGAAAAAGAACTTTACATAGGTTAACTAATCGAGAGAGAGTCATATATTTTATTACAACATATTTTATTAGAATCGAGATAAAATGTTTGCCAGGTTTTACTGAAGAGACCAAATGAATAGCAACAATTTAGAGAGATATTCCCTAAACTACCTCCCTAGAATACTCCCAGCATTGGATTTGATAGAGATTGGATTCTTCAATTGTTTCTATTTGAACTTCGATACATGAAGTAAAATCTTACAAACCTGAGAACTGCTGACAAGATGCTGCCCGTCACTCGCCCAGTCTAACGCCAAGACTTTTGTTTGGTGTCCTTTTAACGTCCTTCTCGCCTTTAGTTGCAGAGGCTGGAGACTTGGCATTGTCAACGAGACACTTTCAACTAAAACGTTGCCAGTGCATTGAGTTATCAGGAAGGAATATAAGAAAAATCAATGCAATAACTGTTCAGAATTTTGATAAGCTTTATATCCTTGAAAGATAAACAGATATATTATGACGATCAATATTAATTTACCATGAGTAAAGAGACATAACACTTTAAAATTAATTTCTAAGTAATTAATCTTTTGGCAAATTAATTACTTTGCTTTGTAGAAGGGATACAGCTCTCTCTTGTTTAGAAATTAAAGTCAGGTCCGTAAGTCTTATTCACCAAGATCGCCCCAATCTAACCTAGATTCCATATTTGTTTACATTTGACAACCGGCCTAACCCATCAAGTAATATGTTTCGTTTGAATAATTTCAACTCACGGTCAGCATCATATAACTTTCTCTTCTCTTCTTCGAGCTTGCTTTTCAAATGTTGTGCCTCCTTCGTTAGAGATGCAAGCATATCCCCTCCAGACTCTGCTCTCTCTCTTTTTATTGGTGCAAGGGGCTCGCTAGCCATTTTCGCATCTGGTCACCCGGAAGTCGTGCGTGAAGAATTCGTTCGAGGAAAAATTGAAGTGAATGAGCCGTTATTTCAAAAAGAGGCTACACAAAAAGGACAGCTGAAACAGGGTGAACTCCAAAGTTACATCACTCCAAGAAATATTTAATACGCGAGATTTAAAAACATGGCTTCCTCATTTGTGAGGCGTTCAGTGAATCTTGCTGGAGGTAAAATAGTATTTTCAGAAGGAAAGGTGAGTATGAGGCTTGAGATCTAGTCATTTATGCAATTTCTATCCAGTTTCTTTTTGGTTTACCTAGCTCGTCGCCTCCTGTAGCAAGAATTTAGTTCAACTGTATATTTCATATCAACAGGCAGTGAAAAACCCTCAAAAATTATTTGCAGCAAGTTATATGTCTGGCACTGGAAAAAGAAGAGCCATGCCTGTAAACACGGTAAGCTTTTTTGGATTTCAAACGTATCGCAGTCTGCTTTATTATATTCTTCTTAAAAGTCTATTCTTAACCTAGGAATGAAAATGAGTTTTACGATAACATTTTGGATTTTTAGCCTGACAAAGTTTATTGTTTTTGTGTGCACTTAAAGATAAACGACGATTATCAAGCCGAGTTGTTTAAAAAACTGTTCAATATTTTGGAACTGTTCAGTCACGATTTCAACTTAAGATTTTTGAAGTTACACAAGCCAACCATTAAGAATGCAAAAATATTCTATAAATACCCAGAAAGTTTTACAATTTGCACATTCTTACAAATTCTTGTACTTGCATAAACATTCTATTTGCAGGAAACAAAGACATGATATCCTTACATACATATATTACTTACATACAATGAAATGATTGCAAATCCCTATAAATATCAAGCTATCACAATCGGCAGCAAAGATAAATGCATAAATGAGTTTGAAATTGACCAAAGATTTCCAATTAAAATAGAGAGAAATGTTACTTTGCTTGGTGTTCAGATCGATGAAAATTTAAAGTTTGACGCTCATATTGATAAGATCTGTAAAAAAGCAGCTAAACAGTTAAATTCTTTAAAAAGACTGGCAAGATTTATGGTTGGCAGAGAAATCTAAGGATAATTATGAATTCATTTATACTATGTCACTATTGTCCATTGATATGGATGCCATGTGGTAAAGGAAGCTAGAGAAAATTAACAAGAGGGCATTAAGATTAGCCTATTCGGACTATTCATCTTCTTACAAAGATTTACTTGCTAACTCAAAAGAAACTACCATACATGTCCAATCAGTTAAAATTTTAGCACTCAAAGTTTATAAAACACTTAACAACCTTAATCCTGTTTTCATGAAAGACTATTTTGTACCCAAAACAACAGATCATAACCTTCGACTCAAAAACCCTCTTGACATTCCTAAAGCCAGAACTACCAACAATGGTATCAGATCATTAAGTGACAAAGGGCCTAAAATCTGGGATTCACTCCCAGAATCAATAAAGACAGCACAAAATACTGAGACAGTTTAAGAATTTGATCAAAACTTGGTTCCTTGAAAACAACTGCGCATGCTCATTTTGCAGTAAATGAACTGTCTTATGCAATCCTTGAAATTGCTCCATGGTAGTCTTAATTAGTGTATATTCACTATTGTAGAAACTAACATTAAATAATCTACAATACAATACAATGCAATGCAACGCAAGACAATGCAACGCAAGACAATGCAATGCAATGCAATGCAATACAATATAATACAACACAGAACATGCATATTTATTTGTTGAAGCAGGTTGAACTAATGACAGCTTGCAGCTGATGGGAACCTGCAGATTCTCTCCTTGAAAGTTATCAGATCAGCATTGGAATTCTTTTAATTGTGACACCCTTAGAAATCTCCCTATTCAACCTTCTATTTAGCTACCTTCAAAGCTCCTAACCTTCTTAAGATTCACAGAGTGTCAGGGGATTCAGCCCCCTTTCACTACACAAGAATTCAACTGGTGATGTAGTGGAGATTTTTGTTTTAGGTTATCAAGTTTGTTCCCCAACAAGAGTCTTGGATTATAGAGAGATTTGGAAAATACCATAAAACATTAATGCCTGTGAGTTTACATGCTTAAAATATTATGTATAATAAACATTCCTACCATATTTATGATTATTAAAAATCTATGAAATGTCACAGGTTTTTTGACAAATGACATGCATTTTGGGTAGAATGTTTAAGGGTCCAAGAGAGAAAAAGATTATTCTAATTTTCATTGCCTCAGTTATGTAGAAGGCTTTTATTACATCTTCCAAGTTTTTTTGTTACAACTTCCAACTAATGCTTATCACTTCAGTTGCTCAATGCTAAGCATTCTGCATAACCTGTTGATGATGCAAACAGCACATAAATGGGAAATTGTGTACATGAATGGGAAATTGTTTTAACAACATACAAATTTTTGCCTGCTCTTTTGGTATCATCTGTCTGTTTTTGCCTAACTGTTATTTGCCTTTCCAATGCATGCTGGATTGAAAAGCAGATTGAGAAATGAAGCATATCACACCACCTTGCACTGGAACTTAAATTATGTTTTATCTTGATCTTTTGATAAATGTACCTTTCATCTTGATGTCTTCAGCATATTTTAAACTGCCTACCATAATAAAGTTTTGTTCTTCCATTGCATCTATTTCTTAACTTTTTAGGGGCTGAATTTCCTCATCCCAGTGATTGATGAGATCAAATATCTTCAGAGTTTAAAAGAAATAGCAATTGAAGTTCCACAGCAGTCTGCCATTACCAGAGGTGAATATATAAAAATTATTGCCTTGTCTCCATTTTGACGGGCACATATTTAAGAAATTTAGTAATATTTCTTTTACTGATAAAGTATATATATATATGATCATCACCCCCTTTCTTGTGACCTATAAACTGGGACCTGAATTGGTGTATATTTTTGGGAAGGTTATGGGTGTAAAATTTCTGACTGCAAATAAACCAATTTCAGTTTTGTACTGAGAGTGTACTAAGCCTTTCCTACAGAACCTTTGTGTTATATTTTGGTTTTGTCATTATTCCTTTTTGAATTTAGAGAATTCACAGCCTTAAGGTCACATAATATTATTCTCTGATGAAAATAACCATTTGAATTGTGACTTAGATTTTCCAATATATCTTAGACTACTCATTGTGTGAATTAACAATAGCTCATTTTAATGAAGTATACCACATTTTTAACTGATACTTGAATGAAATGAAAAAAATTGAAATATAAATAGCAATTATAGCTTCATTAACTGCTCTATCCCAAAAAGCCATGAAGGGTAGAATGCAAATTATGGCTGGTACCATCAACACTGGCAGCTCTCCCAAGAAATGCAAAATCCATAATTAAAAAGCTGAAGCACTTTTCCTTATCTTTTGTATTGTATTTCAACAAAAAGGCCTTTTAAAATGGATCTCAAAATGTACAATTTAAGCAATTTATTTTTAAGTTTCATTGGAAACCTTCATGTGGCTGTTTTCATGTGTCAAGCAGTTTCTCAGTCAGTTTCAGATTATTCCTAAGTTTCCAGAGTAAAAGTATCTTCAGAATCCTGAGCAAAGTTTCAAATTAATTTTTGTCTATTCTAGAATCCCAAAGAAATTTCTATTTATTTTATAGACAATGTTACCCTTCACTTGGATGGCGTTTTATACTTTCGAGTTGTTGATCCTTACAAGGTATTTTTCCTAGATAGTATTTCTAGTATGTATTTTTGTGTAATGTTAACTTAAGCAGAATACTTTAAGGGATTGTATAAGAACTAGAATTCAACTGGGCAGATTTCTTTTTTTCCCAGTTGAATTCTAGTTCTTGGATTCTTTTAATTTAAACTTTTCAGAATCCTTTCAAAGGAAACTTTATTTTTTAAAAGAGCACATTCATCCCATTTTACCTCACATCAAATAAAGTCACACCAAAATGGTCAGAAATCCATAAATAAATAAAATTGAATATATTGAGGTTATTTTTCACAGTTCTCTTTATCCCTCACTGTATATGCACAAAAAACCGTTGACACTGAATAGTTCTTTAAATGAGTTATGAATCACAGACTGAAGAAGCCTTCCAGATTCAGACAAATTCTAATAAGATAGCTCCATAACCCCTTCTTGTCCTCCATAATTTTTTATTTCTCTTGTCCCAACAAAATATTAGCTTAATTCTGCAATACCCTCATTCTTTGACTTTAGCCTTTGAAAATGCACATTTCTAATTGCTCCTGTTTGTTGCCAAGACAAGATATTTACTGTAAACAATCTTTTTATGGTACAGAGTTTAAAAAAGGCTTTGAAAAAAGCAAAAATTAGAACAAAGATGGAAAACATTAGAACAAAGATGGAAAACTCTACCTACGCTAGGAAATATCCATACTCGAATAGTTTTTATAAAAGGTGGCCTTTTTATTTAAGGAAACGATGGTAAAAATGACATGCTGTATGTTAAAATGTTTGAATATTTGTTCAGTTTTGTCTAATAAACTTTGAGAGTTCAATTGACAGCTGTTACATCACTTCCCTGGTAGCTTGTTTCACATGTATAGAATTTGCTGTCTCTTGCACCATGCATTCATTCCACGCAGGGAGGGGGGGTTTGGGGTTGGGTGGCACTCCCCAACTACAAACAACCCTGTTAGTGACAGTGCAGATATTCTTCCCCCTCAGGTTTATTTTGGCACCTTTGTGTCATTTTTTCGCGTTTTTTTCTAAGGTTATGCTTTTGGCATATTTTTCAAGAGACAGAGTTAAGGTACAAAAAATGTTTTCCATACACCCCCTGGGCTCATCCTTTTGACTTGAGTAGGAAAATGATTGTGGGAACCTATTTTTATGTATGGTTTGAGCCTGTTCTTCAAAGACACTAAAATCAAAATTCCAACCTAAATTCGTTAGCTATGTTGCTTCAAGTATCTTCAGCTTCTTCAGCTTTCAAATGGTAAACATAATTAAAACAATGTTTATTGCTGATAGAATTGATTTTCAATCAATATTTTCCACTTTAGGCCTCATACGGTGTAGAAGATCCACAGTTTGCCATAACACAGCTTGCACAGACAACAATGAGATCAGAATTAGGTGATTTGATGTATCTTTGATAGTGTTTGTCTCGTGTTTATGTGTAGAAATTCTATCTTTATTTGGAATGAATGTCATAACTTTAGCCATTGAGCCTCAATTATAATTAAAGATACTCTTTAACTCTCATTGTTTCTTTTGAAATGGTTCAGTCATAAGGCATCCATGTATCTAGCAATTCTTTCAGAATGTCTTATTATATTATTTTCACTTTTTTAAGCATAATGATATTTCCATGAAAAGTAAATCAGCTTCTATCATTAAGTTATGAAGATTGCTGTCAACCGATCTTTTGCAGAATACTTCATGCTTCATGCATGCTTTTGAAGAATTTTTCAGTATTCTTTTTGAATCTCTATAATTCTGTAATTAACGTTTTAAGGTAAAATCAGCTTGGATGAAGTTTTCAAGGAAAGAGACACTTTGAATCATAGTATAGTTGGTAAGTAACTACTTTTTCACATTTATTTTCAACCAGCAAATGACAAACCAGCAACACACCATTTTATGCATTCAGTCATTAAAGTGACTCGAATTATCAAAATTTGTATTTTTTGCATTGCATCAAAAATGCAACAGTTTCCCCTTTATAAAAAGCTGTAATTGCTGAGAAAGACATATATAATTATAGATATGGAATAAAGTTGAAGAAAGTAAAACTATATGTTTTATCTCTACAAGCCTGTATTGTGAATAACTCACTCTTCAGGAGGAATATTTCAGTGTATCAACATCTCCTGAAGAGTGAGTTATTCACAAATCAGGCTTGTAGAGATAAAACATGTAGTTTTACTTTCCTCAACTCTATGCTATATCACGCTCTACGTGCAAACGTATTGAGCACTGTGCTCGGAAATATCAACAGACAAACTTCTATATATAGATGTACTTATTTTGATAATGTGACTTTTTCTTTAGTCAAATAAATCATTCGAAAATTTGCCACCCTCTTATTCAAACTTTCTACACTTCGAGGAAATTTGTTCTTCCCCTTGAAAATTCGAATCACCAGACATAAGCTTTTTTCTTGATTGTATCTTTGTGTTTGTTCCATATGCCTCCATTAATAAAGGAACTTGAAGAGAATGACTTACTTTTCACTTTTCGTTTAAAGGCTTACCTATAATTCCGCTTAGAAGCCCATTTTACTGTTCTTTTTCTTTAAGAGTCATGCTCGAGGGTGTTGACGACAATGTTGTCTCTACATGTTTGGTGTATCTTTCACTCTGGGGCCAAAACATGGAATGAGATTCCAAGAAACATCAGAATGAGCCCCAGAATTTCCATGTTCAAAAGAAACTTGAAGGGATTCCTACAAAGTTAATAAATTCCCAAAACAAAACACGATCCCTAGATAGAACAGCAACATCTTTATTTTATATATATTAAAGAAGTAATTGTAATAGAAGTAGTTTATTTATATTTGTATTATAGCTGATAGGGAATTCGTGTATAAAGATTTTTAAAATGAGAAAATGAATGAAATATCTGGCAATAAAATAAACTCAGGACATGACATGAGTCTGTTTTCATTTGTCATGTTGGTCCACTTTCCCAGTTAGCGTTGTTTCCACTTATCTGTCTTAAATATATTATTTCTTATTTTGTTGGTCTTTAGCAGTTTGTGCTTGACGTTAGCATTTTTTAGCGCTCTCTCTCTCTTGTGATACTTGTTCACGAAATTTCTCAGCATTCTTCCTTTAAAACCCAAATTCCTGTTGCCTCCAGTTTTTGTGTTAGTATCATGCATTTTTCTTTGAAATTTGCTTACTATTTTGTATTTTTCTCACCATAGAGGCGATAAACAGTGCTGCTCAAGTCTGGGGTATCAAATGCCTGAGATACGAAATTCGTAAGTATTTCTTAGAAAAACACCCTAACATATATGTCAATTTAAGAAATTTTATGGTGAACAATTTTTTAGAGGTACAGAACTTTAAAATGACTTTGAAAAAAGCAAACATATCATAACATACTAACTAAAAGCCTGACACATCTGACACTCCTCAGAGTTTAAAACAAGGTCCTCAATAGGCAAGCGGCACTGATTGGTCAACCTATACAGTCATGTGCTCGTGTTTCTGATTGGCCTATTTAGATCCACAGCTGGGTATATATATTTCTTAGCGTAGAGTTTTCGATCTATTTTCTGACGTTTTAAACTCTGAAGATTGTCAGACGAAAAGCTTTGGTTTACTAAATGTTTGCTTTTTTCAAAGCCATTTACAAGTTTTGTACCAACAAAAGATTGTTTGCATACTCCTCAGAGTATAAAACATCAGAATCAGGGTCCGATAGATTACGATGAAAAATATATACCCAGATGTGGATCGAAATAGGCCAATCAGAAAAACGCAAGCACATAACCGGTATAGTTGACCAATCAGTGCTGCGTGCCTAATGCAAAATTACCACTGGAGTCAAAGAGAGAAAACGAACTCCTTCTGTCTACACAATAGCAGCTTTTTCGTTTGTATGTAGATCGATTCCAAAACTGCTAGATGGAAATACGACCGGGCTCTGCCAATTATCTGAAATTCAAATGACTATAAGAAATTTATAGTCTCTGTTACTAAGTTGTCTAATTTTTTGCGTAAATGTATTGAATATGAATAAATTGCTAATGGTTTTTTATAACCTTAATATAGCAATGTCTGGAATTTTAGTCCGTTAACGTCCAGATTTCAAGTTTAACAGGTCTAGTGCCGGCCGACTGAGTACATTTGAATACCAACCAGCACGTGACTGACAGCTGATATATTTTTTATCGGCCATTTCAATATCATAATAATAAAACTCTCTTTGGCGATTGAAAGGTAGAAGGGAAAAGATTTTGTAAATCTAAGATTTTTATCAATAATTCTAGGTGACATACAGCTGCCAACGAAAGTGAAAGAGTCAATGCAAATGCAGGTTGGTTTAAATTTTATTTTTGCAATGGCTTGCAAATGAAATAATCAAGGAAAGGGAAAAATTCAAGCTTACATCGTCAATAAGAGATGTGTTTATTTTTTCAAATTAATGTGTAGAATACATATGGAACACAAGTAAATCTTTCGTACCACGAAATCTTATGATACCACAGAAAAACGTATGCTACAATTCCTACCTAATTTTTTGGTACACTACACCAAACCTTTGGGTAATTTATACTGTACCCACCCCTCCCCCTCTGAACAATTTCGTTTTATGCAATGGTTCCGTGTTTTCCCATGGGTTCCTTTCGGTGTGGTCTAATGATATTTGGCTGTACAACAAACATCGTTTTGAAGGAGAGGGATGCGGTGTCCGTCTTTTTTTACCAAAACAGTTTATTTTTTCAAGACACAACTAAGCAACATGACGTTCCAAGGAATTTTGGCCATGATTTATGGATAGGTAACAAATATTCGCTCTGAAAACTTTTTCCATTACAATCTTGGTTGGAGCGCACATTACTAAAATGCAAAATAAAAATTATGACATTTGTATCCCGCTGCGGTTGTTATTTCATTCTGATATTAAGCTTCCCTTCTTACGGAAATATTCCTAAGCTTCTTGCATCTTGCTCAAGTCCTTTTTTTCATTTCGTAGGTGGAAGCTGAGAGAAGAAAGAGAGCAAGCATTTTGGAGTCAGAAGGTTTGTTTATTCGAGTTCTTCGAGGGGAGAATCAATTCACGATAATCTCGTTAAACTTTTATCGAAATCCAATTGTTTATCTGGAAATCTCTGGAAATCCTTTTGTTTTTGTGGCAATCTCACGCGCTTTTTACAATAGCGAATTACTCCTCAGAATTCTTGGCCATAAAGTCTACAATATTAGAATCTAGATTTTGCTAGTCGCGACTGTAATATTAAGAAGAATATTTCTCATAATGTTTGACAAAGTTGATATATATTTGCATATCTTTTGCTTCATTTATTTTTTAAAGTTTATCTATAATTTAAATTCGTAAAAAAATTTATCGTGCCTATAAAGTAACTCTTGTATTTTTTTATGATTTTAAACATAAAAATAAAATCCTTTTTTGGAACTGCGCTTATTTGAAGACAATCTTGTTTCGATATATCCTGATTTCTCCCTTTACAGCAATAAAATCTAATTCCAACTACTTAACATGAGTTTTTTAAAATTTACGTTTGTGCTATGTCAATTGTTTTGTCTAAATTTTTCAAGCTATAATTAGGAAGTTTATACTAGACATAGTGAATTCAATTTTATTTGTAAATAAACATATTCTTTGCATGGATTTATAGCTCCATTGTAACTTTATCATATTCCAGGATTCCGAGATTAGCAGGGTTTCTTAGAGATGCGGTACTGATTGAAAATTTAAATATAAGTTTCCTTGTTTATCCAATTTATTACATTAACTGCTACAGCACGTATGAAATGACTCGTTTTTGTTCTAGGGCAGCGTGAAGCAGCCATCAACCGTGCCACTGGGGAGGCCAATGCAATTTTGGCAAAGGCAAGAGCAAGGGCGGAAGCTATCAATTTGATCTCGAAAGCGCTTTCAGAAAAGGTAAATTCATGAATGCTAAAACTTAAAATCTTACGTAGCACGCTGGTTGTCTATGGTCCGTTGGTTAATGCTGCGTGCAAGCTCAGCTCTTTCACATGGGCTCCGACAAAGGTTGAAAAGTGGGGGGGGGGAGGCAAGGGAAAATTTAACACCCATAAAAAAGATTTTGAAAATAACTCTATTGTTTTGCAAAAATGTGGGGGGGGGCCAAGGCCGCACCCCCCCCCCCTTCGTCGGAGGCCCTGTTTCACGTAGGGGATGTTTAAACATTGCATCCAGGCTGGTCTGCCGTTTATTTGGTCTTCCAGCTTTTTCAGTATATCTCGGTGTCCGGAACTTAGCTTTTTCTTTTTAAGCTCTGTAGCTGTGTGTGCAGTAAATTTTATATCACTTTTAGTGGAAATGATTATTTAAGGCAGTTGGAACTTTTCTGTCACATAGTAAAAACCAACACCTTAATTTAGAATCTACGACCTTAAGTGACGTAATTTGTATCCAAAAAGTAAGAGAGACCTTGCTTGATGTCCTACTAATGCAACCTGTGAGCCCATAGATGTCTTTGCATACAGAATTTTAACAAGTTATGGTAAAATTGACTTTTTTAGGGTGTAGGGCATGAATGCTTTAAGAAACTTTTGAAAAAGCTTGTTTATCGCAATAAATGGGCAAGAATATAAGAAACTGCAGTAAATAATTGCACGATTTTGTTATTTTGCAGTCTGGAAACCAAGCTGCATCACTCTCGATTGCCGAACAGGTAAGATTTTTACCGTTGTGATAGAACAAGCGTTTATCAATCACCATATACCGTAGCCTTGTCGTCGAGGACAGGGCAGCCTTGTCCGTAGCCTTGTCGTTGGCTCCCGTTATGAAATTGTTATGGTATGTTATAAAATCCAGGGAATAAATTTTATTAACATTGGGTCAGCATTGACACTTTTTTTTGGTGGTACAAAACTTGTAAATGGCTTTGAAAAATGCAAACATTTAGACCGAAAACTTTACGATAGGAAATATATATACCCAGTTGTGGATCGAAATAGGCCAATCAGAAACACGAGCACATGACTGTTGAAGTTGACCAATCAGTGCCGCTTGCCTATTGAGAATGTTACCAATGGAGTCCTAAGGTGAAAACGAACTCCTTTTGTCTACACAGTAGCGGTTTTTTCGTGCTTATGTAGATAGATTCCAAAACTGCTAGGTGGAACGACGCTCGGGCTTTACCAATAATCCGAAACTTGTCGCCATTATAGTTTTTTGCACAATCTGGGTTTTCCAGTAAATGCTGCCCGATAGCGGAATCGCAGGTTTTAGTTTTCAGGTAGTATTGAAAGTTTCTTAGCCCCTCACTCAGCAGCGCCATTACTGAGTTTCTTAGAGCGACTTTTCTTATAAACAAAAAATTTACACTAAAAGAAAATCGATCTCATAGGCCCCAGCTGGACTTTGATCGCCATGATACTCTGGCCCTATTTATCAATATTGATTGCACGAAGACTTCCTTACAGAAACAAAATTTTCAATGTATCCTCCTTCTTTCAGTATGTACAAGCATTCTCGAGCCTGGCAAAGACGAACAACACAATTCTGCTGCCGTCAAACACTGGTGACGTAGCAAGCATGGTAGCCCAGGTATGTGTTGCGGGTATTTTCCTATTGTGTGAGAAGTAAGAGAAGCAGGATAGGCTGTCCGCCGGATTCTGTGAATTTTGCAATGAGTGTAATATAAATACGAGGATAAAATTCAGGAACAAAGCAAAACGACGAAAGAATCCAATGCTATGAAATAGTTTTCAAAATAATTAAATTAAACGAATACTAATATTTCGCATCAGAGTAAATAAAACGAACGAGTAAATGAATTTGAAATGATTCACTTCCTTGCAGAAATGTGCGACAAGACGAATTGATCGTAATATTGATTCCTCCAAGTTACAAATCTTGAAATTTTGTAGCACTAAGATTGTTGTTCCATTTTTAATCTCAAACGTCATCCACCCCTGCAAAACCTCTCCCTAAACTTTAAAATCAGCATCTACGAGCTTTGGTTTAATGTGCGTTTTGTTGAATTATAGGCCATGGCTGTTTACGGAAAGATAGCAACACTGCCAGCGTCCGAAGATGCACCCCCGGATGACGATCCATCTACCCCATCAACGACAGGAGGTGATCGTGGGAAGAAACAGCCCTCAAAAGAGAGCCATTCCACCTCTTCAACAGTATCAAAAACCGGCGCAAGTTTGGGAGCAGCAAGCCTTCTAGGCTCCAAAGATGACTTTTTATTTAGTGTAGCGAATTCTCCAACAAGGAAACGCGAGTTCGGTTTAGGTGAACTCGATTGAAGTGCGATGGATTGTAATCATGGCATGGATTTTGCATAAAGAAAGAGGGAAATGTAGATTGTGTAAACAAATCGTTTTGAGTATAAGAAAAATCATCAAACAATGAAATTTAGAAAACTAGAGTTCTTTTTTGCATCTTTTTGTAGTATTTCCAGTTAAGAAAAATTCTAGTCAGGGCTATGCATGTGAAAGTTTGCCAAATTCTTTATGTTCTCAGCAAGGTTCCCATCTTTTTTCTCTAACTCCGTAAGTGCTGGGATAACCAATGGCGCACAAACAGTCACCTAAAGACGCAATGCCAGTTACAAGCGTTTTGAGAATGAATAGCCTGCTTGCCCCATCATGTATGAATAAAAACAAAGTCAAGCCTTAAAATAAGTATTCAGTTTTTAATTTCTAAGCGGTTAGCCTTCAGTTGGAATGTAATTTTCAGGGCAACACCAATTTATCATTGATGACTGTATACTGAAATATTCTGAATCTCTGAATGGTTCAACGAGTAAAGTCGCTTATTATTGCTGGGGATGTCAGAAGAGTGTCCCAAAACTTTAGGAATTAGCAAATACCGTCTCTAAAACACAATTTAAGAAAGCCTTAGTGTGCCTCCTTTTGATCGTGTCTCGTTAAAATGTTTCTGACGTCCTGGACCATCATTCTTTGAATTTTGGTTATATCATTATATATAGCATTTGCGGAGCTAACCTCGAAGAGCCTCTGGAATCTAATAGACAGACCATGAAGGTCATTGCTTCAGTGTCCCCATACCAGCTTCTGCTCCTTATTTTGTCGTAGTCTTGAAAAACTATACTGTCTCTGTTTTGAAAGACTTGTACCACACCACACCCCTCCCTAAAATCGGTTGTATATTTAAAGATCGTAGCTATTTGAGAAGAACCATCAGACAAGAATAGAAGCTCAAACATTGAAGAAAACAACCACGTTTGGACTAGGAGATGTGAATGCTGTTGACAATGTTCAAAAACACAGTGCAGTGTACCAAGGTTTTTCAACTGGTTGAATGCAACAGTTGGAGATCCAGAATGCATTCCATCAAATTGACTATGGAAAAATTTAACAGTTTTCTCATCGCTTCAACCTTATGGGACTGCCTGCTCGACAGATTTGCTCAGCAAACATTCTAGGAAGAACTGCATTGTTCGTATGCTAAAAGCAATTTATAGCACTGGATTTCATCGTAAATCCTCGAACTAGCCCCCTGGGGGCTTATTTATTTTTGATATTTTTGGATGGGGGCTTATTCGAGGGGGGGGGGGCTTATAAAATTATTGTAGACGTTAAGAAGACATTATTGAAAGACCTCGTTTATTTTAGTAGAAATTTATTTATAAGCATTTAATTAATTACTACCAAAAGTATGGATTTGTTGTTGTAATTCAATTAAACGCCATAGGCAACCTCGAATGGCAAAAATCATCAAATTGAGGGGTCCAATTTGAGAATTTACGGAAGCAGTGGGGGCTTACTCCAGGGGGGGGGACTTATTGACAATTTGTAGTTCTAGGTGTGGGGCTAATTCGGGGGGGGGGGGGGCTTTTCGAGGAAGGGCCAATTCGAGGATTTACGGAACTTCTGCACCAATTCAATAAGGTAATGACAATACTTAACTGTAATTTTTGTAGGCAGCTAAGGTATTTTGTTTGTTTAAGAAGATGACCAAACCTTAAATATATATATATATATTATATATATATATTATATATATATATATATCTTTCATCACTTTCTCTACAGGTGGAGTATCTTTGCAGTTTTTTTCGAATGATAATTAATATGCTGCAGTAGGCTACAATCATATGGCGCTTTCAAGCAGTCAATCTCACAAGGTATGAAACTACCTAGAAACCAGCCTTAGACTATAAGCATTCTATTTCATGCTTGAGAGAGCGATTGATATTTGTTTCCTTCCTGTGGAATTCTGCAAAGAAGACAGACGGAGAGGGGAAAGTCGAGTTTTATTGCAGGGACAGGCAACCTATGTCCCACAGGCCAGATCCTGCCCTTCAGCAAATTTCTACTGGTCCTTGCTTTTTGCCTTTGTTCTTTTGGGATTGAAAATGAAGAGAACGTCTTACAAAAGAGATGATTGGCTGAGAATGTTTCCATTCTACATGAAGTATTTTGTATCTCTAGCTATGTAGCATCAAAGTTCATTCCCATGCAAAAAAGCATGAAACCTCAAGAAGCACCTATATTTAGAAGCAGAGCAGTGTCCCACAACAGAGTTCACACAAATAATAGGCAAGCAGAGGTACCATTATTGAATGTTTTTAGTAACTTCAACCCTGATTTTGGCAGGCATGCTAGTAAGAGGCAATACCAGATGGCAAGCAAACATTGAACTTTTCTGAATATAACTTTTTCGATTCTATTACTCATCAATTGCTACAAGTCACCTTCTTAAATGCAGTATAGTAGAGAACACTGACAGCAATCACTCAATCCTTGTCACAGGGCAAGTTGAAATTGCAAGAGCAGCTTGCAAAATTCATGTTCTCCTTATATTCTAGTTAAAAATATGGGAGACGGGGAGCAAGCATCTAATCCAAACAGATTATCTGATGAACAAAGAGGGTTGCAATTCTGTCTTGCTGTGCCTGGTAGTTTTACACTGAAACCTGATTTCTATTTTGCTTAACCCTTCCTGGCTCAACCCACCCGTCCTGAGTACAAAATATCATGAATTTGGCCCCTTCCCTGTTTTATAAAATTGACAGTGCCAGAATACATCAGAAAATGAGGTTGATTTTCAGTCTAGTATTCACAGTATTTTATCAAATACAATTGAATACATTTTTGGCAAGAAATGCAGGAATAACATCCACTAAGTCACAATTTATTGCACAGCATTAACCTGAAAAGTTAACAAATTTATGGAAGGTTTAATGATGCTTGGCATAATTGCAACCTGCATCACAGCAGTTTAACATTTACATTTCTCATATTTTATATTATAAAGAAAGTTGCATGCATTTAGGCAAGGGTTTGCAGTTTGTCTAACCTACGTCATCATTTTTCTGAAAGGATAGGAAAAATCAAAACTCGAGAAATTGTTTTAAATTATAAAATATATGCATAAAAAGCAACAATACTAAGAGATGTCCCTTATGCTTTCTTTGCCTTGTGTTCACAGTATTTTGAGCTACTTCTGAACCACAGCAAAAATGGAATAAGAATGGATGGAGTGCACATGACAGCAAATATGGCCCATTCAAGCTGTAAAGAGAAGGTAAATGGTTTCAGAATTTGATGCTAATTTATTACCAAATATGTACCGAAATGAAAAACAGCTTCAGCTTCATCAAGCCTTCAATGCAACAAATTTCAGCATAGCAAAGAAGAGGGGACAAATAACAGAATAAAGAACTCCTATGTTGTTCAGTGGCAGTTTTAGAGACTGACAGGTCTGGGGCTCTAAAACTCCTGCGGACCCTTGTTTTTCAAATTTATTCTTGTGTGTGGGGCCCCTTTTGGTTACGAAAAGCACAGGGCTGGGGCTCTGGCCCCTTTTATAAACAACCATTGAGTTTGTCACTTTCCCTGAGTTGAAACATAGAGCAATGAACAAAAGATATATAACATAAGATTAATATCTGGAGGCGGATCCAAAATTTGTTTAACTTGGTCCTAGTTGAAGAGTCCAAGTGACCAAATCTGTCTTAACTAGTTAGGATTATTTGACTTACCAAATGGGGAGAGTGTTTTCTGTTGAAATCAATCTCTGTCATGATTCCACCTTCACCAGGAGCTGATGTAAAAGCAGCCTGGAAAATAATTTGTAAAATGCTTAATATTAACAACTTGGGTACAAATAACTTCAAGAAAATATCAAAGGGAACTATTTATTTTTTGCTCTGATGAAGCCTCGTATGCGGGGAAGAAATATTAGCATCACTGATTTGTGTGTTTGTTGTTGTTTATTCTAGTTGCGTTGCGGTGTTCCTTATACACTACTATTTTATCGTTTTTTCGCTGCAAGATTTCCTCCAGAGTCCGTCAAGCAGTCTGCTATTGTAAGATTTTAAATAAATCTCATATAGTTTGCTGAAAGGAACTAACAAGATTTAATTAAAAAAGATGTATTTTATTTTCCACTACTATCTATTTGCCTAAAACAACCCTAAAGCTTTTTGAAATATTGTTAATTGAAATCTTTGGGAATCAAGTATACTAGATGTGAGAAGTAATCAAGCAATGTTAGCAATGAGCAATTGCAACCTGTGTTTTGAGACTGTAACTTGTGTTTGAGATATTACCTTGCAAACATCTGATTCTAAATACAAACAATTTTTTAGTGGCAGGGGAGATCTTTGACCTTGGGTCTCTATTCTCAGTAAAAGTCCTTTAAATGCAAATTACTGTTTGTACCTGTCTGTCATACTACTTAACTTGTGTAAATTTTATCATTTTTGTTAACTACTAAATAGGGTGCTGAGCTGGAAAATTGTCTTGATTCTCTCAACATCCTACGCGAATAAACTAATTTGATCATATAGTGCTAAACGCCCTTCCATGACAAGCAGGCGACTGTTAAAGACTTAAACATATTTACCTGCTTTTCCCCTCCATCTGTGATATCATATGAAAGCTGTGCAGCAGTGAAATTGAAGTAACCTGCTTTGAATGGCTGTAGAACAAGAACGTGTGTCACATTGCCGTTAGGTGGAATACTACTCCATTGAACTGAACTCTTGCCCTTGACTACCTTAAATTCTGTGTTTGGAAACGAGGTGTCGTTTAATGCAACATTGTAAGCTGCTGATGAACCGACATTGAAAATCTTATAAACAACCGAAACATCTTTATTCTGGACAATGAAATTATTTAAGATTGTTTTAGATGCTAACAGTTTGGCTCTTGCTTCCAAATCTGCACCAGATACCAGAGCCACAAAGGCAATTAGACAAACATACCGCTAAAATAGAGAAGAAAACACATAATTAGAATGTTGCCAAAATATGAAAAGAACAGAGAAAATTGAAACTTTTTGACCTAATACCAGTAATTAAACACGTCATATCTGGCTACAAAGCAAACGTCTTTAAGGTATTCTACAAAGGAAAAATTTCCAATATTAAGTTAAATCTATAAACACTTAGTTAGGAATAGTTTAAAAAGTTAAGTCTAAAAAAAAGCTCCTGGCCTAAACAAAATATGACACGAAACTAAACAGACAATTCGCACAAATTACTCAGCAGGTTTATATTTCACATCATATGTTCACTTTAAGCTTTTTTAAACAGATTAACTAAGTTTATTGATGGGTACACAATTTTCACAGTATTTGGCCTAAAAAAAGTTCAGTCACCTAAGGTTTGGTACCTATCATTTGTAATCTGTTGGTATTCGACCAAAACAAGCTTGTATTCTTAAGATGCAGTTGAGAGATAATAGTCTAATGGATAGAAAGGATAAACCATTTACTCACCAACATTTTCAGTTTCCTTTCGTCTTGACAAGTCCACGTTATGGTGTTTCTGCTTTTGAAAGACAAAAGGAAGGCAACGTTTCATTGAAACCTCGTTCGCAGAAATCAACCTCGGCATCAAGAAGAGGGCGAAAGAATGTGTTTTTTTGGAGGGAAGAGGAGAGGACAACGAAATATCAAGACTACAGTAGTGTATAAAATTATTTTTGCCATGACGAAGCCCGCTCGCATTTGGATTATTGTCTCCCTCTTTTTGAAACTGATTGACTTAAGTTATGGAGACTTTCTGCTTGTTGACGTCAACACGACATCTCCGGTTGCAGAAATCGAAACAACTTTCCTTTCAATTGCGCTCGACTCAGACATGATTGCAAAAGACTTGAGGCCAATACCTTTTGACTCACCAAAGTTCTTAGCTTTGTGCGAAGGTCTCTCAAGCATAAATGTGAACAGACCAATGGTGTATTTACGAATAGGTGGCTCAAAAGGGGATGATGTTGTTTTCAGCGAAACGGGACTCGATATCGATTCAGAAAAGTATATTTTGAACAGTACTGAATGGGATATGATCAATGATTTTGCAAAGAAAATGCAATGGAAAATGATTTTTGGTGTTAATTCTTTGGAGAGGAAGCATGATGGATCCTGGGATCCAACAAATTTTATCAAACTTCTGCGATACACTACTTCCAAGGGATATGTTGTCAATTACGAGTTAGGAAATGGTGATTGTTTTTTCCTGAAAAGCTTGATTTGTTACCATTTTACATGAATACAAATGTGCACAGCCACCCTTTGTTGCATAAATGTCCAAACTGGAAATTTTGATTAACGTGATAAAATCAGGGCCGAGGCTGACAAGTCAAGTTTAGTTGTCAAAACAACACCAGTGAAGATCTTCAATAAAATCATACGGTTTTCTCACCCATTGCATGTTGATGATAATGGTGCAGCCGTATCTTGAACATCTTTGTTGAGAGTTTTTGTAAAATATAATAAGGATTATTTTAAGCACAAAAACTATAGGTGGTAAATCAGTTACATCTGTCACAGGTTGCTTGCCAAATGGCAGCAACCTTATTTCAGCCTTTTTCAGCCTTTCAGATACAAGTACGGCCTTTTTCCCAATCAAGCCACTTTAATTTGATCCTTGCTCTAAAGCTTACAAACCAAGCAAAAAATAACAGTTAATCTGTTTGCAAAATTTATGGTTATAAATAGCTATATGTCAACCGAATGTCACACATCAAACAGATGTTTAGAGATATTTCACCATGCTCTTCACGCTCATATAACCAAAACTAGAGAGTTGTGGAAACTGTATTTATGGTGTCATCACTTTTTCATTCTGTTTCTATGCAAATAAATATTTGCATTGTTTAAAAAATATAGCCCTAGTAGAAAGTATTTGTGTAATATCTGACAGGGCAAAGGTTCCAGTTTGGGGGTTCTGGGGGCATGAATTTTTTTAAAAGATTTTTTATCCTTGTTAGAACCTGATCTCTATCTTGGACATCGTGACATTTGGATCAAACCAGAGCAATTGGCAAGAGATTTTGGAATGTTAAAAGCCATAGTCATTGAAGAAGGTCACAACATTCCAATGATATTTGGGCCTGATGTTGCAACCTTGAATAGAGATGGATATTTTCAAAAGTAAGAAAATCTCTTATTATTTATTTATTGTTTTTAGCTATTTTTATAACCAGAAAATTTCGACTATGATTTTGACACTTGGTAATGCAGCTTATGTGCAACATGATTTTTATAATCTTAATCTATTTTATTATGAAGATTTTCGTTTTTTCTAAAGAGTCCCTTTGTAATTTCGATGTTCCAGGTTCTTGGAAAATATTGACAATGATATTCTTGATGCTGTCACATTCCATTTGTAAGTAGAAATATTTTTATTTCTAAATTATTTTTGAACTTCCTAAATCTACAAGTAATATCAGAGTTTGCCTTATCTGAGAGACATGTTTTTGAACTATAATTTCATTGAATTCAAAAGATTAAAAACTCCAAGTTTGTGAGTAAAGAAGAGGTCATGATAGCAGGCTGCTCAACGGACTCTGAAGGAATTCTTGCGGCAAAAACTCCAAATCTGCCTTTTATGATTCAGAAAAGCTTAAAAGCTGATGGACACAGAAATACCATGTTATTTAATAAAATGTGCATTGAATTTTTTATAACTTCTTGGCATTTATTCATTGGAATTAGAAGCAGCTTGGAAGACTTCAGTTGTGTAAGCATTTATATTTCCAATGATGCTCTTCTATAAATTTTTAGTTACTACGGTGCCAGTGAAAATGCAACATTGCAAGATTTTATAGACCCATTATACTTGGACAAGTTTCTAGATTATACTAATTCTGCCAAAAAGATGATTAAGAAAGGAGCTACAAAGGATACACCCATCTGGATTGGTGAAACAGCGAGCACATATGGAGGTGGAGCAGAAGCGTTATCAGATAGATATGCTGCTGGATTTCTGTGAGTATAATTCCACTGTTGTTCCTCTGTAACAATACATTCTGTTTGTTTTTAAACGTTTTGTGTAATTTTCAGCTTTTTTCATTAAGTTTCAATTAACGTCAAGCATCAAAAGATTACTAGTAGTATTTTTGAGATTTTCTGTTTTTTTTTCATCTGTTGCCAGACAAACATTTGTTGTAGCTTTCATTTTGTTTGCACTTCCAAGTACTCTTCATCCTCTGACCCTTTTCACTCTCTTTTATTTCCAACCCGCTTTTTCTCTGTAATCATTTTTGTTTTGTTTATCTCTCTTATGAAATATGCATATATGCAAAAATTACTGTGCTTGATGATGTATAGGCAGAGCTGCACTTGCTATTTGGTGTATAGGACAAGACGGTTCTGAGATGCAACTCAAAGTTTTAAAGTTAGTGCAGTCACAAAGAAATTTTTGACTAAACAATGAAACTTAGAACAATCTTTGTCAAACTGGAGACAAAGGTTGGAGATAGTCAAATTTTTTCAGTATTTCCAGATTATACCACCTGTCTTGCTTCCAATGGTATTATTTTCTATTTTCATTTCAATAAATAACTTAACTTCCCTTCTTTTAGTTGGCTTGACAAACTTGGCCTAGCTGCTAGACTTAACATCACCATGGTAATAAGACAAACACTCCTTGGGGGCAAATATGCACTGATTAGTAAGAATCTGTTTCCCTCTCCGGTAAGTACATATCAGCATTTATTTTACATTTCATTATCAACAAGAATGCACTGTCAGTGAATTGGAGACAGAACCATGATATTCTCATTGATACCAAAACTGACCTATTTATACCAGTTACTACAAGTTTAGTAAATTTTTGTGGAAATAATTGCTATTTTTGGACAATATTGCTATCTTTCACTCGCATGAAAAAGAGAAGAGGGGTGAATGTGGCTTTCAACTCTAAAAATGTTAATGCTTTTGATGAATAATCGTAGCTGAATCTATGTCAACCTTTAGATAACCTTGATGTCAGATAAAAAGCAAAAAGCGTTTTTAATTTTAGATCTTTGTTATATAGGACTACTGGTTGTCTGTTCTGTACAAGCAACTCGTTGGTCATCGTGTTTTGGATGTAACTGGCTCTCTGGAGAAGTCAAGGAAATTCAGAATATATTCTCATTGTGTTAACGAATTTGGCAGGTTTGTACTAAAGATTGCTTGCTTGAAATGTTTTTGTGATCAACTACAAATTTAATTTAACTCACTTTTCTGACTTTTATTTATCAAAGGCGACGGGCTAGAAACTGAGCTCGGAACTCTTTACTATTCCTAATGATGATCACAGGCGTGTGGGATGAGTTCAGATGGGGGGGGGGGAGGGGGGGGGGCTCAAATTATTTCGCACGAGCAATGCTAAAGCTTTATATATCCATCGAGCAATGATTAGCAGCGTCATTAAAATGAGGCTAACTAATAAACATTTTTAAAAACATGACACATTACAAAATACCTTTCGAGTTTTCATTGAAAGAAATACGAATCTCGCCCACCACGCCGACTAAATATATCGATAATTTTATTGATATCTTTTTCGAGAACAAGTTTTACGAACATTAATGTTCGATATTAAAGAGGGTGACATTGTCAAGTCTTTGCTGAGGCACCCGACTTGAAAACCAATTTACAGAATTTTTAGGATTATTTTCAGCTTTATGGGAGGTATTGCCAAAAATTCCTTGGTTTCTTTTTGACTTCACGAGACTTTCAATCTCTTTAAAAATCATTTCTCACACAATTGTTTTGCTCCAAATTTTTGCTCCAAATGTTTTGCTCCAAATGCAGTCCCCCCATCGTCACTGGCTGCGTCGTAATTGCAATTTTTTAGTTTAGATTTAAAATTGTCTACTTCATGGTTGTTCCTGTTTATTAAAGACCCTTTGTGATTTAAAGAACTTTTTCTTACCCTTGAAGTTAAAAAATTACTTGATTGATATCAACTGTACTGATGTAAAAATTCTTTCTTATTTTCAGCCATAAATATTTTCAAGGTTCGGTTGTAATCATTGCAATCAATCTGGACCCTAGAGAAGACATGACCTTCAATCTTTCTGGCTCTTTATCAAATCTTGCTGCGGATGAGTTTGTTTTCGAGCCGATCGGTGACGCCACAGCCAGGTAAAGTTTCCAGCTTTTCTGTAGTTATAATGCTATCACCATTTTGATTTTGATAAGGAAAACATATCGTTAACAGGAAGGTTTTAATTGGCTGTAACGTGCCTCATTCACTTAACTTCTGCAATCATCGTTGCAAAGTCAACTTGTTTTATTTCAATTTCCAAACAAATTGACCATAGTTGACAGTAGAAATTCTGATCAAAATTTCTTTTGGAGTAAATCTACATAAATATGAAAAATCGCTTTTGTGTCGAAAGATAAAAGGTAGTTTTCACCTCAGGACATTGGTGATATTTTCAATAAGCAAGCGGCACTGATTGGTCAACCTATACAGTCATGTGCTCGTGTTTCCGATTGGCCTATTTCGATCCGAAATTGGGTTCCACAATTGGCCTATTACCTAGGTTTCGATCTATGTCCTGACGTTTTGTACTCTGAAGAGTGTCAGACGAAAAGCCTTAGTAACATGTTTCAAGGTTTTTGCTTTTTTCAAAGCACGTTTTATATTTAGCAAGGAGATATTATTACCACGAAAATACTACAAGATAATTTCTAATTCTTTCTTACTTCTTACCTTCATTTTTTTTCTTTCTTTCTTTCCTTCTTTCTTTATTTCTTTCTTTCTTTCTTTTTTCCTTCTTTCTTTCCTTCTTTCTTTATTCTTTCTTTTTTCTTTCTTTCTTTCTTTCTTTCTTTTTTCTTGCTTTCTTTCTTTCTTTCCTTCTTTCTTTCATTCTTCAATCATATCTCTAAACCAGAGCTTTTTAATATTGCATTGATGCAAATAGATATTTAGAATAGCGGTAAAAGAAGACGAATTATAAGATGAAGCAAAACATTTTCGTTTATTGGATAAAATCAAAGTTTTTTTAATTCCATCACATAAAATTAGTCAAACGGTTATTTCCATCTAAAACAATCTTCAATAAATATTTTTATGCCAATTTATTACCTTTTTTTAATAGTAAACTATCTTTGTCTTATTTTTCTTGTTATTCATCAAATATCTTTGTTATGTTTTTCTTGAAGAAACCAACTGATGTTTTCTTCCAGGCAAGTCATGCTAAATGGCCATCTTCTTGAGCTCGTTGACGATGTAGCACTTCCAGATTTTTCACCAAAGCCTACATCGCCACCATTTGTGATGCCACCTCTAAGGTATGGTTTTTTTGTGATAAAAAATGCAAAAATTGGGGCGTGCATGTGGCGCTAAAATTAGGATGCTGCACGTGATCACCATCGAGTGATATCAAGGGAATAATATGCAATGTCATGAATCTGGTGATAAAGTTTAACCGTTGAATGTAAGTTTTTTAATTATGCAAATGTCAAAATTTCATTGTCAGTGTGGAATTGTCGTGTTTTCGAAAAAAAATTGTTGACTTAAATTAAAACTTTAAACATTTCACTTGGCGTTCGTTTTAAAATTAAATAATATTATTATAATAATAAATAATATTAAAACATTTTTATCATCGAATAAAATGTCTGTAAATTTTTCTCAATAAGGGGGGCGGGGCTAGCATTTTCCTCCATTAGATCTTTGAAAATTGCCCAGCATTCAAATACCGGATCACAGAAAAGAGGTTCCTGTGGCAAGATAAATTTTATTGCATCTTATTGTATCTCATTCCATTGTATTGTATTGTATTGTATTGCATTGCATTGAATTGTACAGTATTGTAGATTATTTAATGTTAGTTTTTAAAATTGTGAAAACACGCTAATTAAGACTAACATAAAGCTATTTCAAGGATAGCATAAGACAGATTATTTACTGCAAAACGAGCACGTGCATTTGTTTTCAAGGAACCAAGTTTTGATCAAATTCTTGAATTACTGGTATTTTGTGCTGTTGTCTTTATTGATTCTGGGAGTGAATTCCAGATTTTGGCCCTTGGAAACTTAATGATCTTATACCATTATTGGTAGTTCTGGCTTATAAATGTATCTTATGTCTGTCTAAGTTCAGTTACCTAGTGTTTTATTTGTGTTGTAATTGAATTATCGTTGTAAGTGATAAAAATCACAAAATAGCATGAAGTTCTTTTTCATTTTGGCTTTATTTTTCAGATACCCTTGATCTTTTAATTGCGTAATTTGTTTTCTAAAGACACAAATTACTAAATGCACTTTTTATGTGATCACAGAATGTGAACATGTAAACCGGCCGTAAGCAATTCAAGTTTGTTGTAGGTTTTAAGGACTGTGTAAAATAAGTGGTTGACATTTCTTTCAAATAATAATTCAAAAACTGTTTAAAAATGTTTTTGATTGCTATTGTGGCATTCTTTCTATCGGTTTTGATCATTAATCATTTTTTTGTTTCGACGCAAATTCGGATAAATTTTAAACATTATACGATTGCACGAAAACTTTGAAGGCAAGCATGATAAAAAACTTGCTGGTCAGTGAATGCGCGTGAGTTCTGTAAATCGTCAATCCGGAAATGCCTTTTCCCCTCCTAATTAACGCTTTAAATATAGACATGACAAGGTCTAGCTTTTAAATATAATAAAGAAGAAAATAAATCTCTAATTGAAACATTTTTCTGCTTGACTTTTTTTATAAAGGTGGAAACAAGAAGAGATCAGAAAATTGGGTTTTTGGCAAACCTATAGCCTTGGTTTTTTCTATGAAAAATGGAGACTCCAGAATGTGTCTTTTTCTCTGAATATACGCTCTGAATAAAACAAAGACTTGACTCAAACTATTTTGAGTTCATATAAAGGAGAAAAAAGGCCAAGTTTCAAGATGGAAAATTTTTGATCAAATAATAGCGTTTTCAAAGCCTATAGACTTGGCTTTTTCTGTCAAAATTGAAACTCCGAAAATGTCAGTTTTTATTCAAATTTTCGCTCTGAATGAAAAAAGATCTGATGCATGCGTTTTTTGAGTTTAAATAAAGCAGAAAAAAAAGTTTGTGCTGCCAAATTGTTGATCCCAAAACGGCCCTTTTGGTTAGCCTACAACCTTTTTCTTTTATAAAACAATAAGAACTCCATAAATATATGTTTTTACCTAAATAACCACTGTTAATAAATAGCAAAAGGCATGATTCAGTCAATTTTTGAGTTCATTTAAAGCAGTAAAAAGCAAAGTTTGAGTTGCACATTTCTCGATCTGAAAATGGCCCTTTTGGTAAGACTTTAACTTTGGCCTTTTTTTAAAAATTGAGACTGCAAAAAATATTTTTTTCTTGAAATACGCTATGAAATAATTGAAAACAGGATCGAGGCCATTATAGAGTTTATATATGTCGGAAAAACCAACTTTTGTGTTTAAAAGTTTTTCATCTGTGAATGGTCTTTTTGATAAGCCTATAGTCTTGACTTTTTCTATAAAAATGGAGACTCCAAAATGTTTATATCCAGATGAAAGCTGTGGATGATGGCATGACATTTGCTTTCAAAATGTGTGATCTGCAAAATGCGCATTTTTGCACACCCGTCTTCTAGATTCAAACTTTTTAAAGCCCGTATAGAAGAGACAAAAGGAAGTTTGAATTAACAAAATTTGGGCATGGCTTGACTATAATTGTAGTATTGTAAGAATTGGTTCCAAAAATATCAAATTATAGTTGCAAATTTATGTACAAAATTGCTTCGAATGAATCTAAACGTTATAAAGCCTGCGGTCATAGTTTACTTGCCACTGCGAAGGAAAGCCAAGCAAGTGCATACAAGTTTCTAATTTCGTAGAATTCAGTTAAAACTCCCGTACTAGAGAAACACAGGCAAAAATTGTGGTTGGTTGTAAAATGAAGAAAAAAGAAAAACGATTCAATTTTTGATCAGTGCAAAAATTAACTAAATGGTTCCAAATTGCTTTGTACTTGACCAGGTGCAGAAATAAACAAGAATTTGACCTGGGGAAGAATTGATCAGAAAACAGACCAGATTGCAAAGAATCTGGTTAAGAATAAAAACGGACCAACATTTCGATAAGTGGAAAAATATACCATTTACATAAGGAGAATTGGGCTGTATTTTGTATTTTCATCCAATACGATATTAGGCCTTTTTTGATAACATAGTCGCAAAGCATGCCGGTTGCACAAAAGCCTTTAAAAGAGGAGTAAGTATTTGGCGAAGTCTTTGAAAAATAAAATCTGAAGATGCTAAATAAACTTAGTTCTATCTTTGTTTCATGCGATTTATGTTCAGAAACTATCAATCTCTGCGCCAAAAAATACAATTCCTTTTTTATCAAGCGAAGGTAGAAATACAAGTGGGGCACTCTAGGCTCTTGAGGCGTTTCTTCTTTGGAGTGGAGCCGTTCCTTTTTTTGAGTGGCTTGTTAAGGTTTGGAAAATGCAGTGTTTATAGTGCTTAAAAATATATGTTTTTATGAGAAATAAGAACAAAATTGAATTCCCTGCTTCGACCCCTTGAAAATAAGAATTTTTTAAAAATAGCATTAAAATACGTAAATATGCAAAATTTCCCGATATGACAATTCAAGGAAGCACTTGCCAACCCTCTTCACACAAGCCCCTGGGTGGGCAACTTTTAATTTGCTGAAATGCGTTTTAACCCTACAAAAGCAATCATTTTATATTTATTCTGTTTCTTTACGTTACTCGACGTCTTTCAATCATAATTCTTTGCCAGCAATTCAAGAAATAATTTTGGAACTTGAAATCTCCAGTTTTCAAAATCAAATCATGTGAAAATGGTAAGCTTCTACCCAAAAAAAGTTTTTGACGATTTTGAGTTATAGGCCTTTAACAAGCGGTAACTGGTAAACATGTGGTGAAAAGTCGAAGGATACATAAGGAAAAAAGCGACTTTGATATCCGTCTCAAACTAGAGATTAATTCGCTGTCAAATCAATCGCAATATTTTTCTTGTCATTTTTGATAAACAAAAGTACATCGTTATGGCTTTTACTTTTAATGCAAAACGCAAATTTAAAAAAAAATGAAAGCTACCTAGGGTGATAGCCACCACGGGGTATGAATGTGCCCCCCATCATCGAATGAGGGAACCCCGTATTCATCATACCACCCCGTGGGGCCCGCCCATCTCCAACTACCGTTATATTTGCACTACCGTGTGCAGGGGGTAAGTTCATATCAAGGTCCAACCCCCGTCCAACACCAGCACCACGTCCCTGTCCAGCGCCTCGACCTTGGCCGCCACCACGGCCAGGCATGCCACCGCGGCCTGAGCCCCCGCGGCCACGAGCAAATGGCTGGCTTTTGCCTTTGTTTGGAGGCGACTTTGGCCGCAGTGTCTCGATCTCATTGGAACTGCCCACTAGGTAGTCCTCTGGTCCATTATTAAAGTAATTCAAATATGATTCAGTTGAGAAGTTCGAGCTTGACAAATCTGGGCCAACTGTCAGCCAACCTGGGGAAGCGAAATATTCATATGGGAAAGCGGAATAGCAAACGAAAACATATTCAAAATGTATGAATAAAATGACAATAATCTATTTATTTAAAGCTGGCCATTTTAATTGCAGAGATGCTAATTTATATATATTTATGCCAATTCATGCTAATTTATGTCAGCTATAAAACAATGAAAGACATAAATAAAAATTGTAAAATCGAATACATATCAACTCAAGTACACCCAAGGTTTGCAATAAAAACCTTACAACGCCTGCAGTTGCATTTGTCTGTGAACCAGTTCTTTATGTGACCAATACAGATTCATAGGTTGCCGGACTCTTTAACTTTAATTAGTAATATTTACCAAAGTCTACTTCCAATAAATCTTATGATTTTTTATACCATGAGAAGTTGTATTAGCCTTTGGTAAAAGAATACAATGATTGCTTCTAAGATTGTAAATGCTTGCTCTTTTAACTATACGGTGTCTTCTATGGAGGATGGATTTAAACTGTTTTTAGTTTTACGACTAGCTGAGATTTCTCGAATCTCTCCTAGCTCACTTTTCATCTTCGGTTTAGGGAAAATCCCATCCTCCTAGCATCCTATGTTTCAGCCAATAATATTCATTGAAAGTTACCATGAAATGAAATTACATTGTCAAACAAAACTACTTCTTTTGGAAATGCAAGGTGAAGCCTTTTCAAAAATACTTTCTGGCAAGCAATAAAATGCATACCAAAAACTTGCACAATTGCACAAGGGGATATCAAAACAACATTACACTTACATATTCGAACTGGCAGCAATACGTTTGTACATACCTGGCCTCAACGTGCTATCGTTTCCAAAGACATTAAGTCTTCTTCGTCCCAAACAGAAATGTTCGATGATGTGGAAAATTTCTTCCGGCTTCTCTTGGCTTCCGAACTCCGGCTGAATAAACAAAAAAAGACGAAAATAGGTTTCGCTACCAACTTTCTTTTCCTTCGTTAGATCACAATTAGATAATGCGGCGAAAGGAGGAAAGTAAGTTGGTGAAATCGGGGTTATACGTGACACAAAATGCAGTAACTAAGAGAAACATAATTTCAAAAACGAGGATTGAATTTTCACAGGGTATATGATACATAAATTTCCATAACAAAATAATTTGGTAAGTGAAAGACACACAACACAAAAAGACTAAATTGTGACGTCAAGCTCCTTTGCTAGGACAACCGTCTAGTTACCAGATCTCCTATAATGGTACACACTCACAAGAATGATATTGTTTGATTATTTTAGAGAAGGCCCCTTTACCTGTTCCCTTCAATGATCATGCGACATCGCATAATCAATTTATCCTAAGAGATAGTCTGGTAAAAAGCAGCTGTTATTATCAGGCTTTGAAGCTTTCTCTTTGTCCATAGATCTTAAATAACCTGGAACCCAAAACAGCAACTAACCCCCTTTTCAATCACAGTTCTCAAAAACCCCCATTTGCAAGCTCCTAGCAACAAATGAAGATTGGTCTGGGCCCCTTAAAACCAGTATAAGTGCACAGGGACAAACCATATAGTAGCATCATGTTAAGTGGGACCTTCAAAGTTTGTAAGGAAACGATCCGACTTATCCGGGGATACAACTTTAGACTTGAGAGGTTAGAAAAAATCCGATGAGAAATGAAAATCGGTCCGACTTTGTAAAAGTCTGAGTTACCCGGGGTGCGGACTAAATGGGATTCAACTGTATTCGCCCTTGCAAATCATAATGAAACAGTCGTATGCGACTAAAAAGCACAACCATGGCGGATTATAATATTCAAACCTCTTCAGTGATTATGATATCCAAATCGACGTTGGCATGGATAAAGTCAAAATCAGTGCTCCTCCGGACGGTACCCTTGATCCCCATTAAGCAATGCTCTTTCGTGTGTTGCAACACAGATTTTGGTTCCATGTACTTCACATTGCCAGGCTCCTTCTTGTTGGTCTTTATCCAGCATATATCTTCGCATCTTCGGAACCCCCAGGCCCTCAGACATTTTCTGCCTTCATCAAGTCCTTCTGCGGAGCCGCACCACAAAAAGCAAAACGAACGCTGCGCAGCTACCTCTCCTACCTCCAACTTCATAATCTAGAGAATTTGAAAAACTTCCTCACTTAAAAGGCTCGCATTAAATCAAGGCAGAAGAATCTTCTAACGCCCTTCAGAGGACGCATTAAGTGAAAATCTGCGAAAACTGGAAACAGTATCCCTTAGAAGGCAAACACCATCTCTTAGAAAATTTGCAGAAAAATTTTGTTGCTGTTTTTTTGTTTGTTGTTTTTAACTTGTTAGAAAGCAGTTAGAAAGGGATAATGAAGCGTATCTTATCATCTATTGTAACTATCTACTTTATTCTATTTTATGTTAGTTTAGTTTAGATGCATTGCTCCTTGTAAACCAGCCACTATGCTTGAATAATCGAAAATGAAAACGAGACCAAGAATATGCAGAGAAGAAGAATTCAATAAGAAGCGAATTGAGAAATTTATAGATAAAGTAAGTAATTTCAAATACGGGCAACTAGAGTAAAAGCTAAAGAAAGTCAAAACGAGAAACAGGAAAATAAAATATGATCTCGAAAAATTAGGATATATATCAAAGAAAGAAACCTCGTCCCATTCCCATGGCCTCCAGCTGAAAGTTCTTCCAGGACATCTCCTCTGGTATTCCTCTAACGGTGGGTCGATCATAATGACGTCAAAAACGCTTTTTAAGTCCCTGAGGTCATAGGTTTCCAAATCAGCCTGAAGGTACCTGAAGAAAAACAAAACAAAGAAGCATTTATGCTGTTTTTCATTAAAATGACCATAAGGTTCCCGATGTCTTCTCATTTGCAAAATTTTAAGACGATCATTGCTCGCATCTTGAAATGTAACACTGTTTTGGTGCCACGAGGTGGGGTTACCAAAATGGTGTAAATTTGGGGTACAAAAACTTATTCAAATATTATCCTGCCTTAAAGTTCAAAACCTAAGCGACAGCTAAGTAAAAATAAATAGTTGCTGCAAATTATAGTTTAAGTCCAACAAAAACGCGGCCATAGATCATAAACCCTTGATGGAAACAACAACATCAATTGAAGTTAAAAGTAATTCGTACAGTTTGCACCGCGAGAACCGCAGGAAAGGCTGTCCGCCGGCTGTATGCAAGGGGTTAAATATTAGTATTCGTTTCATTTAATTCATTTTGAATTATATTGGATTCTCGACGCCGTTTTGCTTTGTTCCTGAATTTTATTTTAAATATTAGTTTTTGTTTTGACTCTAAAAATGAAATTTTCTAGGACTCTAAAAATGAAAACTTTTTTGATGAAAATGAAAAGTTTTTGGAGAAAAGTTGTGAGAAGAATTTGGAAATATGTTGAGATTGGCGTGAAACTTTTGTATTTTTCATTTCTTCTCCAGAATGCAATTACTCCCACCACCTTTTCCCCTAGAAAAATGCTCTTATTATTGGCGAGTACCAATCAAGTGACAAAAAAAGGAAATCCCAAATCTCCTTGGCCATTTTAAGTCATTTTCACCAACATGTTTTCATTTAGCAAACCAACAGGGGGAAAAGGAACTGGCTGAAATTGCCCTTGAAAACTGACGTTAATGTTCCAATACTTCTAGCAGGGATTGTCTGTAAAACTAGACTCACAGTGATTCAAGTGAAGGAAAGCTGAGGTATCGCGGCTTCAACAGAAAAATCCGCAACGATCTCTAATACAAATAACGTTTTCCCGCAATTGCCACAAATAAACTTCACCTAACATTATACAACAAATATTAAACAAAAAAATGGGGGGGGGGGGGGGGGGGGGGGGGATTTTGAACTTCAAAACATTCAAAAACTTTTCGTATGGATAGCAGCACGCAAGAAGACTTTCTTTACTTAGAACTTCCTTTACTTAAAATATCTAGAAATATGAAAACATTTAAGTATTAAATACAATACTTACATGGGAGGTGTTGCTCTCTTCGCAATGATTTCGTCCTATAAAGAAAACAATTAAAAATCTCTCTCCTTGAGGCAAAGGAAACAAAATAGAATTAACTAAAACTATTCAAAAGGCTTAGTACACCTACAAAGTTTGGAAACAATTACAACATAAGAATTGTCAGGGCTTGGAAAATACTTAAAAAGGGATTGGTATTGGAAAAGTGAAATACCCTTGAATTTGGGAAAATTGTGCAAAGGGGTGTAAAAAAGAGGTAGAAAAAGATCGACAGTGAGCTATTGAAAGGCAAAGTGCCCAAGGGAAAGGCGTTCGAATGTTGGAATATTGTGGGAAGGGATGTGAAAAAGAAGTAAAAAGAGATCGACATTGAGGCAATGAAAGGCAAAGTGCCCAAGGGAAAGACGTTCGAATGTTGGAATATTGTGGGAAGGGATGTGAAAAAGAAGTAAAAAGAGATCGACATTGAGCTATTGAAAGGCAAAAGCCAAGGAAAGGCGTTCGAAAATGGGAATATTGTGGGAAGGGATGTGAAAAAGAAGTAAAAAGAGATCGACATTGAGCTATTGAAAGGCAAAGGGCCCAAGGGAAAGGCGTTCGAATGTGGGAATATTGTGGGAAGGGATGTGAAAAAGAAGTAAAAAGAGATCGACATTGAGCTATTGAAAGGCAAAGGGCCCAAGGGAAAGGCGTTCGAATGTTGGAATATTGTGGGAAGGGATGTGAAAAAGAAGTAAAAAGAGATCGACATTGAGCTATTGAAAGGCAAAGGGCCAAGGGAAAGGGTTCGAATGTGGGAATATTGTGGGAAGGGATGTGAAAAAAAGTAAAAAGAGATCGACATTGAGCAATGAAAGGCAAAGTGCCCAAGGAAAGGCGTTCGAATGTTGGAACATGTGGGAAGGGATGTGAAAAAGAAGTAAAAAGAGATCGACATTGAGCTATTGAAAGGAAAAGGGCCCAAGGGAAAGACGTTCGAATGTGGGAATATTGTGGGAAGGGATATGAAAAAGAAGTAAAAAGAGATCAACATTGAGCTATTGAAAGGCAAAGGGCCCAAGGGAAAGGCATTCGAATGTGGGAATATTGTGGGTAGGGATGTGAAAAAGAAGTAAAAAGAGATCGACATTGAGCTATTGAAAGGCAAAGGGCCCAAGGGAAAGGCGTTCGAATGTTGGAATATTGTGGGAAGGGATGTGAAAAAGAAGTAAAAAGAGATCGACAGTGAGCTATTGAAAGGCAAAGGGCCCAAGGGAAAGGCGTTCGAATGTTGGAATATTGTGGGAAGGGATGTGAAAAAGAAGTAAAAAGAGATCGACATTGAGCTATTGAAAGGCAAAGGGCCCAAGGGAAAGGCGTTCGAATGTTGGAATATCTGAGTGAAAGGGATGTGAAAAGAAGTAAAAAGAGATGACATTGAGCTATTGAAAGGAAAGGGCCCAAGGGAAAGGCATTCGAATGTGGGAATATTGTGGGAAGGGATGTGAAAAAGAAGTAAAAAGAGATCGACATTGAGCATTGAAAGAAAGGCCCAGGGAAAGGCATTCGAATGTGGAATATTGGGGAAGGGATGTGAAAAAGAAGTAAAAAGAGATTGACATTGAGCTATTGAAAGGAAAAGGGCCAAGGGAAAGGCTTCGAATGTGGGAATATTGTGGGAAGGGATGTGAAAAGAAGTAAAAAGAGATCGACATTGAGCTATTGAAAAGAGAAGGCCCAAGGGAAAGGCTTCGAATGTGGAATATTGTGGGAAGGGATGTGAAAAAGAAGTAAAAGAGGATGACATGAGCTATTGAAAGCAAAGGGCCCAAGGAAAAGGCGTTCGAATGTTGGAATATTGTGGGAAGGGATGTGAAAAAGAAGTAAAAAGAGATCGACATTGAGCTATTGAAGGCAAAGGGCCCAAGGGAAAGGTGTTCGAATGTGGGAATATTGTGGGAAGGGATGTGAAAAGAAGTAAAAGAGATCGACATTGAGCTATTGAAAGGAAAGGGCAAGGGAAAGGCGTTCGAATGTTGGAATATTGTGGAAGGGATGTGAAAAGAAGTAAAAGAGATCGACATTGAGCTATTGAAAGGCAAAGGCCCAAGGAAAAGCTTGGAATGTGGGAATATTGTGGAAGGGATGTGAAAAAGAAGTAAAAGGGAATCGACATTGAGCTATTGAAAGGAAAAGGCCCAAGGAAAGGCGTTCGAATGTGGAATATTGTGGGAAGGGAGTGAAAAAGAAGTAAAAGAGATAGACATTGAGTATTGAAAGCAAAGGGCCCAAGGGAAAGGTGTTCGAATGTGGGAATATTGTGGAAGGGATGTGAAAAAGAAGTAAAAGAGATCAAATTGAGTATTGAAAGGCAAAGGGCCCAAGGGAAAGGTTCGAATGTGGGAATATTGTGGGAAGGGATGTGAAAAAGAAGTAAAAAGAGATGACATTGAGCTATTGAAAGGAAAAGGGCCCAAGGGAAAGGTGTTCGAATGTGGGAATATTGTGGGAAGGGATGTGAAAAAGAAGTAAAAAGAGATCGACATTGAGCTATTGAAAGGAAAGGGCCCAAGGGAAAGGGTTCGAATGTGGGAATATTGTGGGAAGGGATGTGAAAAAGAAGTAAAAAGAGATCGACATTGAGCTATTGAAAGGAAAAGGGCCCAAGGGAAAGGGTTCGAATGTGGGAATATTGTGGGAAGGGATGTGAAAAGAAGTAAAAAGAGATCGACATTGAGCTATTGAAAGGAAAAGCCCAAGGGAGACGTCGATGTTGGAATATTGTGGGAAGGGATGTGAAAAGAAAGTAAAAAGAGATCGACATTGAGCTATTGAGGCAAAGGCCCAAGGGAAAGGCGTTCGAATGTTGGAATATTGTGGGAAGGGATGTGAAAAAGAAGTAAAAAGAGATCGACATTGAGCTATTGAAAGGAAAAGGGCCAAGGGAAAGGCATTCGAATGTGGGAATATTGGGGAAGGGATGTGAAAAAGAGTAAAAAGAGATCGACATTGAGCTATTGAAGGCAAAGGCCCAAGGGAAAGGTGTTGGAATGTGGAATATTGTGGGAAGGGATGTGAAAAAGAGTAAAAAAGAGATCGCATTGAGCTATTGAAAGGCAAAGGCCAAGGGAAAGGCGTTCAAATGTTGGAATATTGTGGGAAGGGATGTGAAAAGAAGTAAAAAGAGATCGACATTGAGCTATTGAGGCAAAGGGCCCAAGGGAAAGGCTTGGAATGTGGAATATTGTGGAAAGGGATTGAAAAAGAAGTAAAAAGAGATCGACATTGAGCTATTGAAAGGAAAAGGGCCAAGGGAAAGGTTTCGAATGTGGAATATTGTGGGAAGGGATGTGAAAAAGAAGTAAAAAGAGATCGACATTGAGCTATTGAAAGGAAAGGGCCCAAGGGAAAGCGTTCGAATGTGGAATATTGTGGGAAGGGATGTGAAAGAAAGTAAAAGGATCGACATTGAGCTATTGAAAGGCAAAGGCCCAAGGGAAAGGCGTTCGAATGTTGGAATATTGTGGGAAGGGATGTGAAAAAGAAGTAAAAGAGATCGACATTGAGCTATTGAAAGGAAAGGGCCCAAGGGAAAGGCATTCGAATGTGGGAATATTGGGGAAGGGATGTGAAAAAGAAGTAAAAAGAGATCGACATTGAGCTATTGAAGGCAAAGGGCCAAGGGAAAGGTGTTGAATGTGGAATATTGTGGAAGGGATGTGAAAAAGAAGTAAAAAGGAATCGACATTGGCTATTGAAAGGCAAAGGCCAAGGAAAGCGTTCAAATGTGGAATATGTGGGAAGGGATGTGAAAAAGAAGTAAAAAGATCGACATTGAGCTATTGAAGGCAAAGGCCCAAGGGAAAGGCGTTCGAATGTTGGAATATTGTGGGAAGGGATGTGAAAAAGAGTAAAAAGAGATCGACATTGAGCTTTTGAAAGACAAGGGCCCAAGGGAAGGCTTCGAATGTGGGAATATTGTGGGAAGGGATGTGAAAAAGAAGTAAAAAGAGATCGACATTGAGCTATTGAAAGACAAAGGGCCAAGGAAAAAGGCGTTCGAATGTGGAATATTGTGGGAAGGGATGTGAGTTGGAATATTGGGGGAAGGGATGTGAAAAAGAAGTAAAAAGAGATCAACATTGAGCTATTGAAAGGCAAAGGGCCCAAGGGAAAGGCATTCGAATGTTGGAATATTGTGGGAAGGGATGTGAAAAAGAAGTAAAAAGAGATCGACATTGAGCTATTGTAAGGCAAAGGGCCCAAGGGAAAGGCATTGGAATGTGGGAATATTGTGGGAAGGGATATGAAAAAGAAGTAAAAAGAGATCTAAAGAGCAACATTTTAAAATAACGAGTCCTTTTGTTGACAAGCCTTTGTGAACGGAGCTGCGTTATTCGTTAATAAATCTTTGCTACCTGAAGCTTATATTACGTGAATCAGCGTCCATCTATTCTAACAAGATTTCGGTTAGACCCCCGTTTGGAGCCCGGCTTTCTGGATTTTCTAGGTAAAGTCGGCACGTAACGATTCCTAGTACAAGCAATTATTGACGAATGTGACAGCTTTCTGACGATTGTAACATCTGTGAAATTATTGAAGCTCTGTTTGACATCTTGATTGCAGCTTAAGCATTGCATATCTAATAGGTTTTAAGAAAGGCAGGTATAATAATTGTTTTCTTACTTTGAGTCTTATGAGCTCTTTCAGCTTTGGATATTCTTCAAATCTGTCGGCCAGACCTGTGGATAAAACCCAGCATTCTATCAGAAAAATGCTACTTATTTCAAAAAGTTTGACTTACAAGCGCTAATGCATAAACATGACGTCATCTGTGTTTTCTGCTCTTCTCTAAAATATTGGCGACAAAAAATTTTCAAGATGGCGACTTAGTTAATCACATATATGTGTACCTGAAACAGACACCATTTAGGACCATTTAGAAACAATAGGATCTTTATTTTGGAAGCGTTTCGATGAGGAGAAATCTTGCTAACGAAAATATCTTAACATCATTTGGAGAAATGGGGTGTTACTGTCAGTTTTTTCGGTATGCCATTAATCAAAGGGCGATTGCTTCTCTAGACATAGTGACATTTCTTTGTTAAATAATATTGTCCTATTGTTGTAAGAGCAAACGTCCCCTACACCTTCCCCGGGGCGTAAAATGACCAATGAAATACTTAGTTTTAATTGTGATAATAAACCATATGAAATTAATCAGTACATTATAATTAATCATTTGAGTCAGTAGAACAAGGCTGTTTTAATTTTCATTTATGGGCTATCACAACCCTACCCCCGTTGAAGCCCCTCACAAAAGGCTATGTAACCCAAAAGGATTTCCCAATAGGTTTGACCTCTGGCAGAGCTTTCGCAAACACCCCCAAAAAAGGCTTCAAAACCTTTGCATGATTTTAGAGTATAAACTCAAACGGGGTTTTTACAGGCCTGGCGACTTGAGGACATCAATTGCTCTTGTTCCTCTCTAGACTGTCCTCAACACGGGAGGGCAGCTGCAGATTGCATTCCTAAATTGTTCCAAAATTGCTTTTCTTGAAATCAACTTTCCTCTGTTTCCATTCTTGTTTACCTTCAAAAAGCTCACGTAAAATATACTAGGAGAGCTGTCTTCTGTTCCCTTGCTAAACGTCTCATGGCCAGGCCTGAGCTATAAGGAAAATGTAAAACCTTAACAGATTTCAGCAGCATAATATTTGCATACCTGTATCTCTGATAAAATTCTGTGGCCGTTGCAATGTATCGACAAAGTGCTGTGAATAATCGTTGTGAGGATTAAGACTCTGTGTGCCCTTTGAAATAAAACAAATTGTTACAAAAAGATTGATAAAAGGCAAAATACAAAGTATATAACAAACTTGAAAATGGCTTTGAAAAAAGCAAACATTTAGTAAACTAAAGCTTTTCGTCTGACACTCTTCAGAGTTTAAAACGTCAGAGCATAGATCAAAACTATGTTTTGACGTTTTAAACAAGTTTTGTACCACCAAAAGATTGTTTGTATATAACAAACAGAACTAAAAAATGATGGAGACAGCAAACGAGGAAGTGCAAAGATAACATGTTTAGAATGACGCTGTAGTGAGCCCTAATTATACCCCGAAAGTCCTACCTTGGCTTAGATTGGTTAAACAAAGTTTCATTAGAAACACTGAAAATAAGTAAGAAATACAACATGTTAGAAACGCTAAGTGCTGTGTAAACGAGAAACTTGATTGAAGTTGGGTAGTTTGTCATAGGGTGCTTGTTAGCAGTTGCCCCCCCCAGGTGTCCACAAATTTTATTCTAACTTTTATTCCAATTTTCCAACTTTTCAGGCAAATCAAGCCTCTAACAATTTAAAAGCTGTGATCTTCTTATTAAAAAAGATTGTTGGATTCACACTGCAAAAACCTTATCTAGACTCGTTCAACTCAGTAGAACTTGGGTCAACTAGCAGTGTGTAAACTGGCCATTAATCGATATTCATTTATCATTCATATAACGTTGAATATTCTTAATTGTATTGTTGCTGATTACTCGGAAGGGGCCAACTTGATTTTACGTGAAATTGAAAGACGTCGCACAATGAGAATAGAAAGGGGGTGTGTTTTTTCTCTGCTTTCCAAAACATAACAAATATAAGCACTAAAAGGAGCTGGGCTACAGTTAATTAGAAAAGAAAGAAGTAAATTTGCTTAAAATACTATCTTGGCTGTGGAAAAGTGGCTGTGACATTAAGCTCTGGATAATTTTGTGACACACAGCATAAAAATGGTGGAGATAATAAGATTGTGAATGAGACTGAGTGAAAAATCTAAATGATATTTCAACATAGAAATAAAAATTCTAACATTACAAAATATGAACAATTTTTTTGCGGTACAGAATTTGAAAATGGCTTTGAAAGAAGCAAACATTTTACATCATACTGAAAGCTTTTTCGTCTGCCACTCCTCAGCTTACCCCTTAACTTCACCAGTTGGTTTCCCTTTGCGCAAAAAAATTGTTCACATTTTTCAAGCAGAGGTACACTAAACAAGAGATTGAGGATCTCAACCAACTGGTGAAGTTAAGAGGTAAGATGAGGAGTGTCAGACGAAAAAGTTTTTAGTATGTTGTAAAATTTTTGCTTTTTTCAAAGCCATTTACAAAATACTCAAAATATAAATGATTTATGATCATACCTTCAAGAATGTACTTGAATCTGTGTAAAGTTCTTCAAAAGATTCTTCATCACTTTCCTTTACAAAAGATAAATCAAATTCATATTATTCTACAACTCTGGATTAATCACTATTTGAAAACATTTTCAAGGTTGTATCAATTTCAGTTTTCACAATTTCAGATCATAAATTGTCACATACCATAAACTATGATAGAATAGGTAGTGTTATAAATTCTATGCTTGTTAGTCAGTCTGTCAGTAAATCAATTTAAAAATGAATTAACACACCAAAAGTATTCATTAATGCCATGAAATATTTCTAATTTTTGTAAATAAGAAAGGAACAATTATTCTAGACATTTATCTTGAGATAATCATACAGAAGTGAATCAAAAGAAGAATAGCTATTTACATCTCCTTTCTGCCGGTTTGCTTTATCATCTTTCACAAGGACCTAAAAAAGGATCATAAAAGAGAATAATTTAAAAGTTGAATTATAAATCTTAAAGCAAGTGACAACTTTGAATGTTTACTGTAGAAATTTACTGCAATATCCCAAATTCACCTCATCAACAACTGCATCTTCAAAAAGTCTCTTCAACCTCTTTCTCATCGGTGCTTGCTGATCTCTCAACTTTCTACCATGGAGGGCATTGCTCTCAGGAGATCAGTGGTAAGATCCCAGGTCCCCCTGAGGCATATACCCAATACCAGAAACTTCCCCAGTGCTCACGTTTTCCTATCCTCTTTTAAAGTGATATTTTGTGACTTTAAAGGAAGAAAATTTCCTCCTAAAATAGTTTTGGATGAAGAAGCAATTTTCCCTTAATGATTTAAGTCATGATGTTTTGAGCTATTGCAAAAGAATGGCCTAAGAACATGTGATGGGCAGTGTTGAACTAAAAGTAGACAAAAAATTGCAAATATTCCTAGCAACAAGCAGAACATTGTCATCAACAAAAAAGAGTTGATTATTTCAAAGTTGCAATGACTTCAGAATCTTGTCACAAAATCCGTTATGAAAGATCTATTTCCGTTTTAATTGAATCTAATAATAACAAATACCTTTGGAGCTTTACTGTGAACTCCTGGCAATCTAAACTTTGGTGGATTCATCTTTTTGGCAGGGGGTGATTTGAGCTGCTCTTCTTCTCCATGAGTACCTTCTCCACGTTTCAAATCTTCCTGACCCCCAAGCAAAATGCCAATATCTTTCGAGTCTTTAGCTCCAAGCTGTACAACAAAAATTCTTATATCTTTAAAATCTAAATTTCTAATCTGTTAAATTTGTTTTTAAGTTTTGAAATTTTCACATTTGTAAATGGAGTTAATTTGAAAGAGATTTTTGAAGACCCTGTCCACACTAAAGCATTTAAAAAGTAGATGTAGGTGTTCATCCAGTTATTGATATCCACACTATACCAGTACTTAAAAAGTAATTGCATCAGTATTGGCCGAAATCTGGATAATTGAAACAATTATTTCAATTAACCAATTATATATTAAAATTCTGAATTATTATTTGATCAATAAAGATATCAAGCAATTTGAAAAAGCTCAGCTTGATAGATTTTTAAACAATTTTGCTTGAAAACAGTTTTTGTATGTTTCTAGTCTTTTCACGAACACATTATTTTATAATTGATTTCCATCATTATCCTAGGAAAACTATGTCAGATATCTCCAGCATTACTTTATTTGAATTCCACACTAGCAAAAACAAAGCATATCATATTTCTTTCAAATTAAGCCACTTAGTGCTGCAGAATGCGAGGAAATATAAACAACACAATTTCTGAAAAATTCCATTTGTTGGTGTCTTCTGACTTCCATCTTTTAATAACTATGTCTTTTTTACATTTCCTATGTTTCCAAAAGTAACATCATACAGACAAAAGGTTTTATTCTTTCCCAGATTGAATTTTATTAGAAGACTTTCAGTGTAAAGCTGCAGGTAGATAATTCTTTAGCAATTACTACAAACTGAAAATTAACACAAGTCTTTTGTTACTTCAACCACAATGTCAACTCATTTCGAAAAGTTCAAAAATCAGGAAATATGATATACAAAGTTAGAAGGCATGACATATATGATTTTGGGTGCTCAAAGCTATCAGCTGTAACTCAAGTAAAAGATATTTCAGCTGTGAAAATATTGCTTGAGCTTCTATATTTAGAGGAAATTAGTACAACATGATTGCATACCTTGTCCACTTTATCAATTAGGTGAAAATGAGATTGAAGGTTGCTAGATCAATTAGATTTTTAACAGCATCCATGAGAACATGAGATGTCTTTGAAATCTGTGAGCCTCACAACAGATCAGTGGGACTTGGCAACTATGTAATTGACAGGGTGGGTTTGGTGCAAGCACAAGAAATGATAACTGTGAGTCACAGCCTGTGACATATGTCATATGGCTGTATATCTGAACTCAAACTCAAAATCTTTATCAGCAAAAACAAATGTTAATTACAATATACCAAGAATTAAAAGTTAGAATACAAAAGTTAGCAATTTTACACGAGAGCACACGACTGAAAGACACACGAGAAAAACTCGCGAGGAGCTAT